AAGTAGTTTAAAATAATACTAAAAGAAAGTAGATTTAATTAATTTTATATGTTATAGCTTATTTAAATTATTTAATTAGTAAAAGAGTAAGTATATATACGTTACTTACTATATATTGTAAGATTAGTAGAAATAGGGTAATAAAGAGGTAGATAGTAGGTTAAAAGGTGGTTTTATTAATAGTTATTTTTATTGCTATAATTAATAATATTTTAAAATCTTGCCCTTAGGTAGGAAAAAAGGCTTTCTTATATAACTATATTCCTTTAGACGTAAGAAATACTCTAATAGGGAATTTTCCTTTAGTTTAACTAGAAACTACCCTAAAACCGGTATTTAGGTAGTCCGGTTTTATTTTAACCTTATTATACGGATACTTATTATCCGGTTTTATCTTTTAACCTTATTAATAAATACCTTCTTTTAGGTATTTTAAAGGGTTTTAGTCTCTTTTTTAAACTTTTTAGGTACTACTTATTATAGTAATACTACCTATTAAGGTGATATTATCTATTTAAGTTAATTATATTATAACAATAAGTATTCATTTGCTTTTATATCTTATAAAAATAAAAAATAAAACGCTTAATAGGTATCTTAAAAAGAACTTATATAAAGGTTAACGTACTTATATAGCGAGTCGCAGATTATAGCGAGTCGCACATGTCTACTTCCTTTCTACCTCTTTAACCTTTACACTTAGTTTTCTCTATGTATAAATATATATTTTACCTTAATTAAAAGTCATATTATTCTTACTATTCAAGCTCTTAAAAAACACTTAAGAATACCTATATAAAGAGCTACTTTTACCTTTAAGGTCATTAAATTAACCCTTTATATATAAAACATAAGACATATTATATAAAGCAAAATATAACTAAATTTAAAAGAAATAACTATAACTAAAAAAATATTCTTAAATAAATTATTAACCTAATTAATCAAAAGTTCTCTCTACAATAAAAAGATATATAAGAAATAGCTAACTAACTCTTAAACGTATATGACAGGATATATATAAGACCTTAACAAACTAAGAACTTTATAAAATATATTCTTTAATTAAAAATACGATTTTAATATTAAATTAACTATTAAAAGACGTTATCTAAGGATCCTATAATTATATAAGGCTAGTTTATACTTATATAAAATATAATTATAAAATATAAAGTATAAAATAATAATATTTATAATTTTAATAAAACTAAGGTTTTAATAAGAATGTTATTATATATAAAAGTTATTATAATATTTAACTATAAAAAAGGCCTTAATGTACATGTATAGTAAGTCACCCATCATAGTAAGTTACCCACTTCCCCTTCCTTCTATACCTTCTCTTTTCCTCTTAGCTTTACTTTATATATAATAATAAGTTTTACTTTAAATAAAAGCTATATTTTCTTTATACTCTAAGCTATTAAAAAAGACCTAAAATTATCTATATAAAAGGCTACTTTTATCTATAACGTCCTAAAAATAATACTTTATAACTAATGTATTAAATAACTATTATAACAAAAAATATAATTAAAATTCATAAAGATAACTAAACTAAAAAAAATAGTAATTCTTAAATAAGTTATTAACTTAATTAATTAAAAAATTTTATTATAACTTAATAATATATAAAATATAACTAATTATTTCTTTAATAAATATAATATAATATATATTAAACTTTAATAAGTAAAGAACTTTATATAACGCTAATTATAACTAAAAATATATTTTTAATATAAAATTAATTATTAAAAAATATTAACTAAAAATCTTATAATTATATAAACTTAGTTTACTTTTATATAAAATATAATTATAAAATATAAAATTTATAATAATAATATTTATAATTTTAATAAAATAAGCTTTTTAATAGAAATATTATTATATATAAAGGTTATTATAACTTTTAACTATAAAAAAAGCCTTATATAAAGTAGCTTAATAATTATAAATAAGTTTTTATTATTTAAAGTATATATATAAATAACTAAGTATTATTTTTATATATTATTATTAAAAATAAATATTACTTTTTTTTTAAATATATTAATAACTAATTTTTATTTTAATAATATATTTATTTTAATAAAAATAAATAAACTATAAATAAAATTAGCTTAAATTAGTTATAGTATTTTAAAAAGTATATAAAATCTTATATAAAAGATATTAAGTAACTTTTAATTTTTAATAGCTATAATAGCTATAAGTTTATTAAGTTTAATAATTATTATAAAAAATATACTATTATTACTTTTTATATACCTTTTTATTTATTATATAAGCTTTAGCCTTTTAATATTAGTTATTTTAATTTATTAAAAGTATTATATAATAAAAAAATTAAAAAAATAATATAAATATAAATTATATATATTACTAAAAATAACTTTTTTTTTTATTTTTAAAGTAATTCTTTTTACTTTAATAAATAAAAAAAATATATAAGCTAATTTTAAATAAGCTAACTTTATACCTTTTAACCTAAAAGTAGTTATTTTTTGTTTAGATTTTAAGCTAAAAATATTAATATTATTTAATTTATATTTAAATAACTAAAGCTCTTAGGACCTAAAGATATTAACTATAGTATATAATATTATATAAAGCTTTATATTACTTAAAAAAAAAGATTTATAGTTATTAATATAATTTATTAATATACTTATATAAAATAATTAACTTATAAACTAAAAGTATTACTAAATTAATATATTAATTAGTTTTTCTTAAAGCTAAAAACTATAGGCTTTATATAATAAATAAGGTATTAAGTAAACGCTAAAGAGCTAAAAAAACCTAATTACGTTTTAAAGGGTTACTTAATATAACTAAAGCTAAAGTAATTCAAGTAAAAAAAAAGATTATTAATACTAAAAGTAAAAATATATATTAAGAGGAGGCTTGTATAGAGAAAAGTGAATTATATAGTTAGTAATATAGTAATTATAGAAAGACTAGATATAATATAAGTAAGAATAACAGGGGTTATTCATAATAGTCACAAGGAAAAGTAGAGAAGAATAAAGGTAAACAGAAAAGGTATATATATATTAACCGTTAAGGTTTCGTTATACTTCATTATTATTAAAAACTGTCTAAGTAAAAGGAATATCTCTTAGTTATATAGAAAGTCCCTTAGATACGTATAGTATCTAAGCGTATATCTAAGCGTATATCTAAGCGCCGAGAGGTACTTATATGTTTCTCGTATATGTATATATATGCCTGTATATGCCCGTAGATAGGCATAAGCGCCGGCATATGTAATGCTTAGAAGTATATGCGTTTATATGCAGTAGACTGCATTAGTTTCCAGTAGTTTGCATTAGTATAGTTATATATAGTAATATATACTTTTATAGGTTATTTTTCAAGAAGAATTTAGAAAAAATAACTATATATTTATAGGACTTTTAGTTATAGAGTTATAAAGAGATTTATATATAAGAATTATAAGAATTTTACTTCTTAATTCTTAGTATATATAAATATATTAAGTAATATAAAAGACCTCTAAAGAAGAGGATAATAAGTAGTTTTAATTGATTTCATATAATACTACTTAATTAACTTATATAAATAGCTAGAAGGTAAGTAGAAGTAGGTAACTTACTATAATAGGCAACTCACTATACATGTATATTATATAAAATAGCTTAGTAATTATAAATAAGTTTTTATTATATAAGGTATATATATAAATAACTAAGTAATACCTTTATATTTTATTATAAAAAACAAATATTACCTTTTCTTTTAATATATTAATAGCTAACTTTTAACTCTATAATATATCTATTTAAGCAAAAATAGATAAATAATAAATAGTTAATATTAGCCTAAATTAATAAAATTACTTTAATTAGTATATAAAGTCTTATAAAAAGGTTCTTATTTCCTTTTAATCTTTACTAGCTATAATAGCTATAAATTAATTAACTTTAATAAATACTATAAAAAATAAAATATTATTACTTTATATATATTATATAATATTATTCTTCTTATATAAGGTTAAATTCTAGTAAAGTAGTTATATATTTTGTTTTACAAGTTAGCTATTATATTATTGTTAAAAAGTTATATAGGATATACTATAGATTAATATAGCCTTTTATACGCTTAATTTTAGGTTTAAATAAAGCGTATTAAGCGCTAGAATTAAATTGCTTTTAATTAAATGTTTATTATAGTTATAAGTAGAAAAAAAGAAAAAGAACGGTAGTATATATAAAAGTCTAGAAAAGTAGCTTACTTACTTATAGACTATATTATCTTATATATCGTTAAGTTATAACAAAAATCCTTAATTAACTAAGTTAATAACGTATTTAAGAATTATAGTTTTTTTTATTAAAGTTATTTTTATATAATTAGTATATAACTATATCTTATTATAATAGTTGTTTAGAAATAAAACTAAAATATTATTTTTAGGATGTTATAGATAAAAGTAGCTTTTTATATAGATAATTTCAGGTCTTTTTAAATAGCTTAAGTATAAAGAGGATATAACTTTTATTTAAAAAAGAACTTATAGTTATACGTAAAAGAAAGTAGATATAAAAAGAGAGAGTGTAGAAGGAAAAAGGAATAGGCTGCTTGTTATAATAGGCCGCTCAATATGCATGTACGTTAGTTTTAGGTTATTTTTAATACCTTTAAGTGTAAGGAAAATATAGCTTTTATTTTAAAAGAATGCATTATTGTACGTAGAGCAAAGTAGATGTAAAGGTAAAGAGTCTGGAAATAAGGAGAAGGTGGGCCACTTGCTGTGATGGGCCACTTGCTATGCATGTACGTTATACAAAAGTTCAGAAAAGTAGCTTACTTACTTATAGACTACGTTAAACTTAGTTTACTTCACATTGGTTCTACTAAAACTCCTAATACACTTAACGACCTTATCCTGCTACAAAGAAAAGCAGCCATTACGAGCACAATTTAACCCAGCAATTACGCCTGTACAAGCAGTTCAACACACTCTAAAGTGCCTCGACAGCCCTAAGCAATACTTCGATACCACTTTTTTCGATCTCATCGCCACCATTGAGCAGAGACGATACGTCGCTTAAAATGCCGAGGGGGATATAGCAGCCTGATTTGGCCTTCTCCAAGCTCTCCTTGAGCCTGCTGGTGTGTTCCCATTCCCTGGCTGCTACCTCGGCACGCTCAATGACACGATTGGAGATGCCGCACATGGCTGCGCAGTGCATTCCAAAACTGCCCTCAGCGACACCATCCTCCAGCTTGTAGAGGAACGTCACACGCCGCTGCTCCTCGTCGACGTGGATTTGCATGCGGCGAGGCCGGATCTCGGGGTGATTCTCAAACTCCGTGGCGAGAGAATGGTAGTGAGTCGCGAAGAAGCCCACGCAGCCCACATGTGTCGCCACATGATGCAAGACAGCCTGTGCAACTGCTACACCGTCGTAGGAACTGGTTCCACGTCCCAGTTCGTCCAGGATGACCAACGACCGAGGTGTGGCCTCTGACAGGATCTTTTTGGTTTCCGACAACTCCACAAAGAAAGTCGACTGAGAAGCAAAAATATTGTCGTTAGCTCCCAATCGTGACATGATTCGGTCGACAGGTGTCAGTCGAGCGAATTTAGCTGGTACATAGCACCCAATTTGTGCCATGATGACGGCGATGCAAGACTGTTCCGGTTAGCAGTGATTTTAGGGGGATGTCATGATTCTACCAACCATTCGCAATACGGTGGATTTGCCCGCGGCGTTCGCACCTGTCAAAAGGTTTATCTTTGCAGAGTCGCCACCGAGCTGTACATCGTTGGGGATGAAATCGGCGACGGCGTTCAGCATACAGGGATGGCGCAGCTCTTCGAACTCGACAACGCTGCGTTCCTGGTCGACAAACTGTGGGCGGCAGCTTGGTTCGCCCAGCGAGGACGACGCCTTGGCAAGACTAATGAGACAGTCGAGCTGCGATATGATTCTGATTGACTGTGACCACGTCTCGTAGTCTGCATCGAAACGCCGGAAGAACCGCTGGGCAACCTCTTTGACGATCTGTGAATGCGTTTCCTCCGCTTCCTGCAGTTCGCGCACCAGTTCTGTAAGTTCTTCGAAGTAATACCGCTTGACACTTGAAGTTGCTGACATTTGGCGCCAGTTGCTCGGCACCTTCACAGCCTTGGGGGCCTCAATCTGGTAAATCTCCTTGCCCACGTCGGTGAACTTTAGTGTCTTGCACTTCAACTCTGACTTCTTCTTTCCGAGTAGCGTCTGGAGCTCCTGTTTGATTTCCTCGATGCGATCTTGGCTGTTGTCGAAATCTTGCTCGATGCTCCGTTCTGGGATGAAAATTCTCTCATCCTTAGCCTTCTTCCGATCAAAAGCGGTCTTCCAGTAGGAAAGAGGTTCGCTAAGATTGGGCATGGAAGCCAGAAGCCGGTCAACGAGACCGTTGCCGCCACCAAATGCACTCAGAAGACTCATGGTGTACTCAATCTGTTCGAAACCTTCCAGAACACGCACAAAGTCTTCCGGCTTGCACGACGCAGCGTGTATCCTAGAGATGAGGCGCTCCAGGTCTGGCATCTTTGTCATTTGAGATGTAAACTGCTCTCGCACGCCTCTGTCAGAGTTAAGCATGTCGACGGCATCGAGCCGCTCGTTGATCTTCTTGATGTCGCAAAGAGGATGGCACACCCACTGGCGGAACAGCCGTTTGCCAAACGGGGTAACGCATCGGTTGAGAAGAGTGAACAGTGAGCCTTCAGGTCCGCCATTCACGGTGTTGGAGAAGACCTCCAAGTTAATAAGAGTCTGGCCGTCCAGGATGAGTGTACCATTGCGCCGAATGGGTGTGTACCACTCAAAGTTACCCTGAGACAGTAGATCGCCCTCCAGTTTCAATACTCTGAGGTATTGGACCAAGGCGCCAAAAGCAGACATGAGCAAATCCTTGTTTCTAGCTTGAGCCAATGTCTCGGGCCAGGCTTCTTCGCCGCCATCCTCTTTGGCGAAGTAGCCGCTATTGTCCAGCTCCCGGCGACTGACATCGGCGTCCCAGAACTCGCTGCTTGGTTTGAGGTAATTCCAAATGGTCATAGGCGACGTGTTGTTCTTCAGAATCCGAAGAGCCTTTGTCGAAATCCGGGACTTCTCCAATATCAGCTCTCTCGGGCTGGTCTGGGCGACAAATGTCTCGAATTTTGTCAGATCAGCATCGTCCTCAAATTCCGAGATGAAGAATTGACCAGTTGCGCAATCCACAAACGTGATGCCAAATGCAGGCTTGTCGTCAATGGTCGACTCCTTGATGGAGGCACAGTATGTGGCGAGGTCGTCCTGCAACATGCTTCCGTCGACGAGGGTACCGCCGGTCAAAATACATGCCAGCTCCCGGCGGATGATTTTGTCGGTTTTCTTGCTCTTTGCCAAAGTGTCGTCCCTCTCTCTCATTTCTTTACCAAGGGCGGACTCCATCTGGTCAACCCGGGCAACTTTGTACCCTTTGGCGACGAACTGATTGACCCACATATCAAGAGAGCTCTCTGGAACGCCAACCATGCGCATATTGACGCGATCCGTAAGCTTCAAATCGAAAAGCTGATGACCAATGGTGGCGTCATTCTCGTAAAGCTCATAGAACTTGCCCTTCTTGAAGAAGACGACAGTGTCCCACAGCTTTTGCTTAATCTCCCAATACTGCTTCTCGAAAGGGGAAAACTTGTTCCATGCCATGGGCGGGATATAGACAGTGGACGGATCATGGTCTGGGTCGCCTGGAGCTTTCTTGTTCATGTCAACGATGTTGGCGAGCCAAGGATAACGGTCCTCTGGCTCCCTAGTGTGTGCTTTCTCTTTGCCCTTGGGCACCGTAGCACGGCGGGCTGTTGATGCAATAGCTGTCCGGCTTTTGGCAGCAACAACGCTGTTCGGGTCGTAACGCCACTGCTGAGCGGTTGAGGTAGTGGGGATATCTAGCATAGCCTCATCAATGTCGTCGTCGTCATATTGATCTTCGTTGATCGGGGACGAGACATTCGATTTCTTTCGGGACTGCGTTGCCTTTGTCGATTCGCGGCGCTTGCGCTTTTTCGACTGCGAAGGTGCATCTGACTCGTCGCTAACGACGAAATCAAGCAGGTCTGGATGGAACATTAGATTGAGTTTCAAAAAGCTTATCGAGGACTAACCATCGTCCTCATCGGCTGCGCCATTGCTCCCAGCGTCCTCATAGTCGTCACCGTCGTCAGCAATGGCAGCCGGTGTCTTGGTACGGCGGCGGGTGCCTGATGCTCGGATACGAACAAAAGGATCATCATCCTCTTCGTCGGAAGGCTCGGCGTAGTTGATCGGCTTCCTGGACTAAATGATTGATGGGTTAGTACGAATAAGCCGTGCAAGAGAGCATTGGAACCGTACCTTTCGAGTCGGGCTCGAAGAGGGCAGAGGTGGCCGGAAAGTGTCAACCTGCAGATCGACAGTCTCAGCCGGGGTAGATGGAGATGGTAGGGCGTCATCAGCAGCTACCTTGACAGCGGAAGTGACCATGTTCTCCTGAGAGCTCGCGGGTTCAAATGCATCACTGCTCGGCACGGGGGTCATGCTCGAAGGTTGCGGAGCTCTAGAAAGAGTATTCGTTCGGGTCGACTCTCTCAAGCATGGAGACGAATCGGGGGCCGAAGCCGTGGGCTTAGGGGTAGAGCGAGAGGAGGCATTGGCAGACTTGGAGAAGAACTGGACAATAGTCTTTTGGGTTCCGGCCGATGACGATGGTTGGCGCTTGAGTGTCGAGGGGGTTTTGGCTGGTGTGCGGGCCACCGAGGAGGATCTCTCTCCCATGATGGCGTTCAATGGAGGGAATCTCTTGTTACTGGCTAGAGGGGGAATTGACTGAAAAGACAACAGAAGAGAAGGCGAAGGAAATAACGGTGGTGAAGCTGGTGGGCTTTTCAGAAACAGCTTGACAGGTTGCAGTTGGTTGACGGGCAGAAGGAGGAAAGTCGGCGTGCTCAATGAAATGAATTCGGCATGTATGGCCCAGTGCGAAATAAATCCCACGGTTGTCTAGTGGTGTAGGAATTAATTGGGTTTGTTGAAGCTAGAGTCGGAGGGCCCTGCTTTGCTTTGCCTTGAGGTAGAAGAGCTGGTGCCAGGGTGACGCGCCAGGAGTAAAGAGACTCGTGAAAAGTCGCGTCAGGAGCGCGTCTGGAGTGGCGGGGCCGCGTTCTGCCTTTAATTGAACGACTGGGGTTGGAGACCCAGTAGGTATCTGCCGGTGGTGGTGATGACGCAGGGGCCACGGGAGTAAGTCGTCGCTAACCTTTCCTCGGTTACCAGCCACACTGTGCCTTTCGCCAGCACTGTACAGGTACGTAGTCGCGCTCCCACTTCGGTGAACCCTATACCTCCGATGCCAGTCTTCGGGAATTATGGATCGTTCTCCGTTCATCCACGGGGGCTCCATCGTGTTAGCTGCTGATACCACTGGACCGTTGTCGAATGATGCGATCGTAAGGCCGCGATGAATTTAGATTACCCAACAAGTGATGCGCGCATTATCGCATGCTGCTGGTTCCCCCACTGGCCAGTAATTGATATACACTGTATCCTGTACTTCTTGGACTCTTCCATCGAGGTGCCAGTAAGGTTACAATCATCGATGCGGACCCTCTCCCGGATAACGATGGGTTGATGCGGCATCGCACACGCACCTGGCCGAGGGGAGCCCTTGTGTGGCACTGGTATACCATCAGTGCCCTCTAGACGAATGGGTTCGTCCAATGGAAAAGGAAGAAAGACTCTTTGGGCCCGACAACATTTATTCTGGGATTGATCAGCTGTGCGTGTGTCATCTCGTGCCCATCTCCAACCAGGTCATGTCGGCACTCATCCGATTTGAGTCCAATCTTCCTCAACCAGCTCGCTTGCTCAGAACCACATACATAGAGTAGTTCCGTAGCTCAGCTCCTTGTGGAACAGTCGTCAAGGCAGATAGAGTATATTGCTTCGAAAAATAATGATTGACCTGTAGGTGAAGGCTTTCTTGGAGCAGCCGGTTAGCATATTCCGAGAGAAAAACATTGGCCGGCAGCGAGGACGGAGATAGATCCGGGAACGAACGTGGCGGCTTTCAAAGCATGCATGAGTCTTCAATTCAACCCTAATATGGGACCCTGCCAGCTTGTGCAGCTCCCCGTGGAGTCAGCCAGACTGAGAAGGCACGAAAACACGAGAGACTCCATGTCTTGGGCATGGCTCCAGATAACGAGAATATTTATAATAGAGACGAGAATGACTGATGCTCATTGTCCCTTCAAGGCGTGAACTTTGATATGGGCTCGTCCGTGAGTTCGGTGAGGCAGGAGATTGGCTCTTGGGGCTGGTCTGGACTGAGCAGTTGGTTTTTATTTATCACCCACGGACTCGGGTCTAGATCGCCATAGCTGCTTCGGTATCTCCTTAAACAATAGTGGCTGAAGTCCCGAAATGTCTGCTCGCTACTCTATCTCATTGATGTTGCTCCCTGATGCCCCTTGGTCTCGAGATGGCATGTCAAGGAAGCCTTTGTTGAGGTATGAATGCTGTGCAGAAGGAGTAAGCGATCATGGAGATGACCAGTTGATATCATATAGACAGCTTACGTGAAACACCACACTATCGATTCACTCCTGACAGAAGCACCTCGTGCAGGAAAGTCAATGGGCAAGTTACGTTGGATTACGGACGAAGCGTACGAGGGTCTCACAGCTTGTGGCGGGGATCTTGCACTTGTTCTGAGCCTGTCCCGAGTTAGGGTTGTATATCTTGACATTGGGACTCCGCTGCTATTTAGGACGCTGTTTTTGTGTCAATGAACAGTATCGACACCTATAGGTGACATCTGGAGGGACCTTGAGGCTAACTACCATCGATATGCACTCGGGAAGCAGCCTTCCAGACTGCGAAGGGCACGAGGCCCAAGGCAGCATTAGGCGTTGTCGTGCTTCATATCTTATAAATTTCCATAAAGTGGGTTTTCTGCTGACACCAGTTACTGTTCACATCGAACCCCGAGAAGCAAGTGTTGAGATGCGCTTCCTGTCTATGCCCTACTTGATTGGTGCTTCTTTTATTAAAAGCGCGTGGGTAGTTCTGCTAACAATCACAAGTGAGGGAGATCGGTATTTTCGATAAGCAGACAACCACTACATACAGTATCGCACCATATCTCAGCCAGTTGGCGAGGCATCGGGGGGGCAAGGGGGTTGCGGAATGCTCTAAGGTTGGGTCCAAGTGGGCTGACACGCGGTATTGGAATCGAAGGACATCAAGTTATGGGAAACCATGGTATCCTTGATAGACTTTGGATCTCTGTCAAGACTACCATGTGATTCTGAAGGAAGCTCGGCTCCCAGACAGACTTTCGTCCGACCCATGGACTGGGTCATGATCCAATGAGACGTTACGAATGTGATTGAGAAACCAAATGGCGTGGACGTCACCGGAAAAACTTGATGAAATGCCAAGGACGCGTGGTTCCGTCCATTCGTGCACCAGTGGCGCACATTGGGGTTGCCTACCCCAGTCTACCTGAAGACAATGTTAAGCTGCCGCAAGCTATCGAGCCAGTAACTGAGATTAATCACCAACGGCACACCTTTGGTCGCAGACGAAGCACTTTTTCCATGCCCACGACATTTGTGACAGGTGTAGAGAGCAAGGTTGTCTTGGTAGATTGTGTTTCCAAAGGGTTCGCTTCTCTCTTTGAGCTCGGGTCAGCCCCGTGCAACCGGAACGCACGCAAGACATTTCGGTTCATTCAAGACGCCGTTGAAATAGACTCAGCATACAGCGAGAAGACACCACGAGGAAACATGTTTTGCAGTAAGGTGAAGAACATCACGAAGGCGGCGGTGATTGGCCTCCGGCTCTGAGACTGGAAATCCGGGACAACGGGGACGGTATCGGAGTCCGGGGAAGCAGAGAAAGCAAAAGCAAAAGCATATCCTGCTGCCAAGGGTTGCCGAGAACTTTTTCATGTTGTTGAGCCTGGGCTGTTGTAGATGCGGCACAGGTCTCGGCCAATGCAGAAGATTGAGTAGGGAGGATCCGAGGAAGCCCTTGACCAAAACCCTCCCCCCCCTTCTCACTTTCCCCTTCCTCGTAATCCTGGTCATTGGACGACGCGCAGCTGTGACATGGAACAAACCGGGGGGCTGATATGCAAATGGTGGTTGTTGACTTTGCTTGGCTGGTTCGCATGCAGGAGCAGACGGAAGAGTCCCTGTCGTCCGTCAGCGTCGTATTCATCACTCGGCGATGTATTCATCATGTGTGCAAGCCTAGTCAGCACCCACGGATAGCGCTCCGCAGGCGACCGACAAAGATGCAGACAGAGACTGTCAGTATGATGGCATAGAAGTTAATGGCAGCGCGCTGCAACAACGGGCATGATGCGGCGGCGTCGTCCACCAATGCCAACCGGTTCTCTGTAGACCGAGGCAAGGGACCTTTGCTAGGGCTGGCGCAGGACCATGGGAGTTGGGATAGTGCGTATCAAGGGTGGATGGTAAGGCGAGGCGGCGAGAACCAGGGTGGTATTCTGCAAGTTGGGTACCGCAGGCTGCAGGCGAGATGAGAGAGATGTGGCATATCTAGAATGGGAAAGAAGAAGGATGCGGCTGCGGCTGCGGCTGCGGCTGCGGATGTGGAAGCGAACGGGGTTGGGGGGCTAGAGAAGAAGGGAGTTGGTCGTCGGCGATTTCAGTCAGAAGCGGAGCGAGATGGAATTTGTCAACATTGCTGTGCTGGGAGCCAAACACAGGAGAGGCTTGAAATTGGCGGGCTGTGGTGGTTTGCTTCTAAGCATAAGCTTCATCCTGGCTCGATTCAGTTCCTTCGTCCTGGCTAAGAACCAGGAGGGTACTTGGGCCAGTGGTGAGGTGTAATTAGTGTCTGCTGCGTTCCATGACAAGGTTCGTCTCCATCCTTTGTCACGTCGTTGGGGGAGGGAGAGAGAGAGAGAGAGAGAACCGAGGGAAAGCATACCTAGTCAGTAGCTGGTGAGTGAGCAAGTGGTCCGAACTCTAGTCCGACTGCACTTCACAGGAAGAAAGGGAAGGCAGGTTCCCCTCAGGGTCATATCACTGGATGAACATGACCCCACCCCTGCCAATTGCGACGACAGCTTGCACTGAACCAGACTCGGGTGTGGGACGTTGGGGAAGGTACCTAGCGATGCACCAAGTGGGGTTACTGTCCCCAGCCCAGACCAGGCCGTTCCAGCGGCCAGGCAACCTGATCCAATCGAGGCCTGGACGCATAAAGTGGGGAGACCATTGCCATTTTCTCACCCAACGTGCCTAAACTTAAACCTAATCTGGCGGGGTCGTCGCGACGCGCTGTTAAAATCGAAATCATGGGGTAAGCAACGGTTGGAGAGCGCCTTCCCCCCCCTCTCTCTCTCATGCATTTATCGCCTTGTGCCTACCTATACCAATTCCTTTGACTTGCAAGCCCACATTACCCCTGCGCTGAGAGAGGTGGGTGAGTCATGTGAACATGATTGCCTTTGTCGGTATTGCTTGGTACGGCTTGAACGCTCCATCATTCGGACGATCTTGTACAACTGCCAGCTTTCACTGCTTTCCCCGATTGCCAAGATGCCCCCAAGTACACAGCCTAGACCGGTGGCCACTAGGGCCGAGGGAACTTCTCTCTCCTCACTTTAGCCTCTTTAACTTTGCCCAATGGGTTCGTACCAGTAGGCGTACCTATTCGCGCGGCAACCTGCCTCGGTACTTACCAGACTCTTGATACGAATTTTGACATTGAGATGCACCGTTTACGGGCGCCGTGTCATTATTACACTGGCAAGAACCCAACCTCCATCCATCTTTTGACTGTTATCCAGCGTGTGCCGATCACCTCCCATCTCGTCTTGTTTCGTCCGCCTGATGGTCTCGGCATGATCCCCGTCCCCGTTCCCAACGTCCAGCGCCCAGAGGGCCAGGGTACGCCAAAGATACCTACCTACCTTAGGTAAGGGGGTGCAAGATAATATGCCATCCTCAAACTCATTACTCTCCAGACGCTGGCACCAAAGCCACCGCAAGACACCCTCCGAAAGGGTGAAACAAACGCAATTCAACACTGTAGAATGTTTTCTTTGTATTTCTCATCTTCCTCGTTTTTTAATTCGTCGGTGAAAAGCAAACAAGGAGGGCACGAGGGGTATCTAGGATAGGATAGATAGCGAGTAGTACCTAACTAGTGAAGCGGCCCGTTTTTTGGTCACCCGATGGCCAGGGAGACTAACAGAGAGGACAGCGAGGGTGGATGTTTGGCGGCCCCTCCCCCATCTTTTCCAGTACCGTTACCCGTCCCCGTCCTTCTCCATTCTTCCCCAGTCTCCAGTCCGCAGTCCCGTACGTGTACACACAAACGCCCGACCAGCGACCTTCGGACGCAGTCCTGGAAAAGCCAGGGCGTCCCTCGTCTTAGCCCTTGGTCAATCACCCTGTCTCTTTCACATAGGTAGTCGGAATCAGCGGGGAAGATACGCGTGTCAGTTGATTGGCCATTCGGGCTGCACTCAGATGAGTGGCGGAGCTGCTAGCGCGTGCCAAGCTGTCGGATACTCAATCGACGTTCGGCTCTCTTGCCTTATTCGGTTCGGGTGCCCGGGAACCCCTGTTAGTCCTGTTCTGGACCTCCCGCACTTTTCCCATCTTTCCCATCTCCCCCACATCATTCTCTCAGCTTTCAAGAGTCAAAAAGACGCGAAAACTGAGGCCAATGTCAAGGTTGCGGGTAAGGAGTACGTCCCTCCCTCTCTTACACTACTCACTAGCCTTACTTGGCCACCACTCGCCTCAAGGTCCCCTGTCGTGAGTGAGTGAAAAGTGAGAATGAGTGTCTCAGAGACTATCCGTCGCCATCCTCCTTGCGTACCGGACCAACAGTTGATTCTCTTTAGACGCCCCTTCACAAGCCTTCCTAGTCTCTCTTCAACCTTCTGAAGCGTCCCGCGACTGTTTATTCAGTACTGCACCCCCTCCTGGCCGATCTCTTCACTCCCTCCCTTCCTTCCTCCCCCCGTCCGCATCCCATCCCGTCTTGACCGCAACCGCATGGTCTCCTATCGCGGCGCCCTCTCTCCCCTCTCACCACAAGACTCGCCCTAACTCCCGTTAACCTCCCTACCATACTGCGCCTCCAGACTTGTCGCCACTTCCTCGCCCGCTCGAGCAGTAGCCCATCGAGAAAGATATTCCGTTCGACCGGCGCTAATCATGATTTAACCCTTCCCTACACGTGGCCGCCAAGTAAGCCAAGAACTCTCGTCATGTCGCCCTCAATTGAGCATCGAGGATCGCCAGACGCTCGACTGTCCATGTTACTTGTGTATTGTCTTTGTGGCTTCAAGGATGGGAGGGAACATCTCTCGTCTCGGTGTAAAGGCACATGGCAGCAGGGCACTCGTTTTCTTGGCTGCCGTATGCCACGCCATGGCACGGCAGAGTCATAGGAAGCAGAGAAAGAGCCGCCTTCTTCAACACGAAGATTGACTTCCTTTTTGTGCACCGTGTTCCGAAAACCTGGCCGGGTTGGCATTGCGTTGCTTGTATATCCGGAACCACGACAGGGCCCGAAGATATAGCCTCTAGGAAGCTTTTCAAGAGCGACGTTGGTCGGCAGAACAGAGTTTGGATGCTTGCACACCCAGTGCGACTGTGGCAGGGACCCAGAAGTTCCTCGTATCTCGTCCTCAAGATTCGGAAACCTCTTTCAGTGTCTCAACCATGGCTTCGGTCCGGTGCGACGCAATTCACGGATTATGCGCGGGGCGACGGCCTGGCTAGCCGCCATTCCACCCAGCCCATTTAGGCTGGTGTGGTTTGAGACAGAGAGCCCCTGGTCATCAGGTTCGTAGATGAAATGCCAGGTTCGTCCAATATAGCAACCCAATGCAGTGGACGCATTCATAGAATTGCATAGTTGGACTGCTACATTCCTTGTTAGCTAGGGCAACCTGAGTCGCAAACCGGCGGCCTAGGGCTCTGACTTGCATGCACAAGTACACACTCACGGCGTTTGACACACGTACCTACAGTTGGCGAGGATGATCTGCTCTGAATTTGTCAATGAGTGTACTATGGATACGGATGGTTTGTGTGCGCAAATCCTCTGGTTGCGATAGTGCCTGAGGTATGCACACCACAGTTACTGATTATCCGTAGAGGTGGCGCCAACGCTGGCACGTTGGGACCTTTGATGTTGTTTAGACGGTTAATTGGAGATACAAAGCCACAGAAAAGCCCGATTTCCACTCACTGGGGGACTGGCTGACATGGTTGAGGTTGGGGGCCCCCAGCTTGGCGCTTCTTGGCAATATCACCAAGCACAGGGGGGAGGGGAGGGTACTTGAGGCCAGACGGAGTAACTGAGATGACTGTGACATTGGCGTGCGGGGGAAAGATTGATCGCTGAGGAAGCAAGCACCTAGAGTTGGTTTCCCGGGGGGATAAGGACGGAGCGTCCTGAGATGGGGTGGTGATGATGATGCAGCCGTTGGCTTGGTGTAGCTTGATTTTTCCATGCCTTTCTTGGGCTTTTGTGTGTGTGTGTGTGTGTGTGTGTGTGTTTCGGTAAGCACTCTGTCTCTCTATTATGAAGGAAAAATGCAATGTAGACGTGATTTTCTTTTCTTTTTTGGCATGAGGAGTTGGAGTATGGTTGTCGTGTCCTGCGATGATTTCTCAGGTCTGGCTCACCCGCACACGGCCACTCTATGTTTGTCGATGGAATATTCCTTCGTTGCTACCTTGGCTTATTCTAAGTATATTGCGGCAAGAGAAGAGGAGGACAGGAACATCTGGCCCCAACGGATCATCTGTCCCTCAGCTGCGCTAAAGCAAGATGTGCATAGAAGGACGGGTGATATGCGATAGCGAGCAGCCTATGGCTGGACCGGAGGCAGCAGGTATTGATCAAGAACGGTATAAGCTGACAGGATCTGGATCCTGAGAAGCGGTAGAGTTGCATCTGCGACACGACGACACCAATGCCGCCATACAGTGAGAATGTAGCTGCTTTAGATGTGTGGTTTGCAGCGGTACCAATGGCCTGCCTCTGCAGCCAGCATGTATCTCTTGCTACCAAGTAGTTAAGGTAGCTTTTGACCATTGACGCGGTGCAAATCAAAGTAGTGTAATGTAAGGCAACGTAGGGGGGTACGTACTCCTCATATCGCAACCCCAGCCAAAATAGCACCAGCGAGACATCCGGACTTTGGACAGGGGGTTTTCATTTTTTTCAATCCTTTCTCGAAACCCCATGGATATTACACAGATTGCCAAGAGACTAAGTCTCCGGGGTTGAGTCTTATGTGTCTTCCAACTAACTGCCTTGCCCACCTGGCTGGGTACACCAGACAGGGTGCTAATATACCCGCTCGAGGTGGCCGGGTTCCTTCGCCCATTACTTGTAGTCATTTAAAGAGGACAGCTTCTTCCCCGGGGTTCTTCACGTCGCCGGTCTCACCTCCTTCCTCTCCCCCTTCGTTCTTTTCTCTTGCCATACTCGGCTCCTGCCTCACTTGCTCTTGCACTTGCTCTCGCACCTGCATTTGCGACTGGTTACTCTTGCCATATTTCACCCACCCGGACTCATCTGGCTCTGTGTGATAGACTAACAACACACGCCTTGGGCCTCAGTCTTTGGCCAACCACGACAATACTCCAACCCCACGTGCGACGCTTTTCTTCCGGCATCGACACCGGTTACTTGCCGTAATACTGATTAGCTTCGTCTTCGCCAATTTCACCTTGTGTCGCCTCTATCGGCTTCAGAGTCTCACTCAATTAACTGTCTTCCGAGACAATCATCGACGTTTGGTTTCTTTGGCGCCGGCTGTCTTAAAAGCCTCATTCACCCGCCAGTTAACCATCTCTCTCCAAAACAAAAGCGCCGGTGTTTGGGAGTGTTATTTATTTTCCACCTCGCCTCAGCTTTTCTCTCCGCCGTCTCTCTTGCCGGACTTGATATTCATAACAACTACGTCCTGAAGCCGACCCGCAAGTCACTATAGACCCAAGATGTCCACCTCTGAGAAAGACGTCAAGGCGGACGTTACTGCCAACCCATCCATCGAGGTCGAGTATGCGAGCGACCCTGATAGAGGCGGATTTGACCAAGCCGCCACTAAGAGACTCATCCGCAAAATCGACTGGACCCTGATTCCTTTCCTTGCCCTCTTGTATCTGCTGTCCTTCTTGGACCGCACCAACATTGGCAATGCTCGTCTCGCTGGTCTGGAAGCGGACCTCGGCATGAAGGGTCTTGATTACAACGTGGCTCTGTCCGTCTTTTTCCCCTGGTATGTCGCTGCCGAAATTCCCTCCAACTTGGCCATGAAGCGCTTCCGCCCTTCCATCTGGATACCCTCCATTATGGTCGCTTGGGGTGTCTGCTGCACCCTTATGGGTCTTGTCCACAACTACCCGGGACTATTGGCCTCTCGCATGGCTCTCGGTCTCGCCGAGGGTGGTTTGTTCCCCGGTATCACCTACTAGTAAGTATTCCTCATCCTGGACTATCTCATTATCCCTCACCATCTGACTCTCTTGTCCACAGCATTACTATGTGGTACCGACGCCATGAGTGTGGTCTCCGCATGGCCATCTTCTTCTCTGCTGCCACCGCTGCCGGTGCTTTCGGAGGTCTTCTTGCTCGGGGTATTGTTGAGATGGATGGAGTTGGAGGCAGGCCCGGTTGGGCTTGGATTTTCATCCTTGAGGGTATCCTCACTCTCGCCGTTGGTAAGTTGGGACTGGAGGGCAGATAATCCGCTTAACAACTGAACACTAACTATAAGCGTTCCTTTTCTCAAAGCTATCGCCGCCTTCTTCATCATGAATGACTACCCTGCTACTGCTAAGTTCCTCACTGTTGCCGAGAAGGAGGAAGTCACTCGTCGCCTTGAGCAGGACCGTTCTGCGCTTGCCGACGAGTTTAGCATGGTTTACTTCAAGGACGCTCTGAAAGACTGGAAGATTTGGGTACATATGGTCAGTGTAGAACGTGCCAGAACTTGCTGTACCAGGGTGTTGTACTAACAATCTTTTAGTTCATCACCATCGGAGTCTATACTCCTCTGTACTCCTACTCCCTCTTCCTCCCCACGATCGTCAGCGGATTGGGTTACACCAATGAGACGGCCCAGTTGATGACTGTACCCCCTTATATCGTGGCCTGCGCCTGCTGTATCGGCGGCGGGTGGTTGGCTGATCGTCACCGCCAACGCGGTATCTACATGATCTTCTTCTGTCTTGTTGGGTACGTCCTTTGTTCCGCCCCTACGTGATGAGAAATCAGCGACTAATCCGTCTCTTCAGTATGGCTGGCTTCATCATGCTTCTATCTTCCCAGAGCAATGGTGTCAAATATGCTGGTTGTTTCTTTGCTGCCTCCGGCATCTACCCCAACGTCCCTCAAGGAGTCGCCTGGAACGGCAACAACATTGGGGGTTCAGTCAAGCGGGGCGTTGGTATTGCTATGCATGTCGGTATGTAAAATTCAGCACCAACCTCTTCTTTTGCGGAGGTCGACCACTAACATGGTGCAGGTTTCGGTAACCTTGGTGGTGCCATCGCTGGTTTCCTCTACCAGGCCAAGGACAAACCCCACTACTACCCCGGCCATGGCACGCTATTATCGACATTGACCATGTCCATGTGCCTCTCTATCTTTATGACCCTTTACTTGCGTCGCGAGAACGCCCGCCGAGACCGCGAGTACAAGGACCCTGCTCAGTACACTGCCGAGGAGAGAGCCGCTGAACGCCACAAGGGTGACAATGCTACCTTTTTCCGATACACCGTCTAATGGACTTATGAAATTTGGAGCATTTTCAGTTCTTGATTTGATTGGGGTCTCATACGTGAAGGAGCACAGCTGCGTCAGGGGCAACTGCCATAGAGAAGGGAACAGAGCAGGAAGGGGATAACCCCGATTATTCTTGATCACACCTGTTGAACTTATCTCATATCAAAGACACCCAATTATAGTTATTTGCAGTTTGTAATAAATTACGTGAACGTAAGATAATCATATTTACGTGAGTACGTGATACTGGTCTAGTCTGAAAATACGAAATACTGCAAGCTAGGCTAAGTTTCATCGTCACTCACTCGAAAATCTATGGGCCATATGCATAGCGGACCAGATTTCAAGACCCAAACCATGAAGCTAGGTGTTTCCATCCATATCCATGTAAAAGCCAATCATCTAACACCTGTGTCGAGAACCAGACCAATAGACGTCCGCCTCCAATATTGGCGGTGCCCGATGAGTGGGGGCTCCTCGGCCGTTAGCATCGTCACCATTTTGGGACATCTGAGAGACGGCCCCTCGCCTGTGTCTTGGCTTCAACATCCCTTCCCCCGACAAACGTGGAGAAACGTGGGGTAAACCGACGAGGTGGTGAACAAGTTCAACAGGGGTAGGGGGACGGCGTAAAGAAAGGGGTGGAACACCTACTCTAGTCCAGTTCCAGGGTCTAGGGCTCGTCGGGTTTGGGGCTGGCCCAGTTAGATGCCCGGCCACCGCTGGGACTTTCCGAGGGCAGTGCATTGTGCAGATGTTGCCTTGATAGACCCCCATAGGTGGGTTGGACAAGTCCTTTTCTTATCTCCGGCCTAGGCGAGAGGACCCAGAGACGCGGCACGCCGCTACTTCATATGTTCAAACACGACTCAAAGAGATTGCTGCCACTTGGTCACGCGGATGGTGCCAATTCCAGGGACTCGGGAAGATCCACCACTGAATTCTCCTTCTGTGCACGTGTAAAGCTTTCGTATTTCCCACGATGCTAGACTAAGCAATGAATTTGATCTTGCACCTTGGACATTGCGGCCTTATCTTCTTCCACCAATTGTTCTTAACTCGGAAGAAAATTCCGTGAGGTTCAAAGCAACACCCATCAACGTCGAGCTACGTTCTTCATGACACTTCTCTAGTTTCAGGCCCCTTTGTTACTGCTTCCCTAGAGATCCTCGTCAAATATCACACCTTACTAAAAACACAACCTCTCCACGTTCCAATTGACCCAAGAAGACCGGCATCTCAGAGAAACAACCCTCCTCGGAGGCGCTTCAGGCGGCAAAATCGTCGGTTGTGGCCTGGGTCTCAACTTCCCCAACAATGGCTGACTGCATCGCGTCTCCGATATAAATACGTCGTCGTTCAACACACACACACACATACACACACACACACACATACACACACAATAAAAACCCAGTATCGCCGCCTTGTTCACACCGTAGCCGCTCAGGCCAGGTACATGCATGTTGTAGACGGCATTCCTGTTGATGTTAACGATAACCGCTGGGTTGTCAGTGCCGCAGCAGCGACGACGGCGGAGGCAGCCCCATGTCATTGTAGCCGTTTCGAAGCCGTTTTACCTAAAGCCGTGACACCGGTTCCTAAAGTCTGCATCAACGAAGCCTACCGACTTAGGGCAATAGCCGGAACTGTTGACGATGACACCTGGGGAGTGGCCTACGGCAGCAAAGGCGATAACAGGCTGTTCTGGGGATGATACGCTAACGAAGTGGTAACACATATCTAGCTGGGAAAGTCCAGAGAATAGGGCCGCTGAGGTGTCTAGCAGCAGATTCGGTGCGGTCTGTGAGATGAGCTTGAAGACATCGGCTTCAGCAAATGAACGGGAAATAGCAGTACTTATTCCTGGGCATTTAACTGTGAGAAGGACGAGCAGGAGAAATATTTGCAGAGTAATGTTGAAGAAAGCTTAGGGGGGTCTCAAGATGTTTCGACTGGGTTCAAAATAAGAGATATGTTTGCGGGCTCCCAAGTTCAAGCCGTCGTCGACAAGGCAGATCTTGTATTCCCCACGCACCGGGGCAGAATACCTATGAAAGATGTATCCGACATTCTAAACTGAACACGAAATTACTTTGAGTCTGTACAATAACATGATATCGCAATTGGGTTGGAATTTATTGATCAGAGCTCGAAGCCACCATCGGACTTGACAAGGCCAAGATTTAACAACCAACGTAGCATTCGTAACCCAGGGAGAGAATTGGAAGTCAACACTGGGTTAGAGGGGACCGAGGATAGTCACCTCATCAAATTGAAGGCGTACAGATCGTCAGGAAACATAAAAGCTCGTATTGAGGTCAACTCTCCTAATGCTCTGTGGCCAGGATTGAAGATAATATCTGCTTTTAGACCTTGGCGTTGCTTCGTCTAGGAGCTAAATTATCTAGCTTGCATGCAAAGATTTTTTGTACCTACGTATTTATTCTACATAGTCTAAGTCTACGTCTCCAAGATTTCAATATCGGTGAAGTCCGAGGGATCTAGTACTGGTTCGCTTCGGCCGATTGAATACACGCCATACATGACGCCACAAAAGGCCCCGCCGACGGGAGGGAATACGGTCAAAGCCTCTGATGGGAAAGAAAGTCTCGTCTCTACCTCACCAACAGAGAGGCTCATCTCGTACTCGGTGGGCTTGGCTGTGATCGTAAGTTGAACGGGCTTGTTCAGATCCAGAGAGGATCCCGAAGAATCGCCAGACACCAGTAGTGGGTACGTGAGCTGTCATAGTCAGTAAAGTATCCAGCCCCGATTGGAAGATTTGTTACCCTGAGTTCGTTAATCTTGCCTGTTGGCTCTCTCCTAACGATGGTTGGGACAGCCGGTCTTCCGCCTCCTGGTTGAACTGCACCAATGCCAATGGTAGCGTAAGAATACTGGCTCCACCAAACGGTGACACCGGACTCGTATCCTGCTCTGCTGGGTTTGAACAGCATCTTCGCCCTTAGTGTCTCATTGTAGGATGACTGCTTCCTCAACAGCATCGCTGGTGACTCAGGACTGTCGAGATCGAAGCAGTTGCCGTAAAGTCTAAGGTGGCCCGGACGCTCTGTAAGACTGTAACAGGTCTTGATTGGAGTGTCTTGAAAGAGTTAAATGCAATTTTTCGAGGGTAAACCTGGAAGGAGACTGACTTTTGTGGTACCATCCAATATCAAGAGAGGGCTTGGCCAGATCTGCCTTCCACTTGACTCTGTTCTCGTCTGCCACAGCGACCTTCTGGATTGGCTCCCTACCAACGGTTTGAAGCGTAATGTTGCGGCCTTGGTTAAAGACGGGCCAGTCGTCCTGCCAGTCGACTCGAACCAAGAAGGTCTCTCGACCCATTTGAGGCTCGATGTACTTGTCCCCAAACTTGACAGGACGAACACCAAGCATTACAGACCACCACCGTCCTTGATAGTCCTCAAAAACGTCGCAGTGGCCAGTCCTCTGGACCTCCTCATCGGGTCGGTTGTACCACAATGCCCTACCTTGCCCCTCCCACGGACCGTATGGTCCCGTTTCGCTTCTAAGAACCCATTCCTGATGGCCAGCCTCCGTACCGCCTTCGGCAGTGAAAAGATAATAATACTTCCCTTTGCGAATGATGTGTGAGCCTTCGGCGATGCCGAAGGGGGATTCGCGGATCACTTGAGGCGGGGTGATGGTTCTCCCTGTAGCGATGTCAATCTCTGAAATGTGAATAGCGAAGTCCTTCAACTTCATCCCCGGGGTACGCGTTCCCATCCGCATTGTTGTGGACAGGTAGACTTTTCCATCGTCGTCCCAGAAGAGATGGATGACGCGTTAGCTACCCAAACGATTGGTCAGAGATGTACACGTACATCTTGATCAAATCCAGGGTTATCAAAGTAAACAGGGTCTGACCAGGCGTTTTCATCCCAGATGTTGTCAGTCCATACGTAGAACCCTCGCGGAAAGATGCGTTCCTAGGTCGCATCATGAGCGCTGCTCTCTTGTGCCATTCCTGGAACATGGAGGAAATCCTACATCGTTTGTCGGCCGATACCTTTGGAAAAGCCCGTTTGCGAGATACCAACGTTTTTCTCGTGGCCGGTATCGAAGCGTGCTTGCCCAGCTTCCGGCTCCCGGCTCAACAGTTCTCAGCTCAATCTGGCTCTTGCGTGTAAGTGCATGACCGATGAGTTTCCAGTTGATGAGGTCCGTCGAGGTGTAAATGGCGCATCCTGGGAAATATTCAAATGTCGAAGTCGATAGGAAGTACGTCGCAGGGCTTGACTCGGTTGCAGGAACGATACAGACGGTTGGGTCCGGGTTGAAGCCTGGAATGACGGGATTGAGGAAAACTGCTTCGTCCTCCTGGGTCGTCATTGTAACGGCACCAAATGATTACTTTACGCTGCTGTTTTTCTCAAATGGGCAGGTTGAACTCGTGAAGGATGTTATTCTAGAAGATCGTTGATAATGTAGGCTCTCAGTCGGCTGCTAGCTTGATGTAAGTCAGCGTTTGACTTCGGCACAAGTTTCTCCAGCAATCAGAGCCCGTCTCCGACCGGAAGATGCGTTCCCCACTTGGTGAAAGATGGGGCCGCCGCCCCAGAAGACGGATGATGCCGAGAGTTGGGACCTGCCGGTGATCTTGGTCGGGATCTTAGCCGTGTGTTTATTGACACACACGAGAGGTACGTTTGATGCGGAAACACTCGTTCAAAGCTCACAGAACTCGGCTGTCGCATTACCAGTGAAGAGCGGTTGGTATAGCCAAAAAAAAATGGTTTCCTTGTCAGCCACATTGCTCCTACACAGACCGCTGTAATCTCAAGACCATTGGTGACATCGTCATATAGTTACATGGTCTCTCTCTGCGTCGTACCTTTGGTTGATAACCACGTTGCTTTCCTTTTACAGAAGAATTCCAGCTTGGGCATCCACAGTCTCTCGCTGCTGGCGCCCTCGATACCCTGCACGCCATCCATGGTCCCCGAAGTAACGGCGACTTGGTTTGGAAAATCCTTCTCATGGGCAACGAAGAGTGAAGAGCCGCAGGCGCTGCAGAAGGAGCGGGCCAGCGAAGTACCAGAGTCGGCAGTCTGGGCCCTGTACACCGAGATCTTGGACTCGGGGTCTTGCACGATGAGGTTCTGTTTAACGAAGACGTCAGCATGAGTAACGGTCGGCAAGTTGCGGCTGAAGGCATCAAATGAACGTACCTTTCTATCGACCAGGCTGTTGGCCCCAAATGATGAGCCAGTGAATTTTCGGCAGCTGTTGCAGTGACAGAGTACCGTGAGAGGATGCCCTCCTGCGACGGTGTACTTGACTGCACCGCAGAGGCAGCTTCCATTGATGAGAGGAGGAGGTACGGCGTCAGCCATGGCGACGTTGTCTAAAGCATCACACGATGGAGAAAGGAGTGTTGGTTGACACGGTGTGGATTTCGACCTTATAAGTGACAAAACTTTTTGAGACAAATAAGCGAGTGGACAGGGCGAACGAAGCGATGAAGGATTTGGCGGAATCTGAATGTCGTCTAGTAGATTCTCGAAGTTACGCCGAAAGATTTGCGCTACGTCTCTGCCGACCTGAGCAGGCAGCCAATCCTTCTCGAGCAGGCAGGCACCGGCAGCATGACCGGCCTATCAATCCCTGCGGGATTGGAGCAGCCGTGAGCGAGGGTGGGGGGCAAATAGGATGAATGCGTCAATCCGAAGCGGGAAACACCAAGTTTAAAGTACCTACTCGATTGCGCACGCTTACTAGAATATCACAATCATAACCTCAGCTACACCGTACTATCCCCCAACCGAGTTGATGCTATCTCACCATGGCCCAGCCGTGGCTGAATCACTGGCATATCAGTGGTTGAAGGACCGGCCTAGACACTCTCTTTCAGCTCTCGTCACCAAAGACACCGCCAACATGAGAACGTTTTGTTTCCCTCATAATGCCAATGAGCATCTTCAAACACCATGGCCGCTGAGTCGTCGAAGCCCCCGTCGAAGCGGCGGATGAGAGTGCAGAAGTCGTGCACCGAGTGCCAGAGACGGAAGCAGAAGGTGAGCAACGAGAACACCTGTTCCACATCCCCGGATTAGACCTGTTCAGGTCTTCCCGTCACTGGCGGATGCAAACTAAGGGGGCCGCAGTGCATAATCCGGCAGTCGGACGCGCCATGCGTGAACTGCTCGAGGCGCTTCCCACCCGTGGAGTGTGCTATCATCCAGGTCGGCTCGTGTAACCCTAAGCCGGCGTACGAGGACCAGGTTCTAACCTTTGACTTGTCCTCGCTTTGCAGGGGGTCGGGGAAGCAACTAGAGGTTTCGTTACATGGCCGTCATTCAACAGCCTTACCAGAAACCACGTCCCTGAACCTACCGGAGACTCTGGTCGTACGGAGTCGCCGCAGAGCAGAGACCAGATCAAAACATATCGCTGATTATAGCCTTGAAGAATCAGAATCGCACTGTTTCACCGACCTCAAAGATCAAGACAAGGCCCTGGCGCACGGGAAAGCCCGTGCCAGCCTCTTCCTCGATGGAAACGGCGACCCGATGGCATTCTACCACAACAGTCCCGCTACCATTGGTGGGATACTCACAGAGGTGACGACTCTCCATGGAATGCCGCTTCCTGAAGGCCCTAGAACAGCAGAGCTTCTGCACTTTTGTAAGTGAGGTATTGAGCGCTATGTTCGGCAGTCAAGTCTGACTGTCCAACGCAGATATCGAGGTTGTCGCACCTAATATGGTGTCGATCGATGGCCAGAGCCAACCGCCTGTCTTTCTCACAGAGGTTTTACCGTGGATGCTTCAATCCCCTCTGTTTCCTAACATCGGCATTCTTATGTCGTCGACGACTCAATCGCTTGAGCAAGGTGTCGAAATCTCAAAGAACCCAGAGTCTCTCGCTCTCAAGGCTCGGGTGCTATCCATTGTAGCAGACTACATGCAGCGACCCTTTGACGCCATCGCAGTTGAGATGGTCCGCTCCATCATAAATCTCGTTGTTATGGAGGTAAGCTACCAGCTTACGTGGGCTGTTTTCGTCACACTGACATCCTTCTCAAGTGGTTCTGGGGCGCTGATGAAAGCATGTTTGCTCATATGAGAGGCATCAAACGCATGATTAAGCTTCGTAAAGGCATGCGAGGACTAGGGGATATTGTGGGCGAGTCTATCATAATTCTGTAAGTACGGATCGACACCCAGAAATGACAGTGAACTCATCGTGAAATTACCAGTACAGACTACGAGATTGCGTGCGCCTTCGAGACGGACCTCTACTGGCTGGAGAATGATCCGGCTCGGAATGAGGAAATCCCAGTCCCAATGACATGGCCCAACTGCTACGACAGCCCATTGCTGGCGTCCTCATCTCGATTCGAGAGCATCGCAGGGAAGCTTGGGCTATGTGCATCAACGGCCAAGATTCTGGACGACGTACGGTTTCTCACGGTTTCCGTCACGTCGGCATCGGCCTCGGCGAGCGGCAAATCGAAGATTCGCACCACCGCATCGTGGCTGTATGACAAACTGCGAGATAGAGGCGCAGTCGGCCCCACCATCATCAAATCGGAAGAGGAATGGATTCTCGAGACCGTCCGGATTGCTGCTCTGATCTACAGCTGGTCCATCAAGTCGATGCGCCAGATATCTCGATTCTACGACAACGAGACGCTCGAGGCTGCGTACCTGGCGCTGACGAGCGTAAGCATGACAACATGGAAGCGGATCCCGGGGGTTTTTCTCTGGATCATGTTGGTGGCGGCCCCGAACGCGGCACCGGACGCCAAGGGGAGGTTCATTAGGAGGAAAATGGCCGTCACGGGGCTGTCGATCGGGTTCGAGGACTTCGCGCTCGGGATATCGTATCTCAAGGCCTTCTGGAGCGTCCAACAGTGGATCGCCAAGGAAGGCGACGCGGGGGTACAGAGGCTGGAGGACAAGTGGTCTTCGGGTCTTGGCCGGGAGGCTCGGTCGAATCATAAGAATCACGAGAACATCAGACCCTCGTAGGCTTGCGCGTTGCGTGCTCCGGGGGGCCACGGGAAGGTCAGGAGAAGATTTTGCGGCGTCACAACTGCATCACTTCACGACCGGACTGTACCGACCTTTTTCTTCACCTTTCTTTTCCGCTGAGTTGTTGGCTGGAGCTTCATCGGCGTGGAGAAGGGATGAGCATCTCGGATTGCCCAAAAGGGGATGCCGGTGGACCGTGTGCGCATGCGCAAAACAATTCTGCACTCCGCATTCTCTCTGCCACTGCCCCGGACGTAGCCTTTCTCCGCCCCCTGTTGGCTCTGTTGGTCTGGACTCTGGGACAAGGATGATAATGGGGTGGAAGTTAGTTCTGGACCCTCGGACGCAGAGACACAGCAGGGTCTCTTTCTATTCGCAATAGTTAACCTTGCAGCTCTTGGAGCGAACCCGCAGCTTGTTCCAATAATGCGTCCGACCCAACGGTGAGATTAATCTGAATCGGTGTAGAGAAAGTTGCATGACCCTTGCCTCTCTCGCGAGCTACCCCATGAGCTACCTCTTTCAGACATGTTGCCCAACGAATCACGTTTCCGTTTCAAAGACTCCATAGCCTTCGGTAAACCAACCGATTTTCCGCACCGCGGCACCGGTCAAGTTTCCGCCGCGAGGGGTCCAACAAGGAGGTTAACGTCCGCTCCCCCACAACCTCCAAACCCCCATCAGACGCCTCTAACTGCTCTCCCGGAGCCTTTGGACGCGGTTTGGGAGACACTGGAACACGGGGGCCATGCGGGGCTCCAATCTCTCATCCGAAATCTGACAACCCGCATGACCTGTCTCGGACAGTCCTCGACCCATATTCTTGAATGTTCTAGCCTCTCCGTTTGGTGTAGAACCATACGCAAAACCCAGACACCGACGCGGGCGCAGGTTGCATGTTGCATGTTGCATCGGAAAAAGCTCCCAGGATACCAATGGTTTCTAAGAAAAGACGAGGCGAGGGTTGGAGAAGCTTTGCCGTTAGCCAGACAGACACGAGCCCAGCATCTTGTCACCAGTCCACTTCCGGGACCAGCAGTGATACATCGGCGCCCAACAACCAAATCGAACCAAACCGAACCAAGCCCTTGACACCACACCATACCAGGTGATCAATCCAATCACCCCTTGCCGCACCGGCGCTAGTAGCTGGTGCAGCCGATGTGTGACTGGCACTGCCATTGAGCTCGGGATGCTGGTCTTGCAATTGGGATATCGCATGAGAGCAGGAAGGGGAAGAGGAAGGGAGCAAGGAGGTGGGAGGCGGGTGCGGGGAACCTCAGTCCGAAAAAGCTCGAGTCGATGAGATATAAGAAGCAGTTGACGATGCCCTCTGCCTCTGAGAAACTCTTCTCATCATTCCACACTCTTCCTCACTCAGCTCATATACAACTAGCTCTTTACCAGTTTCCGATTGACTCTTAGCTACACGCCTCTGGACCCGTATCCCTCCTCCCTTACAGTCTCTGTGCCTTGGCCACTTAGGATCAACCACCTCCGTCATCGACCTTTACGATCGAAACCACATATCCTGGACTTGGAGAATATCTCTTCCGCCCAGCCTCCCTTCGTCGTACACACAACTGTACGACCAAAAGTCTTCTTCTCTCGCATCCATATCTCTTTGAAGCCGCAAGGATGTCACGGTACCTTACCCGCCTCCGGCCACTCCATCTAGGACCTCAATTGACCCCAGGGAAACCATTCAGACTCGCAGTGCAGCCCATCGCCGCCCCCGTGGCTCCCATCGTCGCACACCAACCCAAATCCTTCCACGCAAGCCCCAAGCCTCTCGGACCTCACCTCACATCGCCAACCCTCACTCGCGTCCTTCCCGAGTTCAGCCTCCAGGGCAAGGTCATTGTCGTCTCCGGCGGTGCGCGTGGATTGGGTCTCACACAAGCCGAAGCTCTCCTCGAAGCCGGCGCGATAGGTACTAACCAATATCTCTGTCTCCCCGCACGGGCTTTTGAAGCTGTCTCATGTCAAGTCGCCCAAGAATGAAGCTAACAATCATACACCAGTCCACGCAATCGACCGCCTCCCTAAGCCAGACCCGGACTTTGAGAAGGTTGCCCTCCGCGCCAACACCGAGCTTGCAACCTCGTTGACATACCACCAAGTCGACGTGCGTGACGTCCCGTCCCTCAACGAGATTGTCGAAGGCATCGCCAACAAGCATGGCCGTCTGGACGGCCTCATTGCCGCCGCTGGCATTCAGCAGGAGACGCCCGCACTCGAGTACAAGGCCGAGGATGTCGATAAGATGATGGGCGTCAACGTCACCGGCGCTTTCATGACGGCGCAGGCGGTCGCACGGCAGATGGTGAGGCTCAACACGAGCGGTAGCATCGTCTTGATTGCCAGCATGAGTGGCACAGTTGCCAACAGGGGGTTGATTTGCCCGTGAGTGCATGATTATTGTTTGGGTAGAGCAAAGAAGGCTAATTACATGCTTGCGCAGTGCATACAACGCCTCCAAGGCGGCAGTTCTGCAACTCGCCCGCAACCTGGCAGCTGAATGGGGCGCGCACGGCATCCGCGTCAACACCATCTCGCCCGGTTACATCGTCACTGCCATGGTCGAGGCGCTCTTTGAGACATACCCTGAGCGCAAGGTCGAGTGGCCGAAGCACAACATGCTCGGAAGACTAAGCCAGCCCAACGAGTACCGTGGGGCCGCCGTGTTCCTGCTGAGTGATGCCAGCAGCTTCATGACAGGTAGCGACTTGCGCATCGACGGCGGACACTGCGCGTGGTGAGTGCTGGGAAAGGGAGCGTCGGCGTTATGTGATTAGTCATGATACATCCAGACTTCGGGCGTCTGGCGGTTTCGCTTTTGTAGAGCAATATACCTATAATACATTCTTACATTTTCTTCTCAAAATTTCATTCCCGATGTGGAAAGCTCAGGCCGGGGATGTGATGCCTGGCCGTCCTAGCCTGGCTACAACACCCTTCTTCAAGTTCAGCCTTTGCTCAATCTCCGCTGGAGAATATCCCTTGTCCCGCATCAGGTGCATCTGCACAATAGTCTTGAGGTCCAGGAACTCTCTTCCCTCGCTGGTACTCCGGCCTAAGCCGTCAAACTCGTCGTCGGCCTGCTTCTGGAACCGACTCCTCGCTTCAAGCGTGCCTAACGTCGCATTCCGTGACGTCGAGGGGAACAAAGGGCCGGGATTCTGGATCAAGTCGGCGTGAGGGCTTGGGCCAGCTGTAGAAGTAGGGGAGAAAGTCGGGTTTGGTTGGACAACTCCCATCTGCCGAAGTCGAGAGGAGAATTCGGCTGTGACGTTGTCAGGGTTGACAGAATCGGCAGAGATGTCTGAGTCATGGGTGGCAGTTAGAGAATGTGATGGAGAGGAAGAAGACCTGGCATTGACTAACCATCCGTCTTGGACGTTGCGGCTTTTGCCTGCGGCCGGCCTTGCGCGGGCTGTGACAGAGGAGGAGCTGGAGCTGCTCTCCCGGCGGCGGAGGTGGGCGGCACCGCGCCGGGCGCACGGGTTGGGAACTTGCGCGCTGTGCCTTGTGCGGCCTTTGATGACGCGGAACCCATGATATGAGTAGTGATTAATCGCGTTGTGGTGTTGGCCAAACGAAGGGATTGAGCTTTGACGAGGAAGAGGGAACGCAACCAGGGGAGCTCCGAGATTCTTTGCAGCGGGCAACGTCTTATCGATAAGATGCTTTCCACAGGGCCACATCGCGGGCATGACGCATCCATGATTCCTGCTCCCTCAGCAGGAGCGCTGTAATTACTATGTACGTACCATCTCCAATGTCAGACGGATCCACCAGGCCCTTGATTGGCCAGTCAAGTGTCGACGCTCAATTGTGTTTCCGCCATAAGTTACAACCTTTGATCTTCATCTTCATAACTAAACATATTTCGCGGCTAGGAAGTATACAGTATTGATTAGACCCGGGCTTCTCCTCTGGGTTATGTTTCCTTGCACTTGGGTGAGAATGCTTCAAGCGGAACCATATTGGTAGCATAATCCCAGAGATCGCAAGTGAGTTCTGTGTAATGAGCAGGGATGCCAATTGGGGTCGAGTTGCCATGATCCTACTGATTACCCATCTACTAGTCTTTTATTGGCCTCTCGCTATATGCTAACACGAGAATCCTCCAAAAGCAGGAGTCAGGATACGGAGTGGCCCATTATTTGTCCACGCAGAGACACAATCTCTTGGACTACTTGATTAAATATGTACAGCGAAGAGAAGACTATTCACGGCTTTCATATTCTGGCAACACTCCTGCCACGTCCTGGCAACCCTTGCTCAGCCCTCCAACGTGATGTGAGTTGGATAATGTTGTCTAGCCGATAGCTCTGACGTGATTGGTTACCAAGCACGTCCACTCATCAGTACCGTAGTAGATTGTGTTGCCGTCGTTATGCGTCTGCCCGGTGCTGATGGTGTCGCCCAGTTGCCAGAAGGCATCGCCGGCCATGCCGGGAGTGGCCACCGAGGTAAGCTGCCAGGGTCTCTCCAGCTCGCAGTGGTTTGTGGGCGTGCCGTCTAGGTTTCGATTCTGATCAGCACTGTTCTTCCTTTTGTTGCGTTTAGACCTGTGGTGTAACAGCTTACATTCTTCAAAGAAGCAAGGCTTGTTCGCCGCAACGCATGCCTTGGCATGGTCAGTCACCCACTTATCGCCGGCAGTATAGCCAACTCCCCCTATCTATTGCTTTAGCAGCTGCTCCCTTTGCGTGTAGTGGGAAGCCTTACAAGAGTTGGGGTAGAAGTGGAAGGTTCCAAAGTCCCTGAAGGTGCGACGCACGTTAATACCACATACTCGTTCGCGGGATAAAGAACAGCGTCTCACAAGGTCGAAATGTTAAGCAGCGCCGGCCAATCCGTGCCTTCCCCGTATTGGTAGGGATACGTCGTGTCGCCTGGAAGTCCCATACCCTCGTCCCCGAGAGTCACCAGGTGGTTGGGGTCCAGAGACTTGACATATTCCGAGGTAGACTTGGCCCAGTTATAGATAACAGAGGTGGCACACCCTTGACAGCGGGGCTCATTGGCCAGCTCCCAGGCGAAAATGGCGTTGGAATTCTTGTACCGACTGACAACAGCGTCGATGTACTTGCGGTACTGCGCCTGGGCCGCCGTGTTGGTGTACCATCCGTTGTGGTCACCGCCAAAAGCGTTGGTGTACGCCTTGATTCCGCCGTAATCGTCCCTGAAAGTCGTTAGACGTAGTTCGCCGGCAAGGGCTCGATTGTACTTACCAGTTGTTGACGAAGTTGATGATGAGCTTGATGCCGTTCTTCTCGGCCGATGCGACGACGGTGTCCAGGCGCCCGAGACCATTGGCACCAGTGTTGATGGTAGAGCCAGAGGCCGTTAGGTGTTGAAACCCTAGAAATGTCAAATCGATGAGACCAAGGCGGGAATTTACAGACTTACAGTTATCATATTGCGGGACAGTGTTGACATCGCTAAACCCCCAGATGCGGAGGATCTTCAAACCTGATGTTTTGAGGTGACCAAGAACAAGTTCGACGTCGGCGGCGTTGGTCAGGAAGCTGCACCAGTAGCAGTTGGTGCCGGGGTAGTACTTCGTTACGCCGTCGATGGTAAACTTGGTACCGCTGACCGAGGGGAAGCCGGTACTAGGGGGAGGTGCAGCCGACGAGGTCCGGGATGACGTGGTTTGGACGGATGAGACCGTCGCGGGGCGGGTAGAGGTTGTGAGGGTGCTTGACCGGACAGTTGTGACGGCATTACCTGGAATCGATGAGTCGAGGAATATTGCAGCGTGCTAGTGGTGGACATACCAGGGAGACACTGTGAATACCAGGTGTTGCTGAACGTGCAAACCGAACCAGCCACGCAGGTCGTAGGCCCAGTCCATCCTTGACCACCACATTGTCCATACAACGGCGCCTGCGCAGAGGCAGCGGCCGCAAAGGCGAGCGCACCAGCAATCATAGACTTCATATTGAGTTTTGCGATTTTGTCTTGTCAGGATGAGTCCCAATGTCACAATACCGGTGGGACGGTAGCTATTTTGTATTCCAACCCAGACTCCGCTTCTCAAAGCCGCCTTGACCTGAACAGCCACGCCGGATCGTCGTCTTCCTTACCCCTCGAAAGCCTCCTTCCTTCCAACTCCGAAATTCCATCAATGGCGTCCTACGGAGTCGTGTTTCCCCACGCCAGGGCCAACGGGCTGGACCCTTGGATCGACTGACTAGGGTTGCTTTAGGATCGCGAACAGGAGATATCCGAGAAGGTACGTGTAGAGGCTGCAGGCTCATGAGCATGCATTGGTAAGACGTTGAGCTCTGGCGATTGGTGGGCCGGCAGTCCGGCGCGACCTGCTTTCTGTGTCGTATTGCATGTTTTGGATGGGATCTTGTCTGTTTTGATGGCTTTTCCGGACTACAAGCAATCATGATCTACGGTTGCGCATCCCGTTGGCCCACCATTTCTCGCTTGTCTCGTTGTACCGTGTAAGCCGTTGACCGAACGAAGCCCCCTTTAGCAGCCACCACATCAATTTTTGACAACATGCCAAGATGTGTACAGCGAGAACGAGGTCAGTGGCGAAACGTTTCCAGCGCGAATGGTGTTCAAAACCGGTTGCCTTACTTGGTGTAAGTTCCGCCTCGACGTATGGGGCTGTAACGACGGAGCATGGTCCGCCGCTTCCCGCATTCGAACACGGTCGCCGCCAACCCCGCCAACGGCCAACAACCGCACTAGGCTGTTCTCTGCTGCTTTCATGAACTCAGATGGACCATGATATACCACCCAAGTTGGATACCAGTTGAGATGTAAGGTGATCGAAATGAATACACTAGCATATGAGCACGCCGCGGTGGGAGGAGGCTGAACCAGGATTTGACAGGAACCTGAAAGGCGAATAAGGCGAACACCGGGTATGAAAACATGTACGCTTCATCTTGCTCGTAGTGGTTCCCTTTCCCTATGACGGCGAGTTTATAGGACCATTACGTGCTTCGTCCAAAAGTAAAAACTTATTCCTTTGGTTCGCGCCTTGAGGCAGTTGAGACTGTACTCGGCGAAGATTGCGTCCCACCAACACGGTTGGGTTGAGCTGACAGCGAGGTCGTCCCGAGCTTCGGTAAGGCGGCTCAGATGATCCGCCCGCCATTCGTCTGGCCGTCCTCTCCGGCGTCGATCCAGTCAAGCGGCGCCTCCGCGGACAGGGGACCCATACTGCCGAAAACGAAGTAAAAGCAAGACCCGAAGCTGTCACAGATTCCCAAAGATCCTTGGATTGAATCCGTCGGGTGCGCCGCCTTCACAGAATATTCAGCAGATTCTGCTTTTGTGCCGACGGATGCGATCTGCAACATACCCTTGGGGCTCATTTGCTTCTTCGACTTGGGAAGACGCGATGCTATTCTCCATTAGTTTCTTATTGGCACACTCGGTAAACCTCGACGTAAGTAAGACCATTGGGGGAGGGAAAGACACAATCCAGGATGCGTGACAGCTTTGGGCGTTAGGTACTCATTACAGGTGGACCGTGATGACATAAGCTGGTGGGAGATGACGTGGTGTGCAATGCACAGCCTCAGGGGCTGTGGTCTGCGTTTGCCATCCATCCGGTGCTTGCTGCCGTGTTTGTTCAACTCTGATTTATTTTTCCAACGCGGAAACGCATCTGACCTTCTCCCGATATCAATTTGCATTCCGTATTTGTTCCTTGACCAAAGCATTGTCCCGACCAGGCACTCCAACCACCAATATGTCTCGCTTCTCCCACCTCGACACGGACGAGGAACGCCTCCCGCACGGCATGCAGCGCGTGGGATACGACGCCGACACACAGGTCTATACGTACCAGGACATCGACGGCAGCTACTGGGAGGGCGCACCGGGCCAGCAGTACGGGCAGCTGACGCAGGTGTCCGGAGCATCGTCCGGGCTGGCCGAGGAAGCCGAACACGACCCCTTCATCCCGGGCTCCGGCCCGGGCGGCGGCAGTCGACAGCAACAACTTTGGACGGAGAAGAGGTCGTGGAGGCAGGAGATGAGGCCGCTTCTCAACTTCTTCGTCATCATCGGACTGTTCCTGCTCGTGCTGACTTGGTGGCTGTACCGAACGCCCAGCGAAACCGAAGTTGCGCCGGAGTGCGGTCAGCAGGCTGTGCCGTATAAGATTGAGCAGGGCAACACGTGCTGGGCCATCGCGACGGGGCAGAAGATTAGCACCGAGGAGTTGATCAAGGCGAACGAGGGGCTGGACTGTGATAAATTGCAGGTCGGGAGCTTCATCTGCGTGCCTACTGTCCGGGAGGCGGCATGAGGATACGGTGAAGGTGCGTCTGCATGGCGCAATACCGAGTGCTGCTGTTGCTGGATACCCTGGAGGGATTTTTGCGGGTTCATTTTCTACTGTACGTTGCCTTGTGTGTGTTTGTTAGCAGATTTTGGAACGGACAGGCACGACGCGGCCCCGCTGCTGGTATCTGGGAGTCGAAGGTTATCAAACGATTGGACAGATGGCGACTGAAGAGCCATAGAGTATCTGCAAGTCGTTTGGTTACAGAGGTACATTGTCAGTTAGTAATGGTGAGTTCAAGAGGTCCGGTCGTCGTTGTCAGGTCTTTAATCGAGACTGACTTACAGAGTGGCATGTCGTCTGATTGTAGGACTTGATAAGCCATCAATCACATGCCAGGGATTCAGAGAACAACGTACATTGACAGATGGCCCCAAGCCTCTTTTGGACATCGTGAGCGGAGCTTTTCTCCAGGCTGAAGAGGAGGGGCCACGGTGCCGCTTGACCCCATTCGGCGACGAGTGCTGAGCGCGGGCTGATCCTAAGACGGCGACAAGCGAGCTATGTACATGGTCGGAAGTACCGGCGTGCACCCGGGCCCACCAGCGGGTACCTTGCGCCAGGTATCATCCCCCCCTTCCCCCTCCCCCCGCCTAGACAAGACATTCCCGTCGCGTCCCTTGATCAGGTACTGGGCGGGCGGTGGGAGAAATGCGTTGGTCGTGTGCCTCGTCGTGTCAGCTCTTTAGTCCTCGTTGACGGGCAAAATCCTGGCCAAAGTCATTGCAAATACTACAATCACTAATGCTATAAAATGCACTGCAACTTTTGCATCTCATTACCGCAATTCTAAGGAAGCCAACAATCCAGCTTTGAAGACGACTAGTCGTCAGGGGCGGTGGTGGTCGACCTGACTGCCCTTGGCGATGTGCTGGTGTCGGGCGCGGGTATCGTGCCCACTGAGGGGCCCTGCGCTGGGGGTTTCCAGGTCCTGTGCAGGCGGGCAAGGTCTAGCGTTGGGTTTCCCCAGAATTACAGCGTCTGGGGAAGTGGGTTTCATGGCGGGCCCCCGCGAATCGCCCCACACTCTGCTGCAAGCTCAGTCCCTCTCTCTCTCTCTCTCTCTCTCGGCGAGCATTGTCCCTGCTCACCTCGACACACCGACACGTCGACTCACTTCACAACGGAGAGACCACCCACTGCCTGCCAGTCTGCTTGTCTGCAGTTCATGCAAAAACAGTGCCGAATGTGAGCAAGAAGGATAATACATGGCATGACCCTGATGGTTCGTGTGGGGTGGCCTCATGCCCTCTTCACCCTCAGCAAGTTCGAGGTTTGTTGTACGTTGACCTAGGGAAACGCGGCACAGTCGGTCAGGGTCTCCACTCGTCCCTTTTGCGTGTGTTTGCTCCTCTTCTCTTTACCTGTCGAATCTGGATTGACTCGCTCCGCCGCGAAGTCTCTGTAGACAACCAGATACAACTGGCTTCATTGGCTTCAGATGTGGCATGTTGTCCTGAGAAACACTATTGCTCTAACGTCTTCACAGTCCCCGATCGATAGCATATCTGCCCATGCTTGCGTCACGTATCTGCCCACCCTTCATGTTGTAGCGTTGCACCAGGCGGCTGGCCTCCCATCAAACCCCCCGTCTCTCGCGCCTCCCGCTTCCTTCAATGTTGCTATTGCTTTTGCGTGCAAGTCGTGCGTGTTCGTGCGCCTTCCCTTGGTCTGGTCTCCCTCGCCTCCCGTGCTGTACATAACCCCCTCCCCACTCTTCCCGCCTCTCCTCTCCTGTCCCTTTCCAGTCAAGTCGCCCTCCTGGCTCTGGGCTGCGACGTATTGGATGCCCTTCCGCGTGATGATCTGTCTTACCCCGCACGCTCAAGACAGCAACAATGTCGAGGCACTGCCCCTGAACCAGAGACCCCTTTAAGAAGAGGCCGTCTGCCTACTCTTCCGTGGCTTTTGGAGTTGAGTGACTTGTCTTCTCTTTCTTCATCGAATCATCTCATCTCTCATCAAGCCCTTTCAGCCGCCTGCTTCATCAGGTCGAACCGCGCATCTATATAGAAAGGTCAGACACTCAAATCCAACAACACCAACTCTCATACGTCGATAAACCACGTCGGCGTCCTTCTTACTTCTACCGTCAAACATCTCGTAACAAAAGGTACGACTTAGTCTACTCTCCACCATCGCCCAGCCATCAACTCACAGCCATCCTCCATCAAAGCACTTGTACAGCAGCACCGCTCATATCTCTTTATGATACTAACATCCTGTGGCCCCTTCAGAACTTCCAAAATGGCCCCCCGTATTCCCGCCGCCCGGTCCACAGAGACCCTCTGCTACGGCGTCGCCACCGTCGGCGCCTTCCTTCCCATCTACCTTATGCTTCCTGGTGCCGAGCAGCGCCTCGCCTCTCAGACAACAAAGTGGGCGCCTCGCTGGGAGAGGAACCTCTCTTACTTCACTCCGGCCGCCGAGAGGGGCATCAAGCGCGTCGAGCCCCCTGTCTCTAACATGGTTCGCCGTATCGACAACCGGCTACCTCTCGAACGCATGGCCAAGGGTCTCGACAAGCGTATCAAGAACGGCATCGACCGCTTCAACGTCCCCAAGTAAATCTTTGATCAACGCTTGAAAGGGGAGTGTTGGCCTTGTATACATGAGAGGGAGATGACGGAGGGATGATACCACATCTGGCTCTAGAGATACAGTAGAAGATGTATCAGATATCTCTTAGAAGACACAGCAACCAAACCAACAAAGCAGTTAAACTTCCATCATCTCTTCAATTTCCCCGCTCTTGTGCCGTGTATTCCGATCAACTCACAATACTCGCTGCGAGTTCAGCACCATATGCCGTCGTGCGAATAGGGCGGTTTCAGCGATTGCTTGCTGGCATGGATGCTTGCATCTCGCTGCTACCTCAATCTGCAGATAGTCAGGCCATTATGAACGACCCTGACGACGTAATGTCTCACTTGAGCGAGCGGGGTTGTCCAAAGCAATAACCCAAGCCACTTCCCGCTTTGTGTTCTCCAATTCTTTTCGTTACTGCTTAGTAGCCGATACAACGTCCAGTCGTGCAGAACAGAGAGGGTGAGGCCCTGCAGCGTCCAAAGCACCACCAATGGCGTTGGTGAACACGATTTAGCCGCTGACGCGAAATGCCATCGTCCCGTTTGTGGCCTCATCCTCACCTCGTCCAACGAGCAACCACACCTGCACAATTGTAAAGAGACATTTCGATTCTGCAGCAACCAACCCATACAACTTCCACTTGGAATGGCCCTGAGAAGCTCAGCCGAGCGGGAACGACCCTGTTCGATTTCTTCCTCTGTCGCTTCCTCTCGGGATTCCTGCAATGCACTCGACTTTGCTGCATCCCAGCGTGCATCTCCTCTTGAAGGTCAACTCCAGGGAGCTGTAATGACACCCAATGGCAAAGCCGACCATATACTTGGCAGCACAGCCAACTCTGGCATCCTAAGTCAAACTTGATTGTTGCAACTGTCGTTTTTGAATGCGTTCGAATTCGAGGGGACGACATCAGACCACACTCGTTTAAGATGATCATGGGTTCCCCACGCACCTAAGATTTCCTACCCGTGCCCGGTGCCCTGATCGATGATGGCAATTGAAGACTGGACGGTGGACGCGTATTCGACTTGGTGGGCCCGAACAGAAACACCCATGGAGAGCCACTTAGTTCCTGGTCAGACAGGCATTCTCGCAGCTCGCATTGGCCCAGATTGACCGACGACGATTCGGGCATTGCCACGGCTGCTGTACTGGCCGTCGCTGCCAGCTCACACGCTTCGGATGTCGCAAGTGCCCTGGGCCAGGCCAGGCATATGCAGTGATCCTGGTTCCGCGTTTTGTTCCGCGTCGAACGTGGGATTTCTTCTGGGACAATGCGTACACACCTCAAGGCAGCTCGCCGAACCCCTTGAACAGAGTAAACGGGTGTTCGAACGAATCGCCCAAGTAGTGATACGAACTATCCAGTGTTCATTGGCATGCTCTCAATCTTGTAAACCAGCCGTCTTGTTGCTCTGTCTCGAAAAGACATTGGAGTTGATTCGCTTGTTATAGCATTCGGGCTGTCGCGACAATGCTCTAGCCAGCTTGTGGCCGGGATTCTCTCTCGAGATAGAACTTTCGGATGACAATGGCAGAGGATGACGACAGTTTCAGTTGAGCTCATAAGCCTGGAGCTTAACGAACATGAGAAAAAGCGGGTGACTGAATTGTCAAAATTGCTAGACCACCTGGCACCAGATGAGAGAAGAAGCCGACAGCTGTGTTCGACCAACGGATCGTCAGAACCCACATGGCAATTTCCAGTGCATGAACCATCACGACGCGAACGCGCTGTTGTTGGCTGGGACAAGTCGCATTCTGCCGCTGAATGCGCATCTGTTGACGGCGCACATCGACAGACATCCCTGTCGCCGCTTTCCGCAAAAGGCGATATGACTCTATGTTTGTTGAGGCGAAAAAACCCATACTTTCACGAGCTTCGCCCACGATTCCGACGGTCGTTGTTGCATCAAACCATCTCTCAATCTCGGTATCTTTACCTACAGATCTCCACGACCAGCCATGAACTCAATGGCTCTTCCTCGAGCTCTCGCGAGCACTAGCTGGCGAGTTGTGTCAGCCACTTCGACGGCGGCGCCCAGTCGCGCGGGCTTCCTCGCCTTGCGATGCTATGCGACTCGCACTGCAAAGACGACTACTACTGCGACTGCCACCACCCCGAAAGCCACCGCGGCCGCGAAGAAGACAACCACCACCACCACGAAGAAGAACGTAAGCACAGCTACCGCTGCAAGCAAGAAGAAGACTACGACCGCGGCTGCAGCTCCCAAGACGAGCTCGACCAAGGCCACCTCCGCAACTGCGAAGACGACCGCCGCTGCCGCTTCGAATACAATCCCCAAAGCCACAAAGACTGTCAAGAAGACAACTACTTCTGCAACCGCCGCGAAGACTACCACCGCGGCTGCGGCCAAACAGGCGGCTACGAACAAGGCCGCCGCCGCTCCCGCTCCCTCTTCCGCTGCTTCGAAGACACCCGCCCCCGTTCCAAGGCCTGCCGCGCCCACCACAAGCCCTGCGACAGCGACAGCGATCACAGCGAGCGCACCGAAACCCACTTCGACGCCAATCCCGACACCTGCCCCCACTCGACCTGCCGTTCCTTCATCCCCTCCCCCGCCCCGTGCGCCGGAGCCGGAGGACCGTCCAAAGCTGAACCCGAATAGCAAGGAGTACCGTAAGGCCTATGGCACAGCGGCAAGGAAGTGGACCTCAGCCATGGTCGCCATGCCCATCTTGCTCGTCACCTCCTACTATCTCTTTGACAGATGTGAGTACTACCCCGACCTGTCTTCTGGAAACTGTCACTAATAAACTCATAGTGGCCCTGGGGAATAAGCCAAAAGTAATGCCGGATCTCGAAGGAACCAGAAAACATGCCGAAGTAGAAGCCGAAGCAGCGACACAAGCCAAAGTGGCCTAATGCCTAATAACATTGTAATGATCTTGATGAAATACCCACTCCCATTCCCACGAATTGAAAGTTGCAGGGCCGTTGCTGGTTTTTGTCTTTCTCTGCCGACATTTTCCAGGTTCCATGTGTCCTGCACGTTGAGTCGTCTCGAATAAAGAAAAGTCATGGCTCAAGAAGCCGCCCTGTCTACGGCGTTCTAGGACCAATCGATTGCTGGTTGCCAATCATTGAGCTCGTCATTTCTGGTTCAGCCTGCTCATAAACTCTTCTCGCCGATATAGAACATTCAATCTACTCAGCTAAGCACGATTGATATGCAACTCAACGTGTAAACGCTCTGATTGATTGTTTACTCCTCAACTCAATACTGCTACTGTGTCCATTCCTTGGCCTCGCTGCAAAGCCCATGTATTGAGCCTTACAATCAGTGTCTGCCAAACTGGAACTGTCATCGTTCTAGTTGAGGAGAGGATGGCGGCTGAGCACGTAAGGCCAATCCCCGTCCGTGTCACTCAGTAAATCGCGTATTACGACATCCGCATATCGTCAAGACCTTCAGGAAATCCTAGGACCAATCCTTAATGGGGCCACGGGTGGTCCTTCAAATCGCATTCCATGTCACCCAAACCACTAAATGCACAAGCCGCAGTTTGAATCACCTTGTCTAATCCCATGCCATGAGCGTTAGGGACAAGCATAAATACACCGAGATGTTGGGCATTATTCTCACCGAATTAGCTAGCATCAACACGGCGAAAGCTCTGCTTGAATGTTTAAGCCAGACAAATTATCATACTGGTTCCTACGCATTGAAATCTATGCAGCGACTATGCGCATGGCAAAAGAAGATGAAGTGGCTAAACAATCCATTATAGCCTAGCTATATCCTTGCACTGTTCATGCTTTTTGATCTCACTAGGTTTGCCACTGTAAGCTACAACATTCCTACCTTTGACAGTGCCACTCTTGGTGCGCAACATTCGCTTCCCGGCTGTCGTCAGGGGCGGATCGTCATCCTCATCCCGGATGTAGTACGCCCAGTCGGCGGTGTCATCAAGCTCCGTCTGTGAATACCCGTTGCCCAACCACGCGAACCGGTTGCCGGCATACTTGACTTCCAGATCGTCCCACCTGACCTCCTTGATGGCCTCGATATAGTGTAATGTCGAACCTGGCCACAAGGCTATGACAGGCCCATCGACACGGGACTTGTACCACGACCGGCAAGGATCCGACCAGACGGTCTTTTTCATGAACCATTCCTTGTAACTAACAAAGTCGCGGACGGCATCCTCTTTGGGAGCGAACTCGGCAATATTGGTGGTTTGATATCGGTCGATGACCTTGAGCATCCAATCGGCCTGTGCCTCTATGGCAGACAAGACTGGCCCGTTACCAATGGGGCAATTGGGGCCGAGCATAAAGAAGTAGTTGGGGAAACCAGCCGCCGCAACGCCGAAGTAAGACTCGGGGTTGACGGCCCATTTGTCTTGGAGGTTTTCGCCCGAGGGCGCGACGACGGGGAAGCGAGGTTTGAAGGATGTGTCGAAGCCGGTTGCGCAGATAAGGACGTCGACAGGATATTCTTTGCCGTTGTCGCATAAGCACCCCCGCTCCGTAACCTCGTTGATCTCGCCAAAGACAGCCTCGACGTTGGGTTTGGTGAGCGACTCGAGGTAATCGACTCCAGGTGTCAGGCGGCGACAACCTACCCTCCATTCGGGGATGAGCTTCGACTCGAGGTAGGGGTTTTTAAGCTTCTCCCTCATCTGCTCGGTAAAGTAGGCATGGGTTTCCTCGTTGATCTTGCTGTCTTTGAGGAAAATGCCGAACTGACCGTTGAGACCAGACTCGATGCTTTTGCGGTACTCGAGCAACGCGCCTGGCTTGTCGGCGAACTCCCTCCTCTCCTCGCTGCTGAACTTGTGTTGTTCTAGGCCCTGGACAGGAGATACCCACGTCGGCTCGCGGATAAAGGTTGTAATTTTCTTACACTTACTGCGGATTGCAGGCAGAACCTGGATGCCTGAGCTGCCGTTGCCTATGAGACCGACGTTTTTGCCCTCGAGAGAGATAGAGTCGTCCCAGTTCGCTGTATGGAGGAGGGTACCCTTGTACTTTGAAAGACCGGGAATTGTGGGCCACTTCCAATTGTTGAGGATGCCGCCGGCGTTAATAAGGATATCGCAGTGGTCAACAATTGTCTCTCCGGTTGTTGTATCCTTGACGTGGACATCGTAGCCGTCGCTCTGAGAGTTCCAGTACGCTCCTGTGACCTGGTGCTGAAGCTTGATGTATTGGTACAATGAATATTTCCTCGCAAAGTTTTCGAAGTAGTCGAGGATTTCCGAAGCTGGAGGGTATACTGCAGACCAGTCCATCTTTGGCTCAAAGCTCCACGTGTAGTTGTGTGACGGAACATCGCAAGCACAGCTGATGAAAGTGGCACATGTCAGCGCATAGGGGATCAATGATCAACGTTAGAAGGCTTCCGCAAGGAGGTTACGTACCCAGGGTATCTGTTTTCGAACCAAGTTCCGGCGACTGAGGGGTTCTTCTCGTAGCACTGAAGTGAGTATCTCCGGAAATGTTTCTGGAACTTGTATGCCATCAACAACCCCGAGGCACCGGCACCTATACATATGATCCGGACATGTCTTTCGCTATGGATCGGGGCCGAAAATCTTGTTGCAGCATCTCGGTCGCCAGGTCGTGTCGTCTCTGACAGCAAAACTTTACCCATGGTCCAGTTGTAGCCGACATAGATGGCTCAGCGGAGCCTTAAATAGACGACAAGGAATACCCAACGCGGATGACCATGCTCAATTCAGAGCTAAGAGGTGAGGGAAAAGAGTATGGAGTATAAAGTAAAACACAGACCAATGGGAAACTGAATATTTCCAGCTGAACAGAACGATGCGTTACTGGGCATCGTACGCTCCCACGTCTCGATTGGTACAACAGGAGGTTCCTAGACTTGTAGCAACCACGGACACTGCTCGGCCAGGTCCTATTTTAACCAGCCAGGATGGTAGGGATGACCGGAGATCACATTAGAATGAAACTTACAAACGCTTCCCGACACGAGTGATGTGGACAACCTCGTCAGGGGTTGAACCAGGCTGGCACAGATGGCGGCCACATAAATGTCATTCTTTGCCGCAGATATGCGGGCGGCATCAACGTTTTTGCCGCCTAGGGGCAGTTCCCATTGGCGTTTGCAGGTCTTGAGTCAGGGTTCTGAGAAGAGAGGGAAAGCCCTTTGTCAGGTTGTATACTCGACTGACTCAACGAGGGACGGCAATTGGAACGAAACCAAATCATGTTCGTGAGGCAGCACCCGCTTGGACCAGGGTTCCAGAAGATCGGACGGACAACTTCGGGCCTATTCACCCAAACTTCAAACTGATCGTTTGGCCGTTTCTAGACTTCTCTCTGTTGGAGGGCATGCATGTAGCCTCTGTTCAAACGCCGCCGGTCTGATACCGCACAGTAAGGCTAAGACAATGCCACATATACCAAGAAGCAGACAATACTCGGCAGTTGACTATAGAGTATGAACACAACGGCGACGCGAATAGATTGATTCTTCCGTGGTCAGTGACGTAGTAAGCTTGGGGAAACCAAGGTAGGATACGGCGGATGTGGCTCATATGGTTGCATGGTGAGGTTTCATCTGACGAGGTTCAGTGACGGAGTTGAATTAGTGAGGCAGATGTGGCTATGCGGGGAAATACTCCGGGATATTGCCATCACAAGGAAGATGCGGGCAGTTGGGCGCCCGCTCGATAGAGCATGGACCAGGGTGCGGGACGATGCAGAATACACAGTGCAGCCTTGAGCATCGTCAGCTTTTCCGAATTGGTTCATATAGGCTTCTTGGTCCTCTTTGGCTTTGTGCGTGGATATAGTATCGGGCCAAGTGTCACTCGGGAGGGAGGGCGAGAAGGCTTGCCTTGATGAAGTCAGCATTTCGTCAAGATCGCCATCGAGACGGTGGATAACTCTGTCTAGAATTTGCACTATTGTGTGACGAGTCTCTACATACAAACATCTCTCACATCTCATTGTTCGGCTGATAGAAACGGCTGCGAAAACTTTCTGGAGGTGACGCATCAATGCCCCAACCGAGATCTCGAAGGCTCTGCTAAACACTATACATAGTATGGGCTCCTGGCCTAGTCGTGTATGTAATTGCGGACCGTACTTCATAAACGCGGTTTTACGCTTTCGCCCTTGGCCAACGCCGCAGCATCCCTCTTGGACCACTCCCGCATCACTTTCCTCTGAATCTTGCCACTGGCCAGCTTTGGCACCACGTCAACAAACACAACCCCACCAACAAGCGCCTTGTGTTTAGCGACTCGCGGCTTAACCCATTTCTGAATGTCTTCGGGCGTAACTTTCCCTTTGGAGACGTCTTGAATGGCGACGTAAGCTCTGGGCCACTCATTCCCATCACTGACGAACGCGTGTGTTAGTTTCTGCAGGTGTCGCTTTTCTGAAACCTTTCTGGGACTTACATGGTAATTCCAACCACGGCGGCGTCTGCAATGTGCTCATTCTCCAGTAACACAGCCTCCAGCTCGGCGGGTGCGACTTGCAGAGCGTTGACTTTGATGAGCTCCTTGATGCTGTCAGTCGGAGATCCGAGATCACCTGTTGAGTCACGATGCTTACCTTCTTCCGATCCACAATCCAGAAATAGCTATCCTCATTACAGATGGCGATATCCCCTGTCTTTAGCCACCCATCTTTGTCCAGCGCATCTCGAGTAGCAGCTTCATTGCGCCAGTACCCGAGGCAGATGTTGGGCCCTCGTATGCACAACTCACCAGGTTGACCAAAGCCGACCTCGTTGCCCTCATCATTGAGCAGCTTACAGTCGCAGTTCGGAAACAATCTGCCGATACTTCCCTTGTCATCCTTGGTGCCGCCGGGGACCAGGAAACCTCCGCAAGTCACTTCTGTCATCCCCCAGCCCTGGCCAATCTGCACCGAAAACTTCCTCTGGCACTCGTTCTGTAGTTTGCGCGACAAGGGAGCAGCCCCACAGAGCATTTCTTTTACGCTTGACAAGTCGTAGCGGGCAGTCTCTGGGCGCTTCGAGAGCATGACCAATATTGGCGGCGCCACCTGCAAGGTAGTGATTTGGTACTTGCCAATGGCGAAGAGGAAGTCCTCGTATCGGAACTCTTTCATAATGTATATGGGGATATTCAGCTTCACAGTCATGAGCACGGCGTAAAGCTGACCGTATGCGTGATAAAGGGGTAAGAAACCAATCCACCTCTCCTGCGGCCGACTTTCAAAACTGTAAGGCTTGCCTGCGTAGCGCATAAGGATCGTTTGCTGGACGTTGGCGATGAGGTTATGATGAGAGACGCACACCCCTTTTGGAAGACCGGTTGTGCCCGAGGAATAGTTGATTGTCGCAACCGTTCTTATTGACTCTTCCGCGCTGAGTTCTGGCCATCGATACGAATCCACTTGTGTTGGAGTGGCAATCATATTTCTCCAGTCCGGGACTCCGTGCTTTGTTTCATTTTCCTCTTCCGAGAACTGGAATACCCGGCTTCTGGAGATGTTGGATTTATCGACCGCCTCCAAAACCTGTTCGAGGTGATTCGGGTGAGTAAGTACTACTTTGGCTGCGGTATTGGTCATTTGGTGGACGAGCTCTACGGACGGTCAGCTCACACGTTTGAACAGCATCAATCATTGAGTGGAGATGACCAACCAGGAACGGTGTAAGCCGGGTTGACGCCACTGAATATGCATCCAACAGACACAATGCCAAGATAGGCCACCGGCACAAAGATCTGGTTCGGTGTGCATATCATAACAACATCCCCCCTTTGAAGACCTAAGTTCTGGAGGCCCAAGCCAACTCTCTTCACCCACTGCAACATTTGTCGTGGGGAAAGGTTGATGCGGTCATCTCTACAGTCGATCCAAATAGGATCGTCAGATGGTACTGAGTTCTCAGGGAACATGTAAGAAAGGAGATTCGTCTTTGGTATTTCCACGGATGGGTAAGGTGATGTGAAGATCATTTTGACAATAACTTTCGGAGATCTCGTCCGTTGTAATGAGATGAAGATAGTGTATATTTGAAGCTGTGGCTCGAAGAAGAGAGGATCCGGCGTGGGAAGCTGGTTGACGTATATGAGGGTGTGCAAGTTAAGAGTCAGAAGAATTGCGGTCTTAGACTAGATGATAATCATCGTCGTATCAATCAACAAAGGTACAACAGACTATCTTGTCGGTTTGGTTGGATCCGTCAGCTTACTCGGATCCTTCAGATAAGTTAGATTCGCCAGGTTGACCGTGTTTTCCCTCGGGATCGTCTCGGTAGCGGGCATTATGCGGGGTAGCGGAGCAGAGTTCGAGCCGTAAGTTATGTAGCTACTAACCAGACCTCCCTAGGTTGAAACTAGGCCGAAGGGGCCGAGAACACCCCCGGAAAGCTTCTGGCAGCCGGGACTCTCTATTTTCATTTGAAGGCCGAAGGTTTTTATCGGGTTGTTAACCGAACGCCGTGGACTAAGTCGAAACACCCGACTGTAACCATGTCAGAACTCCAAGATTTCAGATCCGCTTTCTCCCTCGAAGGGAAGAGTGCACTCGTAACTGGAGGCTCTCGCGGGTTGGGCTTACATGTGGCCACTGGCTTCCTTCTCTCGGGATGCTCTCACGTAGTCATCACGGCCAGGAGGTTGGACGGCGAGCATGGCATCGATCAGGCTGTCGCCAAGCTCAATTGTCTCTCCGGCATACGAGGAAGAGCTATCGGGATTGCTGCAAATGTCGCCGAGTCCAGAGACATTGTGCGATTGGTTGAGGATGTCAAGGCAATCGTCGGAGAGAAAGGCCTCGATATCCTGCTGTGCAATGCTGGTGCAGCTTGGGGTTCGAGATTCGAAGAAGCTCCGCCAAGCGGCTCAATTAAGATTCTGGACTTGAATGTGAGAGGCGTGTTTGAGCTGGCGCAAAAGTAAGGAATGTGTGATGAGGAAATGAGATTTGCGCCAACATGGACGCAGCTTCCTGCCCTTGCTGGAGTCGGCAGCCTCAAGGAAAGACCCATCTCGGGTGCTTATTGTCAGTTCAACTGCAGGAGAGAACGTGCCGCACGTAGGCGAACATGAGACAATAATGTACTCGGCATCCAAGGCGGCTGCTAACGTAAGTTGTTCTTTCCCCCGGTGATTTGACGCCGACATCATGACTGAGAGCTCATATTGTTTTCTTATCAGCACTTGGAGCGCAACCTTGCAGTCGAGCTCGGTCCGAAAAACATCACATCCAACATTATCGCTCCGGGCTTCTTCCCATCCAAGTTGGCGCAGGGGTTGATCGGCAACCTGGGTGGTGTCAAGGAGCTAAGTAGAGGCAATCCATTGGGTCGACTTGGTGAGCCTGAAGATATCGCTGGTGTAGCAGTGTTCCTCTGTTCCCCAGCGGCGAAATACTTGTGAGTGGCTGTCTTGAACGACGGCTGACGTGAGAAATTGACGCTGACATTCATTGGCAGAAACGGCGTTGTCATCGAAGTTGACGGAGGGGCGCGTTCGACACCGGGAAGAATGACAAAGTTATAAGAAGTGAGTATAAATCGAGGCCGAAGGTGTCGTTTTGTTCCAGGTCTGGAGCCAAGGGGTCTCTCTCTCTCTCTCTCTCTGTAATTGATGGGGGCGACAAACTGAGGTGACAGGCGAGAGAATACAATACCTGGTCACTCATGGTATGGTGGGGGTGGAGCGTGTGCACCAACTCGCCAGCCCCAGCGTACTTGGGTAATATTCTTTTAGCGCATCCAGGGGTGATGGTCACCATCCTTCTGCATCCACGTACAACATCAAATCCTCAACAGGTGTGCATTATATCGCCACCAGGGGGGAGGCAACACCATCATCGATCCATCATGTCTGATCACTATTCTTCTACCCGTTGATTCACATCTCAATACGTCAAGTTAACCATGACAGTCTTCGGTTCCGTGAACATTCTCAGCGCGTTGATGGCATTCTCCCGACCCTGGCCGCTCTCCTTGCTGCCGCCGAAAGGCGCCGTCAGGAAACAGAGGCTGATGCAGTTGATGCCCACCATGCCGCTGTCGATCTCGGCCGCAACCCTCAAACATCGGTTGATGTCCTGGCTGAAAATACCAGCCATCAGCCCGAAGTTGGTGTCATTGGCCTTGTCGATGATCTCCTCCTCGGTCTCGAACTTGTTGACCACCGACACGGGCCCAAAAATCTCTTGTCTACAGATCTCGGCGTCTTGCGACACGCCCTCGAACACGGTTGGCTGGACGTAGTATCCCTGGAAGGAGGCTGTCAGCGGGCCGATCCCGTCATGCGAATCCTATCCCTGTAAGATCACGCCAGGCCGCTCTCACCTTGTCGCCGACACGGCCTCCGCCAACCAGCAAAGTTCCCTGTCCTTGCTGACCACGCTCAATGAAGCCTCGGACTCTCTCGAACTGGGTCTTGTCAACCAACGGGCCGATGGAGGTCTCTTCAGCATCCGGGTCGCCGACGCCCTTGATCTTCTCTTCGATCGCCTTCTTGTACCCGGCAATGAACTCGTCGTAGATGGGAGCCTCAACATAGACTCGACTGGCAGCAAAGCAGATCTGGCCCGTGTTCGCCGTAATTGCGTTGGCGCACCAAGTGATGGCATTTTCGAGATTGCAATCCTTGAACACTACCGCAGGGGATTTCCCGCCAAGTTCGAGCGTCACCCGCTTGAGGTTGCTCTTTGCGGCCATCTCTTGGATCTTGCGCCCAGTGGCTGTGGATCCTGTGAAGCTAACCTTGCGGACCTTCATGTGACCGGCAAAAATGGCTCCTGTGCTTCCGTCGCCCGACACGATTTGGAACACACCAGGAGGGAACCCAGCCTCCTTGATAAGCGTACCTAAAGCCAGCGCAGCGAAGGGCGTCTTCTCTGACGGCTTTAGGATGAAGCAGTTACCAGTCGCAAGTGCAGGACCTGCCTGTATTCGACGTCAGTCGGGGTTCGCGTAGCTACACGGCCTGACACAGTACCTTCATGCCAATATTGGCGACAGGGCCGTTCCAGGGGACGATCCCGCAACAGACGCCCAGTGGCTCATTACGGACGATCTTCAAGAAGCCTTGATGTTGCGATCAGTGAGCTGAACAGCCTCGCGTCCCCCCCCCTCACAGGCAGCCTTCTTTTATGTGCTTCGGGGGAAATATAAATTGGCAGATGTGGTCTCACCATCTTCTTGAGGATAAGTCTCGCCGGGGAATTTATCGGTCCAGCCCGCAAAGTACTTGAAGCTCTCGCAGGCAAGGTTCATCTCCATCGAGCCCATCGAGCCCCAGGGAGCTCCAAGTGTGACCCGTGTCAGGTCTGCCAGGGCCTTGCTGTTCTGCTCGAGTAAGTTGGCAAATTTCAGCATGATATCTCGCCTCACGTTTGGGGGCGTCTTCTTCCACTTGGGGAAGGCATCTTCTGCTGCAGCCACTGCGGCATCAACGTCCTCTTGTCCGCCCAACGCGACGTCGTTGGCAACAGCGGATTCGTCCTTTGGGTTGAAAACCTCCAGCTTCTTGCTGTTTTTCGAGGCGACATACTGCGTTTATCTCTTAATACATATCACACTCCTTTTCCCAACTTATTTGGCCACTTACCTCGTTTTTGATGAACAGTTGCTTGGGAAGGTTGTCCCTGTGCCAGGGAAAATTTCCGCTTCCGCCATTGGTGATCTTCGGGGACGGGATGGGAAAGGCCATGATGAACTGGGACCGACGCACTTGATCAGTTATCGGTTTGGCGGGATCAATGAATTAGTTAACCGTCCAAAACCTGGTTTTAAGAGCAGAAGTCAAACAAGGTGGCCTAACCGTCAAGCTCTATAGGCCCTTTTACTACACGGTGATAGTCGACCATTCTTGTCATATATCATACGAGAGGGCTGTGAGGCACCTGAGTTTGGGTTTGCATTGTCTACAGGCATAAAGCCTCGGACACTCGGGTTGCACCCTTGGAGAGGGGTTCTTTTCTCTTTTGGCATGATATTCATGCAAGCCAAACTTGGCGCAGCACTTACCACCAACAGAATGTTGTTGAGGGTTTCGTGACAGTCCACAGAAAACGTCACTTACCTGCGGGGTGTCGTTGGTTGGCCACGGGTGGAGACAAACAGCTATTCCAATACGAACCCCGCCAGGTGTCTGCATGCCGAGTCAAGGAGCTAATGGCGACGAAGTCTTTCTGACTCGTGAGGAATGCCGATTAACTTCCCGAGACGATCAGCTCTGCTCCGCGCATTAGCTCCCGCATACTGCGGGGTGACTTCGTTCCATAACGGTTGGCATTATTTCGAGTTAGTATTGAGTGCAACTTTCGGGTCTGGCATCATACGGGTTGTTCTCATGTAATAACCCCCTCAACAATCTCAATCGCAGTGGGGATTCCTATAGAGAATTTAGCCTGGCGCTTCCAGAGAGAGAAAGAGATGGATTTGGAGAGAAAACCCACCAAAGATCTCAGTGTTGAATTCGTGTTATATGCGCTTCAATACGATGACTTGAGACCACTTCTGCTTCTGTATCAACGGCCTGACAGCAATACAGCTCTAAGTCAGAGGCATGTCAAGAAACTGATAGATGGAGTGTCAAGACTGTCGCGATGTACACCAATGCTTCGTCAAATGTGTCTTCCTAATCATGTTACGAGTTCCTCCAAATCCAAGCCTTGGTATATTCTGTATGTCTGCCACAAGGACGAATACAAAGACTTATTGTGTGAAGCCATTGGCGGAAAGTGCGGTTCCATCATCTCACTCGAGCGATACATATTTTTCGCCGTACTGCTATGCAAACTTCTTACATCGTTCCTGGTATGCTTGATGCCTTCTTATGACCTCATCTGCCTTCTTCATTTCTTCCCTTCCTACTGATGTCGATGAGACGCATCGGGACCGTCGGCAATCCTTACAAATCTCGCGTACGTCCACATCTCGGGGAATGGCGTATGTTGCGTCAAGCCCTGGCCCCCATACATTTGCATGCATTCATCGATGATCTTAGTGGCCACCATGGGAACCAAGATCTTACACTGCGCAATGGCCCTCTTTCCGGCCCTGTTTCCCAGGAGGTCCGTGGTATCCGCAGCATTCAGCACGACCTGTCGTGCAGTGTCTAACTCGAGACGCATCTGGGCGATGCGCTCGATGTTGGAGTCGAATTCGCCAATGAGTTTTCCGCGCGGCTTCTTTCAAGCGCCATTACATCGAATCAGAGCCAGCTCATATGCCCTCTCACACTGTCAAATCAAGCGCATGCAGTGATGAATCCGTTCAGGGCCTAGTCGTCCCTGGGCAATCTCAAATGCTCGGCCTTCTCCGAGAATGATGTTCTCTGTCGGTACACGGACATCCTCATACCGGTACTCTCCGTGACCCTCCGGTGCGTGATCATAGCCCATGATGGTTAGGTTGCGTGCTTGGCTGATTCCGTGGGTATTGCAAGGCACTATGGTCATGGAGTGACGCGACCACTTGGGGTTGTTTGGATTGGTGCAGCACATGAATATGTAGAACGAGAGGTCGTTGTTCCATAGGCAATTTCCGTACAGTTTCCTACGATTGATGACATATGAATCTCCATCACGCTTGATGCTGATGCTAGTTTGTGTAGCATCTGAACTTGCCACGTCTGGCTCGGTCATGGAATAGGCAGAGGAGGCAGTCCCGTCGAGAAGAGGCTGGAGCCATTTTTTCTTCTGCTCTTCGTTGCAGTATTTAGCCAAGAGCTCAATGTTTCCGGTCTCGGGGGCGTGGCAGTTCATGGTCTAGTAGCAGTCAGCATGCTAACCACACGCTTTATGCGACGAAGAGGTCGGACGTGCCTGGGCTGCCCAGTAACACCGGCCCATAATTTCAGCGCAACACGAATACTCTAGATTCGTGTGGCCAGGGCTTTCTTTAAAGTGACCTGGCAGAAATAAATTGAAGAGTCCCATCTCCTTAGCTTGCTTACGGAGCTCGTGCACTAGCGGCGGTGTTGTCCAACGGCAGAAGTCTACCTGGGCCTTGTAAACTTGCTCTCTTGGAATACACTCATTCTCGACCCAGTCATACACAGATTTTATTTTACCGATGGCCAGAGGTGAAAATTTTGCCTTCACCCACGGTGGAAGGTGAACAAAGGCAGGGCTATGCAGGGCTGGATTGCTCATGATATCGCGAGTTGCTAGATGAGTTGTCTTGATAGTGCGTAATGCCGTCTTGTTCCGCTGCTCCGGCACTCAGCAATTCATATGGGCATTTGCACAACAAGTACAACAAGATCACATAAGATAATGCAGGCTGCCAGTTTTTTCCAGCTGCGTATCATAACCATTTCAGATGTAAGATCCGCATGAGAAACAATCCCTGTCCAAGCCTAGACACTAATGATTCAGTGCGGTAATGTTAGTAGGAGCTCCGGATCCTTGATGACCGGGAAGCTGTTTGACCTCGGCCTCATGCGGAACCGGTGCGGGGTTCACGCGGGGTATCGACTCCAATATGTCGGTTGACATTGGAGCAGGCAGTCTGAACTTGTACCGTGGTGCATCAATCAGTCGGACATTTTAAATGCCGCGTGGCTGCTCAGAGAACTTACCTGTTTGATTGAGCATTCGCAATGCGTCCCTCAGATACAGAGGATTTTCCCAAGGAATAACTGTTACTTAGTATGGGCTCGTGTGTTCGCGCCAGGTCCTTCTAGAACAACCTTAAAGTTCTTGTCATTGCTTTAATTCTCGAGCAGTTTTAAAACGGGTGCCAGAGCATAGAAGCAATATGGACTTGTCTTTCAGCATTGAGTTGGAACTTCTCCTGAAATTCTCCACTTGTCTTATTGGCTATTCAAATGGTGTAGTGTCGATGTCATTTCGAGCACAGGTCAGATCCGGGTCGATGGGGAGACCACGCCGGGGCCGTCCCCGGCGATGTGGTCCCACCTTCCGCAAGAATACGTTCCTCCCCTGGAAACAGGGAGGATGACACATACACACCAGCCACAGTGGCCGTGCGTCACAGTGGCCACCTTACGATGGTTGCAGCTGGAATTCAACTTCCAAAGTTCCAACATTCCACGCACCCTCATCACCAATCCGCCGCACAAGGCAAACACTTGGACCATTGGTTGCTTATAGAAACCTTCTTCTTGTCTTTTTGGCAGTCTTTTTTTGAGCTTAATCACTTGTTTGCCCCTCTTTTTATATTCTCTGGTCAACACTACGGCAAATTGCCCCGCTGTTCCCGCAAGGCCCCGTCAGGTGAGGATCTCCACGATACGAAGATAAGACCACTCCACCGGGACCAGGCCCCTGGGTTCATATTCGGCGACGAGTATGCTACTCTTTCCTGATGGCGACACTAACGGCGACGACGCCAAACGAGACCGCCTTGCCGCCCTGCCGGAGGAGCTTCTCTTTGAAACGCTCAGCCAGCTATCTCAAAAAGACCTCTGCAATGTGTCGCGGTTGAACAAACGGTACCACAGACTGGCCGATGCTGTTCTGTATAAAAGCGTTCACTTCCAGAGCCCGGAGCTTCATCTCACATTCAGCGAGTCACTAGGCCGTCGGCCACGCCGCGGCTCGGCCATTAACGAGGTGAAACTTGTTTACCCTAATGAGGAGCTGTCGCGCCTGGCTTTGGATGGCCCTGTTCACAACTCTCATTACGACCCCTCGCGCTCCGACACGCTTTCGCGCACACTCTCTGTCATGTCCAATTTGGAGAAACTTGACATTGCTGTGCCGAACGTCCTGTTGCACGGTATAGGCACGTTGTTCAACGGGCCCTTCGACTTGGCCTACCTCAAGGAGTGTACCCTCTTCTACCAATGCCCCGATGATGCATATTGGGACCTGCGGGAGAACATCCACATTTTTGCCCATCCGACATTGGAAACTCTCACTATCAAAAGGGCAAAGCTTGACGAGAAAGGATTCGACTTCATGGAGCGCCCACATGAGACAGCGTTGAAAAAGCTACATTTCATTGAATGCGATATCAATGACGATGGGTTGTCGGATCTTCTCGAATTTCCCGAGGGGCTAGAGGAATTTGTCATGACGCAAACACTGGAACCGAGGCCAGAGCTGCAGGAGAGTTCTGACAACTTCGCCGATTACGTCCTCGCGCTCACATCGCAAGCACACTCTCTCAAGACGTTGATTGTCGACTCACCGACGCTCAGTTGCCGAAAACCGTTGAGAATGAGAGAGTTTGAGGCTCTCAAGACGATACGGATGAACTGGGACTACCAGCTTTTCGGGAAAACGTCCAAGAAGCCACGCATGCACTCGGTGGGCCTCCCACCCGAGATGGAAACCTTGGAGTTCTTCAACGAAATGGGCACGGATGCAGAGGTGGCGGACCTCCTGCTATACACGGTTCAGACCAAGGACATTGTCGCCAAGACCTGGAAAACATTCGTGGTGGTCGAGGGCGACAACGGAGTTTCTCCAGAGATTAAGGAAGCATGCAGAGATCAAGGCCTGCAACTGGATATCATCGGTGCATTTGACACGGACGCCGAACTTGACTAGAACAAGTACTTGACGAAGTTGGTATTGCCTAAGAGCATAGACGAATAGTGGACGGCGAAGAGTATACCAAACAAGATACGGAAGTAGAAAAAGGATAGACTAAGAAAAAGCAAGAAGAAGTGGGCAAGAGTAGACGAAACCTAGATGACAGTAGATGAAGACTACAGACTAGAAACGGTTGAACTCGTAATTCCCATGATAGGCCGTCCGTTCCCTTTTCACTGTGCCTTGTCTCCTACTTAGTAAGTTATAGCGAGAGATGTTGCTGGAAGGATCCCAGGATGTTAGGTCCACCTATCCCGAGCGGGACCCGGTGATCTCCACTCTACCGTCTCCGCGCTTGCGGTATTGAGGAACCAGTCCAATGATCCATGCGAAACCATAGAGCAACTTCCATTATAAGTTTTCACGATCAGCTAGCGTCATGAAATATGGCGGGGCGAGATGAACCATTCTTCAGTCGATTGTCGTGATTCAGGATTGTCTACGATCAACCCTTCTGAGTGGCCGAGAAATTGAGGAGCAGCGGGTAAAGACTGTCACTCTCTTTACCTTACTTAGCTTGATGTTGATGTTCTGCCTGCTCACCAATCCTTCCGCACAGCAAGGACATCCAAAGACAGTGTAGTCATGGAGTTAGATGGGCAGGGGCGAAACGTCATCCGAGCTGCAGGTTGCGGTGACCGAGGACTAAACCTGTAGGTCGGCCAAGTGATGATTGGGAGGAAGCAAGCCAGTCAGAGGCCAGATGAATGTACCATACAAAGCATGTGGCACGGCCGTAGAGGTAGCTGGCGTAGCTGCGTGGGAGAGCCAGGTGCTTGTCCAATACGCTTAGATGATGTTTGTGCTTCCGGACAGGAAAGGAAATGGCTGTCATGAGGATGGGCTGAGCCGAGCATGTACTCTTTTCCATGTCCGATCAAAAGTCACGTAAAACGCAGGTATACCGACTACCGAAAGGAGTAATGCAGACTTGGGAGCGGAGGTAAGTCGCAGTATCAACGCATGGACATACAAGCTGATAGGTGGGTGCATGGAACAAGCGGCCGGCTGTCTCCTCGATGTCGGTGTTCGTATCTGGATCTCTTTGGGATGTGGTGCGGGTGAGATGGAGTATGAAGACAGACGTGAAGCAGTCATAGTCGTGCTTGGCGCGGTCTCATTGGCTCACGACATCACACCATCTGAGCGCATCATCCCGGCGAGCCAGCGGAAGTACATTAGACTGCGCTAACCGACTAGGTTTGCGGGAGCGGAGATAACGCGGGGTTGCGTCACTGCCTTTTGGTTGGCTTGCATCTCGCCCGATTCATACACTTTTCACGTTCATGTTCCGACTTCCAACCTCGCTCAGCAGTCGATTCGACGTCAAAAAGTGTCTGTCGAACCCGTCTTCACAGACCACCCTACGTTCATATTTCCACAATTCACGAATCTCCAAACTCCGCCGCTCTTACCCCACGAAACGATAGACCTGCGGTTCTCAGCTCCCTCTTGGACGCGTATAGGCCGTAAGCCGAGGGGAAAAGGAAAGGAGAAAGGAGCCGGCCAGGTCAGGGCCTTACTTTCCGCGCGGAATACCCATCGGCAATTAGCCAGCCTCTTCTCATTCGACCTTGGGTGCCAACACTGAAGGTCAGCTACGCCATCCATCTGCGGTAATCGGCGGGCCTCGCAAACTCCCCGCATCCAATATGCATACACGCGGTGTTGAGGCAACAGAAGCTCACCCGTTCTCACGTCGGACAATCCATTGCCGACTTGGACCTTGTCATCTTCCCATGTTTCCCCGCTCTTCATCTCCTCATACCGATGATTGTCCTGCCAGTGCCCAAGCTGCAAGCCCTCACTTCTTGATCCACTATCCCCAGACCATTGACTGTGGGGTTCGTCGCAAATGATCCCGCAACTGGGTCTTGTCTGGGGTAGTGGGTAGCCTAAAGATAGCCTAAAGATAGTTGGTCACCAGTTCCATCACTCTACTCGAGGTAGTATGAGGATTTGTCGAACAAAAAAGCTACAGGCCGACAAGTGCTGCACCATCAATGTGTCTCTTGGCAGGGCTACAGTATTGCCCCAAAGGTCAGGGCACTGACAATCCCCCACACAGACAAGCCTCGAATTAGAATCCAGAGAGCTTGCTGCAAGTCCTGTTTTGGGGAAGCGAGCTGTCTCGTATGTTTCCTATCTACGCGCCTATGCCTCCACCCGCACCGCCGCATCCCACCACATCTTTAGCTTGTTAGGATCCACAGTCTTTCCGGCGGTCCCTACCAAGCCGGGAGTCTTGTTCTAGCCAAAAACTTGCAGCGAGAGGTGGAAGAGGGGTGGCCTGCGTAGTACTTCCACGGCCCCGTTGGTTTGTCGTCACAGTGGGTTCCTAACCTTCTCATCTTGATCTTCTTAAGCTTCTACTTCTTCGGCGTCCATGCCTTTGAAGTTGACCTGCCTTCTTCCAAGGCTTATCATGTTTCTGTACACCCCCTTCCTTCTGAAATATACATAATCCCTGTCGTCGTGTCGCCATCACTCGTCACACATATCTGCATTCAATTCCTGTCGATGTCCGAACACACTTGGTTCCGCAAGTAAAGTGTATGAACATGATTGCCATAAAGGGAGAGGATAGGTCAGCCTCGGAGGAGGTTGCCGGAACTTCCACTCAGGCAAACATTACTTTTGGCACGCAAACAACCCACCAAGGCAAGCAGCAAGTCAGACATAGAGCCTCTGTTGCATGTGCTTCGTGCCGGGACAGGAGGATTAGGTGCGTGGTTCCAAAGGGCGAGTCCGAGTGCGTTCAGTGCAAGAAAGCCGGCAGTGAGTGTGTTATTAAGAATGACGACGAGCGGAGACGGTATGTAAACACGACGGTGAACTCAAATCTACCATGGATTCGGTAACACTGACGCTCCGAGGAAAGGCCAATCTCCAAGGCATACATGTCCTCTTTGTCGAATCGCATCGCCATGCTCGAGGGCATGCTGCTGGAGAAAGGCGTTCAACCTCCTCCGGCAGTACATCCTCCGAAATCGAGACATGAAGCCCCAAAGCAGTCAGAAATGCCACTTGAACAGCAAGAGACACAGTCTAAGCGATCGCTCGCTCGAGGAGTCCCCTCTCCACCTGACTCTGGCAACGAATACTGCATGGCGCAAGGAGGGGACTGCGCCGACACGGCGTCGGTTACGTACCCGAGATTTGAGCCTTTGTCGAAAGACCATTCTCTTTCTCACCTGCTCGAACTGGGCGTGGAGGATGTTGTCCACTGTCTTCTATCAATCAGGGGAAACCTTTCACTTGATCAACTATCTGAACGGCTACGGTTTCTCTGGCCTAGAACCGACTCTCACGTGTGCCACACCGAGCCCACGGACATTCCCACATGTCGTGAGCCTCCGGAACAGGATCGTCGAGCCGAGCGCGTTATCCGGTCTCTATCAAGCGCGACTCACGACTATCTCATGAGCAACTTTTGGATGCATTACAACAGTGTGATCCAAATCGTTCACAGAGAGACGTTTGAGTCTAACCGCGAATCGAAAGACCCAAGTTGCTACTCGTCATTCTTGCACATTTCGATGTTAGCCATGGGTTTCCGCTTCGCCGACTCTGGTCGGGAAGATGCCAAGCGAATTGCACTGGGAAATTGGGAGAGCAGCCTACATAGAGAGGCCAAGCACATGCTCAGCGCCGTGATTGAGAGCCCTGGCAGTATTCCTAGCGTACAGGCTCTGCTAATTCTTGGCGACCTGGAATGCGGTGTTGGCAGAGGTAACACTGGATGGATGTATGCTGGTGAGTTCAAAGCAGGCTGCCTATTTTCAAGTACCTCCTAACAAATGTCAAAGGAATGGCCAACAGACTGGCTTTCGATATTGGACTTCACATTGACGTTCGTATTAGCGGAATTAGCGAACATGAGGCCCAGATCCGCCACATGGTGATGAGGGCTTGCGGAATATACGACAAGTACTGGGTACTATTTTTTGGTCGGCCACCTAGTATCAAGAATCAGGACATCAGCATGGACCTGCTCTCTAGAGGGTGCTCGCAGCTGACATCACTTATGGGACGACCCGGACATGCTGATCAAGCGAACACTACTGCAGAGATATACGACCATCTCGTCGAGTTGATGGTGCTCGGCGGTCGCATCGTTGAAAGGGGAGACAAAGTTCAGAACCGGGATACACACAATGTAAGAGGTGGAGACAAGCACGATGGAAATGAAGAGAGAGAAGACACCGCGTACCTCCACGCCATCGCCCTTGATCGTCAGCTCCAAAACTGGTACAAGCGATTACCGGAACGTCTGCAATGGAAACCTGCCAACATCAAGCATGCTCCTTCCAGCTACTTCCTTCTACACCAACAGTACCATGTTTCTATGATATTGCTTCATCGTCCATGGGCGAAGTACGAGGAGATCGAGCGCGACGACAAAAATGACGGTTCGTATTGTACTCCAAACTCAAGTTCGGACTCAAGAGAGCCATCAAATCAGAATTGCAAACAGTCTCCAGAAACTAGAACGCCGCACATGAAACTGGAGCCTAGTAAAACGGCGGCGTCTCGTAAAATCTGCAGCTTTCACGCAATACGCGTAGCAAAGATATTCTGGCACCATCGTCAGCGATTTGACGGTACCAAAACCTTCATCACAGCCGTCCAACACGCCGGAACAGCGGCTATTGCCTTGATCGCGGCAACGGCATATCACCGCAGCGAATCTGACAGACGAACATACCTCGGATACCTCGAGATATTGGCCACCGTCATTGGCGACATGAGGCAAGCATACGAACCAGCGGCACGCATGAAGAATCTTCTGCAGACGGTTCTTGTGCAGCTCCGAACCGACATCAGCAATCCTAGTGGTTTTTGTCAGCCACCAGTCCCATTGACCGGCAGTGGAAAAGTTCCGCTTTCGATCTCGGGCTCGAGACGTAGCATGGACAATGGGAACCCGGTTCTCCCAGCAAGGCGCGAAGCAGATCCTGGCAACGACCAACCGTGCAAGAAACGGCGTTCATCTGCTACGGGTCAAATGGCATTGGAGCTCGGTCGCCCGCTTTTGTCATTCTCCACTGATCAGTCACGAGAGCCACCTCGCAAGTCCTCACCAAGCCAATTTTATGTGGGCAATCGCCCTTCATTCGACGCGATTGAATTCATCACAAGTAGCAGCGATCGTCAGAACTTCAACTTGAACTTTATCAATGAACCAGACCGCGAATTAGAAGAGCCCTCAGAAACCAAGATCAAGCCTCCTGAAGATTCTATCTTCGTCACACCGCCATCTGACAGTTGGCCAATCAGCACACATGATGGGAATGCCATGTCTACGTCACAGAAGGGGGACTTCGGGTACGATGAGCTAATGAGTGAGTACGGCTCAAGAATGTCAAGTGTTAGATTTAACTCGCCATTGATCTCTCATGACACCACGCAGGCAGTTGAAGGTACTGTTATGGAGACTCAGACTACATCGCGAAAGATCATAGATGATCAGATAGGCCATACCAAGAACGAGATAAACAACTTGAGCGCATCACCAGTCGTCAAGGTTTCCTGCCAGGAAGATATGGAATGGATAGGTAACAAGGATTCTCTTCACACAATGGGCTCTGTGAGTCTTGGCGAGCTGGTGCAAAATTCAATCGCGGATACGGTGGTCAGGGATAGGAGGCACGAAGCCCCAAGAAACCATGAGCTGGACTTTCTGAGTTTTTGAGACTGCACCAACCTAGTAGAACCTGTAGAATTTCAAAAGAGAGGGCGGATGAGGACTAAGATGATGCCCCGCCATGGTCGGATCATTATCATTCATCGTGGTCTTGCGTTGGACTCGACACAAGCTCGTACTCGCCCAATCGAGGCAACATCTACCAGGTGCAACTGGTCTAATATCAGTACTCAACTTCTCAGACATGCTGGGGAAACAAGCTCTTCAACTCGTCGCTTCGAGCTACATGACACAACGCACCTAACCCTGGTGTTAATGCGCCGTGAGCCCACCATCAGCAACAAGACCGGTCCCTTGCATAAAACTACTCATGTCAGATGCAAGAAAAACGATGCCTGTAGTCCGGGTCAGCTCAGTTAACCTGCCGAGAAGAAACACATGATGGAAGGAATATGAAGCCTCACAATCAGCAACCTCTTCGACCGTGCCCAGACGTTTGAGCGGCGTATTTTCGATATAACGATCCAGCGCACCCCCGGACTCTTGTGCTTGAGCAAGGTTAATTGGTGTCGAAATGAACCCCGGACAGACGGCGTTGATTCGAATGCCGCGAGGGCCGTATGTGTTGGCGTCGCTCTTTGTCAGACCCATCACTCCTAGCACAAACCTTTAATGAAGATCGCCCCCCCAACAGTTGGTCATGTCTTTGACTCACCGTGCTTCGCGGTTGAGTACGCCGTTTGGAACATGAACGGCGCCGGCGACACGACGCCGAGAACGGACGCGACGTTGATGATGGCCCCGCGGCCCCGCCGGAATCCTAGATCTCTGGACACTCACATCAACGCTGCGACTTTGACCGAGACTTTTGGGACCCGTTGTGCGTACTCTTGACGCAGCATGACCTTGATCTCCTCACGCTGGCACCTTAGCACACCGTATAGGTCGATATCGACCACTCTGACAAATTCATCTTCATCAGTCTCATGCGTAGACCGGCCGCTGCCTCCAATTCCGGCATTGTTCACGGCCACGTCGAGGCGCCCGAAGCACGACACGGCCTCGGCAATGCCGATTGTCACTTCCGAGGCGTTGCGGACGTCGATCGGGAGGTCAAGGACTTCGACAGCACGGTACTGACGCCGTAGGAGGTTTGACGTTGCCTGGAGAGCCTCGCGGTTAACGTCGGCGAGGGCGAGGCGCGTGATGCCGTTCTTTGCGAAGGCTAGGGCTGTTTGCTTGCCGATGCCTTGGCGTTACCTTTTCGTCAGCTTTGTAGGACGTATGGTGGTTTGCATGGGAGATTGACCTGAAGCAGCGCCAGTGATGAACGCAGTGCCTCGAAGCAGTGACGCCATGTTTGGAAGCAGGTCTGGATCACTTATGAGTTCTGCCCCACGACCACATGAGGGGGTGGAATGAGATGAGATTTGTATGGGATAAGAACGGGACAAACGGCGAAACCCATCGCTCTCCGTTTCAAGTTGTAGACGATCGATCTGATATAAGAAGTTTGCATGTGAAAATCATCTTGAAGCTACTGGACAGCACAAATATCACTCCAAAACTGGAATGTTGAAGTCTGAGAACGCAGCGACCTACCAGACACTACCTACTTATTGGTACCAGACCGCATGCGTCTTTGCAGAGGCGGCCGCTGTTGTGTGATAGAGTACGTGTTCCAAAAGAAGCCCACCCATGTGACTAATAATAAAAACAGGACATAGAATCGCCCGAAAGAGAGCGATGTTGATCATACCTCCCATCGAGTTTCATTGCCGACACTCATCGGCTGCTCCTCAACACAAATCAAACCTGACCAGATAATTTCAATGGCTAGCATGTTCAGCCAGTGCACAGTTCGGCTTTTCCTTTATACTTAATTCCCGAAGATACCAATGCATCCGCTTTGGTTGCTGAATACTTAGATCATCACAAATGCCACGTATTGGGCCCTGTTGTGCACAGAGTGTTCCAGCGGCCGCCGACCCAAAGAACAACCGCATGCAGAACGACAAGAACGATGCTCCCTCGCAAGCCCCATGCCCATGGTAGACCATTGGATATGCGTCTACTGGTCTCTTGCCCATATCGGGTGAGCGGTCTTGTACCGGCATTGGCGAGACCAAGATCGAGCGCAGCCAGTATCACCAGGGGTGCTGCGATGTTTGGACTGACCATGAATGGCCAACATGGGCGCGTCAAACTAAGCATCTTGCTCAGGAAGAAGCCGAGCCGGAGGACCGCCAGCAGAGGACCGGCGTTGTAGCGTATAAGCTGGTTAGCTCGCATGCTTCCTATCATAAGTTTGTGCTGCAAGGCTTCGAAAGGTGTCGCAGTAGGCGGCATCAACAGCGGCGGGGAGTTCAGAGGCGGCTCGTCTTTGCTGGAATCCACACTCTCTTCCCGTTCGGGAGACAAGCGGAGGAAGCTATCTTGACTGCGTGACGAAACCATCGCGTGAGCCTGGGGCCGAAGCCGTGGTGAGCTAGAGCTCGACTGTCCCCGCGAACTGGCCCGCGGTGAATCGTCATCGGCTGCCCTGCTAGGAATGTTGTATCCTTCTTGGGACAATGGGTACCTCGCTTGCTTATGGGGATCTGCGACAAAGTCAGTTTGATAGATAGCGCAACCCCTAAAAGTTGATAGGTCACATACCTGAAATAGGGGTACTCGGGGCATCGGAGAGTCCAGACTCTGGATGCGGCGTCCATTAAGACCCATTGGCGGGCTGGAGCTTCTACCACGAGGGACACCATCAAGGCTCGATTCTGTCTTCATAGCGGCCAGTACCTCGCTTGCGCTTGGGCGTTGCGAGGGGTCGAGGGCGAGCAACTTCTTAAGAAGCTGGTAAAGCTTTGATGGAAGATCTGGGCGCTCTCTGCGTTCGTCTTGGAAGCCCTGCCAGTCGGTAATTTCCGCGCGCAGTTCATCGATGTCTTCCAGTTCTTCGTTGATCGTGTTTGCACTGCGGTAAGGCAAACGGCCGAAGCACATGAAGTAAAGAATCATTCCAAGAGAGAAGATATCAGACTTGACGGTGAAGTTGCCGTAGCGACCCGTCAAGTCTTTCTTCAAAACTTCTGGGGCACAATAGGAAATAGTTCCGGTCGATCCGGTTGACTTGCGGACCATGTTTTCAGACTGGACCTCGCCGAAATCACTGATTAGACAGAGCAGCCCACTGCCTTCGCGATGTAAAAGACAGTTACTCGGTTTGAGGTCACGGTGGATGTAACTGGCAGCGTGGAGGTATGCGAGTCCAGAGGTGATGTCTTTGAAGAGAGAGAATATTTCCTCAAAAGACAACAATCTCTGTGAAGCGAAATGGTCGCGAGGCAGTTCGAGTTGGCCTTTGGACTTGCGTCGCATCTGCGCCTTGAGCTGCTCCTTCGTGGATTCCTTGGGTTGGTCACCAATAATGTATTGAAGCAAGTCGCCGCCATTGCAGTATTGTTGTAGAATAAAGGCACATGCCACACTCGGGCCGAACCGAGTCAACGAGACGTCCTCAAGCCAGACGTGGCGGTAGGAGACCAGATTCGGGTGCGACAGTTTGGCGAGCAACTCGACTTCGACGAGTACTAAGAGGATTTGGTTTCAGCAAAGGTTCGTTAAAGGAACGCGGTGTGGCTTGTTCTATCATACCTTTCTCGAGCCATGCATGGTCGTTGCCTACGGGCACTCGCTTACATGCAAAGTGACCTTACAACTGTCAGTAACCTGCAGGTACATCTGTTTCGGAGGGCACATACCGAGATGGCAGCCGTCAATTTCATGACGGACGAGTAGCACGACACCTTTCCCCCCGCGACCAAGCTCCTTTTCCTCGACAAAGAATGTCTTGAAGTAGTTGGGACTGAAGGCGTCGCGGCGAATGCGGCTGCCCTCCTGGACAGCTGGTGAACTCGAAACGAACTCGGCATCCTCGGCATCCTCAATAACGGCGGCTTGCGGGTGGGGTAAGCTTGGTTGTACAAATCGGCGGATAGGACTGGACGGAGGATGATCGGCTCGAACGTCGTGGCCGCTGGCTCGCAGCATGCGGAAGTAGTTGGGGTCGACGAAGGACTCATGATGGCGAGCACTGTCGAATTGGCGCTCTGGGGAAGACGACCGCAAGGGTTGACGGCAAGTCGGGCACTCGGATAGGCCCCGAATCTCGAGGCGCTGGGAAGAGGGGTCGCGGACGACAATTGCATTGCGGTGCCGACTGGAAGAAGAGCATTAGAAAAGAAGTAGCAAAGTACGGGGATCAAGGCGACAAACAGGACTATCTCGCGACCTTCTCGCGGATGGTATGGAATCAACGACATGACGCCTCAGGGTAGGTTGGTTGATCTGGGGTCGTCAGACCAGCAGAGAATCTTGGGTCATGGCCAAGGGCAGCAAGAGAGGCGGCGGCGTTTGTGTGTTTTGTGTGTTTGGCCAGAGGTCGGAGCTGTCGCGGGTCAGATGATCGGTGCGTTCTTTGCTGTCTGGGGCAGCAACAGAGCACGGATGGCGATGGTTGCGGGGTGTCCGTCGGTGGTGGAGGGATGCGATGACTTGTTGAAGCTTTGGGCGCGCCGATGCTGGTGCTGTGTTTACATAGTACTTGGGGCGAGCAAGGTCAAGGTAAGCAAGCTGCAATGCCTGAGGTCCAGTTCAGTGCAAGGTGGTGAGCCAGGTGAGCAAGGCAGGGAGTGTCTCTTTCCAGTGGAAAAGAGAGGGTGTTTGTTGATTGTTATGACCTCACACTGTCCATGAAGCTCCCAAGTACCCCACGTAGCCCCGCACCCGGAGCGTTTGAACCGTCCGGTGGGGCGCCGATGAATCGGTGTGTCGCCGGTGAACTCGATCAATCCACACTGTGCTCTCACAATGTAAGCTCCCTCTTTACACTATTAACTCCTGCCTGCCTACCTTTGCCCATCTTTGGAGACTACCGCCAACTCTTTTTTATTATTATAAATCGTTTGAGTTATTTAATTGAACCGTTGTTGCACAGGGCTACCTAAGGCATTTGTCCGCTGGCTTTGTCCAAATAGGCTTGGCGGCTGTGGGATCAAGTGTCTTCATGACCAAACCGATGATGGTCGTAACGGCGGGTTAATTGAGATCCGGAGGAAAAGGTGCGCCGGATCTGCTATGCGAGAACAATTCGACAGTGTGTACGCATTTTGTACCCCAGACTCATCGAGCTCTAGCGATCGATCGCTCGTGAACGTTAAGAATTTAGGAGTACGCCGCCTCCGTTGCTACATGCCTCAACCCTGGAATATCGACAACGTTACACAAGGTTGACAGAGAAAACCACCAACGCAATCTCTACTTCTATAATCCTGTCGGTCACTAAGATTGATATTCTGGCGAACATGAAGGACTAGACGGCCTTTGAAAGTCGCGCCTCTACGTATCTCAGATAAGCCTACGCTCATGACATATGACCCCAGCAGAAATGTTGACCAGGGCAGTTGTCCGTCACATTCGCATTGCTCGGGCCGGCCCAGGGGTTCGAAACAAACGAACGAACCGCCAGAATCCATACAAATACAGAAACAAGCGCACACCGCCTCCATTTCATCAACCGCCTCGCAGGATCACTCCCTATTTCCCGCCCGTCTAGAAGCGTTGATGTGTCAACGCAAGGTCTTCATCCACCACCGCTGTGGTCACAAGATCACCGAGCTTGTCGAGCAGTGCGACAATTTCGAATGCTCTGGTATCACTCAGAACCCCGTCATCAGCAATCGATACACCTGCATCGTGCGCAGCTGTATGTGGTACGGGCAGTTGTGAGTACGGAGAGCTGGTTTACTGAGCCGGGCTACCTGTGTAAGTGAGGCTGAATCCAAACAGTATTGACTGAGCTGACCTCCTGGAGGCCTGAGATCTCAGACCGCACTCACCGAGAATCTATAAAGAGGGGGCACTGCTTGTCTCTTCTGCAGATGAACTTGGTGATAGCATCCGGTTTGCAATTAGGCGGGGGTTGGAGGCTCGTGCATCCCATTCCGCAAGCAAGGGTTACATGCCTTCAACTTAAGTGGCTTTTGGCCTTCTTCTGTTCAGGGGCGTCAAATCCTATGAGGCGATATAAACATACTTCAGATGATTTCGTAGAATTGCGGCAGTAACATGAAGATACTACTAAGGTTGCCCATGCGATTCGCAAGTATTGTACTGCTTGTTACACTGAATCATAGGTGGCATACTCCATATTTTCTAACTGTCCAGCAAACCCAATTCATGCCAACCTCCGGTACCGAATGCGTAATTATAGACACAATTCTGGTTCCCCGATTGGGTTCCAGGAACAACTCTGGAGAGCGTAGAAACCCTGAACAGCTCTATCGCGCTTGCAAAGTGATTCCAAGGCCCGCCTGTGCCTTGCATTAGTGACCTGTACGTCTGGCGGCGTTCTGGGGCGTTAGTGCGATTCATCACGCTCAGGTGCACAAGGGTCTAACTCCGATGAGGAAGCTCGACATCGGTTACGAGTTGTCCAACCAGAAAAAGCCGACATCGACGGGCCGATGATAGGTATTGTTAAGATGATATGGACTGGCATACCTAGCCAATTACGTTTTTTAATAAGAGCACATTCTCTCCCGCTGGGTATCTTGTATTTACAGACAGCGAACCCCATAGTATACCTTCCAAAAACAACGACAAAAGTTTGTGTGTGTGGCTCCTGAAACCCCTTTTGCGCCCGTCCGACAGATAGTGTGATGAACAAACTGTCGCGATGGAAAAAAGAAAAAAACGCCACCAATCGATAAGAAGGCGCCCAGCGTGTCCGGCCCAAGATAGCACCCATGATCCAGCTCCAGCCAGACCGTCATTGCGAGGGAACACTAGGAAATGTCTCGGTCGTGGAGAATCTGCCATTTGGTGTGGGAGACGTTGATGTGTACTCGCAATGCATCGGCCGATTCGTACTTATTCGTCTTCCCTGCCGGTACGCAGAGACAGCAGGCAAACTCATTCCTGTCGGAATGCGACTTGGCCAAGAAGCGGCTGGACATTCTGAATCCTTCTTTGAGGACAACGTAATCCTTATTGTCGGGTAGCAGCGGCATCCACCGGTAGCCACACTTGCACCTCTTGGGCATCTCTGGGATTTTCTTGGAGAGATCAACCTGGAAGGTCATGGCCTCGGGGCAGAACATGCTGAAGACGCTGACTTTTGGACGGAGAACAGTGCCGGTGCTGCTGGCGCCTGCCTCGGAGGGCGCGTATAGGGACGCATCGTCGCTGCCGGTGAGTTTTGGTACTGGCGGAGTCGGAGGAGGCGAGGGAGGTTCTGATTGGAATGCCGTTTGGTCTGTGGTCATAGTCATGGCTGTTGTCATCTTGTCGTCGTCTTCATTGTCGTCTTCTGCTAGGCTGGCCGGATATCGCGATGCCGACCAATCTTGGCGTGATCGAGGTTTAGGGATGGGGAGATGTTTTGGGATGTCAGGCCGGCCGCCTGCGACGCGAGGGTACAATTCTGCTAGGGCTCGAACGGAAGCGATCCTCGCTGACTCGGATGTCTGTATAATGTCTGAGAGATTTAGAAGACCGGTTGAATTCGAGTCGGCGGCAACCCGGCGCAAGTGTGACATCCGGCTACTGAGATTGAACAACTGGTTGCAGAGCGTATCCCGACATGTTGCTACAAGTTGTCTTCATCAGCGCAAAACTCAACAACTGAGATGACAACACGATCACTAGCTGAGGAGCACACCACACGAGGAGAGGGTATCGAGAAGGGACTCACCATCGCCCATGGAGAATTCGGCTCCGAGTATAGTAAATCCAATGTCATACGTCTCCTTGATTTGGTTGCCAGAGACAGTCAAAGATGTACTCAAAGCACAAGTGATAACATCCCTCTGAACACCAGAATCCGTTGTCCGGCAATAGTGGTTCTCGAGGGCACGCCTTCTCTTCCAGTGTGAGTAATGCTCAGCTCCGTCAGCGAAGAGGTCGACGAGAGCCGACACTGCTCCAACAACCGTTGTTGGGTCCATGTCTGTCAACTCAACAACATGGTTAAGAGGTGTCGAGTGATTGCAGGTAACAGCAGCCGTATTGGAAGTAATGGAAATCAAGAAGCAGGCAAGGTTATTAGAGGGAGAGGGTCAAGAATGCGAACCAATGAAGGGTGGGATGGGGAAGCAATGTGGGCTGACAGGCATGAGCTGAAAGATCGGGGCGAGCTGAGGGAGTGTTTCACGAAAGCAAGCAAAGTGCTTATCGGTACTTGCCAAACACGACTCAGGACAAGCTTTGGATGAGATGGAGAAATGGGGAGCGGGTTCCAGATGTCCAGTTGTTTGGGGGGAGACAAACGTGCGTGCGTGCGTGTCTCTCTGCTTTCTTTGATGTTTGGTGCAACCTTGGGCTTGGATCGACGAGAAGCCCAGGGAGAGGGAGTTGGGTTGAGGGGGGCATCGGCGAGCACCTACACTAGTAGGCTAGGCCGGAGGGATGAGTTGGCAAGGTTTTGAGCGAAATGTGGCGTCGGTTGGTGGACGCCAATCTCACGACTCGACGTGCAACCCGTCCGAACGGGCGCACGGGAACTCGAGGGGCAGGTAGCCGACATGACATGAGGCATGGGATTGGCATGGGCAACCTGGACAAGTGTATGTAGGCCTGTCAGCCCCGTTGGTAGAGTCATGTGTGACGGTCATCGAATTGTCTTCTCGTCATTCAGCCATCAACTCTCACGTCGATGATGCTGAGTTCTAGTATCGCGAATCAATGCATGATGCTGGAGAGAGCGGGATTGAATGAGATGATGAGATGTTGGCACGTCTTCGGAAGAGGCCGAAATCATCCATGGAGACCGATGGCCAGGATAAACAAACACAACAGTGTTTTTCTTGGCATCGCTGTGCCATCCAGATGGCTAGGCTGCAGGGCAAGGCCAACGAGATCGAGGCGAGTCGAAGGATCCTCCACTCGTGGTTCTAGGTGCTGTGCCTATCGAATTGCCCAAATGATCACCCGGGCCCGAAGAAGATAAAGTAAGAAGACTAGAATAGAAAGGGAGAGACTCAGAGTTTCTGGTCCTCTATTGGACCACATTATCTTTGAAGTTTCATCTGAATGACGAGAACGACCAACAGGGAGTTCGAATAGTTCAGACGTGTCATTTGTGTCAAAAGCAGGCTAGGTTGATGGGTTCGGACGGTGCCTTGAAGACACCTTGACGACACCAAATGCGACTGAACCGTCTGTGCTCAAGGCTGGGTCGAAATCTTTGCAGGAATTCCCCTCATTGATGGCCAATCCGGGGCAGGCAGGTACCTAGGTGTAAGCTTGACTGGTTTGGCCTGGCCAGTCTGGTACGTACGTGTCGGAAGGAGATGAGAGTGTGTCCATCGAAAAAAGGCTGAAATGAAATTTAGCGTGCTTACGAGCTTGCGGGCGCTAGGTACGGATGCGCGCACTGAAAGTGGGGTCGCCCCATCGGCGCCCACGGCGACCCGGCCCCGAGGTGTGGGGCACTTGGAAGCGGTTTGATTGGCTGTTTTCTCACATGTACCTCGCTTTGGACAGGCAAACAGGTACAGGTAAGTAGGGTGGGTAGGTACCTTTGCTTTGTGAGGGAATCGTCCATCTCCGCTTTGCATCCTTCCCACGGCGTCTCCCGCGCGGACTGTTGAATGAGCGCGGGATTCGAGCGTGCCCTCACTGCCCTGTCACTATGCCGAATTCTGGTCTTTCCTGCCACTATAAATGCGCAGACATGATGGAACTTTTGCTCTGCCCTAGCCATGTCCGTTTCAAATTTGTCGCCGCTGCGAACCCGCAGGGCGACCAGCTCCATCAGTTCGAGATCCCTGAGCTCAAAATCATTTCTTTCACCCCCTCGCCCCGTTTTTCGCCGTCCACCGTCACGCTTGTCTTGGTAGATCTTTAGTCGTCTTTGGCCAGCTGCGTTCCCAAGCTTAGTTATGCGCTGAAGGAACTCGACCAAAACCTCAGAAAGGAGGACCGCTTGATTTTGCTGGAATGCGACCTGGTTTCGGAGAGAATGGATTCGATCGTGGGACGTCTGAAGAAGCTGCGGGGAGCTCTCCTTACAGCTGGACTCCTCGGTTAAAGACTGAGATTAACGTTGCGACATCGTTCCATGTCACTTGGAGACCACCGAATTCGCTCGCAATCGGGAGGCAGGGGCTGAGGGGCTGCAAAAGGAATCCGCCAGAGCCTGGTCTGCTTCCCAGTAATTAAGGACACAACTTCTAAGGACGCCCAAAAGGTGTTCGGAACTAACGGCGTTGGATAAAAGGAAGCGAAGCATACCAGAGGGTGGAAAAGCCCTCGAAAGCCAGGCATATAACTGGAGATGCCCTAAGGACTTGCTCGGGCGGCTCCATCATATCATTCCACCGCCAATCTGCTTCTTTGATCGTCCTCAACGTATGAATTACAATATTCCAGCAGAATGTGTAACCATCAAGGTCTTGAACTCGCCATGGCTGAGGCGGCAAAGCTTACAAGTGAAGTCGTGGGGTTAGATTCCGGGGAAGGCACAGCTATGTATTGTTTCCAGTCTTATGGTCTGCAACACACCACGACTTGGAAACTCCTTGCTTCCATAGTCAATAAATATACGTTGCATGAAGATGATGTGATGTCGAAGCTGCCTGCTCTTTGAGCCAAGGTGGAGTTGAAAATTGGCGCGTTGAATTCAATGATTCAGTATTGGCGTGAGCCTAGCTACCAACATGGGCCAGAAGGATGGCGTTGATCGTCGTTTAAACAGTCATATAATTTAATCACCGCTTAAATGGAAAAATAAGAAATTGGCGTTCGCCTGGCGGTCTTCCATTCTCTGTCGGTAGGTCTTTGCGTGGACATGATTGTGGCACGGATGGCTATCGGCGTTGCCTTGTCCAAATATTTCGAGCTTGGTTCGTTCACATGTGTTAAACGTAGTGGACGCGTGACATTGGACTACAGTTCAGATGCAAAATGGGTCTCTTTCCTATATGAACCAAGATATTGGGGTGATATAGAGGTCGCTGTTCAATGGCTGTACAACTTTTACCCGTCGGTTGTTCAGACGTCAGCAGGACAGCCCCCTCCCCCTCTTTATCCGCACCAAATTGCATGGGTACACACGGCACGAGAAAATCGATTATTTTCCTTTGCCATGTATGGCAGCCAGGCTCACGATAAGGCTGTATAAGATCCCAGTGAATTGCCCCTATTTGCCTGCTTGAAGGCTGTTACCTCAAGTGACAATACATTTTAATCACGCGTTCTCACCTAATTGACCAAGAGACCCCGACAGCTCTCTACGTTTCGAAAGAAAACGTTGCATATCAAAGATGAAGTTCATGTCGGCGATTGCTATGGTGTCTTACACCTCAGCCCATTGTATGACAATGCCCTTCCCGACTAATCCGAGAATTTGGGCGGAGCTGACTTGTGCCTAGACGTATTCCCGTCTGTCACTTATAATGGCAAGACCACACAAGATTGGGAAGTTGTCCGAAAGACAGCAAACTTCCAGTCAAACGGACCTGTCACCGATGTTACCAGTTCACAGATGACATGCTACCAACTAGCCCCTGGTAGCCAAGGAGCCAAGGTTCTAGATGTTACTGCCGGGTCTACTATCGGTTCGTTTTGGCTAAGTATACGCTAGTCTTGCTCACTTTAACAAAACTCCCAGGCTACAATGCCAAAGCTTCTGTCTCTCATCCTGGGCCGGTCAACTTCTACATGGCCAAGGCGCCAGCCGGTACCAGCATTACTAACTGGGACGGCTCGGGCAAGAATTGGTTCAAGATATTCAATGACGGTCCGGCGGTTGCCTCCGGGGGTTTGACTTGGCCGACTAATGGTTCGTCCCCTCTGTCCTATAAACTATTGCGAGACTCGGACTAACTGTCCACCTCTACAGGTAAGACAACTCTCAACGTCCAGATCCCAGGATGCCTCGCAGATGGCGAGTACTTCCTTCGCATTGAGCACGTCGCTCTGCACAGCGCCAGCAGCCCCGGCGGTGCGCAGTTGTACATCTCCTGCGCGCAACTTCGTGTCAGCGGTGGCACGGGTACATATAAGCCCAACCTTATGTCATTTCCCGGGGCATACAGCCCAAACGATCCCGGTTTATTGGTCAACATTTACTACCCAGTGCCTACCAATTACAAGGCGCCTGGTGGTGCGCCTCTGGTTTGCTAGGCAGTATTTGGGGGCTTATTTGTTGTTTTATTCCTCATGTGTGTTTGAGGTTAAGCAGAAGACCAGTAATAAGCTTAGCTTGTCGTTCACAATGTAATTATGTTCGTAGCAATCATTCGACTTTGTGTCCTTTAGACCTTCAGCCGTGTGGATGTTGCCAAGTGTTCAACCTCTTCAACTTCCGCTTCTTTACTTGCTTGTTGAGACTCGATCAACTCTAAGTGCATCCTCGAATCCCGACTCTTTTCCCTGGACTAGGCGATAATACATGTCGAAAACAACTACCTCGGTCCTAGGCTTTGCAATTAAAATACTTGAGAAGAAGCTCATTGTTCTCTTTGTGGAAGTGACCAGATGATCACCTGTTGCACAAGGCAGGTGAAATGTACGTGGATACTTCTCAGTTCTAAGTTTATAGCAAGTCTGCAGTGGCCCAGTGGCAAAAAGAAAATGCCGCAAACACCGCCATCTTTTCATACAAACCAGCTTGCATATCGGCGTGACTCGATCGTCCCTGTCCAAGGGAAGAAATAGAGACCTTCAACATCCTTCCAGCCAAGTAGGGACAGCCGCAGGCTCTAGCCTTCCTCTTTCGGCTGATCCCCGTCACCATAACCACGATGTAACCTCACAAAGGATCACACGCCGCACACTTCAAGCATGTCGTTGCTTATATCGACGGGGCAGATGCGGGGAAGTACAAACGCCATCGGTTAAGGCGGGAGGGAAATTGGCTTCGTCTTTACCGGTGATCTTGAGAAGTAGACTTTCCAAGATTACCTAGGCGGCTGTGCTTCCACGACTGGGGACTGGAGAACGAGAACACATTGGATTGGTCAAAAGCACTGTCATCACGTTTGAGGGGCATAAAAGCATCCAATGTTCGCAAGGAAGCCCTGGCGAAAACAGAGAGACGCAAAAGCTTATGCAGCGGCTAGGGCCTGGCGCCGGCAGTGACTGACACTCGTTGCAATGTCCCTTGCTAGTCTGACGACCACCTCTATGAACGACGGATAAATTACTACTCTCCAGGTCGAGGATCGTAGCCTTCGGTCTCCTCAGTGCCGAGTCAGTAAGATGAAGCCTCAGCCTGATAAATAGTCGCATGACACCACACGCTTCTTGATGAGATGTACCGTTCCACTAGTATCCGAGAAATAGCGTCACAAAAATGTTGTCTAGCTCTCCACTAGCTTGTCTTGTGGCAGCTCCTCACCTTGCGGCCGCCGCTACGTTCACCGTACCAAGCAAGGTCAATACAGGCGGTCTCTCGTATGCTCCTCTTGAGCCAGCCCCTGTCGGCTTGTCGTGAGTTTCTCCACCGTTCTGAACATCCATCCTGGTGCTGAGATATTCGAGGTTCGAATTCTTTGCATTTCCATCGTACTTCCAAAACGTCACGGCGACAAACCAGTGTCTGTCCAACTTGAGGACGCTGACTGGCACTTGGCCTCCCATCCGGATCGGCGGTACGACGCAAGACAGAGCGTCGTATGATGCATCAACGTCGGCGTATGTCGTCTACTCGGTTGCGAACGCGGCGGATGCTCCCTCGACGCTGACGTTTGGACCCAACTTCATGAAGCTGGCCGCAACATACGGCGGCGACGTCACCCTCGGCCTCAACAGAGGGAAGAACAACGTCGACAACACCATCGTCGCTGCCAAGATCGCTGTGCAGGAGATGGCCAACCTTTACGCCATTGAGCTTGGGAATGAGCCCGAATGTAAGAGGGAAGCGTCGTAGTGGCTCTCGTTCCGAACGAGCTGACAAGTGGTGCCCAGACTGGTCCGGAGTGCAGCCCATCGCTTCGGGAACATGGAACCCCGCCGTGGACGCCGCGTCTCAAAACAATTGGGCAATCACCGTTGGGAGCGCCATCGGCAGGAAGAACATCATTCAGGCCGGGAACTCCAACTCCCTACCGCCGCAATGGGGGGCCGAAGAGCTGATTGCGAGCGGCAATGCCACAGTCAGGGACTATGTCAGGACTTACTCGCACCACAACTATCCCGGAGGCACGGTGACAAATCTAATGTCTCACGCGAACATTGCAAGCAATGTCCACCTGTAAGTAGGTTCTTCCTCTCGAACCGGCTGCTGGCTGACACGACCAGATTTGATACCGATATCGCCAGTGCACTCGCGGTCAAGAAGCCTTACGTCTTCGGGGAGACTAACTCAGGTAATCCCGATACCAGCACCGGACGAACATAGCTAACGAATCATGATAGTTTCGGGAGGCGGTGCAGCCAATGTGTCCCCGTCCTTTGGAGCGGCCCTTTGGGTCATGGACTACTCTGTGCGTCTTGCAGTCTCCAACGTCAGTAGGATCTACTTTCATCACGGTACCATTGGCAACAACCCCTACAGCTTCTTCGGGCGCTACTCGATGGGAAATCCGTATGTCGGAGCCTACGCGGCAACGGCCTTCATGGCCAGCGCTAAGCACGTGGCCGCTCTCGATGACGGCAAATCCGCATTTGCTGCGTACGTCACATTCGACACTGCTGGCGCACCTCTGAGAGCTTTACTGTACAACTCCAACTACTACAGTGGATCTGGAACCCGAGGTTCCGAGACCTTCGTGCTTAGCGGGCTAACTGCAGCGCGCGTCCGATCCAAGCGCGTAACGGCTGCGAGCGCAGAGGCGAGGCAGGACCGTGGAGGCAATGCTTCTTTCGGCCAGCAGTACTTCAACAATGGAACGTGTACCATTGGCGGGACGGAGACCTTTGAGACGGTGACGGTATCAGGAGGTGAGGCGGCGTTCAACATTGCTGCCAGCGAAGCTCTCTTGGTTTACCTTCAGTAAAGTAGACAACTTGCAGGGGGTGTATTTGATGGCGGCTAGCAGCCATCGATAACTTTATCTATCGTCAACTGTGGTTGCCGGATAGGAGTCATATCAGAAGCCAATCGAATTGTTTACGGAAGAATGACATTGTGCATGTCTTTGTAAACGGGAGACTGCTAGAATTAAGAATCGGATCACTCAAAGATCCCCGATTGTACACCCCGATAGTTGAATAACTTTGTGAGGAGTTTCTCACGTGTGCATATTCCTGTTTACAGACTTTTTCCTTGTCCGGCCGCCTCTTGTTCTAGACCCTCGGTACGACACCGAATGGGAATTAAAACAGCATCTGAAAGCATCCCACACATGCTTGCCCGATTCAAAGCGGCTAGCTGAGGTCAAAGAGGACACTAAGGCAAGGTGCGTGTGTCTAGTCTCTCATGTCAACGTCATTGCTCCCTGTGCCCTCTCCAATTTTTTTGCGGCCTTAACGAAGATACATCTCTCGACTCAATCTCAGCCCGTTTTTTGGCAACGCTTGGTGTCACTTCTCACGCATATCTGTTAGGCACTCCTTCAACCTCACTCCTACTCCAAGATGACCTCTTCCTGTTCCGTTCTCTCAGTCGGTCTGTAACTCACTTACCTCGTACTCATCAGGGCATCACTCTCAATTCTTGACTCATTCCTCGTCAACGTCTGGATTCAAAGTTTTCTCGTTCTTTATCGACGAAGCATACTTTGGCACAGTTCGCGCTCACAAAGCCACTCACTTACATCACCCAAAGTCTGCAGCGAGTCTCACTCAGACAGCCGAGACTTTCCCAACATCAGGAGCCGAAACTTCCCAGACCACAATTCAGCAAACGGCACAAGGCAAGTTCAGAGTGCAATGGCGGAGAAGTACATCCTCCGGGTGACCGCCGGCCCTAGCTACGACCTCGATTCTCAAGTCGAGGTCCCCGTCAACCAGGCGCAGCCCACAAAGATCACCAGCGACTTGGCCGACATCGAGCTGAACGTTCGTATACAAAACTACGCCGGCTTGCCGCGCAACTCGCCGTCCACCTCCCCCTACTTCTCCACGGAACCCCACTCCACCAATAATGACCAGTACAGCATCTCCTTCCGCTTCAACCCTAAGAAGCCCGCGGACGCATCGTCTTCCTCGGCTGAGCAGGGCATCTCGGCCGAGGACCTGCAGTTTGGCAATGACTTTGACCATCCCATCCGTGACCGTCTCCCCCCGGGCTTCAACACAGCACTCAACATCGTCAAATGGTGGATCGACCCGGGCCTGGACGGCGACGCGTACGCCGACGTCCCGCACCTCTACGGCCCTGCACTGAGCTCCTTCAACACCATTCATGTAGGGGCCGGTGTCCACGACAAGGAGAAGGGCGGCCTGTGGTTCGAGGAGGGAGGCGATGAGGCCGGCTTAGAGGCGCGGAAGAAGATTGGCGCGCCGGCCACGGCTAAGGAGCGCATGAAGTGGGCCCTGCGCAAAGAGAGCAAGGAGAACTGGATATTCGAGTACGGCAAGACGTACGGCATGGACTTTTTCAACCCATATCTCGATTTCGCCAACCTGGCGCTCCGTCTGCCTGGATTCCAGTTGGCCATCATGAAGTACTGGGACGGACAAGGTCTGCGGTAAGTAGCCCTCCTTCCCATTGAGTCTGTAGTCTGTTTGGCTTTGCTGCGAGTCGTTTGTCTTCATCGTCCGCAAACGCTTTCTGGTCAACGTCCGAGGCGTATGCTATTTACCGTGAGACCAAATGTGCAGCAACACAGCTACCTCAAGAGAGAGTTCCTTCCATTCAACCATTTTCCTTGCGTCATTCTTACTCGTAGCAGGGAAGAGGGGCCTAAGCGCTCACACCAGCTTAGATATGTTCTCCGGAACAAGGCCACCGGCGACGTCTACCTCGTCGTTCTCTTCACCCTCTATCTCAAGGACGATGTCAACGAGGACGGCACCCTCAAGGCCGGCGCGGACAGCTCCAAATCGGGTGGCCAGCCCCTGCCTAGCAACGACGACCATGAGAGCCACGACGAAGCCAAAGCACTCGAGGAGGCTAGGAAGAAGATGGGACCAGCCTCCCACGAGACCGAGACGAGCGCTGATGATGTAGACTGAAGAAATTGGATTATGCCCAGAGGTGGATGGTCATGATAGAAGGAGAGGAGTGGCGTGCACTTGAAAGAAAAGCTCTAGTTCATGTCCTGTCAAACAGAGTTCAGGCGCTAAGCGATGGGAATCTTCATCCCGTCGTTTGGTTCAACATTCAACTAGGTGGCTGTCCTGAAAACTACGTGGTCTCCACACTTCTTAATGCGGTTGAACATATTGAACTCAGGGCGACATGAACTCTTCAATGTTCACTCGCTCGAAGAAACTGATATGCCCGAAACCGACCCAGTACTGGGCGAGCCGATCGTGAGAAATCAGCATAAGCTGTGACTCGATGTACTTATCTGAACATCACTGGTCAGTACGATTGAAACAAGCGTTGTATGACAGGTATGACAAACCATCAAGGAAACCCGTTCCGGCGACATGCCCTTTGCTCTTGACCACGCGCGTGCCCTGGAACGGCGGTTCCTGAGCATGTCCAACAAACCCGGCCTCGCCCAAGTCGTCTGCCACAAACGTGTACTCTCCTCTGGGAACGTTTGGGTCGCCAGTGAGCTTGATTGCTTCTAAGCGACCTCGGTGCACACGCGCATCGGTACGTCGCTTTGCCCATTCCTTCTCGCACTCGTCGACGCCACGGACCAGGCCAAGTTCCTCGTCAGAAACCTCTTCTTCGTCGGGCTGATTGATCAGCAAGAACTCGCAACCGTGTCCGCTGTAGTCGCCAACCCAGATGCCACGCCATGGTTTGAGCGGGGTCGGTGTGTATACGACAGGATCGAGGGTCGAATAGGTGACCACTTCTTCGCCAATGTGCACACCAGGAACACCTCGTCCTCCTCCTACCATACCCATGTTAGCTTGAATCGCCTGGATCAAACCAACGGGCCCTGCCCCAAGAAACAGCCCCGGCGTTGGGCCCCCGGCCATCTCCATCCACTGACGAATGCGAAAGGCTTGATCTGAGGCCTCGGCTCGCCGAGTAGGCAGATCGCCAGGGGCAAGATCATCGCCGTCCAAGCCGGAAGCGACGCCAGCCACACGGTGGCGGGCAGGTATGGCGGGTGGAGGCCAAACATTGCCGTAGGGGAACGGCGCCTCCATTCTAGAAGTGGCAGTTGCAGTGTCCAGGGGACGGGCCATCAGGAAATTGCTGAACATGGCGTCGGAGCGGTCGTCAATCACCATGGGTATCTCTGGGAGGAACCGATTTCCCAGTATGCCAGTTGAGTCTTCGTTATCTTCTAGGCTACGTGCATGGAACTGAAGCACCGGCTTGTCCAAATGCAACTTAACACGAGGCTCGAAAGCATGGATTACCACGCTGTTGTCGGCAGGCCAGTGTTGGTACGTGGTGCGGTTGCTGACGGCCAACAACTGGTACCCTTCGATGCAACCCCTTCGCTGGTCATACCGTACGACAATCATTTTCCCCATGAGGTCGCGATCGCAAAACCAGATCTTGTACTTTGGTAGGAACCATCTCGGATCGTGTGCTGCGTATAGTTCGCGGTACGTACGGCACGGGTACGGAGTTTCGAGTTTTGTGCCAGGGACATTTGCCTGCACCCTCTGATACCAGTGGACGTCAGACGTGGCATGTGCGTGAAGGCTTCGACACGTCTCGGAGACAATGGCCAGGTCGCAAGGAGGCAGGTAAGCAAGGATCGCATCGATTAGCTCGGAGGGTAGCGAGAGGAGGCGACAACTGGTGTCCGGAGGCAGGGAATTCGCTTCTAGCGCGTCCAAGGCGGTCAGAGGGATCCCAAGTGATGAGGCCAGGAGTTGATGGGTGACATACCAGCTGATGCAGCGGCACTAAAATCGGCAGGAAGAGGATAATAGTCGTCCTGGGAGGATCCGATGATCTTGCGGCGATCTCTGGCGTCGCTGCGCAGGCCCTCATCGGAGACGTATGGTAGTATGTAAAGGTTTTCCTCGACCTCGGGGTCGATGCCGCCGTAATTGCTGCTCGCTGTGGATGCAGTATCGTGGGTTGGCTCATTCGACCCGGCGACAGAGGAGGCGGGTGATGGGGGGGTTGTATCCATCCTGCTGGGCGTGCCCATGCCTTATGAGAGACCAGACCGCGTAGGATGTTGCCAAGATCTGAAGGTGAGGGGAGATGAGTCGTTGTAGCTCGATTGAAATGCCAGTGTGATACAGAGAGCGGTGCCAACCAGTAATCGTAGCTGGTCGAGGTGTAGGGGGATGATTCGTGATCAATGACGTCGATCTGGGTTGAGTGCGAAGTGACCGCGACAGTCGTTTGTGGGATGGTCGTAGCGTGACTGGAATTGCTGTCTTCTTAAGTCGAGAAGTGGCATGCCACGAAGGTTGAAGTCGGCCAAGGGTGATGCACGGGGGAGTCGTCAGTGGGAGCGATGTTGGGGTCATGACTCCAGGTCCCAGTCTCCACGTCTCCGACCAGCCGGCGCGAGGGTGTGTCGGATGAGCTGGGTTCTGTACGCAGTGACAGTGACAGTCAGGCCTTTTGGTTGCGGTCGCGGACGGGCCAGAAGCTCGTCCCTGCAAAACCCCGGTTACGGCGCAGAGCTAGGCCAGAATGAGAGAAAGCAGCGATGACACTGGCGGCAGGGGGCAACGGCAACAGCGGCAGCGGGAGCCGAGGCGGCCGGGGTGCGTCTGGCAATGTTGGTGACGGCAATGGTTTGCGGATCAGATAGAGAACCACCAACCAGAGACAGTCTCGTGCCAGACGACGGATCTAGATTCTGGTCCTGGGCAACGTGCGGATGGTGGTGGTGTCGGCAAAGAGGACGTTACGGTAAGGTTGGTTAGGGACCCAGGGAAGCCGGCGGAAGTAGGACCGAAACGGACAGAGGACGCCTGCCTTGACTTAAGCAAGGCAATATGCCGTTGTCGGTCGGGCCACGACTAATGTAGATGCCAATCAGTGGCTGGGCAAGTGGACGAGGGATAGGATGAACGGGACCTGGACTTCGGAATAGGAAGGCTGTTCGTCTTCTAAAGTATGCGGTATACTCCGAGGACAAGGTCAAGGTCAATGGGGATGAACGTGATGTGATGCTGCTTGACTATAAGGTGGGTGTCCAAGAATAGATGTAGATGTTGGGCTAGTGTGCCTGCCATGCCGACGGTGCAGGTTCACAGCAAGGTATGCAGCAGTATTTCATCCAACGCAGAGAGAGAGAGAGAGAGAGAGAGAGAGAGAGAGAGAGAGGGTGTCGTGCAGGTCGACGGAGGCCATGCAAGTTACACCTATGCCGCTACCCTGAGCTGGGCATCACGTCGCATCTTAATCCTTGCGCAGATGGGACGACTTCGCGAACCAGGGGTCAGGTACCGAGAACCGGAGCCGGGAGCAGACTGCGGGGAGTCGGCTGACTAAAAAGTTTGAGAAAGCAATGAGGTCAGTAACTTTGGGGTCGCTTATCGGGTGGCTTGCGATAGATATTGACACGCTTCCGCCGGGTTGTAGCCGGCCAGACTCCAACACAATAACACCATCGCTTACTTGTGGTGTGCTCTAGGCAAGATGCGAGATAACGGAGGTTGAAGGGGTCCATGAGTCGGAGCGCCAGCTGACCGAGCATCGCCTCGCATTAGGGAGTAGCCTTCATCCACTTGCAGGAGGCAAGCTCACCTCGCTTCAGAGAAGATCAATAAACACCAAAGCATACCCCGGGCCCGGACCCTCAGCTCTTGGGCGCACCTCTCACTCAAAACGCTGACAGCCAATACATTGCATTGGCCAAGAAACCCGTGCCTGCTCCTTTACATCGCACCACAGTTCAAAAGGCCCTAGCCTAGCCTCATTAGAATCCATACAGCTTCAAAAAGTACCAGCCAAGACTTGTTGGAAGAGAACTGCTACGGGGTGCTTGCAAGGTGTGCTCGTTGGTTCTCGTTGGTTCTGGGTCGGTGTACACTGTTAAGTCAACCCATGTTGGATGTGACATTCTCCAATGGGTGCTGGGTAGGTATACAGGTATGGATATATCCAAATGTCGATGGCCTCGTTAACAGGGACAGTGATACTGATCTAAGCATTATATCCCGCAATACAGCTTAGCGAGCCCGCCTACCCGATTAGGTAGGCACTCAGTTGCTTTAGTCTCTCTCCTCCTTCCTCTTCCTCTGCTTTCTCTCTCTCAATGCAACAACGAGCCTCTTCATCTGACGCATCTTGGCTTGTCACACCCTGAGAAAATAACACCCAGGGTACAAGATCATCCGTCTTCACCATCTTGGAGGGTCCCGCTGCTCGTCTACACCAAACGCACCCACAGACGGATATCTGCATCGCTACAAAGGCGCCGCCCTGGCTTCGATACACGACATTCATCAACTTTGTCTTGAAACGACAGCTTCGGATTAGCCAGAGACGCCCACACCGACACCGCCCAAACACATATACTCCATCACCCCGGGGTCATTCGCCCGAACCACTGCCGGAGCTCACTTCAGTTCCCACTTGACTCTCAGTCCGCCCGACGTCTCCTTCCTACTTGGGCCATAGCGTCCGGCCGCCAGTGGAAGGTTGTCTTCACCACAAACACAACGCAACGCAAAACAACACAGCCCAGTTCGTACTCGTCACTCCAGAGCACACAAGAACTCGCTCCAAGCCTCGGTCCCTGTTGGCGACTCAGCCGAGACCGGCCAAACCAGAACAGAGCGTCCCCAACCAGTCCACCGGTGGGTTATTGGATCCCTGGCTGGGCCCTGCAGGACACCATGGCTTCTCTCATCCCTCTCATCAACGACTTGCTACCCATGATTATTCCCTCCTCGGCATCCATCACCAAAGCGAGCACCCTCCGCGCTTCCGATGCAACTCTGCAACCCGGTTCTGCCAACGAAGCCGATGCCGTTGTCAGCAAAAGCGATAAGCTCTGCGCATCGGGTAAGTGAACGTTGCTCCCATGATACTGTCCCCTCGGCCTCTGCGTGACTTGCTCCTCGAATTACGCACCACTCTCTGTGCAACATCAGCCGGCATGTTCCAGCCGAGTCGCTAGTCTGCCAACTGCAGTGTTATAGCCGCAAAGCGCTTCCAGAGCGTCTCTATTTGAGGGTGGCGTTCACGCTGCTACTGACTTCTATTGCCCCTTACCCACTGTTCGACAAGCTCTTTGTGGCTAATGGAAGCAGTCCTTACTCTCAACGCACACGCGACATCGGCTATCCGCCACCATGGCGAGCAAGGTCAGAACCAAACCCCCTCCCATCTACCCCATCTCCAACGCTGGAAGCCTCTCACCGCGCCGCAGCAGCGATGCGTTTCTAATGTGTGCCAAGATACCATCGTTTATATGGCTTCCGGAACCGGTGTTTTGCTTGTCAGCCCCGGTGCGGGACAAGACGTCAAGCGGCATGAGATGTCCACGGGCGATTTTGCCTTCATCCCGTCTTGGACAGAGCACCAGATGCTCAACGAGTCGGACCAAGATACCGTGTGGGTCATTACTCGCAGCGGTTCTCAACCGGTCAAGGTGGGCTTGACGGATTGGGGAGGTGATGAAGCGAAGTAACCATAACGCCATCGCTCCTTCATGGGGATGGCCGACAACCGGTGGTGACTGGCCGATCGACCTGCGGAAGCGCAAAGCTCTGGCGAACGAACTAAATGCAAGACTGAAATGTCACCTTGTCGTGGTATTTTCGGCTCTTGCGATGGATGACTATGCCGATGCTATGATATCCGTCCAATGTCTACCTTACTTAAGATTCGCCTCTTATAGCGGCCGTGATCCGCGCTTTACCCCGCGGGGAATCGAACACCTGCGCATGGTCCTTGTTCGGAAACCAGAGGATGTTGATGCCTAACCCGGCGGAGCGGTGATGCTCGAAATCCCCGTCTGGCATGGGTCCTGTCTTTGGGTCGGCAACGTTACTCTGGCCATGTTCGCCCTGCAACCATGCGGGGTGATGCGCCCGGTCTTCCCCGGCCAAATACTTGGCTACAGCATGGCTATCGACTATCAGGTCCAGCCCTGATAAACATACAGTAACCTGCCTCGCTTCCTTCCGGTCATCGCACGCACGCCCCGATTCTGCAGTGCGACCGACCAGTTCGTCTGCCCAGATGGCATTCTCCCTCCAAAAGAAGTATCTGCCAAGGCAATGCGCAACTCCGGGATCCGTGCTAGCGAAATACCACAGTTGCCATTCGTTGGCAGTTGTTGGTTGTCGACGCGTGAAGTTGTAAGCGACGTCAGGCAGATGGAGCAGTATGCTGACGGGGTCAATGAGCACCGCCCGTGACATCCTCGCTTGTAATTCTGGGCATCGCATGGCGTGGGTCGACAAGATGGAACCGTACGAGTGAGACACAAGGGCAAACTTGTCCCACATGTGACGGTCCAGTATCTTCTTGAACTGTTCCAGGAACACCTCCTTCCCAAGCGGCGGTTCTGTCAGCCGGAAGCAAACGGGCAGAATCTCGAGAGCAATGACGCCAGTCTGACCCTTGCCCTTTGCACCACTGATCCCGGCGAGGAAATCGATATACGGCCACAAGCCAATGCCGATACCGTGGAGGAAGACGACAGGTAGCCCCTCTGAACGATGAGGACGGTGCCAGTAACTTAAGTTCCCGGCCGAGGTACGGCGACTGGCAAACATCTGTTGTAGCCGTGGCGGGAATATGGCCTTCTCTCGTGGCTGCGCGTAGTACTCAAAACCGTTGAGAAGGAGAAGGACGTGAGTGGCGTGGTCTAGGAGGGCCATAGTCGCGTACCACCAGACGGTGCGGAATGCCGGCTCGATGGAGTCGATGGTGAGCCGCAAGCACTTGGCACGGCCCCGCCCCGGCTCGATCGCCCTGCCCAAGCCTTTTTCGATATAGGCAATGTATTCGTCCACCTCGACGTCGTAGTTCTCCACGGGGCTCAGCTTATTGTCGCTTCCCTCTTCAACGTCAAAAAAGGCCCAAAGCAGGAATTCGCGCATATTGTCGTGGCGTATTTCAGATGGCTCAGCGCCTAAAAACCACATGCGAAGATAGTATTCGTAATCTGGGACTGTGCCCATACATCGTTCAAACAGAGCTCGGCGCTCTGTCGGCGACGACGGCGGCGGGTGTTTGGCAGGCTCTTTAAGACGCCGCGTGTATGGCATCCAGATGAAAAAGATGTATAGCACCTCAATCAGCATCATGCCGACAATAACTTGAGCGGTTGTTATCCATCGCGCCGGTGACTGGCTGTAGTTGGCGCCAAGGTAACAAGCTGTGAGAATTGATGTGTAGGGGACAATTGGGTAGCGCATAAGTATTATCCAGGTACGAATAAACACCCACTCATGGAAAGTGCGGTTCAGCATTTTGAGGCGATGCTAGGTGACGCGTGCGTTGTTGTAAGTTGACGAAGCCACGAGACGGTATAAAAGAAAGTGGGTGTGTATGTGTCTGTGTATGTCTGTGTGAGAGGAAGCAATAAGCCCGGCCGAGAGCTTTAGTGAGTGCTGAGTGACTATTTAGACAAGTAGGGGGTTTCTAAATCCCATGGCGTGAGAATGACGAGAACAGAGGATTTGGACCCTTTTCCGACGATTCTTATCGGTGCAGAGGGTACGTGAATGATTGTTCGTAGCGGATGTTGGCGGACTTCATGTGATGTGTTTTGTTGAGATCGTCCGGCACGGGGTACAGCAAAGGTACTTAAGCAGGGCTAAGCAGGGAGGGAACTACATGGATTGGATGACGATATTGACTGCAAACACTGGATCGGCCCTTGCCACGGCCCCTGTCTTTTTTCCTTTTTTTTTATTGTACCGACGTCGTCTCTGTCTTTTTGACACGTTCGGAGATGGATCATGGCAGGCTTGTGATTGGGATAAAAGTCACTGCAGGTATCTTGAAGATGTCTCGAAAAGTTTTGGTGGGAAAAGGCAGCGCTCAAGCATGTGGATTGCTCCCTGGCGCAGCCTACGGCTCGGGGCCAGTTCCGGTCCCAGTCCATTGGACACATCATTAGAGCGTAATTGGACGTACCTGAGCTAACCCAGGCGCCACGGCGTTGTTGATTGGTTGGTCTAAGGCTCTATCCAGTGCGTATGGATTCGTCCTCGACGTTGAATCGACCCATGTCTTCCCAACGCTTGAAGCATCTGACCCCGATGCAGACTTGCGTGGTCCAATGTGTAATAAACGCACATTAACTTGCCGTGCCTCGGCACTTGGAGAGCAGGAGCAATTGATGTCATGGCATGGTGAGCCTCATTTTCACATGCTTGCGATACACCCCGTGTCTTCTCCGTGTGTTGCCGTCCGAACGTGCAAACCCCAATGATATTGTCGCGGACTTAGGATCCGAATGGTGCATTTCCTGGCCACTCGACGGCTCGTTGTGGCGACTGCTGGTAGGTTCTCATTTTCAAGTACTTCAAGACCACATGCAGTGAACAAGGATATGTCTGTCTGTTATCGAGTAATTCTGACTTAGTTCGAGCATAATCCCCCCGACGCTCCGTTCCCAACATTCGAGTTGCCCATCTCCCTTGACCATCTTATGATCTTATGCCGAGCGTCCCATCGTATCACCGATCGACCCGTTCATCAAGAAAGCGTAGGCGCCGTCCAGGACGCATAGTCCCGCACGTTGACATTGACAGTGCTGCGCTCAAGAAGCGACGGCTTCGTTGCGGAGTTGAGCAGGAAATAGTTGATGTACTGCGTCAACTCGGCGTTTTGCCCGCTCGGGAATTGGCAATGGTTATGCCCGCCGACCAAGGAAAATCCCATGTTCTCCGGCACTCCCAGAGCCTGGTAGATGAGCCGTCCGGCCTTCATACACCCCGTCGTCGACACGGGGCCCAGCCAGTCAATGTCGTTCTCGGCCACGTAGAGGCCTCGCGGCGCCACGAGCCCGGCCAACAGATGGTGGTCCTCGGGTACCTGGGAAGACTTGGTGGCCCACGTGTTGAAGTTGGGCGAGAACCAGACGTTCTCCCCGACAATCTGCCCTGACGTCTGGATGTTCTTGCCCTTGTTCTTCTCGCTGTCCGAAATGCGCCAGCACGCGGCTCCGCCCGAGCCCGACTCTTGCGGGATCGTCAGAGCAATCCTCTTCTCCAGGGCACCGACAACGAATGCGCCCTTTCCGTTTCTCGAGCACCCCGTTACGCCGAGCCTCTTGGTGTCGATGCCTGTCTGCGCGGCGCCGAGCTGCTCAAGGCCGTCGATGATCCTGCCCACGCCCCAGGCCCACGCCGTCAGCGCGCCAGCGCTGTGCTGCCGGCCAAAGAGATTGTAGAAGAGGCCCTGGCCTCTGCTGCCCTGGCCGTTCTGCGCGGCGAACGCGTCGTTGCCAAAGGTGATTTGCGCGACGGTACCGGGGATGGGTATACTGGCGCCACCGATGCCGATGATGGCGGGGAACGGACCGCTGCTGGAGGGCTTCTTGATGGCAGCACTCATGCTGATGCTCGCACTACCAACGGTGACCTTCACGTTCAGGTTGCCGCCAGACAGAGTGGCCTCGACTTTGTCCGGAGGCGGAGGGAAGTCTCCGAGCTCATACTGTTCCATAACGTTCTGTATCTCGGTTGCGCGGCATACCCAGTCGTCCTTGGTGGTAACTTTTGAACCGTCGACGAAGGTAAAGGGGTCGGGCAGCTTGGCGTCGTTGATGGCTGGGGCAGTGGTCTTGGCCTTGCTGCAGTCGGTGACCTGCCGCGCAAAGATGGTCTCGGCGGGAAGAGCCAGAGCCGTACCTGCGAGAAGAAGAACAGCCGTGCGAATATTCATCGTTTTGCCGTGAGCTCCGAAGAGTTGCTTAATGTTTGAGAGATGACGCTACTTTGTGAGGAGGTGATGGTGACGAGCTTGACTTAAAGTGGCTGTCTATTGAATACTTCGCGTCTTTATACTCACAACTCGTCGGAGAAACGGATGTCTTTGCGTGAGTAGGCATCTGGACGACTGCAAACCGGCAGAATCACGTTATTTGGATAATCGTGAACAACTTCGACATAATCTCGAATTAGCCGGTAATGCCAACGGACGAGATTGAACAAATACAATCAAGGCGCGAGGGCTTTGACGTTGCATCAAAGTCAACTGCCGTCATCTTGCCCCGCCGGCTTCCACAGATCGACACATATCATTGCTTCCAGACAGCCGACTATATGGCCCAGACTGGACGGATGGGCCAAGCTCGTAGCTGCTGCTTATTTAATGCGACCCGAAATGGTTAGCAAGTGGCCGGTCAAGCAAAGGTCTGGGTCGGCTGAATTAAGGGAGTGCCAGCTGTGTAACGGGATTAGTGACGAGATTAGAGTGCATGGGCGGGGTCATGGGATCCTCGTAATGTGTCTTCGAGGCTCGGAGCTCATGGAGCATTTAGCAATGGGGGAATCTGGGATTGCTATGTCCGGATGGAGGAACTTCACGGATCAGCCACCGAGATACACCGGGCTCGGTGGACAGCTGTCAACGGGAAGTTGACGGTCGCCGAGATCACCAACGGCCGGCGTGCTCCCCGGTGGAGCCACTTTCTTCCTCCAACAGCCCTGCTCTGATTGGCCAAATATTTTCTGAGCCCATTCGTAAGACACTGGCCGTCACCCGGCTGATTCTCTTCTCTTACGTCCTTCACTTTGCGGCTCCCCTATCCTCACGCTCGAGCCGACATCCAGTCTTGGTCCACAAGCCAATTCTTCGGAGGAACACCCCAGGCCTCTCTTTAGGTGCGACCTATCTCGGCCATCCCAGTTTGTCGTCTCCATATTCCAGCCTCAAACCCCCGAACGCGCCACCCGCATGGCACAGTAAGAGAAGGTTTACCAGCGAATATCTGCCGCCACCGCCGCCGCCGACCTTGAGCAATTTCCCCCAGCCAGGCCGACATGAGCGCAGAGCAGAGCAATTACAATGCGGCCAGCTCCCAATACACTCATGCGCCCCACCCGACTCGATAACGTCTGTCGCCAATGCATCCGTCAAGCCTCAAGTGCCCCGCGAGGCGGCATCATCCCGTTGCCTCTGATCCCGCGGCGCGCCGCCTCGACGACGGCACCCAAGGCCGCGCCCGCCGTCCGTCTTAGTGCCAGCTACTTCCTCCCCAACAGCGTCCTCGACCGCGCCAATGTCCGACCCCGACCATTGGGCAGCCGGAGCTCCTCGGCTTCCGTTGCGCCGTCCTCCTCTTCCTCCAACGTGCGTTCCGAGCCGACGACGCCCCTCGACGTGAACCACGAACTCCCACACCGTCGCCGACAGGCCGCGAAGCGCAAAGCCGCCGAAGCCGCCGCCGCCGCCGCCGCCACATCCTCCGAAGTGCCTCTTCCTCAAGATGCATCCTCCGCCCTGACGACCGTCGCCGCTCAGCAGCCCGCTCATTCCGCTCGCCGCATCTTCTCAACCCTCCTCTCCCTCTCCAAGCCCCGACTCTCGGCGCTCGTGGTCCTGACGGCCATGGCATCCTACGCCCTATATCCCGTCCCTAGCTTCCTCACGCCCGCTATCACCGAGTCACCCTCGCTCAGCCCGTTGACGCTGCTCTTCCTGACCACCGGCACCGCCCTGTGCTCCGCCTCGGCCAACTCCCTCAACATGCTCTACGAGCCCGCGACCGACGCCAAGATGTCTCGCACACGAAACCGCCCCTTGGTCAGGGGACTGCTCACGAAGCGGGCAGCCGTGCTCTTCGCCGTCACGACGGCTCTGACGGGCGTGGGCGCGCTGTACTTCGGCGTCAACCCGACTGTCGCCTTCCTCGGAGGTGCCAACATTGTCCTATACGCCGGCATGTACACTCCGATGAAGGCCTTCAGCGCCGCCAACACGTGGATCGGCGCTGTAATCGGCGGCATCCCCCCTCTCATGGGCTGGGCCGCCGCGGCAGGCGAGACCGCTTCAGGAGATGGGTCTTGGCGCGAGCTGCTCCTCGCCAGCGACGGCAGCTCCATCGGCGGCTGGCTCATGGCCGGGCTTCTCTTCGCCTGGCAGTTCCCCCACTTCATGGCGCTTTCGTGGCCCATTAGGGAAGAGTACAAGGCGGCGGGACTCCGGATGCTTGCCTGGACCAATCCGGCCCGCAACGCGCGCGTGGCTCTCCGTTACAGCATTGCCTTCATCCCTCTGTGCGTGGCGCTCTGCGCTGCGGGCGTTACGGAGTGGAGCTTCGCCGTGACGAGTTTGCCCGTCAACGTCTGGTTGACGCGGGAAGCCGTGCGGTTCTGGAAGTACGAGGGCCACAAGGGCTCGGCGAGGGGCCTGTTTTGGGCCAGCGTCTGGCATCTGCCTGTCGTTATGGTGTTGGCGCTGCTTCAGAAGAAGGGCATGTGGAGCCGTGTGTGGAACAGCATCTTCGGCGAAGATGAGGATGAGTGGGAAGATGAGCTAGATGAGATGCCTGTCGCTATGCCGACGCCACGGGGCAGCTAAAGCCGGCCGGCCCTGACAAGGTGTAGGATTTGAATGTATGATAGTGTGCTCCTTTGTCTCATGGAAAAAATGATCGGTCCCATTATGGCCTTGGCCTAGATTTTCGGGTTCAAGATACCGACCTTGCTCTGTAACATATTCCAATGTTATCCGCCAGGAGACGGCAGGGTATTCGAATAGAGATTGCGCATTGTCTTCCTTTGAACAAGATAAAAAGCGATACGTTTGCATTCTCCAAGCCCCATTTTGTCAACCTGGTCTGCGTCCTCTGGTATCTATAAATGCTAATATACACAAGTATCATGCCCCACCTCTCCAGTTGCTATTCTGACCATTCGTCATTAGATGGAAAAGCCTGGTATCCATGTGCTGTTCTGTCTCGCAAGAAGAAGTAAGAAAAAGTGGAATAAAGAAAAAGCCAAACTGTTGAAAGAGTGTGTCCGGTTTGCCTGCCAAAAAGTCGGCACTTATCATGCCCGTTTTCTGGCTATGTTCGAAACGACCCCCGCAACGCCTAAGACACCGCCTCGAGCTGCCCAAGGGCGGTGTCATACCCCATTGCCAAATGACGAAGTAGGTGGAAAAGAGAAAGGGAAGAAAAGGGACAGAAAGAGAAGCCCCCCGAAACTCCAAGTTAACGCCATTGAAAGGGCTCATTACTCATGTCATGCAGTTACATCTGCTGCTGACCACCACCACCACCCGGTCGGTTGATAATGGCATCTATACCCATATCCACGCTGGGCAGTCTCTGGCCGTGGGGGTGGAGGTAGGGGCTGGGAGATTGTGACTGGCCGTGGCCGTATCCGCCGTTGACCGAGCCGTTCGAGGAGACCGAGCTAGTATATCCATGATGGGCGCCGGTATGACCGTAACCGTACTGGCCGGCGTGAAGGGGTTGTAGGTGATGGAGGGAGGCGACGTAGCCCGCTGCCGAGGTGCTGCTACCGCTGGCAGAATGCCCGGAGGACACTGTCTCTGGACTACTGTAGGACGCGTCTAGCTCGTCAACTGGGGTAAGCCCGAGGCCGCTGATGCCGCTGTCATCGTCATACCCTGGTGGTAGTGGCTGCCCCGATTCGAGGCGCTCCCGTCTAGCTCCGGCGCGAGACGCGCTTTGCAGATTCTTGAGACCGTTCGACATGCACTTATGGGAGAAAAAGTTAGCACCCGTCTTGTAAGATTGTGCGTTGAGAGGTCCATCTTACCTTGGCCTCGACGACATTCCACTTCTCGCCGGTGCGGGCCGCAAGGCCCGACCATATCTCTTTTCTCATGCTCATGTACTCCTTGGCCAGGCGTTCAAGCTTGCGGTTGTCCCAGTCGTCGGCCCCTTTGCGTTCCATCAGACGCTCATGGCGCTTTCTGCAGGCGTTAGGGGTCTTGCTAGGGAAGTAGGACATCTGGATTTGGCCCCAGTTGAGGCCCTGGGCGCGAGCCGCAAGAAGCTGTTGATCATCTTGGGGAGTCCAGGCCCCGGAGGAGGCTCGGTGTTGCATAGGGGGTACAGCAACGGGGGGTGCAGACACCGGAGCGTAGCTCTCGTATGTTGGCTGCGGCTGCTGCTGCATCGGGGCAGAAGAAGAAGGCATGGTATAATAGGCCGACTGCGGCATGGTCATGCGTTGGTTGTACATGGCGATAGGGTTTGCAGCAGGGGCAAGAGAAACTGGCATCGGGTTGCCGTAGTGGTTGTGGCCTGAACTGGATGCCCGTGTATGTTTGGGCATGATAACTCTGGAGAGTGTATATCGGGAAAGAAGGCGACTAGAAGAGCTTGCCTAACGGGTAAAACGAGCGCAGATTACTGGTTAAACTGCTGGAAACGGATCTGTAGCGAGTGTCTCGTGTCGATGTTGTTGGTGTCTGTGCCTCGCCTGGAGGGTTTTCAGGAAAAGGTGGACGTTGGTGATAGGACGATCAAGTAGATGGAACGAAAGAAGATGAGATAGTGCGAAGGAATCTATGGAAATCCGGTTTAGGAAATGCGACCACTATGACTGGAAAAGGAAACAAGGAAAAGAGACGGAAAGAGGAAAAAAAGAAACCGTTGTGGGATGGAGAGAATAGTGTTGATGAGCGAATACAAGATCGAGAGAAGGTCGAGGAGCCTGAGATGGGGGCCTGACTTTAAGCAATATCGCCGCCGGTTAGGGAGACAAAGAGGCGCAGAAGCGCGATTGCGATGAGACTAGGGTCATGGGAATCTGAAACAAGGCAGCTTGACTGAATAAGACCAACAGACTTGCTAGAGCTGCCATGAAACCCGTCTCGTGTGTCCAAAAGAACAGGAAGCGAGTCCTAGAGCTACAGACATTGGCTAGACGTCTCATCGGGATGGGCGTCTGTCTGAAGTCGGGCGCGTAGAACTGGCCGGGTCTGGAGGGCGGCTACGATGCCCTTGGCATGATCGGACGGGTCGCCGGGGTCCCGAAGAGGAGACTCAAGAGCTTAAACGGGAAGAGGATGGGGCCAAGAAGAGGGTCTAAGCTGGCATAGACGATGGGTATGAGTTGGCGCCAGCCTTGCCGCGCTTGCGGTGTCCCGTCTGAAGAGCTTCAACGGCAGTATTAGGGCTGGATCATGCCACGACATCCCTGGAGTCGGACGAGCGAGTCCCTGGGCAGTGGTAGCAAGCAGATGGCGCCAGTGTTGAACCGCCAGCCTGTTGGAGCGGACCTGAGCCCCCACGATCGCGGCGGATGAGCCAATGAGGCCGACAGATGGAAATGAGGAAGGATAGTCGCATCGCATTAGAGGCAAGCAACGACTACGAGCGCGCGGTAGAGAGGCTAGCTAAACCAAGTGCAGAGGGTCAAGAACCCTTACCTGGCCTGCCGTGCGGTACGGTTGTGGATGCTGCGTAGCAGTTGACAGCTTTGTCTGGGGGACGATCTGCATTCTGATCGACCAAGAGGGCAGCGGGAGACGCGCAACGAAATCGTAGAGGGAACTCATTGCGTCCCGGTACCTAACACGAGCAGCGGGAAATTGCATAGACTCCCTCGCACGGCGCGTGTAAAGGTAGGCGGATAACAACAGCGTCGGTATGAGCCAGTTGGCATCGAGGAAAGCAGAGCAACCCATGGGGCTGAAGGACGAGGGACGAGTTTGTCAGTAGCGAGTGTCCATGTTAGTAGAATGGAGGGAAGGTGGACATGGACAACGACAAGCTGGAAATTGAAGGTTGATTTAGACGCGCGCCTGGAAGGCGAGTGGGGCCGTTCATGACCAGTGGATATCGGGGGCGATGGCCGGATCTCTGAGTGGCCAGGGCTGAAAATAGACCAGCACTAGGCCCCTTTGAAGGTCGTCAAGGCCCGCAGCGGGCCGGTCTTTCTCCACAAGAAGTCCTGGCGATGGACCTGACTTCACCTTCTTACGTAGTGCTTTTCCCAAGCAATGCCTTAACTTAAAGTGTCTACATGTCTTGAACTACAACTTGCCAATGGGTACACCGCCTCCCTTGCTCCTCATCCGCAGGTCTCCATTTTTACGTGCTTCTGTCGTCCCCGGAACCAACGCATAGCAGGGATCGAAGCAATGCGTTCCATCAATCCCAAACGGCCTCCCGAAGGCGAAGCAGCTGCAAAGCAACACCGAGGCGACCGTCTTAGAAACAAGCGCTCGGCTATGGAAGATGGATGGCAGCAGAAGCGAACACCGCACACGAGCCCTTGGCGGAATACCCGAGAACAATATCCACTGGTTGCACGCGGCTTGCGAAGAGCGATGAAGCTACTGTCCCTGGCAAAGCAAAAACGGGATTGATTTGAACAGAAGCACGAGTGCTGGAACGCGCCCAAGCAGCAAGAAACAACAAGACTTAGTAGGTGGTTGTTGTCCTTGGCATAGGCCGCTCCGTGTGCAATTGAGTTCCTACTTAGAATTGTGGATTTCATGCCAGCTCGCATTCTCCCTACGAGGTGTTTGCCCATGGAAATGCAGACATATCAGCTCTGAAAGACGGGATGCCGGCTGTGTAAACCATTTCATGACTACCACCACAAAGATCTGCGTGCCGCAGCTTCGGGCCAGTGCGTTTGGACGTCTGATTGCCGGTTGCCAGCCAACATGGAGAGATGCTCCGGCTATTGCTAATGGCCATTGTGGTCGACCGTCTTTCCTGCTCTAAGCAATGAGTTGCCTGTACAATCAAATGCAGATGAGCGAATCAGATGGAGCAAGTACTAATCAGTAAGCTTTCGTGGCTGCTCTGATCAGGATTAGCGAGTCGGCCAATGATGAGGTGGGGGATGCGTCTCCAAATGCCAAATGCCGAAGATGGCGGGCACATAAATAGGCAGCTCAGGGTCCTGTTCCCCTCACATTTCTCTTCTCCACTAGAACGCTAGTTTCGAAATCAGATGAACAGTGTATTTTCATCACTGGCGAAGGGTGAACATGAGAACTGGCGACCAGTGCATGGAGTTTAGGTAGTCATCTTCATGCAATCTGAGTAGGTGGTAGAAAGGGTAACCAAGACATTAACCTACTTCCAAGAATGCTTCGATTCTTGAATACAACAAAGAACATAGACCGATGTCATCCACAGAGCCACCTGGGCAGATAAACCCCGATAAAGGAAATCACCCCTGCGCCCGCCGAGCCTTCCATACCACATAGTTGGCCAGTGCCCTTGCCTGTCCTTCCACGCCTGTGCAGATGACCTCCCAACCATGCCAAATGCAGAAAGGAAATTTGGCATCCCAGGGTCTAGTCTATCACAGCAAACTTTAACCTCTCCTCACTTGCACCTGCGGTCACTTTTCTCTTCTTACTCTTTCTTTTTTGCACCCTTCATCTTCCGGACCCATTCCTAACGTGGCTGCCGTTGTGTGCTCCATTCGTCCGTCGCCAGCTTGACAGAGCCGGCAATCTTTCTCCCTTCGCATCTGCAACAATAAGCCGCCAGAGGAGATTGTAGCTGAGACAAAGTAAGCAAGACTTGCCTCATATCTCACAGGCAATTATCGCCTGTGTCATCAAGTGACTACCTCCTTGCCCTCTTCCCTCTTCACACGTCGTCCATGCAATAAAACATATAGTACCATCACCAGTGACTCTGTGGCCATCCAATCAATCTCACGTTGGGATCGCATGATCACAAGATCGCTGGGTTATACGATCGCTAGCTTACGACAACACAGAAGCAACGCTAATTATGTCGACTATGGACACTGGGATGACCAATACCACTCACTGGGGTTCACCCAACGCCCAGGAGCCTCAAGCTTCCTCAGCTACGTTATTCATGTGCCCAAGTCGCTGGGAAGCACCACAGTGGCCATGGCTCTCATCGCAGCCTGGGTTACCTTGTGCGCCTCACTCCGCTTCAAACGCATCACCAACTTCCAGAAGCAGATGGGCTTCAGCGATCGTGATTCTTTGGCACTCATGACGAACAACCAGGCCCAGCTCATCCTCAAGAACATTATCGAATTTGAGTTCCCCAAGATGTACATTCTTTCTCTCCAGTTCGCCATCTTCAAGGTATGCCCATTTGCCTCGGACTCCCAGGTGAGACGCCTATCCACTAACTTCGATACCCAGACATATGGCATTGAGACTATGTCCAAGCTCATCGTCGCCACCAAGAACCTGGCTGATGCCGCCAACGCACAGAAGCGGTAAGTTTCCTCAATGCTGGCACATTGTGTGAAGCCCTCCTCCATCTTCACACTATAGTTGCAGGCATTGGCTAAGAGGCTCATGTTCTTTTTCAGATACGAAGATACGACTATTCTGTTTGGCGAGTAAGGCATACCCCCTCTACATTGCCTTCAACTCAGTTTAACCCGTATCCCAGATTCTCCCTCAATCCTCCCACCTCAGAGCGCGCCCTCAAGGCCATCTCCCGCATGAACTACCTCCACAGCCGCTACGTAGCCGCTGGACAGATCTCTAACGCTGACTTCCTTTACACCCTGGCCGTCTGCATCACCGAGCCCATCCGCTTCATGCGTCTATACGAGTGGAGGCCCCTTACCGACATGGAGGTCTGCGCCATCGGTACCCACTGGAAGGCCATTGGCGATGCTATGGACATCCAATACAAAGGCTTCCTCCGCCAGGAGTCGTGGGCCAACGGTATTGAGTTCGTCGAGGATATCACCGCCTGGGCCGCCCAGTACGAGGTTGATGAGATGAAGCCCGCCAAGGTCAACCTCCAGGCGAGTTCCCAGCTGACTGAAATGATGCTCTTTCACGTCCCGAGCTTTGCCAAGTCGTTCGCCCGGGAGGTGCTGTATGTTCTTATGGGAGACCGCGTCCGTGCTGCTTTCTGGTATGTTTACGAAGAATCCGACCCTGGGCCCGTACCGTCGAAGAAGCTGATCTGACAGCAAACTACAGCTTCCCCGAACCCGGCATCGTCGCATCTCTTGCCGCCTATGCAGCCCTCGTCACCCGTCGCTTCGTCGTCCGCCACCTCATGCTCCCACGCTTCACCCCCGTCGTCTACTTCTCGGGCCCGGATCCCGACACAGGCCGCATCCTGCACCACGACTACCTTGTCCACCCGTACTACAACCCCGCCACTGTCTGGAACCGCTGGGGTCCCATCGGCCTGGCGACCCGGCTCCTTGGGGGTACTGTTCCTGGCCCGGAGAAGATGATGCCGCAAGGCTTCCTGTTCGAAGACATTGGTCCCCGGGAGAAGATGGGCAAGGGCTCCGCTGAGATGACACAGTGTGTTGAGGCACTGAAGAGCCGTCGCCGCGATGCCTGCCCCTTTACTGGTGGTTCGTCTTGATTTGTTGACAACGGTGTACTAAACGGGATCGGGTTTGTTTTCACACCCTCATTCGAGTAAGAAAGGCTTTACGTATTGCGGAAAGAATGGCAACAGCTTTCGTTATAGACACGCATGAGACGAGCGATATCGGGAAAATGCGATTGGTTGCACAAATGGAGGCGAGGAAGGGATGCTGCAGAAGCACGCTTAGAAGTGTTATTTAGACTTATTTCAGGCCACAACGTCAGGCGGATATAGCTTCGCACACACAAGCTTGTAGACCAAGGCATGTCTCCTCGTGCGTCAAACGCCCGGCTTCTTTCACACCTCTACACACCACCAATGCTCATCTAAGCTTGCGTTCGCCCGAGAGAATCAATTGCACTCGGCCGTGCTATCATAATTCATTACCTCCGCGCCCCGTGCTCCATCTTTCCCCTCTCCCAAAGTCTCCTGCAACTTGATCATGAGCCGGCGATGCCTAGTCCTACTCGGCCCTGTCCACCACCGTAGGTCCCCACACCTCCTCCGCTCATGCTGGCGCCGGAGTTCGTCCCGGTGCGCTCACGCATTCTTCTGCCCTCCATAAGACCCCGCAAGCCTCTCTTCTGCAGGCCAATGACGGAGCTAAGCTCGCCGCCCCAGACTTCGCGCATACCCCCCCGCTCCGAGTCGCCGATTTCTGAACTCCATTCGGATCCGCTGACGCTCGTTGTAGCGCTTAACTCATCGCTGGAAGGCCGGCCCGAAGACATGGCGGTATTGATGCGCAACGCAGCTTTGCGAGATGAGAGACCCTGCAGGTCTGTACTGCTGCCGCCATTCTGAGACCCTTCGGGGGGAAACATGGGCGAGCCCATGGCATCCAGGGGCACGAAAAAGTTGGGGTTCAGGGAACCGTCTATACCACGGCCGCCGCCGGCAGCCATTGCGGTTGCATTGAATACGGCAGCTGCGTTTCTCGAGTCCAACAGGGCGTGCAGGCGCTCCACTACCGCCTCGAGAAGACCATCGATCCGGTATGGCCGAGCAATTTGAAGAAGCGAGCACAAAATAGGGGGTGTGCATAGAGGCGAAGACGGGGGCGGCAGTGAGGACGTGTAGAGAAAGTGAAGGAGGGCCTGTACAGTGAGATAGGTGTGCGGGAGGTACAGGCAACGAGGCCGCGAGTTGGGAGGCAGAGACCTTGGCGTCGGAGCCGAGTTGACGGTGCTTGCGTCAACGGTGCTACTGGAGCCCGGGAGAGAGAAGGAGGCCGCTGAAGCGCTGCTTGGAGCCGTACTCGGGGTTTTGGAAGACGATCCCGACGACAAGACGGTGCTTGTCATGGACCCCGAGCTCTCGACCGTATTACGGGCTGGCGTGATGGTTAAAGCGGAATTTCTTATGGGATTGTTGACCCCAGAACTGGAACGCAACGTCATAGCATCGCTGCCGTCCTGAGTCGCTGTTCCCTCGCGCAGCAACTGCACAAAATAAGGTCCCCATCGGCGTGCCACCATCCTCGAGTTGATGGGAATCCTCTCTCCGTGTAAGCAAAGAATATCCATGTCGGATAACTCCCGCATGGCCAGCGCCTTCTCCCCCAACTCCTCGGCGGCCCTCGAGTGAGAACGTCCTCCTGCCGTGGTTCCGGCCTTTCTAGCCAGGCTCAGGCCAGGTCCAGTATACGGGCTACTGGCCGATACGAACCCAGACATTGGGGTCGTCTTTCTCGGGTTGTCGTAGAATCCAAATGCTTCCAACTCAACCATGCAAACATTGGAAAAGTTGATACGTCGATGATTATAGTCATCGACGAGACTGCGTTTTCTGTTGCCGAGAATAACAAACGTGTTCCTGCGGTTCCAAAGTACACCGCGGTTCCAACTGCCCTGACTGAAAACAGCGCCTCCAGCGTCGATTCGCGACCAAGTCAAGGTCTTCAGATCCAAAGCCCATAGCGCATACTCTTGCTTCGAAGAAGTGAGATACGTGCCGCTCACCACAAAATACGTGTCGATGACGCCGCCGTTAGGGAATCGCAAACCTGGGGGCGAGTAAGACCCCGACATGGGTTTCTCCGTAAGGGTGCCGTCCGATGATCTGACTTGTAACTCGAGCTTGACATCCAGGAAATTGTAGTTGGAGTAAATGAGCATAGAGGACCCGGGTTCCCGGGCTTCCTGACTGATCCCACCCTCTCTCTGGAAGCCGTTGACACTAGACTTGCCAATCCGCGCTGATACGGAGGGAGGTAAAGGCGCCACCACGCTTCTGTATGCGCCGCAACTTTTATCGAGAGGTTCGATCGCCGTCCATTTGAGGCTGCGGAGATTGAAGACGCTGATTTGCTCGATGTAGTGGTTGGCGCCGTCTTGGCCGCCGACGACGACCATTTCAGCACCACCCGTACCGTCAATATTGATTCCTATCCTTCCTTCGTTCGGGTTTCCGGATGATGGGTTGTGCTGTAGAGCCGACAACGGTGCCTTGTGTGATGTAAAGGCGGCCGAGGAAGGCAGGATACAGGCGCAATGCGCGTAGCGGCCTTGGGGCGGATCCTGCGTTGAGATATAGGTCCATTTGCGGGATGGAACGTCGTATACGTAAATGTCCGACATGACCGTAACTTCGGGCTGTTGATCCGGGCCGGCGGCGGACTGGTTCGGCGTTGGGGACATGCCTCCGTAGCATACCATCTTGGTGTCTCCTAGCGCGCACATGGAGTGGAAGTATCGAGGGGGTGGAATGTCGCCTGTGGTTTCCAGCTTCGACCAATGTCTGCGAATAAGATCTAGCTCGTAGAGATCGGACGTCAGCGGAGCCGGACGACTCCGTGACAGTATTCTCCCACCAAAGACATAGAGCTTGTCCCCTAGTATGGTGGTCGTGGCGCCAACCAGCGGGTGAGGCTCTCTACCGGTTGTCCGATGGACATTGCACATGAGGCCGGAAAGATGAGCCGAGGACGAGGACGCGGTCGGCGTACCGACCGCCGAGGCAGGGTTCCTGTTTTGGTTGGAAGAGGGAGACGGACCCGCCGATAAGGGCCCGTTACTCCGCGGCGTCAAACTCGGGTTCTCCCTCATATCTTCACTCCCATCTTGTCTCGAAGAGCTTCCCAAGCTGCTCTGACTGCTTGCCATATCGGCGTTGTATCCTGAGCCACCGCCGTACATCTGAGCTCGGTCCGCTGATACGCTTGAATCCATCGTGCTGGTACGACTGTCTATATCATCGGCCGGTCCCTCCTCTATAGCACCAAGGCTTCCGATATTGTAGTGTGTGGTAGGAGGGGCGTCAGGCCCTGTGGGCGAGGGGATCGATGGTGGTGGTTCGGGTAGGGGCTTGGCAAGACTACTCTGTAGACTCAAACTCCTCCCATGCTGAAGCGGCCGGTTCTTGGACGAATTCGGAACGGGAGTGGGCGTCGAAGAAGGAGGCGGAGATGGAGTTGAGGTCAAGCTAGGGGAAACGCTGTGCAGACCCAGTCGAGAAAGAGACGGCTGTCTCGTCAGCCTCGATTCGCCGTCTCTGCTCGGAGCAAACTTTTTGAAGCCACGATAGACGCCGGAAAGGATGTCTGCGGTAGACTTTGCGGGGGGGGATCTATCTTGCTCGGGCTCCGAATCGGAAAAGCGCGAGAGATCGCCCTGTACAGAAGACTGATTCGAGGTTAGTCCCGGGCCAGACATTGCGACACAATCAGCCCCCAGGCTGTGTCCACAACAGTCTGGGGAGCGTTGTGTTGCAAAACAGTCTCGACGATAACGCAAAAAGAAAGTTGCTCAAAGGCTCGAAATGAGGGCTGCGTGGTTTTTCATGCAGGGCGGGATTTAAGAAGAACTGCCGATAAAGCAAGGTGGGCTCGGAGAAGGAGGATTTCTGTAGAGCTCACTCCGGGACCAGGTCGTCCAAGGTTCGTCGGCGACGGTACCAAGAGCAGGCAAACTTAGAGAAGCTTCCAAGGAGAAGAAGAGGAGAGGAAGTGAAAAGAAAAGAAGAAGGAAAAAAGGAACCCGGGAGAGAAGGAGAGGGGGGGGGGAAGGGTACGAAGTATAAAATATGAACAGAGTGGATGTCGCGACGTCGTTGCGGCCAGGTAGGAAGCAAGACAACGGCAACGCTGAGGCCACAATAGGCATCCGCCAGAGGTAAGAGGAGGTGGAAAAGACAAGATATGATGAATGGGAAAGAAAACCCCGGCTCAAGGCAACTTAAACCCGGGTTCGTTCGTTCATCTGATTCTACCAGGCCCCCAGTACCTTGTGACGGGTCTGGCTGAGGTGTCTCTGGCGGCTCTCTCGCTCTTACTTCTCTGTGCGTGTGTGCATCTGTCTCCGGGGTGGGTTCTTGGGCTAGACCAGGCACGGCTGGAACTGGGAACTGGGCTGGGGCGGAGAGAGGCAGGCCTTGCTATCCCGCCTTACTTTGTGCGCGTTTCTCTCTGTGCGTTTCTCCCCACAGGTGACAGGAAGCGGCGCACAAGAGATAGAGTGGGATGTGGGCTGGGGTGTGGAGGACAAATTGGCACAGGACGTGAATGGGGATGGGAGGAGACGGGGCAAGCGAACAGAACAGCAACGACTTGAAAGCTATGAACATTACGCACCTAGGACCAGGGATGGCGCAGGGAATCAAATGGGTCGAGGCCGAGTAGAGTTGAGTCGAATAGAGGCGAAGCGAGGCGAGACTTATCCTACCCAAGGTATCCGCGGGCCACGGCGGGTAGAAAAGAGATCGACGGCGAAGAGGATGTCGAGGACGAAGACGACGGCGACGGAGGCAGCGACGGCGACGGCGACAGCGGTCTCGAAGACGATTCAGGTGCGGCGTCCAGTAATTGGGGGTCGGGTCGGTAGGGTACGGGTAGGGTAATTGCAGAAAAGGGACGTGTGTATGTAGGTACCCAGCAAGTCGTGGTTGCGGGCGGGGACCAGGCAAGGCAAAGTTCGAAGAGGGATCCGCGCAAGAATGGAGTCGAAGTCTGGCGACAATGGGGGGACCTGGGACTCCGAGTGCGCTTGAGGCTTGTCCAGCGGCGGCGGCAGCGGCCGGAAACCACCAGCAAGGTTGCAGTCGTTAATTTCCAAATGCCTGCTCCTTTGGCAGATGGAAACTGTCGAGGCTGAGAAAGCGTAGGCGTCTTGGATTTTCCTCTCTGCACTGGAGGGGCGTTCGTTTGGTTTAGGCGCACAGACTTGCCTCGTGGTTGGGCCGACCAGTCGGACAAGGTGTTGAAAAGCAGCTTGAGCTCCGAGGCGGACGCGAGGGAAGAAGTGGGTTAGGTTGAGGGGGGAGAGCCAGATACGGTCTGTAAGGTACTGGACTGGAAGCCCCGCATTCGAAAGGCTTTTGGTATCCGACGTTCCAGGAAACGAAAGTGGACGGTGTAGATGGCGGCAGGGGAATGCGAATGACTGGATGCGACAAATGTGACTGACGAAGGGTGTGTGGGTTGATGGTGGTGGTGGTGGTGGGATATGCAAGTTGAGGCGGATGAAGATGGGAGAACAGAACTTGTGGGCGAGGGCGAGGGCGAGGATAAGATGGGCGTTCCCCCACAGCGTGAGTTGCAGAGGAAAGCGCGCGCCAGGCAATGCGATGTGATGCGATGCGATATGTTACGAAACCAAACCGAAGCAGAGACAAGCGACCAGCTGGATGAGCAGGATGAGCAGGATGAGCAGGATGAGCAGGTATTCGTGGTTGTAACTGCAGTATCCGTATCCATACAGCTACTGGACGGTGATGTTTCAATATGTGTCTGCAGCCTGCAGTGTTAGGTAGCCAAGTAAGGCTGGGTACCGTATGGACTGGACACAGTAGAGAACGGGCGGTATAGGGAGAAGGTCCGTCAAATGGCACAACTGATTGAGCATGGGATAACGGGGCTGCCGCCGGTGGTGGTGATGGGGATTTGGAGCGATTAGGACGAGAGGGGGCCAGGGGTGGGTGGAAAGACTGCGAATGCGAGTGAGAGTGACGGGAGGATGAGGATGAGAGTGGAGTGCGCGAACTTTGTGAAAGGGGAAGGGGGGAGAAGGTGAAGAGGGATGGGCGATTATTGCCGCGTTGGGCATAGACCCATCTGTGAAGGCCCGTACGCCAACGTACCTTAAACCGTCCGCTTTTCCCATGAGTATTTTTTTTACATGTCGCAGCGTTTCGTTTGTTCGACGGCACCACCAACCCGGACCAGGTGTGGCCATTCGACGTCGCGTGAGTGAGGGAGTCCCGGTACCTCTGACAGGCACGGTGACAGAGGAGCCCCCGTATGTACTGCGTGCCTTGGAAGAGGTGTTTTTGGTCACTGACCCGGGAGCCCGAAAGGGGGAGAAGGGTTGGCTGGTGTCAAATTGTTCAATTACAGTACATGCTGCGGTATCCATTGAATAGGGGAACTCGGGAGAACCTAGAAAGGGGGAGCACGAGGACGAGGACGATGACGAGGACGAAGTTCAAGTCGATGCAGGTGCGATGCAGAGCCCAGGGGAAGGAAGGCCCAGAAGCAGAAGGCAAGGTGCTTCATCCCAGCATCCCAACTTCCTTCCCTGCCCAGCCTCCTCCCGTCCCGCCTTGCTGTCTTGTGCCAAACCGGGTAGGTAAGCAGGTACCGTATGTATGTAGACAGGCAAGGTAGGCAGGCAGGCACCTGGTGCCTTGTCTTCCCTGTCGAATTCCGCGTCTCCGGTCGGCCTAGGTGAGCTTTGCGCCGTCTCACCTCCCCGTGCCTTGTGCAAACCCAACCTCCGTATATCTCGCATGTCGATACCAGGCAGCTTCTCCAAGGTACAAGCAGAGCAATGCCGAACGAATTTCACGTCGAACCCATGTAACTCGAGCCAGACGAGAGGGTACTAAACAAGAAGACATAGCCAGAAATACTCCCTCGAGCGAGTGTCCACGAACTAGCGAGCTGGGTGGGTGGTGATACTTATACTTATGTAAGCGGCCCGTCGAGGTACCTCAGCGGAGAATGCCGCATAAAGTTGTGGAAGGTACATGTGCTATTGGATTACGCGTGCGCGCATTGACCTCGGTCCCCCCCCCTTAGATGACTTTTTTTCTCTCGACATGTGTCTTTTTACTCTTCTCTCGCCCAGGCATGTCGACCCCTAGCCTACCAGCCCCCTTAGCACACTTACCATTCGGCCCCTCCACCCGCGGGAGCAAACGAGGGAATATCCAAAGAAGAAAAGAAGCAACGGCAATTACGGATACCAACTCCCCACGACCGGCCCTTACCTGTCGCACCAGAGCACCAGAGCACGAGGAACCAAGAAACCTACTCGCCTCTGAAGAGCCCTTTTCATCATGTTCAAAAATCATTTTCATTATTATTATTATTGACTTTGGCCAATACCACGAACCCGCAGACAGCCCCCCCGCCTCACCTACGCGCCGGTTCCTCTTTCCCGCTGGCCGGACCATGCACCATCAATCGGAATCCTGCGGCAAGGGCAGGAGAAGGGGGGGAAACATCAGACGATCGCGCTGCAAGAGGACCCTGTCTTTTTTCCCCTTGGCCCTCTACATAGTGCACTTGCAGAACACGCGGCACACGCAGTAAGTAGGTCACCGGTGGCAGCGAGTATGTGCAGGTGGGTGTGTGCGTGCCAACATCCAACATGCCACACACTCATGATATCCCCTGTCTCCCACCCATGCAAAAAACAGAGGGGAGAGCGACGCCGAGAGGATTGGGCAGTTGCTTGCAGACACGGTCGAGTGAATCTGGTGGCAAATCAATCCGGACTGGGATCTTAACCATTGGAGGGCTAGTTGGGGTCTCTCTCTTTCTCTTTCAGGGGAGCGGGATACGGGTACCAGGCGAAGCAACAATCATGTTGGGGGACGCTGGTCCCTGTCCTGGCCCCCTTGTCGACACCGCTCCTCTGGGCCTTTCATCCACGCCTCCCTGCCCGCTGTGCCGCTCTCGGTTTTTCTACATGTGTTGTACATAGGTACCACGTCCTGCCGTCTTTTGCTGCCTGTCGTTTGGGAAGCTTTCCCCACCGCAGCGGATGCTCTGTCGACCTCGCCCGGCGCAGCTGACGCTGCCAAAGACGAGCACGGAGGATACAGGGTGCCATGACAAAGGAGCGGCATTACTGACAAGCCGTATTCCCATCTTCCCCAGAAAAAAGACTTTACACGTTACTCAGGGCGCGGTACGGATACACCGCCCGTCGTTGTGGGAAACAAATTCGGCATGCCCTGTCGTGTCTCAGGCGAGCAATCCCGGGACAGGCATCCTGCCGACCCGACGGACGACTTTTGGGGCTCTGGAACACCGCAGGTTGCGGACGCTGGCCCTTCTGCCCATCCCGTGCAAGAGACGTGGGAAAACGTGGGAACCCGGCCACTTGTCACTTTTGGTGGATGCGGATGTTTCAACTTTCCCCGGCTGTCCCCTGGTTCTGGAATTGTTCCAGCCTCACTTTTTCCTCACTCGCACCAGCGATTGGGGACTCTGCCTCGTATCCGGCCGGGATCGTGCCTGTCTTGGACGAAAGGCTTCCGCTCGATCACGCCCGAAAGCCACCTAGCCAACCGGCCGGTTCACTCTAGCTGAGGAACGCTACGACGCTTGGGCAATAAGGACAACCTAGGATGCTTTTGTGGATGAATCAGCTAGCAAGCGCAGTCTAGCTGTCCAACCAGATTAAAATAAGATAAAGAACGACATGACGGCCTTCTCCTCCCGACTGGTCCGTGCCTGTTCGGCCGAGTCATGTACTGGAGAGTGATAATGTGATGGATCACCATCGGTCTGGTTGAGAAAGGTCAAAGAGCTAAAGAGCACGAGGTAGGTAGCCCGGGCGCAACAAGCCCCCGGGGAGTGCGGGAGTGTCCCACGGTGTGCGTGCCTCCACGTCGGGCGGCCGACCAACTTATCCGCGGCCCATATCCCACGGCCCACGATATGGGCTGTACGGTGACCCATCTCCAGACGCCTGGGAGAAACGCTTCAGGCGCTGTGTGCTTGACGAAGCTTCCATTTGCTTATCATGCCTTTGTGCCGCCGGGCACGCTTGATACGACTACAAGAAGCGAGGGGAGGAAAAAAAGACGTCTGGCTTGAACCACGTCTCCCCGTCGCGTTTCGGCCAAACGCCTCGCCGGGGCTATATATGTTCCTATTTATTCCTCTTACACAGTCACGCCTCAGCCAGGACCTGCGGTGGAACGGCCCATCGATGATGCTGCCATAAAGTCAATAAGTCATGACCAGACATGTCCGATACTACTTGCCCCGCCAGTCAACTGGTGCAGTTGTCGGAAACCAGCTTCCGAATCGCGACCACCCTGGTGACGCTCTCCCATCCTCAGCACTCGTTTGGCGGAGCCCATGCAAAGGACGAGACAGCGGACCGGAGATCTCGTTCGCGATGCGGATAGACTCGAAAGGTGCCAGAAAAAGTCACGCTTAGTGTCACGAAGCGCACGCCAAAGGGCAGCCTGTGATATTGGGACGTTTCTCATTATTTCGTACTTTCTATGGTAAAGGCTAAGGCGCTGCTGCCCAGGTGCAGACGTTCCAGTGAGGACTTTACCTTGGGCCATGCTACCATTGCCAACGCTACGCGGGGTATTCAGAGGAAGAGTTTGACCTCCGTACGTAGTCTCCTACGCTTGGAGAGCATCGGCATTTTCAACTTTTTTTCTTCTTTGGGCTCATCCACTCACCATGACCTGCAGTTCATGCAGGCCAGGCTCCTCCAAGCAACTACCTGGAGAATCTCTCATGCAACAAAACGCCCCCACACCTCGTTCCAAGCGCGGCCACTTACGCGACGGTGGCCTTGTCCTTGGGCAAAGGGGTGAAGCGCAGGTAGGGCTTGACGATGCGGACCTCGGGGAAGATCTCCTTGGCCTGCTCGGTCTTGATGGAGGGGTGGACGATGACGTCGTCACCGGGAACCCAGTTGATGGGGGTTGTGATCTTGTGCTTGTCGCCAGTCTGAAGGGAGTCGACGATGCGGAGAACCTCGGCAGAGTTGCGGCCGGTGGAGGCCGGGTAGGAGAGGATGGTGCGGATGGTCTTCTTGGGGTCAATGATGAAGACGGAGCGGATGGTGAAGGCGATGCCCTTCTCGTCGACGTTGGTGGTGTCCTGGTAGTCGAGCATGTCGTAGGCGTAGGCGACCTTGCGCTCCTTGTCGGCGATGATGGGGAAGGAGACCTTGGAGCCGGTGACCTCGTCAATGTCCTTGATCCAGCCCTCGTGGCTGCCGAGGGTGTTGGCGGACAGGCCGATGAGCTTGACGCCGCGCTTGGAGAACTCGGGCTCGAGCTTGGCGAAGGCGCCGAGCTCGGTGGTGCAGACGGGGGTGTAGTCCTCGGGGTGGGAGAAGAGGACGACCCAGCTGTCGCCGATGAACTCGTGGAAGTCGATGGGGCCGTTGGTGGTCTCGGCCTTGAAGTTGGGGGCAACGGTGCCGAGGCGGAGGCTGTGGGAGGGCGAGTCAGCATTGCTTTGGACGCGCAGAGACAAGACGAGCGCGGCGAAGCTGCAGGCATCGGCGGATTTGGCGATGTCGACAGCGACGGCGGGGTAACACGGCACGGGGTTTGTAACTTACGGTGCAGGGCGCTGGTCAGCCATTGTGTCTGTGATGCGAAGAGGTGCGGGAGAGATTGGGTATATATGGCAAAGATCCGATGGTATGTGAGATGGAAACAACAATGGAGAGAGGAAGAGAGAGCAGGTGGAAAGGCCCAACGAAGGCGCGGGACTCGACGTGTAATAAATAGCTCGAAGCCACGCCTCAGGCACTGGCTACCGCAAAGTGGAAGACAAAGCCCGGCCGTACCTTCGTACCTACTCCTCCTCCTTCTCCCCCCTCCTTTGTTTTGTCCCGTCAACAGCCCATCTCACCTTCGTGTGGCACACTTGTCTTATCCTTTGGGTCTTGGTGCGGTAGGGGTCCTGGAGACGATGTCGTCTAGCCTTGTCTATTCGCCCGTCTTTTCCCACAACAGCTCCATCTGAGTTCCACGATCCATCCCCCGGCAGAGCTCAGAGGCAAATCCCGGCGCGTGCCAGCCTTCTTCCATTTGACTGTGTAGCATGCCAACCCCCCCTGAACTTGTCTGATGGGGAGCAACGTGAAGCCGGACGCAGGATTGAAATCGTTCGGTGCTTGTTTGCTCTGGCATACTGCTTTATTGTTGCTTGATATGAGACGGTCGCCGACCTTTACCCCTCCCACTAATACCCATGATGACCGACGACGATCGCATTGCCAATTACCGCATAGCGTATTGAATAATCAAGCCTGCCCAACAATAGCCCCGTCGACAAAGATTGGCGCTGGTATCCCATCGAAAGTGGTGGAATCTCCTCGGCAACGAAAATGGTGTCTCTCCAGACTGGCACGTCGTTCCCCCGACGAGACGAGCGGGAGGGAGCTCTCTCCAACTGCCCCGCGTTGGAGGGGCTTTTTTTCGCAGGTGCCACTACCCCTCCAAGTCCCGTTCGGGTTAAGGCCCGATGGCGTGCTCGATTACATCATCCTTGGCCCAGGGCACATCATGGAGGGAAACCGCCTACAGAAGACGCCTGAAGGGCACCTTGAAAGCACTATTCGCCCAAGCTATCCGCCTAACGTGCTAGAATTGGCCCTTATCTGCCTTCGTTCTTTCGGGGAGCTCCAGGATCCACTCCATCCGTCACATCACATCCCGCCGTCTTGGTGCTTCTTCAGCACATGCAGGCAGCACAGCAACCCCGAGAATATCTCCAAGACCGACGCTCTTAATCAGTCAGACACGCTTCGTGATCATAAGGACATGTCACTGACGATCATTTGAGGCAATTCGAACAAGAGTTACCCAATGCGGCTTCCAATATCCTCCATGACCCCCACTACTTCCTCGCCCACAAAATCCATGTCATCGTGCTCCCGGGGGGCGCCATTTGTCCTCGAGGCTTCAAATCAACCCACGCTGCCACGCCATGAAGCGTGATGCTTCCCCATCTAGCCCCCGGTAGCTCCTCGCACGCCATCGCCGATAACCGTCTTCCCGCCCCATCTAGTCACCGACCCCCTCCGTCCCACGCCGACTGCCGGCCGCCGATCCCCGGGGATTGGGAAGAAGGGTGCCCGGGCACTTGAAATGACTTACAAATACAATGGAGCGCAGGCTCGCTCCGCTCAGTTTTGACAATCGCTTTTTACTGTGATGCCGTGACCGGTTCATCAAGGTCCTCCCGCAGCATGAACTACCGCTCTTGAAAACTACGAAGCTGTCCGGCTTAGGCGTTAGTATCCGGCCGAGTCTTTGTCCTCGTGTCATGCCCTCAAACCGGGGCCGGCCACTTTCCAATATTATAGCCAATTGACTACAAGCGCCGAGTCAACCACCCTGTCCTCAACAAGTTGGTGCGAGCGACAGACGCCGGTCCATTTTCCAACGTTGGCATAAGGTGTGCACTAGAACCACCTTGGATATATCAATACACGTCCTAGAATGCCAACCAAGTCATTACTTGTCATTATGGCTAAGGAACTGCTCTTTCGGCCATTGACAAGCGTATACAGGTGGCAGAGAGTTGAAAGAAAGCGACGGGATCGCAGATCTTTACTCTTTCCTTCCTTTCCCATACTCGTTTTGTTTATGCATCCATTTCTCTAATCTCATTTGTCAATCATTTCCCTTTCGTTCCTAGCCCTTTTGTTGTTTTCCTTGGTCTCCCCGGATATCATGGAAAGCTATGGGCGTTTGGGGGAAGAACGGAGAAAAGGCAGAAGAGTGTGCTACACCTGTCCAGCCTTTTTGATTCATAGCATGACAGGCTGCGTGTTGCCTGCTTTCGAGTGAACGTCCTTCTTCAATAGGGTCATTATCCCGACAATTCTTTTGGTTCTGTGCGTCTTGCCCAGTACTTTCCAGGGGAAGCGAAGCGGAGCCTATGGATTGAAGCCCGCGTTAATAAGGAGACATTCTGCCTTGATGGGTATTAAGATTGCTCGAGAAACATGGGAACGATTGTCTCCATCACAGCGCTACTGCAGATATATCCTCAGACCCATCAAGCCAGGTGTTTCCCTCTCATTTGACTTCACGGCTCGTCTACCAGGCAACCCTTTGTCTGTTGGTGACTTCATCCTTATTTGTGCGGTTTACTCATCCATGAAAGCCACCAAATGTCGTGCGCTCTCTGTTGGGCAGTCTCAGCATGCCCGCCGGCTGATCATGAAAGATAGTCCCAAACTACGCAAGGGCAGACAAAAAGAACTTCCCCCTCTACCAGACGGTCGCATCGTAGGCTTCGGGGTCTTCGGAATCGCAGCCCAGGGATTCTCTGCCTCTTCGTCCACCAACCAGAACCGTACAGTCGATAAGGGGGCCTTGAATGTCGATGTGGGTAGGGTCATATCTTCCATGCTGGATAGCGTACGAGAGGCTATGAAGCCTAGAGCCTTGGACTGGTTCACGATGCTAAGCTTGCGGGCAGCCATTGAGGGTTCAAGGTCGAGGGCTTGGAGTAGAGAAAGGGGAAAAAACACAGTGGCATGGAAGTGAGACTATCATAGTGCTCACGACCATGGTAGAGATCCCTGGTTCTGAGCTCATGGTGTCGGAGGGTAACGGTCATGTCGGTCTTGTGGTCGACAAGGTGGATGTGATCATATCTACATTGCCGGGTTGACTGCGGAGACCCAGCCGAACACAGGAAGTTACCAGGTTTCACACGGCGGGAACTGTGAGGCATGCAAAGTATCTGGTTACTATTTTATTATCCGTGCTAAGAGTACGTGTCTGTTTGACGTGCGCAGGCTAACTTAGGCCATTGGCTCTGTATCGTGTGCGGGCATCAGGGGTTCGGGCGCCGCCATCTCTGTCGACGCCGCCATCATCGAGTCCTTCTGGCTTAAGGAGATGCAGGGGGAGACGCGGGGGGAGTAGGAGGGTCGGTGCTGGGGGAAGGGGGGTTGTTGTCGGGCATGTTTGGTTTGGTAAGAGAGTTGAGTGATTCTTGAACGGGGGGCAGGTGGGCTTTGTTTCTTCTACTATGTTGTCTGTATTAGTATGGCTCGGAAATGGATTCAACGGCCGAGGTCTGTTAAGCTTATGTACTGTCCGGTATCATGCCAGTGAATCATCATTGGAGGCAGTGAAGTGGTTGAAGCCAAGGTTGTTTACGATGAATCGCATAATCACCACGCATGATTGAGAGCAGGAGAAGGGGGGAGAAAACACTTTTGATGACAACACTACTTCAACCTGATATCCTATACCACAACGCCTGCTGCACACCCCGTGACCCTCCCCTGAGTCCAACTCAACAGCCCTGCCACTTGAACGTGAGCGCCTCCGTGACAGGAGACGTCCCGCCGTCCTTGCGCTCCCTACCAAAGACAACCCGGCTGCCAGCCTGCGAGATGATGCGGAACGTGACGTTGAGGATCCCCACGTACCCGTCACCGCCAACGCAAGTCGACGCCGTATCCACGCGTTGGGCCACAGCCACGTTCCGCGCAACGGCGCCGGCGCCCGACGAGGTGCTCGTGGACTTGGTAACCTGCCGCTCAAAGCCAGTCAGCTTTCGTTCCCGAAGAAGGGAAAGAAAAGAAAAGGGGTCAGAGAGGAGGCGGGAAGGCGCACCGTGTCAGAAGCCGCCTCGGACCAATATGCCGTCGTGTAAAAGTCCACCTTGGCGTTAGAGCTGAGGTACAGCCCGCCGCGGACGACGACGTCCTGCAGGACCAGCGCTCGCCCGGCCTCGCCGCCGTCGACCAGCAGGTGGACCTGGCAGCTCGTCATCTGGCCCGCCGCCAGAGTCTCGCTGAAGTCGGACAGCGTGATGGTGAGGTCGTCGAGGCCGCCGGACCAGGTCACTCTGGCGTCCTGAGGGCAAGCCGGACCGCTGTGGGAGACGGAGTTGATGCGGAGGGCGGAGGCGGCGGTGGCTAGGGAAAGGAGGACGGGGGCGAAGCGGACCATTTTGTTCGGGATGTGTAACTGGAGATTGCAATCGTTGATACTGTTGTCTGGAGCTTGTCATCGGCCATTATAAGGGGAAGCGACTTCGTCGATGGCATGTCGGATCACAGTCCCCCTTTTTATAGACCACTTCAGAACTCGCACCATGTCGGTCGCTGAACGTCCACAAAAAGTGTTTCCAATCTCATGTAGCTAGCCATGTTTCCAATTCTTGGAACACAACGCACGCCTGGAGAGGTCGAGACCGCTTAATATCGTGGCGACGCGCCCGAGAGGCATCGGGTAATTAGCGATATACCCAGCAAATGAATACCCGCGTCCCTGATGCGACGTCCCAAACTCTGGGGAAAATACACAGGGTCTGGAACCCTGCCGAAAGGCGCAATACAGGTCCCCTCGGATGTCTTGGTACTGGTCAATGTAGACCTCAGGAGCCAATTGGACGCGTGGTATCATCAATGGTCGAATAGCACCTTGTATCTTCCGGGACGTTTCCACGGCGAGGCTCTCGCCACACTTTGAAGTTTTCAGCTGTTAATCAACCCATGTAACGTCGATAAGCTAGAACCGTGGATCAGTATGGTCCCTAGCGTCCTGCTGTCTGTCCATGCCGGATTCGCTTCCGCTAAAAGAACATCTCGATTGAGGTTCTTCGGAGGCTCGTCGGCCATGGTCACAATGCAGACATATTGCGTATCTACACCCAGGGGCCACTGTCCAGCCTTGGAGACACACCGGCGAGTAATGAATGCATATTCCTGGAACACTGCTGTTGACGAAACACCGAACTCTGCATACTCAATGCTCCTAGGTGAGAAGATGGAGGACGAATTCGAGCTTGCCAAAGACGCGGTGGACGAGGACGGCAATGAGGTGCAAAGCAAGAGCGCGGAATCTGCTCTCGAAACCGTAAAGTATGACTGTTGCATTTTCTTGTACGATGCTACCCTAACTCTTCCAATCCCCCTCCACACTTCTACTATGCCCCTATGCGCTGTTGTAATGCTGAGCCAAACTCCGTGTAATGCTCATGTATTTCCCAAACCATTCTCGGTCCATGCAATCGATCCATGCAGCCATTGTCCGCAAGCCCTTTAGTAATCTTTGCAGTTCTAGTCCCAGCTCATCCAGTTGGACCTGAGGACATCATCTTCCTCCCCAGGCGTATCTTCGGCCAGTTCTTTGCCCTTCTCTGTCTTCTTTTCCTCGTCTGAGGAGCTCACCCTCCCGTCTACGAGTCAATCCCAAAGTCCACCCAACGATTCACCTACAGGCACGAGCTCGCGGCTGCTGATCTCGAGCAAGTCCTTACCGCTTTTGGGAGTCGTCTCCAGCTCGCCCGTTCCATCGTGCATCCAGTTCCGCTCGTACGGGTCAGGGTCGGACATTGTGTCCTCGGTGTGCGACTCCACGTCCCCGTCAGAAGAATGCAGGTCCGAGGTCTCCATCTCGTCCGTGTGCGAAGTCGCCTCTCCTCTCGATCCAGGCGCCGCGACATCCTTGGCCGGTGTCATGTCAAGGTAACTCGGTCTTCTGTTCTGAGACAGTGAGCCTTCCGAGTGACGTGATCGCGGCAACGGGGGTGTCACAGGCTTCCCAAAGTCGAACTCGACGGCCTCGAGCTGCGCCGGGTTTATCGGGCTAGTCATCGGGCCTCTCACCAGTGAAACGTTGTAGTGGCTCTTTGCCGCTCTCTTGAGACGGGGCTTGCGGACGATGACCGGCGAGGCACTTCCGTGACCATGTCTCGCACGCATCTCCAACCGCTCTTCCTCTTCCGTTTCTTCATCCGTGAGGACATTTTCCATCAGACGTCGGTGGTGCGCCATGAGCTGCACGCTGCTGCCGGAACACCTGCGCTGTCGGTTCCTGACGACTTCAGTGTCCAGAGTAAGAGCCGGAGCACCGTTAGACGTCTGCTTCGCAGCTGCGGAGGACTTGGGCCAGGGCGGCGGCAGGACGATACCCGTAGTAAGCCTCCGTAAGTCCACCTGGCTATCGGAGAAGACGACACGAGCACGCAGGCGATGGACGGCACGATCCAGTGCGAGCTCGATGGCACAACGGTCGCGGATTCGGCTGAGCTTCGGCCATGTTGCGCGCTCGCCCATCAGACAGGCCCGCAGCATGAAGTCGGGACTGGGGTTGCTCAAGATCTTTGGGATATCGTGCACGTTGACCTCGGGGAGGATATTGATGTCGCCGGAATACTTCTGGCTGAGAATGCTCCTAATCTTGGTGACGAGGTTCGGAAAAACCCCAATCTCAGCCAGGAAGTGCAACCGGTGCAAGGCCTCCTCTTTGGCGAGAGCTGTCAGGGTATAAACCCAATCAAGCTCCTGCTTGCTGGGCGACAGACTCGACCGGCGCGCCGCAGTGTCGTCGGGATCAAGCTGATCATCACGCGCCAGGAACGGGACAACGTGAGGATTCACCTGGGAGACGATGAAATGGTTCACGTTGAACATCTCGGCGAGCCTCGTCATGGGCAGGTCGTTGTCGACGGAGCCGTCGATCCATCGCTGCGGTGTCGGGTTCCAAGGCATGTGCTCGCCGGTATCTGGGTTCTTTACTAATAAGGGGGCGGCACTAAAGACCAGCGGGACGGAGCATGAAGCAGCCACAGCAGACCAAATCATGACGTTGGGCGCCGTGATGTAGTTTAGGAGACGCGGGAGCTCGTACATGGACTCGGTCGAAACGCAGATGTTGAGTACCCGTCGCGTTCGGTTGTACGCCTCCTGGAAAGTGAGGTCTCCTACCAAACCTCGCATTACGCGGGTCAGATGCTTTATATCGGACCAGCTTCCCTCGGTGAGCAGCCTCCGCATGTGGTCAAACACACCGTCCGGGTTCTCCTCGGCATCGAAGACGGCCAGGTCACCGTAGGGAAACTCCTTTACAAGACGGGGGATTTCCTCGTCTGTTCTTGTGCAAATAACGGCCGAGACGATGGAGCCTGCTGAGGCACCCGATATGATGCGCGGCAGCAGCTTGACCTCGAAGAGAGCCTTGAGGACTCCAATATGGGACATACCCAATGTCCCGCCGCCGCTGAGCAACAGCGCGCTCCGGCCGAAGCTCTGACGAGCGTACAAGACGCTCTCGAGTATGTCCCTCTGTCCCATGCCCTCGGGCAACGCGAATTGGCTCTTTTCCACGAGGGCGTCGATGGTCTGCATGGCCGAGTCGACGTACCTCTCGATGAGGCTCTTGGTGCCCACGTAGGAGTGCCTGTACAAGTCGACGTTTCCCATGCCCCCGAGATCGCGACAGAGGGCGGTCCGTACAAGGTGCATCATGGCACGAGTGTCGCAGTTTATGCGCGCATCGTCTAATTCTTTCAGCCGCGCCTCGATCAGCGCATAGTTATAGTCCCCGCTGTATGGATCCAGTTTCCACAAGTCGTTCTCCTCGAGGGTGTCGAGTTCTTCAGCGGCGTCCTGCCACTGTTTCCTGGTCTGGGCCTGTGTAAAGATGGTCTGTCAGCAGTGTTGCGACGGCGCAAGGACAAACACGACATGTTCTCCAGAGCCAAAACTCAAGGTCGACATACATTCTTCATGTGAACAGAGAGGACTAGCCTCCGTTCTTCCTTTTTCCTCCTATTCTCCCGTTCCAGCTCGGACAATCCATCGCGCAACGACAGGACGAGGTTGTTGGCGCCTTTGATTGCACGGGATACGGAGTCGAAAGCGGCATTAAGAGGTGGTTGTGGCTGTTGCTGTTGTTGCTTCTTAATGGACGAGGAGCGGCCGGGCTTGAGTGACGCCGAGGGGACGTTGGAGGGCTTGACCCGAATGGAGGGGAGAGGGTGGACGGAGTTGAGGAGGACGTCGTTCATGATGGCGGAGAGGAGTTCGAGTCGAGAGTAAGGATCGTCGTGGTCGGGGCTAGATGGAAAGTCGAGGAGAGGAGGAGCTGGTGAACAAGAGGCTGCTGCAGTGCCGTGCGTTTCGCATCACAGCCTGAAATTGTGGTGGTGCAGCAACAGATTCCTGACATGTGCCTCTGCGGGAGTGGAGGATTGAGGGCAGTCAAAGCATGCGCGCGTCCGTGTATCGTCGCGACGACGGCGATTAAGGGCAGAGTAGCGTCGGGCGATGCGGAGAAAGGCGAGTGAGGGCGGGAGGGCGGCGGGTCTAGTCTATGAGGAAAAGAGAGAGACGAGCGTTGATCAGAGGAATCGTGCGTGGAAGAAGCGTGTCGTGGCAGGCGAGAAAGATTCGCGGGCGTCAGATGATTGTAGCTGGAGCAGTGTTGTGAGAGTCGTGGTTTGGGTGACACGGAGTCGAGGCAGACAGGGAAGTGATGCAGATCTGCCGACGTTGGGCGCAGATGACCGCACAAGCCGGCGCCACAAAGAGAGAGAGAGGGTGACTTGTCGCAAGAGACGTTGTACAGAGCGAAAGAGGCGTTGGAAAAACAAGGGAGCAAAGTACCCCCCCCGTGGTGGTTGGCAACGAGCGATGACGAGAAAGGTAAAGAGGAACAGGCGGGCGCAAGCGGGACGAGATGGTTGGCTAGACGGCGGGTGGTGGTTGGAAGGTGAAGCGACGGATCGGAGGACTCGAGTCGTAGGGTGCTGGGAGGTCGAGGAACGGCTGGTTACCTAGGGAATCCAGGAGCAGGTAGAGGAGTAGACGGGTAAAATAGATGAAGAGCAAGGAGGAATGTCGCGAAGGAATTGGTTGGAGTTTGGCAGGATGCGTGCCCTGGGTCTATACAGTACTGGGTAGAGATGGCAGCTGGAGATGCGAGAAAGATGGATACTGGCGGTGACATTGCACACGACACACACGCTCGTCAACGACCCGGCCTTGATGGAACATGGACAGTGGAAGAAAAAAAGTGGACAGTGATGACAATCGCAGGCACCCCAGGGCCCCCGGGCAGGGAAGCAAATGCACAACCCCACCAGCTGACTTCAGTGCAGGCCTCCCCCACAGATTGCCTCCACATAGGGGCGGGGTGGAGGCGGGGGGCCAGATGCCCCTCCAGACACGGGACGTGGACGCCAGAACCCTCGAGAGTCGAGACCCGAGCTCGCTGAGGCTATCTGAGGCACGCTGCACTTCACTTAGTTCAAAACGGACGAGACGGAAAACAAAGAAGGAGAAGAAATCGTGAGAAAACGGTACGTACTGCCTCCTTGGGACCACGTGCCAGTGTCACCGTGTCACAGCAGACGTAATGGGCGATTCGATTTAGCGCCAACCGACTGGCCTGCTTCTACCCATCCCTATCTCCCCGCACACTGGAGCGTTTGTGACATCTTTTCCCAGCCTACCTCCCTACTTGTAAACGCACATGCGGATGGATACTGGCCGTATTGTGGGATAGACGGGACTGCGCGCCGTGAGGGAGCACAAGCAGCACAAGCAGCACACGCACCGTGGGAACGTCACAAAACGACACAGCCGGGCTGGGACTCTGGGCTCATTTTGGCCAGATGACCTTCCCTAGGGCCCCTGCGTGGCCCCTTGCTCCCTCCGTTGATCCATCCTCCTTCAGACTCTGAGTGGCCCACCCCAGATTTGGGGATCCTGGGGGGAACACCAAGCACTGCATCGTCAACTTCCCAGCCAATCAAGCCCTGCCGCAACACACCCTCTCGCCCAAACTCCTCTCCACACGCTCTTCGCTCTCTCTTCCTCCCGCTCACCCGTTCACTCCCCTTTCTGCTGTTGCTCCCAAGCATCTGAAAGTCAAGTGTCATCCGCTGCTTCCCGCCGAGAGTCTCACCTGACTCTACTTCTTCATGCCCTAATACGAACCCATCCTACCGGCTCGGGAAACACCTCCGTGTTATGCTGTCGTCAACGTTTACACGTTGTCTCACATTGTTTTTGTAACGGACACTTGTGTGTACCGGTCATGTACTTCCCTCTCGCACACACACACACACTCACCCACACACAACCCTAACCACCTAGCTCAAGCCCGAGGGCAACAAGCCACAAGATCAAGACCAGGACCAAGACAAGACCCGGGACAGGCCGCTCGGTGAACTGTCCGTCCATCTCATATCTCTCGCCCACATCCTCCCACTCCCGGTCATCACCCGCCCTTGCCCTACCTGTCAGCATCAAGCAGACAGGTCGAAGGACTCCAGGCTGAGGTGAGCTCCAACTTTGGAGTGGGTGTGCATAGTGTCCTCGGAGAAAAGCAAGCGAACGATGCCCTGCTAAAGAAGTCGGACCTCGAGAGAGTACCCCGCCAACTTAACCCCCTCTGCCCCTCCGTACCATTACCGTGCACACCGCATCGACCTGCAAAGGCTTATTCTCGTTGTTGGGGTGCTCAAATACCAAGAATTGAGCCCGCCGGGACGTGTCTGTTCTACAGTGTATACCAACAAGGCGGATAAGAAACCTGTCAATGACGGGAAAGGCGCACGAAACGCCGCTCCAACGGCCAACCTGCCGCCCCTCACTCTTCAACCGTTACCCGTCACCGTTTGACCTACAGCAACAGAGAATTTGGCCACCTTTGAGATGCGCGGGAGGAAACTTGTCATGCCCAAAGTGGTATAATCTGCCCCATTTAATTTTCATCTGACTCTGGCCGTACTCGGGCAAGAACCCTTCTCTTCACTCTTCTCATGATTCAGACTCTATTTCGTCTCCACCGCCGTGTCTCACACCGGACGCTTCCATCTCACTCCTTTACGTACTTGTGGGAATTGGTGTTTGCCCGCCGTGCCCATTACTCATCAGTCGGTCGATTCCCTACAACAGTCAGATCCCGAACCTAGCCAAGCATTCCCCGTCGTGCTGGGACCTAAACCCGAAAGCCTGCGACCACGCTTAACCATACCTGCTAAGATCCTGACTCGTTCGTTCAGCTTCATGTGCTGCTTTCATTTTCGCTACCACCATAACCTTCAGCGAGTTTTGATCCAACGTCATACATCGTCAGTGGCCCACTCTATCAAGTTGAATCGACGACGGGGTCTTCATCAACGACTTCAGTCGTATGTGTCGTTCCGCTGGGCTTAGGGGCCTTGCTCTTGGTCTTGGTGCCGTGTTTTCCCTGGCCACAGGGGCACTACAGATGGTGGTCTACGTACGCGTGCCAACGCAACGCACACAGAGTTTCGTCGCGGTTCTATCATGGTTCGCCGTTGACCACATCTTCGCCGTCCTCTTGCAACAGCCTCGCCGCAAAGTCACAAACTTTGTCCCGAAGAATTTGAGCTACTTTGCCTTCTGTCCAAAAGTGTCCTGCAGAGGAGACCTCCTCGCTGTGAAAGTGCGATCCCTCAATGCTCTCGAGCCGTCCCACCCACGTCCGCAGTTTGGCAACAGGAACGAAAACATCTCGGTCACCGAATATTGCCAGACTCTCGTTCTCGACTAGTTTGCTCTCGCTCACTTGTCTGTGATCAGTTGTAAAGGCTGGCGCTCCTTGATCTCGAGGCTTACTCGGTCGCGAGAACAGTCCTCGCCCAGGCGCAGCTGGGAGGAACGACATTGTCGCCAAATGCGTGATTACCCCTTGCAATGGAGATATAAGGAGATATGCCGGCCGTACTTGCGTCAAATTGGCCACTTCTTCCACCACGACCGAAATCTCCTGGTTCGACGGTATGGTCTCCAACTTTTCCTGAGTCACAGCTACGCCTCTGTGGTGATGCCGCTTTGTTTTTGCAAGCAACTCGTTGACGCCCCGCCGGATCTTGTCCTCGGCATCCAAGGAGAACGACCTTCGTGTTTCCGAGACTGACCGCCGCGCCTCGTAGCTCTTGCGTTGTGTATCCTCGTCGCCTCCTACCCGCATGCCAAAGTACTTCTTCCGGGGCGACATTGAGCTCGCCGCGCGGGCGCTCGCCAAAATCAAGTTCTGTTGTTCGGCCAGATGCTGTGCACGTAGGCGAATATCGGCGGCTGCGGAACCAGCAGAAGGCAATTTGAACTGCGCGAGGATTTGTGCCAACGGTGGGATCTGCGTCGTTATCATGGCACCGTACGAATAGCCGCCGAGAAGGAGCAGTGGATGCTCCGATGAAGAGGGTTTGGGTTGTGCATCGGGAGGTGAAGGTGTGCGGGTTGTTGTTGGAGACCGTGCGGCAGAGGGGCCGAATGGATCGAGGAAGTGCATATAGTATACCATGAAGCCGACAAACGACATGTAGTCGCTGCGTTCTGGCTTTGCTGTCCAGGAGGTCCGGCCAGCCGAGCCGGAGGCGCCTCTGTCGCGAGTAATCGTGTTAGTGACGGAATCAAACCGCTAACCCCAACATGCTACACTGGCGACCACCCGGGGCGTGTTTCTTCCTTACCTGAAATTGAAGGTGCCTACAAGAAAGCCTTGTCGTAACAGGGTGGCGGCAACGATGTCAACAATGGGATCATCATAAGATCCGCCCAAGGGCGCATATGGGTGGGCGATGACAGCGGCGTGTCGCTTCCATGGTGAAGGGTTTGAGGCAGTAGGGCTCAATGCGTGGCAGTGATACACACGACAGTCCAGAACGGTGTCATCGTGGAGGCTGGGGAGCGTGAAGCTCAACGTCGGTTCAGGAAGCATTTTCTGCTCTTCATAGTGGAGCCATTGCTCGGACCGTCGAGGGTGTTGGGAAACGCAAGACGACTATGGTAGGCTTGGGGGTTGGACGTTTTGAACGGAAGTAGAAAGTCTGCGAGAATGGGCGGGATAGCGTCGATGAGGTAAAGAGGGGCAGTTTTACAAAGGACAAGCCAAAACTTCCAATTGTAGCCCTGCGCCTGTTGGTCCGCGACGACAGCTAAGTCTCCAAGCTTTGTATCAGAGAGATAACCGCCGAAGAGGAGAAGTGAGGGATGCGCGGAATGTGTGGAAGGTCGGCGGTTGCGGAAGACGTCAGGTTCTCAGGCTGCAAGACCCCCTTCGCATGCAAAGCAAGCAGGCGCAAGCAAGCAAGCAAGCTTCGTGGTGGCGTAACAGTGCAGGGATTGTAACGCGCTAAGATACGGATGTGACGGGTGGACGGTTGCCCACCGACGTGCGGGACGTGCCCCACAGCTTACGTACGCTTTCACCTGGACTCACCTTGGGTTGGCGGACCATGACAGCGCCTTCTCTCACCGAAGACTTAGCCTCACCGACGTCCCGATCCATTCTGAGCGTGGAGCCGTTGCTTCAACAATGACAGGGGACAAGGGCCACCATGGAGATTTCCTGACAACGCGCGCCTTACATCGTCACCAATCAGGGTCTAGTAACGATACTCCAACTGCGTATCGTGGTATATCCCCTCTGCTTCTCTTTGAGCTGGAAAGGGGATCAGATGTCTATCCAAAGCTTCAGACAATACATCCAACGCCATTGCTAGCCTCGCAGGTTAGTCTAGAACACAAGGTGCTAGAAACTTCAATTTCATTAGAATTCCTATAGTGTGACTTGATACCAACCCGTCACATCCTAAAGCTTTTTCTTCGCCTCGGCCTCGGCTCTTTCACGTCTTCGTTTCCTCCAGGCCTTGATCTCGTTCAAGAGGCCCATGACCAGCGGCACACCCACCGGCCCAAGAAGCGGTAGATACACTGCGATCTTGTGCTCATCAGGGAAGTATAGCTGACCAACCATGCTCTTCTCGAAGAAAGCTCGCTCCGCCTCCGCCTCGGCAATCCTAGCATGTTCCAGCCCCTCCGGTCCGCCCAAGCTTGCACATGCAAGCTCCAGGTGATGCATAGTTTTAGCAACACCATCCGCAACGTTGCGGGGGATGGAGATGGATGGCAACGCCAGTGATAGTCTCGCCAGAGAGCCCAGAGTAGACGATGCCCGTAGCAAGAGGTCTGCTGAGCGAATTCGGGTAAGAGTCGACAGTCGCAAGGGAAGAGATCCAGACTGGGGAGTTCCGAGAAGGGACAACAGATGGCCAGCAAAAGTAAGCATCGGCTGCTTGAGCGTAGCAGACGGTACGTGCGATGTCGTCGGCGGCAGCGAGAGAAGATACACCGTTCCCCACTGCGGGATCAGCCAAGACTGGGATGTCTCTGATCCCGAATCTAATCCAATCGTTTGGTTTCCGACAAAGAGAAGAAAGTTCACCGTCGGGGCGCCGCCAATAGACGGAGAGAGAGGCCATTCAGCCGCGTTGATGAATGACGCAAGGTCGTCCTTGCTCAGGACTTGAGCCTGCGCACCGGGTGTAGCGTATAACTGCACCTGAGTGTCAATCGTGAAGTTGTGGATGGGGCTCAGTACGTCAAGCATGGGCTTCATGTACGCCTGGATGGCTGCGTCGACGTCCCAAGTGTTGGGCGCAGAGCCACTGGTGAAGAGCGAGAAGCTCAAGTGGTACGTCGGCGAGTACCGCAAAGAGCGAGTGGTCCGCTTGGCCAAGGTCTCGGCGGCCTCGGGCGACATGCCTTGAGGTCTCGCATCGGTAGCCCCTGATGCAGCTGACAGAAGGTATGATATGATGGCTTGCTCCTCAGCGTAGGTGGAACGCAACTCGTTGGCAATGTACGAAGCCAGCGCGGATGACGACGACGTTGGCGAGGGAATCGAGTTCGGCGGGTAGGTGATGTCAAGGACCGGGGAATGCGGGTTCAGAGACGCTGTCGTAGACTCTCCGGGACTGAGCCGAATTGTCAGGGCGACCTGCGAATCATCTTCCGTAACGGGGATAGGATCATCTTGGGGCGCAAGCTGGAGACGCAAGTGGTGTCCTGAGAAGTCGTTGAGGTCGTCGAGTGCGTGCTGGGTGAGACGTAGAAGGTTCTGCGCCTCTTGCTCCTGAAGCTTGTTGGCCTGCACTGAGATGCGGAGAGGGAAGACAGGACGACAGGCCTGAAGGAGAGTATAGTGGTCAGCGGACTCTCTCGGCTTTGAATGTGTTGCTGGCGGGGAAGTCGGAGGCCCTTCTTATACCTTTCCATCTGCCCACTGTTCCATACCACTCAATGGCAGGTTAGCACGATAAATGCTCGTGGTCATCCACCATATTGGCAAGCCCAGAAAAAGCACAACGGCCCAGAAGGCAAGGATGACGAAGGAACGGCGGCGCACGTCGGATGGCTTCTCAGGGGGAGGAGCCTTGCGGGACTCGGGCTGCGGCGGCGTGACGATCGTGGTCTTTGTCTGGTCAGAGGCGAGGTCAAGACCTGCTGCCGCGCTGCTTGGGTCGTCGGTACCGGGCATTGAGGCAGCCATCGCCATGTGCGACGACATTTAATTCGGGCTGCGCAGCGATCGTGAGGACGAGAGGCGCAACGGGGAAGCTATGCGTGTTGGAACGTCGTGTTCGGTACGGAACCCACATGTCCAGCACACAGTGTGCTGACATAATCGCAATCGCGCTGAGAGCTCTGAGATAAGATAGCAACAAACCTTAATTGCTTGCGCGCGGTCACGTGTAAGCTGTGCACTTTAGAGCACACCCAATGAGGACCTGGGGTTAAGCAGCTTGATCGAATTGAGCTTCAATCGGTGCCGCATCGCTCAGCCACAACTCTATTGTCCACGTCGCCGTCGGCTTCGACCCTTTCTTCATCTCCAAAAATCTAGCAAAGATCAATTAGTGCACACATCCGAGTGTCTACTGGGGATGCCTCTCTACCAATCATTGTGACCTCTGAAAGCATCTCGCAATTGTCTGTATTACCGCTCGCAACCTGGTTTCTACACTTCGCAGTAACATGTTACAAACCGACCTATGCGAGTGCGATGCAGCTTGCAAGCTTTCTACCTGCACCTCACAGGCCAAGAGACGGCGCTACATGCCGCCGGAACAAGACTGACGCGCAACGAGTGGCAGGCGTCGCAGGGTCTGCCAGCAAACCATCAGCAGATGAAGTCCGAGTCCCTTTTCCCATCCACCTCTCTACTGCCGTACAGGAACGCAATAGGCTTCGCCATTCATTCCTGGACCTCCCACGATCCAGGGAGTAAGGAGTTGGCTTCCTATCAGCCGCATGAGCTGCCTCCGATAGTCCCCAAATTCGCCGAGCCCGAGACCATCTGTCTCGGGACCCTTTGTGACTGTATGCAAGCGAACACGTGAAGGGTTCATCATCAAGGGAATACAGAAGAGTTTGATGCGGGTCATCGATTTGATTACATCTATCGATGCAGCTGTAGTGCTGCGACAGTGCGTACGTACATATGCAGTTTGGCAATTCGGCACTCGTTCCCGATCTCCAGTTCGATCGTCCGAGTCAAGTCCTCGACACAACACGGGCCCAAAGACGGCTGGCCTGAAGTTTTGAGGTTGTCGTTTCTTTTCTTTTCGACTTTGGAACGGCTCACGAGAAACGATGGACCCTGATGTGCCAGGTCGCTTATCAAGGTTGCTGGATTATTCAAGCAAAAGTCCGCCCGCCAAGAGTTGCACTTGTCGTACCCAACATGAGTTGCGACATCATACGAGTTTATATTGGGGCAACTTACACAGGCCCGCCTTCAGCACCTCGGCAATCTGTTGTGGCCATGGAGTCTATCGGAAACACATGGTTTATTTTCATCTGAGGGGACGCGATGCGATACGGTCCGTAGTTGCGAAGGGGCAGGATGCAGAGAAGTGAGATGGAGAGAAAGCGAGCGGTAGGTTCGTCGCCATCAAAACTGGGCCGTCTAGATGTATGGGATGGACGTGAACGGCGGCGGTGGGATTACCTAGGTAGGGACAAGGACAGGCATTGAAGACGACAGAGAAGCAGGAACGCAGAGCAAGGACCAGCCCCGCAGGAACCAGCAAATCGCAACTCGCCGTTGCTGAAGCATCCATCAAAAGCATTGGTCCGCTATGCACGTCGCCTGCGATTCCCACCCATCCACCCCGAACCGAATACTCAAACGAGTGCTAGACGTAGACGCGAAGCGCACGAGCTTTGCCAGATGCCGAGGCTCCTGCTTCCCGTCGCTTTGAGCTAGTCCATAGTGGCAGGTAGGCCAAGCTTAGCGACGCAACACAAACGCAACGCACAACGAACATCCGTCTTCGATCGGCGGCGGCGGCGACGGATGATTTCCTGCAGCAAGCATCCTGTACCTATATGCAGGCCTAGGAAGGACGTGATACCGCACTCGCACAGCACGGCGCCGCAACCCGACAGAGGCCGGCAATGCCAACACCCCATCTATCCCTACATCCCTGCCCGTTGCCTGATACGGCCACGCATGGCGTGGCATGGCATGGCATGGCATAGCATGTCATCTGCGCCTAGATCTCCTCTCCTCTCCCGCCATCTCACTGACACCGAGGCCAAAGTCGACCTCGCACGCAGTACACAAGCGTGTGCAGCTGCAGCACCGCGGACAAGCTCCACGCGCCAACACCAACACCAGCGGCAACGGCAAGTCATGTTCCTCGGCTGTTAGCAGGCAATCGGCGGCGATGGCATGCCCCATGTGTCCACGGCTCTGTCAACCATCGTCAACGTGGAGCTTCTCCGCCACCCTGACCTAGGTCCAGGGCCCCATATGTATGTATCAAGCGAGAGGTTCCCCATCGTCCCGCCCTTCTGGTTGCCAAGTTGCGTCTACCTAAGTAAACTAGTTGACCGGGTACTTGAGCTCCCACGTACCATCAGCCGGATGCCAAGGTCACGGCTCCTTCGGGTTGACCAGGATCGAGAACGGATCCCATTTGGCGAGACTTGGGGGGCTCAAGAACAAGTGTTGCGTCGTGCGGCCTCGCATCGTGTCGTGTCGTGTCGTGCAGTGCATGATAGGACCGACGACTGGTTTTGTCCCATCTTTGCCCCCCCCCCCCCCCCCCGTATGGGTCCCTCAAACCAGGGACGACACATACCAATGCCGACTGCAACACAGGCTTTGAGAGTTTGAGTTCCTTTCCCATCTTGTGACAGCCTCGACGAGCCGTTACAAATACCTGCCCTCGTCCTCACCCTCGCGCAATTGGTCCGCCGTCGACACCGAAGCTTCCACTGCTTTTCCTTCTCTCACAACCGGGACGGCCAGCAAGCTCACCTGAGAGGCACCAACACCAGCGCCGCCTTTACCGGACCACCAGCCACTCACCAAGACGCCTGGCCACTTCTCGCCTCGCACTGCCACGCCGTTTTGTCTCCCAGTAGCCTGACAATCCCTTTGTTTGCTCTCCCGCGGCGTCTGCACAGTAGTGGTGGTGCAGAACAAACAATCGTCTTTCGTCTTCCTACGCCAAGATCCCGCGGGCTTTACTCAACAAGACACAAGCAATGCCTGGTAGGTGATATCAAATTGGTTTTCTGGAGGGTGTTTGCTCGTGTCGTCATATTGCTCGTTCCTGCCACTCCGCCCCCCAAAGTTTTGTTCGATAAGAAAAAAAAATCCCTGTCGCTCGTCTCCTACACCACAATCACGCATTCATTACCTCAGCCTAGCTGCAGCTGGGCTTGGGACCTGTCACATTCTTGATCGGATCATGCTGACCCGAAGCGTCTTCCAACCGTTTAGTTCCGCTCGCCCTTGCAGTCCCGGCTGCGGTCGCAGCTTATTCCTACGTCAATGCTCGAACCTCCTTGTGGTACGACAGACAATTACTAACCTGCGCACTACCCGCGACTCTTTCCGCTCTCTGGCGCGAACGAACCGATCGATTGAACGGGTTCTACGTCCTCGAACGCGCTGCACTAAACAAATCCTCGGCCAATCGCACATTGATTATTTTCGAGGGCAAGACATACACCTACCGGGAGACGTATGACCAGGTCCTGAAATATGGTACCTGGCTACGGGAACGCTTCGGCGTCAAGCCCAAAGACATTGTCGCCATAAACTTCCAAAACTCCGACGTCTTCATTTTCTTGTGGCTCGGCCTCTGGTCCATTGGAGCTAAGCCGGCGTTCATCAACTACAACTTGACGGGCAAGCCGTTGGCACACTGCGCCAAGGCTGCGAAGACAAAACTAATGCTCATTGACCCCAACGTCGTCGCCAATGTCGGTGACGACGTGAGGAGCGAGTTGGATACCGTGCAGTTTGTCGTGCTCGATGATGCTTTGCATCGAGAAATCGACGCTATTAAGCCCAGGCGTGCGCCCGATTCTGACCGATCCGAAAGCCAGTACCAGAACTTGGCCGTCCTCATCTACACATCCGGGACGACTGGCATGCCCAAGCCGGCCATTGTATCCTGGGCAAAGTGCGTTGTCGGAGGTGTTTTCACATCAAGGTTTACTGGCAACTCTTCAAGCGAGGTTTTCTACACCGTATGTTGCTCCCCAGCGTCTGCGCTCTGCTTTTCTAATCATCAATAGTCTATGCCACTGTATCACAGCTCTGCCGCCCTTCTGGGGTTCCTCAACTCCCTTGAGGCAAACGGAACTATCTGTATTGGGCGAAAGTTCTCGACAAAACTGTTCTGGGAAGAGGTTCGCTCCTCTAAGGCCACCATTATCCAGTATGTCGGCGAGACGTGTCGATATCTTCTGGCTGCGCCGCCTCAGCTCGATCCTGTCACGGGCGAAAACCTCGACCAAAAGCACAACGTGCGCGTGGCCTTCGGCAATGGGCTTAGACCAGACGTGTGGAACAGGTTCAAAGACAGATTCGGGATCGACACCATTGCCGAGTTCTATGCCGCGACTGAGGGCTCCTTTGGAACCTGGAACCTGAGCCGGAACGACTTCGCCAAGGGCGCTGTTGGGAGAAACGGCATGCTCTACAGTCTCGTGCTGGGTCTTGACGTCGCGCTTGCCCAAATGGACGAGAATAACGAAGCACCACTGAGAGACAAGAAGACTGGCTTGTGTAAGCCCGCCAAATCTGGGGAGCCAGGAGAACTCATGTTCAGGCTCTCTCCGAACGACCTAGAGCGCCGCTTCCAGGGCTATTACGGCAACCCCGATGCTACACAGGCCAAGATTATGCGCGACGTCTTTTCGAAAGGAGATGTATGGTTTAGGACAGGCGACGTGGTACGGTGGGATTGCGAAGGACGACTCTATTTCTCCGATCGTATAGGCGACACGTTCCGTTGGAAGAGCGAGAACGTGTCGACACAAGAGGTCGGTGAAGCGGTGGGTTCGCATCCGTCAGTTCAAGAAGCCAACGTATACGGCGTGGAGTTGCCGAATCACGACGGTCGTGCTGGATGTGCCGCGGTCGTCCTCCACGACCAGCCATCGGAAGATTTGATGAAGAGCATCGCTCAACATGTGAAGAAGTCACTACCCAAGTACGCTCTGCCGATCTTCCTGCGCATCATGCCTCCCAATGCTATGCAGACGACCGGTACCAACAAGCAGCAAAAGCACGGGTTACGGGCACAAGGTGTCAAGCCAGGCAGCAGTGGTGCTGGGACTGTGTACTGGCTGAAGGACGACACATATGTGCCTTTCTCGAACCGGGACTGGGATGAGCTCAACGGTGGGCGGGTGAGACTGTAGATGACAGTTTGGGATTGATTCACGCGAGCGAGATACCATTCTTACTTACTCCACATATTTTAGAGGGCATGGCTACCACTGGCATAAATAAACAAGCTTATTTTACCAAACATGATGGGTGTTTTCCTGCGACCGAATCATAAGGGTTTGCGTCATCCAATCGACGGCCTGATCAGGGAGGTGGCGGCGTGCTAGGCTCTGTAAGCTCCCTTCTATTGCAGGGGGGCAACGTCAACATCATTGTATGGAGTGCCAGCCCGAAACCTTGCAGTGAGGTACCAGTAGATCACCGGTTCGTCTGGTATCAAGTATAAGTTCTCGTCGTACTCTGATGTAACCCGCCCGGTGTCCTCCCATCCCTCCCCCCGTCTCTCATCACATCCTTACGTCTTGTTGTTTGCTTGTCCTGTGTGATCAAGTCAGACGCCATCCCAGATGAGCTTCTATAGGCAAGGGTCACGAGAGACTTATCAAAATGCCGGTAGTGCGAGGTTTGAAACCAAGCTGGCTGTACGCCCATGTTATTCACTTTTGTTTGATTATTTTATGACTAAAGACCTAGCTTTCATGCTTGTATCTGACTTGTGGGACTGAACCGCAGAGGCACCGCACCTACTCTTGATGATGAGAAAGGAAGAACTCCTATGTACGAAACCATCTCGGCAGATTCAACCATCGTAGTCTGTACACAGACTCCCCGAAAGCCACCAACACGAGGGTGGCTTTTGATCCGCTTCCATCACTGGCATGGCCGTGAAAATGGAGGGCCGTAGGATGCAGACAACCTCCATTATGCCGCTTCCTTGTTCGCGATATGCAATGCATAGACGACATTGTACTGTTATTCAGCCACAGAATCCATCAAACAGCAAACAGCTCTGTTTCCAAGAGCAATCGTTGCCATGAACTGCCTGGGCGACCTTCAGTGTTGCGCGGCATCGCTGTCGCGTCTCCACCCACGACCCCGCGCCCCGTGTATCGGGATGTGGGGGAGTGGCACTGCGTTTTCCACAGCTAGGCCTCGCTCGTAACCGATTCGAAATCGCCGACAGATCGTTTAAAAAAAACGGAATGAACCCGTCGTCATGAGATCCCGGCGTTGCGCAGGCCGTGAGAATCGTTCGCCATCGTTTTTCGTAATAGAGGATAGATGTTTTCACATCGTCCGTTCAGAATTGAATCAAGATGAGTGACCGCGATGAATGTGCGGCAACATAAATCGTGCGTTGGTGGACAGAAGGTCCCCTCCCCGCACCAAGTAGAATCATCTGGTGGGCAGAAAGTTTTTGGAGTCGTTTTCCTGCTCGGTGAAGGACTGCGGGAAGGCGGCGAGACCCGCGACAATGGCGACAGCCATGAGGCAGATGCTGATGATGGACCAGATAAGACCCCAGCAGCGGGAGGAGCCGCCGTAGCGTTGAGCGAAGACGCTGGCGTCGGAGCTGTTGACCTTGCGCATGATAAGGTCGTCGCAGATATCCCACACCGAGTAGAGGGAGCTCATGACACCGATGAAGAGCTGGCGATGGCGTTAGCGCGAGAGAAAAAAATGACAGCCGGAGTGGGATATAACTTACAACGACAAATCTCAATGCTTGAGCGTGTGAGATGAACCAGGCGGCAATCAGCAGGCCGACAGCGAGGAGCACGGTGAGAATTGTAAGCCAGTCCTTCTTACCCCACCAAAGAGTCAACAGAAAGCAGACGCCCAGGACCATGGAGGCGACCTTGGAAGCGTTGATGTTGAAGCCGCAAAAGATGAGGAGACCGCCAATAAGCGAGGAGCCCAAGTACCCAGCCGGGAGGGTGATGGCCTGCTTGCCGCCCTTCATGAGCGTGGCGCCGCCCTCGTTGGGATCGAGGGTAATGGACAGCACTTTGCCTCCGGTGCAGCAGGCGGTGATGGCATGGCCGAACTCGTGGAAAGCGATGACGAGCATCTTGAAGGGCCAGAGGACCTGGCGGAGGAAAGGGACGTTCCACAGGATGGCGATGATGACTGCATATGCGCCGATGATACCCAGGGTGACACCCTGGGTATGGTTGACGGTGAGGCTGCGGCGCGCGAGAGCGTGAGAGGTAGTTGCGCGGGCCACTTCGGGGAGGACGACGACGGCGGCGCGCTTCCAGAGGTGGGACGCGACGGCGCCGGCTCGGGCAAGGCTCTGTCTGGCCGTCGTTGGGGGGACGGGAGCCATGGCAGTGTTTGTATAGTTGGTGATAAAAATCGATAGCGACAGACGGGGGGCGTGGGTGAGTGGGTAAACACACGAGAAAAGGCAGTCCTATTGACGACTTTTCGGGGAGGACCAGGGGATCTTATGAATGGCTGCAGTATCTTTGTTGCAGAAAGCAGATCCTACCGTACGTGCACATTGGCAGCCAATCCTTATTTTCTTGCGTACGTATGGTAGCACGGCATCCACGTCAACAAGCAAGGTGAAGGGCTTACGCGGACGTGGGCTGGGCTGAGGCTGGGCTGCATTCCCCCTGTTTCTCCCCTTTTTTTTTTTCCTTCCTTGATCTGAACTGACAACCACAGACAGCACAGACGGTTGCTCACAAGTCAACCAACACCCACTGATCTGGAACTCTGAAAGGGTCAGGCAGATGAAAGGGGTCCCACACGGCCCCACACGGCAGCCGGCACTGGGCACTAGCACTGCCACACTGCAGCATGTGCCGCTGGTTAGTTTGAGGTGGTGGTGGTGGCTGGGGGACCGGTCTTGCTATCGCCCGGGCTATTTTTGGTAGATGTGGCTTTTTGATTACATCAGCTTATCTGTGAGTGGCTGGTGCGTGTGGCTTGCTCCATATTACATAAGAACTCGACGTGCCTCGCTCAACCTGGTGGATTCTCATGCAGGTGGGCGTTTTAGCTTTCCCGTTTCACCCAACGGAAACATGACGTCCATGTTCCCTCACCACCACTCAACGTGTTCTCCAACTCGTTGCTTACTGGTACCTGTACCTACCTTGGGCCGACTGCCTATGCCCTTACGTCCTGAATTTGCCGCGGGGTTCCCAACCGGATGAGTTAGCTGGAAGGTGGCCTGTGCCTAGTGCTCCTATTGGCTTGTAGAACGCTCATCCGGTATCCGAAAGCTCAAAGCAAGCTCAAAGCTATCTCTTGCCCATCTCTATTGATCTCATGTGCACTTTCGTCCCATTCGACAACCAGTCCTGAATGCACAACAGTAGCCAATTGAAGAACAAAAACGCCTTTCTCCCTCAGAAACGACCTCTCCTCACATCGCCTCCATCAAATCAACCCCTTTCCGCTTCTCACGATGACTGCTGCCGTAGACAGCTCCAATACGGAGCTCAGCCAACAATATGACACTCCTCTCGGCCTGGCTCACTCAACCATGCAGGCCCTGAAGGATAGGATCAAGCTCCATTACGATCTCGCCAGTGACTATTACCTGAGCCTCTGGTAGGCTGTTCCGCGTCTTTCTCTCCCTCCGCCCGTTGTGACACCCTTTTTTAGTCTCAGCTTGGAGTTCACCCCCTTCCCCTTGTGCCAGCTTCTGGAGGTTCTACGTTGTGCACAGTATTAAAACTGTGCACAGTCATCTGTCGGCTCTTATGCGTCCAAACAAGTGCGTGGCTGACTTGACTATTCTAGGGGTGAACATATACACCACGGCTACTGGGAAGAGGGCTCCGAGACCAAGGAACAAGCCCAAGTCAATCTCATTCAGCTGCTGCTGAAGCTCTCCAACGTGGGGGAGAACAGCAAAGTCCTCGACGTCGGCTGCGGTATCGGCGGTACCTCCCGCTACCTCGCCTCGACCCTGGGCTGCTCGGTCACCGGTATCACCATCTCGACCAAACAGGTTGAGATCGCCAAACGACTGACCAAGGCTGAGGCATCGAAGGAGTCGGAGAAGCCCGAGGTTGAAGCGGACAGCGATGGCTTCTTCCGTCTCGGCCGGGGCAAGGTCCGCTTCATCGAGCTCGACGCGGAGAAGATGGGCGAGTTTTTCGCCGCCGAGGGGGGTTCCTTTGACGCGGTTTGGATCAGCGAGGCCCTGAGCCACTTCCCCAACAAGGCTCTGTTCTTTGAGAACTCGTTCAAGGTGCTCAAGACGGGTGGGAAGTTGGCGCTGGCGGACTGGTTCAAGGCTGAGGGCATCAGCGAAACGGAATTTGCAAACGATATCAAGCCTATTGAAGGTGGGCGATTCTCTACTCATATTCCGTCGCATGAATTGCTGCTGACATTTCCTAATACTAGATGGCATGCTCCTACCGCCGATGTGCACTCAACAAGGATATGTCAACCTAGCCAAAGGCGCCGGCCTTTCCTCTCTTGCGGGGCCAAAGGATATCAGCAAGGATGTGAGCAGGACATGGTAAGTTGCCGTACAGAATCAAGTTCCACGCCTAGACTAACCCTCCTTCTAGGGATATCACCTGGTCTCTCATCCAGAACCCATCTCTCTGGGCCTTCGCCTTCAGCCAGGGACGGGACGGCATCGCCTTTTTGCAATCTTTCCGTGCGATGAGGCGGGGATACGCAAACGGGACATTCCGGTATGCCGTGATGTCATTTGAGAAACCAGTGAAGAACGCAAGCTGAGGACCGCTGCCGCAGAGCTCGGTTGCCGCTTCGTATAAAGCAAGGAAATAGTTTCAGATACACTCATACAGCGTTCTTTCGGAAAACACGCATTAGAAAACAGGCCAACGGTTCCCAAAAAAAAAGTACTTCAAGTGTATAAGAAATCGATCAGCTCGAAACATCAAGTCTATAGCTAAAGAAGCTCAGTCTTATTTTGGGTATTCTTAAAGGCAGAAGCTCCTCGTACTTCCTTCCTGATTACATCTGAACAACTATAATAAGCATCGAAACGCTAGCAGACTGGTAATCCACCACAACTTGATGTTACAAAAACTTACGAAGTGGCTTCAATGGCGTGGAGCAAAGACATATTCGTGGAATCTTCGTACTCCGGCGGGGATCCTGTGAGGAAACCAAGCCATACTCTTGAGATCCTGCTTGTTGGAATCATCAAGAAGACAAGTGGTCGACTCTGTTTCTCGACATTCGCTCTCTGCTCGCTATCCACTGACAGGATGGAAACATGGTTCCCCTGGCTCAACTAGGTTGCTAGGCATGTGTCAGTCGACGAAAGGGAGTCAGTCTAGTGGGTCCTGACTACAGGAAACAACTCGACCATCTCGATAGATAGGTACCATCTAGTATTTATTCGCGAATTTTGGTTGACTGAAACACGACAGACTGTTGTTCGTCTTGGTTTCTTTGGAGTAAGTATTGCTACTATCCCAGTATCGTACCTGACGTATGCCTCCCTAGCATTCAGAGGGACTAAGAGGGACAATGAAGGAATCGACAGAACCGTCAAGTGTGTCAGGGAAAGATATAAGGAGGCATAGGTACTTGAAAATGTGGTCCTCCGGGTTCCCTGGTATTTCTGCAACACGCATACCGCATCATGGTTATTCTCGTCCAACCCAGTGATGTTGCCTTGGGTGTGAACCACAGATCAAGGCATGCATCTCTCCCGAGCTTTCTTTCACTGATCCTGCTTGGTGGCGATAGATAACAGAAATTGTGAGGAGAATGCCAAACAGAACGCGTGGGGGTCGCGTCTTGTCCTCCAGTCTGCCATGGCTGCTCACTTTCGCTAACCTTTTGGCATCTCCGGCACAGAATCGCGCAGTCCCAGCAAGTGAATCCAACGGCAACATTGAGATTGAAGCGAAAATTACCACCGCGGAAGATGTGCATCATTACATTCTAATTACCGTCTTATTGCCCAAGCGATGACGACAGAAGGATCGCGATGGCAGCCGCTTCTCGAGACCGTCGTAGATGCACGTTGGTCAAGATTGCAGACGCGAACGAAGCTAGCTCCACATGCCGGCCGAGACGGCGGTCAGGCTACCGTATATTGCCGTGTATTCGTGCAGGCGGTTTCTGAAATGGCAACCAAACAGGCACATGTTCGAGTGCTCGAAAGCCGGCAAAATGGCCCAGACCCTGACCAAGGCTTGGTATGAAGTCATACAGCGCCAAGAGAACGGCTTTTTCCCTCACAAATATCTTCCAGCCGAAGACTCTCCGAGGCTCACTAGGTTCACTCGGTGGAGATGACGAATGCCGCGCCGCCCGTTGAGACTGGTGCCGAAAGAGTCCAACGTTGCCTGCCTCTCATGGGTCCGCGCTGCTGCGGGCCACGGCCAGAGCCCCCCACCGCCGAGCACGAGAATCGCTTGGCTGCCTTGCCGATCATAATCCGACTACCACCTTCGGCTACTTGGCCGCAATCCTGGCGGCTGACCGGCCACGACCGGTCGCCGACGTGCTGCCTGTGACACGGCTGACATTCCGCCTATCCCATCTTACACCTCCGAAGCATCACCTTCCTATTGCTTCTAGAGGCACAGTGCGCTCCTGAACGCCTCGCCGAGTGATTCTAGTGGTCTATGCTCGATAACAGTTCTCATTCGGAAATCGCTATTCATGAGGCTACAACTTTTACGAGGCCAGGCAAGGAGGGGGGAGAAGAAGGAGGTGAAGGACGACGATGACAACACTGAGGCATGGTCGCACCGAAGGCAGTTTCATAGACACTGCACTTTGTGGCGTCTCTGCAAGTGCAGCATGCATCCAAGTGGAACGTGAAATCGCAAGCAACCGCTGCGGTTCTCCGGATTTGAGGCGATCTTGTATCCACCCTCCGCGTTCACCACCGGCCCACCCCCATGGTCCTCCGCGACCTCTTTGGTCGGTTGGGTCTATTACACGGCCTGGGGACTTTGGTACTGGCGAGTTTTTCTCCACCGAAGACTATTCGGCTTGGACAGAGGTTCGCAAAAGCTGGGACAGGTGGTCGCGGTGGCCAGACGGCGCTGCCAGGCTGTGGCCGAGCCTTTCTCTCCATACTTTTTTTTTCCTTGGTCGTTCCACTCCTCCATGTTCACCTTGTGCGCACATTGGCCCGAAGCAATGTGCCATCCCAGGTTGAGCAAACCCCCCTCTTTCTGGGGGTTATCAGGGTCTGCTGAATGTCCTGTACCAGACTCTGGGGAAACGTTGATGCCCGCAGACTATTTAAGGTCCACCGACACAAGCAATCTGCTCCTGACCCCCGGATCCATCTTTCTCTCCACGTTTTCCCAACAGTCCGGAATATCTGCAACTGATACTTCGCTGTTCAGGCAAAGTGGTGTACGGTTTCAAACCAGAAAGCTCGAGCCTGATACAACCATTGTCATCAATCATGCCTCTGCCTAAGGCGGACGCAGAATCCCCTCCTGTCGCGGAGACCCATGCTGGCTCTCGCAGCTCTGGCAGTATTGGGACCGCGGACAAGGCGGCACGCGCATCCACCGCCGCCTTACTCCGCAACCCGCTCGTCGGACTCACTCCCGATGAGCTTATTGCGGGTGCTGACAGCTTCACCGAGTCGAAAGGATTACAGGAGCACCGAGACATCTTCCGCAAGGGTGCAATGGTTGCCCAGGTCATCAACAGGCCCGACGGGTTCGAAGCCATCGCCGCACTCAACGAGGAGGAGAAGGCAGTACTTAGAAAAGAAGTGACCCATCGTTGGAGTCAACCGAAGTCTCTTTACTTTCTCTGCGCGCTTTGTGCAGGCAGTGCTATCGGTAGGTAGTCTTTCGGCCCATCAAGACCACGTTGAGTCCAGTGAAGAAGCTAATGCCACTTTCTTACAGTGCAGGGTATGGATCAAACAGCCGTTAATGGGGCTCAGGTACACTTGTTTCCGCCGAAATGGTCGATGAGTGGTGCTAACGGCGATACAGGAGTACTACTACGCAACATTTGATCTATGGGACCCGAGAATGCAGGGCTTGGTCAATGGAGCCCCATATCTCTGCTCTGCGCTTGTCGGATGTTGGAGTTCTCCTCTACTGAACAAGTATACTGGCCGACGAGGAACCATCTTCATCTCATGCTTCTTCTCCGTCGTAACTGGCTTTTGGATGGCTGCAGCCGACAGGTAAGATACGATGCCAGTTTCCCGAACCGAGCAGACCTGATCCGTTGATAGCTGGTACAACCTACTAATCGCTCGCTTTTTCCTCGGGTTTGCCGTTGGCGCAAAGAGCAGCACTACGCCTGTCTATTCGGCAGAGAGTACACCCAAGACTATTCGTGGTGCTTTGACGATGATGTGGCAGGTAAGAGGGCACTGACAGAGCAACCAAAAACCTTCCAACTAACATGCGCCTAGATGTGGACTGCCTTCGGAATAGCCCTGGGCTTCATCGTCTCTGTTGCCTTTAGAAATACCGATTTCCTAGGAGAAGACACTCAGTGGCGATGGATGCTTGCTAGTACATCCATACCACCCTTGGTTGTTATGCTACAAGTAAGACTTGGTTGTGTCCTTCACTGTTTGCTTTCATTTTTCCACGCTTTCGTTGCTCTTTGCTCCTCATGTCGCTGTAAAATAACACCCTAACCTCTGAGCAGGTCTACTTTTGTCCCGAGAGCCCCCGATGGTACATGGAAAAGGGCAAGTATCAAAAGGCCTTCCAGTCAACCTTGCGACTTCGACATCATCCTATCCAGGCGGCAAGGGATATGTATTACGCATACAAGCTCCTCGAGATCGAGACCCAGGCCCGGAGTGGTCGCAACTGGAAGGACTTCTTCACCGTCCGAAGAAACAGACGTGCGGCGATGGCTTCCTACTTCGTCATGTTCATGCAGCAGTTTTGCGGTTCGTGCTTCTCAATACTGCTTCGCAGATACCAAATCTAACCAAGATTGCTGACTTGTGATAATTATCCAGGTATCAATGCTATGCAAGTGACCGACTATTCGACTTGAGATTATATGTGTTGGTGCTAACTACTGACGCAGGATGTACTACTCGACAAATATTTTCGAGATGGCCAATTTTGATCGCAGTACAGCTCTTCTCACTTCAATGGGAATGGGACTGATCAACTGGATTTTCGCTCTCCCAGCCTTTTATACCATCGATACGTTCGGCCGGAGGAACCTCCTTTTGGTCACGTTTCCTCTGATGTCACTCTGCCTGTTTTTTACTGGGTTCAGTTTCTACATGCCTGATGGTACCGCAAGACTTGCTTGTATTGCAACCGGCATCTACCTCTTTGCAGCGGTGTACTCTCCGGGTGCTGGCCCTGTTCCGTTCACCTATAGTGCCGAGGCGTTCCCGCTGCACATCCGTGACATCGGAATGAGCAGCGCCACAGCCGTTACCTGGGGATTCAACTTCATCATCAGCTTTACGTGGCCGTCGATGATAAACAGCTTTGGCCCAACGGGTGCCTTCGTGTGGTACGCCTGCTGGAACATCGTCGGCTTCATCGTCGCCTACTTCTGGCTGCCGGAGACCAAGAACCTAACGCTGGAGGAGCTGGACAGTGTCTTCTCCGTCCGTAGCCGCGACCACGCCGAGTACTACTCATCAAAGATCCCATGGTACGCCAACAAATACTTGCTGCGCCGCGACGTGCAGCCTTTCCCCGCTCTATATGAACTGGCCGAAGACGACCCCCACCATGATGGAACTCACAAGACCAGTGTACATCATAACGAGACCGGACTTGTGTCTGGAGGTTCCGGTGAGAAGCAAACCTAAGGATAGAGCTTGTTCGATGGAATACAAGATGAATCAGCTATGGTCACATGATGGTTGCAGCAAGCTTCCATGGTGGGAATTAGTTCTGAGACGGGTGGAGCAATAAAAGTCGTGGCCTATAAGTAGACGAGTTAAATCAATCTACTTTGCTATGTGTTTCTCCAGAGGGTCGCATATAATTTGGATTAAATCAACAGCTCACCTGTTCGTCAGCCCTTTTACCTGGACAACATCATCATGTTGTGTCATAAGGGATCTATCGTTTTGAGCACTCGGCGTAGCTTCTCATGGCATAGCCAGCCAGATGGCATCATCAATTCAATCCATGGCATTCTTATCCATGGAAAACTGATTGCCATACTAGATAACTTCTGAGGCCTTTACTTCCGTTGCAGCATGCCCCGTCTTGTCTTTCTCTGTAGTCACTGGTGCCATGCAGTCCGTTTCAATGTACAGGCCCATCACCTTCGGACCGGGGTAGTGCTTAACCGCATGCACCACCCACCAAAGGGCGGTGATAGCCACCGTTCCTACCAAAATGACACTGCTCCAGTTCATAGTCGCTTCTGTCGTTGGCAACACAAAAGCTGATTGTTTCGTTAGTACTTGAGCCTAACGATAGCTTGTGATGAGAGAAGACCCACGGAAGCAGAAAAGGATGTCAAATAGTATGATGAAGAGCACGGCGAGTCCGTTGATGATGTTCCCGGCCTTTCCCAAGTGAAAAGGACCTGGTGGGAAATATCGTCGACCTGAAAGCATATTGGCGGCAAATGGGATTGCGTAGGATACCGATGTCAGGATGATGAACGAGCCTGCCAGTGCCAGGAAAGCGGCTGAGCTTCCGAGTGGTATGGCACCCAGGCCAGTCGCAATGATACCTTGGTGGTAGGTAGTTAGAAACAAGATTCGCGGGAGATGTGAGAGTGACTTACAAACGAACAAGGTAGCCCAGACGGGGCAGCTCAGACTTTCATTGACTTGCCCGAATACTTTTGATAAGGGAACTGCGTTGTCTCTAGCAAGAGCCCAATATGTCCTCGAGACCTGAAAAGCGTTTAGGACTTGATGCAATCAAGACAGTGTAGTCAGCTTTGAAAGGGCTTGCTCACCGTCAACGTGAGGCCTACACAACATGTCAGAGTGCAACCGAGCATGATGAACAGAAGCCCAAAGGCTGCACCAGGGTTTCGAGCGCCAGCCGAATTTGTAGTGGCCTGTACATAGATATTGGTCAGCGGAAAAGAGTTGAATCCGCCTTGGAGAGCCGTAATGTCAGTGATGGCATATGAGAGCGCGATTGCGAAACAAAAAGCGTCTGCCGCAAATCAGTTTGGGTCAACATATCGACGTTGTTTCACTCACAGGCAAAGCCTAGAAAGATCTGGAGAAGTATGGCTTTGGGAAGGTCCTTCTTAGGATGGGGCATCTCCTCAGCCATGTGAGTGACAGAGTCGGGGGTGCCAATCGTGAAGGCACCGTTGAGAACACCCAGGAGGAAAGCGACGCCACCAGACCATCCTGTAGCGTTGTTCTCGTCGAAGGACGCCCATACAAAGTGGTTGCTCGCATGTTGCTTGGGCATAGTGGCCAGTACAATGATAACGATGACGCCGCCAATCAAGACAAAAAAGGTCCCCGCATGTTGAGTGTAAGGGGCGTACTTGTTGGCAAAGACGACGAAGCCCGCCGATCCCCATAGAATAATGAGATACCCGATGTAAACATGGAATGGCTGGCTGACATAGCGATCCCAATTCCAGACGGCGTACATACTCACAGCGACGTTGCTTGAGATCTGAAGTAGAGATGCCAAAGAGAACAGCCAGCCGTAGAAATTGATCCAGCCGGTGAAGAAGCCGAGCGCTCGGCCCCACCGAGGACCTCCGGCGATGGTCGCCCAGTGATAGACACCCCCGGCTGTGGGCACTGACGAGGCAAGCTTAAAGACGCATTAGAAACGCGCGCTCGCCTCTTCCGTACAACGAGGGGAAGAATAGTAGTAGACGTACCTCTGATAGACTCAGACCGATGAGAGTGTAGTAGAAGACGGCGACAAGGAGGCCGTAAATGATGCCGGGGGGGCCACCATTGACTAGAACAGTTCCGGCTCGTTACAAGGCTCATCTTACAAGACCCAGTCTGAACTTACGAATGGACACGGAGATGGAAGAACCCAGGGCTACCCAGGCATTGTCTACCGTAAGGGCCATACTGGCGAGCCCAAGAAACCCATATTGACGTTTGAGCTGATCCTTGTGGCCGGCAGCGTTCAACGCTACGCCATCTTGAACCGCGACAACTGTTTCGTCGTCGGAGGTGAAGGCCGACTCGGCAACTCTGCTCCACGGTATCGTTCCTCTCATTCTGGGTCCTCGATTCTAGGAAAATGTCTGTTCAATGCCGAATGAGGCGCAACAGACTGCGTTTGCAAGCTCGCGAGTCACGAAGACTGTCAATGTTACGAAATAGACACGCTATTCAAGGACGAAAGAACATGCAAATGGACGGGCGGGGAAGCCTGAGGGTAGTAGCCTCCCCCGAGACGTGAAACCAAAACAGGACGAACGAATTATGTACGGTCCTAGCAGGCTGACGACCAGACACCCCGGTAAGATACTATCGAGCTTTTCCGCCATGTCTTGGGATGAGATATTGGACTAAACTGGTTCGGTGGCTGGGACGATCAGGATTGTGCGATGGCGCCAGACCAAAACTGACGTTGCATTGTCTTAGACATGCTGTGTTGGACCCATCAGCCTGCAGACACGATTGCTGCCGTGCATTGAAAAAGGATGCTCGTCAAGCTGGCAAAAGCTGCAAAACCGCATACAAAAGCCTTGGCGAAGGAGTCGGGATTCACAAAGTATTACTAGTGGTAACGCCAAGGTGCATGGAACGGGCCGTCCGATATTTGTTTGCTCTTGATCGACCACTCAAAGGAGCAAATTTATGAGCAGCGTACGCAGTAGCATGGCATTCAGGAAGCCTGGTGACATATCGCAGGGCCCAATGCCCAGAAACGGGGGTGCGGAAGTGCTCGAGCCGTGAAAGTAAGCTTTTCTGGAGAGAATTCCCAAGTGGCTCATCCTTGTGCCGCCAAAGCAGGTCTGACCTCCCTCAAGTGCCGATGATCACGCAGGGAAAGGCTCGGAACTCGTTGGTGTGTGAATCTACGGACGTTTGGCTGCGAGGTCAAATCGACGCGAAGTTTGATGATAGAAGTGATGGTGATGTGTTGAGGTATGTCCGCCCGCCTTCCAGACTAACGAAAGAACGCGGAAGACCTAGCATGAGCAGAAGCTATCGTAAGGTTCGCGCTGAACCTTGGACTTTTTATTTTCTACAGCAGTAATTCACTGCGACGAGAAGACTTGGCCGACCACGATAGTTGGCCCAATGTAGGATAGACAATTCATTCCTCAATTGTCTTTGTGTCTTCATCGAAGCAAGGGCTGAGGGACACCGAGAGGAGTGTCTCACTGCTGCCTATAGATACGTTCTGAGGGGTGGTTCGAGGCCTCCGCATATACAACGCGGATGTGAAGAATGGAAACACCTCATGGGGTCAAAACAGCATACCTATAGGTTACATGCTGACCATTTGTTGAAGAATCGCAATGGTTTTGACAGCGTTGATGGGTTAATTTGGAACAACGCTGCCAGTAACTAGGCGAACGGCGGATGAGTAGTGCTAGGGAGACAGCGATCATGTCAACACTTGGAGATAACAGGATAATTCGAATCAGTGAATGTCCGTCCCATCTAAAAGACTAGATGAGTGAAGAACAAAAAATTAGAACCGAGAACGATGAAGGTGAAGCATCGCTCGAAATGTTCTATCTCCATTCCCACTATCTTGGTCTTTCGCGCCTAGCCTCATCCTGATGCAGCTGAATTAGCGAGATCTAGCCTGAGCTTAAGCAGCGCACCGGGTGATCCTTGGAAGTTGTATTGAAACTATGGAGGAAAAGATACGAAGAAGAGCAACGAACGCCTAGTAAAAGAAACATCATGGAACACCGATGTCCCGCACTTCTGCAATTCAATGTCAACACGACATCTTCCTGTTAAACTCCGAGCATCATGCAGGTCATTGTGCGGCAGACCGCGCGAACCGACCACAGAAAAACTGCTCCCCGCCCAGCTTCATAACTTAATGTCCAGCCGATTCGACCACATCCCTGGTTCCACGTTGCGGTGCTGCGCCAGCAGTGCTGCCATTCGCTCAAGCCATTATCAAGCTTTCCTACTAACGACTGTTATACCTTGCCGTAAGCTCTTTCGATGGCTGCTACCGAACTCACAGAGCCTTGAAGCTGAGGCGCGGCCTACTCACATGGAGCAAGTTCTCTTGGCACTTCACGCTGGGTCTTGGACCTGCACCACGAACCAGTGATGCTTCTGGCTCCAGCCCACATATATTGGCATTTCCCTTATCTTGACAGAATAGAATGCCTCTGAAAGTTGTCAGCTAGAGCCTCTGATGTGATCGGTGGTTCAACCTGAGATCTACCGGTTATAGATGCCGAACAAGTAAGTCTCATCAGATCTCACCCAGATCGGCACCATCTTATCCAGTCTCGATCTTTGATCGTCCTCTACTGCCGGTGTCAAACCTACAATTGGTGTCATTCTAAACACTCAGACAAGGTTTTTTCATACCAGTCCTGTTGTCTAGGGACCTTGTCTGAAGTATCAACGCTATCCAGGGCTGCCCCTCCGATTTGGAAAACCATCATGCGCACTACCTAGTTTACTGCCATTCAGCGCCCTCGCCCCGCAATGGTCTATGCAGGCACAGGAAGCAAAAGAGTAGCAATCGCGTCTCTTCTACGCAGGTATCCAATTGCGTCGAACTAAACATATATTACCGAACTTACAGGTCATTTACAACGACCACGAGAAAGTCTTCGAGGGCAGTGGCTCGTGCCGACCTATAACGAGACACTGCCCACCGCCTTTGTTCACACTCCTTCCCCAAGCCTTTGAGAATCAAGCTGTCCGCAACGCTTAAGGCGTTGTCTTTTGTGTGTCTTGATGGATCTATCGATGCTTTTGTTTAGCGTCCAGGCCACGATTCTGGTCATGCTGTCGCCTGTCGAAGGCACACCTCAATCAGCGAGGCAATGCCCGCCCTTCAAAAAAGGTAGTTTCGCGATTGAGCAATACCAGCTTTACCCCGAGAACGCAGACTGGGATGTCGAAAATTGTATTGTGTACTTTGGGTGCGTCTCATTGGCATGTGCATGCGTGCTATTGCTAGTGTTAGTGTTAGGTCTCTGTTCAATGCCAGTGTCGCTGTCTACGACCCCTACAGGGACACGATAGTCGATATCCTCATGTTCAGCGGCATCACACATAACCCGAGCCTTCACATTGGCGGTGTGCAAGTTGATCCGCATACAAAGCTGGTATCCATCGTCGTCGATGCCGCTGCCCCGTTCAACACCGGCGGGCAAGTCGTATCAGGTGACAACTTCATCATCAAGTACGATGCCGCCCAAAAGCGGGCTCTATGGAACAAGAACATTACTACTGTGTCCAAGGGCGAGTACGCTGGTTTCCAAGATGTTGAGCACGATGCCCGGGGAAACACCTACATCGTCGGGTCGTTCCCGGGAACCATATTAAAAGTAGACCGGGAAGGCTCCGCCGTCGTTCCCTGGTACCTACCTGCGAAGATCGACCACACCAAGTTCGGCTTTTCTGGGCTTGCGGCAGCTGGGGATGTCCTGTTATCCAACAACAACGAGGATTCCCAGATCTATCGTTTCGATATGAAGGCCGAAAAGGGCAACCCTCTGCTTGTTGCCAGATCTCCAAACACGACGTTGGCCAGGACCGATGCTATATATCTGCCACCAAGATACGACGGCAGGGTCCTACTCGTTGCCGAAAACACAAAGGGGATCACTGTTCTGCGCTCCAGTGACGGGTCGTGGCAGTCAGCAGAGTATCTGGGTACTGTGCCAAACAATTCCTCGGCGGCGCAAGGAGGCACCGTTACTGCTGCAGTACAAATCGGCAAAAAACTCTACATGGTTGAAGAGTTCTTTGCGGATCCTCCTGTCTCCGGCTCAACTGCTGGGAATAGGAAACATTTCCCCATGGTCGACATCACTTTACAAGTTGAACAGCTTCTGAAGAAATAGCGTATTGGATCTAACCCCTTGGATGGGGACAAAAATATCGAGTATAAGATCTGCGTATCTGACTACATCGCCCCATGGGACAGACTTTATATGATGGATGGATGTGTATGGCTTTCATTGAAGCGCTGACCCATCAAATCCTCTCTGATTGAATGCTATGTTTGTTCTGACTTCGACTACCTTGGCTACCCGATACGTTGCCCGAACCCTCAGAAACAGTTCATGGTCTATGACGAATCAAATTCACATTTTCTTACCAGACCCGGCGGCATTCTTGATTTAGATACTAATGTGAGTTTTGTTTCAGTCGATCACTTGACTTTGATCAGCAACGTCCGTCTGTTATATTAGGTCTTATCATGATTGACCCGATTGCGTCTTTCATGAGCGCTGACAATACCTCACAAAGCCGACTGTAACCTCTTGTCCAAAAACTTGCTGGGACAAAGGTGTTATTATTAGTTCTCAACCACGAATGATAGCATTCAAGTCAACCAAATTTATCAGTGTGCGTAGTCAGCTGCTATGTTGAGTCTTTTGTGCTACTTAATGAGATAACTTACTTACACTGACTTAGGATTTTTCATTGGTCCGTACCTGGATCATGGTAAAGATGGTATGATGAGTTATCATTCGGCACTTCTTTCAAATCACCTCCCCCCCTTCTCGCTGTTCTGCTGCTCTACATGGAGTGTTAATAGTAACCTAAAGGGGATTGAGAAAGCACAGCCCAAACCTGTGCCCGGTTTATGCGCCAGCTTGCTCAATTTTCAACGCCGGCAAGCCCCTTTTCACCTTGAGGTTCGGTCACAAACAAAACCTTTCCACGTCTTCATCCTCTCGTTTCCCAGGTTTCCTTTGAGTTACTCCGCACCTCTGTACCCGTATCTTCCTTCTTGGTTCGACCTCTATCCATTTCTTCCACTGCTATACGTCTTTACCCGCCTCATCTTGCCTTGCACACTACCTGCCACCCTTCCCAAACCCTTCATCTTGTTCTTCACTCGAGTATAAAAGGCCACCAAAAAGGCCTTGTTCAACGCACAGAAAGCTTTGAGAACAAAACACCCTACTTCAAGACCCCCCAACCACGCCGGACTCGACCCGGTGCTGGGCTCGCTGGGCCCTACGATATCTAAGCTATAGCATCCCATCTCATCATGAGTTGGCCACAGCAATCGCAAAAGAATACCACGGACCTTCAGGCGCCAATGGGCGACTTCAGTACTCAGTATGAGATGGCAGATAAGAGAGCCGAAGCGCATATCCAGCACCAAGAAGACCAAGGTCGTCATGGCCTCTACATGCCCAGCCAGGGTGCCGAGACTCTGATTCAGCAGCGTGCGGAATATATCCGTAACAGGTTGGAGATCCCCATCGACAGGCAAAAGTTTACCGGCATCTGGAATCACTATCACGATGTGAGAAGCTACCCCCAGTCTTGGATGGTTGCTCCAACAGCACACATGGTTCCGTCAACACACACAACCCAACCTGGAGTGGACTTTCCTAGCGGCCCGCTGTCGATGGGAGTTCAGCAACATGGCCAGTTTACGACGTCTCTATGCTCGAACATGAGTACGCCCGTACAGCACTCTTTGCGTAAGTTCCTACGACGATATGTAAAGTCGTGCATTTGGGATACGGACTAATCTTGCTTAGCTGCTGCCAACTTCATGTTCAACCCCGCAGTGGTGGTTGACCACCACCAACAGTACGGCCAGTTCACGATACCCGCATGCCCGAGTTCAGGACTTCCCTCTCAGAAACCCTCGCCACGTAAGTTTATTCAGACAGATCAGCCAACAAACGACATCCTTACTTGTAATCTTCCCAGCTCCTGCGAGCTTCGAGTTCGGTCCCATAACCGTGGGAGATCAGCAAATCCCATCAACAACACCACTGCACTCGAAGTTAGATATTGCTTCTTTGTATACACAGAAGGCTTTGCGTAAGTAATTTGAACCAGGAAATTGTCGGACTACTGATGACTCTATGTCTAACCCCGCGGTTGTGGGTATTAAAAAACACAGCCAGTCTGTGACACCTTCGCATCTTAGCTTGAGCATGAAATCATGGCCTAGACAACACGTGAGGCGTGTGCTTCATACATGAAAACGTTAGCTAGGAGAATATTCAGTATTTACTGACGTCTTCTAGCTTCTGGAGAACTCATACCACTCGGTCTCGCGATGGCAGCAAATCCACATAATGGTCGGTTCGAGATGCCCGCGCCGCATAACCAGCCTGCCATCTCTACACTACCGGTCTTGGGCTGTTCATCTCCACAGCACCAAACGCGTGAGTCTCCTCTGTGCAAAAATCAAAACAACCAAAACCCGTCCATTGCCCGAAAGCCTACAGCAAACGTCACAATGGCCGGTGCCACAGCGGTAGGAAGCCAGCAACTCAGCTCGTCTACGACTTCTCTTCGTCCAGGCTTGGGTTCTTCACCTCCACAGGTCTCGTCACGTAAGTCTCACCTGTGGAATCTTTCCAACTTGTTAGATTCAATTCATTCACTGAAACTACAAAGCCAACATCACTAGATTTAGTCCCAGCGGTCGTCCGATGGAAAATCCGATGATGGCAACGCTCTCATCCGGACAGAGCCGTCCTATTCGGGCGCGACTTCGTGAGAAATACCCTTTTACCTCATATCATCAGCTCGGTTTCATTTTCCTTTTCTCTCCCCCACTGAATATTATTCCATCCGAAATTATTCGTTTCACCTCACTGACTCCCATTTCATCAGATACTGACAAGTACCGACGAGCCAGCGTGGTCAAGGTCCCGAGCCCGCTGAAGCAAGCCACATCGAGCAGCCCCCCCGCCGTGCGTTCTGTTCTTCAAAGCGTCCAGCTCCCGCCTCTGGGACCTTTGGCAAAACCGCCCAGCTCACAGTCGACCATCAGCGTCAATGAGACCCCTTCTCGTCCCAAATCCAGCCTCTCTGTGCCCGGTGGCCAGTTTGGCTCGGTGTTTGACGACGACGACGATCCATTTACCACATCCTGGCCCGACCGTCAGACATCGCAAAAGGGTGCCTCTAGCAAGCAATGTTCTGCATCAGGGGCCGAAAAAGTCGCCCACCAGGTCGCTAACGCGCGCTCCGTCACCCGCCATGGCTACCGCGGCCCAGTTGAAGTAGGCAATTTCGTCTGTCTGATCAACCTTCACACCGGCCAGCCCAGCCCAATCGCAGTGAGCCAGACCGACGGCAAGGGCGGCACGATCACTCGTGACATTCGTTCTGGGAAGGACCTCAGGGAAATCATGCCTTCTGATAATGGCAATGCCGTGTGGGGCAGGAACGGCGAGTTCAAGGGCTTCGAGGATTCCATCGCTGCTGCTTGGGTTTACGGCCCTGGTTAGAACCCGGGTATGCCCAACAAGTTAGAGGAGACCCCGAACAAGTTTCTCAAACCCGGCGGAAGGGACGCGTTCATGGGGGTCAGGCTGTTTGAGGGCAACGATGATGTGTTGTTGGAGGAGGAGGCCCCGAAAGCTATGATGCAGTTGGGCCCGACGCCGTACTGGATCAAGGAGGCGAACGAGACCTTGGGCATCCCAAACGAGGATGACGATGAACAGGAGGGTTTGTTTGGGTACTATGACATTGAGCATTTCACCTGATGTGGCCTTTGGACAAGCGGACATGGTATTGAGATCAAAGCTCTTGGTCTGCGGCCTAGTATAAAGCCGGGCTATTTAGGATTGTGGGCTTGTTGGCAATGGACCAGAAGACTTGGGCAAGGCATCCATGACGCCCATTTTTCGGTTATGTTAAAGTACCGTATGTCTATTCCAACTTGAGTACAGGAATTGAACTATTTTCCGTCATTACTATTTGCTAAGTGCTTTTTTTTTATTGGACCGCCAGCTTAGACTTCGGTCTGAACCGTTAAGCCCGAGACACAGAACGACGTCTCAAGACTGAAGAGTCGTCCATCAGTCCGTAGCCAATCTATACACGTGTGCTCAATACACGTCTCAGGCTTTTAATTTGGCAGTTTCAAGAACTCATGCTCCTCTTCATAGGCGGCTTCGAGCCGGTCATGTTCTGAGGAGTCTGGGTCTCATTCGCAGGAGCAGAAGGCATGCCTCCTTTGCCGCCTCCCGGCATCTCACCCTCATCGCGGCCACCACATCCGGTAGCGTACAGCGTGATCTCGCCGCAGTTAACGCCCTGGTCGTTCTTCTTGTAGAGGTTATACGTCTTATTATCAGCCTCGCACTGGAAGTAGCGCGACATGTCCTGGAACCGCATCCGGCCGTCGCAATCGACTGACCAGCCCTTGTCAGGCTTTTGGCCCGGATCACACTGAAGTGTCTCGGTAGGGGCTAAGAGAAGCAGTGTTAGCTTGCTGCGAAAAAAAAAAACCCCCCGGGGAGGTGATGAAGGAGTAAACTTACGCGTCCACCACATGCCGCGTTTCTCCTTGTCGACAATCTCGCCCTTCTCCATGGTGAGCTCCACGGGCTTGAGACCGATTCTCAGCTGTCCGCTGTCAAGTTGACCAACCCACCCAGAGGCGGTGCCCTTGGCCTTCATTTTGAACTTTTTGCAGTTCTTCATACCGCCACCACCCTTTCCACCACCGGGCTTGTCACCGCCGGGCTTGTCACCTCCGGGCTTGTCACCTCCGGGCTTGTCACCTCCGGGCTTGTCACCACCGGGCTTGTCACCTCCGTGGCCCTTGCATTCATCGCCTCCCTTGTCCTTGTCGCCGCCGTCGGCGCTTTCACCATTGTCACCTCCGCCTCCGGGGCTATCGGCAAGGTTCAAAGTGGTGACAGTATCCTTGGGCACGAGGGCTACAGCGAGCGAGCTCGTGGCCAGGGACAAAATGGTGATTACAGAGAGACGCATTTTGTCTATGAGTGGTGTCTAGTGGCGAATTCTTTTGAACGGTAGAGGATTGGATGAGATGATTGAGTGATGACAGTAAACACCACCCGCCAAGAACAGGATGTAGGAACAGAGGCTCTGTAATGGATGGCCCGTGTTCAAGAAGGGAAGATGTCTGGGTAAGGGGAGACCACAAAGGAGACCTTTATTGATCCTTTAGCTCAAATGCAGAGAAAGAGAATTTCGAACAACGTTCGGACTAGAGACGTGGAGAGCAGGATGAAGGAAAGCATCGTCAGCACTGATTAGAAGGGAAACTCCAGCCTTTTATGCTTCCGAGGCCCCTCAAAGCTAGAACGTTTGCCGATATTTTATTCCCCCCTTTTCAAGGAAAAGGGTCCGGTGGGCGGAGAAGGAGAAGGGGGAGGAGGGGATTCAAACAATCACACACACCCATACGGCGAACATGCACAGATGAAAAAAGTCTCCTCGAATCGAATGACTAGTCACCCGTGAGCAGAAACTCGAGTAATGGAGAAGAAACGTCGGTAATACAAATATGGGAGTGGAACATCCGGGGATGGAGAAGAACATCCGAGGATAATGGAGGAGGAGGAAACAAAGAACGAGGGATGTTTCCATGATGTTCGAAGCATTCTCGAAAGAAGGGAAAACGGGTGCGGGGGACAAGGGTGCCGACGCGGAGAACCAAGGCAGAAACGGTCAGTCGAAACTTCGGATACCGAAACCACGTGGAGTCGACGCCGCTTCATCAGCATCTTTTTGGAGGGAGTAGCTGAAGGTGTGAAGTCGAAGCTGTATGGCTGGTGTATCTTCGGAGTTGTTGTGGTTGGAGGAGGAAAGCAGAGGGGTAAGGTGGTGTGTCGTCGAAAAAGGTTATGAACGCGACTCATTTCAGACGATGGATGCCCTCCGATCGGTGTGTGGGATATTTGGATAGGGCAGGCAAAGGAGACGAAACGTCACCACGCTAGCAAGAAAGAAGCAATTATTCACACAGAAACAAACTTTCGAACAAGAGAAGCTGGGGCGTCATTCAGGTCAGTGGTTGAGACGGGAGTTCGAGGGGGAAAGGCACAAACAAACTCTCCGCTTAGTCGTAACGACGAACCTTAGCGCTGCGGAAGTTTAAACAGCATCACCTTCGAGTGCCTACCGAACTCGGCTTCGCCTGATGTTTTGATTCTGTCAAGGGTCAACGACGTACGGCAGGGGAGCGGTGAAGCGAACGATCGCGGGTTGGCAGGCTGCAACAATAGCCGGAGGAACTCAAGGAGTGAAAGGAAACAAAGTTTCAACGATCGAATCAGGTAGGCATTGTAAGTGGCTGATGAATGATCATCAGGTCATCATTTGGCATTCTGCGTTTTCTATGTTTTGTGTTCTTTCTGAGTTCAAGGAAAAAGAAGTAGCTAAGCCTCTAGAAGAGGACATGAAAGGGTGGGACAGTTCTCCACGGATAGCAACTTGCCATTTAAGACAACATAACGGGGTATCATACGGTAATAACGCCATGCTCAGTTCCCCGAGGAGAGTGTAAATAAGATGTTGGGAAACATCTCGCGGCTGAAAGTCTGTGCTCAGCTGGGCAAGAAACAAACAGGCAAACACAGGGATTCCCGAGTACGCAAATCCGGAAGAGCCCCATTCGGGTACCGGATGGCAACAGCCTCAACATCTGGAAACGTCAGGTTTGTAACGGGTTTGCCCTGACTGGACCCCTCACTGGCCCGTGATCTCACGGCCAAAGAACGGACGTTCCACTTTCTAGGGAGCCCGAAAGCGAATTGCCGTTTTCTTCTTCTTCAGAGTCAGTAGCCCTTTTGGCCTCGCCGTTTCCCCACCTATGCAGGTGAGGCTGCCGAAACTTCGGCGTTGCAGCGGAAGAGATTCATTTAGCAGACTCTGGCCTGAGGCTCTCATGTCTTTCTCCTCTTCTTCGAGGCGTTGCTGGCACTCCGGTCAGAGATGGCCTTAACCGACGTGTTGTAGCTCGTCTCTGATGCCGCGCCGTCACCACCATCTTCGCTCTCAGAGTCATCGTCTGATATTTCATCAAGCGGTATCATGTCGTCCGAGTCGTCGTCAATGCCTTCAGATGCCTTGGCCAAGGACTTGTCGCCCTTGGCCTTGTCGTCAGAGTCAAAACCTTCGAACTCATCATCCTCTTCCTCATCGCTGTCGCTACCAACGGAGGAGGGGCCCATTGACGTATCGGCCACACTCTCGGCCATTTCGGCCGCCGCACGCTTCCGCTTCTGAGGCATCTCACCCAGTCTGCCGCTACGTCCCTCGATGCCCTCACTTGTTTCCTCACCCTCTTCTTCGACGGGGGCAGGAGTGAACCAAGGGATCTTTCCACGCATGAAGTCGTTGAGAACCATCTTGGCGACTCCGTCCAAGTCGGGCTCTCCTTTCCTCAGCAGACGGCCGCTCTTTCGGGCGATCATCTCGAGGAACTCCATGTGGTTGTTCCATCCCTTGAGCTCGTATGTTCTCTCCATGTGGTGCGTCTTGACCTTGGCGAGGACAGCTGGGATGTACTGCTCTGGGTTTTCGACGTTCTCGACACGAACAACACCTCTGAGGAGCAAGTCCTGAGGGGTATCGGTCTGCGAAGGTGGTACGATACCAGGGCAGTCAATCATGTCTAGCCAAGTTAGCGTATGCGTAGGAGGCGGCAACGTGGTAAGGGGGACATACAGATCTTGCGGGTGAGTGTGATGTACTGCCAGACCTTGGTCTCGCCAGGAATGGGCGCGACGGTGGCAACCTTCTTCTTCCTCAGAGTATTGACGATACTGCTCTTGCCGACATTGGGGTAGCCAATGAGACCAACTGAGATCTGCTTGCGGTCGCTGTGAAGCTTGGCATATTGTCTCAGAAGCTCAATCAAACTACCCTTGCCGAAGGGGTTTGTCAAACTCGAATGCATGGCCAAAGTAGGCTTATCCTTGGAGAAGTATTTTACCCAACGGGCCTGGGTCAGGTTAGCTTCTGCAGCAGAATGCCAACATGAAAAACAAGATGATGCTGAAAGCATGTATGCCTCGCTACTAAGAAATACCGCCATGGAGAGGCTCGGATGAGCGCTGGCAGACTTCAACTCAAAGTGATGCAATTCCATCTCATGATGGGAAATCCAAAACGGACCCCATCAGCCCTGGTCCGAGAACCAGGACAGCGAGACGGCCCTCGATTTTCCCAGTGTTTAACGGAGACCCTTTCATTGGGAGCAACGAATGTGCGAAAGGATTCCTGACAAAGACACTGGGGTTTTGTTCGGGGAGAGAAGGGCAGGGAGGAAGACGAAGATACACTTACAGCAACGCTGGTGGGCACCAGGTCCGTCTTGTTCAAGACGAAGATGAGATGCTTGTGAGGGGCCTCCTCGCGGAGGTACTTCTCGACACTGCGACACCTCGTTCCCAGAGGGTCGCGGGCGTCCAGGACATGAATGACAACGTCGGAAGAGTCCAGCACACGGTACAGCTCGTTCCAAATACGTTTGCTCTGACCCTTGTTGAAGATGGGCTCGATCGACATGGTGACATGGCTCTCGTCCTCGCCATCCTGGTCCGCTCCAGAGTTCCCGCTGAGCAGCTTGGCTTGCTCGAGGCGCTCGTTGTAGCTGTCCAGGTCCTTGTCGACGTCACCGGCCAAGTCGGCAATGGAGCCCGCACCAATCTTGACGCGCTTTCTCTGCGACTTGGGGCCGAAGGTGTCTCCGAAAGAAGAGGTCTCAATCGTCATCTTGGCCTGGTGCTTCTTGAGGCCGTTGGTGTCGGAACCGTCCTTGATCAGGGACATGGGCAACTTGTTGCTCTTGAGCAGGACCGAGTAAGGGTCCGCGGCCTTCTCCGCCATGGCGCTGCGGAACGCCGTCAAGCTCTCCTGAGAGATGACGCGAGTGTTGCCGAACCACTTGCGGTTGGGCTCGATCCGGGCGGTAGGGATATCTCGACTCTGGTACGAGGCGGCCTTTGTGATTTCGCCATCGGCGTTGCGCTGGGGCTTGCCATCCTTGTACATGTTGAGTTGCCTAACCCGCTTGGCAGAGCTGTGATCGACTTGTTAGCCATGTTTCCTGCAGATCAAGCCTTCCCATGCTGGAGAGAAAGGGAGGAGCATACCGGTAGAAGTTCTCGCCCTTGACCTTGACATTGCCCATGCCATCGCCGGTCTTGCCCTGGCGAACCTTTCGGCTCGCCTCTTTCTTTCCGGTTCCCATCTTTCTGACCGCGAACTCGCCCAGTCGTATTAAAAACTTGACAAGAGGGGAGAAGAGGAGGGGAAGAGACTGGGCAGAAGCTGGAGTCGGTGAGGTTGTAAGAAAGGATTGAGAGAGGGAGGTTGGAGCTTCGGCGCGCGCAGTAAAGAAGATCTTTCTCTACGATGGTGGGGTCCGCTTGGGAATTTTTTAGTGGAGTAGTTGAAATTTTTTGGGCACTTCGGCGCGAGCACACGCCGCTGCGCCGAGAGGCCAATTAGAGGCGCGAAAGCCGCCTCCACATCTGCAGTTCAAGATTCACCCCTAGTGTCTGCCATTTTTCGCATTCTCCCTGCGGCTGGGAAACTAAAAGACCAGCAAAAGGCGGAGAGCCGATTCAAGCTCCCAGCTGTCTTGCTTCCCCTCGCACCCACCCCGAAGCGTGTGCCTATCCAGCCCTGGACACTCTCGAGAATTTCTCAGGTCCATGATCCCAACACCACGCAGCTTGCATCTCGAGCCACGAATCAACTCTATCCACAGCGTCGCCGTCGTCGTCGTCGTCTCTCCTCTCACTCCCGGTGCCGCCATTGCCCTGGCAAACGCCATCTTGCCGACACCATGTCATCAAGATGCTCCTGCGCGCGACTGACGCGGCTCCCGACGGTCATCGCCGCTAGACCAACCAACATCAACCTCACACGACCCTTCTCTACCACGACGGCGAAACTCAATGTGCCCCCCGAATCCCCCCGCTGGATCCAGGTCCCGACGCCGCCTCAGTCCCAGTCCTCCGAAGAGAAGCCCCCCGTCGTCAAGGGCACCCTCCCCACGCCTCGCGACGTCTTCCCGCGTAAGGAGGCTGACCGCAAGGCCCAGCCCGAATACCTCAAGGAGACGGCGCGCCTTCCCACGAACAAAGCCTCCAAGAAGCCCGCCCCTCCCGGCTCGCGCCTCGAGCACCGCCGCCGCATGGCCGACGCCCGCCGCGAGAATCTCGGCGTGGCCCTACAGGGCCTCTACAAGCGCAAGCAGGAGCGTGTCGAAGCTGAGACCACTGTCAGGGAGCGCCGTCTCCGCGACCACCAGCGCGCCGCCGTTGCCCCTGAGCGCTGGGACGACCGCCTCACCCGCAGCTCCGTGCTCTCGTCCCTGGCCAAGACAACCGCTGTGCAGCCCGACCCCGAACGCTACGCCCGCGCGGAGCAGAGCAAGGCCCGGACGGCCCAGCTGGCCCAGCAAAAGAGTGAGGCGAAACAGGATGCGCTAATGGAGCTGTACATCAACGCCTCCAAGTTCATCGTCACCGAGGAGGAGCTGGGCAAGGAGCTCGACAAGCTCTTCTCCGAGGACTTCTGGAAGCGCCAGGGCAAGTCCATGGCCCACGACGCCGACAACGCCTGGGATGTCTGGGGACAGCCGCCGACGGTGCAGACCATGCTGGACGAGATGATGAGGAAACAGCAGCGCGCCATCGACTTCCAGCAGAGCGAGCAGGACAGGACTGTCAAGAGGCAGAAGACCATTGCCGAGGAGTTGACGGGCGGCAAGATGGAGTAAATGGGTGCTTTGTCACAAAATGGCCTGCCGGCCAGCTTGGATTCGGCTCATCCGGCGTATTGTATCAAAACCAAAAAGTGTATTGGCCCTGTAAAATCTCACATCGGGAAGCTGTGGTGGCTTGGATCAGACAATATCGTCACGTCTTTGCGTACCATCATACCAAAAGTCTGGGTGCTTTAGTCACCTGGAGCTCGCAAGTCAACTTGTACTACTATCAATTCTTTGTAGCATTATAAAGCCACCAATGTCAAACTATCATGACATGACGTCCCCCAACGCCGTGAAGCAGTCCCATATGCACATTGGCAAATTACTGCCATTGGAAAGGAAATGGTTGTATGTGTTTCTGTGTGGGATCTATATGAAAACGACAGAAGCTGCCATAGCCCTCGAACGGGTGGTCATGAGGCTTCCGTACTCGTACACTTGTATACCAAGAGCGCCTAAATGCTGGCTTCGTCGGATGGATGTGTGATCACCTCTTCTCGACGAGGAGGAAGTGCATAGCGGCGTAAGCTAGGAAAAGGAAGACAACACCAAAGGTGCCGAGACAGACAACGTCGGTCCAAAGGGCGTCGTTGTTGAAACCAAAAGAGCTCAAGATTGCGGCTCCTGGGACAGTAATGTCCAGACCGTACTTCTTGTCCACAAGGGTGAGTTGCAGCACCTCGTTGACGATGAGCGACTCAAACCCGTAATGGAAAATAGAAAGCGTCTGTAGCCAGAGAGCAGCCTTTGGGATCGCGTTGTGGTTGAGCAGTAGTCCAGCGAAGAGCAAGCTGAATAACATAACCAAGCTGCCAATCAGGTTGGCCACTCCGCCGTCCTTGCAGACGATGCCAATGAACAAGCAGATCGCGGCGGCGGCGAAGTTGAACAGGACCAGAACGAGGATGAATTTGAAAAAGTGGCTGGCATCGGGAACCAAGCCCGTCATGGGGTAGATGATGGCGCCCATGAGAAGGGGCGGGATGATTCGTAGCGGGATGATGTCGAACAAGATCTTGGCCGCAAAGTAGGTGATGGGCGAGTAGTAGCCGTTTGCACGCTCTCTAACAAACAAGAGCCTCTCAGTAGCGAAGACATTCAAGCTGGTCAGGGTGCTAAAACCGAACAAGGCTAACAGGAAGAAGAACAGGCCCAGACGGTTTTGGAATCCCGGAATGTCGTCAGTCAACCCGTAAAACAGATAGCCTGAGAGAACTGCGAGGAGGATCGCGATGGCGTAGTGAGTCAACATAAGAATAGGGTTCCTGTACAGGTTCTTCCAGGTTCGCTGAGACAGAATGACGAATTGGCGGGTGTAGCCCACGCGAGCGTAACCCTTGCCGATGGCGCTAATGTGGATGTTCGGTCCCTCTGGGTTGTATCCGTTGGTAGTGTTCTGTCCATTGGCACCCTGAGCAGCGGTGATGGATTGCTGGATTTCGTCGTGCGTGGAGCCTGCAATGTCGGACTCGGCAAAGGAGCGGATTAGGACATCCAACTCATTTCCGACATACGCCGAAGGGGGAAGGTCATGAGGATCCTCGGCGTTGATAGACGGCACAAAGCCAGGCTGGTTCTGCAGCTTATAGGATCCAACGTCCTCTCCGCCAGCATCCGAGGAAGCAGCGGTATCAACGTTGTTCTTGCGACGGGTAAAGAGCTCCCGCTCTTGGCGGAGCTTGACTGAATCCCGGCGCTTGTTCTTGGGACGCGAAGATGAGGATTCTACGCCGCTATCCTCGTTAATGGACCCGCCAGAGATGCTGGCGATGGACTTGACGGCGGTGGTGCTGCTCGGGCCCAGACTAGCAACATCGGCGTTCAGAGCACCGTCATCTTCAGAAGTGGTAGAACCTGCGTGCATGGTGAGGTCCACGAGGTAGTCGGCAATGTTGAAGCCCGGGGGGCACGAGTAGCCGATGTGGTCAAAGTACCCCTGACACTGAGAGAAGGGACCCGAGTAGACCGCGCCACCTCGGGCCAGCAAGATCAGCCTGTCGAAGAGGGCAACGATGTTGGACCGAGGCTGGTGAATCGTGAAGACTACGGTACGCTTGTAGTTCTTGGCCAAGGTAACCAGACACTCGATAACGTTGAAGGCATTGTAGGCGTCCAGACCACTGGTGGGCTCGTCCAAGAACAGAATAGAGGGGCTCGTGACAAGTTCACAGGCGATGCCAACGCGGCGCTTCTCTCCGCCAGAAATGCCACGGCCCTTGCCTTCCTCGGAACCAATAAGCGAATCGCGAATGTGGTAGATACCAAGCTGCTTCTCGACTTCGAACACCCGTTGTTCCTTGGCGGCGCGGCCCATGTTACGAGGCAGGCGGAGGAGGGCGCTAGTTAGAATTGTCTCGTGAACCGTCAGAGTAGGCAGCATAGTGTCTTCCTGATCGACAAAACCAATAACGTTCTTGTAGTCCGTGTCGGTAACCTTTTCGCCATTGACGTAGAAGTCGCCAGAGACCTGTCCACGCTTGTTCTTCCTGGCCAAGATATCGAGGAACGTGGTCTTGCCAGCTCCAGAGGCGCCCATGATGGCAGTGACCTCCCCAGGGTGGGCCATGCCCTGGATGTTGTTCAGGATACGCTTTCCATTGAGATCGTAAGCAACATTCTCGAAGTAGAGAGAGGCGGGCTTGTGATCAGCCATGAGCTTCAAGCTCTCGTCATCAGAGTCGTCCAGCACAATGGCGCCGTACTTGAACTGCCGGCGAGAAAGGTACCAAGTAAGCAAGATGATGGCGACAACGAACAAGGAACATGCGGCAATGACACTGGCGATCAGCGGGGTGTTGATCTTCTTGACGGGCCGTTCGTAACCGGGGACTTCAGTGTGGTAGAGACACTCTCCAGAGCGACAGTTCAGCTGAATGCTGCTGTCGCCGATCAAGGAAAGGATCAGGTCGTCCATGGCAGGTTCCCTGAAAGCACAGTTGTTGATGCCTCCATTCTTCTGTAAGCACTGGAACTCGGCGGGGCCCTTGATTTCTTCGACCAAGAAATCGCTAATGTCGACGGATCCGTTCTCGCCGCAGAGCATGCGATCAGGGATGCAGTTGCACTCGATCTTGTTGCACTTGTAGTCAGTGCTGTTCTGGCTGTCGTTGATATCGGCAGTGGACGAGCAGTCGTTCAAGTGGCAGTAGAAGGACTCGCGTTCGTCAACCCAGACTAACCTGGGGTTAGCTTAGTTGTCGCTAGGCGGTGTCGAGACAAACTTACATTGGAAATCACAGTTGCCCTCCTCCTTCTTGCAGGTGAAGGTAACCTGAGGGCGCTTCTCACCAAGAAGATCGGTAATCTTCTTGTTGGTTACGTCGCAGATCTGGTAGTTGTGGTTGATAACCTCGCCGTTCTGGTAGCAAACACCACCCTCCTTGGTCTCCATGAGGGCGTCGCAGGCCTGGTTACTCGTGCAGACATTGCAGTTGATTCCGGTCCAGCCGTCGTCGCAGTCGCAAAAGTCGCCAGTCCGCCGAGGTCTATCGGTGTTACCGCCACGGGACAGAGATCCGCATACTACATTGCTTGTGTCAGTGATGCGCCGAGGTTGTGCGACAAAGTGGTGGGGATGAGGTTATGCGCACGTGGATCGAGGCAGTCATCGCCGCCGAAGCCCTCGGGACAGTTGCATTTGCCGGTAAAGTCGTTGCAACCCGCGAACTGGGTGCACTTGTGGGCAGGGAGGAGACAGTTGAAGCTGCGCAAGGACACCTATCAGCTTTGGACCTTGATGGCGCAAACAGCAACAGCTTCGCAACGAAGCAGAGAGCTGCGATACGGAGACGATAAGCGAGCACTCACCAAGGCGGGCAATCAGAGGGCCGGTCGTCGAGAAGCGTCAGCTGTGCACGCAGCATATCGGCCGTGGAGTAGTTGCGCTGTGCTGAAGCTAGGGCAGGAAGACATGCCAGAGCCCCGATGAGGAGGCTCCTCAAGGCGGGAGGAGCCATGATGGGCGGTTTGGGTGGGTGAGGCAGACACCGATTCGATGCGAAGAGATTCGAGACACCACGGTATGAGGTTGCCGATGCTGAAGAGAGGGAAATGGGGGATAGAGATCAGAGAGGGGAGAACATGGACAACGGGTGGCCAAACGGAGGAGCAGCAGCAGCAGCAACAGAGCGGCGCAAAGTGTCCGACGGCAAGGCAAGGCGCGGCGAGGCGAGGCGAGGCGAGGCGAGGAGGGAGGTCAGATAGATAGGTGGTAGGTAGGCGGGATGGAGGAGAAGCTCTTGGCCTGCGGGAGAAAGCAGACGGTCGACCCAGACAACGGAGGTGGACTGGACTGGACCAAGGTAGGCAAGGTACCGACTGAATCGATGGAGGTGCCACCGAGGTACCGCTGCGTGACTACCAAACCCGCCCCCGATTGCGCTGGAGCCGGCCGATAATAACCCGCCCGCCCAGCAACGCGTCGAACAGAGATACGTACCTACTCTCCAACGTGTGCTGGGGAAGGTGCGGTGGCGTCACAGTGGATACGTACCTGGCTGGGGCCCCACTGCGCCAGTCGGAAACGCGCACCAGCGTCCCGTGGGGTGGCTGAACTTCCTTGCTTCGCACTCCCAACCCTCTCGATCCTCCCACCACTGCTAGTACCTTTGCTACAGAAGCCAGAAGCGCAAGTGGCACAGTGGACAGACGGAGCTGACGCCTCAGATTTCGGGTGCCTGATTCCTTGGTGCCTTTTCTTTTCTCCTCTTGTTCAAGCAACCAGCTGGGTGGGACGGGACGGGAGAGCCGCTAAGAATAGTCCGTCGGCCATACATAACCTCACGTCGTCCCTCGGTGCAGGGAGGACGCTTGTAGGTAGTGCAGCTTCGAGATCCATGAGCGTTACACTTTGCTCAGCAGCTCCTGCTGGCAGCGGTGTCGACATTGAAACGACATGGTGCAACGCATTTCGCAGATCTAAGCGCAAAGTCAAGCACAAGTCTAGTCGACACCACAACGACTGTGAGGCATCTGGGATTACGCACTCCATCCGACTGACGAACTCGATTCATCCTCTGGCCCCTGCTGTCTGTAGTGCCGGACACGGAGCAATCACTCACGATACTTGGTACCGATGACGGCAAACAGCACCTTGAGGGAAGGTTAGGATAATCAAACGGAACGGTTGTACTATGTACGATGTAAACGGAGTCTATGTCTCGGCGGCAGCATCGTTCGGTCCCCTGGCCTTGGACGTTAAGAAGACAGCTTGCGAGGATAGGTGTCGCGACTAACCTGTAACAACTGACACCGACATTAACCTCAGATGCTGGGGCGAGACCATGAGCTGGGGAAGTGTGGAGAAGCAGCGCAGCGCCGCCGCTCCAGCGACACACCTCACTCAACGTCGGATCAATGACGGTTTTGATGTTGGTTCTTGTGCCGTCACCGCCTATTCACTTCACGCATTGTGCTCGGTACGTTGGTCCCGTGATCAGCTGCCTCATTTGGATTCAACGTTTTGAAAGCTGGAGCCCAGCCGAGGAGGCCAGTATGGCTGGCTTGGTTGCTTTCCAGTCTGGTCTGATAAAGCACGATGCTCGACCCTAGCGTGTTGGCGGCTAAATCCCTCACGAATACGGAAGCTCAAAGACCAACACTGCACCTCTTCTTTCGGCCAGCCATAAACCCCGCAGTTACCTAGGCCCGCCATGCCGGACAGTCCCAACCGGCTTTAAGTCGCCAGGTAGCGCAACAAGTCGCAACCTACATGCGATAAGAAGTATTGATGTCCAGTCCCCCATACTCAGCGATGCCAACTTTCATGGACTTCCAACAAGGCTCTTAGATATATGTTTCCTCAACATCCATTGTAAACTTTCTCCAACGCACCTTCGCCCGGCGTACACGCACGTGCCTGCAAGCTGCGGTTGCAGCACAATGCGAGTCTGATCTTGCTCTGCCAAAGCTCCTGCATCAGTGCTGCCGCACTTCAGATTCCCAAATAGACTGCTTTAGCCTTTCCCCAACGATCCCGTGCATCTGCACCCCCTCCTCGGAACCTCCTCCGGAAGGTCTTCCTAGTGGCAGTCCGGCCCTCCGCGCGCCCCTGTTGACGGGTCTTTGACATGCGTTAGACTCGGGAAGCCGCCGGACGGGTGTTGAGTCCAATGTTTCTGAGATGCATGTTGCCCGTGCTCTTCGTCTTCTCTCATGCGGCTGTGCGGTACGTACCCAATCCTACATAAGCGGTCGAAGCAACTGTGTGTGTATGAGAAAGTCGTCTTGTTTGAGATCTCAATCCCCGTAGTCCATCTGGCCTTGGCATTGTATCAATTCAACACAGCGCAGTCCGTTCAAGTCTCTTCCGCCAACCCCCTCATTTCCCTTTCGCCGACATCGACCAAACTCAACTGGCCCCCATCTCGCATACTCCAAAACAACGCCCCCGCCACAATGGTCCGGATAGCAGCTTTCGAGGTGGAGCAATGGATGGACGAGTACGAGACCACCCCGGGGTGCCTCAACATCGCCGAGACCTGCGCCGCTTCCGTCTCCGTCGACGAGCTCGTCGGGCTCTCGGAGGATAAGGGCGCGCCCGGCCCCGTCGACTTTTCCACCAAGCTCGTCTACGGCCCCATCCGCGGCTCCGTCCCGCTCCGCCGGAGGGTCGCCGCGCTTTGTGGCGGCGACGGCTCGAGCGGTTCCGCGTCGTCCCCCAGCGTGCTCGGTGAGGATGATGTGCTCATCACGCAGGGCGCCATCAGTGCCAATTTCTTGCTCCTGTATACTCTCGTCAACCCGGGTGACCATGTGATTTGCGTGTATCCCACGTATCAGCAGCTCTACGGCGTTCCCGAGAGTCTCGGCGCGAACGTATCGCTGTGGAGGCTGAAGAAGGACAACGGTTTCGTGCCGGACGTTGGTGAACTCGACGGCCTCGTCAAACCCAACACAAAGGTTTGTTGACGTTACACGTACCCTCATTCAACATTAGTAAATTAAGCCATCCAACAGATGATCATCATCAACAACCCAAACAACCCCACCGGCGCACCGATCCCCAAACCTGTCCTCACCTCCATCATTACTTTCGCCAAAGCCCGGGACATTATAGTCTTCTCAGACGAAGTCTACAGGCCCCTGTTCCATGACTTCTTTGACGACGATGCCGCCTCCAGTGTTCCACCCCCCATCACGACCTTTGGCTATGACAAGGTCGTCGTCACGGGCTCCATGTCCAAGTCGTACGCCCTCGCCGGCATCCGCATCGGCTGGATCGCCTCGCGGGACAAGGCCATCATCCAGGCCATCGCCTCGGCGAGGGACTACACCACCATCAGCGTCTCGCAGATCGACGACCAGATCGCGTCGTACGCGCTGTCGAAACCCGTCTGGGGGCCGTTGCTGAAGCGGAATATCGCGCTGGCGAACACGAACAAGGCTCTGCTCGAGGCTTTCATCGACAAGTACAAGGGCGTCTGTTCGTGGGTGAAGCCCAAGGCCGGGACGACGGCCTTTGTTCAGTTCACTCGCAAAGGCAAGCCGGTCGATGACGTGCGCTTCTGCCTGGACGTGCTCGACAAGACGAAAGTCTTCTTCGTCCCGGGGTCAAAGTGTTTTGGCCATGAGAAGGACTTTGCGGGCTATGTGAGGATTGGCTATGTCTGTCATACCGAGGTACTCAGGGAAGCTTTGGAGAAGCTAGGGGCGTACATGGACAGCAACTTTTCATAGCAATGAAGTGCGTGCAATAGTACAAACTTCAGCTAGCGAGGCATCGGGAAACTTTGCCAAGTCCTCTCAGGCCACCTCTGATGTCGTACCATGGAGAGAGGAGTGAGACGGAGGGTCGACTATAGACATCGAGCATGATTTCGGCAGAGGTAACCCCACGACCGGGACCTACATCAGGATTTGTGACACTAGCCATCATTGGAAGGAGGCGGATGAAAAGATAGTAGGTTCAGCAAGCACAACATTGCAATACATATGGAAAGCCCAAATCTATGTTTGTAGCCGAGACTATAACACCAAAATCCCACTAGCAAGGTCTTTGGTCTCTTTCTTACCGTGCTCAATCTGATGGCCAGCTGCCAAACATCAAGCCTCAATCTTTCAAGGACATGATAAGCAAAAACATGAGGGTCTGCTTAATGTCTCAACAATCGTGCGTCCATCGGGATTGCTGTCGAACTTCACCTAGAGCATATCCTATAGAAAAGTACCTTCCGCGTTCCCAAAATGGACTCGTCCCCAGTCAACTCCTGATGGAAGTTCACAATACGAACAAGTCATAACAACCCTTCTTTCCAAAGTAAACATCCATTCTTAGACTACATCATACAGTCAGATCGCAGTCTTGCATTGCAGAGCCTTGTCTTTCTTAGCCAGCCGGCGGAAGTCTCTCAAGGCATTCTCATTCTAAGAAGTCCGGCAGACTTAGCACGCGCCTCGGTCCTGCAACACGAGAAACATTGCAAGTGAAGTTCCTAACGCAAGGAACGAGGTACACAATGCGAAAGGACTTGCTCCCAAAAGATACATGCTGTTGTTCCCCGGGCTGTACACCCATCCTTGACGCTGCGTTTGACGGAGAAGTCCTGGAGACATTTCCTCCGCGAACAGGTCTCATTCTAGCTACCTCGGCAGTGTAATTGGACTCGTCGTCGTGGACCACGCAATTCAAGTTGACATGAATGGACGAGTCTTCTAGGGTAAGGAAGATATCTAGTACGTTTAGAAACGTGTGCGGAAGGAGGCTCGCCAGTATGTGTTGGCCGAACTCAGTCTTTGTTGACTCTCAAAATTCGGTTAGGCCAGCTTGAGCCCCGATGGCTGAGTGCAACATGACTTGTATTTAGAGAGAGAAAAACTTCCGTCCTCTTGGTCAATCTTCCTCTCGGTAAATGAACCGAAGTGAGGTGTCTCAGTAAGTCGCCAGTCGCCGCCAGTCTCTGTGATTGAACCTTCAGACGTCGAGCCACCATCACATGGAATTGGGTTTTCTATGGCTGGGCTGCCGGAGAATTTCGAAGCTTTTCAACCCGAGGCCGGTCCCATGCATCAAAAGCAAGAATGGAAATGATGTGTTTACATATATAGCGAAGTATACACTGCCGGCTTCGCAGGCTGCGCCTGAGAGCTCGTCCAGACAGAACCGGTTATCGTGTAAGCTTCCAGATTTGGCCCTCCAGAGAGCCCAAGAAACACACAAGTATATAGACTGCAAACGTTTACAAGGCTGGCGGCTGTAGATGAAGAAGCCCAGAAGTCCGCGGTGGTAGTTTCACTTGCTGATGCCTGCTCTCTGCTCAACGACCAATTCGTTCGGATAACATTATGCATAGGGCAATCATCTGCATAGTCCGAAAAGCGGCGGCACTTTTTATATGATACCATGTAGTGGGTGTTTCCATTCTCCTCAGACATAAGCCAGTCCAACAGCGGGAAAGTGGCGGATTGTTAGAGGATGACTGCAACCTTCAGTATGGTTGCGGCCTGTCTCTTCCATAAGTACAGGAGAGTTTGCGTGCAAGGCTTAGTCTACATAGAGTTCAAGGAAACCGCAGCGTATGCTCGACTGGGTTTTCAGTGGTATATCAAACGACATGGGACATCGAGAAGGGACTCAGTACTCGTCACCAAGCCATGAACTGGGTCGCACACGAGCACGCTGCTACCAGGAAACCAGCTCGGCATCTGTATTGATCACGCTGAGTGCACTTGGCGATATATTTGAGAACGATGGCCGGAATTGCCCCTGTCAATGTCAGAAATGTGGGATATCCTTTCGAACAGCCCTACACCTGGCGTTGCTCACTTCTACCGAGCTGCGAATCATTGGCCAATGTATGCTTCACTGAGGCAGGTCATTTTGCATGTTCGATATAGTGAATTTAAACCATCACCAGGTCGAGGGCGTAGAGCCTGACCTGCGTATGGGCGCAGCAACTTCCTTTATAAAACAACGCTTTGGTATCCTTTGCAACCCGTTCTATCCGGAACGATATTTGCCCAACGCCGATATCCAGTTGCTGCTTAGATATTATACAAATGAGATCTCGGGTGTTGTCATAGCAGCAATCACCCTGCCCTACATGTATGTGGTTTTGCCAAATTAGGCTTCGCTTCGTGTACATCCAACAGATTGCACCGGACATTCATTCATATACAACAGGCTCATTGATTTCAGCCGTATTCATGAGTTGTGTGTTGTCGCGCTTTTGGCCCCATTCTCCCTTCACCTGTCGTCGTGTGGTCTGGCGCTAGAGGGCTCGATTACAATCTGAGGCACCTGCTGCAGACGCAGGCTAGGTAGTTGTGGTATCCTTGCTTGTCGCTGTTGTTGGTCTGTCGGACCATTTGTTGTTTGCTCGTCGGCAGCCAAGCCGGCCATACTCGAGGCAATGCTGTCCGCACGCTGCTGGGCAGGACCAGGGTAGTTCGGCGGAGGCTCGGTGCCTGGCTGTGGGGTGTTGCTCCGAGAGCGCTCGTCATCAAGCGAGACTTCATCGTATCCGGGTGGGGAGTAAATGGGCATGCCGGATTCACCCACATCGGCCTCGATGATTTCCGGACTGGAGCCCGCCTGGGTGTCCAAGCGCGGAGTATCCGGGCGGGAGTTGGCCCGGGACCTCGATGCGAAACCTGGCGAGGGAAGGTCACTTTCGATGCTCATCACGGAGCTAGCACTGCGACCTCTCCTGTGATTCGCGGCGGAGTCGGCGCCGGATCGGATTGATGTGGCAGCGATACTGGCGGAATCAGACAGCAAGCCCATCCTCTCGCTCTCAGTGCTGTTGGCTCGGAGGCGGGTTCCATCGTGACGTGCAACACCGAGGTCGGCATACGACACGCTGGAGACGGCTCTCTGGCGTTCGTTCTTGAGGCGTTCGTGCTCCTCGCGAAGGACGGTGAGGACACTGTTGTTGCTGGCGTTTCTCGCCCTCGCCCGAATGTTGTCGAGGGCCACGAAATCGCCACGTTCCCGTGCTTCACGGCGCTCTCTCCTCCGCTCCTCCCGCTCGGCAAGCTCTTGGCGGCGGGCTAGGCGAATCTGGTAAAGGGCCTCCATCTCTTGGTCGCGCAGATCCTCCTCGTTCTCCTCGGTGGGGTACTCAATGACAACATCCACACCTCCGCGTTCGCCCTCGCGACCCAGGACCTGCTCATTGTCGTTGGGATCGGGCCTGTAAGCAGGCAGCGTCATAATGGAACGGATCGAGGTATTGCGGTTCACGGCACTGCTGGGAGAGCGGGCGTCAGTTTGCGCCTGGTCGGCCGAGGCGTCGAAGGCGACGGAAGTCGGGCGCGAGCGGCGTGTCGTCAGCTGCTCGGTCGAAGTGGAGGTTTCGTCTTGGGCCTGGCGGTATCGGTTCCGTCCAGCACCGGTGCTCCATATTGATTTCAGGAAGCCGCCGCGGGAGGCTTTTGCACTGTTGCGGGTAGAACGACGAGATGCGCGGAACGAAAATGTGACGAAGGCGGCGAAGATGAGGAGGACTAGTACGGCGAGAATGACCTGTAGTAGCGGTTGGCGTCAGCGGCTTGTTCAAAGATGACGGAGGAGCAGCGAGGAGCCCGCCAAAAGCTCTGGCACGTACGATTGTGGTAATTTTCCTGCCGTCGATTTCTTCTCGACGTTGCAGGCCCGTGGGTGAGCGGGCTTGAACACCAGGCGAGAGGTCGAACGGTATTCGCATCTTGAGGTACATTGTGTATAACGAGTGACTGGATTATGATTGAGGCCGGCACGGAAGGGTCGGCGAATAGAGTAAGAGACACCAGGGAATCGTAGTGCGAATTAAGGCGGGGCGTCCCAGCTGCGCAGGGCGAAAACAAGCGTCAGGACTGGGACATGGATGCTTGGCGACGGCAGCGATTCTAGGATAGCGTGAGGTGACTGTAGGGGAAGCGGAAAGGCGGGCGGTTCGTCGTGAGAACAACAAAGAAGGGTTAATGTGTAGAGAAAGAAAGCAAGAGGGAGAACGAGGAGGAGGGCAGAGATCGAGTTGGTCGAAAGCCGGCCAAAGGTGAGATGAGGTGAGGTGAGAAGGATGACGGGACAAGGTCCAGGTGAGTGAGGTGCAGGTGCTGGTGCTGATGGTGGTTCAAGTCCAGGTCCGGGTCCAGACGGTGCTGAGGTACTTGGGTACTTGGTCTCCACCGCTCAGTGGCACTCGGTCGTGTGCAAGATGGAAGGGTCTTTTTTGGGGGTGGGTGGATTCGATGGATGAGCGTGTGTGAGGCTGGGAGGCACGGAGCAAGCAAGGCGGTCGGTGCCTTCCTCGAGTTGCTTGGGAGAAGGCGGAGGAGAGCTGGGTAGGCAGGTAGTGTGTAATAAAGAGGCAGCAGCGTTGGATCGGGATCAGCTCGATTTCGAGCCCCGGGTCTTAGTAAGGGTTACTATGACCATGTACTATACTGCGTAGGTAGGTAGCAGAGAGATCGACGACACGCGCAGCTCGGTGCTCGTTGGCGCTGGGTATAACTGACGGTCGCCGGCGGTGGTGGCGGTAGTAGTAGTGGTGGATGATACGGAGTGAAAGATGTAGGAGTACAGAGAGGAAAAGAGAAAAAAAAGCTAGTCGAGGATGAGGGCGAGGATGAAGGACAAGCCGAGACGAGACGAGATGAGACGGGGACGGGGATGGGGAGGGACGGGGACGAGGGATAGAAACGGAGTCGAAAGAGAATGCCTCAGCGCGCTGCAGCAGCAACAAGAGGCAGGAGGAGCGTGAGGCAGAAGAGATTGGGCACCCGCGCGCCTCGCACCTGCACCTGCACCTGCCTCTGCCTGCAGCATAGCTGTTGCAATTGCACAGCACGGGTTTGCGGTTGCAGTTTCTGGACCCCCGATGCCTCCTTCCGTCTCTCCATCCCCAAACCAAAGTACCTCGTTCCCATACGATTGCACGAGAGATACCTTAACCTCGCCGAGTGGGGCCCTCGTTTTAGCGTCGCTCGTGTATGTTCCTTAGTGGGTGTGCCGGCGGCGGGAAAAATATCTGTGCTAACCCAAACTTTCCGTAGACCTTTTTTTTTTCTTCTTCCCTTTCGCTGTGGTGCTGTGCTGGAGCACCGCGAGTCGTCGCGCCCCCATCCTCCCTTCCCTCCTCGAGTCGCCTTTGTCAACCTGTCTCTCTGCAAAGGACCCCGCGAACCCGATCCTCTTCCAAGGTCTTTTGTATGATATGATATCAGACAATACAAATCCAATCCCTACCAGACCACATGGCTGCACACGGATCCGACTTGGTTCAGTGCCAATCAAGATACTTAGGACGGCGGGCTGGCAGAACGACAGACTTTGAGTTTGCGCATATCCACGAACAATGTTCATCGCATGAGAAACAAACCTCGGCGCCAATCTCAACGCCGTGCAACCCGACCGGGAAGACGACTGCAAAATTGAATAGTACTCCGTAGAGCCGAACTGGACGCACCACGTTGAGGGAGAGGGGGCCCTGTCCGTTTTCCCGCCTGTCAAAAGTTGACTTCCGCAAACAGAGCGAACCTTGTTCCCATCAAATCTCCCTGGAATGCGGCCCCCGGCTTCACCGATCTCTGTCCGTCATGCGACGCTCCGCCGCCGCCCGAGAATGCCTCAGCGGGATGATACGTCTGAAGACAAATTCCAGAGCGTTGAGCGATGGCCGCTGCGTCACACCAGACCGAAGGCCTCCCTCTCACCCCCCGACTTCCCCTCAGCGCCTCATTGGCATCCAAACGTCAGTCGGCCCAACCCCCAAGCCTCCAATCCACCTCGGTACGGGTAGGTGCCAGACTATCGGGGCGTGAGGCGGTGTCTAGGCGGTGCTGCCGCCATCGTCTTTGGCGCGAGGCGTTTCAAACGGCAGCCTGTCCATGGTCTCGTTGCAACGCTGCCTGTCATTCAGACCCTCAAACTTCTGGACCCCCAAACCCATCACCTAGTGTACCGGTATGTAGGCATTCCCCATCGCCATCTCCATCTCTTTCTTGACTCGGGTTCCACGCATGACATCAGACGAAACATCATCTTCCACCCTGACGACGAGACTCTAGCGCACACACGTCCCAAAGGCTGCGGCCTTACTTCTACTGCTGACATTTCCTTGCCCTAGGGCATTTCATTCGCTTCCCTTCCCACGTTGTGACACACGGAGAGAGAACCAGCAAGGGTATGCTCAAGAGCAAGTTCGCCGTACCATGCCGCCATCCGGCTTGTGCTTTCCATTCTACCCCGATCGCTCCGATCCACGTCTCCACTAGACCAAGAAGAATACGGCTCCCAGCATCGTCTCCAATTTTGCCCGAGGTGCTATTTCCAGTAACAAGCATTGTGGCCCAGCAACACCACAACGGCCAAGTAACTTGGAGCCAGGAAACCGCTTCACCAGCCACCGTTGGTGCTGTTGCTACATAAACTACGTAGTATGAATCTTGAAGACCATTTGCCATCCATGTACTCTGCCATTGTCAGCAAGGCGTTGCAGGGTTCCCGGGGTAGCGATTCCAACTAGTAATCGCCAACGATTCAGGAGCTTGACAGCCCGCAGCCACCTCGGGAACGTCCAGCGTGCCCCGCCATCTCTAGCACCGCCTCATCCCGCACCGTCATGACCATGTGGCTTGGAGCTGCGCGGACTACCTAGGCGCTGCTCTACTACACTGCCATCCACTTCGATTCGCATGCGTTCCCAACCTTCGAATCCTGCCATGGTTGGTCTCTCATGCGCATGTTCTGATTTTGCTCTGCATAATTGCGAAACCTACAGCCTGGCACCACCCGGTCCACTCTCAGTTTTGAGACTTCTTCGGGGCACGACTCTACCTACAGAGTTACTCAGGAACGAAAGGCCGGCCGATGCAGGTCTTAGACATTGCGGATCCTCATCCAAGACATACCTGCATGCTGTCTCAAACTATCCAATCGCCTAGCGCTCTTCTTCTATTCGTCGCCCGTCGCCGGTAGCGCTGACACCAAGCAGTCAAGCTGCAATCCTTCCACCATTTTTCATAGGCTGGCCGGCCGGCCGGCCGTGCCTTGGGTCGACCAGCCGAAGGTTGAAGTCGGCTACTCCGGCAACTTCAACGCGCCGTCCAATCCGCTGGCACGGAATCTGAATCATTCCGTACTCAAACGCAACGCAACGTTGAATCTGCCTTCTCAGCATGCCACAACCTCTATACCCTATACGAGCTGTGGCTTGATTCAAGACAGGCTCAGCAGTGAGTGGTGAAAGCTAAACTTCAACTCCTCGTGTGAACGCAGAAATAGTGGCAGAGCGAAGAATGACGCCCCGCGCCCATCTGTTAGCTGAGAGAGATCACTTGTAACATGATTATTCTCTGTCTTCGTCGCAAGGATCCTCAAACCAACAGTCCTTGGTACCGCTGTCTCACGGAGGCTTATTCCCCTACTGGCGGGATAGGATTTACCTGCATTTTGTATCTCGCATCCTACCAATCCACCTCGGCATGCTGAGCCCTGAGTACCTCACCGCCTAACCAATTGACCTAGTATTGCGGCCCCCAAATGGTCGTGAATCCTTCCAAGCCATCCACTACGTTGTTCATTGCATTCGTGCATGACGTAGATATGTCGCCTCAACCTCATGAGTGCGTTCTTCTTTTGAAGCGTTACCTTATCTTATTTGGCCTGGCCTGACCATAGAACAGTCGGCGCCCATCTCTGACGGCCTTTGTGACCGCAAGGACGATCCGTCCTATGAACAAATGTCCGTCCAATTGAAAAAAGGCATTTTTACATCTCAATACCCATATATCCAACCATACCCATTAAACCACTCGGGAATCCGTCCGCTCCTCACGACATAAGGTAATGGAGTGCATTGATAACTAGGCAAAAGTCCAAATATGTCCAGCCCCTGGAGGGCATACTTCCTCTCATCCGACGAGGTTGGCGAGCTAGGCGTCGATCGAGCAGCGTGGGGGAACATGGAGATATTGACTTTTTACACTCGCAGGCCCACTCTTCGAGGCTGGGAAGAATGGCCAGATTCGTAGTTTCGAGGTGTATTCTTCTCAGGGCATTTTGACCTGGACATGTTGAACGGCGCCGCTAACCACACGCACTGCTCAACAGTATGTACGAGTTCTATTCATTCGGTAGGAACAGTTGCTTTAGTTCTACTGCATCCCTTTCTGGATCCAGGATAACGGAACGAGGGGACTTTATGAATCTGACGTGGAGCATGCCAAAGGGGCTCCAGCCTCCTTCTGTCCACCAGGACATCGCGCCTATTGCATGGCACGAAACAATTACTATCATTTCATGAGGTCGGTCTTTCAATTCAATGACCTGAAGCCTAATGGTAATGCCATTTGATGTGCCCTCACTCGAGCTCCTACAGGTGGAAAGCCTCTTGTCTGACGGGGAGGACAAAAGGGGGGTCGGCCAATTATCGAGTGCCGGAGGGTGCTCTGCATTTCTGCACCACGTAAAAGTCTTCCGGTTTGCCAAAAACATGTCTGCAAAAAGGTTTTCATCTATGTAGTGTCTTCTCCGCCAAACTGTGTTCATAGCATATCGTCATGGAAACCGAGATCCAAAAATGCGATGGGGATTAGATCATCGAAGAATCCTCTCGAGACTTTGAAAGGGAAACGAAGACAGCTTAAAACTTTAGCTGATCCTAAGGAGACATCGACCCTTCTGAAGACAACGGGACGTTACCATCGACAAACTCAGCTTGTGTAAGGCCTGGTTTGACAAACAGACATCAGTCAGTATCACTCAACACGGGGAACCCTTTCCTTGCAATTATACACATAACAAGAAGAGTCTTCATCATACAGGAACTGTCTTCGATACCATTTGCTTCAATCTACTACATCAATATTCAGTTGACATCATCCCCGCCGTATCACCCCCAAGAAAGAACCCGGGCCATCATCCAGGGCAGATGAGACCGCCGATGAGGATTTTGACGCGCTCTTGTCGTCTTGGTGCTTCTGTCTCGCCGCCGCAGCCGTCTCCTCGCTCACCACAACCTGGTACGTCGGCCTCGCCTCATCCCCTAGGGTCGCACTACCTCCACCCGGTCCGTTGATGGCAACGGCGCGCAGAGAGGAAACGACGGCGGTCATCAGCTTGTTACGTCGCAGGCGACGGACGTGCTCGTTGTTCCAGTTGGACTAGTTCTGCGGTTAGCGAGAGTGCAGTGAACAGCACCGTCTGGACTCGAACGTACCTTGTGCTCGGCCTCGACGTAGACCTCGAGCTTGCTCATGTCGCCGATAGATATGAGCTCAACGTCGACATCCTCTCGGAAGTCGCGACGGTTCTCGGGTGCCCTGACCTCGTCGCGGATCTTCTTCCTCAGCCGTTCAATGTCATCAAAGCTCGTGTCGGCCGCAATTTGCACGTTGATGCGTTCGCGCATGGGCCCGCTTCGCGAGACGTTCTCTACCCACATGCTGTTCAAGTTGATATTGGGCACTTGGGTTGTCTTGTTGGAGTCAACCTTGCGGAAGACGGAGTACAGGAGCGAGATCTTCTCCACGGTCATCTCGTGACTGTCAATCTTGACGCGGTCGCCAACATCAAAGGGGTGCTTCACGAAGATGAAGATGCACGAGCCCAAGAACTCCTGAACGGTACCGGAAATGGCGAAGGAGATGGCCGCGAGCTGTGTGCCGATTGTGGCGAGGTATGTTGAGAAGGAGGTACTGAAGAAGGCGGCATAGATCAAGCCGGTGCCGACGAGGATGCACACCTGGAGGAAACCGTCGAGGATTCGCACAGCCGACTTGATGTCGTGGGTGCTCTTCCAGATGGCGATGCGCTCTTGGCCGATACGGACGACAGTTGAGATCATCTCGTCCAGGCTGACATCTCCGTTTTGGTCGACGTCAAGCAGAGCGAAGAGCTCCTCGACATCACGAAGCTGATCAGTGGGAAACGCCTTCTCAAGGTCTTGCTGCGTAAGAGCATCTCCATGTTCGGGGGCAAACGACTTCCAAATGCGTCGCCCCAAAGCTTCGGATGAGGTGCTGGCTTCCAGTGCCTCGGTGACGATGGTATGGGCAGCCTGCGTATTGAAGAGCGAGTTGTTTCCCGAGATGTCGGCCGTCATCTGGCCAAAAGCCTGCGCCACCTCGCGACCAGCCATGCGTACGTTGGCCAGAAGCTTGCTTGGCGAGCTATCTCTATTCTCAACCTCGCCGGTGATGATTGTGTAGTCCTCCTGCGCGAACCGGTCGCAGAAAGGAGGGTAGGCGCGTGTTGACGATGCGTAAAGCGTGTCTAGCATGGCGACTCGGCGCTTCGACTCGGCAATACGGGTTGTGAACTGCGTTGCCGAGTAGGTGATATTGATGAGCTGGATGATGAACCGCTGGACGAGGACCATGGCAGCCACAGCGATGGAAGCCAGCGCGACCTTTTGCAATATCAGCACCCAATTTGGGGGTTTCATGGCCGAGTCGAACGCCATACAGACGGGCACAACGGTTGCGTAGGCGATGATGGTCCAGAAGACGAGGGAGATGGAGGTCTCAATCTTCCGGACAACGGGGTGATACTTTCGAGTACCGGAGTTGACGATACCACAGACGAAGACGTATGCCGTCGGCATGAGCATTGCGATCAGCTTCGAAAGCCAGAGGCTTCCCCAAACAACCTCCAGCCAAACGAAGAGGCCGAGCAGCCGAACGCCGTCGGCACGCCGGTCTGAATAGACGGTCGCGAGCAGCGCAACTGGGATGCCCAACAGAGCGGCCACCGGAATGAAGTGTCGTGCCCAACGGAGAAGGGCCTTGAAGCTCCAGATACGGCCGTACATACAACCCAGGCTCTCGCGGGTGCCTGCATTACTATCAAGGGCCATCATCTCGCTTTCGTCAAAGGTGAACTTGCTGGTCTGTTTGAGACCCGGTCGAAGGCTGTCAATGGAGGACCTGACTGAAGGAGCAGAGATGGACGTCACCTTCACCAAGGGGTCAGCCGGGTGAGGTGCCGCGACCTTCTCGATGTCGATGACCAAGCTGTTGCGTGCCATAATGGATAAAGGATAAGATTGAAGATGCTAGGTTTACCCTGCCGCCGAGAAGACAACTTGGACACGAAGATATAACAGTCAGACACGGACATCCCGCCCATTCACATAACGGTCTAGACTCGAAGGCCGCAACGGCGGCTTCACCACAAGAGGTCCAACTCTCGTGGCGAAGGACCAAGTCGGGGCTATTCAAAGAGGCAACAAGGTCTGGGCTGGCCGAGGTCCACGTTGCTTTCATGTTACAGGTAGACATCGACCGGTGTCGCCGAGTGTCAAAGACCAAGAAGTCGATGCCCTCAAGGCCGTGATTTTCTCAGGCCAGCGAGCTCGACACTAGTCCTCGCTACTTAAAGCTTATCGTCCGTCGTCTCAGATATTCCTTCGAACCCCAAACTCTACGCCAAGCTATCATTGTTTTAGTCAAGCTAAAAATTGCTAAACTCGGTCATGGCTCGAGCCAGTATGCGACAGAAGCCAGATCGACCCAAGATGGCGGGTTCTAATCAGACTAGGACGCGGCTAAACTGGTCTTTCGCATGGTCTAAACGTGGATCCTAGGTCCAGACTCCGTGTGGTCTAAGGGCAGAATTCGCCTACGCTGATCTACAACGTCCGAGCACAAAGGCTTCGACAATAGCTTGCCACCGCTTAGTCCCTCTACTGAGATTGATATCGCACCTTGCTGGACAATCATAAGTACTCATGGACCATGAACAAGCTGTCCACAATACGATGGTGTTGGGTGTATCTCGCTCAGCCTTGATCCGCAGCTTTTTTCATCTCTTGATTTCTCCTATTCTGTATGATTCTTACCAGAGTCGTTCACAATGGCTTCCGAAAAGACGGAGATTCCTGTGACCGAAAGGCCTGTTGATGAGCCATCTCTGGCATCGTCTACACAGGATCAAGAGCCACCCCAGAACAAGACCTTTTTTGAGCGAGTCACCGATTTCTTCGGTGACTGGTATTACATCTGGGAGGTCTTCGGCATCCTGATTTCGGGCCTTGCAATTGTCGCCATCTGCATGGTGGTCAAACACTTCGACAACAATGAGGTCCCCAACTGGACAGCAAAGGTCCCGGGAAAGAAAGAGCCCTTCCGGCTGACAATCAACTCGCTGCTTTCCATGCTCTCTGTTCTGGGCTCAACATGTGCCATGATCCCCGTCACCAAGAGCCTGGGTCAGCTAAAATATCTATGGTTCATGGAGCAGGATCGTAAACTCGCCGACCTGGAGGTTTTCGATTCTGCTTCGCGCGGCAAGTTCGGCAGTGCTCAGCTTATTTGGAAACTCAGATTCAAGTAGGTCTAGTTACCACACAAGGCTGTTACTTGTCCAAGCATACATAATAATCATCGTCACAGGCATTTGGCAGTTCTAGGAGGTCTGGCGTCACTGCTGGCTCTAGCCTATGGCCCTTTCGTGCAGAACTTGCTTACTGTCAACATCGAGTATCGTGAGGCAGACCACAACGCCCTCCTCTCCTATGCATTCAGCTACGAGTTCGAGCCTCTAAACGGCACAGGTACGTGAGACCCGCTTGGCTTGATCTTTGTGTACGGTGCTAATTAGCGAGTCAAAGGAGTCGACAACTCACTCAGACATGCGGTTGATGAGGCATTGAAAGACTCGTCTGCAGAATGGGCTATTCCTGCGAGCAAGTGCAAGACAGGCGAATGCGCTTGGAACGAATACTACACCATCGCGGCTTGTAGTCGCTGCACCGATATCAGTCACCTACTCACACGCACTTGCACCCCAGTGATCACCAGTGAAGACGGTTTCACTGATGCGGGAGGATGCAATGTGGCTCTGCCGAACGGCTTTTCCTTCAACAGCACCGACATGACCGAGCAGAGCTACAACCCTAACAGAATCGTCATGGTGATGAACACTACGATGCACCCTCTTGTTTACAACTACACGGCACCATTGGCCTTGGTTCAATCCATCGTGGGATTGCCTTATGGGAGTTCCGCTTCGAACACTTCGAAACCCTTCATCATCACAGAGGATTCACCCCTTTCCGCTCATGAATGCGTCATTGTTCCTTGCATGCAGAGGCAGAGTCTCATCATTACCCGCCCGGTCGACAACAGCAACAACAACGCAGCGCTGCCCACCACCGACGACACCGTACCGTTGATTGACATCGTCGAGCAATGGGACAACTTTACGTTGTCCGACGGCCATGTTTCCATTACTTTTGACGACCCCGGTCGTAACAAGAACATAAGCAAGCAACAAGCGGACAAGTACACCTCACCCTTAATAACGGGAACCACGTACACGGGCTTGAGAAACTATCTCGGCGGTCTTCTCACTGGATACGTTTGGAGCACGCCTACTGATACGGGATTCAATTACCACTCTTCCGAGCCTGGATTTCGGAATATCCAATTACACACATTCAACAAGAATTGGTCGCCATTATACTGTGACGGCGACAAAACAGCGACAAGTCAAGATGGGGTTCCATGTGGCATTAACAAGGTCGCCGCAGGGCTCACCAACGCCTTCAGGCTCTCGTCGTGGCAGATTTCCGACGACGATTCCCGCCCGGTCTTCAACGGCACGACAAACGGACCAAAGCAAATCTGCACAGCGCAATGGCAGTACGTCTCGGCGCCCGTGGCCGTCTGGATCCTCGGGCTGGCGCTCTTCATCGGCGTCGTGATCAAGACGCGTCGGGCGAACATCAAGGCGTGGCGTACCAGTCCGCTGGCCACGCTGCTTCTGAGGCTTGACCCGGATAGCCGCGAGCACCTGAAGGACTGGCAGCACATGGGAGATGCGGAGCTGCGGACTATGGCGCAGGAACTACGGCTACGACTCCAGGTGGATGAGAAAGGGCCGCGCTTCGTGAGGGATGGCGATGAGCCGTCAAGCTGAGTCTAAGCGTTGAAGACGTGGAAGCATAGCCAAATATACATACATTGTGTAAGGGCGGTGGGAAAGCAGAGTGGACCGCTACATACGAGGACCGAATGAAAAACTCGCCCGTTTAAGTAGAAACTCAATAGAATCGCTAAAGAAGAAGAGGAGTATACATACATGTGAATATAAGCAATGGTACTTGTTTGAATCTGTTTTGGTTTTCGAGGCCTAATATGGTTCCTTCTATAACATAAGGGTTCTGCTGAAGTCTAGGACATATTGACTTACAGGCCACGGGCAAACGACGATTGCCTAGTTCCGAGTGCCCTCAACTTGATACAAGTCCTTGCAGGCAGAACTTACGAACAACTCCCGGAGATGGCAACGTCAAGGTAACTCTTAACCATAATCGCCGTTCTCGTCTGGCCAGACTCTAGTTTCGGCCTCGCAAACGGGAACAAGACGACTCCGAGAAGAAACGTCCCCTACTCACTTTTCAGTCTACACCTGCCATTTCTCTCAGCATGGTTCATGTTCATCGTTTTAAGCCAAATACACACGCTTCATAGATACGAGATAGCCACCAGCCAAAGCGAACATAAGCCAAGTAAAAAACTGCGTGATTGCCTTCATTTACGCCGATCATGAGGCATGGGCCGGCTTCTCTCCTTTGGGAAACGGCTTTCGTCCATAGATGGAGTAGCCGTACCAGTACGCGTGGATGCCCAAATTTCTGGCATCCTTCCTCACGTTCGCGCAGAAAACCAAGATTTCCGCCGGCTTCCAACCCAGGACGCGAGTAAAGAGAGCGAGGCAGAGGCCCTCGATGCCGGGAAGAAGCGACGCCTGCGTCCAACTGCCCAGCTCACGGAGCTTCGGGTCCTTGGCCCACGGCGACGCCGGCATCTTCTGTCTCGTGACCACCACATCCTCGAAGCCAACGTCCTCGAGGATCTTGGGGATTTGGGGGGCAATAGTAATAGGACGGCCGATCTTGTCCGTGGCCTCGACTATGTACTTGGACCACTGGAACAGCGCCGAGTCTTCCTTCAAGGTACCGTCGTCGCACTCGAGCGGGTACAGGTTGTCGTGGACTTCGAGATACCCGCCCGGCTCAAGGTGCCCGAAGGCCTGCGCGACAAACCCACGCCAGTCCTGGAGACTGCCGGCCATGTTGCGCGAGAAAATCAAGTCAAAGGGCTCCGGCCAAGTCCACTCCTGCTCCACGTCGTCGACCTCGAAAAAACAGTTGGGCGGGACGAAGCCGGGCTGGATGGGACTCAGGTCTACGCCAATGACTGTGGCCTCCGGGTGCTCGTCGGCGTAGTCCAAGGCCCAGATACCGGTACCTGTGCCGACGTCGAGTACTCGCTTAGCACCTTCGTTCTTCGGGCACAAGCAGAACTTGCCGTCCCAGGTCAGCATCCAGAGATGGTTTGCGATATCGAGACGTTCTTGCTCGAGCTCATCGTTGGGAATGACGTATTTGCCGTCGCTGAGACGGTGATATGTGCGGCCATTTTCGCGGCGGTAATCGAGGATGCTAGAGAGAAGAACTGCCTGCGACTTATCCGCCGAAAGCCCGCCCAGCGAGGCTGCGTCGATGTGGTTGGCAGCCATGGCATCCTTGTCCGCAGTAGGCGCATCAGACTCGGGTTGTACGGCCGGCTGGGTCGCCGTTCGGTCTGCTGTGGACAATGGTTGCGATGCTGGCTGTGTTTTCTGTTGATCGGCCATTGCATAGTATTGCTACTGTAACTCGACTCGCTAGAAGCCTATCAGTCGATGCGCCGTCAAATGTTGCGACCCATGAGAGCTATGCGATACGTTGCTGTAGTCGGGGAGAGTTCGATCTGTCTCACCCCTTTGTCGTCCTTTAGCGAGCACACCCCCACCTTCCACCGCCAGTTTGATACCTTGTAACAATGGTTCCCGCTTTATCACCAAAACAAACCCACCATACTTGAACTGGAAGTGTCGCATCGAAGGTTGACATTGACGTGTCTTGGGCATGTCGATGGCGATGAATACACTTGCTTTCAAGAATTTGGTCGTGGAAGAGACGTAAGCAGGAGGACCTAGGCTTCCATGAGTGAAGCCGGATGCAATCTGGGCAGCTAATCCATCATCAGATAAGACCGTGTGCCTTTTGCAGCTCCCTATTGGATTTTATCTATCCGTACTTAATATAAGCTTATACCACTAGCAGACAACCTAAAAGATAGGCAAGGATCCAGCGGTTGAACTTGTGCAACACTGTACAGCATAACACTTAACACAGCACAGATAATACAGCAATGACACTCTGCTGCATACTCATTCCAGCTGTCCAGTGAGCTGTCCAGTGAGCTGTCTTATGCATGGTGCCATGAGATTTGTGTGCTCTAACACGGCCCGCTTTGCCGAGCTGATATTAAAGTAGACGCGTGAGTCCACGAAAGCATTGTGGCATCACATAGAAGCGGCGAATAGAGACAAACGTTTCAATCCCAAGATAGCCTTCTATGAGAACGGCACTTCCCAAAGGCCAGTCCGTAAGGCCATTAGGCTTTGATAAAGACAAGCAACTTGCTACTGATACTAGACTTGATATGGCTTCTACTCGACCTTGGAAGATTATACCTTGGTACCTGTAACCTGTGGTACAGCTTCAGAGGCGTCGACAGGCTAGATTCAAGCAAAAATTTCCATTCAGGTTCTGCCTAGCAAGGTATACATCTCCTCCCATACACATTAAGCAGTCCACGACACGTTATTCATTACCACCCCATGGACAACCAAACCCTCCTTTTCATCCACCTCTCCACTATTAACAAGAACCTGTACCTCACCCAAACTTCTTTTCAAACTTCCTCAGCATCCCCGTGACCCCTTTCTCCAGCCGACCAAAGTTCTGCTCCAGCTTCCCCGACGGGTCTTGCTTGCCCGTGTAGCCCTTGTACTTGCTCGCCTCCATCTCCGTCGGCCGGTACGCCTGTGCGTGGATCGAGTAGTCGAACGCGCCCGGCTGCTGCTGCGGCGTGGCTGTGCCGTTGCTACTAGCGTACGAGTACTGCGAGAAGCCGCCGGGCGGGGAAACGGACGTCGCCACCGCCGCAGGTGTTGCTGTTGGACCAGGGCTAGTGATAGGGGGCGTGGCTTGCGGTGCCGCGGATGGCGGAGGGGCGGGCTGGGATGCTTGCTGAGCTGGCGGGGTAGTCTGCTGCTGTTGAGACGGGGGCGGCGGCGGTTGTTGAAAGCCTGGCGACGCGGGGAACGGACTTCCGTACGGATTCGTCAGCCCGGGAGAAGCGAGGCCGTTGTGAACGGCCTGCACGGGCATCGTCACCGCGCGCTGGAGCCCCGGGTGGGTGGGTGGCGCACCGAACTGCTGCTGCGGCGGCGGAGGCGGGGGAGGCAGACCCGCACCGCTGATGCCGGCGCCCTGTGCGCTCTGGAATCCGGGTGGCGGGACGAAGCCCGGCGAGAACGGGGCCTGCGCGTCGTATGCGACGGCCGCGGCCAGGGGGTCAATGATGCCGTCCTCGGGGGAGGCGTCTTTTCCCTGTGGCGGATGGTCTCTGGGGCTGCCGGGGCCGCGGGATTGTATGCCATTGGCACGAAGCTGGCGGGCGGCTGTTGCTGCTCGGGGGAGTGAACAGCCGACATTGGAGGAGGTCCGGGCAAGCTCGGCGGCGCGGTGTGGGAGGTGGCATTGGGCGTGCCGTAGTTGGGGTCTGATATCGCGACGTGCTCGAGCTGCTGCACGACGGAGCTCACGGGGGCAGGTTGATGGACCTGGAGATGCTGCTGCTGCTGCTGCTGGGGCTCATCGAGGATCTCGACCTGCGACGGCGGGAGGACGAAGCGGATCCCGTTGACGAACTGCAGCGCGTCCTCGGCCTTCCAGAAGTAGATGTCGAGCGAGTGGAGCTTGTAATGGTACTTGTTCTGGTTCTGGGGGTCGTAGGTCGGAAGGTGCCATTCCATCTGGTCCGTCGTCTCGCCGACAATCAGCGTCACCATGCATTGGTGGTTGTACGAGTATCGGACGTGCGTCTTATCCAGGACTATGAGCTCGTCGTCAGCTGTTGTCCCACATCGTCTTCAAACCAGAACTTCTTGGAGAAGAGGAGGCTTCGTAGAGAAGTTGAGAGGCGGCAGGTCACCCACATCCGTCAAAGGCATCTTGGTCTTCGGTGCCGGGCTGATTGGCAATCTCAATCCGCGCGCGGCGATCGTTTGCGTTCTCGAACAGGTAGACGTAGGAGCCCTTGTCGAAGCGGTGGTGCGGCGGGTTGTTGGTCGGCGGGCCGTAGAAATAATGGACGTCTCCAAAGCTGTTGAGCGTGACGGGCCAGTCAGCCATATTGCACTTATTTCTTTGGGGGCCGAAGCAATTGACTCGAGAGCAGACAGTAGTTGCCGTTGATAAGAGGACAAGGACGGCTGCTTGGCGAGGCTCGACGGAAGAAAACTCACAGAGTAGCGACGTTCTCCTCGCCCGGCCGGGTCGCCATCTTTCTTGGTCCCGACTTTCCGAGCAAGCAGCTCCAAGAATAGACTTCTCTCAAGGGTAGCAGACCACCCCCGGCGACCGCAATCAAAGAGCAGCAATGATCAGATCAAGGAGGTAGGGAAGAGGCGCAAGCTGTGGGATTACCCCGCCTCGGTGAGTAGCCAAGGGCGGCAGCAGCAATCGCGCAGGCCAACAGCAGCGGTCGCGCACGATGAGTGTCAAGAGTGTGTGGCACCTGTAGAGACGAGGAAGGACACGAGTTTCGAACGAGAGGTCTCAGGACGGTGTGTGTTGATGGTTTCCAAGTAGGTTGGATATCAGGCCTCTCCAGAGAAACAGGATCTCAAAGGTCTTCCGACGTCTTTCTTACGCTCACCCTGGCCCTCTCTCTCCTTGCCCTTTATCTTTTGTACCACTTGGTAGTCCAGACCGCAAACCCCGAGAAGGAGGAAACCGAAAAGACCACTAGGTCTTGCGGCCTTGCGCCGCCCGCCGCGACCCCTCCAAACCCAACCCAATCCCATCCCGCCATCCCCCAAGCTCCAGCATGTGTACCGGCGCGCATGCGTGCTGTGAGATGCATGGGTGGTAAGCTGCAGGTTCTGGTCGCATCGAGTGGTCGACTCGGCGCTTACAGGGCGTCGGTGCGAGCCAATCACGAGTCCCGGCCGGGGTGAAGCGGTGCAAGTGACAAGACACTGGGAGTCGGTTCTCCAGTTGGACCCCCTTGACCGGAGGGTGGGGCCACCCAAGGCCGCGGAGCACGGATCCGGCCGTGGTACCTATTCAAAAAGTGTCCTTAGTCATCACTGGACGTCGGTCCGCGCCTGGTGTCCAAAATTTTGGCGATAGCTTCCCTATCGCGATTGTCAGGCGACGGATCATTCCTCGCGTGTAACCCTCCGGAGCCCAGTCGACACTCAGTACACTCCTTTCCAAGACCTGAAGTTGAATCCATCATTTAAGTGCTTGATTGACGTTTGCTCGGTATGTCCAGCCCATCAATTGTCCAGAAAAACCCAACCGCTAACTGTCCTCAGAGACCCGCGACCGACCTCGATTCCCGCTGCGAAACCTCACGAACCTCACTCCTCCTCCACGACACCCTCTTTCCCCGAGCATCGAGCCAGCGGCTCACCAACAATCAAAATGGGCGGCCTCACCAACGTAATCAACATGTGCTCCCACCTCCAAAACGCCTCCCGCGCACGCCTCGGCATGACCTCCGTCACAAACACAAAGCAGAACCTCAACCTCGCCCTCGCCCTCCACCGCTCCGGCTTCATCTCCTCGCTGCACCGCGGCGGCCCCACGCCCCCTGCCCCGGAAGACATGGGCACGAACCCGGAACCCGTCACCTCCGCCAACGTCGCCACGCGCCGCCTCTGGCTCGGCCTCAAGTACTGGAACAACGAGCCCGTCCTCAAGGGCCTCAGCATGGTCACCAAGCCCACGCGGCCCATCCGCGTCCACATCGAGGACCTGGAGCTCGTCGTCCGCGGGTTCAACAGCAAGAACGGTCTCGTCAAGGGCCTCGGCCTCGGCGAGTGTCTCTTCATTTCCACCGACAGGGGCGTCTTGGAGGCCAGGGAGGCGCTGGCAAGGAAAGTCGGCGGCATGGTCTTGTGCCGTGCGAGATAAATTGAAGCCGAAATCCAGGGGAGTGGAAGCGGTTGAGTAGAAAAAGATCACCATGGCCACCACACAGGGGGGTGTATAGGCCTTGGGAAAAAAGGAGTCTTGGGAATTCAAAAGGCGCCAGAGGGCAGTGCCTCGAAGCCATCCGGCGGGAGCCCTGTAGGAGTATTGTCCTCCATATAATGTACAAAAATCTGTATTCTAGAGAAGACATGAACACACACCATTTTGCGCTTCTTCATCGCCTTGTGTTCGATGCGTTATGGTGCTGTTCCATCATACCTTGTTTGGTAAGTCACGACAGAGTAGACAGTGGAGTGGTCAGAAACACTACCGAGACGGGACAGAATCACAGGTACCAACGAACCACTTGAAAAAATCTGTTGCGAGTGGTATTCAGTCTCTATAACTAATCTTGGGCCCTGTACACCAGCTCCTCTTATTCCGGAACCCTAAAAACTCTCTTGAACGAAGTAATTTACGCCTTTTTGTCGGACAGGTATCATGGTACATCCCAATTGGTTCTAAAACTACACAGTCACTTCCGCCACTCTTTGACTTCCTCATGCGGTTTCAGTCTTGACTTCTGTGGTCGCATCGCTGGAAGCGGGGACTGCCTCCGGCTTCTCCTCTGCGGTGTCCTTCTCGTCCGCCAGGAGCTCTTCGAATTCATCAGGGCTCTTAAGCTCTTGATCCTCAGCCTCTTCCTCCTTGAGCGAGAGCTCGACAGTCTGCTGAGCAAGGGTGTCCAGCTCGGGGTCCTCGGCGCGCTCTTCGGCGACGACTACAAGCTCCTCGACGGGGGCCTCGACCTCAGCCTCCTTTGCGGGGCTAGTTTCGGCAACGGCCTCCTCAATGATGGGCTCCGGCGTGACAGGAACCTTGGCCTCAGGGGTCCTAGGGGCCTCAGCCGTCTCGGCCTTGGGGGTCTCGGGCGCGGCCCGCTTGATCGGAGCCTCCTTCGTTGTGAAGGGGCTTCCAGTCCGAGACGCTGCGGGTCTAGAGAGGGCTCTCTTGGGGCTTCTTGAAGCAGAAGCCTTCTTGCCACTGCTGGGTCTCGCGCTCCGGCTTCTCGGAGGAGTGACGGGGGCCTTCTCCGTCAGCTTGGAGCTGGAGCTCGCCGTGGGGCGCATCATGCGTGCCAAGAAGCTCTCATCAATCTCCTTGTCCTTCTTGGTGATGGGGTGATCCTGAAGAGGCTTCTTCGGGGGCGGGCCGATGCTGGGCCTGGCGCGGTTGATGACCGAGTTCTGACGCCTCAGGGTCTTGTGGGGGCCTGCAGCACCAGTCGCGCTGGCTCTGCTAGCGGGGCGGCCCTGGTTGCCAGAGGCGCGTGAAAGGGTCTCACGGGGAGTCTCCCTGACCTTGGAGACAGACGCAGCAGTCGGGGCCATGAGGGAAGCAGGCAGCTTCACGGGCTTTGTGGGCGACTTGACCTTGGGCTTAACAAAGCCCGTGCCGCCGGGAGAAGTCTGAATCGGGGTAGGCTTCTTGTTGGATCCAGCGGGCTTTGCACCAGACTTTGGTGTGGCTGTCGCCGTCTTCTCGGGCGTCTTCTTGGAAGTGTCGTGCTGGGGCTTGGGAGCACTTAGCTTGGAGCCCGCAGTTCCCGTTGTGGGCGTCTTTGCAGTAATCGGAGACCTCGTGGGCGTCTTTGCTCTCGTGATAGTAGCGGGAGGTGCCAACTTGGCGGGGACCTTCTTGGCAGTCTTTGTAGAGTCTTTGGTGGCTCCGGTCTTTGGGGCCTTTGCCGGGGCAGTGCCGTTGGTAGCGGTGGTTTCGGGAGACTTCTGTGTCGGGTCGCCGGGCAGAAGCTCTGGCGTAGGTGTCTCTACATCGACATGCTTATCGGGGTTGTGGCTTGGGTGGTCGGTCAAGGCCCCCAAGTCTCGAGGTGTAAAACCATTTGGGAGCTTGTCCGTGTCCGAACGGCGAGGGGATTCTGGGATGGGACTGCCAACAATGTTGGTCTTGTAGCCACCAGAGGTGTCCTCGGTGGCCACGGTCTTATCCGAGAGGCCAGACACGGATGCCTCGCCCTCGGTATGGCCGCTTAGCCGCCGGGTCAAGCTGCGGCTCGACTCGTTGCTGGGATCGCGGCGAAGACCTATTCTTCCGTCCTTTTCAATGGCAACGAAGCTGGTTCGGATTTTGGAGAGGGGACGGGCGGGAGGAGGAGGGGTCTCGGTGCCGTCTACAGGGAGATTTGGAGTTAGCAGAGCTCGAAACAGCGGACAAGTGGTGTTTGTAGGACGGTTGGACAAGGTAGCCCACTCTGTCCCAGGAACGTGTCTCCGGCAGACCTCTTGAAGTGTAGCTGCACCCGTGGATCGGGTTGAATATGACGGGTAAACTCACTGGAGGAGAGACCGGGAGACCTTCCGCGATCAGGGGGACTCGTGTCGGCCTTTTGCTCGAACATGGCCCGGAGGTTCTTGACGGCCGACATGGTTGCGGTATTGGGTCGCTACCGATCAACTGGGTTCGGGGGCAAGCGGTGGGAGGAAGGGCTGCAAGGGATGCAGGAAGTGTGGGAGTTGCGACGGGGCGGATCGAGTTGGGACGGGACCGATGTTGAGGAAAGAGACGGTGAAACGCGGGCGCGCCAAAGGTGCGATGGGTTGGTTACGATAGTGGACTCAGAGTTGGCGTGTTTCCAGAGGGAAAGCGCATGCCGAGGCCACCGCTGTGTCTTTTTGGGGTGTAGGAGCCTGAGGGCGAGCGCGAAGTCGCGAATACAAGCTTGGTTGGGAGGGAGGGTTTCGAGGCAAACGGCCAGGGATGTCGTCGGCGGTGCCACTGCAGCGAGGCAGACAAGGTTGACGGGTTGATGGTGGGTTGGAGCTGTGGACTGAGGTTTGATGGAGCAATAGCGAGTTGCTATGACAGCTGGAGATGCATGATCGATGACAGCAAGATTCAGGCAGAGCAGAGTAGAGGAGAGTAGAAGAGGATGAGGCTGCAGTACAGCTTTGTGTAAGATGGGCAAAAGGTGTTGGGTGCGTGTTGTTTGGGTGTCTCAGCCAGAGTCTCGTCCGTCTCCAGGGCTCGCTCGGTGGGCGTGATTGTCCGTGATTATCGTTTGGACAGCAGCAGTTGCAGAGGCTCAGGTGGGAGGAAGTGGGAGAGGTTGCAAAGTAACAGTCGAGACAGATCGGTCAGAGACTCAGACTTCGGAAGAGGAGGGTCAAAAGGCCGTCAGGGCACAGGGTGGCAGGTGGTTCGAGAAGGGGAAGTGAGGTTGCTGTCCTTCAGGGCTGGCATTTAAATTACGGGCACCCCCATAATCATATTCATATTCATAATCCGAAAGGCAAGGGGACTGGATCGATCAGGATGTGGAAAAGCCCACCACACGCGCGAGGCCACTGTTTGCCAGTCGGGCGTCTCGATCCCATCCTTTTCCCTTACTTTCCATACTGCGTACTGTCCTCTGTCACGCCGCCGAAGAGGCCAGCCAGTCTTTGCTGGAGTGATGATGTGCATCTAGGGGCCGTCGATGAGGGGTGTGTGCGAGCAATTCAGGGGTTCCCATGGATGCACATGCTACTACGCTACCAAACCGTCCCGACGCCAGCTCATCAGGTGCACGGAGATGTTGCGGCTTTCCTACGTCGCGTCTCGATGTACCTCTCCGCGTAATCCGCTACGTTGGGTACCGACCGATGTGGAGAGAGAGAGATATGCATCTAGACATTCTTGGAGAGAGAGCTTGTGTAAGTGGCACTAATAGAAATGCGCCTCCTGCCTGCCTACCTGTACCTAGGTGCAGGACGGGCAAGCGGCAGCAGCACCCACAGATACCACTGGACATTCCCGCCCCGTCCCTTCGTCTCGCTTGTCGAAATCGCCTGCAGGGGCCTTGAGGTGGGAGATCCATTGGCCAAGGGTGTCATTTGATTTTCTGGCATGGTTCTGGAAGAAGCTCATTAACGGGCCACTGTTCGCCTCTGCTGCCCTGACTTGCTCTGCATGCAGTCTTGGGCCCGAACTCGTGCAGTCTGGACGAGTGACTCTTTGATCTCGTCAATTTGGGTGGGTGGTGATAGGCCCCGGGGTCTCATTACAGAGAGTACCGAGCAACGGCCCTCGATGACCCCCTTTTCCTGACCTCCCTCTCTCGCCCGCCCACTCTCTCTGACTCCCCTCTCGTCAGTCCTCCAGAGGCGGGTCGAGGCTAATGACTGGCCGCCAAGCCCCCAAAAGTCGGGAAAGCTGATAACACCCCTCCCGCATGCAATGGTCGCGAGATGGTGTCAGCAAAAGGCTGTGCCTCTCATCTTTGCATCAGTTTAGCAGCTTTGCTAGTGCTCGGGGCACGGTCGAGTTGAGGATGGGACAGAGAGCCGGGCGACATTGCCAGTCTGACAAGACGTCGGAACATGCTAGCCGAGGCGCAAGAACGGATGGTCCGGGTCTTCACCGTTGCGCTGTGGTTGATGCGGTGTCGTGTCGTGTTGTGGCGGCATCTAAGGCTCCGCTCCCGTCGCTTTTCTTTGTTCTTCGCAACATGAATCCACCTCGGAGTGATTTTTCTCAGTCTCAGCAAGTGGAAAGGGAAAGAAAAAAAAGTAGATGAAAATTAGTGGAAGCTACCTTATGCACGGTCTCATGTTTCAGAGCACCTCTCCAAGTCCCTATCCGCGTTGTGCATTGGCGGTAACTGCATGTGGCCTGGCTTACCGCCTTTTGCCGCTTACAGTGCCCCCCTGGGCTAAAGTAGCCTTTGGCCTTTAGCCTTTACACAGAAACATAATGCATTATTCGGTTCAAAGAAACCAAAGCCTGTGGAAACAGAGGGGAGTAAAAAACCTAGCACTGTTGACTTAAAGTGCCTGTCTTGTTATTAGCGCCAATAAAATTTGTGCTGCTCCAGCAACTGAAGGCTCTCCACCTCAGAAACCTCCCAAGCTTCATGACAACCGTCATGGCGAGACTCAACTAGAGGAGGGGAAAAGGTCGTGTATCTGGAACGTGTTCCCCTTTTTCCCTCCATCCCACCAGCCGGCAGCCAATGACACAAATGGGTACATCGTCTCTCATCTCGGGAGAACAACAGCTTCTCGGGGACCCTACCGCGCGGCGCGAAAGGGGGGAGAGGAAGCTCCCGTCTTTCTGGAAGCTCATCCCCCAAGGACTGACTGGCAGAGAAAGGGCCCCCAAACCCGGTTCTTCCCTGCTGCCGACTCCCCTCTCCAACACGCTAGGAACTGTAGAATGTGGGGAGGACAGTCCCCCTCGTCGGGCTCTTCTTGGGCTGCTCATATCGTCAGGGGCCACTTCGCGTTGCCCTCGGCCGCGAAACGGCGACAGCCAATACCTCGAGGCTTGTCGATAATTTCCGCCCCGGGGGCAATTTCTTCGATTTTGTGTTTCCCCGGTCGCCCACTGGTACGAAGAACCATATCCCGAGTACCCGGCCAATGCCGTCCGTGACTCAGTGAGAATGACGATGTGGCTCCAAGTGATCTCAAGGCTGACAACGCTCAAAGAGTGAAGCTCCCGCGCGCCCCAGACCCAAGACTCGCGGATTTGCGATGCGTGAGCGAATGGTGTTCACCAAGTGCCCTGATCGCGTCTCTGACTGAGCTGTGCATCCCAGTGCTACCGTGGGCTGATGCAATAGCGCGAAGCAGTATAGTTAGCCGCGTCTGAAAAAAAAGATCTAATGTACACTTTGTACCTGGTTGCATAAAAACGGTACCTCATGACTCCGTATTACGGCTGCATGCAAGAAGGTGACCCTGGGAGCCCCGTCAATGTCGACCGCCCGTTGGTCGCTCGCCGAACGGCCCTCGGTGTGGCTGGCCCGACCTCCGATATCGACCGTGGGGATTTTTTGCTGCGACTCACTTCCTCGGGTACCTGTTTGAACTTTCCATCCGCCCACTCCAAACAGCCCTCAACTTCAAGCCCGGACGCCAATTGACGCCCACCATGTCTGTCAGAACCCTGCGAATCGGTGAGACCACCCCCAGAAACTCCAATTGACGCTTTCGTCGTCCAATGCCTCGTCTAACACCACCGCCCAGGCCTCATCCCCGGTGACGGCATCGGCAAGGAGGTCATCCCCGCCGGCCGCCGTGTCCTCGAGGCTCTCCCCGCCTACCTCGGCCTCAAGTTCGAGTTCACCGACCTCAAGGCCGGCTTCGAGACGTTCGAGCAGACCGGTGCCGCCCTCCCCGACAAGACCGTCGAGGTCCTCAAGAAGGAGTGCGATGGCGCCCTCTTCGGCGCAGTCTCCTCCCCGACCAACGCCGTCAAGGGCTACTCCTCCCCCATCGTTGCCCTCCGCAAGAAGCTCGACCTCTACGCCAACGTCCGCCCCGTCAAGACCGTCCTGACCGCTGCCAAGCCCATCGACATGGTCATCGTCCGCGAGAACACTGAGGACCTGTACGTCAAGGAGGAGAAGACCTACGAGGGCCCTAACGGCAAGGTCGCCGAGGCCATCAAGCGCATCAGCGAGCGCGCCTCCCACCGCATCGCCGCCATGGCCGGCGACATCGCCCTCCGCCGCCAAAAGATCCGCGACGCCGGCGCCGCCAGCATCCACAAGTCGCCCCTCGTCACAATCACCCACAAGTCCAACGTCCTCTCCCAGACCGACGGCCTCTTCCGCGCCACCTCCAAGCTCGCCCTCTCCGACCCCCGCTTCGCCTCCGTCGCCGTCGAGGAGCAGATTGTCGACTCCATGGTCTACAAGCTCTTCCGCCAGCCCGAGGACTACGACGTCATTGTCGCCCCCAACCTGTACGGCGACATCCTCTCCGACGGCGCCGCCGCCCTCGTCGGCTCCCTTGGCCTCGTTCCCAGCGCCAACGTCGGCGAGGGCTTCGCCATTGGCGAGCCCTGCCACGGCAGCGCCCCGGACATCCAGGGCAAGAACATTGCCAACCCCATCGCCACCCTCCGCAGCGCCGCCCTCATGCTTGAGTTCCTCAACGAGGAGACCGCCGCCGCCAAGATCTACGCCGCCGTTGACGCCAACCTCGAGGAAGGCAAGCTCCTCAGCCCTGACCTGGGCGGTACCGCCAAGACCGACGAGGTTGTCGAGGACATTCTCCGCAGACTGTAAGGAAGTTTGTGTGTGAGTGAGAGGAAGGGAGAGATGTGGGGAGGTGGGCTTGTATGAGGACTGGATATGGCAGTCGACGCGGCAGCAGCCGCGCCCTTGATACCTACCATATCATCAAAAGTACTTGTTTTTCGGATCTACTTGTTCTTGCCTTCCGCGTGCTCAACAGTGAAAACCGGCGCCTTCCCGTACATGGGTGAAACCTATTGCTAACCGGTGCATGGACGAAGTCACATGGCCTCTTGTATAAAGGCGTGCCATTAGTTTTAGTTCGTCGGCAGACCACTTTCTTCAACCAGACATATCATCTAGCCTACAATATCCTAGAACCACCCCTCGCAAATGTCCTCTAATCCAAAGAGCAAATGGCGCCGTCCACCAGAACCCCCTCACCACCGAGCAACACAAGCAAGAGCATCAGCTTCCGCAGCCTCTGGTCCGATACCCAATCCAACCTGACTCGCCTCCTCCGCGTCAACCTTCGCCGCAGCCCGCCGTCGTCGGGGAAGTTCACCGCGTCCGGGTCGAACAGCGCGATCCGCTTCGAGATCAGCCTGCCCCGGGGACCCGAGCGTCGAGCCCCGCGGCGCCGCCACAAGGAAATCCTCCTCGCGGTCGTGTGTCCGCCCATGGCAGTCTACCACATGGAAAACAACCTGAATGCCAGAGTATGGTTGACGGTGGCGCTGACGCTGGGGGGTTGGATTCCTGGCGTGGTCTGTAAGTGCGGACGGAGATGAAGACTTTAAGGGACGAGAAGATGACGGGCGCTGACGGGGGGACAGATGCGCTTTTAACTGCTCCTGCGCATCCGACACCGCCGTATTACTGGCATACCGCCGAGAGATCCAGCTCGATTATGGGCAAGGGCCCGAGGAGGCGTTCTAGACAGCCGCCCAGGAGGTCGGTCCATCGGGTTGTGTGAAGGGAAGCATAAAAGGAAAAGCATGAGGAAAGCTCCGGCAAGCTCTCGTATGTCACCCCAAGCATGTGGAGCCAGTAGGCATACACCCCTTGACCACCGGGAAACAGAATGGGGAGAGAAGACGAGGTTTGTATTTTTTGCTCAAAAGTCTAGTTTCTATCATGAATCACATGCTCCCTATGAACCCTGCCCTTTTGGTACAAGGTTGCCGGAAGGTGATTTTTCTTTTTACGTCCAGGCTCTTACAGTAAATCCAGACATGACATTATATATACATGTACATAGTACGCCGGCCCAAGCAGGTGGCGTACGGCCACGGCCCGTCTCGCTGCGGGCGGGGGGTGGCTCAGTGTTAATACACGACACTCGGTGCCATAGTTTGTGCCACGGTTTGGCGCGAAGAAGAGACTTTCCCCTTACAAAGGGGGATCGGCCTTGGTGGCTTATTTGGTGCGCTTGGCATCCAACTCCTTCTCGTAGGCGGCGCAGAGCTCCTTCCTGTAGGGGTCGTCAGCAAGGGGGAAAATCACATATCACGGAGCAAGGGGAAGACGTACTGGAGGTGAGGGGGAGCGGGGGCGTAGTGGCTGAACTCCATGCTGAACTCGCCCTTGCCCTGGGTGGCGGCGCGGAGCTGAGAGCTGAAGCCGAACATGGAGTTGAGACTGCAGTCGCAGACGAGGGTGAAGTCCTCGGTGCCGACCTCGGTGTCGTGGATGGTGGCGTTGCGCTTGTTCATGAGCATGATGATGTTGCCCTGGAACTCGTTGGGCGCGGTGATGGTGGTCTTCATCAGGGGCTCGAGGACCTGGCCGCCGGCCTCGTTGAAGGCCTTGCGGAAGGCCATCTGGGTTGCGAGGTTGAAGGCGAAATCGGACGAGTCCGTGACGTGGGTGGAACCGTCGTTGATGATCATCTTGGCGCCAATGACCTTGTGGCCCAGGAGCGGGCCCTTGTTGGTGGCCTCCTCGAAGCCCTTGGCGCAGGCGGTGATGTACTTGTCGGGGATGGTGCCGCCGACGACCTGAGTCTCGAAGAGGTTCTTCTCCGGGTCCTCAAAAGGCTCGATCCAGCCGGCGACGCGGGCATAGTCACCGGGACCACCGCTCTGGCGACGGAGGAGGAAGTCGTAGTCGGTCTTGCGGGAGATGGTCTCGCGGTAGGCGACGCGGGGCTTGCCGGTCTCGCAGTCGACCTTGTACTCGCGGCGCAGGCGCTCGACGTAAATTTCGAGGTGGAGCTCGCCCATGCCCGAGATGATGGTCTCCTCAGACTCCTCGTCGACGTGCAGGCGGAAGGTCGGGTCCTCGCGCTGGAAGCGGTTCATGGCCTTGGAGAAGTTGTCGGCGTCGCTAGTGCGCTTGGGCTTGATGGACAGCGACATGACGGCGTCGGGGACGAACATGGAGGACATTGTGTAGGGCAGGTTTCCGTCGGTGAAGGTGTCTCCGGAGGCGCAGTCAACGCCGAAGACTGCGCAGATCTCGCCGGCGCCGACCTCGTTGACGTCCTCCATCTCGTTGGAGTGCATGCGCACGATGCGGGGGATGCGGACCTTCTTGTCGGTGCGGGAGTTGAACAGGTAGGTGCCCTTGCGGAGCTTGCCCTGGTAGACGCGGATGTAGGTGAGCTGGCCGTAGTTGTTCTCCTCGAGCTTGAAGGCGAGGCCGACAAAGGGGAGCGAGTTGTAGGGCACCAGCTTGACGGTGGCCTCGTCACGCTTCTTGTCGAGGGCCTTGTTCTCGACCTCGGACGGGTTCGGGAGGTAGTCGCAGACGGCGTCGAGCACGGGCTGGATGCCCTTATCGGCGAGGGCGGAGCCCATCATGACGGGGGAGAACTTGAGGGCGATAGTGGAACGGCGGATGGCGGCCTTGATCTGGGCGTTGGTCGGGACTTGCTCGTCGAGGAACAGCTCGGCCATCTCGTCGTCGACGTCGGCAAGCTTCTCAATGAGTTCCTGACGCTTCTCCTCGACGAGGTCCTTGTAGCCGCCGGGGAGGACGTCAGTCGTCTTGACGACGGTACCACGGGGACCCTCAAAGTAGTAGGCCTTCTTCTCAATCAGGTCAATGACACCCTCGAACTCGTTCTCGGCTCCGATGGGGACCTGGATGGCGGCGGCGGGGATCTTGAGCTTCTTGTTAATCTGCTCGACGGCCTTCCAGGGGTTGGCACCCATGCGGTCCATCTTGTTCACAAAGCTGATGCGGGGGACGTTGTAGCGCTTCATCTGACGGTCGACGGTGATGGTCTGACTCTGGACGCCGGAGACGGCGCACAGGATCATGACGGCGCCATCGAGGACGCGCAGAGCGCGCTCGACCTCGATGGTGAAGTCGATATGGCCGGGAGTGTCGATGATGTTGACGTGGTATGTTTCCTCTTTTCCGTTTTCCATCTTCTTCCAGTCGGCGAACGTGGCCGCCGACTGGATGGTGATGCCCTTTTCTCTCTCGAGATCCATCGAGTCCATCTTGGCGCCGACCGAGTCCTTGCCGCGGACCTCGTGGATCGCCTTGATGCGGCCCGAGTAGAACAGCACTCGCTCGGTGGCCGTCGTCTTTCCACTGTCGATGTGGGCCGCGATGCCAATATTGCGCACGCGCGACAGGCGGTTCGCCTCCTCGGGGCTCATCTTGGCGGCGACGAGCTCGGGGGTGAGGGCAGAAGCGTTGTCCTGGGCCAGTTTCAGGGCCTCGGCGGCGGCATCGGCGGACCTGACCACGGTGGTCGTCGTGAAGGCGCGTCTAGCTGTCTGGCCAATCTTCCATGTCGCGGGAGTCGTCATCGAAGGGGTTGTCGAAGGCTTCACGCTGGCGGCGAAGCTGAAGTGTCGCACATCCCTGCTTTGAGGCTTTGCGCCCGTGAAAAGCCCGCCATTCGGCACTCTGACGGCCCTGGGAGCCCTCATCGTGACCAATGTTTCGCGAACCGGAAACGAAGAAAAGGGAAATGAAAGAATGGGTGGGATTACAAGAAAAGGGAGCCGGGATCCATTGGGGACAGAATGGTCTGATACGGGTCTTTTTTTTTTTTCGCCTGGCCTCTGTCAATCGCCCAAGCGAAACTTTTTTTGGGCAGGGGTCCGGCTTCGCGCCGCCGCGAAGGCACGTGTTTTCGTGGAGGGGTGGGGCCATCTCGGCCGTGGACGAATCGCGGGAGCAGGATTACGCCGGCCGGTTCAACGGCGGGCACTTGTCCGGGAGCGGACGGGGAGAATCTCCAGAGTCAACCGAGTGGCGGTCCATTTGCAAGTCTATATGTCATTAAAGCCTTCACAGGCGACTTGGATTCTTATTGAAGTTGGTGAGTCGCATTCGTAGTTAAGCAAAGAAAACCCCCTTCGCGTCAGCCCGGAAGGCAGTACCATACTCGAGCAAGCTCAAAGATTACGGCCTCGAGCGACACCATTCATTATTGGTCGCGTGGTATAGAAGAATCGCAGTCCCCTGCTACGTGATGGATATACCCTCTCTAAAACGCCATACACAAAATCGCACCAACCAAAGCAAACCCTCCATTATTGTTCAGATCCAGTGGTCATCCAGAGCCCGGTTCTTGTCGAGGTAATCGTAGACCTGCTTGTAGTCCTTGCAAACGTGCTTCGCATCCCACCCGTCACTGCCCGTGAAGCCCACGGGGAACGTCGTCTGCGTGCCCTCCAGCGCGACATCACCTGCGCACATGATGGCCTGTTCAAAAGGGTCAGCTTCACAGGAACAAATCGATGGAAACCCACCGACACCAACTCACCTGTCGGAGGTACTCGAAGCAGTGCTGCAGATGCCACGCCCCCTCGGGGATATGCGAGTGCTTGTTGACGGCGGCGCTGCCGTTGGCGTACAGCCCTGCGTAGCCCTCGAGGATCGCGTACAGGCAGTGCAGCTGGTGCGTCATGGACGTCGTGAAGACGGTGCGCGGCGCGAACTCGGGCAGCGGCACGGGGAGGTTGTCGTGGGCCGCCGGGTCCTTCATCTCGAGGTAGCCCAGGCCCTTGGGCACGATTGAGAGCCAGTTCTCCTGGAGCGAGGTGTTGGTGAAGAGTTCCTTCGGGTCGTCGGGGACGAAGTCTGTTGTTGGGTGGAACGTCGTGATTTGCTGGGCGACTGCGCCGTGTTAGCTTGTCACTCACCCGATCGGCTGCAAAGAGAGGCACTCACACTCTGGTGCGAACCCTGTGAGGTCGCCCACGGGCTCGAGACGCTTGTCGCGGGGGGTTGACTGTAGGCCCCTTCGCTCCAAGAGCAGACCAACGATGGCGAGCAGCATAAATGTATCGACGAGCCAGCGCCAGCGCCGAAAGAAGCTACAGGTCCTCGCGCATCGGCTCAGCTGTGTCGTCCGCCTCCCGTCCTCGACGTCTGCCCGCTTCCACTGCTTGCCGTCGTCGCTAAGAAGCGACACGCTGACGTCAGTCATGGAATCATCGTGAATCTCGGCCTCCCGGCGGGCGTCAGAGTACGGTGTGTCCTCAGGTTTCATGGTCTCGTCTCTGTGCCTTTCAAGACGGGGTTGGATATCGAATCCGACGAGTCGTTCGCTTGGCTTCCCACTCGAGGGATATTTATCAAACGAAAAAAACGAGAGATGAAGTTCGAACCAGCCAGCTTTCAGATTGATGTAACGATTAGATGAGAGTACTATAGTATGTAGGGACGACGGGCAAGCAGAAACCCCAGATTGCGTATACAGCTAGGCCCGCGACAAGGGAAGAGGCGACATCACCGGCCTAGAACCCTCCACGTGAAACAGCAAAGGCGGATCCCGGGGCACTGCCGCCCGCGTGGTTGGCACTGGGCAGTGGTGGTGATCTGGAGAGATCCGACGCTTCGTGTCTGAGGTTGGCGGAGTGCGGGTGCGTGTTTGGGACAGTGGACCGTGCAGGCCTGGTTGATTACCTACATCGGCCGTCAAGATTCAGACGGTGACGAATTGCGAAACCTTCAGCGGATTGTTTACTATGTATAGCGAGCTCTTTTCTGCGCAACCGCCAAATTCAAGCCCAAAGAGCGCGATCAACGTCATATCGTCTAGTGTTGAGTGCCTCATCTACGGTCAAAGTCAGTAAGTAGCACACAGGACGAGCCCACAGGTTTCGGCGGAACAGAAGGCCGACCGTATTTGAGCAGGCGAAGGAATACTAATAGAGAACGATCGGTAAAGGCATGCAACAGCGATAATAAAAAAAACCAGCATGTACAATTGCAATCGCAATCGCAATCGCAAGCAAAACGAAATGACAACTGTGAGATTCGAACTCACGCCTCTTTCGAGACCAGAATACTCATCCGCTGGAACGGATGAAGCTGTTCGCTTGAGTCTGGCGCCTTAGACCGCTCGGCCAAGTTGCCGGTTGATGATTGGTGAGATCAAAAGTCATACTAAGATCCTCTCCCGTACATTGCGTCCGCCACAATGTGGGAAGTCTGGCCGAGAGCGCCCCGACCATGCACCGGCCCGATGCCACAGGGCAATAAGCTCTGGTTTGACTTTCGGGATCGGCGCCTGTCGTTGCCTGCCATTATTTCGACTTTTTCTAACAGCCACCTCGGCGGACACGTCAAAAACAGTCTACTCGAGATGGCCAACCCTGCTCGCCGCTCTCTTCCAACGACTCCCGATTCAGTACAAAGAACTCTTATCATGAGTTTGCTTGGATCGGCCAGCAAAACATCTGACCGCCCTTATCTCCCATCGAACCCAGCAAGCCTGCCTTGCCTGTCTTGTCTCGGAGTGGACCCCGGCCTCGGCGAATACCGTAACACACACACCTTCCCAAAGCCCATAGTCGGGCCGCCGTCGTCGTGGACAGACATCATCCCACTCTGCCCTTGAATCGTCGCCCGGGTGGAGCGAGGTTTACTGGCCCAGGAGACCTGGTGGGAATTAAAATAAAAAAACAGCGGAGTCGGCTCCAGAGCGGGAGTTGGCATCGGCAATCTCACTCTGCTGCGAGCGCTGCGAGCGCGCGTATCCTGATGTTGTTTTTCCCGCCGAGGCGCCTTTGGACGGTTTGGTGGCTCTTTTTGCGTCGTGTGTTCTGCCCAAACGCAGCGCAGCCGCGAGGATCGTCGCCAACAAGAGACCAGCTGACGTCGTTGGGGCGCCGGCTGCCAGTCAACTTTTTGCGCGCTGCTGCTGTAGATCCCATTTCGCTGTGTCTTGCCTCCCCATCTCTTCAAGTAAGCAACAGCGAAAACCACGAGTGTTGGCCGGCCTTCTTAGCCGGCACCGTTGTCCGACTCCCTCCTACGCAACCTCCCGTCCACGTGCCGCCCTATCGGGTCCAGTTGGGTGGCGGACCCTCTGATATGCAACCGCAACTTTTTTTCTTCTCCTTCTCTAATGACCTTGCTCGCGCTGGGATACACGAGTGCGAAACAGTGGGCCCTGGTGGTGTAATCTGGGTCCCCTTTTTCAGCCTCTTGCCCACCATCCGTCATGGGGGTGCCTTTTTGCCCGTTCTTATACCTGGAGGCCGTCTGCGTCCTGTGCCGTCGTCGTTCCCGATGGATTTCTCGAATCATTCCAGTCCTTTCTTGTTCAAAACCCTTCTTTGATCAGGTCCGTTGGATGAGAAGTAGACCCATTCTCGTTTGATGTCTTTTCGCGACGGACAATATTTAATGTCTAATTATCTTCCTTCCTTCACCGCGTAAACAACCTTGATCCAAAGTGCGCCTGTCCAGGTTCGTCACTTGACGTAACGAGGCCGAGGACGATCTGTCAAGTCGACGAGACTCACCCGCTGACGACGGGAATCCCTTTCAGCCAAGAAGGCCACACACCCCCTCGAACCTTCATCATGACGGCCCCAGCCCCCGCCATGAACGAGAAACCCGATTCCGCCTCGGGGTTCCGCTCAGACACGCCCTCCGAAATAACCCTGGCCCCGGCCGCCGACCCGGAAATTCAAGCTGCCGGCGGCACCGCACAACCGCCGCCAACCGCCGCCGCCCCGGGCCCCGTTCCGGACGGTGGTCTCGAAGCCTGGGTCCAGGTTCTCGGCTCTTGGGTCATCCTCGCCCACACCTGGGGCCTCGTCAACACCTTTGGCGTCTACCAGACCTACTACGAACGCACCCTTCATGACACCACCCCCTCCGCAATCTCCTGGATCGGCTCCCTCCAGGGCGCCCTCCTAATGATGGTTGGACCCATCGCCGGGCCCCTTTACGACGCCGGCTACTTCCGCGAGCTCATCTGGGCCGGCCTCTTCCTCATTCTTGTCGGCATGTTCATGACCTCCCTCTGTACCACCTACTGGCAGGTCCTCCTCGCGCAGGGTGTATGCATCGGCCTCGGCTGCGGCTTATGCTTCCTCCCCTCCACCGCGATCCTCAGCCAGTACTTCAACAAGCGTCGCGCCCTTGTCATTGGCATCGCGGCAACAGGGTCGCCCATCGTGGGCATGTGCTTTCCCATTCTATTCGGCCACCTTGAGCCCAAGATCGGCTTCGGCTGGGCCACGCGCGTCCTCGCCTTCATCCTGCTGGGTCTGTCCATCATTCCCGCCGTCACGATGCACACCCGCCTCCCGCCCTCGGGCCACAAGCGCTCGCTTGTCGACAAGGAGGCTTTACGGGACCCGGCCTTTATGCTCGTCGTGGCGGGTTCTTTCGTCGGGTTCCTGGCCATGTACGTGCCGTACTTCTACATCCAGCTCTTTGCCGTCAATCATGAAATAGGCCCGTCCGATTTTTCTGCATACTTTGTCACGCTCCTTAGCGCCGGGAGCATCCCGGGCCGTGTGATACCCAATTATCTGGCAGACAAGGTCGGCGCGCTGTACATGCATATTTCCGTCGCGGCGGGCTCGGCGGTGCTCATGTTCGCGTGGTTGGGAATCCGCAACATGGGCGGACTGGTCGTCTTCTCTCTTCTGTATGGTCTCTTCTCCGGCGGCATGGTGAGCATTTCGCCGACCGTTGTCGTCAGCCTGTCGCCGGATCTGGGCCGCGTGGGAACACGCATGGGTATGATGAACTTCATCGCTGGTATCGCCATCCTCGTCGGCACGCCGATTGCCGGTGCCATCCTAGGCGACTACAGCGAGGTGGCGTGGCAGTCCATGATCGGGTACGGAGCGGCGGCTTTGACGGTCGGGTCGATGTTGTTGACTTTGGCCAAAATCTTCCAGTTGAAGACGGCTCGGAATTTGAAGGCATGAGCATGTGCTGTTGATAGGTTATTGGAGCTGGAAATGGAAAGCAGCGGCTTTCCTGTCTATAGATCATATACCCCCTTAGAAATGATAGACTATGCCTGTTGACTTTTGCCATCCGCCACCAAGACGCCGAATAGTCAGCCCTGAACTCTCCAGAGTCAGTGCCAAATACCGTATTTGCGTCAGTCCACTGCCATGTATCTCCAAAGTGACCCGAGCAGCAGAGGCTGGTCTACGACGACCAGCCGGAGGATGGGTTCCCAGTCAAGGAAAGAAACTCTCATCGAGACATCAGGTAGCTTGGTCAGTGGTCTGCCTCTGACAGAGCCTCCATCTGTACCAGCGGAAGACAAGGAAACGAAAGTGTTGGTTGGGATAGGTGATTGTTGATGGCCTTTACCTGCATAGGCACTACCTCGTTCGTTCAGTCCTTGAACAGGGGAAGACGTTCTGATTTGTTGGGTCAATGTATTGATATACAAACCAGAGGCTGGTGATCTATGAGCAATCCAGAAAGAGTCGGCAGTAAAAAGTCCTGCGCCAGGTTATTACTTAGAGGGGCTTTCTGACTTATACCACCAACCCACCAGGCCAAGGGGGGGTTTGATTGTGTACAGTTCCTGCGTTAGTCATGTCGACAAATCATTGTGTACATCTGCTATTATACGTCTCTGCGGGGCTCGGTTCGTTTTCGGATCGGCCGCAGCTTGCATCTTGAGTTCTACGACGGACGAAGACAATACTTCTCCGCGTCTCCAACTGACGAGAAAACGAATGAGACTAAGGACAAGAACTGTTGCTAGGAACATTGCAGCGGCATCGGGGGCCACACAGCTCAGTTCCGGGACACCAATGGTTAGCGGCCAATATTCCAAGTCCAGCTTGCTGAATCAGGGTGGCGACCCGAGAACGAGGCCAGCTTCTTGATGGGTAATTCCAAGGCGCAAACGGGTAGGGCGCTTCGGGGGCAGGAGAAGTCGGCGGCGCGCAACAAAAGAAGCGAGTCGTGAAAGCAAAAGTAGCGCCCGGTGTCGCTCTGCAGGTCGTAGGAGCTAAGTGCGGAAGAGGGGCACGGATCCGTGAAAGCGGAACGCCTGGGGCTGGCCCTATCACGACGGCGGGATGGCGCCTTTGGCCCCGTCTGCTGCTGTGTGTTGCTGATTCATCGTTGGATCATGTTTTGGGTGTAGCTTAGCAAACGCTTAACTCAGATAACTCAGACCCTCGCGCGAGGTCGCAGCCGGTATTGTGGAGACAGACGTCCTGCCTAGGCACTCGGGTGACAAAAGTCAGCGCCGCTTTCTATGCCTTTACCATACAAATCCCAGCGCTGATTTTTGTCACCCGAGTGCTAGGTTGCCTTGCTCGACGAGCCCCACCACCATCTGTTGATCTGGGCGTGACACAGGCCGATCGTGCCTGCCTGCCTGCCTGCCTGCCTGCCTGTCTGGTGCGATTCATGTCCAGGCGGGGGAGCAGATGGGCGATTGAGGGTAGAAGCTGGAAGAAAGCACCAGTGAAGTCATGAACACCCAACACTCGTCACATGGCGGTAAACAATTTCTCTGTACGTATTGCACCAGCAGAGGCAATGGTAAGCCAAGAGGCTAGAAGGTGCCGCATACCGGTCCGTGCGTTTCTGCAGCAGCTCCGATCTACGCTGGTCCTGATTGGGATGACAGGTTCCTTCCTGCTCTCTCTTTTTCTCGGCACTATGGCCGTACCTGTCAGCTTCGTGGGGGAAGGCGCAGCTCATTTGTCAGTCACTACTAATCTCTTGACAGCATTTTTTTTCTTCTTTTTTTTTTTCCACGTTCACCGTCTCGGTTGAAAATGCGTCGCACAGCAGCCCAGCCGACCTGTCCGTGCCTTGCGTTATCCGACTGCGATTGCAGCCCGTAGATGACAAACAGACAAGACGAATATGCATGGGTCGCCTGTCTGTTGTAAGTTTGCAGTGCGGTCGGAAGGCGGCAGACCCTGATTGTGTCCGATCTGTATTCCGTGGTTTAATCCGCGATCCGAAACTCTCAGTTCTCGTACACATTAAAGCACCTTGCGGGAGGGAGGTCCAGAACTGGCACTAGCACTAGCACTCGCTAAGTGCTGTACTATCTATCCAACGATAAGAGCCAACAAGGCGTCGACGCAAGGGATCGCCTGTGTATTCGTAAGGCTTATGAAGGCCGCATGCGTTGTTAAGCACTTAATCAGCACCACTCGACTTGTCAGGACCTTGTTGCATTGCCCCCGTTGCTGCGACGGCTTGGAGGACGGGTGATGCCTTGCATCACATCACCATGCCAAAGTGGACAACCATGATCTGAGGTGTCTGTCGCATCTGCAGGGTTGCTGTGCACTACCGAGTTTACATAGAGATGCTCACCGTATCGTCCGGATCTACGTATCGTGCAGGTGTTCCTACACAGCTTACTGCATACAGTAGTAGTGTTCACGATGTACTCTAGGTAGTGCGGCGGCCTGCACTGGAAAAACAACCAAAAGATACCATGTACATCGAGGGAGCGTAGGTACGTCCCCCTTCCAGAATTGGACTGAGACCAGGCCCTGATTGAAGCATGGACCCGCAAGGAGGGGCAGGTGCCGATACGTACCCTGGCCTTACCTTGGCAACCCGGGTAGCTCCCCTGCAAGAGCTTTTTCCCCCACGACTGCTTGCTGACATCTCCTTACCTGAGCTACCTCGACCTCGTGCGGGTATCTTGATTCTAATCCCACTTGGCCGATGGGCCTGGTGAAACCGCATCGCGTCGGCCAGCCATTGCCATTCCATCCCTTTCCAACCGACCACATCCCAATCCCCGAGGGTCCCTGACTGGCCAATCCGACGTCTTCCCGGCCATGGACCGCCCAGCCTGACAAGCGAGGCAGCGTGCCATTGATGATGCAAGACGCCGCCCGTCTCAGTCCCCTTTCTTCGTCTCTCCGCTCCTGGTCACGCCGGACGGGGCGCCCATAACCCCACGTTGCTGTTGATATAAGATCATGCCGCCCTCCCCGACTCTGCCTCCTGTTGTTGCTTGATTTCTCCAGCACACTCTTGTTGAGCATTGATCCCATCTACTTTCCAATCGATAACCAGTTTTCTCTTCTTCCCCCTCAGCACCATACATACTTCATTCACAATGGCTCCCAAGATCGCCATCGTCTACGTAAGTTTGCAGCACTTCTTTCCCAATCGGGCAATTTTCGTCCCTCACCCCTTCACCCCACTATTCCACCCGTCCCTGCAAAGGCCCATTCCTCTTCGGCACGATTGACTGTGGGAGGGGTTCGATGCGGATGCCCACACGGGGGAGGAGACGATGCCCCTACCGATGAGACCACCCTGCTAACCGTCATGTCCTTCACAGTACTCCATGTACGGCCACATCCGCCAGTTGGCCGAGGCCGAGAAGAAGGGCATTGAGAAGGCCGGCGGTACTGCCGACCTCTTCCAGTACGTCCCTCCCGCGCCGTGATGACCAGCCAGCCGTGCGGACTAACACTCCAACCACCAGGGTCGCCGAAACCCTCCCCGAGGAAGTCCTCGCCAAGATGGGCGCTCCCGCCAAGCCCACCGACGTCCCCGTCCTTGAGGACCCCAGCACTCTCGAGGCCTACGACGCCTTCCTCATCGGTATCCCCACCAGATACGGCAACTTCCCTACCCAGTGGAAGGCGTTCTGGGACAAGACCGGCAAGCAGTGGAGCACCGGCGGCTTCTGGGGCAAGATGGCCGGCCTCTTCATTTCCACCGCCTCCCTCGGCGGCGGCCAGGAGTCCACCGCCATCGCCGCCATGTCCACCTTTGCCCACCACGGCATCATCTACGTCCCCTTCGGCTTCGCCAAGGCCTTCCCCCTGATGGCCGACCTGACCGAGGTCCACGGCGGTAGCCCCTGGGGTGCCGGCACCTTCGCCGGCGCCGACGGCTCCCGCCAGCCCACCGCCAAGGAGCTCGAGATCGCCACCATCCAGGGCGAGGCCTTTTACCAGACCGTCGCCAAGCACTTCGGCTGACTGCATGGCAGTGAGGCCGAGGCCAAGAAGGAGGAGAAGACCAACGGGGCCAACGGGTCCCACAAGCCTGCCCCGGCGAAGAAGGACGACTCGCCGGCGGAGATCCGCAAGGCCCCGCAGGAGCTGGACGAAAAGGACGTCAAGGCGGGCCCCTGCGGTCTGCCGAGCAAGTGCGTGGTGCTATAAGACACATGCCAAATTTAATACCGTTACCTAGCAAAAAAATGATACCATATACCCTTTCCAACAACTAGTCCTCCTATCAATCGCAAACGGTGAAGTGTAATGTAGCATGGTGATGTGGAGGACTTGGCCCAAGACCTCTTTAGCAGCTTGCGTGCCCGCCGGATTGACACAACGTAGTGCAGTCGACAGAAGCAGGGCTTGAAAGGACGGGCTCGAACGTACCGAAGCGGTGTGGCATGGCCAGATGTACTTTCGGCTTCCGTCCCGTCAGAAGCCTTCAATGGGACTGACGCTGGTTCATGACAAGGTAGGTAAGGTAGTGCGGACACCGCAGTTGATACTGGTAGAGGGAGAGGACTGAGAACATCTTGGCTTCCCCATGCTTTGGAGACTCCTCGAAGCCTCGAAAACCTTGCCCAGTTGTAAGCAACGTCCTGCAAGAGTCAACGTGGAAATGTCACCCGCCAAGCACGTAGTTACTGGGGAAGTGGTTCTGCAGTTTATCAAGCTTTGCATCCCACCGACGGTGACGTCTACGACTAATGAACCATGTTATCACTGATCATACATCGAGACTGCTAAGAGTCTCGCTTCTTTACATTCGGAGACAGTCCCAAACAGCCAAATTCCCTGACCGTAGGCAACTACGAGTGCTTTCGCGCGCCTTCCACAAATGCCCTTCTGCTCGCAAATAACGCCGATAGCCATGCATAACTTTGTCTTCAACAACACGCAACCTCAGATTTCCGCTTAGAGCAAGTTTGATGCGGTACCCGTATACCTGCCGTGCTATTTACAACAGTCTTCCACCAAACACAACATTCTTGCTATCGTGAACGTTGACCATGGTGTACTCGGCGAGCAGCGGGTCCTTGTTGCCCAAATTCAGGGTGACAGCAAGAAGGTTGGGCTCGGTCCAGGTCGGGCGTAGACCACGGGACTCGAGGCGTTCCCACCAATCGAGGTAGCCAGAGGAGGTCATGCCGTTGAAGAAATGAATCTCAATCATCAATTGACCGATCGGGAGCTCGCCCATCGTAAAGGGGAAGTCGTCGTGGAGTCCTTCCATGGCTTCGAACTCTGAAAACTCAATATCCATCTTGAGTATGTCACTGATTCAACGTCAGCACGTCATTCTCGTGTCTCGAGAAAAAAGAGGTCGCTTACATGTACTCGTGGCCATTCATGTCCATCAAGTCGCTGATGCTGTAGAATGGAGGCGACATCGACGTGTTTGTCTTGCCTGCAATACCGGCCTGGAGGAAGGCTGCTCTGTCGCGGTTCGTGGGTTCAAGCTGTTCGCCAAAGTCGACAACAGAAAAGTCATAGGCCCAAACACGGCATTTGGTTCGGCTCAGCATTTCGTTTTCTTCCAGCATTTACAAGTCAGAAACCGAGTCGTATGGATGTAGGTGCAGGCTTAGGCTCCTTACCGAAACTAGACTCATCACGGACACCAAAGGAATAGATGACACACTCGCGGTCCTTGGGGAAATGGACGTAGCGCGACATGCCGCAAACCCATTTGCCGCCGTCACCCATACGTCCGACGCGCTCCATTTCGTGGGGGCAGCTGAAAGAGGCCGGAGTGAAGTCCCAAATGGAGTAGGGGTGCTTCTTGTACTTTGGGGCGTCTGTGGCGGGGAACCTGAAGGAAGACGGCAGTTAGTCGTCTGGTCTTTGTCCAAATCGCCATCTCAGGGCGTCCGATGATGTAGGAGGGCTCGAAGGGGAGGCGTAGAAGGGGCCAGCTTACAGAGGCATCAGGGAGGCATCGCCGTAGTCGGCAGCAATCATATCGTGACGCTGCCGGACGGTCTTGGCCCAAATGGACTCGGCGGTGGCCATGAACTCGCGCATGGAGACGCGGCCACCATTGCTGCTCATGAGGCTGCTAACCTTGCTGGATGCCCACTCCTTGGCCTCGTCGGAAGTGCCGATGGAGCGCAAGAAGGCGAGGGTCAAGAGCAGGCCGGCCGCCAGCAAGAGCATCTGGAATATGCGCCTCGAATTGGCAGCCATAGTTCAGATTGTAGTGGGAGAGATGTCTCTGTGGCCACAGCTAGGACTCGGGTGCTTCGTCTTCAACTTCGTATGTATGTCCTAGACTGACGATACGATTGGAGTCTGTATGACGTCTACAGGAAAGTCGCGGCGAGAGAAAAATCAAGTTGCAATCGCAACCATCAACAAGTTCGGATGGTCAGAAGTCCTGATTACGATGAGAAGAACCAGCTCCCGGCCAAGTAAACGAGTCGCAGATGCGAACCGATCAAGGGTTCCCAAACGCAAGAGAGTGGCTGGAAGGGAAAGAGGGCAAGGAAAGGTTGGCAGAAGAAAGTGAATCAAGCCGGGATGGATGGAAAGGCTGGGAAGACAAAAGACAAAGACGAATCAAATAAAACGCAATGAAGCAAGATTGAGAGGACACAAACAGAAGAAAGTCAAAGGCGGACGGCAGCTGCCAGCCCAACAAGTCATGGGAAAGAACGGAAATGCCGAAGCACAGGAGCCGCCCTTCAAAATCATGTCCTTGCCAAGAAAAGAATTAAGGTTCGGATTCGAAAGCAAAACCGCTTGCTCTTGGGAATTCGAGGCACCTACGGGTGGTTGGCTTGGCTGCACTTGTGTGTGTTCAAAGGAAACTTGGGGCAGGCACAATGGGTCGCCCATGCTTGAGCAGCAGGTTGCAAGTCTGCGCAGTGCCTTCCTCGCCTTACGCCATCTATGTTAAAAGAGTACCTTCCCAGACAGCCTTCATGTTGCGCCTGCCAAAGGGCGTCGTGTTGCTTCGCAGCTTCCCGTCGATCTTTGGCTCAGCCTTTTCGTCCCCGAGATATGTATAGATTTGGTACCGAAACCAGGGGTGTTTGAAACTGACGGCGGGGACACAAAGTCAAGATAAAACGAGACTGCGCAAGCCGAGTTGCACCGCTCGCCTCAAAATGGGCTGGGAGACGAGGAGAAGGCCTGTCTTTAAGCTTGGTCAGCGGAAAGCATGGGCGACGAGGTTTATCGAGGCAAGGCATGGGGAGTGCGCAGACCAAACCACGTGATGCTCCCGTCGATCGCTATGAGGGGTCTTGAAAAGATGGCATGGCCGCATTGAGTTTGACTCAGGGTTTCAACCTTGGGACGGGGATGGAGCCCGATGTAGCGGGAGGGTGACGCGAGCTCGGGTGTGCCATCTCAATCCAAGACACTGGACACTATAATTGATGACCTCACTTAATAGAGACCAGGCGGGGTTGGCTTGTAAATGCCATTGTCCGAAGGTATCGGGACATTTGTTATCAGCTTGGACATATTGTCCAACATTGATATTGGGGTCTTTGCACGAAGAATGAACCGTGCCAGGCATAAAAGACACCTTCTCTGCAGGAAAACCAACACTATCGACATTCGACATCAAAATATCCAAGCAAGCCAACGCCACCATGTCCAAATCGTGGAAGCCACATCGTCTCCCGACGTGGTCGTCTCTAATGGGTATCATTCCTATTCCCTGCACTCTTCGTCAATCATTCAGCAGCAGACGCCGTTTTATCCGGACGCGGCAGACTCATCGCCACCCTCCTCACTTGAGCCCGTTGTTCTGCACCCCGACGAAGACGAGCCCCTGCGCCGATGAGTTAGCCGAACTGCGATAGTTGCCCATCTCGGTGTCGCCGCCGGAATCGTTCGACAAGTCGCACTCCTTGACGCCGATCTCGCCGCGGATGATTTCGGTCATGGACACGAGGGGAAAGATGAGCACGAGCATCGACAACAGCTGGCCGAAGCCCCATTGCCTCTCGCCGTCGTCCTGGAGCTCGTAGCCCGGGCCGTTGCCCCAGGCGTCCGAGGCAATAATGACACGGGTCGCGGCGCCGATGGCGGACGCCATCATGACCAAGGTCCCGATGACTTGGAACGCGCGCGACAGGCGGGTCGAGCGGAAGCTCTTGTGGTGCAGGTACCAGCTCGCCAGGATGAAGACGATGATGTTGGCGGCGATGACGATGATGGTGCCGAAGTAGCTCAGCCCCGTCTGCGACCCCTTGCCCGCGTCGCCGACGATCCAGACGCAGGCGACGGGCAGCTTGGACTCCTGCATGTTGCTCGAGACGCCCTGCAGGATGAAGACGCCATAGGTCGTGTTGAGGGATAAACTCAGCAGCATCAGGATCTGACGCAGCCATCGGAGGACCCAGTCGCGGCGGAAGTCGCGGGCGAGGGCCAGGAGGGTGGCGTTGTGGACGGCGAGGGACATGTTGGTGAGCATCCAGATGATGAAGAAGTGGTAGGGGACCATTTCGTGCACCTTGGCGAGGCCGACGCACGAGATGCCGATGCTGATGAGGAGCTGCTGGTCCGAGTAGCTGTTGAGCAGCTTCCGGCGGATCTTGGAGGGGTTGTCGTACATCTCGTGGACGATGATGGACATGCTGAGGATGAGGGAGACGCCGGCGGTGATGATGGCCGCGAGAATCACGCCGCGGCCGGCGACGCCGCCGTCGCTGGCCACTGGGACGTCGGGCCCGACGGTGCAATTCGCCGTCTCGAATATCCCCATCTTTGATGATCGGCCGGCGATGGCCGTTGTCAACGTTTGTCGAGGTATTTACCGATGTTGTTGCCGCGGGCGTACTCGCAGTCCGAGACGATTCCTCGTGATCGTCTTAGTCGCGGCTTTTGCTTTGCTGAAGTGAAGCCGCCACCGAGTCGGGTCCGGCTCGACTGGCACGCTACTCGTGATTATGAAAAGATGGCAGACTGTAGCGGAGATAGGATGGGAAAATCTCTCCCGTTCAGTCCATGGTCCATCTCCTTTTACTCAACCATCGGGTCCCATGTGGAGGAACCCTTTCTCCTTATTTCTGGGACCGATCCCTTCCCTCCTCGCATTGCATCTGGTTCCAAAGGGTGTGACGTACCGAGTAAGCGCTGCGCTGTGGTGCGCCGCCTCCCTCCACCCTGGTTGGGGCGTCGTCTGAAACGGCCTCCCGCTGGGGAAGATCCTTGGGGGGCCGTGGACGAGTGGCTCTCGGCGTTTGCGAGCGCCCTGGCGTCGGCTGGGGCGTTGGGCAAGATGGGCATTGATTTGCCAGGCGCTGTGGCTGTGTTCCCACCGTCCACCAGTGCAGTGCTAATGCACCCCACCAAGAGCCGCCGCGGGAAGGGCGCCGTCCCCTAACGCCCCATTGCCATCGGCTGCAGATCCCCGCGAATCCCTTCACTTGTTGCCTTGGTCGCCCGCCACAATTTCTGCCGTGGATTTGCCGCACCCTTGGCATCCCCGCGATACCAGGGCTCCCTTGCCCGCGGCGACAATGCACTGGACCAGAATATCCCCGTCTGATGATTCTTGCGAGGTTCCTGCGCGGTGTTAGAAGAGCTGCCGTGGTCGATTGGATGGACTGTCTTGACAGCACAACGAACCCACATGGCAATGATTGATTGACGGGCTTTTTGCCCGGCACGCTCTGGCAAGCCAATGTTGTCGATCCATGTTTGCAATGGCCAAAGCGCACTGGAAGCCACCCCGGCCTGGTATGGTGTGCACTTCACCATCTCCGCTGGCCTTGGACGATCAAGACGCTACCACTGGCTTATGCAGGTCCCGTGTCGTCGACGGGTAGCGCGGACAACCGATCCATTGCTCCATGAGCCGTCGCAGACGATTTGGAAATTCACCATGTTTAGCAAAGCTTAGTGACGGCTGGTGAGATCTAATCTATTCTGTCATGTATATGATGGTACATTTCACTCTAAACTTCCGTGCATGGATGGTATCACCGAGGGCGCTAAACTAATTCTACAAAGAAAACGATTTGATTGCCCATTACTGAGCTTGGGTGGTGGGGGTCCCAGCCTCATCCCCAGACGCATGCTTGCCCTTTTCCGCCGGCGGCAGTCTCACTAAGAGAAGCAAACCCAGAGCAGCGAGGCAGAAACCAGCGACACCCAGGTACGGCAGGCCGATCCAGAAGCCCCCGAGCCTCATTCCCAGGGTAAAGAGCCCGGCGAGCATGGGCTGCGCGTACGTCATGCCCACCGTCTCGACGAGCGAGATGATGGAGTACAGCCGTGTCCGATGCGCGGCGTCGACGTATATCGCGGCAAGACTACGCACGTAGCTGCCCCAACCCGAACCGAGAGACAGAATCGCGAGGCCGCCAATGAAGGCGCCGATGCTCGGCGAGGCGGCCATACAGACCGCGCCGAGTAGGAGCGCGGCGGACGACGCCCGGGCGAGAAAGAGGTCGCGCGCGTTGTCGTCGATGAATTGGAGGGGTTTCGGCGCCCTGCGCGAGGCGAGCAGTTTGGAGATGCCCGGGAGGATGGCGACGATGGCGAGGAACACGCCCAAGCCATAGAGCGACGAGAGGTATCCCGTCTGCGACAGCGAGACGTGGTAGCGCTTCGAGGCGAAGATGGTCATAAACTGGTAAGTCGACAGTATGACGGGGTACGAGCTGAGCGTCGCCACAAGTAGGAGGATGAGGGACGGCGACTTGAGGAGACTCAACGACTCTTTGAGGCGGTGGAACATGTGCTGGATGTTACCGACGACGAACGAGCTGGCCTCGCGCTCGTCCGCGATGGGGTCCGGCAAGACCTGGGCGGCCGGCTTTGTCTCGGGGATCAAGTGGATGGTGAAGAACAGAGTGGCGAAGCCGGACAGGGCGACCCACATGACCGGCCACGGCCCGGTCCTCTCCATCATCCACCCGGCGATGGCGGGGGCGCAGAGGTTCCCGATCATGGACGACAGATGAACGGCCATGAACTTTTTGGCTCTGTTCGCGGCGTCAGTAAGAGTTTGGCGGAAGGCGGTTACAGCTGGAGGAGAAGAACGAACCTGTTTTCCGAGGTCGTCACATCCGAGAGCATGGAAAAGACGACAGCAGACAGCGCGGCGTTGCCTCCGCCGATGATCTGCAAGAACGGACCGAACCACAGCGCCTCGAGGGGGATCGTCTTGGGAAACGCACACACCAAGAGGAACCACAGCTGATCCAACATCAATCCCAGCACCGCCAACGAGAAGACCTTCTTCCTCCCCAGCCGGTCGGCGACGATACCCCAGGGGAAAGCGGACGCGGTGCCAATGATGGCCTGCAGCGCGGTGTAGACGGCGAAGATCATGGCGACCTTGCTCTGGATCACGTCCTCCTTGCACTGGCCCTCGTCGATGGGCACGTCGCCCTTTCCGGAATGCAGCACGCCGTAGTACTCCCTGCACACAATGTCCTCGACCAGGCGGGTAATGGGGATGGTCCCGAGGCCGCCCGAGCCGGCGCCGACAACAATGATGGCGCAGAAGATGGCGGCGATGGCATCGGCGTTGTGGACCTTGGGCACGTGCATAGCGGCGGCGGCGTTGAGGAGGGAGTCGGTCCTGCTGCGGCCGGCGCCGGGCCGCTCGGACTGGCGTGCGGAGGATGAACCTCCTGCAATGAGCGGGGTCGATTCCGTGGCATCGTACACGTCTGTCGAAGCCCTAGACGGCGTGGCGTGGCCGACGATGGTGTCGTCGTCGGAAGCCGGGTCAATGTGTGGACGCATCTTGGCTGCGGTGTGACGTTCCCTAAGGGATCGGGTGGTGTGGACGAGCTAAGGCGGGACGAGCCGATGTACCTTTTGACCGCCGTCTGAACTGTGGGTAACGAAGAGTGAAGGCGGACGGACTTTGGAAGGCGGGTGGGTGATTTCAACACATATGAAGGAAATGCCGAGTGGCTGAAGCCCGGTTTATGTTGGCAAAGAAGAAAGGATCTTGGCGAAGGAAACGATGGCAAATGCGACAGAGCTGTGCAGCACGCAATCTTATCCCTAGGTTGGAAGGACGTGATGCCCGATGGGATCAGACACGCGGTCTGAAACGACAGCTAGTGTTCTCTCCCTCTGTCTCTCTGCCTCTCCCTGGCCAAACAACGGCTCGTCCTGCTCTAAAGGAGGCTTACGCTGTCCTGCCGTAGTATAATTGACGGGGGTCGAGGCGATAAGGCGCGCTGACGACTGACGATGCGTGGATGTTGTAATTGAGGGGTGGGGGGGATAAAAAAGGAAAACCAAAAAGTAAGACGGATGAACTTTCAAGGCGAGGTGATGGCCCGAGCAAGTAAGACGTCGTACCCGCACTGTCGGTGGTGCCTCGGCCTGCGATGGGATGGCGCGGACGTAGAACTCCGGTGAAGAAGGGAAAAGGTACAGAGTAGATACGCGCGCAACGACAGCACCGTGTCGTCATCAACCGACATGAAAGAGAAAAAGAGAAATGAAGGAAAAATGCCAGCAAGTCGCAAAGTGCCACGGTATGATGGGCTACTTGCGGGCTCCCGCGACACCACAGGATAGCCCGGATAGGCCTGGGTCAAGGTAGCGCTGCAGGATTGTGATCCGGAGGTCTCCAAAAAAAAAAAAGGTTCCCAACGGTATGGGCGAGTTGTTACAGATGCTCTCGAGTGCGTCTCACTGTCGCAATCCCCAAACCCGGACCCTTCCTAGAAACCGGATTTCAGCCTGGTCAGAGTGACGAGCTGGTGATGAAAACACGTCGGTTGTACAAAAGGGCCTTTTGTCCCTTCGACGCATAGAACCGTCTCTTGCATCAAATTGACGAACCACAACCCCCAACCCATAGCGGCCGAGACCCCTTTGGCGTCATCCCCGGCCGTTGTCAGCTTCTACATCAGGCATGGCGCCAAGCGTTTGGGGGCGGATCCGCTTTCCTGAACAGGACGTCGGGTACGCCGCCGGTGCATCAACGCCAGCCGGCACAACCACTGTTGCGTGCGTGTCGACGTGCTCAATTTTGTCCATATCTGCGATAAGTCGGGCGGATAGGAGATCACGCTGCAAAGCTGACCCGAGATGCCAAAGGGCCGCGATATCTCTTTGGTGCCGACGGGGGAAGGTTGGGGACCGTACGCGAAACTCTCTCCGTTGCCATCTTTCGGAGGCCGGATGCCTCCCTATTGGACATTCCTTCTGATCCTCCTCCTCCTCTGCTCAAAACTGACGTGGTCCTGATTCAGTGCTTGCGCAACGGTGGTCGCGTCTTGACTCTCTGGCGAGCGTGGGCTGGCACTTTTGCCAGGGAACGCCTACGCAACAGTCGCAATTCATTGACCATTCGTACAGGTAACCTCCGTCCCAGTAGCCGTGCTGCCGACCGTCAGAGTTAGTTTTGCTGATACTCTGACAACACATAAACTAGGGCGAGGTCAATTACCTACAGTTTTCGGAGCAGTAACCCTAAATTTGAAGTCGACCTTGACGTACCGCATGGTCGCGCAGGAAGACGATCGACGGACGCGCGTTTGGCCGACGCAAATCCAGCGACACCTCCTCATTTCCAACTATCCAAAGGGCGACACGGCCCATCCGGAGATTCCAGCGGCCTGTCACCGCACGTGTCTCGCACAAACTACAGCCACGACTTCAGACTCACCGACGCTCGGTCCGGCGGACGATCCAAGCCCGCCGGACCTTTCTCTGCCCAATGCCATTCCTCGGTGTTGTCCGCGGTATGAGGAAGGCGTGGTTGACTTCCCTTGGACGGATACTTTTCCCCTGACGATGACGGCACTATCACCGAGACCACCTTTGGCCTCACGAGCTGTCCAAGTCACCACCTCTCCGTCATCACTCGATGGCGGCACATGCAAACGATCAACCTCGCGTGGAAGTCTTGCAATGTCTCTCGAGCCAAGACTTGCCGTCGACAGGTCGCGAAAGTCACCGGCGGGTGATCCAGTCGCTGGCCTGGGCGAGACGGCCTCACATCAAAGATGCACGGATGTACCCGGCGCAATGCGGCTCATTTTGACGGCGTTTCCGCTGCGGCGGCGGCGGCAGCAGCAGCAGCAGCAGCATGGGCACAAAAGGCTCCCTTGACACGGTTCGCATATCCATCGGCTGCTAATCACTTCGGCTGATGTGATTCCATGGACAATCTAAGAGTCAAGTCTATCCCAGACTCGACTTCAGCTTCATGAACCGCGACATGCTGTGTGTGGCGTATTGATTGACAGCCACCCGTCGATGCCAAGACCGAGCGAATCGCTTCCACCTGCAGGCTTCCCTTGGGACTGATTCGCAATGAAGTTAAGAGACTGACATGAGGGCCAAGGTTTCAGTGAACCTGTAGACATGTTGGTGCAGCGAGCGGCTGTAGGTTGAGAGCGCCGCAGCCGATGCTCATTTCGTTGGACGTGTATCCGCATGTCGAGTGTGTCAAAGTGGCCCAACCAGGCATCGTGTCCAACATGCCGTGCAGCCAAGGTAAGGAGACGCGTCCAGGGTCGATTTCGGAGATGTGTGTACAGACACCCTTGGTGGCATCATCTTAGCACCTGACGGGTCAGCTATTCCATAATTTCGGTTCGGCTTCGCTCCCAAGATTTGGGTTCGGCATTTCGGAATCATTTAGTCGCCTCACTCATGTGCGGGGGGTTGATGGGAGATGAGAATAGAACGAGCCAAAGTTACCGGCCACAGCGGAGTATTCTAGCTTCCTTTCCAGAACGCGCCGTGGTGAAATGAGCCCCTCGGTTACTGGAAATTATGGTCGAATATCATGAGAAACGATCGGCGAGTCTCTCCCCATAGGCATGTGCTGCAAACGCAGGCCAGACCCAAAGGGTCGCATACTCGAATGGGAGATTGTAGATCGACTCCTCTTTTTTTTATTTTACCAGCATCGAGTCGGACCGGCCTCCGTCGACTACGTCGAGATTGTGTCTTGTGACCGAGATGCGCTGCGTCCTTGACGCAAGTTGGCGTGAAATGCGCCCCCGATGTTTGTCTGCGGCGTGGATGCGCAAGCAACATGCAATCAAGCAAACATGCAATTTCAACCGGGGGGGAAGGCTCATTCGCCATTCTCATTGCAACCCAATGCTACTCTTCTCCCTCTCTTCTCCCTCTCTTCTCTCTTTCGTCTCGCCCTTCCTTCTTCGCCCTCTCGGGCCCTTCCTCTCTCCCTTTTCCACTCATGACCTGAACAGACTCTATCCAGTTTGACGGCAATATCTAAGTGAGCCTAAAGGATGTGTTCACGGATGAGGAGGTGGACATGGCCGGGCCACGGACGAAGGAGGGGAGCGAATCGGAGGGTGTGCCAGAAACGGGAAACCCGCCGGCGCCCGCCGTCGGCCCGCTTGACGGGGCGGCCCATTCAATTTACCATTGATTGGGTTATCCTGATTGCCGTTGGCAGACTTATGACCTAGTACTGTACGTGCGTTTGCTTAGAACTGCAGAGGAGAACGCGGCGGCAGCCATGCCCATCGCAAATGCAAGCCCTCTCTGGAAATAGTCCACTCTTCCAACTTCTGGTTCTCTTCATTAGCGATAAGCAAGATGACCCGAGATGCGCGGCTGCCTGATCAAACTCGCGCAACAACTAATGTGACAAACGAGCGATTTCGTTGGCGGCACAGCATATGCCACACGTCGAATTTCGCATCGGCAAAGGTCGATAACGAAGTAACGTCCGCTGCCCGTGTTCTTCCTCGCTTCGAGCTCATACTCGTCCTGTTCTTGAGACAACCAAGACCAATTGCGCCCGTCGAGCCGGTGAGCCGGCGAGCAGTAGAAGGCAAACATTGTCCAAAGGCCATGCCATGACGCTATTTTTGTGCAGTATGGAATCTTGTAGCCCTGGGAAGAGGGATGCCCCGAGGATACCGCGGCGCCACTGGCCATCAACGTTGTTCCTCCCGCCTCCCCCTGACGCAGGCTTCATGTAGATATCCAGGGTTATCGACCGGATATCTGACGGATGGGAGGGGTTCAAAGCCGCCTCGAGGCGGATCAATCTCTTCGGGAGGAGAAAAGGTCGGAATCACAAGATCTCTACGAGCGGGCCTGGGGGAGGGCGGGCTGCGGACCAGGCACCGCAAACCATCCATCCCACCAGGGGGACGAGCCTCCAAGGGTCCCATGGGTATCGACGGGCGATCCCTGGACCGTCCTGCGCCTCTCATTCGCGAGCCGTGACCGAGATCCAGGAAAAACTCTTGCTCAGATGCATATCTCCTGCTCCGAGCTGTTTGTTTCGCCTTGGGAGGACGCCCTGACCAACCCTTGTTTTAATGTTGGTCGCAATGTAAACCACACCTGTCCGCCAAAAGAGTGGACTTGATATCCCTCAGTGTTGGCGAGGACCAGCATCGCCAACGTTTGTTTGCGATCTTGCTCCAACAAGAAAGACCAGGGTTCGCGGAGCGCCAATGCGTGTCCATCTTAGCCAGCACCGAAGGAGGGGGGGCTGCGCCTAATTCACATCGCCTCGTCCGCCTCTCACGGCCGAGCGCCTAGACATAGGTCTTGGACATGATCGGAAATATGACAAGAATTCCGGCAGAATGGTTCGCTCATCACGTTCGTCACACTTATCACACCTACGCGATGCCCTCATGGTGGTGTAATCTCCCTTTCCCGCTCACCGATACACTCGTAAGCACGTCGCTCTAGGCACGACCCTGACGTTTCAAGCAGTTGCCGATAATGGGTGAATGAAGTGGATCAAACTGCGTTGAATTTGCGAAGGGTATCTGGCTGGATTGTAAGACGGAAAGGGAAGAGATTGAAGGATGTGCGTGATTTCAATTAGTTATGCAGGTTGCATGCCACCATCCTCCTTATGTTCCGTCAAGTTGGTGTATGACCAATACTGGAGAGACATTAGGAATTTCCCGGTCGCTGATTTCTTCAGAAGACCAGGCGCGGAAGAAGCAAGCCGTTGGTGATGGGAGGTGTTCTGAACACATCTCGAAACCATCATGAATGGGCAGCTATACGAGAGCAAGGCCAACAGGATAGCCGCCGCCGTGATGTCTCAGGTAACGATCGTCCTCTCGAGTTACCTCGTGTGCTATATGCGGAGTCAAACCCAAGTCGACAAAGAGGGGACGAGGAACCATGAACGAGTTCCGATCATGCCCGACGATGAAGGCCAGGCCTATCTAGGTTGATAGCGTATAACCTGGGAGCAAGCATGCCGTCGATGAGCAGATGGTATGGGGAGGACCACAAGACCAGCTCTATCTTCTTGCACAAACCCGGGTATGCCCCTCTTGCATGCGCACATCCTCTCACACGCAGGCCCTGGAAGTCGGAAACCGTAAGCGTCATCTGGTTCCAGGATCCGGGCAGCCAGGAGCACCCAAGCTCCCGATCACAAGAGGATTGAGAATGACGCTACCCCCTTGTAACGCCGGTGACCCTCTTAACCAGGATCTTAGCATCCATCCATTCTTGCTTTTTCCTCATGCCACTGGACATGAACGACCTCCTCCACTTCTTCCCTCTCTCGCATGACACCAGTGCAGGACGGCGCCATTTAGCCAAGGCTTCCTCGCTGCAATGCCCCGCCCAGAGCAACATCTAGCCTGGGCTGTGGTCCTTCGATCTGCAACTGCAAGGGCAGTCCTGCATGGCCGGTGAGCCAGAAGTTCTTGCGGCAGGGCGCTTGAGCTAATATCTTTCGTCTACAGAACCAACAGGAATTCGCGTCTGCACACCAACGCGGAGACAGAACACTGATCCTGGTATGCGGTGTTTGCGTTGCGCTTTTGCTCGACATGGCACCGCAACATGATGCCGGGGCGAAAAGACGATGACAATGGCCGGTGGGCTCGCCTGCAGAGAGTTATGGAAAGGGGTTCGAGGCCAATGAACAAAACCCTGTCGGGGTTCATTGTCCAGTCCAAAGGATTCAAAGAGGTAGGTGAATCGTGCCCAAAATGCATCATCTGCAAGTTGTAAAAACCCTCCCCTTGTCACATCTGCTGGCATTGCTGCGCGTGCTCGTCTTGTCGCTCTTGTTGGAGTGGAGTACAGGGCATGATTCCGACCCTTGCTCGATCTGCTTTTCTCCTCACCTCTAGATGACGCTTGTCCCGATACCAGCGTTCATCCTTTATGCAAGAATCCAGGGACCTGGGCTAGCCACTGTATAAGAGCTCGTGTATCGGAGCTCAGCCCGTCTCCTCCGTCCTCTCATCTATGTAAGATATCCTTCCATACTTTCTTGCCTGACACCTTGCCTTACCTTCTTCCGTAAAGAAACCCCACACCAATCGTGAGTAAGGTTCTCGAACATCTGCTGAGTGATGTTGTCTGACACACACCAGGGTACCCAAAGCCTCGATACAACCACACGGCTACCGTCTAGAAGGTCTTGGAATCCCTTCAAACTCTTCATAATGGCCATCACATTCGAAGAGAGATTTGCCCGGACGCAAGGGGCTCGCATGGCTGCTACAACCGCGGCTACTGCCTCGAACTTTTCGTCCGCCTCTATCGCCCTAACTACTACGAAGCGTCGTGCGGCTTCGTCTAGCGCCGGGCCTGCAAAGCGTCGCAAAAATTCCAACTCCTCACCCAAGAGTCGCAGCACTTCCACCCCTTCTCTGAGGCGTCGCAATTCCAACAGTCCAACCATCACGGCCCTTCTCGTTCACAGCATCCCTAGTTTTCCAGACACCAACGCTCCAACTCTGACCAGGACGTACCGTGACTTCTCACACTTCCTTCGGACCATGAATCGGGATTTACGAGAAGGCGCCCTTCTGGAAATCAAGAACACTGGGCTGGATGGAGAGGAAAGGTGGCGCCATCAGCACTACAATCCACTATATGCCACCGAATCCTGCAAAATTGCCTTTCTCATCCAAGCTGAAAAAAAGTGCAAGGAGAAGACGACTCAGGACGCGGAGGGAGAGGGAAAGAGCAAGAGCGGAGGCGAAGAGCCCGAGACGCGAGATTATGCATGCTACCGCTGCTACACCCTCCAACCCGAACCATCCTTCGAAGACAAGCCATCCCATGTTGTCGTATCCTCCTGTGGGCGTCTCAGCATGCACGACGGAGCCAGAGATCTGCCGGCGATCCGCCAGGGAGAACGTCTTCTCCGCCGATACTGCATAGAGTGCGGCATCAGGGATGGCTTGTATCCGAACAGGGCCCTGATCACTTCGATGTCTGGTGACAAGTGGTGGTTGTGCGAGTGCCGGAACTTACATTGGGTATCCCCCAATGAGCCTTACATTGAGTGCAAACGTTGCCTCGGGAAAAGTGGCTTCAGGGCGTTGGCCCCGGAGAGAGTGGGTTCTGCCTTAGGCGGCCGTTCTCCCTAGGGGTGGTGTCATGCGGCCCCATAGTGACTCGAGCTAAAGGGAGCTCGTTGTGGAAAGAAATGTCAGGAGGTGAGATTGATAAACGCTTGGGGGTGGATTCTTAATGGGAGGGTTTCGTTGTTGGCAACACAGGTCATTTGGCGTTAAGGTTTCCGGAAGAAGCTCGTGTGCCGTGTGGTCCTGAGGTTTCATGGGAAGAACAATCCATGTGTTCACATGCAACACCAGACGGCCTCAGAAGGATTCGGTGGTGAACCAAAGGGAGAAAATATCACTGCAGTGGGCAACGGAGAGGTGGGAATAAGGGATGTAATACTATGGGCTAGGAGGTATCACTTTCGAACGTGAGCAATTGTATTTGAACTGATGTAGTATTTCTATCGAATTGACGACCATTCGTCGCTCTTTTTCATTGAATCCAGCGTCTTATTTCTGTTTACAAAGCTGCCCCTAATCATTCTTCATCTCAATCGTACCCCTTGTCTTTGTCTATCCGGATCTTTCGAACTTGTATGTCATCTCTAATAATCTGCAAAATGAGGCAGCCCCTGATCGTGCCATTTGGTGTAGTCGCTTGAGTACAACCTGTCTAGTTGTATCCGGAACGTCCCTTTGGCGCAACGTCATAGTCGCGAGTTCGGTTGTATCCGCTGCGGCCCAGGGGGACCTCTCGTTGCCTCTCACTGCTTGATGTCTTGACGTAGCGAGAGCCTTCGTTGAGCCTCTCAGTGGCATCTCTGTGCCTCGACTGGCCGGAGCTTGTGTTTCTCTGTATATTTGAGCGTCTGGAGTCCATTGTGTCTTTTTTCTATTCTCAGAGTTAGAATAGTCTCGCATCGCAGGATAACCGAGCCTACCTAATACAAACGTCGTGTTGTTGATGTGGGTTCGTTTCTGGGCAAGCAGTATCGCTTCTGAGGTTATTGATGAGGGTGTTTGATGGTTGGAGATGGTTAGAACTTGATGAGGTGTAGATGAGCAAGAGGGCGGCAGCTGGTATTCTTATGTGTAGTTGCGAAGAGGGGAGTGAGTCATTTTCGCAAGGACAGTGAGCTTTTCCTGAGCATGTAACATCCAAAGAAAGTGAGGCTCGTCCGCGGAAAGGCAACCGGGACGCCCATAGCAGGCATGTTTCCTCCGGGGGGTTGCACCCTGAAGAGAGTTCGGGGCACAGAAGCATGAGCGTAGATGGCATAGTTGCCATCCCATCGCGGCCTATGACGAAAGAAGTGCCGAAAGAAGGATGGTCGTACTCAGTGAAGACAGAGGAAAGCTTACTTCTGCATTGAACAGCCACTCGGCATGTGTCACGCATGTGGATATGCTTCTCTATAGGGCTCGGCCGAGGACTCATCTTTCGTCTGAAATAGGGTGCCGACCGCTTGCTTCCCAGCTAATATCAGACTTGCCGACTACATTTAGAAATCGGGCATGGAAGCCGAGCAGGGCGATGACGGATGAGAAGGAGGCTTGAGCCTGACGATCCATTTCCGGCTTTAGGACGGGTGAAGTATAATCCCCTGTGCACATAAGAGAGAATGGCACATGGGATCATGAGCAAGCTGCTGATGAACCAAAAGTATCCAACAGGAAGCTGAACCTTGAACTCGGAAATCTTCCCTAGAGGGCAGCAAGAAAGAAACACAAAGCCTGATCTATTGCTTGCTACTTAAGGAACGAAGCTCGGGCTTTGGGCAGGGCGACCCATGATAGCGGCCCACGGCACGCGGGGCCGGGGGACGGGAAGCCCTTTGCCGATCTGCAACCTATTCTGAAGCTCGGATCGTTTTCCGTCGATGGAGACCTGCGCATTTTGCCTGCCGGTGCGGGTGGGTTTTCCTGTTTGCAAGTCCAGAGTATCCGGGTCAACAACGTTCGGAAGAGGAAACTTAGGTGAATGGACCGAAGAGGCGTCTCATCAGGTTTGGGATATGCAGTGCAAGGGAATTAAGATGCTACCGAAGCTGAGAGTTAGAAAAGTGGGCGCAAGGGTCCGAGTCGCTTCACTGGCTACCGGCACCGAGTCTCACTCCACAGGTTTAGTCTCACCGACGGAGTACGTACCTCCAGAGACGCATTGTTTAAGTTTCTACCCTTTTCTTCCTACTTGCCCTAACATGACCGATCCTTACGCTGCATCCTGCATGCATCATGGACTACCCTAGACGGAGCAGGATCCTGTTGGATTGACATCAACCTTACGACATTAGCAAGATAAGCTTATCTCGGCGATTTGGAAGTCTCAGTCGGCATCACACTTTATCTACCATTGTCCAGATATGCTTCAACTGTGGAAGAAATTTTCATCGTACACGATGCGTCATCCAGTAAGCTACTATGCTCGATACAAGACATGCACGGCGTTGTAATATGGCTTACCCAGTCCGTAATTACTGCATCGACATTGCCTCAGCATGAGCCAGTGCTCCATAGCTGCGCGACATCAAGTGTCTCCTGCGTCCCTGCAGAAATGAAAGACTTGTTTTCGACAGAAAGCCTTGCTTAAGCTCAGGGGCCTTGAAGTCAAAGCACACAGTGTTGTCTCAACAACTCGTGGCAGACTCGGCTGCATCCACATCTTACTACCACCGATTAACTAACTCCCCGAAGAACACGCATTCGGACATGATGGATTTCGGAGGAGAGTGACAACTTGCGTCGGATCTCGGCCTTTTTGGCAGTTTACGGCTCGCTCCGTTCATGTCTCTTCCGGTACCACGAGCCACAGCAACAAGGACGAAATCCTACCAGTTCATGATGTAAGTCACTAGGACCGTACCATATGCCGAAGATTAGTAACGGCGTAAATCAGGCAATGGCCATACTTTGCTGATGTTTCCTCTGAAGCCAGTAAAATGAGCGGTAATTACCTGTCAAAATGTTTCTCAGTGCCACGAGGCTTGGCTTTTCTGCTCAGGCAAAGTTGAGCCATGGACCGAGCGCTGCTGGGTTTTGTTTGAAACGGCTGCAGCGCCCGATTTGTTGAGGAAGCCTTGGGAGCCCGCGACGCCTCGACAACGCCCGGGCCACTGACGATGGACGAACAGTTGCATTCTGCGGCTATGTAGCGCCAAACCATCTTCCGGTTTCCAGACACAAAGTCGGTGCTGTGCATAATCCATGTGGGCTTCACATCTGTTGGAATTTGCTTGACAATTATGTCCTGAATGTTGATCCATCCACGGCTTGGACCGATTGCTCATCCAGGAGAAGGACATAGCATGTGCTTCTGGATCGAGACTAGGCCCGATTTGACGTGTCTGAAATTGGTTCCCAAAGTGGCAGGGCAGAGACTGACTGGAACCTATTCGAGCGAACAAGAAAAGCAGACATCATCGTAGTAGGACTGCTGGCCCTCATGACCAATGCCTGCTAGTTTGGCTGTCACCTCCGTTACAACATCCTGACTTGTATCTTGCGATGAACAAATTATCTCTACCGGCCCCTCTGTTTTCTTTTTCTTTCGCATCATATGAACTTTAGGCAGAACACGAAGGCTGATCAGGCAGGCAGGCAAAAGATGCAGAGCGATGATAACAACATGAAACCCACAAACCTCAAAGAAACAAGGCAAGTGAGACAAGAAGCTCAGGGGACAAAAGCAATGAATCCGCGTCTATTCTCTACGGCTCATGAAGCCCATTGCATTCTTTTCTATAAATCGATGGCCCAACCCGTTTGTTTTGGCACGCATGGTCTTGCGTCTCAGAAAGAGAAGCAAGAGTTCCTGAACGTAGGATCCTCTGCCTGTACCATTAATTTAGTCACTGATATATTTGTGATCCTGCGTTCCATCGTACAAGACGACTGTTCTCTCAATGTTCAATCTTAGCTACCATTATTAAGACTCCTTCAAACTTGTTTCATATCTTGACTCAATGAAGCAATGTCAAGTTGTTTGCCACTGTGAAACTTCCCAACAAACTTGAAGAAGGCTCACCCAGCCGATGGCTTTGTGCCTTCCCAATGTTGCAAATCTCTTGCAAGTACCTCCTTCAGGAAAGAGAGATTTATTCTTTCCTTTGTTTCTTGTCGTGTTTTCATTATCGATTGAGTTGTATCTTGAACACGAAACCCGAACAAGGAGACGAAGTAAGCCTGCCTTGACGTTCATGCTTATATATAGATGCATCCAATATTGGACTTACCTGCACTTCACCGTCAAGTTCTCGCAAATCTTCATCCACTTGAGCGATAGAAAGACACAACTCTTTGCCAATCTTTAGGCCAAAATTGATTTGAAAGCCGGGATGTCCAGCTTTAGACTCTAGCGGGGAAGTGCTCAATATCAGGTGTAAGATCTAGCTTGAAATAACTAAGTGAATACTATAGTGTATTCACGACGAAGCAAGTCTATTTGAATCCAAGTCAGCTCGAACCATGTCTGTATATTTACCAACTTCAAACCTCATAAAACCCACTTCCCAGCCAAGTCCGAGCCTTTTGACATCTTTTTACTTGACAGACCTATCGCTTATTGTCTTAACGACATTGCAAAAGCTTCATCACCTTCGTGCCGTACATCTAGGTAAGTGGCTATTTGACGGCTTACTTTACGGGTTTGAGGCCCGGACCAGCCCTCGTCTTTTGGAGGGAGCAGCCAAAGCAAAACCAGAAGGATGCTGACAAGTAATGTGTGAAAACAAACAGATAGCTACCAGTGCCCTTGGATACTGTTATTGCAGACACGCTCGGGGGCTCTTGCCAAAGAGAAACAGCCAGGTAGGCTGCTCACTTGAAGTCCCGTCCGTCCTTCCGAAAGTTCACCCTGGAAACTCCATGGAAATCGCGATAATGTCTGGCTCTATGATCCTAACCACTAGCCCCGCTCAGGGAAGCTCCTTCCCCCAAGCTAAGGTGACTTCAACCTTGACTTTGTCTGGACTGCTGGCCACGCAGCTTCAAGTTACTAGCAACCACCCTGGAAGCCAGGACGATCTCCACGTCGGCGTTGATGTACCGGCTTCAAATACTCGGATTAAGTCTATGGGCCTTGATAGTTTGCTCGATGTTGAGCCCAAGACAGTCAACTTGATCCTCGACCTGGCTGAGCCGCTCGAGGTACGTATTATCACCCGACTACTGTACCTCAAATGGCCTGTAGCTAACTAAAGCACCAATAGCAACTCAATGACGAGTTACGCAAGTTTGGAGCGTTTATTGGTACGGAGTTACCGCCCCTTGCCATTCGAGACATCACCTGGAAGACGATTTATGTGGCTCAAGGCATTGCTGTTGGCTGCGAGCCGGACGAATTCGAGGTTTATGAGATCGATGACAACGACGACGATTGCCACGCGCTCTTGTCGCCTGACGCGACCTCCAGCAACTCGCGCTTTAACTCGGACGACTCAAATGAAGCCACTATCAACAGGTAAGCTTCCTTGTAACAAAAAGATTCTTATTAATTGCCTAACGTCAACGAGAAACAGCTTGAGAACTAACGATGATCCTGTCGCTCTTTCCATCGCTAATTTGCCCTTACTGACCACTTATGAGGATTCGCACGGCACCCAGGAGCGGTTGGTCATCTTTGCCAATGATTTTTTCGAGATCCGACGATCGCCTACTGCCGGCTGGGGTGCCTTTGCCATCAAGACGCTCTACAAAGGTGACAGGATCCTTGTCGAGAAGGCTCTGTATCATGCCGTCCACGAGAACGTCACATCCTCAGTCCAAGAGCTCCCAGATAAAGAGCGCGCGATCGCGAACGACATGTTTGCCTACCGCAGTCGCGACGGTGAGACACTCGAGGAAGCTATCTGGAGCACCAACTCGTAAGGTTCCATGTGTCCCTTGGGCTCGCTGGCTGACAAAACATACAGCTTTGTTTCCCGCCTTCCAATGAAGCCTGATGTGCACAGCGTTAACAAGGCTCGTTCAGGCCCTCTTCAAGACGTAGCCGGTCTCTTCCCAGTTGCAGGTCGCTTCAACCACTCCTGCTTCCCGAAAGTCAAGTTCCAGTTTCGACCCGAGCACGAGGCGCTAATTTTCACCGTCCGTGACTGGATCATCGAGACGGGTGACGAGCTGACGATTTCCTACGGCAAAGATCCTTCCGTACTGTACTACAAGTACGGCTTCAGCTGCAAGTGTGGCCATTGCAGAGGTTTTGATGCAATGAAATCTGAATGGTACTAGAACATCGTTTAGGGAGAGAGACTGAGCGGTTGAGAGAGCAAACGAGGAACAATCGGAGGGCGCATCTGCATATATTACGATGGGACTCGGTGCATAGAAAGGTTTTCAGGGGGTAAATGGTGGATTATACGAGGATGCAGGCGCAATTATTTTCAACAAGTAGGAACGATACTCTCCTCTTGGTAAACAGTAATATCTATTCAACTTGCTATAAGAGAAAAATAGTTATCAGGCTTCGCAGTCTTCAAATGCCTCTTTGACCCCTGAATGCTGCCGTACCGACTACCGCTTCCACTTCTATGAGCCAGCCTGGAACTTGACTGAATTCTTGGTGTGAAATAGCCTGCCACTCTCAAGAAACTGAATAGGGCGTATAAATTCACTTCTCGGACTTTGGTATTGCCAACTTACACTACCGCCTGCGCAAGGGCACTAAAAGATGGACTCCGACAGAGTTTCGGATGACCACTTGAAGTAAGACAATCGGCGTCTTTTCCCGGTCCAACATGGCGAAAGCCGGGATCGATTATTAGCGAGTGGATCAGCCTGACGGGTGCGGAGTGTCTCCGGCGCTCCGTTGGACACCCGAGCAGGCCGTTGCGCCGAAGCCACCAAAATAGCTAGTGACTGTGCACCACCGCTCACCGTCACCTCTTTGACGTACAACGGACTAGCGCTGATCAGCATCTGCACGCTACTACGGAACAGGGAGAGCATGCAGGCTGAACCAAAAGTTTAAGAATAGCGAAGAAATGTTACACTGCAGTAGTCATACGGAGTTTAGGTTGCCCTCACGGAACTGATGGACGGCCCGCAACCGCAAGATAACTAAAGAATACGCCACTAGACTGTACAGAATCCTTTATTAGATCTCGCTGGGAGACCTGGCCCTGATTTTTTATGCCAGCTAAAAGTTCGTGTTGCTAGGTCAAGAAACGGATGAACCTGGAGAAGTTTCTGCGAAGACACCCCACTGGCACCAGCATGCCACCTTTCCGCAATGGGGAGGGAGGTTTGAATTAGAATCAAAACCGATGACCCTTAGGCTAGGATGCATTAGGGGGAGCTTACGACTGTCCATCGGCATGAGCCTAGAGTAGGACTCTTGCCGCCTTAGCTTCTTCATCGGCCATCTCGGAACCCATGAAATCGGGGATAAACGACGACAGGGGAACAGAAAGAGAGGCGGAGCGATAACCTACGTCCCGCTAGTTCGTCGAACGGATTCACATGTACTTGCACGAGTAGAGGAGATCAACCTCACCGGGGTCCCGCAACGTTTGAATCATATTCATGCCTAGCAACAGTGAAATTGATCCAATTAACTGCGAGTTTCTCCATTATTTAGATCGTGCTGCGATGGCATAATTGTGAGGCAACTCATTATGCGCCTTTTGTTACATGTTGGACGACAAGCCATCAGAATTAATTAGATCTTCCTTCCTGGTAGAATGATAGACCTCCTGTTTCCTTATCGGCTTACTGGAAAGTCAGACTGCGTTGTGTCAAGTTGTATCGGTGGCTTGTGTGTATGCGCATTGATATGGAGAAGCAGCGCTAGTCTAGTGTAAGGTAGATCTTAACCAAGCTTTCGCATTTTTGGCCACGTTTTCCGACCCGACTTGCCTGGTTTAGACTTTCGGCCCTTTTCGACTGCTTGCTGGTCCGGGAACTAACACCACACAGCCGTTCGTTAACCAATGGCATCGTGACACTCTGACGGCAGCCCTTCCGAGGCAGAACGAGTTGACACCAAACCGCGGCCTGTATTAGACAAACCTGAGCTATCTGAGCTAGCAACAGCCTGTGAAGATATCCGTCAGTCACTGATTAATAGGACTGTGTATTCTAGATACTCGTACTACACACAGTCTAAATTGGCCCTATCTCTGTGTTCACGCTGTTGAAGAGCCATCTTGTCCGGGCGGCACCCATTTGCTCAGATGTTCGGTTCTGTAGGGATCTTCGGCGGTGGTGTCCATGCAGCCAGTGTCCGGCCATGTTGTTGTCCATCATCAGGGTCACGGAATGCTCCAAATGCACTTCTGTTTGTCTTCGGTCTCTTTAGTATGTCAACAAGTACTTTGAACCTTCATCGTCAAAGCGACGAAAAACACGAGCGACGAAGAATACGAGGTCGTGAGAAGCCAGCTCAGTACGTGTCATAGCAGCAGCCATAGTTGAACTGGTCTCGGTCGCGATCCAGTAATATCTCAAGCCACGTAGCCATGGAAATGTGAAAAACGAATTGCTATAAAGAGTTCTATAGATCCGGGTCGTCAAGCAACTTCCTAATACTCATCAACAGCTCTCTCATTCTCATCATTCACACTCTCTCACTTCCATCAAAATCACATTCGTTAGACTCCATTACCTTCTTACAAGTAGTCAAAATGTACCTCTCTACCACTGCCGTTCTCGCCATTGCTGCCAGCATGGTGGCCGCCAATCCCATCGACGTCCGCGCCGCAAATGTGGTCGACAACGTCTCTGGCCTCTACGACCAGATTCGCGGGCACACTGCTGTCATCAACAGCACTGTCGCCGGGATCAACTCCAAGTCCACTTCTTCTCAGAAAGCCACCGCCAAGGCTCTCATCTCTACCCAAACCAACAACATCATCGCCGCCATTGAAGCCGCTAAGTCGGGCGCCGCTGGCGGCCAGGGGCTTCAGCTGTCTGCGGGCAACCAGCAGCAGATCATCAACGACATGAGCCAGATCGTCTTTGAGCTCCAAGGTGCCTATGGCGGAATCAACAAGCAGTTTGGTGACTGTAAGTACTGACTCGTCTGATACGTTGCACACCATGTTCCACTTACTGACTTGGAATTTAGCGTACGGCAACGGTCTTTTGCTCAACGTTTTTGGTCCTCTTAACGGACTCCTTCAGGATCTCGGTGGTATAGTCGTTGGCCTTGTCTCCATCGTCGGTGGCGTTGTCGCTGGTGTGTTTGGTGCTGTCGGGGGTGTTCTTGGCCTGTTGCTCCAAATCCTTTTCGGCTTTTCTACTCCCTTTGGCCACTAATTCAACATTGTCATTGTAACAGCAAGTGGAAAAGCTTCTGTTACTAACGTCTGCAACATGACATGGCTTTCTGCTCTGCTTAGCACGTCAACAACCTATACTGTTCTTTTCTTATCCATAGAAAAAATATTTTGAAGATTAATATAATACTACATACGCTAGTGCACCATTTACGTTTAACAATCTGAGCCTTCTTGTCGGGAGTAGAGACGGATTATGAGCAGATTTTCTCCCTGCCATGACGCTCTTCATCCCGAACTAAAGATAACTCAACGGAAGTGCACAGCCTCTGAGCTAATGAGGGAGGCAAAAGTTCGAGTAAGAGATAGCTGGTATTGAATTTGCCCTCTAAGCATTATGATGCTCAATAGAGCATGTGGCATCACACCGAACGCAATCTCTAGACTGTGCCACTCGTAGCGTGAGCCTTACAACCTACAAGGGCAAAATATCTAGTCGTTATCGTAGTTAATCAAGTAAATCTATTTCGATACTACCTTATGACGCTGTTCCAATGCGATAGCCCTGGCTGGGACAATGAACTTAACCTCAAGGACGATGCTAGAGTCATGGTACGTTCAGCAATGTCAACGTCAGAATGGCTAGTATTAGTCGGGCCACGTAAAGACTTGTAGAATCATGGCGTTGCGGGAACCCGAATTGCCTCATGTATTGTAATTCTCAACTTTGTCTCGCTCCTTCGCCGACTAATCAAGCAACGCCGCCGAGGTCAGATGGGACCAAAATGGGCGGCAGACTCAGATACCCAGTCATCGCTGTTTGTATTTCCTCTTCGAAGATATATTTGGAAAGAAGGGAGAATGCCACATTCCAAAGCTCTCACCCAGCCTCTTGCGTCTTGTCACATAGCGGTATTCTACATACACAACATAGAGAATTTGTTTGTCCATTGCACCTTTTACTCCGCTGTTTGCTGTGTTGCAAGTAGAGAGGATTTGAAAATGCGTCATGATCGGCGCAGTCTTGGTGAAAGTCAAACGCCAAGAAACATCCGTAGTGAATTGGTCCATACCGAAGTCTAAATCCACACGGCGCCACGCCCGAACTGCCCTGGAGCGTCTCGTTTACCCTCGCTACTCACCTCTAACTCGGCAAAAGTAGACTGCACTTTCCACGCACGACTCGTCGGGGATGAAACTGACATAACCTGGAAAGGGACGAATGGACCTTCATTCAACCTCAAGATCATCAAGCTGGAAGTCTCGTATACGTCATTCTTATTTTACAAACTAGGATAGCCAAGGGCCTGAGAGTGACCATTAATACACATATCATGGCCCACTCACACGCACCATGCAAATTAAGCCGCACACTCAGCCAAATCCCCTTCCCTTAGTGCATCAAGCAAAACCCTTGCCGTATCCCGGTCTGCACGCTCCTCGCCCGGCCCATTCGTTAGCTCGTTCCACGCCGACTCGATCCATCCCGCAGGCCCATCATGCCCGGGCATCCCGTCAAAATACATTCCGTCAAAGTCTTCATCCACGATACCCGGCTGCTCATCCAGAGGAAACGCCGCCAGGACCTCGGCTGCCAGACCGTCGATACCTTCTGACGGTGGACGGTCTGCCATGTCCACGTCCCCGCCAGCACTGCTTCCGACGGTGGCTTGGTACTCTGGTTCGGCGGTCCGGGGGGATGTATCGTCTGTCACGCTGTCTTGGCTAGCCCCTCCCGCCGAGGATGGCGAGGTGGTGTCCTCATCAGTTTGAAGGACCTTTACCGTCCCCGGCTGCATGCGGAAGAGGTTGACACGCATCGCCGCGGCATCAAAGTCTGTCAGCGACTCCGCGTTTCCGGACAAGGCCACACTCATGTTTCTGCTATCCTCTCGTTTTCGCTCGAGAAGGGCTTTGAGTGGATTGAAGCCCTCCGTGAAGAGTCCCCGGAGACTGACGGGAAAGTCTCCGTCTTCGGGAAGACGTCCTTTGCTCAAAGACAGGTCCATGGTGAGTGCGAGGCGAAGGTATGAGCTTGGCTGGGAGGCGAGAATGTCGGTCCAGTCTGCGATAACAGCGCTACCGTCGGTGTTCCTGGATTCTCCCGGCGGCGGTGAATCAATTTGTGCAAGGTTGACAATGTGCCGGATCGTTTCGCTGACCCAATCAACGCCATCGTACTGTGGCTGATAGGTCTTCATGGCCTCAATGAGAATATTGAGACGGTGTTGTTTGAGTGCTGACTGCGTGTTCGGGTCGAAGGATCTCGATGATGCTGACAGCTTGACGTCAAGGATATGCAAGACTAACGGCAAAGCAGTACAGGCGACGGCACTGATCGGCAACCAGCGAGCGAGGCGGAGATGAATAAGTTCCTTGAGACACTCGGTAACCCCTGATGCGGCGTCTTGAAGTTCGTGTCGATTCTCTCCAATGATAACTAGGTCCGATGTAGGGATCGCGTTGAAAGACGGTGCAGCGGCAGTGATAGCGAGGTGGAGAACCTCGTGGTGGCTCAGGACGACTCGAGACGAGCTGAAAATGTTAGTATCCATTTACAAGCCTGAACAAAGCGTAACTTACTGATAATACATGTACATCAAGTTGGTGTACAAGATCACCGAGTCATGCTGGAACTCATTCCCGGGAGACTTCACCCTCGCAACAGAGCCGCCTCCGAACATAGGAAATCGCAGCGCCACGCCCTTGTGCCACCTCTGTAACGCAGCCTTACAACCACGGACTTTATCCTGCTCCTCGGCGCGCATCTCCCGGCCCCAACCTGGTCGATCATCCAGTGGAAATACCAAAATTAGTATATCGGTGAGTACAACACACAGCTCAACCAACTGCTCCAAGATCTCAGCCAAGCACCGCTTCGTACCTGGGTTGTACACCCGACTCCGCTCAAGCTCATCAGATAAGTCTGAAAACCCTAGTGCCTCGTTCGAGTCAAAGTTGAAGTGACTCCGGGTAATCTGCAAACTACGACGCAAGCCCAGACCAATGATGCGGTCACGTATAATGCAGCACCACCAGAGCCGCTTGAGGAGGTTGCGTTTCTTCGGGGGCGCTGTACGGGTGGCGTAGTGGTGCGCCTCGACCATCTTGGCGTTCTGGATCGCAATGGAAAGCCATGCAGTATTTGACTTGCGGAAGATTGGAGATGTGGGAGAAGACCAGAAAGAAAGTAGGAGAGCCGCTTGTGAGATGGCGAGAGGAGAAGACTCGGACTCGAGGTCGTAGAGGAGCTTCGCGCGTCGGTAGAAGGCTGCCCGTGCAGCGCGGATGCTAGAAAAGCCCAAGGTCTTGATGGTCTGTCGGGAAACGAACTATAGGTCGCGTCAATAAGATGAAACCAGCCATTCGTGGGTGGGCACTTACATTACAAGAAGAGAACAGCATCGCTTGAAAGACAAGCAGCGACAACTTGTCGGTAGGTACGTAGCTGTTGGGGTTTACGCAATACACATCCCAGAAGTCGCCCTCATTAAGCATGGGAAGCAACGGGTGGACGTGTAGGAAGTACTGCTGTACAAACTCATCGAGTATAGTGCGCGTGGGTACCCGCAAACACCCTTGGAGCTCCAAGTAATTGACGTCTTGAGGCGGGATTCCGTGCAGATTACCTAGAGCGAGAAACGGATAAAACGAGTATGTGACGTCTATGCCTAAGCTGTCTTGATGACTAGTGGCCCATGACGTCGTAAACGTCGGGTTGTTCGACAGTAAAGGAGCGGAAGAAATTGCTTCGCGAGCCCCCGTTGACGTTGTCGAGGACCTTTGAAAATGAGTCGGTTTGGCATGGCCTTGGTGATGGTTGTTTGTGTTGTTTACGGTTGGACTTTTTGTCCCCACGGTGGCTGTGGGTGTTGGGATGGCGTCGCCGTGTGAATGATCGCAAGCTTGGGGTTGACTGTCAGACTCGTTGGAGAGTATCGGTCGGGGATCGTCGCTTGATGGCGCAATGGGGTTGACAATATGGAGCTGCTCTCCGTCGTCGGCGTTGCATGGAGGGTACGATGTCGGCGCGTTGTCGACGCCATCTCGCTGCTGTGCTCTGCGACTATAGACAGTTAGCTTCTCTATGATGACTGTAAAGGGAATGCGAGAACTCACAATCTAGACGCGCGTCCAGTAACGACACACGTCTCACTGTCTAGATAGCAATTCATGCACGGGCGGCCGCGCTGAGATACGTCGCATCTCACTTTGCGAGCGCGACATGACAAGCAGGCCTTGGGGGCGCGCTTGCGGACCTTGTTCTGGGGTTTTGTCTTGGGTGCTTCTGGAGCTGCACTCTCAGCGGATGCCATTATCGAGGGGTCGAAGCCGGAGATAAGACACTGTTCACTTGTGGTCTGCAGGGATAGCAAATTGGACCGAGGTGAAGCTCGTGGACGGAGACTGAGGACGGGACAAGATGACGCGAAGGAAGTTGAAAAAGTTGAGAACCCCAAATTCAGGAGTGACCGAAGGCGGGAACACGGGAACGCTTTGCGGGGTGTGGGGAAGAGGGGAAAGACTGCATCTATTCTGGAGCTTTTCTGGAGCCGTTGACGATCAATTGACGCTAGGCGTCTGAGAAGAGACAGTGCTGTGGACACCACACGGGGTTGGCGTCTTGCGGCGCCAGAGCTTCAACCAGGGGGAAGCTGTTTGTCATCCATGAGCATCGTACGTCCGCCTCGGAATGGTCGGAATCGGGGTCTGCCTCTCCCATTCCCTTACTCGTCCGGACTGTCTTCATGGCAAAACACTAACAACATGTAGTCAATTGAAATGCTTTGACGTACGGGTAGCGCTCAACCCTGTTGGTAGTAGTACTATTCCGTACACATGTAGGCTAATCAGCGAAAAGTGCCGAGGCACACTGCAAGTGGATGGTCGATGTTGACATAGCCAGTCAGAGTCAGCAACTCAGCAATCTGTCTGCCGAGGAACTCTGCCGAGTCTCTACGACTGCACCCCAGTAAGCTCCACAAGAGGTTGGCGTCTTGGGCCAATCAGCCATGATGAATATCCCCCCAATTGACGCTGCATGTCGAGTCATTAGCGTCATCAGCAACGGTGACCCCAAATTTCCGGAGGATTTTCCGCTCAGGAACGTCAGTGACACATGAGGGCGCGGAATTGAGGCTCACATTCCTCATACACTCATTTGCTCCAACTTTTCAAGGTCTCTGGTAGTAGGACGAGATGATGTATTGATGAGCATTTGGTTGCCGTCCATTGAGTAGGATTGAGATGGTGCTCAGTCAGCATCGGATTCAGAGGAAGAGTCTTCGCTCTCAATCGGCTTGAAGACCCAATCGCCGTCGTCTTCCCTTAACAAGCACACCTTCACGTTGCCGACGGCATCGTCCAGTCCGTTGGGGACATCCATGCCATCGCCAACTCTCACGAGAATCGACGTATCAATCCGACAGAACAGCATCGGCAACGAATCGCTCTTCCACACCGATATGCCGTCGCGAGCGCCCCTGATGATGGTGTGGAAGAGGTAGTAGATGCTGACGATGATCAGGGCTGTAGGAAACAGCAGCCATTTCCACTCCACAATGATCATCTGCGCCACCTTGTACGCCCGTCCGCCATATTCATGGGGTTGGTTGCTTCGAACTTGCCCGTGGAGTCTCACCTCGTTCGTTAGACTGAGGCTAAATTGATAGATCCACGATGGAAGATTGTGTCGCGCGTTGTACATCCCTTCGATCCAGTCCGATGAAAAGTTGATGATGGTGTACTGATGCTCGTACGTCCCTTCAACTAGCGGATCCAGAAACCTCTGCAACGCTGCCAGCGCCTTCCTGGAAATGCTGTATCTGGACGTCTTCGGGACGTTCATGTCTGCTGGTATGTCGACGAAGACGTACTCATCGTCGTGCGCGCTATTGCTGGTCTCGAACTGTGTCGTGTTCCAGATGTTGGTTATTGTCTGATTGGACCGGCTCTCGGTTACTGTGATGTCGTAGCTTATCATGCAGAACCATAGCGCGCATTCCTGGCCTACCATCTCTGTTCTTTTCCTTGTTTTCAAGACCCAGAGAACGTCGAATACGGAGATGTAGGTTTGGCTCGTGGAGTTGAAGTGGTGGTAGATTCCCGACGACGAGGCCGTCCGGAACCGCTCGGTGGCCGGCGCATTGTGGCTGATGTCCACTGAAGTCCCGGAGGGCAGGCTGTACAGGCACGTCTGTGACTTGTCGGTGCACATTGTACTTACCCTCAACGAGTTGCACTCTCCACAGACAGCGAGTGTTGGTATGATGGGCCACGTGCAATTGGTGGAGGAACATTCAACGTCGAGCTCCATGATGTCGGCAGACAAGATGCCTCTATAAACGGCTGCTTTGGTTGACACGTTGAGAGAAGGAACTGGGGCACGTTAGAAACTGATTGCATCGAAGACCGTGATACCACTTACGAGGGTCCAGACCCCGGGACACCGTGTAGTCCTACAGATCGCTTCTCGGGGGTGCCGGGATGGGGGGATCATCGGGCTTTTTGTCCTCGATCGGTCGGCCCTCGTACCGGTAAAGTTGCTGGGAAGAGGCTTCGAGTCCATGAGTGAGGACCACGATCAGAGCGCCGATGCAGGCGAGATGTCTGTCAGCTCAGACGTCAGCATCAAGCTTCAACGAACACAAAGCTGCGACTGCTCACTTTCCCCTCAGCCGCCACAGAAGACACAGACTTCCCCAGAGCCCGCGCGATGCCTCGTCGTAGATCTTGAAGTCCTCCAGCCTTGCTCGCATATCGTTGGTCCGACGCTGACGTGCCTCGGATACCCAAATCCAGGCAGCTTGGCTAATGGACGACTCAACAATACCGCTCATGGCCACGCGAACGCAAGTGAACATGGCGACGATGATGACGTCGAAGTCGATGTCGCCCTTTAGCTGGGGCACCACTTTATTGTCAAACTTCTTGAAGATGATGCCTAGGGTAATGGCGCCGACAATGCAGACTGCAACCAGTCTGTACTCGTCGTTCCACCATTTATAGATGGCCTTATAGTCATGTTCGGGAAGAGGCCTCGGAGGGCCTTCCTCGTCGTCATCGTCGACAGCGCCGTCGTGTGCGACTTGGCGGAATCGCAGTTGCTTTCGGAGGTTCTGTCGAGGGCGGCCGCTGATTGCTGTGGACCGAGAAAGGCGTTTAATCATTTTGCTTTGAGGAGCAGTTTTTTTCAAAGATGATGGATTCAGAAATCGATAGGGAGGAACGTCTCCTTCAGGTAGTTGCTGCCGCCATCACAGGGAATAGAGGAAATGAAGGCTATTAAAGCGTGGATGTTGGCGGATGGCTGGAGTTGATGGATTTGGAAGAGACATCTTAGAACCCAGAGAGCTCTGTGCCTCCCCCGAAAAAGAAATCAGCATGCTCTGCAGTTCCAATGCGCCTTCCGTTTCTCATGTTCGATAACTTCAGGGTAGGGACGACCTTCGGAGTCAAGCCACACCTCCACTTACACACTTGTGTGGCTAGTGCCCGACTCCATTGAGGGGTTGTGATAAGGAACGAGGAAGGGGCCCAATAGAGACGATGACGTCGATTACCTGCCTGCATCCTGTGGCCTCTGCAGTGCGGCATCTTGAGTTCCAGCATTTGACCAAAAGAAACCCCGATCTTTTCTCTGCTCAGATCATTGTCTAGATCACAGTCTTCTCAAGGTTAATTCTTGGTCAGATGATGCATTCACTAGCAACCATCTTACTGTTTGTTCAAGGGGGCATCGCTTGGAAGCTTCCCCACTCAGCACTCGGCAACTTTGAGGCTCCTCATGGCAATCAAATACCGGTCAGCCTTATAGACGACGATGAAACCAATCCATTCGGCGCAAGTTCGTTTGCTGGACTGAGAACATTCGCGAACCTCCCGTTCATAGACTGCTTTTCCGACCAGAGCACCAAGGATCACAAGTATGACATTGCCGTATTCGGGGCCCCTCATGACACTGTTAGTACCGTAGTTCTTACTCCCAGGGTGTTTAGCCCATTTGAATGACGATGAAAGACAACCACTGGTCGCCCAGGGGCACGTTTTGGGCCACCAGCTATTCGTACGGGCAGCCAAAGGAAAAGCCTCGGGCAATGGAGCGTTTACACAGGCATGCCACTCCTCGGGAACGAGCACGTTGCGTCTTTGCCTCCTAACTCATATCAAAATAGGTCGAGACCCATTGCAAAGCTGGGCAACTGTGGTAGATTGCGGGGATGCCAGACTCACGTGGCTGGACAATACAGTGTCTTTGAAGAGACTTGACAGAGCCCATACCGTTGAAACCCCCTCGCTAGCCTACGATGAAAAATGACTGACAAATCAAAGGCAATTTCTGGTCGACCAGCAGCAAATTCGTCCGTCTCCTCCACGCCAAGAATCTTGACCCTTGGAGGAGATCATACAACGACGTTGTCTGCGCTGCGCTCAACGTATCAGAGATGGGGACCTGTCTCGGTGATTCATTTTGACAGCCACATCGGTTCGTGGTCTTTGTGAGAGAATTGAATTCAGATGCTAAGACGCCTCCATAGATACATGGGATCCCGCAGTTCTCGGTAAGCTATATCACTTATGAGATGATGGAGCTAGGCACTGACTATGCCGCTGTTCAGGAGGTGGAATATCGGACTATGCGTAAGTAAAAACCAAGGAATTGGCTGCGAAATCGTTGTCGGAGCTGACCATAGCAGAGGCCTGAACCATGGGACATTCCTCCATATTGCCCATGAAGAGGTATCAAAACCGTCGGTCGTACGAGGCACCACTAAAAAAGCTAACGGTTCTAGCATCTGATCTTGAACAACTCGATTCATGCCGGCATCCGAGCTCCCTTGATCCGACGAAAAGGTGATATAAGAAACGATGTCCGCTGCGGATTTGAAATCATCACTGCTCGCGACCTGGACAAGCTGGGATCCGAAGGAATTATATCAAAGATCAAGAAGCGCGTTGATGACTCCAAGGTTTACATCAGCGTGGACATTGATGTCCTTGACCCGGCATACGCTCCAGGTACTAATGATCAACACATAAAGGACTGATCAGAAATATGACTAATGAAGAGTAGCTACAGGGACAGCCGAGCCGGGAGGCTGGTCTACGCGGGAGCTTCTCACTATCCTCGACGGCCTCGAAGGGCTCTCCGTAGTCGGTGCAGACGTCGTTGAGGTTGCACCCGCGTATGACAACAACGGCGAGACCACTATTCTTGCTGCAGCCGAGGTTGCCTATTCTCTGATTGACCTTATGGTACTGACACCTGTTCAGTCAAAGGCAGATATTGGGGAAAATAGCTAGTCGGGATGACAATGGTCAAAGCTGCACAAAGATGGCAACTGCATGATGAACCAGTGATACGGTGTATATTGAGACAATGGTGGAACTTTCAGGTAGCCTTCAATGTTCAATTCGATGATCAAAGACCGCAGCGTGTTGTTGGTGGCCCCATCTCTTTGTGCTTCGACAACCTCCCGCCGCAACAGATCAGTGATGACAACAAAGTGGCAGTAATTGTTGTTTACTCGAAAAGCTGATCAGGTTTCTGCCACCTCAGGGGCTTTGGAAGATGGAGGATTCGGGCTCTATTCGATTTAGGCAGACACAAAGGCTCACGTGAATAATGATCAAAGGTTTAACAAATGGAGTGTGGAAACACAGCGTTTTCAAGAAAAACGGCAAGATGAAGCAATCCGTACACAAAAGATTCTCATGTCTGGTCCCGGATCAAAATTTCGTATCCCACTCTCGAGACATAAAGTTCCAGCACGAACCCACTCATTTCACTTTAGCCCACCATATTCAAGTCAACGTCTAAGACGAACACCACCAACTAAACACATTCACCATACTGAAAACAAAGCTTCTAATTAAGACGGTATTGCAAGATACATCCAAGCCAGAGGCTAGAATGGACCATTTCGACATGCCATCTCCTTCCGACGGTGCCTCTTCATCCTTGTTCAGCATTGAGGCAAATCCCCCAAGCTCACCTAAAGTCTCAAGTTCTCAGTCTGAAGCATTATTGGAGCAAAGTCTGTCTAAGAAGGTACATGGGAAACAGGTAGCTACAAACCTAGCTGACGAGGATGACATCCCATGTTCATCCAACGCCCAAAAGATGCTGCTCAGCAATTTCCCTCACGAAGCAAAAGAAATGGATTTCGCCAAGGAGAAGACAGAGGACGGAGACAAGCCCCCCATAAAGCACGGAAAACTGCTAAAGCGCCTCGAGATTGGTTTCGAAAACACAAAGAAAACTACGTACCGTAAAATCATCGACCTCCTCCGCTCGCGCGATCAGCTCGACGCGAGGGTTAACAATCTCGAGGTCTACGTCGGCAGCATTGACAGCAACGATGGTGATGAAGCAAAGCCGAGCGGATCCCAGCCCAACAATGATTCGCAGGCCCACGGGCAAAGCAACCTCCAAAAAAGATCTAGCCTCACGCAGCGACAGAAAGACTACGAGAATGAACAGGACCGCCTGGGTGAGCAGCTGGATACGATGGCCTCACAGCAGCAGCGGCTGGACCGCCGTCTCACCGACATTGAGTACTGCCTTCACCTGAACGTGCCGACCAGGTCGGAGTCGGCACCCCCAAGGCCCACAGCGCTCACAGCTGGGCTGTTTCCTCCGTGGAGCGAGGGTTACTGGGGTGGGAGCAAGAGTCCCAGCAGAATTGCGGATGCATGGGGTCCAAGGAGCTCCCGCAGCAGCCGTGGATCTGGAGCGATGCCTAGCATCAAGGATGGCGGCGGCGTAGTGGGCGGTGGGACTAGACGCTTACTTGGGCCTCCAGTTACAGGTCGAACTGCGACCCTTGTTCCGACGTCAACTGTGTCTACAAAGAGAAAGTCTGAAGAGCTCGAAGACGACGATGAGCGGAAGGATGAAGGCAAGGGTAAGAAGAAGAAGAGGAACGACGAAGGTGAAGACGATAAAGGGGACAACGGGGATCAGCCAAAACCAACGCCAAAAATGAAGAACAAGCCCGCTGAAACCACAAGGCTCGCACCCAAAGAGCCTAAAGTCGCCCTCCGATGCAATAAGCAAAAAACAGGATACGAGAATGACGACCCTGAGGAGACCGACGACGACGAGAAGCCAAAGCCGAAGCCTACGAAAGTACTGAAGCCTGCACCCAAGGCCACACAGATAACCCTGCACGAAAAGAGGAAGGTGGACGATCCGGATGATGATGGAGAGGATGATGGTGATGACGACGGCGACGAGCCTCACCAAGGAAAAACGAAGCCTCAACCAAAGGCTGCCGGTACAACGAAACCTGCGACCAAGAAGTCGAGGATTGCTCCCAAGGTTGGACCTAAGACTGCCTCTAAGACGGTCCCAAAAGCTGCTCAGAAGGCCGCCTCGAGAGTAAAGCCGAAGACTGCTCCAAAAAGCTGCAAGCCAAAGGGCGATGGAGGCGATAAAGAGGATGACTCAGAGGACAGTGATGATGAGGCCAAACAGAGGTCGAAATCGAGAACAAAACCAGCCAGTAAGATGGCACCTGCGCCCAATGCTGCTTCCCAAATTGCCTCCGAGAACGCCCTAGAGATAGCTTCAAAAAAGGCACCCAAGACAGCGCCTAAGAGACGGAGAGGAAACGACTCGAATCCCGACGATGACAACGACGACGACGACGATCAGGCGCCGGAGAAGAAGAGGACCAAGGTGGCGCCGAAGAAGACAAAGCTGACACCCAAGACGGCACCCAAGACGACGGCGCCCAAGGCCACTGCTAAGCCGGCCGCGAAGGGCTCGAGGACAGGGCTGCGCAGTCAAGGTGCGCCGGCGCCGGCTCTTCCACCTCCACCCGCCGCCCCGATTCCAGCACCAACACTGGCACCGGCTCCAGCTCCAGCTCAGGATCCAGCTCCAGCTTCAGTTCCACTTCCACTTCCAGCTTCAGCCCCAGCTCCAGCCCCAGCCGCTGTGCCAGTTTCGGTCCTGGGCCAGCCGGCGAATGGCCATAATGGATGGGGCCCTATTGACTATGATTCCGACTCTGACAATATCATCATGTATTGTATCTAGGAACTGGCGTGGCTGGGCTTCTGCTAGATAAGCGACTGGCTCGGTTTGGATGCACAAGAGCGGGATTAGTGGCATGGACTTGGGTTATTTCAGATAGAAATGTATCACTTATTGATAAACCAACGTATTGTGAATGCTGTTTTATGCGGAGCCAACGCCCTATCCCATGCGTGTCTGTCTAATCTACATCGTCCAACCCGGCACCTCCCCTCCCAAGGCTAAGTACATCGTTTAAACACCCCAAGATTCCCTTCCAAATCCCCTCACGCCATAGAACCCCCCAAAAATCACCCTTGCCTTGGTCCTTTGGGGCGAACAACCCCCAGAGGCCCCTTGCGGACCCAGTGCCCCTACCATACGCCATCGTATACACAACCCTCGCGTGTCCCATCTCCGACACATACGGCACTCTCAAAACCCCCTCCCCAGTCCCCGCGGTAGACATTGCAAAGACATCGAACATATACCTCGGCGTCGGCGGCTCCACGAGCGGCAGCGGCCTCGCCCTCGACACACCTGGGAAGTGCCCAAAGTCCCCGCGCCACCTCCGTCTCGCCCTTCCAACGTTCTTCTGGTTCCGGTACTGCTGCTGCCTCGGCGCCGCAACGACCCTCTGCTCCGCCCACCGCGCCCCCTCGAGGACGCAATAACTCCCGCTCTCCACCTCCCCCGCGTCCCACCCCCTCAACTCGATCCCCCACCCGAACCCCGTCCCCGTACCGAAGCCCCACCCCGTCGACCGCCGCTCCCGCCCGCCTCCGACAGACCTGCCCCCGCCGTCCCGTCTCGAAGTCCGCGGCCGTCGAGGGTACGGCGGTCTGCGCCTCCTGACGTCCAGCCAGTCGCGGTCTACATCCGCCTCCCCGTCCCGCCGCGAGCGCTCGTGGGTCGTGGTATACGTCGTGGCGCAGGTGGAGGACGTGTACGTTGACATCCACGACGGCGAGTTGGTGTACATTGACGCATACACGGGCCCAGGGACGGAGAGAGTGTTCTTCTGCGCCGCATCAGGGGATTCATTGTCCGAGGGCGGGTGTTGGAGCACGACTTCTGGGATGGCGACTTCAGGGGCCGCAGGGCCGTGGTCTGCTGGCCCTGAGGCGGTGGCAGGTTCCGGAAAACAGGCGAGTTCAAGAGACGACTTCCTCAGTAAGCGCCGCGGAGCCGTGGAATCCTGCTCAAGTCGGTGTTGGCGTCGTCGTTCTCTGCACCGTTTGCACAGCCGGCTGCTGTGTTTGCACCTGGCGCAGGGGATCTCGAGGTCCGGCGAGCACGAGCTCTCGACGTCCGCCCCGTCCTCCTCGCTCGTGTCCGCGTCCTCGGCATCGGGGAAGATGTCCCAGTATGCAGAGTCCATGTTCTATAGAGACCGAGCAGGATTGCCTCTCCTTCACACGGCAGCCTCAAAGCCCGATGGACGAGCAAAAAGGAGCGAAGCGGTGGGCCAGTTGACAAGTATATACACCAGACAAAAGTGAGGCGGGACAAACCGAAAACCATGTGATGTCCTGGAATTTTTCCCGCCGTCACGTACGATGGGATGGCAAAAGAGAAAAAGTGAGACACGCATGCATGAGTAGGCAGTTGGGGTAGGGAATGTAAATGGCCGCATTGGAACGCGACCCGTCTGACAATGCAGTCCGGTTCTGGTAAGTATTATCCCCCCTCCACCCCCTGATTTTGCGGGGGATCGGAGGCCGAGCCATATGGGAATGGCGCACACTAATGGCCATACCAAGTAGCATGTGATTGGAGCGCGATGCCGCCGATGCGCGCATCAAGGTGGTGCGTCTGTATGTGTACATCACGGTGGCTGTTTCCTGAAAAGGTATCCCACAGGGTTGCTGCGGCTTCAAAGGTCTAGACTCTCTGGAGCGTGAATGTGTTCGTCCAGTGATGTGTCGCGTGTGGCTTTTTCTTGTGTGCGGTGAGGTTGATGGTCGGTAGGTGACGGCAGTCTTTACCCCTCAATGCTGTGTAACTCAGGCCGGTTGAGACTGGCAAAGGAGACGGAAACCATGAGGAACAAGAAGAAAAAAAGAAGGATTTGGTATGTTGCGAGATAGGTGCCAATGGGAACAAGCCCAGGCAATGTCATTTTGATTCCCTTTTCCAACGCCAAGCAATGCCCTACAATACAAGCCGCCCTGACACAACATTCCTTGGGACAACAAATCAGTCCCAGTAACGAATATCCCCCTCGGCGCCCGCCGACACGAACTTGCTCGTCTCCTGGGGATGCCACGCAACACATGTGACGGCCTGGTCGCCTGCCTTGAGCTTGTGGTACATCTTGCACGTCTTCCAGTCCCAGAAGCACACGAACCCCTGCGTGTCGCCGCTGGCCAGGAACTGCCCGTCGGGGCTCACGCTCACGTCGATGGCTGTGCCGGCGTTGTTGTGCCCGCGGTACGACTTCTTGCGGTTCTGCCGGAACTTGTCGTTGGCCCCGTACACGACGATCTGGTTGTCCGACGACTGGAACGCGACGTATTTCCCGCTCGGGTGTGGCGCCGCGCGCGTCATCGGGTACATGTAGGGCTCGGCGATGTACTTGATGGGGACCGGGATGTTGTAGTCCCATGCGCGGAGCGACTTGTCGTCCGAGGTCGTCATGAAGCGGCGACCCTCGTCGACAAAGGTGATTGTGTTGATGGCTGCGAGATGGTGGTCTGGGGGACGTTAGTATCTCGTAAAGAGGGCCGAGAGAGAGGGGCGGCATACCGTATTCTTGCACAATCTCGTTGCCGGCGCGCGTGTCCCACTGAACAATCTTCTTGTCCGACATGCCGGCCACAAACTCGTGCGCATGCTCCGCCGACGGGTTGAATCGCACGACATGTGGCGTCTTGCCCGTCGAGAAGCGGCTCAGACACGTGCCTGTCTCGGTGTCCCAGAGCTTGATTTGCCGGTCAAAGCTGGCCGACAGGAACTGCGTGCCAGAGTTGTTGAACGTCGCGTCCGATACCGCCTTGGCGTGGCCCGAGTATGTCCGCAGCAGCTCGCGGTTGTGATAGACGTCCCAGATCTTGACCGTCGAGTCCGCCGACGCAGATAGCAACAGGTGTCCGGACCCGGGGAAGAAGCGCAGCGCCGTGACGGCCTTTGTGTGGCTCCGCCACGTGTGGATCTGCTTCTTGGGGATGAAATTCGTGACGCTGCCGGGCTCCTTGCGCAGGTCGACGTCGAGGTCCAGCGGGACGTGCATGTATGTCCGGCCCTGGTAGTCCCTCTCCTCTGCGCCGTGGAACGTCGTCGTCTCCTCGCCCATCTCCTCAACCTCCTTCCGCCTCGCCAGCGCCGCCTCGGGCGCGCGCAGCACTGTGCCGCTCTCGACAACGTCGTCCTCGTCTGTCACCTCCTCGTACTCCTCGTCGCTTGCCAGCTCCTCGCCCTCGCGCACGACCTCATACTCGTCGCGCTTGTACCGCGCCCAAGGACCGACGTAAGCGCCATCCCCCTCAACAATGGTCGCGTCGCCCTTCTTCTCGCGCGCTGAGCGTATCCGAGCGTTCTCCTCCTTGACAGCGGTGCCCGTCTGGTATTCGCGCTCCGGCCCGCCTTTCCTTTCGATGGCGCGGTGTTTGCTGCGGAAGGTGTGTTCCGAGATGTACGTCTCTTCGGCCATTCCGGTGAGCACATTTTTGCGCTTCAGCGTCGTCGACTCATCCTTGAAGGGGTTCGCGGGGCCGACTTTGGGCCGGGAGAGATCCTCGCCGGTGTAGGGGACGACGGCGTGGTCGGGCTCTGCTTCTTGCCGCACGATGAGGGCATCCTGCGGCGCCATATTCGGCGGGTACTCTCCGAAGCCCGACATCCTAAATGCTGTCGTCTGTCGCAGGAGGATTGGCAATGTTGGGGGGTTGTGTCGCCGTGGAAATTCTGATGGTCGCGACGATGCTCATCCCAGGTCGCAGCAACAAAAGTTGGAGTCACGTGATCTGATGTCAGGGTCGACCTAGCTACCCTGTTTGGATGGTAGCACCTGCAAAATAGTTGCGACCTTTGGAGCTCTCTCAGACAGAGCACAGGCCGCAACACGGAAAGCTTGCGCAGCTTTAACAGCATACCAAATACCACAGACAACTGCGCCACGGAATCATGCCATCCAATTTGCAATGTTTGACTGTGGCCAAAAGCAGGAGGGGGGAAATAATGTTGGTGACATTCAGAGATCTGTCATTACTCAATTATCGCAACCCGCCGCTCCCAGAACCAGCCGGCCTGGCAGCAACATCAAAGTAAACAGCTAGGTATTGGTCTTGCACATCGTAACCCGCTCCCCCGTCCTGTTCGTTCGTGCCCGTTCGTTCGTGCCGCCTCCCACCGTGATAGTTTATTTCCTTTCCCGTTCATCATCATCAGAATCCAAACAGAGGCACCGAAGCCTCTGCCCGTAACTCCTACAGACCAATGCAATCAGCGCCAGATCCCCCCAAAACCACCCCGCATTCTGGTATCATGACAACACTCTCGCCCCCCCCAGCCCCATGTCTAGTAGTTGCTCGCCTGTGCACTCAGATGGTAGCCCCGGTAGGCGCATCATCCAGAGGAGGGAAGCGTTGGCGCGTAGTTGGTTCATTCTTGTCCGCGTGGCATGGTGATGTATATACTAGAATTCCGTCCCGTTTTCGTGCGCAGAGATAGGACTCCAGCATTTAGGACGACTCGTCGCGGATGAGGGCGACAATCATGCTGTAGAGGTAGAAGAAGAACATAATCAGATGGAAGCCAAGCTTCACGAAGGATTCCTGCGCACATGTCAGATACAGTTGGGCGCAGCTCGGGGATAGGCAGTCATTACCTTCTTGTGCACGTTCAGCTTGCGGAAGATTTCGGTGGCGTCTAACAAGTGGGTGTTGTCGACAATCCTGAATCATGGTCAGCGCCTCTTCTCTGTCAATAGGTCGGCTAGGCTAAGACATACTTCTTGATGTTGTAGGCGAGGAGCGGCAGGTTCAGGATCAACGGCACCCAGTACCCGTTGATCAGGAACATGAAGGTCAGGAATCCATGGACGGCGGCTTCGGGGATGATGTAAGTGTTGAGACGGTTGCAGAGGTCAATAGGGTTGATGTAGTCGCTGCAGAATCCTTCGTTAGCATCCATTGCAGACAAAATAGCTCATGGGATGACAGGGACGAGCGGCCTGCAGCAGCGGCATGGCCAGGAGGACAGCTCGTCCGAGCACGAGGAAGCCGGCGCGCGTTTCGCTGCAGGCCGGCGAGTCGCGTTCTGGGCAGTGAAGGACAGGAGCAGGAAGATACGCACCATTCCAGATCGCTGTACATGATGGTGAAGAAGACCTGCAGGAACAGGTTGACGGCGTTGACCAACACCGCGAAGAGGAATAACCACGCTTCGCCGGACATTTTGACGGTAGTGGCAGCGAGCTGCGCGAATTCGGTGTGGTGAGGTGGTGGAGAGTTGAAGAAGAGTTGCGACAGCGGCTCAATGAAAGGGCTGTTTGCTGTTTGCTGTTGTCGGTTGACGGAACTTGAGCTCGCGAGGCTGCTTGGAGCTTGATTGCGTGGGAGGTGCGGGCGGGTGGAATGCTTCGACGTCACTAGGGTGATGTAAGGTTGGAGGAGGGATGGATGGTAAAATGGATGGGAGTCGCTCGCTTCCAGTTGGGCAGCGCCGGCGTTGTGTTGTGGTGATGTTGCAAAGTCGGAGCAAGACGACACGTGTAGTAAGTCCAACGGGGTGCCGGAGATAGCTTAGGAGGAGGGAGAAAGAGGGAGAAAGAGGTGTGTGGTGATGTTGAGTCGTGGTTCCAGTCCGGTGCGAGAGGCTCGTTGGTTCTTGGGGTAGCCACTAGCGAGCCGGGTCGTGGAAAATCGGGAGGGTGGGTTACGGGGCTTCAAAACCTCTGATGATGAAAGAGGCTCGATGCCTTGCTCTGCTATCGGTGGTCTGGCTGGTTCTCACCCTACCTACTCCCGCCAGTCCACGCCAACGTCGCACTCTTCTCTTGCCCCGACTCCCCCAGTCAGTACCCCCCTCCACTCCCCCCCCCCGTCTCTCCCAGCGCTCTCCAGCCAGTGAGGCGCTATCCCCGAGGCCCTGGAAGACCCTGAAGGGCTTAGTGCAAGTCCATGTTCCCACTGCCCCCCAAGTCAGCGGCCTGCACCTCACAGGTGCGTGAGGTACGTACCCCCCAGCCGAACTCTAGCTGCTCCATCATGCTCGACAAGATTTTCATCGCGCTCCGACCGGCGAATCCCAGCGTGGGTTTTTCCACAGGTTCACATCATTCACTGAAATCCAGACCCATCAATCTCAGCCACACTGCGCAGTTAATGGTGCATGCGTGAGGGGAAAACAAACGGAACCCGCCCGTGGGTCTTTTCGTTCATGGGATCCTCGATGCCAGAACCCAGCTATTAGGCCGCTATTGAAGCTCTTTCTCCGGCGGCTTTGGAGCGAAAGCGGCGGCGGAGGGGTTCCATCCAGACCAACGGGTGGCTGGGAGCTTGGTTCCGACCTCGACTGCTTCCTAGCCCCAACTGCAACGCCGGCGATTGGGTACGAGTAATCAGAGCTTGTATATCACATGCGAAGTTCCTCTAGGAATGGTGGTCACGAAGACAACCGAGTATTGAACACTGGATGTGTTGATTACTCAATGGATGCGTGGGGGAAGTGATGACTGGATGACGAAGCCCAACCGCACATGTCAGCATGACAGCGACTCAGGATGCCCCTAGCTTTCACTTTTGACCATGACAGCTGTCGTACGTACCCATCTGCAAGGGACAGGGACCCCTCAGACCAACATAAACGCCCTCCTTGACCAAACATGGCTCACGTGGCCATCACAACTGCACACACTACGTTGGTCACGATTTCAATGTTTATGATATTCGACGGCCGCATCTCCAACCATGGCAGCCCTGGATTCGTGGACATATTCTCCCTCCATGTACCATATAATCGAGCGATGCCAGCTCATCAGTTGGCTTCATGTCTCCGTGCACTCGTCCCATGAACCCACAACCGCCCGTTTTCAACAAACTCAACGCCTCTTCAGCTCGCTTATGCCCCTTTTGATGCTAATGTGACCGTTTATGCGGCGGCGCCGTTTGTCTCGCCGTTGGTGCCGGGCATCGGAATCTTGCCACCTGGCGAGTTGGCAGTTCGGGCCGTAAGAACCTCGACTCCGTCCTCCGTTACGAGAAGAGTGTGCTCTGCGATTTGTGTTAGCTATTCGTCCCAAACGCGTTTGCAGGCTCCGAACGGACAGGGGCCACTCACCAAACTGCGCGGTCTTCTTGCCGTCAATCGTCGTGCTGGTCCAGTTGTCGGGCCAGGTGACGTCGCGGTACTTGCCGAGGGCGATCATCGGCTCGATGGTGAAGGTCATGCCTGGCTTGCACTCTCCGACCGTCTTGTTCTTGGCGTAGTGAGGGACGTTGGGAGGGCAGTGGAACAGCGAGTTGATGCCGTGGCCGCAGTACGTGCGGATGACACTGCAGTTCCTCTCCTTGGCGATCTTCTCGATGATGTTGCCGAACTCGCGAATGAGCGTTCCGGGCTTGACAGCGGCGATGGCGGCGTCGAGACAGTCGCGTGCGGCCTCCACCACTCTGACGGAGTCGGGGTCTGCCTTGGCGCGGTCGCCAACGTAGTAGGTCTCGTTCAAATCACCGTGGTAGCCCTCGAAGTAGAGAGTGACGTCGATGTTGAGAATATCACCGTCCAGGAGGACACGCTGATCGGGGATACCATGGCAAATGACTTCGTTCAGCGATGTGCACACGGACTTCGGGAAGTGGTTGTAGTTCAGGGGAGAGGGGTAGGCCTGCGGGGTTCTCGTCAGCTTCTCTCTGGGTGCGCTCCGGCGCAGATCTCTGCGCAAGGCATACTCACATTGCGCTCTATGCAGGCGTTATGCACGATCTCGTCGATGTGGTCGGTCGTAATGCCGGGCTTGATCGCGGCGGCGGCGATGTCGAGGACCTCACGCGCCAAGCGGCAGACCTTGCGCATGCCGGCGATACCTTTGGCATCGAGAATGTCCACCTTGTTCCGGTTGAGGATGCTTCGGGGGTACTTGGGAATGCCGTCTTTCCACCAGTCTGGGTGCGGAATATGCTTAGGAACGGTTCGGCGCTCGGAGAGGGGGTAGACGGGGCGCAGAGGGCCGGTGAAGGGGTACGTCGGGAATGGGTTGAAGACACCCGTCTCTGGATCTGGTTTAGAAACAACCTTTGGCGGGAGGACATGGTGCAAAATACTCGTTTCTGTCTTGTGCATGGACTTGTGGTTGGCCTGCGGAGAGAGGGTTAGTAACTGTCGCAATCGCGTCCATGGCAGCAGCACGAGGGCGTCTTCGTTGCTTACCCAGTTCTTCTTGAAGCAATCCTGCGAACAGAAGAAACTGTCTTTCACACCCAGCTTCAAGCATGTTGGGCATTGCAGGGTGCCAGCGTCGTTGGGGCAGTCAACACCAAGACACTTCTTCTTTGCTGGAGGCTCGGTCATAATGGCGGTCGTTTGGTAATGGAGGGGTAGGTGAGTGCGAGGGAGGGGCGTTCTTCTATTGCGGCCGAGGTTGTAAAGCTCGGGTTGATCGACGCGGTATAGTCAAGGAGAAAAAGAAGAAGACCCCGAAAAATCAAAGAAAATCGGCCGGGTTCAGATAGACGAGGCGACGATGTAGGGAGCTGCAATCACACGCCCTAAAATTGACGGTTCGGGTGCGGCAAAGTGACCTGACCGAGAGGAACAAATATTTCCTGTGGCAGGCTGTGATAGGCGCTTTGGCGCAGTGTTTCCCCCGCTGCAGCACCAAAACCCGGCTGTGGACTTTTTAAGCGGGCGGCTCAAAAAGCCGATGCACCGATAAGATAAGAAAGCAGGTCGCACATGTATCGATAAGATGGTGCCGTCCGATAACGATAAGACCAAAAATGTGTTTTGTAAGCCATGAGCGCAGGCGCAACCAGGTTGCCAGGGTCCAGAAAACAAGAGAGGCAACGAAACAAGCCTGAACAAAGAGAGTCTCGCTATGCATCGGAGCTTCCTTTGTCGGAGCTTCCGGGGTATTCCCGCGAACCGAACGCCGACAGGACCGCAGAGCGGCTATGCGCAAAAAAAGTCGTTGACGCCTGTGTTGCCATCCCATCCGGCTGAATTGACCCGCCAAAAGTTGAATCGTCATGCAAGACGAGATCTTCTCACGCCACGGTGCAAATCTTTCCTCGAGTCCATTCCGGCTGCATAAATGAATGAGTTGAGAACGAGAGACTAAAAGAGAGATACCCGGCGGCCCCCCAGCAACAAAAAAAACATGGCCAAGAACCAGAAAGTCGTCGTGGTCGGCGCCGGCCCCGTCGGCTCGTTGGCCGCGTTATACGCTGCGCAGCGCGGATACGATGTCGAGATTTACGAGTTGAGAGCCGGTGAGTCGCGTGTTGCTTTTTTCACTTCTCCCAAGTCTCAAATTCCCGTTTTGGGCCGGGCGACCGTTGGAAAATCATGGTGCTCGTGGATCCCGCTCCAATGTGCCCCACCAACTGAGGTGAATCGCCTAAAGGGTTCTTGACTTGACTTGAGCAACCATGGTGATGGCGGAAGCATCCTGGAGCAATCGCCAACAGTGGTTCATTGACGACTCACTTGGACGAGGACTGACACCATGCAGACCTCCGAGATCCTTCAACGACCCTCTTAAACTTCACCCGGTCCATCAACTTGGCGTTGTCGGAGCGCGGCATCAACGCCATGCGCAACGCTGGTCAGCCAAAGTTACTGGAACATGTCTTTGGCGCCACTATCCCTATGCGGGGACGCATGATCCACGGCAGAACCCCGAAAGGTGATCTGTACGAAGCCGCCCAGGACTACGACGTCCACGGCAGGGTGAGTTCATCCACAAATTCAGAGCATGGTCGCGACATGCTGACTATGACCCCAGGCCATCTACGCCGTGGACCGCGCCGGCCTGAACAAGCGCATGCTCGACATTCTTGAGGAGATGCCAAACGTCAAGTTCTTCTTCAGCCACAAGCTCACTGGCGCCGACTTCAGAAGATGCAAGGCCTGGTTCGAGGTCATGACCTCCGAGTCGGCAACAGGCCGCGCCAGGGAGATTGAGATCGACTTCGACTTCATGATTGGTGCTGATGGCGCCCATTCGGCCGTCAGGTACCATTTGATGAAGTATGCTCAAATGAACTACAAGCAGGAGTATATCGACACTCTGTGGTGTGAGTTCCAGATCAAGCCCGCGAAGCCCCCTTTGGCGGACAGCAAGGGTCCCCATTTCAGGATCTCACCAAACCATCTCCACATCTGGCCCGGCAAAGAATTCATGTTTATTGCGATCCCCAGCGACGTGAGTATCTCAACTCTGTGCCATGTCGCATAGCCAGCTGACAATGGACAGGACGGATCTTTCACATGCACGCTATTTCTGCCCAACGGGCAAACCGTGGCGCTAGAAAATGATCCCTCCAGCCTACCCGCCTTCTTCGACAAGCACTTCCCTGGCGTCACAGGTCTCATTCCAGCAGAGGAGCTGATCGCCTCGTTCAAGCAGAACCCACACTTACCCCTGATCAGTATCAAGTGCAGCCCCTACCACTACAACGCCTCCGCAGTTCTCGTTGGCGACGCCGCCCATGCCATGGTTCCCTTCTACGGCCAAGGCATGAACGCGGGCCTGGAAGATGTCCGAATCCTCTTCTCCATCCTGGACAAGCACTGCCGCATGAGCGAGGTCAACGACCCTACAGGAGAAGCCGACATCTCCGCTGCGGCAGCTCATCAAAGAGGTGTCGCGCTGGCCGAGTACACGGCGAACAGAGTCCCCGACGCGCACTCCATCAACGACCTTGCGCTCCAGAACTACGTCGAGATGCGCGCCTCGGTGCTATCTCCTCGATACCGTCTGCGGAAGTGGCTCGAGGAAACCATGTCTGTGTACCTGCCCGGGCTGGGCTGGCAAACCAAGTACTCGCGCGTCAGTTTCGGAAACGAGCGGTACTCGGAGGTCGTCTCCAAGAGCGACCACCAGGGCCAGGTGCTGATGAAGACGTTCGAGGCGTTTGTGTGCAGTCCGCTGCTGGTCGGGGCCGTGTATTTGTGGTGGAAGCGGCCGCAGGCGGTTGTGGGTGCTGTCCAGGGGCTTTTGCGGACTCTGTTGCAGGCGACGGAGCGTGCTTGAGGGCGTGTTTATGATTTGGATACCAAGGTTGTATTTGTACATTAGAAAAAGGATGGAGAATATTTCTCATGACGGCTTTGCTCTACGATCAATTTTACTATGCATCTAAGAAAGTCATGCCCTATGAAGCGTGCGATGGTAGGACGGAAACGGTCTTATCTCGCATGGTTTCGGAAGTTTCAATGAGACTTATAAAGGCAGTATCGCCAGTGCAGCCTCCTGTCGAAGTTGTTTTTTATTTTTGTTCTTGACTACTTTATTCACCATTGTGCACCACCACCCTCGTTCTCACCTCAGGAAATGATGTCACGCCGGGTCCTAAAGCACAAAGCAAATAATAGGTCTAAGTTGTATATGATTCGTACGATACACATTCCAACAGTACTAGACAAGGCTTTCACGAATTAACAGATACTAGGAGCTTGTGGGGGAAATGTGATGGTTCAGCCGTAACGGTATGAGCAGAAATCAAACTCTCAGCGTAATCCTAGGCTTGAAATATCGCATTGCAGGCTTCTTCGTTTCTTTGGTCTTCAAATAGTTAAGAGTTTCGAAGAACAAGCCCAGAAGTCTGGACGCTTGTATCGCGGTTTTCAACATTGAAGCCTCAGCCTCAAGCCACCCCTTCACACACTAACTCCGTCAAGACCCTTGTACAGCGGCCAGCGGTACTCTTCACTTGGATCGTTGAATCTGGCCTTCAAGTCCATTGTGGCGATCTTATCCATGTCCTCCCCGTCCAACACAAAATCAGACTCCAAGTTCTCCTTGATCTGCCACTCAATGACACTCTTGGGAATCACCGACCTGCCGCTGTTCACGCCCCACGCGAGCGCAACCTGGACGGGCGTCTTGCCGTGTTTCTTACCGACCTCGGCGAGCACCGGGTGGTCAACAATCCGCCGCATGTGCGACTGCTGCTTGCTCCACGAGACTTCCCTATAAAAAGAGTTCTGGTTGCCCAACGGAGAGAAGTGCGTCATGTGGATGCCGTGGGCGCGCTGCCAGTCCGCGAAGGCGCGTTGTTGGAGGTACGGGTGCAGTTCCATCTGGTGAACCGCCGGGACCTGCCGTGGTCTCGTTAGTATCCAGTTGGATCTCCGACTACCCAAACCTGGGTTGGTTACATGGACCGAGGTAACTTACCACCGAAAGTTTGTCGAGAAGGGTCTGTACCTCGTTCTGACTGAAGTTTGACACTCCAATCGCCCTCGTCTTCCCTGTCTTTAGAAGTGCCTCCATCGCCTTATATGTATCCACAAACGTCGTCTTGCCCATGACCATGTTTCCCGCCGTGTCTTTAGGGAAGCGGTCTTCGCCCCTAGCAAAAGTGCAAGGGTAGTGCATTAGAAAGAGGTCCACATAAGGGGTGTCAAGGTCTTTGAGAGAGGCGTCAAGAGCAGTCTCGACATCCTCGGGGTGATGCGAGTTGCACCACAGCTTAGTCGTGAGGAAGATATCCTTTCGGGGAACGCTGCTTGCCTTGATGCCCTTGCCGACTTGAGCCTCGGTATCGTAGCTGAGATCGCCTCATTAGTGCTTTGGCTCTCATAGGGCTGGGAGAGGAGACTTACACCCTCGCGGTGTCAATATGTCGGTATCCACTATTCAGCGCCATCTTCACGGCATCTTCCTGAGCATCTGGGTCTTGAAAGGTCCCGAAGCCGATGGCGGGTATCTTGGCGCCTGTGTTGAGCTCCCATTGTAACGCACGCCTTGTGATACCTCTGACTTGTCGCTTGAGCAAGCTGGGCTGCGGCCTGGACAAGGACAAGAGACTAGTTCGGATCAAGTTGACATTCATGGTTCTTGGAGAAGACAATGTTCACAGATTGCAAATTGAATAAATAGGGTCACAAGTCTGGTCGGTTGAATTTGCAAGTGGGAGGTTCAGTCTCGTCGTCCGGTGACGGCTCAGCTTTTGAAGAAGTGTGTTTACGGATTGCTAGACTATCAAAGGACATTGGATGTCATCTAGCTTGGTGTTTGCCACGGGACGGTGCAATTATACTGGCTTTGCATAGCCGGACGCAAGCTATGTCATACATGGTGACTTCTCATCCCGCCGCTTCGAGGGTTGTTTGCATCTAGTCTCCCAAGTGGGTTTGATTCCTAATGCGCTGTATGTGTGTGAATCACTAAGAAACTGTTGCAGACTGGGACAGCCAAGCGATTCCATTACAGCTGTGGTGTCGTGGGGATCCCTCGCATCCCGCATCCCGCATCCCGCATCGCACGTTGTCGTCTCGAGGGTAAGAAGCTCCAAGTTCCCCGCGATTGCGGAGTCCCGGTCTCTGGGAGGGGCTGTTCTTGGCCAGCACGCGGTCGTCTCGAGGGAACACGCGACCAACTCCGCGGATCCTGTGAAACTTCGAAAGACGTGTAGATCGATCGAGCCTTAAAGTTGAGAATTAAACAGCTTTAAAGATGGATAAGCCCCTAAGCCGGATGATCATCATTAAACTCCAATTGCGTTAAGAGCTGCACAGCTAACCGAAACCTTGCTGCACCATTGACCTCTGCGACAGATTTTATTGCCAGATATCCGTGAACTCTTTGAAAAGATTACCACCATCTACGTAGCGAAAATGTCTTCTTCAACAGTTGACGCGAGGTCGGCCGGCGCAAACTCAAGTACTGTCAACGTCCAGCCTATTCTGACACTGTCTGGAAAGATCATCGCAGGTAAGTCAGCCGCTAACAACTAGGCAATACATGATCGGCTTCGTTTGCTGACAGTGTTAGTCACCGGCGCAAACCGCGGCATCGGCCTCGGCGTCGCAGAATGCTGCCTCCTTAACAACGCCGCCAAGGTCTACTCCATCGACCTTGCGGAACCGGGCGAAGAGTTCGCGGCGGCGTCGAAGCAGTTCCCCGGCCGTTTGTTTGCAATCACCGCAAACGTCACCGACGAGGGGAGCATAACGGCCGCCATCGACAAGATTGTCGAGGAGTCCGGCGCGATCCACGGCGTCGTCTGCAACGCGGGCCGGACAAACCACAAGGCTGCTCTTGACTTTTCAAAAGAAGAGATTGAGACGCTGTTTGGTGTCAACGTAAGTCGCCCAGAAACTGACTCATGAGAAGTAAAGGCTGAAACTAACCGCCGCAGCTTTTCGGCGCGTTCTACACTGCCAGAGCTGCCGCGAGGGCTTTCATCAAGTTGAACATCAAGGGTTCCGTCGTTTTCACAGCCTCCATGGCATCATACCGCCCAAACAAGGTAAGGGAAGCGCATTTGATGGCCGAGGGTGTGTGCAACGCTGACACGTCGAAAGCGCGTCCCATCAGCGCCATATGGTGCTTCAAAGGCAGGCGTCCGCAACATGGCTCACACGCTCGCCATGGAATGGGCCAAGTACGGCATCCGCGTCAACAGCGTGTCTCCCGGTCTCGTGCGCACCGCCATGACATACTGGGTGCCGCAGCAGCCGGACTGGGAGCAGCAGCTTAAATACTACGGAGGCATGCCCCGGTTGGCCGAGGTGCAGGAGCTTGGAGGCGCCTACGTCTATCTTCTAAGTGATGCGGCGAGCTATACTACCTCGATCGACATTCCTGTCAATGGTGTCATTGGGAGTAAGTCGAGTACGGATCTGACTTTGATGAACTGTCGCTAATACTGCTTTTAGTTTGCTAAAAAGGCGAGGGAGTTGGTAATTTATTGAAGAAGGGGGTGTCAACGGGAAACCCCATCACTGATATTTACGTATATACGAATCATCAAAACAAACTAGAATCACAATAGCACAGGAGCGTCTTGATCAGTCTCAATGAGTGTAAGGCTCGCGTGGCCGTTGGGATGACGAGCTTCGGCCGAGCGATATTGAGCCCTGACCTTCGGAGCCGGCCGTGTCTCGGGTTACCCTTTCTGGTCATGTCTGCAGCGAGTGCTCGCTTGCATGTGGCGAGCTTTGATTGCGAAGTGCAGGGGTTGTACACAACTGCCCTTCTGAGCTTTTAAGCTGCTCTGAATCAGTCTGCGCCCCCGAGACTCAGGGGTACTGAGCTAAGTTTTGACCTTCCGCAAGCACCGTTGAGCCCTATGGGAACTTGACCGAGAAACAAGATGTCGAACTAGCGAGGATGAGCCCGAGTTCGTCGATTCGCGCGTGGGGGTTCATTATGATAAACGAAATGCAACGTCTGTGTCGCTCGCATTTCCATTGGTATTTCCAGACTCGTCTCAGTACCACTATGCAAGTCATGTCTATGAAGCCTCGGTTTGATTGACTCGGCAGTTCCGTCCTGGTTGCGAGCATATCACGTGCAGGGGATATACACGTGCAACCTTGCGTTGCATTTTGCGCTGAGCCTCAATTGTCGGCCGAAGACTGAATGTCACAGCATTTGTTTGGTCCAGCACTATACACTTAGATATCTGCCACGAAAGAGTGATGGTTGTCTAATTAGGCCAAATGACCGTCCCGCTCTTTTCCCGGAGAGCCAATGCGTGGCAGGACTCTTCAAGTATTCATCAATTACGTGTAACCAGGCCGTTGGGATTCTATCATTTTCGGAAACCGACATGTGCTTCCAAATGTCGTTCGACTTCACCAGGAGAACCTAACTCAAAATACTCGCAGCTCAGTCGGCACGCTGGCAATGCTGAGGAATGGTGCCATGGCGGATTGCTCCGCAAATCAAGGTTTCGAGCTCCATCAGTGGGGCAGCGGCCTCAAAAAACAACCGCGCGCAAGACTCCATCCCTCGGGCTCGGATATCAGAGGACTCCACAGCTTGCTGGGAAGTGGGAGCTGGAGACTAGCTGGAGCTGTACAAAGAAGAGACGAATTTGAGTACCACCCTAGAGACCCGCCAAACCCCTCGGGGAAATCACAACTCAAACGGTTAAACCCACCATGTGCAGCTCATCTCATGAGAAACCAGCATAGCAACGGGGAAGGATTCTGCATCCGCGCCAAGCCTTCAGTCGACAAGAGATCCATCACTCTCTTCCAGCGACGGCCCACCCCTCGACCAAACGAGAAATTCAATTTTGTCTTGTCGCACGCGCCAGCGCTTCCTGTTCATTCAATTTCCCTAGCAGAATATCCACTGTGGCGGAGTTTCCGTTACATTTAGACATTTTCAGCGCATAAACCGAACCAGTGCTAAAGAAGAATCATTGCCGACAGGCCGCATCAAGTGAATCGCCTGTCCCGGAGTCTTGAGCCGAGCCAGTTCTCGGAGCATGGGCAGGAATGCGATCCCAATTGCTCTGTCTGGCAGGTATTGACAGGTTTCGCCATATCGCAATTTTGGTTATCTATGAGAACTCCTCGTTTACCATGGCCAAGACTCTCCGACGGCTCGGGCACTTTTCTCGGACGGGATGGTCACTACCGTATCGACGCCAGTATTTCGTACTTGCGGGCCTGCTCCTCTATATCAACGAACCAATGGGCAGGTGATCCGATCCTGATGGCGGGATACCCTTGACTCGTTTGGCATGTGAGGGCTAGAAATGTCCCATTTAGGCAAGTCGGACCCTCGCATGTGGCTCGTTCTCCTTAGAATCTTCAGGCTTAGCACCTCGAAGAATTAGTCAGGATGACTGAGGGTGCCCCCCACAGCGAGAGTTACCTCAGCCAAGGAATCCAGACAGATGGAAGACATCGAATTGATTAGATTAGATCGTGCTTGACCAATCTGCAGGCTCGCTCCATCGTCCCTCGACTCAGGTGACAAGGGAGGCCCTTGCCTCTAAGTTGGAAGTTGAGCCGACAAGGCCCCAATGGTTTGATGTTTTTTTGTTTCCCCACGACTTGAGATGAACCAGTACCTGCTGTTCCTGAAGCCCATGCGGCATAACCCCGCGGCCGCCGGGGATGGAATGCCCCGACATGGACAGTCGCTCAAGTGGACGGAGACCAAGTCGTGAAAAGGGGGATGTCCAAGATGACCTTGAGCGAAAGGAATACGTATAAATGCGTTGGCCTCGCCGTTCCACCTGGTAGGAATCCCCTTTCCTCTTGGCAAGGATAGTCACTCACTCTTTCACTCATTCTTCCCCCCCACGTTCTCTACAGCACAGTACACGATGCGTTCTTTCCTTGTTGCTACACAGTTCCTCGCCGCCGCCATGGCGGCCGAGCCCTGGAACAACGAGGTCGACACTGGCTTCGAGATCTACCTCGCCAGCGCCAACTTCACCGAGGGCACGCAGCCCCTTCTCAAGGACATCCGCGCCATCCCCGATTTCGACTTCGCCGCCCGCCAAAAGCTCGACAACCAGATGTACTCTTTCTACCGCACCGGCACCGCCGGCGAGTTCAGCTACCGCCACAACCTCGATGTCTGGCAAAAGGTCCAGCTCCGCTCCAAGCACCTCAGCGACGTCACGAAGCTCAACGAGACCATGGGCACCACCATTCTGGGCTACAACTTCAGCGCCCCCGTCTTCATCTCCCCGGCTGCCCGCGCCGTCTACGGAGACGAGGCTGCGGAGCTGAATCTCGTCCGCGCCGCTGGCAACGAGAACATCCTGTACATCCCATCCATGTACGCCTCCAAGTCCATCGAGGAGATCGCCACCGGCAAGGTGAACGGCACCCTCAATGGCCCCCAGGTCATCTTCCAGCAGATCTACACCAACGCCAACCTTTCTGTCACCTGGGACAACATCCGCCGTGCCGAGCGCACCGGTGCCAAGGCCATTGTCTGGACGATCGATGCCCCCGGTGACTCCGTCCGCCACCGCGCTGCACGTTATGACACCACCAATGCCAACTCTGTCTCTTCCGCCCTCACCTGGGACATCTACGACCAGATGAAGAACCACACCACCCTGCCCATCATCCTCAAGGGCATCACCACCGCCGAGGAGGCTCTCCTTGCCGTCGAGAAGGGTGCCAAGGCCATTTACATCTCCAACCACGGCGGCCGCCAGCTCGACCACACCCCGGCCCTCTCGAGATTGCCTACGAGATCTACCGCAACGCCCCGGAGGTCTTTCAGAAGGTCGACGTCCTCGCCGACAGCGGTGTCCGCTACGGTAACGATGTCCTCAAGCTGCTCGCCCTCGGCGTCAAGGCCGTCGGCATGGGCCGTCCTTTCATGTACGCCAACTGCTACGGTCTCGAGGGTGTCACCAAGGCCATCAACATTATCAAGACTGAGATCGTCCGCGATGGTGCTCAGATGGGCGTCACTGACGTCCACAACATCAGCATGAGCTTCGTAAGTTTATTTGTAGCTGCTATAGATCGTTGAAAAACATGAATGCTAACCCGTCACAGCTCAACACCCGCCAGCTCGAGCAGAACGTCTACCTTTTCGACAAGCAGTAAATCCAGCGCGTTTGTAGGCGTTGTGAGGTTTATGGATCACGATTAGAAAGGTCTGATTGTATAAGCATTGCCGCGACAAAGTGGCGTTATGTCTGGGTTGGAATTAGTATTTAGGACTCATGTCTGGGAGCCATCTTCTTGTCCATACTTGACTAAAAAGGTACATAGCACAAAAAGGTCATGCCTGAATTCAACGTTTGCTTTCGTGAAGTGTACTTGAACTCGAAACTTTAGTGTTGAAAATCACGGAAATCTCTATTGAAAGATTCTGGAGCTAAGGGAGCCCATCTATCTCAAACAGCGGTGGGAAATGCGCGTATAGAGCCAAGACCTCATGGGTGCTGCGAATCCGGCCTCGGCCCCGCCTTCACTCGGCGGAAATTCCCCCATGAAACCCCCAAGAGAGGCTTCTACAACTTGCAACGTGGCCTACGTCGGGTAGGTTCCCCTCTCGGGGCCAAAGTAACCTCTTTCAGGAATCGGGAGGATCCCGATCTGACTTCCATCAATTCCGGCGCCACTGACAGTATTTCCCCACCACTTCAGAGCAATCGGGTTATATCCTACAGCGAAGAACATGACTAAAGCTGAGATGGCGACTCCAGCAGTCAACGCCGCCGACAAGACGTAGTTGTACTTTTCCCACCAGGCCAGTCGATGCCGGGGAAGCCAGTACATGAAGATGTACCCAAGAATGAACCCGGGAGTCTTGTATGAAAGGTTAGAGGGAGCCCAGTGCTGGATGCCCTGGATGACGAGGACCGGATTGAGCCATAGAAAAGAGGCGACAAAGGGGAAAAGAGTTTTGTCCAGGAGGGCGAAGGTCTTTGGGCTCAGCTTTTGTCGTAGGTTCTCTCGCACCCCGGGGAGGTACTTCGGCCCATATCCCTGGCCGACCAAGAAGACGATGGCGATGACTGTTCCCATGAGAAAGCACCCTGATAAACCATGTGTGTCAGTATGTATTATTGAAGTAAACCAGATTGCGACTTACATTTCAAGATAGGATAGAAGGACACAAACATGCGCTCCGAGCCGAGAAGCCCCCACACTGAATAGACGGTTAGTACGTGACCAATGGCAAAACGGACAATAATGGCATACTCAGTGAGTTTGCATACAACGGTGCCCCGTCATTTGCGCACGTAAAACGGCTCATCTGGGTAGGGGTGCATAGTCCCTTGACGTTTTCCAGTATGAAGTTCTGCGTAGCCACCGCGACGAAGCATGTGATAATGATGGTGCCAATCTGACTCCGGAAAACGGCCCTTGGTGCTATTTTGGTGTAGTGAGCCATTTTCTGATCTTGGACGTAGTTGTCCCCATAGCCAGCGAGAGCCCAAGACCCCAAGGTCTGGGAGAACAGAAAGGCGTTTGTGTTGCCCGGCAGCATATAGCCTGTAATGACCTGTATCAAGGCGCCGAGTCCAAGGTTCGTCCCTGTTGTCGCGGAAAGGAAGGAAAGTGGCACTGCGAAGACCAGGTTGATGCCAATCATTAAGAACACCAGCCATACCGGAGTATCGAGAGGGTAAATATTCAGGAATATGACGGAAACGACGATGGCGCCGACTAGAATCACCAAGAACCACCAATCGGGAACCTCTCCGTAGTGTGCCATGAGGCGGCTGTGGACGTCCATGGCTCCTTCATAGTTGCCCTTTCCGTGGCGCAGTCCCTTGTAAAAGTCGACGTATGCTGCTGATATCGTCTTCCATTGGTTTCTGCGATGTCTTTTAGCGCTTGCGGGATAACAGTGCATAGTAAACCAACCCCATGATGTACAAGAAATAAACCGGATAGAAGCAGTAATTGGCCCCGACGGTGAGGAGATACCCAGCCGAGTAGAATGGTGGGGAATACTGCTGGTAAAGTGTTTCGTTAAGGTGGTTATTGACAACCACCTTTTGCACCACGTAAGGCGTGCCGTCGTTGGCAAAAGGAGAAGAGGAGTTGATCGGAAGATAGGCCGTGTTATACATATTGGTGTAATAAATTCCAAGGATGATGGCTCCGCCCACAATAGAACCGCAGTACATTGTACACGTCGCGAAGAAGGGCTGAGCTAAGGCGGCATACGAAGATGTGGCAACGTTCCAGTCGAATGTGGTAATGGGGTTGAACAATCCAAGGCCCAGAGAGGAGCCCGTGATGATGGCCAGAGTAACGTTTTCTGGAGAGATCCAGGTCATCCAGTTGAAAGTCGCTAAGGCCGTGAAAAGGTAGCCCGGGAACCAGTAGTAGAAGAACATACAGATTGTGCAGACGTAGAAAAACTTGTATCGCGAAATTGTCCATCCGTTGATACTCTCCTTCGGCTCAGGACGCGTCAATGCTCGGTTCATGGCGATTGTCGGCAGAATCGTTGGCCAAAGGGCCTTAACTGGGTAAACACTGAATCGCCGAAGGTACCCAGCAAAACCCATGCCCATGAGTTGGACGAAGAACGTGAGCATAAGCTGATAGCCAAAGTTTACAAAAGCAAGACCGTAGTAGACCGGAGACTTTTGTACAAGGATCATGCCGTAGCTGTTGGTGGTGTAGATCGCAATGTTGTACGTGATGGTTGCAAACATCTGCTCCTTGAAGTTCCAAGGGCCTGGGTTGAGAGAATGGCGTGTTCCAAAGACAGTGATGCCCCAATCTGGAAGAACAAACTCTAGAAATTTGGCACATGGGAATAACAATATCTGAATGACCTGACCGCTTAAAGCTGCACAAACATAGTGTTAACTGGCAAACGTGATCCACGCACCGGGGATAATAATCAAGGCATCTCAACTTACTGATGGACGGGAACCTAGAATTGAAGAAAGTCGAGATAAAAGTGCCAATTATTGCCCAGCCAATTCCCAAAAAGTACGCGCGGAATGTCTCAATAGGCACGTTCTTGTCATCCAAAATCTCGGCCACCGCGCGAACACCAGGGTACGGCGAGGAATATCGAATCATTACGGCATCGATCCTCAAATCGCGATCGTAGTCCACTCCGTAGGCTTTCGGGCCTTCGAGCAGTTTTTTCATGCGCTCTCTCATATCGGTGGGGAAGTTCCAGTCGTCCTTGAAGAATTCCACAGACTCTTCAATGATTTCGAGAGCTTCCTCCTCGCTCATCCCATTGATCTTTTCCAGAATGTACTCTCCTTCGCCATTTGGAGCCAACTCTTCAAGCCTCTCATGTGAGATCTGGTCTGAGATCTTTTGCTCTGGGTTGTGGTTCACTTGTGCGGGGATCTTCTCAATGTCCTCGGCCCGGTCTGGAGTCGGGTCCTCTCCGACAGTCTCCACTTTCCCGGACATTGTTGATAGAGGCCTCCAAGCCGTTCAAAGCTGAGTCCAGGTTTAGATCTTGATTGATTCGGAGCGCAAGTTATATTGTTTGAGACACAAGGAAAGAAAGAAAAGAAAGCGACTCAGTGACTGGAGAGAAAAAAAGACCGAGGCTATATAATGTCACTGTCCCATCTGACTTAGAGTTGTGTGGCGGGCAGAAGGCGGGGGAGTCGGGTCTCGGCCCAGCTATCGGGGCGAGCAGGATGTTTGACATGGGGGCGAACGCATCTCCAAAAACCGATTCCATGTCTCCTCACGGGATTTCTTTATCCCTCGTTCTTTCGATAACGTTGCATTGTTCAGGATCAACGTTGCGTTGTCACGCTGTTGAACAGGAACAGTGTAATGGTCCCATATCCGTATCACCCCCTCACACTCTTTCAGTTTCCTCCAGCACCTGACTGTCGGTCTACTTGCCTAGCGTGGCCAGCAGAGTGCATGCGTCGCGGGGATCTGCGCCCCTGTACTGCATTATCGACCAGTGTTGAACCAACGGTAGTTGATCCTTTTGCCACGGTAGAGTGCATTAGCAGCCGATAAAGAGCGTTGAGTGATAGCAGAGATGAGGGGTTGAGCAATCACATAGTCGCGTAAATGCGATTGGCTCGACAGCCTACGGACATCTGCCGGTTATTTGGCCAAGGTACACAGGTTATGGCTCTTGTCCGCCATTTGACAATGTTCAACAAGCGCTAAGTCTTGCTGTCCAAAGTATCCAGGTGTTGCCAACCAACCGAATTTATCTAGAGTTGATCTTCAAGTTTTCCGTCTCAGTTCTCAAACCCTCCTGAAGAACGAAACCTTGCTGCAACTTCCTCCATAGTGACACTCTTTTCCGGCCTATCATGCACCTACAACCTCGATTCAACCACGTACGGCATTGGCGTACGGAAATTGTGCTTGACAATGTGCTCTAAACTTGGTTCCAGTTCGCAACTATCTCTTTCTGCGCACCTTGATTAGCTAGCTCATACCGAAAACGGGCGTCTTTTCAACGTGACTCCGCTCACTAGCACATGTCTAATAGTGCACGCCGTCAAGACTTTCCTCAAATTATTCAAACTTCAAGTGGCTGGATTGTTTAACCATAAAACTTTAATATGTTAACGGCGCACGTGATTGATTTGAGTTTGGAGTTGCGCGACTTGCCAATTTTTACAAACGCAGACCAAGTCCAGAACACATCATCAATGACCATAGTGCACCTAGCGAAATGAGCGGAGCCAGAGTCACTGTCCTGCTCTTGTGCTCTTCACTTCTGCTTTTTGTTGTCTATTTTACGTGCAGTACAACAGATAATGAACATAAGGAGAGCTAGCTAGGATAGAACAGATGAACGTGGAAGACAGAGTTTCAGACTTTCAATCTCTGCCACCTCCGGATCTTGCAAAAGTTGCTTGTATTCTTTGCATACGAAGGAACAGAATGCGGATGCGCGTAGAGATCTTGGAAAGGCACATGTTACCGGATGCGGTGTGTTTTCATCAGAAATTTACACGATATAATCGAACGAACCATGAATGCTCTGCTGCTTAGTCAAGAGTATGTTGTCGGGCTCTGAGACATATGCCGCGACGCACGTTGTTTGAGTGGAATTTGAGCTTAGGCAAGATGAAACATGAAGTCACTACGGCATACAAGGTCTTTTTCTGCTATGAAAAGGTCGGGAACGTGTATTAGATACTTCATCACATGTGTTTGGCGTCAAAATAAAAGGGACCCCCACCAAGTATGTAGGCTTCCTTGTAAGCATCATAATGCCATGTAGTTAGAGAGCTGTGTCTTGGCGTCGATTGCTTCGTTCAGGATGAAGTCAAATGATAAGGGGACTCGGATGTTGAAAAACTTACTCTGAGGAAATCAGCTACCGTTTTTAAAGTGCTCAGCGTTAAGAGAAGTCATTACTGGGCAACCAGGATCGTATGGTCTTGACCGAAATGTGCTCATGTTTCCCTCGAGACGACGACAATTGACCCACTATGTTTAGGTCACTCACAACTATGGCTGCAGACGTATCATCGGCAATTCTATAAGACATCTATCGTAGACAAAGATCTCGATTTAAATTCTGGTATCCGATAGTTATCTTCGAATTAAAAGATGACATTGGTTATTCTGATCACTTGACAATCGAAACGATATCGAAATTACACTTTGTCGCCACCATGTCTGCCCCACCGAATTGGAGAGACAACAACCGTACGATTCAAATATTGAAGAAAGCCGAAAGAGAAAGATATGGCGTAATCGCAGCCATTGCATACAACCTTGAACAAATCCATGGCCTTGTGACCGCGGCAGTTGAGGCTCGCTCGCCTCTTGTTATTCAGTTTTTCCCGTGGCAGTTACCTTTGCCGATGGCCTGCTTATCCGAGCTGCTAAAGACGCCGTGTCTCGGGTCTCTGTGCCAATATCAATTCACCTTGATCACGCCCAAGATGAAAAGGTTATCAAGCATGCAGCCGACAACTTGCCCTTTGACAGCATCATGGTCGACATGTCCCATTACGAAAAGAAGGAGAACTTAGAGAAGACGGCCACGTGGGTGAGGTACTGTCACGAACGCGGCATTGCGACCGAAGCAGAGCCGGGCCGGATCGAGGGCGCGGAAGATGGCGTCATGGACACAGCGGGGTTGGAGGCCAGCAAAACCATGCCTGAGGAGGTAACTGAGTTTATCGCGACCGGGGTGGACTCACTCGCGCCTGCATTTGGTAACGTACACGGTGAGTATGGCAAACAAGGCCCACAGCTAGACTTTGAACGGTACTTTGATATTTCTTTGGCGGGGAGCGGCAAGGATGCTGATAAGCTTGCAGATTCGAAAGAATCCGGCTCCAGATCGATGGCAGAGTGAGCGTGGCCTTGCATGGTACCAACGGATTTCCGCCGGACCTGATGAAGCAGTGCATTTCTGCGGGCGCCACGAAGATAAACGTTAACAAGCTTGTACTGGATGACTACTACACGCATCTCAAGTCTCAAGTTACGCAACTCCCGCATACCACGCTGATTGAGGAGGGCACAAGTAAGGTCATCCGACAGACTAAAGAGTGGATGGAGATTTGTGGATCGGCTGGTAAAGCGTTGACAGAGTCGCTCCTAGACGTCTAATAGTTTCCATCGGGCTTTGAGCTCCTCACCGAGCGGCTTAATCGGCCACCCTGAGCGATCGCGACAGGCTTCCAGGAGCTTGAGAATAGAGTTGCGCTCTCTACTGTTTTCGAGGGGCAATCCAGCTTCACACGTTAGCCGTTGACTTTGTCCCAGCGAGCAGCAAGACCTACCAATAAAGAGACATTGAGAAGACATAATACTGGACGGGTAATCAATTAATGTCATGCCAATGCCGCAAACTCTCTTGATGCATTCCATCAACCGCTTTCGTTGTTGAGTGTACTGTTCCAGACCCCCGAGAACAGGAACATGCAAAAGAAGCAGGATCTGTGAGCAATAGTAGACTTGAAATGCCACAGCTGTATATGATCGCACGTTAGCTTTACAATACGAAAGGATCATTCTTAGAATTCGTCGTACCAAAGGCGGGAGGGTTGATCCAGATGGGATCAAATACATTCTCTGACGAGCTCGCAAAGGGCAGTGGCTGAAACTCTGCCGTCAGGTGTCGTCTCCAATTCTCCAACAAATCCTTGAGCCTTTCTGCCGCTGCAACCCGTGCGACGGGGTCACTTTTGCCTGCCTCAGTCTCCTCATGGGAGCAGAACGATACAACCTGAGCAAAAAGGTAAACTGAACGTGCGGCAAGTTCGCAGGGGTCGAGTTCATCCATTGTTCTCAGTGGTCGCCAAAAAGTAAACGGACGCCGCTTCTCGCGGAAGGCAGCCCAGACATCCTGACAGAGCCAAGCCCACCAGACAGCCTGCTTCAACCCCAAAGAGTCGCCATGTATTCCTTGAGAACGCTGTATGCAAAAAACACCTTTTAGATGTCTTTCCCAATCCTGTCTGGAGCCATCCAGCATCTCGTAGGCTGACACAATGGAACATGTGGCTAGTAATTCAAGGCTTGTTTTATATGTGTCGTATTGCATGGCCTCTTGGATGTAGTGTAGTGTCTTGTAATAATATCTCAAGGCGTCGTTTGGATCGCGAGTATCCGTTCCATCTGATGTAGTGCCGAGGGAAAGATGCCGCGCGGAAAGAGCAAGGATGGCATTCATAAGCCCGGCGTTGCGCATCTAACCCCAGAAACTCGTCAGTAGAGTACTCAGGCAAGATAACAGATCGAAAACACACACGGCAAGTTGGGGGACAAGCGTGCCGAATGGGCATTTGGGTTCGAACAAGTCCATCTAAGTGCGGTCAGCAGTGCTAGCTTGAGTCAAATGAGCGGTGGTTGCTTCCATGTTCACTTACCCACTGACTAACATGCTGCACAAAGTTCTTGAAGAGAACATGTTCACTGGACAAAAGAGATAGTGAAGCTGTAGACTTCCAAGTCTGCCTCTCCAAAATTCCGTACTCGTCCAAGTTCTGGACTCTCTCATGCAAGTACGAGTGCGAAGTGCACGGCTTTGGTGATGGACTGTCTCCTGCATTCTGTTGGGAAGACCGTCCTACAGCGGGTGATTTTACCACGGAGCTATCGAACAGACCAGCTCCTTCAGCTTCGAAGTTGAGACTTGTAAAGTCGAGCTGTTGCATCGCAGCATCCTGTAGGAGCAGATCGACCCATATTGCTGTGGCATTCTCTAGATTGGCCCCGAAGGAGCTGGATGTTTGTGCTGTTTCATGGGGCGTAACATCCTTATGTAAAGGATCTATTGCACTTTGGTCTGGAGTTTGTTGTTGAAAGCTTGGTCCATTATCGATGGAAAATTCGTGTGAGGCTTGTATCCCCTCATTTCCTGGCAAAATCACGTTGGGAGTAGCAGCTATGGTTGCAAGATGCTGTTCAGGTTCCTCAACTACCATTGATGGTAAAGATACTTGCCCAGCATCGTCGATAACCGGTGAACACTGAGGGGACGTTGATGCGAGCGGAGGAGATTGGGGCTGTTCCGGCTCCTTTCGAGTGGGCAGTCTCGAAGTAACTTCGTTTTGAGAGCTGACTGAAATTGGACCAGATCGCTTTCGGTTGGGTGGGCGTCTTGGAGCATATACGCAAGTGTGTTTTGTTCTTTGGCAGCCACCACATATGGGCTTCTTCTCATCACACTTCACATGACGGCGGCGACATGTTGTACTGCCCAATAGGATTGAATAGTGAGCAGGAGATGGATGCTTCAAAAATCAGTGGAAATCGTGAAGGAGTCTCACCAGCCCGTAGTATTTCTAAGTCCTCTACCACGTGAGAGTCGACCTCGGGTGAAGTAGCGATCTGATTGCTCGTCGTCGAGATCCATATGGACTTGCCTTCCTCCATTGAAATTTAACGAGTAAAGATGAGACTGTAATTAGCGTCATGAACCCGAGAACATTGATGACCTCTGTCAGGATATGATCATGCTTGTTAAGTTCAGATGGAGCCCATGATGAAGTTGCAAGACTGACGCGTTGGGTGTTGGGACTGGAGAATGGTGCATGCGGGGTACTGTGGGGGGAGACTCCACATCCCAGAAACGAGACCGGCATGGGGTTCCCAATGTCCGGCCGGAGGCCGGTGATCGGAATTGACCAGGCCGGCGGGAGCACCAACCAAGATAAGGCGGAACCAACATTCATGAGGGCGCATGTAGTTTACAGGCTTCTGATTGTGGCGCAAACATACAGATAATATTCTCTACACTGCTATTGTAAATGGACATACATGCCGCCATCTACCAGCATCTGGGACCCCGTCATAAACCCGCTGAGATGCTCGCAACCCAAGAACACGGCCGGCCCGGCCAGATCATGTGGCTTTCCCACACCCATCGGAATACGCTGCTCCAAATACTTTCGCTTCTGCTCGTTTTGCATGTCCTCTTCAGCCAGCTGAGTGTGAATAGTGCCCGGAAGCAGAGCATTGCACCTGATACGGTGCTTAGCTAGTGCAACTGCCATTGACTGAATCATTGACAAAACTGCAGCCTTTGTTGGTGTATAGTGTGTCTGCAGTCCTCCCCCTTGTAGTGCGCTGATGGAAGAGATGCCAATGATTGAACCCCCACGGCCTTGCTTGACCATTTGGTTGGCTGCTGCTTGACAGCAGTAGAATGCACCATTGACGTTGACATGCATTGTCTTGTCAAAAACCTCCTTTTCGAGCCTATTCAAACTTCAGTCAACCAATCTCTGAGAACTAAATGCCGATGTCAAGTTCGGACGTACGTCAGAAATTCAGCTGGTTTGAATATACCGGCATTGGCAATGAAAATGTCAAGTCCACCCCAATTCTTCACCGCTGCGCCGACAAGAGCTTTACCAGTACTGGGATCGGTTACATCTCCAGCAAGTTCTATCAGCTCCCCCGTGGGCGAATCCTTGGGGGCGGTATCACGAATCTTTTGAGCTTCTTCGATTAAGGTGAGCCTGTGCTTCTCGTCGCTGCGGAGGCCCAAGTGGTTAACCGCGACATTGGCTCCCTGTTTCAGGTATTCGAGTGTGATACCACGACCGATCCCGGTTGTGCCTCCCGTGATGCAGGCGGTCTTGCCCTTCAGCAGTCGCCAACTTGCTGTAGCCATTCTGCGAAAGGTGATGGAGTTGAGAGACGCGACAGTATGATTACAAAATAGTGAAGTATAACATTATGACATAGTCTTACATAGAATTATGACCCCAAGGCCATATGGGTTGTCACTTGAGCTCCCTGACTACGAGTCGGATCTTACCCCGCACCCTCGTCTCGAGGGAAAAACTGACAGGGCCGCGGGGCAAAGAACAGGTAGGGCCAATTATCAATGGATGCTTGTGGCGTATCATGACCTAATAAATTCTAGTTTCTGTTCCAAACTACTTGAGGTATAAACTGGCTATCAGTTTGTCCAAAATAGGCCGTTGTTCACAGTTGAGTGCTACATGTTAGACCGGCAGTTGGTCTTACTAATCAGAATGCGTTCATGAGGGTTTGTCTGAGTCTGGCAATAGAAGGGGAACAACACAATAGAGGCGCGCTGGCTAAGATTGGTTACTATACATTGTGTACTTTGAAACTAATTCACAATATGTCAATTGCCAGCTGAGGGCTGCCGAGTGCTTCAGAAAGGAAAGAAAAATGCAGGCCCACTCAACACGACAAACGCGTCTTTTCCAAATCATTAGCACTGGAAAATGCTGTCACTAGCCTGCGAAGCCGGAATCGAATGAGAACAGTAGCTGATGCTTTGATGGGACTTTTTGAGCTTGTACTACACGAAGGATCATTTTCTGCATTGGGCGTCAAGTCCTCGAAACGTCAAGCAAAATGCTAACACTCGTATTGAGATTTTGGTGGAAGTTATGTGGCTTTTTAGCTATCACTGACGTAGAAGGTCTACACAAGTCTCATGTCCATGAGGATAACAGAGACATAGCACGATTGCATCAGTGGCGGCTACAACGATACATCACTATCTAGTGTTAACCGAAGTAAAACATAGACACCAGAACTTCCGACCAAAATTGCATCGAGCGTAGGGCTGCAGATGACGTATTTGACCTTGTCGGTGCACCTAGCCAAATACCCGGCTGTAGGAAGGGTTCGTTTAGTACTCGTAATACCCTTGCAAACATCCTCGAGGAGAGTAACACCATCTCTGTCCTAAATTTGGAGTGTTTTGCGTTGCTTACAATGCCTTCCATAAGACTAACGAATCGGTGAAAAGAATCGATGAGGAAGTGGCTCGTAATGTCATTTGGGGGCCGTGTTCCATCCTTGGAGCTAAGGAACGCGAGTGCGCAACCCTGCCCGCATGCATGTGCTTGAACAGCCCTAGCTGGCGCTAGTTCAAGGCAACAACCATATATATTTCTCATGAGCGATGCATCTTGCATGTTACCGCAGGACGTGGATCAACTTAGGGAACAGTACAAGACGCGGCTGTAGCCCATGACCGGGTCGGTGGAAGTCCGACGCGCAGGATACGATGGCACATCTGATGACAAGTTCTCTGGGTAACACACAACGATACATACATGCCATGGTTTAGTCTGTGGTAAACTCCTCCTCGTGCGTGCTCCGGTCCAGGCACAGTTCCCCGCGGCTTACCCTCTTGATCGCCGATTTGGGTAGCCGAATCCCGTTTTCCCGGGGTTTGTTTGCTGCCCGAAATTAGTTTATCAAAGATAAGCGGATAATGGCATGAGGCCCCCACTCGACCGTTGCTTACTGTGCTTTTTGGTGTGTTCACGAGATTCTGTCCACAACTGAATCCTTCAACGTTCAACTTCGCTACTGAATCATCTTAATCCCTATCACAATGGCTGCCACAGCGCCTGACCCAGCCCGCGTTCATTTCATGCTGTGTTATTTTGAGATACGGGGACTATAGCCAATCTGGCAATACAGCAACTAAGCCATTGGATGCTTGACTTAGTCAGTGGAGCATGTGGCCTTTACTTCCCTTGTTTAGCCATCGGAAGAAACCGACATCCGAGTTTTCCAATTCCACACGATAGTAATCACCCCTCGCCTCGACTTACGCTATTCTCAGTTTCGAAACGAACCAGACCACTGAGGCGGGGAAGCTCAGTGGCCTAGCCTCGGAAAGTGGGAAGGTCCAAACCAATTTTTCTGTGCGAAGTCCCGCCTTAAGCCTAAGTAGCGAACTGAACGCGCTGTTGCCACTTGTTGCCTGCAAATGCACCGTGGTGATTCGTCGCCCACCAGGCCTGAGTCTCGTCTCTTCTCCCTCGTTCATGTATCTTAGTAAACCACAGGAAAGCATCGCCACAACAAAGCACCACCGCTGTACTTTGATAAGCTGGGATGCGTAATAAGTGAATAACCGTACGCCTTGGTGAGACTAAACGTCAGATCGCTGGAACAGAGTACCGACAATGATAAAACCCCCTCAACTGACCCAATTCTGCGCTTCTTTTTGTCATCAACAACTTTCATTTTTCAGATAACTTTAAAAATTTAGACTGCGCAGGAACGACCCGATCAAAATGCTCCCATCCACTAAAAGTCAGACTGCTGCGTACAACCACAACAGCTCCGTTTCAGGAGACAATGAGAGCGACAACATGGAGACGAACACCAATTTTGACGACATTGAGTTCTCGCCTGAGGAACAAAAGAAGATCATGAGGCGTGTCGACGTACGCCTAGTGTCCACCGTTGGACTGCTGTATTGCTTCTCTGTCATTGATCGCTCAAACCTCCCTTCGGCTGCAGTTGCTGGCATGATTGGGGATTTAGATATGACCGGAAACCGATATGTGAGTTCTGGTTTCTGAACGGGACTTTCCGTGGCCATTACTGGTCATTACTGATTTACTAATAACCAAAATAATAAGTCAATTGTCAGCTTGGTGTTCTTCACAACGTACATCACTTTCCAGCCGATCTCGGTCATTCTTTCTCGGACTCTTGGACCGCGTGCCTATTTTACCGGCATAACCATGCTCTGCGGAGGCATTGTTCTCGGGATGGGATTTTTGACGCATTGGAGTCAGATGGTTGCTTTGAGAGTCATTCTCGGCGCCCTTGATTCGGGCTTTTTCCCCAGCTGCGTCTACCTCTTGAGCACTTGGTACACCCGTTGTGAGTTACTCTCTTTTTCCGTAACGAAATGCCTTGAAGGCTGACCAAAGACAGACGAGGTTGGAAAACGGTTTTCTGTATTCTATATGATTGTGTGCTTTGCTTCGGCATTTGCCGGGATCTTAGCGTTCGGTGTGAGTTCCTTACTTTCGAAATGGAAGTTGACATCAGCAACTAACTCGGGCCACAGCTCACCAGGCTCGAGGGCAGAGCAAACTTGCGGGGTTGGTCGTGGATCTTCATTATGGAAGGCATTATCACATGCACCATTGGCATCGTTGGATACTTCCTCCTGGTGGGATTTCCGGACGCGCAAAAGCGAACGTGGAGGTTCCTCTCTGAAAAAGAGACTGCCTGGGTCATTTCCAGAGTCCAAGCCGACCGAGGAGACGCAGAGTTGCCAGCTTTCAGCATCAAGAAGTTCCTCAGAGGGGGTGCAGACGTCAAAGTATGGGCTCTGGCTCTCATTTATTTCAACAACGCTCTTGTCAACTTCTGTGAGTTGCTAGCCACTTTGTTTCGGTCAAGGTCTCAGCTAATCATAAGTAACAAAGCCTTATCTTTCTTTCTCCCCATAATCCTCAAAGACAACATGGGCTTCACCACAGGACAAGCCCAAATTCTTACGGCACCTCCTTACGTCTTCGCTGCCATCATCATGTACATCACAGGCTGGCTAGGAGACCGTTACATGTTACGGGGACCCATCATAATTGGCGATATGGTTTTGTCCATCACTGGCATATGCTTGATGGGATTCCACAACGATGTTGCTGTGCGCTACGTTGGCGTTTTTCTAGTTACTGCAGGTGCGGTCAGTGCTACGCCTGCGACTATGGCATACCAGGCGAACAACATCCGTGGGCAGTGGAAGCGCGCATTCTGCAGCGCCTTCGTTGTGGCAATCAGTGGGATTGGTGGAATAGCAGGCTCGCTTGTATTCAGGCAAGTGTTACTGCAGATATTCCATAAAACGTGCTGTAGATCTTGCTAACCACTTGAGTAGAAGTCAAGATAAACCTCGCTACCTTCCTGGACTCAGCACTTGCTTGGGATCTGCAGTTCTCAACATCATTGTGGTTATTTGTTTGAGCATCTACTTTTACTATTGGAACACAAAGGCTGATGACGGTGAGATCGAGCTTGAGGCATCGGACGTAAGTGGCTCCCAAGACATCATCGTTTGCGTCTTTTGAGGAGAGATTGACAGAAAAGCATTTGAGTATGGTGCAGTTGACTAACGTATACTTGTTCAAATAGGAAACCCAAGCATCCGACTTCCGCTACACCTATTGATGGTCACATGTCCCCGCGACAATATTTTATGAATGAGGAGGCCAGTTTTGGTACGCCGTTTGCATTCCTAATAACGTTCGGCGGCATTCGTCTTTTGTTGGTTTTTCGAAGCATTGTAAACAGTGACCGTAAGGAGTTTATCAAACAGAGAGTATAGAACATGGATTAGCGTTGCCTGATTTAGCTCTTGTTCGTTCAATTCTGATTTGATTATTGAAGAAATGTGTTGAAGGCTTTTCATAGCATCATCCCTCCATCAGGAAGGCCTTCCGATCAGGTTCCTCAATACCGAACTCACTCATACTAGTCTCAACCAATTCAAAGAAACTCTAAGCCTAGTAGCAGTCATACGATAGAGAACATGGGTTCCGGAAATATTTTAAGCTACTGTTTTTTGTCTGCATTAGTGACATGTATACTTTCTTTACCAGTTCAAGGACAATTAGAGCGATGAGCGGGCCGTCTGATTCCAGACGATCGTTTTCCATGATGTGCTCAGCAACTGAATGAACGCAATGATTCCAACAGAGAACTCTTACCAAAATGAAGCCGCTTCATAAGTACGGTCTAGTTGGGCATTGTTATACGAATTAGTCGACTGAAACAACAGCACAGTATCGACAATATACTTACACACCACTCAATAGGGCCAAGAATCCATGCTTCATCTACGATCTCGCATCCGCTCGGTAAAAAAAAAAAGGAAAATTGTCATTGTAGCTTGCGTCACACTGCAAGATATCAGTACATATGCGTAGTATAATTTACATCTCATATGGCCATGATACCTACCTACCCACCATAGATGCGGGTGCTAAACGTGATATGGGTTAGTAGAAAAAAGTGCTCCTTAATACGAAATAAGACACATACGTCGTATACCATGGGTCAGTGCCCTGCTCCCCAATGTATTTACAGTAAGGACCGTTGCCAGACACAATTTCGGCAAACACAGCTCCCACCTGGAGCAAAACTATCGCGTAAAGGCAATTCATTGTGATATAGAAAGATCAATCTAGCTTGCTGGAATTATTTCGAGTACCATAAAGGATTTGTACTGGACTGTTTAGTAAGACTTGCGATATATTATAAAAACCTATTCGTGCGTACATGATCCCTGAAAAGTAGATGTTATACTGACTTTTCCCATTAAGTGGCATAATAATCGATTATGGGCGGCGAAACCCGAGAGCTACCTTGGAAGCTTGTGTACCAATGACGTCTAAAGTAGGGTGAGGGATCGGTATGCAATGCTCTAAGCTTCTAACCAGCAGTTCTAAAATAAAAGATCTATCCTTGTCTCGTTGAGCAGAGTTTTTGCTTCCCCCACTGTCTGAAAAGCTTTGTGCTACAAAGGGTCCCACTGCTGCTAGGAAGGTCTCACAAGAAATAAAACTAGTTAGTGGCGTTGGCTCTTATCGTAGTAGTCTTATAAGTGTTAGAGTGCAGCGATTCAAGGGCGCAAGACAGGGGTAATTACTGCTACGGCATGACAATACAATTGCAGGGCTGAGAGCTGTCAGAGTGGTGTAGGGGCATGGCACCCAGTCTGCTGAAGAAAACATCTTCAGTTCATTCAACCTTCATGGCCATAAATGTGGTAAACAAGCAAATGGTTCATTAACCAATGGTCCGTTACGAGATAAACCTGAAACATCTGCATAAAAAAGTCAATTCGTCCAAAAAGCTTCCCAAGCATTCTCGCAAAGCTCATCACGGATTTTCCTCGAAAGTTCATCAAACCCTATGGGCTCTTTTCCGTCCACATTGACTTTACCTTCCGTCACTCCCCTCCAACCTTCAATAGGAACTTTGATATACTCATGATTCCGATCACAAATTGGCGTAGCGTTGACTCTTCCCCTTGAACCTGCATCATTTGTCCTCTTTCCATAACACTCTTCACACAAAAAGACGTCATAACAAACCAAGCAACGGTATCCAACTCTTCCTTCCCACCAGGAGAATGTCGCTACCGGTTGGCAAGCACCATCACAGAACCACTCGAAACCCTTTTTGAGATCTCCCTCGTCAGTTGGAGGCCTTTGATTATTACCTGTGGTTGAGAATCCGCTGTTTGATATGTCTCCTTCATCGTTGTCTTCTGTGCTGTCCGCCCCCATTTCCGGGTCGAGATGACAGAAAACGGACGACTGGATTATTCGGCTTGCCCTTAAAAGTTTCGACCCGTCCGGGATTGCTGTACCCAGTATACTGAGGGCTGATGATAAGTAGCTGAGATTGTTCATGTCATTCCAGATGACCGCATCATTGAGTACGTCTATAGAACTGATGACAACGGTTTGAAGTGTTTCGTATAATTTGATGGCTGGACCCAATTTCAAATACATCCGAGCTAGAACGATCAGACATTGATTGAGAAAGGTTTTTGAAAGAAATGGTATATCTAGAGCAAGAGGGCGCGTAGTGAGGTTCTCTACGGCGACAAGTAACATGGACTTGTGCTCAAAGTCGCTGGAGCTTCGAAACAGTTGGTAGAGAACGTCACTTTGGTGACCAATTGCGCGGGATAGCGTGACATTGGGTGACTGCTCTGTAACCGCGTACGGCCAGCCAGTTGACCCGCTGTCGAGGACTTCGTCAAGCACTTGCCGGGCGGCTTCTAGATCCCCCTTCACGTGTTGATAGGCCAAAGCAAGATCGATTTTCAAGGGTGCTGCGGCGTTAACATTCTCCAAGTATTTGATGGACTCCAAATACATCTGAATAATGAACGCAGCTTCTCCCGATTCAACGGCGACATCTCGGAGTAGACGCGATCTTTTATCTTCCAAGTCATCGTACCGCCAGCAAAGCCAAGTAAGACGCTCGAGGGGGTTCCATTTCTTCAAGACTTCAAGGAGTTTTTGTTTGCCGACCTCATTAGAGAAAAGCTCTACTTCCTCGTCGAGGATATCGCCAGTTGTCAAGCTATTTGGGTCGACCGACCTTGCTAGCTCGTAAGAAGCAGCTGAAAGTTCGATCATTTTCATTTTGGCCTCGATCTTTGCTTTGGTGGTACAAATCGAGCGACGCAGCGACTCGGGAATCGTCTCGTCGTACATAGCCTCGTAGCACATAAGAATCTCCGCGTAAGCCACTTGCGGATCATGTTGTAGGCAGATTTGAGCCATCAGCTCAGCAGCTCTGACCTTCTCAAGTGCTACTTGGCAATCGATGGCTTTCTGGCAGGTCTCCTTGGCGGGCTCCACATAATCAAAGTAAAGCAGAAGTGAGGCCAAGGATCGATAGCCTGTCGCTGTGATATCAATACCCTCAAATATTCCTTCGATGCCAAGAACGCCTTGCTCCTCGCTAAGGGTTGTAGTATCATCTTCAACCTCAGTCATGAAGTTCCTCTTTGCTTGTTGTGTAATGATGGTCTCCATGTCGCCCTAACAATCAATCTGCTCAGAACTTGTAATTCTGCGTTTAAAAAGGGTAGGCTTACCACCTTCAGAGCTTCTCTTACCGCAAGATAGGACGTCAAAGCTCCTTCAAGTTCAATAGAGGTGTAAATCCTGCGTATGTGGGCTTCGGCGATATGACGAAGACAGTCTCGAGGACGGTAAGAAGCCAACTTCCACCACCTTGCGATATCCCCATTTAGTTCTGTCTCAGCCTTATCGAGCAATTGGCTCCAGGGCACAATATTTGCAAAGAAATCATCTCCAAATATTACGGAATAGCCCGATTCGTTGTGTTCTAGCATCGGAGCCAACGATTTGTGGGTCAGAGTGGAAGCAAGTGTGTTAATTACCTCCACTTGCTCTTGAAGTGTGTGTTCCTCTGGATCGATACCTAGCCAATGTGCAGTCAGATAACTAGTTGCATATTGACTGATTGAACTAGCACCTGATGGTTGATCGAGCTTCGCGGACGCGATAAGCCTAGCACAATCAAGGAACATTTGTCGATGAACCTCAGACTGCTTGAACAGCTGAGTTCCAGTTTTCACAGGCTCTGTGCTGAAAAAGGATCGCATTGAGCGTTCTTGGAACTTGACAGGCAGCTCACCATCATTGTAGATTGCCTCGTGGTTAGCTGTTGTTTGACTTTTCTCCAATTCATGGATGTTAGTGCCCCAACCACCTTGAGATTGGATTCTCATTCGCTTTTCAGCATCAGATCCTGGATCACCAACTTGGAGGAACTTGTCGAAAGGCTCAGGTATCCTTTCAATTTCGAATTCTTCATCGGCGGTCCAAAGTCTCGACAGTGAGATTACTTCGTCGAGAGTAAGGGGACGAAATGAGAAAGCCGTCCAAAGGAGCAGTTTGGAAACAAGCCCTCGATGGGATAATTCCATGCGACGGAAACATTCACTCATGAGAGCCGCGTATAGATCATAAAGATTTGCTGGGAAGGGTTTTTCTAGGCTTCGAAGCACAGCACCCTCACGACCGATTGCATTGAATTGCTTTAGCATGTGCTCTGCATATAAAATGGCTTTCCACGTCAGTGCGAACAAGTCAGGAACGAAGCGGGTAAAGTGACTTACTCGAAGACGCCTCTTCGACTTTGTCGGCAATGCGTTGCTGAACGTAGCGATCAAACTTCTGAAGAGTAGATAGATTGTTGAGATTGTTGCAAAAAATTGCCCTCATGTCCTTTATTTGGTTTTTTTTCGTGACATTAATACACTGCAGCTGTGAAAGCTCCTGGAGAGTGGTCAAAACTCCAGGTCGGGAGGTGAAAGCGACTTTCACTTTCAACCCGTTTTCCCGTAAAACTTCCAGAAAGTTTAGAAATTCTGAGAGATCGTCGACCTCATCGACGCCGTCGAGTATCAGTAAGAGCCGGTATCTAGAGGTTTCTCCAAATGCCAGAGCCAGTATATTCCGAACGAGACTGTCAGCAATCCATCGGTTGAAGCTGAAATCGTCTTTGATGATTTCTGCGTTGATCAACTCGCAAAGAGGTGCGCTCTGCTCCACAACTTGATTTATGATGGTTGTGATCGCACTGACAAAAGAAGAGAGACTCTTGGACTGCTCTCGGAAGTAGAAATAAGCAGCACATGTCTGGTTAGATGCATCGCTCTTAGCCTTTTGCATCAGTCTTTCATATACGGTGAATCCAATGTGACTCTTTCCTGAGCCGGGTGGTCCGGTGATGGCTAAGACCGAGTGATCGTCGTCGCTCCTTCGCAGCCATTCCTCCCACTCAGGCTGCAGGAAAACCCAAGTGCAAGTGTCTTTAACCATGGTTTCCCTCAAGACGTGATACTCGTGATCTTCGCCCTCGACCTCGAGTAAGAGGTTGCGAATTCTCCTGGCCGACGGTGGCTTGCTCTGCTCGGATGATTTGCCTCGTTGGTCACTATTACGGTCCTTTTTAGGTTCCCGCTGTTGGTCCTCGATGACTCTGAGCAGCTTGGTAACGTCACTTCGGATAGTTTCGGTCGTATCCCGAATGGAGCTCATGACCTGCATCTGTTCCCTGAGCATCGCAGTATGCGACTTTTGGTTTTCCATCAGCTCTATGGCCATATCTCTTAGCTCTTCCGTGTTATCAAGGATGGCAAATTCGGTTGCTTCTTGAAGATTCTGAACCTTCAGGTCCATGTCCTTGCGAGCTCCCCCAAGGTCGCTGTCCTCGCCTTGAAGAAAATTCGTGATCCACTTCTCTGTAAATGAGGTCAGCACTAGTTAATATGGGTAAACAATCAACTTACTGAAACGACCCAATTCAATATATTTGTGCGCGAAGCCACACATAACAAGAATGTATGTAAAAACCTCCATTAAACAGTTTTGATAGCTCTTATGCTTTGGAAGCCGCGTCTCTAAAATGGTGATTCGTTGTAGGAAACTGTTCATGTCTTGGAAAAAGATCACCACCACGTCGTAGTCAGCTGAGAGTTTCCGACATGCCTAATAGATCAGCTTGGCTTATCAGCAGAATTAAAAATTACTCACGCCCAGCATGAAAGTAACAGCCGTACCAATGGCCGCGGCTGGAGGAAAAGCCGGTGCAGCGGCCGAGAACAGTTGTTGGGCACCTTGTTCAATGAGGTCAAGGTTCGCGGCAAACAAGCTTCGTAGCTTGTCCACCTTCTTGTCATTGTGACGGAACTTGTGGAAGTTTTCCATGTCTTTGGTGCCTTGGGCAATCATCACTTCAACGTTTTCAAATTTGCGCTCGAGGTCGAACCCCACAATGCCCTTGTAGGCTTTGAGGGCCTCTTTCCACAGATCGGCGACATCTCGGCCATCGTTCTCCCATGTATGAGGCGCTTTCTTTTGGACCGAGCTGACTGCCATTGTTTGTTGTGTTCCAATGTATAGAGATCTGAAAAAGTGGGATGCGGGAATGATAGCAGAAACTTTTGGAAGTCTGAGACCGATGGCACGCCGCGTCTTTTATAGTACCACCTGGCATTATTGAACCATTGCGCTAGTTTGGGAACTTATTTGAGGCTAAGCTGATGAGGATCCCCACATATGCGCATCATGCTGACATGCATGATCAGCTGGAGCTTTGTGAAGCATTTGCATTTGTCCCATTTGCTGCACTATCCCAGCTTTTTCTGACCTTCAGCTCGTCAGGTTTTTCTAAGCATGGGTTTGAATGGAAGTATGAATTTGGTTAAGTTGCTAGGCCAGATTGTTCGCAACACATCGATCAGATAACTACCACCTTCCTGTTAAAAGACTCCCAACGCCACATGAAAATTCGCAATATGATTCATGTTGCCAATGGGTCATACCAGACAACCCTAATTCTTTTGTAGTACACTGTATTGCCTCTTGAGAGTGGCGAGAATCGCCAAAAAATACATGCCACATGACTTTGGGCTCGATGTAAGAAATCTAAACGGCAAGTGAGTATTATGACTGCTTAAGCCTCTATGAACTACGTTCTTAGGATGATGGATACAGACTGAGTCGGCTGCTTGTGTTCCGATCTCAATAAACCTTTCTGTCCAATCAGCTTCCTGTTGCAATATCGTATAGGCGGCAATGTATGTAGATGATGTGCTCAGCTTCTGTCAGTAGTGGCGCAGCACTAGGCCCAGGAAACTACTTTTAGTACGATCTATGCCGAGTTGTGATGCTATTTAGCCGTCACGTTCACTCGCAGATAGATTCTAGAAATCTGTTGAATGGATTCTCTCTTCCTGAGAGAACCCGTGTGTACGATCGTACCCGGGTTAAAAGTTAGGGTGAACCAAAGATGTATTTTCCGTGATTATCTTCCTAACTACAAGACTTGGCTTTCGTACACGAGATATATGGTATTGTACGTCCCTGAGTCAGTTCGGCATGAATATACTTTGATCCTCTCAATGGATAACCGAGGGCCGAATATCCAGTCTGTGCCCTCTGCCATGATGTGTGTCCTTGAGTCGTGCATGTCGTACAACCAGCTGGTGCTGTTATTCCAACAAAATCAAATATTTCCCACTTGACTGTGTGGACGATCAGTTTTATCATTCGATAAATAAGCGAGTCTTGAATAAAGCTACCGTTCTGTTTTACATCTTTCCTCCATCCATTCGTCCTCTAGGCTCTATCGAGTAGCTACCCTCGAAGTCCGGGAAATCTTCTTCAATTCTTCTCTTTAACGCCTTCAAACAGTCACGCTTACGGAAATTCCTCAACTCAGGCCAGCCGTGAGCGCGATGTATGGCCTGTACCTTTTCTATAAAGCTCTCCGATCGCGAGCCGAGTGGAGTTTATTTGTTAAGATCAGTTTGTGAACTAATCGGGACAAAGTTCAATGTAATAAACTGATCTTTAATGATTCTCAAAGAAGTCCTTCACGGCCCATCGAGTAGCAACACCGCGCCAGTCAGCCTCGTTTTCTGGTGCCCACTCGTGAGGGTCATCGTATATTGGCTCGCGCGAGGGATTGGAATGGATCCCGACGGGGCATCCGTGCTAATACACCATGCCTAGTTCAGTGTCGAGCAGAAAAACGGAATTGTTGAGATTGCCCGACGTGACGCTGATCAAGTGAGGAGGAGCATTGTCGTAGATATCAGCAACTTCTGTTATGATTCTCAATTCACCACCCGTCGCCTCTCCGCACTTCATATGGTGGCTTTTGGAAAGCCAGTTCGCAAAGTAGCATTCTGGAGCGCCGTGTGGGTCCTTCCCATCATATAGTTAGTCTGCGCAAGTAAGGCAGTTGGCAGGGAAGGGCAACAACCTCGTCCGTTTTACCGAGCCATTCCAGGGAATCTGCCATGACATAAGTCCAGCCACCTTCTGGTGGTTGTTTCGCATCCTCTTCTCGAAGATACATCTTGGTAAGGAAGCTGTAAAAATCATGAATTGCCGTGATACACTTCTCCCATAAATAGTTTATCTCATCGAGTTCAGGCATTTCTTTGATCTCTTCTTCTTCTTCTTCTTCTTCTTATTGCAGTGATAAAAGATTGAGGGAGGACAAAGAGGAGGAGGAAACCATGATGAGGAAAACTAAAGGGCATGAAGTCTTTCAATAGTGGGGCTAAGCCTAGATGGTAGAAGAGAGGCGGACGGGGGAAGAGGGATGGGCCAGGCTGGTCTACAACAGGGTGGCCATCCAGTGATACCTCCCGCCATTCCCTGAAAGCTTCTGCCTACATAGTTACAATGGAACTTGAGAGAACACATCGCTTAATTTCTACCGTGAAGTAAATTTGAGGCTCCGAGGACTATTCAGCCTGTTTTTTAAGTGACCTGAATTTCGTCTTCACCTAGCTCTTCCAAGAGCCCAATCACAGTTAGAGAATTAGTATTGAATCGATAACTTGCGATAGACGTAATAGTGCTGTGCTCTAGTCCAAGTCTTAGTTTCCACCACTGAGAACTTGTTGAGTACCAGCAAAAGGGGTTCCGTCATGACATTATCATCAGGTCTGCGATATCAACTGGTGAATCTACTACGAACGCAAGCAGCCAAGCGCTACAAACCAAATTCTCACCTTAGAGTCCTGAGACCACTACCAGAACAGGTGTCGGCTCCATAAGCGTGCCACCGACGATACTGTCTCCAAATACTTGGACGAATCTTACAAGCACAATCAAAATAGGCTGTGAGTTAACAAGACACATACGAATCCGAACTTCAAGTACATGCAATGGCTCTGTCAACTTTAAGCGATTGGTACGGCTAGGTACTTGGAACGGAATAGCGGAGCATTCGCCGAGGGGTGTCGCTACTACAGGGCCCATTTCGGGTGTCCATGCAAGGCAATTTAACAGCCCTAATGACTCAGCGCTTCGACTATTCCTTGACAAGACGATGGACTATGTGAAACTAGATAACAGATCTCGGCAGGTCAACCGACCGTGCGTTGCTGTCAGCAGGAAAGAGATCCGTACAGGGTTACAAGGGGAGTGAAGGGGTATGTTGTGATGAGGTAATGTTGCACTGGATCTTACAGATCACCCTAGAGAGAGAAGAAAGGGCAGTTAAATAGTGCGGCACCATGGCCGGTAGTGTTGAGCATCGCAAGTAGACGGACGCCGAAAGGCTGCTTAACTTCCTTCCCTTTGATGTGACCATGCGTATCCTAGCCGACTATGATTCCATACTACGATGCGCATACCACATTCACTAGGTTTACTCCGTTGATCATTGTTTGTTTCATACGTTGTGCGGAAAACAGGGCTCGAGTCTCCGGAGATGGATCCAGCCCCCAAGCTTATCTTAGACTCCGCTGAAGGAGTTTGTGACTTGTCTTCTGTGATCATACTCATCACCATCGTAAGCCTTTGGATAGGCGTGCCGCTGAATTTAGACGTATAGACAGGCTTTGCCAGAAGGAAAACGAAAAAGAAAAAGAACTCAGGATTTTATGTCCCCTCTGTATACTCCAGTCGGCTTCTATCACATTTAGGGACAGTGGTAGGACCATATTTGTCGCAAAAGTCTCCGCTGGTTTGATTTCTCTTACTTCGCCGGTGAATCAAGCATTTGCATTCCCTTGTTGTTGCAAACCAATAGGATCAAGAAACTAAAAATCGTTCTTTTCACCACATCTGCCCTCCCGTATCGTCTTAGTTATCTGGCTGCAAGCCCTCAGCGACGAGAGTGGGGGAGGCTGGTTCCGCAGGCATGCGATGTAGTCCCCGGAACTCAGAGCCGAGCTAGTTGGAGCATGGGTTACCTGCACTACCAGGATTGTAAATACTTGGGTGCCTTGCTGGGGCGTCAGGAAGCTAATCAAAAATGTGGTACGGAGAGCCTTCCGGTGCCGGGGGACGGTGCAAGGCAGTCTTTAATCCTGGGCCTCTTTTGGCGCCACTGCCTAAGAAGAAGCAAACGGGAGCTGAAGCCTTCAGTGTTATCATTTGGTTGGTACTTTCTTTTCATCGTACTAGGCATTCACAGCGCAGTCGTGTTAAATTTCGCACCAGAATAGTAGCCTATTGGCATTTCCATTTCCGTGCACTACCCCAAACTTGAAGCCCACTTGCCGCTTTGCCCATTGAAGGACATGTGCCTTCATGAAGCAACAAATGTTCCAAAATCTTTGCAGCTGCCCTATCACCACGTCAAACCTGGGCTCTCTTTTCCCACATGGGGTGAAGGAATTGGAACACTGCTGCCCAGTTGCTACTAAGACTTCTCCATCGGCAAGTATGTTTTTTTCGATATTTCATACTGACTACGCTTTGAACCAACGAATTTGGGAGTTTACAGTTGCTCTACATCCGCATTGCTTTTTATCGCCTCGGGATCAGAAGACAAACCCAACATGATAATGTTGCCCGTTACCATCTCTACGTAGCACCGCAGGAACGTGGCCGAATCTAGATAGAGAAGCCCGGAAGTAACCATCGCATGCACCTCGATTACTGTGTCACATTCTAGTTAGTAGCAGTCGGGCGAGGAAATAGAAAACATGTAGCAGTCTGGTGCTATTGAGGCACACCCTTTACTTCACCGTTCACTCAGTTTCCACACCTCATATGCTGTGGCATGTTGACCTAGTGGCCAGTTCACCACTGAACTCAGTAGAAGGACAAACATGGCTTCAACAGACCGTGGACTGTTGGTTGACAGTGATCAACAAGTCCTCACATATATGGCATCTCCACCATACAGACGTCTTTGCATGCATTGACTTTGGTTCAATTTGGTTCAAAGACGAGCTGTTATCCCTGTATCTGAAATAAGATTGATCGAGCACCCCTGGCTGTCGCATCGCGAAAACACGCGTTGGACCAACGCTGCTGTTATTCGGCCACCAACCCAGCAAGCCCTGCTGGACCGGTGTACCTTGCCAGGGTCTTGCGCTTGCGTACACTGTTCCACAACATGTATGTCTACTCTTGCATTCTTGGCGCACCGTTCAGGCCTACCCCAATTTTGTCACATCAGCCTTTGCTGTAATCAGGAATCTTGCTCGATGACCGTTTGTGACCCGTCAAATATTCATCCTGGTGCCTGAGTCTTTTGGTCGTCAACGGCAGGAGTTGATAAAAGATATGCATTGGTTGATCGTGCATACGATAAGAGATCAACTGACTGAAGCACGCTTACTGCCCAAGTGAGTCCCTCGAATTTTATGAGCTTCACTTAGCTTGCGATGCCTTCTCGCTAGATGCTGCTTGTAACGAGCCGCAAAATGCCAGACGCCCTTCTTTACAGTCCTTGGTGCATGTAATACGCACCAGCAACACCGACTGCTTGCTAGTCGGTCCGACTCATCAATCCATACCCCAGAAATGTGACTGTGTAGGCGGCTAAGATTATGTTGGGTGGTGAGAGTAGCTGCATGCCAATGCTTACCAACCTGGTTACATGTTGGAAGTGACATGAACCTGTTGGTGCAGGGTATCATGGATACTGAACTTACCATTGAGATATGCGGCCGCCTCTGAACAGGTTAGGCTATTGGGCACCATCGGCTCGCTAAGTCACAAAGGTGGCTGATAGAATGGATTATTATGTACACTCCCTGATGAAACAACATCATGCTGCTGGGTTCGGTTCATAGGCTCAAAGCACTGTCGGATGCATGTGAGCTGTTTCCGCGGATCTATGAGCTTTGACTTGTCACCCATCAGTCAAATTCTCATGGACCCACCCCTCTCCCCCAGTCCGCTGCCCTGCAAGCATCCTTATCCCCTTGCCGTGTAGGTACTGTTGGAAGCAATTCAATACAGTCCATCCAAAACAGTCACTTAACAAAGATTTATAACCTTCTGTATTTATCCCCTCTTTCTCTGAAGTCTTCCTATTGCGATGAATCTGGTATTTGACAAATTCGCGACAACACTGGATTGAAACACCTTAGAAGCCACCTCGGACAAAACAGGAGCTTATGTCTTGTTTTTCTACCACCTTTCTCCATCGAGCCAACCTTCGAGCTTCATCCCCAGAACGCGTCGCGGTGCTAAAAAAGACCCCATCTTTCACGGCAAAGCCTTTGCCCCATGACGGTGCGGCAAAAGCGCAAGCCGACATCCCGGCTAATGGGAGGGAATCACAAACGTAAGGCCAACAACGTTCGCGAGTCTAGGCTATGCTCCTCACCGACCTCTGCCAAGAATACCACTCCCGAACCTGAACACGTAACAACGCCAATGGGGGAGTCTGGTCAGCATGCGGATAGCATCCTCTGCAAAGGCTCGGTCGAAGAGCAGCAGGATGATGCGGACGACTCACCTGAAATCTCTGATACACACGACAAATTGTATGTTTCGAACAACGAGAATACTCAAACTGTGACCAAGGAAGAGCTGGCTGAGATGTCGGAGTCGATACAAGAAATGTTTGACAGCCTTCCAACCTTTGCGAAGGTAGAGGCCTTGTTGAACAAAGAAATAAGTGTCGTACGCTCGAAGCATAACAATTTGAAGAATGAGGTCCAGGAGCAAAACAAGATCTTGCGCGATGAGGTGCGAGATGCGATGGAGGCAACCCGGAAACTCACAGATACCAAGCACGACACGTTAAGCGCCGGTTTGAAAGAGACACATACTTGTGTGGGGACCTTGTCCACGAGCATACTGTCCTTACAAGTCGAGTCAAACAATTCCAAGAAGGCAACTGAGGAAAAGGCAAAACAAATGCAGTCTGAGATGGACAATCTACAAGGGAATATGCTGAGGAAGACGCACGCTCAGCTGGAAAACATGCGCGAGGAAATGACGAGAATGATAGATGGTCAGATGGCTTCCTTACGCGAGGAGATGACAAGGGAAGTGGGTGCTCAGATGAGTGCTTTGCGAAAAGAAGTTGGGAGAACGATTGATGGCCGAGCGACTGCCTTATTTGAGGAGATGGCAAGACAGAAGGATGGTCAGATTGACATCTTGCGCGAAAAGAATGCATTCACAGAGACGGAGGTGAACAAGCTCACGTCCTCGCGCGACAACGATGTCAAGATACTACATGGGCATGTCACGGCATATCTCGAACGCAACAAGACGCTCGTCGAAAACAACAACGAGCTTCGGCTGATGAACGAGGTACTTGGTCAGGCCAACGAGGCAATCCGCAAGGAGAACGACACATTGCGCAAGACATACGAGGAACACACCAAGTGTATCAAGGCACTCACAGACTGGAACAGTCAAAATGTTGCGGATGTCCAGAACATTCGTCAGGCTTTTGCCACAAACAACAAGGCCATTCAGCAGGACGTGGGGGGTGTTCGGAGCCAGGTCAATATGTTGACTGCGAGGCTGCAAGATTTGAAGATGTCCATGGCACAGGGATTTCACGGACTAGGAAGCATGTTCAACAACGGAGATGACCCTCATAGCTCCCCTGGAGTTCATGTGGGAAGCACCGAGCCACCATCAGCGCAACAGTGGGACCAGCAGAGTGTGTAGTCTCGATGAGGAAATCGCATTTTAATTGAATTGAACACCCTTTTTCATATGTCACATACACACGCTCGACTCATATCTCAACTCAACAGGCCAAAAATCGCATTCGAGTTAATTCGTACAAACGTACAAAATGCGTGAGTGGAGCAACATATGCGCAGCACGTGCCCAAGAGGGAACATCAACAAGATAGGAGCTTAGCCTAAATCTTTGCTTTACTTTTCTTTGATCTTGTTCAAAGGACATATGCATTTATCATATACATTTTGACATTAGCATGATAATTAGAATCAGATTTTTTTTATTACATATCATTCAAACAAGCACATTATAGTTGAAAGCGTCAAATTATTCTCATTAAAATCGTCGCCAAGAATTATAGTACAGATATTAAGTTCCATATCCTCCTGTTGTTAAACAATTTCCTAAAGAACATATGCAAATTCAAACAAGAATAACATCTTTTCGATGCCTTGATAAGAAAATGTAAATGGGTATCGAGAAACACGCTTAACCAGCCTGGTACACGGCCAGGGCGGCAACGTGCGGGTTGATCATGGTCAAGTTGTGAGGCGTGACATAAAGGTCAGAGTCCGTGAGGGCAATGAACATGGTCGAGTTGATGGCCGGGTCATGCTCCCAGGTCGAAACGTTGGGCTGGATAGTGTAGGCGGTGCGAGACTCCAGGCTGACGTTCATCAACGGGGAGTAGGTAACGTTAAGCTGGGAGACCCAGGCGGCGAACTTGGGTTCAACGACGTTGGTCGCAGTGATGTAGCTGTTATTGGGACCAACCGGCTGGCCGGGGGCATCCCACTGGAAAAAGACCTGGCGGCCAGGGTAGGACAGAGGGATGGTGCGGTTCTGCGAGATGGCAGCGTTACAGTCCTGAGACGAGTCGGTGGCGTTGATGCAAGACTCGGCCTTGGTGATGTTAGTCGTCGCCGCAGTGTTGGCCCAGCCTCCGGTTGTCTCGTTCCAAACATCGGCACCGTTGATACGGTACGGGTTAGGCTGGTTCAAGATATGCAGAGCAGGGAAGTTCTGCCAGATGAGACGGGTCTGGTTCCATGGGCAGCTGGAGATGTAGGGCGCAAGGAGCGTCCAGGCCCAAGACTGAGGAATGCCGACAGTGTGCCACTCAGGCATGGGGAAGAGACCCTCGAACTGACGGAAGATCATCTGCTGACGGGCCTCGACCGTGATGCTCTGCAGCAGGAGCTGGGCGGCGGGGCCAGAGTTGAGGTGGGGGAGGAAGCCATAAACACCAGCCTCACCCCAACGGGTAAGCTTCTGGTTGAAGTCGATGTACTCGCGGAGGTTGGAAACGGGGTAGTTGTAGGTGCACTGTTGAGGGGCCTGGGGGCCGAGCAGATTGGTGATGACGGTGGCGTGACCAATTTCCTGGTCAGCCATGTGCTGCAAGAGGAAACGGTCCTCAGCGTTCAGGCCGAGCTCTGCGAAGTCCTCATCGGAGTAGGTAGCCAGACCCCAGTGGAAGAGGTCAAGCTCGATGTACTCTTGGTACAATCCAAGGGCGAGAGATTGGTAGTCGAAGTCGCTCTGGACGCGGTAAACGGGGGCAGAGCCGTTGGTGCCGATACCACCGGAAGGCGTGTAAGGCGCGGGCTGGTCACCGTGGAGCTTGCCGTCCGCCGGGTAGTCGTAGGCATCAGCCGGAGGAGGGAGAATAGGCACCTCTGACGCCAAGATGCTGGTGGAGATGGCGCCAGTGGTGGACGGCGGAGGGCCGTCGTAGGGACCGTGGGAGGTCACATCGGTGTGCGGTACCTGCGAAGCGGTGACAGTCGGCTCCGAGCTGATAGTGGTCTGAGCCAGGGAGACGAACGGCACGGCGAACGCGCCGGAAGCCAAGGCGAGAAGCCCAGCGTGATGGAGTATGCTTCTGGGAGCCATTGTACAGACTCTGTTTCAGGTCCCTGGTGAAATGGGATGTTTGAGATGCTCTGCGGAAGCTTTTTTTTTCCCCTTTGATGCAGGAACGACGAGCAGGTTATATAGGTGATCTGGTTCACACAAGCTCACCGGGATGCTGTGATGACTACAGCATATCCGTCCAGGTTTGATCGATGATTACGCCGCCACAGCTCACCATGATCCCCGATTCTACTACGCAAACCCCACACCAGACTCATGATTTGCCATCAATGGATGAGTTCATAGACTCGGAAATTTTTTCACGGTCATCGCGGTGCAAGCATGCGGCTTCGGCAGTGGTCGACGCGTTTACACGTGGACTACCGAGTCGTTGGGTGTAATGTTGCCGTCATCAGCCGTTGTGTTTTGCTGGGGGGCGACCGATGTGCCGAGCAACGACACCAAGTCCGCGCCCCATGGTACGCTACGCTACGCTGTGGAAAGGCGACATGGGATTCCTCAGCTTGCTAGACGCAAAAGGGAAAATTTGGTTGTGCCCTTGGTGATATTGTGCCAAACAACAGCCTTGTCATCAATCAGACGTCAGGAATACCTCACGGAGTTGTCTCCGGTGAGCACGGAGTGGGACGAACGGTTCAGGCGGAGAAGCAATTTCGGGCCCGTCAGTGGGTGCAGCCGGGGGCACCGATGACGCTTACATTGGATGAATGAGGGCCGAGGCTCTTTTTCACCCAGAAGCCAGGCGTTATTCCACCCTAGTCCGTGTTGTGGGATCAACGGGAGTCAATCAGTCTGGATGAACTACCCGCCCACGGGGTAAGTGAACTAATCCATCCTGCTGTTGGATGGACGTTGGCTCGCACAGCTTGATGTGCAAAGTGATGGGCGGCGGAATGTTTGCTTGGCGCCGCTGACCGGGGGTGCGTCACCGGATGTTACGCTCCGGACCCCGGTCGCACCCAACGATTCCAAGTTTTCCAATGCTGCACACATCTGGTTCCTGAATCCGAGAGACAATCTCCCAACTGCTTCTGGATTAAGACAATCTACCAGGTCAGATTGTATACCTATCACTAGGGCCAGACAGCAATCTGGGTCAACGGAGTTACTGCAACGGGGACGCACAAAGATCGAGATGCATTAGCAACAATCTCAAATCCGAATAGACTCGTTCTAACCAACTCCGGCACCATTTTCGTGCTCTAACCCTCCATGCAAGATCTAGTCAGTCGCAGTCTATGTGCTCAACTGCCGCCTTTCCGGCACCGGTACAACTTTTAGGCACTCTCGACCTTTCTCGGACAGCGCCTCCTCCAGCGTGTAGCTCCGAAAGGCCCCAAGTTCAAAGGCATCACCTACACGTCACCTCACATCGAGCACGTCTCCACACTTTCAGGTTACACCACCGATACATCTCCGGTGGGAAGTGGAGGGCCTGGATTTCTCGAGGCGCTCGGCTGCACAGTAGTGTGGTCATCGATTAGTTGCCGTCCAGCACCCACTTCTTCTTGTCGTAGCTCGCGGGCCATACGCCATTCTTTCCCGGTGCCATGATCCCGTTGGGGTCCAGCGCGTTCTTGATTGTCTCGTTCAGCTGCATCTGCGCGTTTTCATTCCAGTTGAAGGCGTCAGCGACAGGGTCCATCAGCGCCGTGTGCGCGCGGAATTGGCCCCAGCCGTGCGCCGTCGTCTCCTTGATCAGCTTGTGCGCCAGCTGCCTGATCTTCGTCACATCCTCGGGGACGTCCAGGCGGTAGGGGATGCCAATCACGTGGTCTGAGAAGCCTTTGTCAGTTTTGATCTTCCGTTCGGAGTTTCGGAGCAAATGCCATTGACCGAGCTGGGAGGCGAGTTTGTATATTATGGGCGGGAGATACTTACGGAGCTCTCGCATCCCGACGGCGAATGCACCGAGGTAGTCGAAGCCGTAGCTGGTGATGAGGTTCTTGGCCACGTCGTGCTGCTTCTTTGCATCCTCGCCCGAGACCTTGGAGATGGGGGCCCACAAGAGTTGGCCGCCGTTGGGGAGCCAGCTGTGAATCCCGTCAGTGAAAGCCCCATGCGCGATTGGGGAGAACGACTTACTTCAGACACCTCAGCTCCTCTACTGTAGGGATGCCCTGCATCAGCAGCTCACGAGCACGGAGTGGGCTCTCGCGAGCGCGATCCTCCGGCAGGAAGAAGCGTGAACCGGGAATGGAGAGGAATTCGTGCTTGATGACACTCAGTAGGACATCGCGGACGGGCTTGGGTCCGTAGACGGCACCTATAAGCTGCCACCGTCCCATGTCAAGCTGCTTCGCAACTGCGTCCACTTCCTCCTCTGACATTGGACCCTCTTTGTTGGTGTACTTGGACTTTGGCCCGCAGTGCGCGGCGTTCAGCAGCGTATGGCGGAGGAAGGGAACATTCTGCAGGACCATCTGCAGACGCAGGGGGCGGATGATATCGACAACCTTGGGCAGATCAGAGTCGTTCTCAAAAGTAATCTCGTACGGTTGGTAGCCTCCGGGGTTGGGCATCAACCACATGCCGATCTTGGTCACGATGCCGAGATTGCTCTGTGAGAAGAGGCCGTCATTGTAAGGGCCGTAGCCCGTGTTGAAGAGCTGCCACGTCTCGCTGGCCGGCTGCTCGTCGGGGCGCAAGCTCAGGTCCGCATTCGGGTTGGGAACGCCGCCCATGCCGGTGCGGACAAGCTTGCCGTTTGGCAGCACAACCTCCATACCGCAGTGCATGCCCCAGTGATCGCCATAAGGCGTAGCACCGACGCCACGCTCGACGGCGTTGCCGAGGACAGAGCCCTGGCCGACGGGCACGGAGAGCCAAAGGTGCTCGCGCAGGTTGTGCTTTTCAAGGTACTCGTGCAGATCGCGGAAGCTTACGCCCGGCTCAAGCAGCGCGTATGCGCCCTCGACGTTGACCTCGAGAATGCGGTTCATGTGATGTCCCAGGTCCATGACCACGGAGCCGGGAACGCGTGGGGAAGCACCGCCGTAGCCGAAGTTCCGGCCGAGCGAGATGGGCCACACGGGCATGACTAGCTCATTACACAGGCCCACAAGGGCCTGAACGTCAGGGACATGGCGTGGGGTGACAACGGCCGATGCGACCAATTTTGACTTCTCGTAGAGGGGGAAGTGATCGTGCGATTTGGGCTGGTTGAGGTACGAGTCGCCTTCTAGCGGCTTGTCCTTGGGGACCACGCGGACATTTTCAACGCCGCAGATCTCTTGAGCGCGGACAATGAACTTTTGGAATAGCTCCAATGTGAAGTTAGGCGGGAGTGCTACGGGTTCCGGGATCTGGACCATCGTGTGTCTTTGGGGAATGCCTGATGTATAGTAAGGAGGAAAATCGGTATAAGTTTGAACAATGCAATATTTCGCTAATGCTGCTGCTTAATGATGCGAGTAATGATGCTAGAGATGTTCTGATATAGGAGTGAGATTCCAATATCGACTCCGAGAGCTGGCGGTTATTTAAACATGTTTTTTTTAATATTGTCTGTCATAAATGTGCCCTCTCGATGAACCGTGCTGACAGAGTGTTTGGTGCCATGTCGGAGAGCTGGTTCTGAAATGCCGAAGAGCTCATGCAGCTCACCTTTTGTCTGTCTTACGGGCATTCCGTGCTGGTCTCGTATTCAGGTGGCTCTGTTCACAGTCAGCCGTCGCGTGTCGGGCCCTATTCGGGTCCGTCCTCCGGGTTGGGAGTCCGGATCCCGCGCAACAGCGAGCTCAAAACCCCAATCAGGTTCCGAATCGTCCCAAGACAGGTCCGTGATAGGCGGCTCACGTGGGTCTGGCGAGCGACAGCGAGAAGGGGAGACTATTTTGACATGGGGCCAACTGTTCGCCGTCGACAATCGCCTAATGAAACAAGCTACGCACATACAACGGGGCTTCGCGAAGAGACGATGTTCCCTATGTGGTTTGCAAAGCTGCGGTGCGGATGAGCGCGTCAGTGGTGTTAGTTGGCGCCGCCGTGGAGGGGGATAGTTGAGGCTGGGCCCGGCTCGGCTGGACATACCAACGACCAAGAGGAGCGTGTGTTGTCTAGGTTCTTTCACCTAACGTGGCGGACGTTGTAAAATACGCTTTGGGTTGGGTGAAGGACTAAAGCGGCATCGTGATGCGAAAAGGCAGGCAGGAGTTTCGGCGAGAGAAGACGGTCTTTCGGACGAAACAAAGAGTGTGGGAAGGGAATCTTGTGGACGCAATGTGGGAGGTCATGTCTTGAAACGTTATTCAAAGTGGATGGAGTAGAGCCATAATCTTGGCACAGACAGGCGTTCCCGCCATTAGAATGCAGGGACGGATGCAGTGATTGACAGTGTCTTACCGCTGCTTCGGGAAGCTACCCATGAAACAAAACGTAGCTGTTTATCCTTACCCCACGGGTCTTGACGACCAACATTTTCAGCTGTCTCGACCGGTCATGTCCGAGGCATTCGCTTACTCCCAGAGTTTTTCCTCTCCGTATCCATCATCTCAACTTGAAGCTTCTGGTTCCTAAACTGCCAAATGCCCAATGGCGTGCTTGACACACAGCCAAACGCGTATACAGTCTGCAGCCCTAGACAACTTGGAGGGGGGGTACGTGGTTTTCCGGACAAGCAGCTGAGGAGGTTTCGCATCGGTAGTCCGTAGTTGGTCGGAAGGTTACGGAGCGAGGGACCAGCCGTTTCTGGAAGATTTCCCACTTTGGGCTTTTGTTTGACTTGTGTGCTTGCAGCAGCCAATGACACGCCGCAGCTGACAGGTGTCTTTGCGATTGCGAGTTACTGCATAGATGCGAGTAACGTTGTGATGGATGTGAACTGATATGAAGTTTTGGTCGAGGGTTCCTGCGACAGCTGCAAGGGTATGAGGGGGAAAGATGCTCCGGCGGCCTTTAGGTTGCCGTCCAGCGCCGAATTGCGGTGCCAGAATGTCGGGCGAACAGTAAAATCGGTAGAACGTCAGCCTTCTTACATCCCCCTGTTCCAACTCCTGGCTTTCAGCCGACCATATCTATCTTCAGCGTGGATGAAATTGGCTAACGACTATTTAAGATTAGGGTTGTCTGCCCAATAATTCCGAGGGGACAAGAGCGAAACAGTTGAATTACATGAACTAGAGATCCAGACCCCGAGGCAGCTTAGAAGCCATCATAAAACAACCCCGAATTTCTCACCACCACCTCACTTTAGCTTTGTGGGAGCACTCCAGTAAAGATCTGAGCCAAAGTCGACCGGAACCAAACAGCGCACGTAGCACGAATGGATCCAACTCAGCTCGCCAACGCCGTCACCGAGCGGGTGACCCTACCCGTCCTTGGCGGCGTCGAGAACTGGAAGGAACAGCTCAAGTTCATGCTCCAGGCCCTAGACAAGCAGCCCGGGTGTCTCCGAACGCGATGGGGTCCCTGGAGCGAAGACCAACAGAAGTTGGAGCTCATCACCGGTACGTGGAGTTCGACACGCCCGTGACCTACAATCGTAGCTATGATGGAGCTCTCAAGTCAAACAAAGACTGACTCGATCGCTGGGGGGCAGGTTGGATCAATGCCGAAGCTTGCGAGACGTGGAAGAAGTCAAAAGACTACGCCGAGGCCATGGGCAGATTGGCGCCTGTGCTAGGCGGAGAACCCTCGAGCTACCTGCTGCAATTCAAGCCTTACGCACCGCAAGCCGTCATCAACTCTCCGATTGTCGAGACCCTAAGCTTCGAAGACTGCCGCGAATCCGAGGAGACTATGCGGGGAATCGTCGAGAGGGCGACGCGGATGCCGGGCTGCAACGGCGTGGCGAGTGGGTACTCGCTGCATCCCGCGCCGAGCTCCGCCGGCAGGATCTTTGTTGCGGCCATTGGCTGGACGGGACTTGAAGCCAGCCGACGAGCGGACAAGACGGCGTACACGGGCGGTATGAAAACCGAAAGTCATCACGTTGACTTTAATTTTCCTGTCAAAGGGTTTGGAGGATTATAGCAGCATCTGTGCGTGCCCGGGTTGCATGATGTGGTTCAGCGGGTTTTAGCCGAGTAAGGCGTTTGTGCCATCAACGGTCAGTCTTTTGTTTGCGTTTAGGCAAGTCGTTCTATGGTGGTGATTTTGGGCCGGATGCACGCACGGAGGTTGAGCGTTTTTCTTTCTTTCTTCTGAGTCGAATGATCAGCATGTTCTTTTCAATTTTCTGAGAAATATCCTGCTTATCGTATACCAACCACTTCATCTGATTCCTCGGTGATCTCTGACTTGACGCAACTAGTAGCATCGCTAGAAAGCAGTACCACTAGGCTCGAGCAAGCTGGGAGGGAATTGGGCTCACAACCCGGGATCCCCTGCATGTCAGCATGCACTAACTCACAGCCGCTCACACGAACACGACGAGGGAGATGATGGCTGGTCCTAGCTTCTTCCATGATGTTGATAATCCAACCAGGCACGCTCGAGCCTCTGATTTGGCCTACCCAGCAAGAAGGGAATGCACTCACGAGACCGACAATGGTTCGTCAAAGGAGAGCGCCTCTTCTCTTATCACAGACTGGCAGCAACATTGACGAATGCCGACCGTACTTCTCGATGCAGGATGCTGCAGAACGTGGGGCGCCGTATCGTTATGCAGAGATGATCGGTTTATGAAGAGAACGAGTACGAGACATTGCCATTTTCTCGTGACAGACGCCACAGCCGGTTCTAATGCGGAAGAACGAAAGATTGACTTAAAGACCTCGAACTTCAGAATTACGCCAGCCTTTTCCATTTCTCTAACCACACTACGTCGCTAACTCTTCGTTGCCGAGGTAAACCCCTTATCGTATGACTTGGAGGCTAAGTGCCTGTAAGAGTAAGCATGAGGATAGTATCCGTAGAAAGAATGGGCATACCACAGTGATCTTCAATGACGGGCAAGGGATGCCGAAGCTGCTGTGTCATTAGCGTGCAATCTCCCCGCATTTCTGTAACGCTAACTTCATGTGCAGAAAGCGGGACATTTGGAAAAGATGTCAGTGGTTTCGCGCCGTACTTCGCATCTTCGGCCAGAGCGACCCCTGGAATCCTTGGCGGCCTAAAGCCCGCCTGCTCCGGCAATGTCAAAATTCCCCATATGACGGTACTGGCCCCCAATGAGACGCTGCCATCGCCGGACCGTCTCGGCCTTCGTGTCCTGTTTGATGCTAGAACGAAGCCTTCCTCCACGTGGAAAATACCTCCGGAGCGGACCATGCGCCATCTTTGCAGATGCTGGGGGACCTGTGAGAAATGTTTCAGAGCGCTCGAGGGGTTGCAATTGTCCCATGCATGATGTTATGGTTCGGAGCACACTCTGGATATGGTTCATACATCGCTTGGCAGCTGTGTCTTCTTCGGGAGTCGGCATTTGAGGACGTGACCACGGAGTCCAAGCAATCCAGTTGCAGATGCTAGTTCGTTCACAATGGAAATAGTTCGGTTCGTTGGGCAACGCGCCGGAAACTCACGCGCCATACTAATGTCCATTCGAGCCCCCATTCTCGCCCAGTTTAGAGTTGAGTTTAAGGTGAATAGAGACAGGGCGACTCAGAGAGACACTGGAAGATGCTGCAATCCCCCATTCCATCATCTCTTGGTGGATGCGTCTTCTAGGTTAACCTATCAAAAGAGAGCCGCGCACGGTCTCCTAGATGCATCCGTCATGGCCAGGTAGGCATGTCGATCTGTTGATCCCCTGAACATTTTCCTCCTCGAGCCCCCCAGTACGCATCGCTGTCGCAGACGATTATTCACTGGCTCGCTTTCAGACGCTGAACCTATCGGTGTCCTGTCTCCATCACATCTATCCTCTTCTCCTCTTTTTGGGCGAAATTCTGCTCACGGAGCGAGCTTGACAATTGGAAAGGGACGGGAGCCGGAAGAGGAGAATGCTTGCTGGTGCGTCTTCCGGTCCCGCGGATGATGAAGAGGATCCCTCTTGTATGACTGACCCCTCACAAGACCGACGTCTGGATCTCTTCAACAAACCTACAGGCCGGCTATCAACGATGGAAGGATAAAGGCACATGAGAAGGTACCTATGGCGTCTTGGGGACCAATCGTGCCTGCTGATCCTGTGGTTTTCGGGCCAATCGGACAATCATTGTACACGACGGTGCTAATGTCAAGCTTCATAACATCGTCTACGCCCTAGGCCCTTGGCGGCCGGACCGTTTATGGTCTAATCCAGTGTCTCAACCAGCAAAGAGGGCGATGGAAAGGGGTACGAGGAGGTACCGATCCGATCCCCATTGCAAGGCTGTAGTCTCATGTCCTTCTTTCCCCACCACCCTGTCCATAATTCAGCACCTAGTATAGTCCTAGTGCCTTAGTGCCACTTCCCTTGACGACTATTTGGCGCAGACACTGCCCGGCAAATGTCAAGAGCGTGGCGTCAAGCTAGAGAAGTGGCACTATTAATTGTCACCACTTTGTGGGTTCCTGGTCTGGTCTAGTCGCCGCATCGGCTAAAGGGCTTGATTCCCGTCGCGGCCTAGACTGCCTTTACCGTTTGGGATTGCAAACAAAGCCTGCTGTTATTGCCACGGCGCTGGACAAAAGTAAATGTCTATCTGACCGAGCCAGAAAGAGTGGGCAGCGGAGTGTGTCGAGGGAGCAGATCTGCTTCCGGTGCTCGTTTGTTTTTTAAAGTATGTCCATCCCCCGAATACATTCCTGTAGCGTTTTTTTTTTTTTTTTGGTTTGGACTAGACGACATCTTATTCTTGCTCTCCTTCCATTCCTTTCTCCCTGCGTACCTACCCGGCGTCTCCAGGAACCGGGCGACGGACGGGACTGCATCTCGACGACCTTGGGTACGGTACTAATACGAACGAACTCTTCTTGGTTCAGATTTCATCGATATTCCACCATGGCGACCAGAACCGATTACCAGATTGCGTCGCTAGCCGCTGGCTTCACCATTGGCTTTGGGTTTTTGACAGTATGGGAGGCCATAAAGCAGACGAGAAGGAACCGTAATCCTCTACGAAGCATATACATTTACATGTTATGGGGTGAAATTGTTGTAAATTTCGTCATTGCAATAATCGGATGGCTTTTCTTAGATGGCGTCCTTGGACCAACGTAAGTCAAGTCATAGAGTATGTCCATAAAGGTCGCGCTAACAGAGACATCAGGGTTCCGGTCTTGTTCTTCATTCTCTTCCTATGGGTGTGGGAGATTCAGCTGTTGATGCAAATCATTATCAATCGTATTGCTATTATTGCAGAGAGTCAAGAGATCATCCAGTACATGAAATGGGGAACAGCTTTGGTCATCACTTTGATTAACATTGCCGTATTTTGCATCTGGATTCCGTCCCATCTCGACCCGCCAGCCAGCCAGACGTGAGTAATCATTCTCATCCCTCTGTCACTTTACACCTAGTCGCTAACATAGTCTTCCAAGTTACGTGATTATCAACCACTACTGGGATCGTCTTTCTAAAATCCTCATCTTGATTGTCGACGCTGGTCTCAATTGGTACTTCTTGCGCGTGGTCAAGACCCGCCTCCTGAATCAGCATGGCCTGGTCAAGTACAAGCCTCTCGTTGGCTTCAATGCCAAGCTCATGATTCTTTCAATCGCCATGGATGTAAGTTGTTTAGCGTGTGTTCTTATGGAACATGCCCAGAAGGCTGACACAGCTCTAAGGCTATGCTCATCGGTCTTATGTCGCTGCCCAACCAGGTTGTTTACGTCCAGTTCCACCCCGTCGCCTACATGGTCAAGCTTAATATCGAAATGTCCATGGCCTCCCTGATCACTCGTCTGGCCAAGGATCATGACAGTGGCTTGAGATTCAACTCACTCTCCTACCCACATGGCAACTCTGGTTGCCAACAATCCCACCAAGCCCACCTCAACGACCGAGCGCAAGGTCACCACGAAACAGGAGGCCTCAAGAGTTTCCACCAAGCTAGTATCGGCACGGTTCCCGCAGAAAGAGATTTGGAGTCGACGCACGATGGAGGAAGCGACGTTAGTCGAAAAATCAACGATGAAGTTCGGGTCGATTCGCGCAAGTCGAACCAAACCTCATCGTTTGAAGACCATGCCGCAAGCGGCAATTCGTTTTATAGAGTCGACGACGAAGACTCGTTGACGAGCAACGCTGGGCATCCTGAACCTTCAGGAAAAAAGGATTAATTGGCAATACATTCTGTCGATATGCCAATGTTTGCAAAGGAAACCAGCGGGCTTGGATTTGAAATGCGTTCATCAAGGTTGTTTTCGTTATGAATACCCCTGTGCTTTACTCACAACACCTGTTACTTCTCATGTATAATGACCCTCCGTGATAAAGGGGAAAGTCAATAAACTAGGCCTCTCACATATGACAAGAATAGATCTAAGATTCCAGTTACATTTCCTTCTTACTCTGTGAACTATGATGGCGACGGATACCTTCAGATTCTCGTGGCCTCAAAAACTTCCAAGCCAACCAGGTCGGGTGCCCACGCACTTCCAAAGGACATAAACTCGACGGTGTTAGATGCGTTGCCCTTGAAACCATCGACCTCGACGAATAAGCGTCCAGTCTCAAACCAGTTGCCGCCAGAAATGGGGAAAGCCCACCGCTTCGCACTTCCTCCATTCACAGAGATCGTCAAATTGCGGGTGTTGGACCCAAACGCCCAGGCGGAGTCGAGCGCCACGTCGTAGTTGATGAAGTCAACGCCCAGGAGCGTTTTGCCCTCTGACTTAGCCGAAATGCCCTCAAATTTGACCGCGGCCCCTGACCCAATGTTCCCCACCTTTGTGACACTCGGGAGACACTGTCCGTCCGCGCAGGTAACCTTAGAAGCCGAGCCGGTCAGTTTGGCATCAGTGGCCGTGTAATACCCGGCCGACGTTTGGACCGCCTCCGATTCTGAGAGGTCTGAAAGCACGAGCAACTTGAGCTCGTGACCACTAAGAGTTGTCTCGTAGGTGCCCGAGATGGTACCAATGTCACTTGTTGCCCAAACGTCACGGGCCTTTGCAGAGTTAATGCCCAGAACTGCGGCGAGATCGACGCTGACGGGCTGAGAGTCATTCTTCCAGTTCGCGAGGCCTACCACGAGACGAGAGCCAGAGAGTTCGCCGGCCCAGACGTCCCATTCCTCCTCCGTATAGCGGCGGATGAGTTCAGCCTGTTTGGAAAGAGAGTCTTGGTTAAGGGCAATGACTTCCTTGTTGATAAGTATAGCATGGGATGACTCCGGGATAAGTCCAGGGATTGCGGGAGAACCCAGGGTAAGGGGAGATTTGTTGATGGCCCACATGCCCATGTGAAACTTTTCCTCTACGGTTGACAAAGCGTTGAGGCCGATGCTAAGGTATTTATACCTCTATTAGACTCTCTCGATAATCGTTAAATGGGCTTGGCGCCACCTACAGCAACATATCCATGTCAGGGAAAGCACCCGGGCCGGTGTGCTTGTAAAAGGGAACGACTTGGTTGGTAATGCGCCAAATACTGCGCCAACCGTTGTAGATGTCGTTGCTGATTCTCCAGCTGTTGCCCCCAATCTTCGGTGCCCTGTTATAAAGGTCAGTATTTCGTTTGTGGTAATTAAGGAGCAGCGGGCGTAAAGGATGACATACCAGATACCCAGATCAGTTCCGGTACCCCATTGGCAAACCTGATAGAGGATGTCGCGATCGGTCGTGTTCAGCGCATCGGCCATTGTCTCGAAACGATCCGGAGAAACGGCTTTTGGGTGGACATAGTCTACCATGACATCGGGCTCCACGGCATAACAATTGTCATATCTGGGCGAACTATCAGCACATGTAGATAACGAGACAAGGTTCTGACCATACTTGAGGGAGTCTGCGCCCCACTCGGCGAATGATTTGGCATCAGTGAACTCGTGGTCTGTCCAATAATAGTTAGCCGACTAGACAGCACTGACTTTTGCTCACTCACTCAGAGAGGCAGGCTGGTCTGTAGAGCCGCACTGAAAGTAGCCACCGCCAGAGTAGACCCCAAACTTCAGGCCGAGATTGTGGATATAATCACCAAGCCCCTTGCCGCCGCCGGATGGAAACAGCTCCGGGTTCCACACGAGCTGCCCATCGGCTGCCCGTTCCGTAGCCGGCCACCCGCAGTCCGTTGTGACGGTGGTGTATCCAGCCTCGGCAAGACCTGTGTCGACCAATGCATGCGCGTTCTCTTTGATGATGGTTTCATTTGGGTAGCAGTTGTAATAGTTGTAACTGTTCCATCCCATTTGAGGTGTCGGCGTCTTGTACGTCTTGGCCAAGGCGCGGCCGGCGAGAACCGTCAATAGAGTAACCGCAGTGGAAGCCATGGCTAGAGTGCTGAGGGCTTAAAAGTTTTGTGTCGCAATCACCACACCTCTCAATGGCAATCGCTCATAACTGTTCGGCTAATTATTTCATCTTCATCTTATAGCTCCATCCGCCCAAATGCCAGGTCACGCAGTACTACCTCGCCCCCACAACCCCATACGCCCGGCCCCGTCTTCCCCGGGGATGAGCTGTTCACTAAGGCTCAAGTGAGGTCATCACGACTCTACGCGCACCATTGAAATAATGTTCCGGCACTGCTAAGCTCCCCGCTTGTCGCCCAACGGGAAACGCATGAGAAAGCGGGCGGCTTGAGGGGTCAGAACGCGGGGAAGCCGTCGGTCGACTAATCTTGTCGGGGTAAGGGCCCCGTCGAGACCCTCGCAACCACTCGCAGGCGAGCGCTTATAGAATACGATGCAACGTCAGTGATCAAACAGTACGTTGGGCCCCGCACCGAATTATAGGCAAAGTGTAACGAACCTAAACTTGTTTTATCGACCGGTTATGACTTTGCTTTCCCGCAGCGCAGTAGCAATCCTGTTCGAATAATAACAGGGATTACTTACATGAGCAATAGGATCTGATAGAAATCACTATAGACTAAATTTACAAGGTTGATACGAACGACGTACCCGAATGCAATCTAACTTCCTTGATATGCTATTTATGACAGAAGTTTGTACAATATAGGTTACTTGATATGCGCGAGTTACACTTCCCCAACTGTGTATACTGGGAACTTCGTTGTTGATCTACACCCATTTTAGACCAATACCAAGACTCGCCAATCCCAAGTTTTTAACCATGACAGCTTCGGCGTTTCTATTCTAGCATAACCTACCCTCTCATACGCGGTCTCGGGCTCATCCTGTGTTTGTTGAAGAACTAAACAAAGTGCCGCAGAGTTCGACCATTCTGCGCCCTCCTCCATATCGTCATCAGTGTGGACCAGCATTAAGGTGTATTTTTCTTCGTAAACAAGGCTGAGGTCTGCCTCCCAATTTGTCTCGTTACCCGGACCTGTTATTATTGAAACCATGAAGTCGGTTCCGTCTGTGGTGACTCGAAACAGACTAGGAGAGCCCATGTACGTACTGACTTCGGCTCCCACAGGCTCATCGAACCATGCTATCCCAATTTGATTGCTGTCTCCATAACTGTTTACAACTTGGCGACTACGAGCAAATGGCTTAGTTAAAGCCTTGAGAATGAGCCTCGCGGAATGAATCTCGCCGTAGGGATTATCAGGGGCTCTTAAAATGGCATTATGTTCCAGTAGCTGTGCACTCGATGAGCTTGATGCCAGAGCTCTCGACTCTTCAAAAACAAACATGTCGTCAGTGACAGCCCAGGACCATGAAGGCGCGCGATATGGCCGGACCTGATGCTGGCAGGACTTCATCTCAGCATGCCAAAGTAGCCCCCTCCTGAAGTCTGCAGTCCAGAGACCGGCTACGTAGTCTCCCCAATGGCTTGGTGTAGACGTTGCGCAAGGCCCGAGAAAGCAGGGAGTTTATCGGACGCATAAGTTAGTCTTCTTGCACTGTAAGCATTTAAGAGCTCGTAATAATCGCTGAGAACAACCGTTATGTCCGGGAGTGTTGTTGGCCGGCTTAAAACATCGGCATGAATGACTTTCGTCAGCTCGGTGTAAGAGGTTTGCGGCGATTTGTTGCCAGACGGCAGGCCATCTGGCGACTTAAATTCCTGAGGGCACCTCCAGTAGACCATGTCTTTTCCGTAAAGAATATGTCTTGGTGATAACAAGTACTCTTGGAGGGTCCAGCCACGCGTTGTCAACGCACTATTTCTGTCCAGACCCCGAAGGTCTTCTTCGTTGGGATCTTTACGGCGAACGCGAATCTGTTGCTCTCTCTTAACGTCTTTGAAAACCCTAAGAGTGACAAGTTCCTTTGATGATGGGGGCGTTGAGCCTGTTTTGAGAATTCCTTCTCTACTTCCTACCGACGTCATAGCTGAAATCGTGACTAGAGAGTTACGGTAGACCGAGCCCATCTTCTTTGATTCTGTCTCCCAATCGGTCTGCGAATCCTGTTGAATACATAGAGAGTCTATCCATAAGAAGCGAAGGCCAAGCTCGCGCGTTATTGCGATTGCATCGCGGAAGTTTGCAGGCAATTCGGGAATGCTGATGCGGTCATGGAACGCAACCAGAGTATCAGTCGTCAAAAGAGGAGAGATCGCACCGCCCCAACAGTGACTCAGAGCCACATAATCGGCTTTCCTCCCCTTTGTCGCGATCAAGCGAGCACTTTTCGGATGAGAACAGCCTCCAACATCTATGACTCTGGTAGGAAGCTCATGGACTTGGTGGGAAAGACAGCTGGTATGCGAATTTCGGCAGTCTGACATCCATCGTCTCGTAAGGTCATGGTTTGTGGGAGACCCGAGGTCTGGGTCCACCTCGTAGCGACCAATCCTGCACCCTTCAAGGCGCACTGCATCATCTGTCAAGAACATTCAGTCAGGTTTAAATTTGCACCGACTTCATGATATTGGGTCATCGAGTGGTTTGGCTACTCACCTCTGGGGGCACTCATGGTGAGCTTCAGAACAGGGCATCCCCATATTCCAAACCCATCTTCGTCTTCAGCATGTGAGTGTCCAACTTGGACCATAATCTCGTCGAAAACCTGGACATCTTTTACAGGCTGCCAGCTATATAGATGCGTGGCATTGATCGCAAGTTTGATGTCCGATACCTCAAGGCGTTTTGCAATGGAATACATTGTCTGCATTTCACCTTTCTGTGAGGTATGTGGGGCATCATCCCATTTGCTTGGCCAATCTAAAGGTTCTCCGGATCCAGGCGTACGGTTGAAGCAATCAAGAATGAGCCAGCAAAGATCGCATCCATCATGGGCGGCCTGTTCCAGTGAATCGAACGATGCGTGGTGTTCATAGTACGCCTCTTTGGGGAACTCTTGTGCCTGGAATTCCCTCTTGGCAAGCTCGACCAACTTTTCGACTGTGAGATCGATGCAGCGAATGCATCGTGATGACATCTTGGAGATGGTGTTGTTGCCAATCTTTCAGCCTCTGGCAGCGTTTTGCCCTTCGACAACCCTGAGAATATGACGAGAGGCTGGTTAATTGCTATTACTTGGCGAAGTGCGGAGATGCCATGGCGCGTGATCCAACATTATTGTGGAGACCGCGTTTATATGTTAAGACACGGCCCCATGTCCTACCAGAAGGAGCGCAACAACGAGTCCTTTCCAGTTTAGCCAGCTTTTGTCAGTTTTTTCTTCTCCCCCCTCCTTTTGGGGTTTCGTTCTGGTGTCATTTCCCACTATGCTCAAGTCACAGTCACGTTATTGAGGCTCAGAAATGATGATAGCAAGACCTTTCTCGATCCAGGGACCTTGGGGTTATCAGCCAGGCGCTCTACCCCTAAGTTACCATGCTTCTCATGGAGTTATTGCGGATTGTGTTTACGGATATAGAAACATTCGCACAGCATTTTGCTAGCTGTTCAAGCTAAAAGATTTTACATAACTCGTGAAAGAGGTGTGCACTTCTCAAGTTGTTCAGTTAAGGGATTATGAATTCTCTGCGAAATATCGATGTCTCTGGCAGGACAAATTGGCCTCAAAGCTCCCGCTAAGATTGTACGAATACACATTTACTTGCTTTCAGCCGCCTTCGCATATTGTTCTCCAAAAGCACCGTACCAGCGGTCAATGACCTCCCCGGCCATGCCTGGCCCAATGGTCTCATCTCCATTCTCCAACTTGCTGGAGACTTCCTCTATAAACTCATTAACGCTGAGAGCGTTAGGGTTGTTCTCTTTTTTGTTGTCATTGGGGTCTGATCTCTCGCGGTGCAAGTCTGTGGCAACCGTCGGCGGCGCAATCTCTACCACTCTGACTTTTGATCCACCGTTCTTCAGCTGCGTGCGGAGATTCATACTCCAGAAATGCAGCCAAGCTTTGGTCCCGTTGTAAACGGGATTGATGATGGAGAATGGGATAAAGCCGAGGACACTCGAAACGTTGATGATAAGAGCGGACTTCTTGGTCTGCAAGTGAGGTAGCAAGCCCAGGGCTAGGTGCATCGGGCCACGAATGTTGATATTGATCTCTTGATCCGCCTTTGAGAGAAACTCGTCGTCCTTCAAGATCTCGAGAGGTCGTTGGACACCGGCGTTGTTGACCAGACAGTCCAGTTCGGGATGGTCTTCGGTGATGCGCTTAACGAAGTCCGGGATTGTATGGACCTCGCCGGTATCAAGGACATAATACCCGGCGGCTCCAATTTCCTTCGTTGTCTCTTGGAGCTTAGACTCTGTCCGTCCAACAATCAAAACCTTCTTGCCCTTTGAGATGAAGTGTTGGGCCATCGCTTTGCCAATGCCTCCGGCGCCGCCGGTGATGACGGCGCACTCAAAGCCCAAATTATCTCTAGAGGGTGCCATTTTTGTAACGATTGGATTATTATGTAAACTTATTGCTTGAAGGTTATGGAGGCAATTTGGGATGTCTTCGTTAGGAAAAGATAAAGTAGAAAAGTCGTCGTCGGTTATATGCGATATAGCCGATCTAGGACTTCACATGCTTGAAGCTTCCGGTCTTTGGAGCCGCGAACCACAAAGGGGATTGATTACACACACTCAGTGGAGTCCTAAACTCCACGCTCAGGTGGTGGTGATGCCGATTTGCTGTCATCCACTAATTCCAAATTTTTGGAGTGATGACGCTAAGTCTTACTATGACGACGTCATTGTGGACTAGTTAATTATGTCAAGGCCACATTGAAGATGGTCTCGACGTTGTGCCATAAACTACTTAGCTTACCCGTTCTAGAAACACCACTTTATCGACCGCAGGATAATGTTACAACTCTGATGTACTTTTCTTGTTCCTGAAAAGACTTCAAGCTGCTTGTTGTTAATTGCACATACACATTGCCCACTCAGTGGCCACTCAGTGGTCCGTTTCACTGGAAAACACATTTGATAATTACGTTGGAATGTCGCGAGGAGCAATCAACAGGCAATTGTCAACCATGGTAGACGTATCAGACGCAGCCGCTTACGACCTCGCAGCCACTCCATTGCTCCAGACCTTTTAGCTTTCAGCGCTTACACTAATCTAAAATGCTGTCATCCCTCCTTAGATTTGCAACATAAACAAATCTTTCATAAACACAAACCACCTTCAGCTCTAGCTCAGTATTCAATTCCACAGAATAATCCATATCCCTATGAGTCTACGTAAATTACGATGCATCAGACTATAGGGGCTTCCTGCCGTAGACCGACCAACTAGCGAGGATTAGATCAGGTGAGTGCTTGATGTGACATTGGTAACTTACATGGACAAATAAGCATGTATGTATCTGTCCGAGAACTCTTTGCGACATTGGGCCATGAAGACTAAGACTTCTTCTCGGGTCCATCCGTGAGCTCTGGTCAAATTTGCCATACACACGGCATCCCATCCAGACGAAATATTATCGTTCGACCAGCTTCCAATCTCTTTGAACCTGGGGTCTAATGGCCAGTCGTTTGTCGGCCACTTGTATTGTTGCATAACAACGTCAACAAAGCCTGCCTTGATTAATACGGATTTGAGTTCCTTCATTGGCTTAAAAGGACGCCCAAACATCTCGGAGGCCTCTTGAAGTAACTGAACAGACTTCGAGATTGCGGAATCAGCTCTCAAAGTCCCATCATCTGAGCATGGTGCGATATCGCACTCATTGAGCTCTAGGTATCCTCCTGGGGACAAGTTGCTGTTGCAAGTGATGAAGTTAAGCAGAGGTGGCGAAGAGAGTGAAGTTCTAGAGGGAAAAAATGGAGACATACTTGAAACATTTCTTGACATAAGCGTCCCAGTCGGCAATATTGGAGTTCATCATTCGGCTATGTATGTAGTCGAAAGGCTTCTCGTAGGTCCATGGTTCTTCGATATCGTCAATCTCAAAGATGACGTTGGAAGGCGTACTATTGCTTTGATTAGCGATTGTCTTCTCCAAAGTCGTTACTAGCTTTTCGCATTGCGGGGTGGCATCCTACAATTCGGGCTGAATAGGAGAAAGATCGACACCAAGGACCTGGCAAGTGTCAGGATTCTGTTGGGCATTTGGGTCCAGGAGACTCTGTACCTCAGTTTCGGGATGTTCATCGCCATATTCAATTGCCCAAAGTCCCGTACCACATCCTAGGTCTAGTACGCGTTTAACTTTGGCATCCTCTTCAATGGGCGGCGCATTGCCCAGCCGGCCCTCAAATGTAAGTCTAAAGAGATGGTGTTGCAAATCTATCTTTTCATCAGTTCAGCAAACGATTAGAGCTCGGCAAAGGAGGTGAATTCCCACCTAGTCGGTCTATTTCTACTGCATCGTTCGGCAACATGTATTCTTGGAAGTTTCTGGGTCAGTCTTTTGTTTGGCATGAATAATCAGTAACCTAGAGCGAAAGAGTGAACATACTCCCGTCCTTATATCGGTGGTAGGTTCTTCCATTCTCAAACCTGTGGTCAAGAATGGAGCTTGACACACTTGTAGTAGACGATGCTATACTCTAGAAGAGCGTCAGATGGGATCCAAACACAGGTAATGAGACAGAGCGAATATTTATTTCTCTTACACTACCTATGTCTGAAATATCATCGCGGTGATCCTTTATGAAGAAGTCAGTTACTTCGAAATGACACAGTCAGCCATGGGTTTATCTGCTCACCTCTTCCGCAATGATCTCAATTTCTCGGTCAACCCTGTCGGGGTTAACGTCGCTATGAACAGCTTGTGCCATGTTGGGGGCAACGAGTTGCTTTGTTCACTCAACGATTGGGTATGTCACGGCCGAGTTCGATTTGGTGTTCCTTCTACGCGAGGATTCTAAGACAAAGCTCTAGAGAGGTAACAACTTTGAAAGGATACCACGGCATATTTCTAGACGAGGGCTGGCCGAATGCCCCTCACTTCGACACATGTAGGGTTGGAGGGTGTTATCTGTAGCGAAGCCAATGGCAGGTGCCTTGTGGATACGGTATTTCTGTATCGGGTTTGTAGAGGCTAGGCGCCAGTTGATCATTACACGGGTCTCTCGTTCAATTGGAAACAGCCTTCCTTATCCCCTCTCGGAATTTTGCGCCCTGTACAGAAGGTGTCTTTCCTCCAAGAGCACATGTACGGGGATTCCCGCCCGATCAAGTTCAAATCCCTGTTAGACCCAGCCGGTTGCATTAGGAGAAACAATATTATGCAACTGATTTCCAAACGAGACCCGATCCTTAGACTCCCATGGTGCCCTTGCTTGTCGAGTGCCGGGTAACTCGCTAAATCTTCCGCCGAGGGCGGAGCGAAAATAGAAGAGGCCAATCAGCAATAGGATCGGGGGGATAAACGGCTGGTTGGTTGTTCAACAAACTACTATGTTACATTTCTATCAAGGATTCTGCATTAACAGGGATATGGGTGGGGTCAGAGAGCAAGCAAGTGTATTCGGTTGAAGCAAATCAGCTTCCACAAATCTGTAACAATTATTTAGACAGTTTCCCAACTATCGACCTGCCTACATTAGGGCATGGCTGTGTGTAAGGTTTTACTATAACCTGGCCTACTTATTTAGAGATGGCACTTTGTGTCTATTTCCATTTATGTAGGCGCGCAAACAAGAGAGTCGTCTTTGAACGGATGCTAGGCTGATTATTTCTTCTGAGTAAATTTGTAAAACGTAGGCAGAGAACCAGAGAAGACTACCGGCCCTACCTCAGTGTGTCTATCTACTTTGGACCGGAATTTTTCACAAACGGACATGACTGCAGAATTGAACGCTTTGCTTCTGCGTCGTTTGTGTTTCTTGTAGAGAGGTGAGCTGGCTAAAGCTAAGTCAGCTTCAGAAACGTTCAACCCAGCTAGGCTTCCAATGTTCCCATGACTTCAGCGATCTGTTCTGGAAACCTGAGTTGACCTGCCAACAGAATCTGCAAAAACAGGGTGGACTGATGGTTTAGCTGGTTATCACTTGAGTCTAAGCGCTCGAGCAAGCTGCCATGCGTAACTCACCTCTTCGACTCAAGGTCCTTAGATCAAGTCCTGGCTAGACCACATAATGGGCGATTGGTTTAGTGGTATTATGACCGCTTAGCATGACAAAAAAACTCGGCGCAACACCTCGACAGAAGCCACACCAGGTGATGCTGCTTGGCGTTCTCGTAACACGTGCTGGAAGCCGTGTCATTGTCGATCAGCTGGATGGCCTCGTCGTAGAAGAGTATGAACCTTTTCTGCTTGCGGTCAGACAGAATATCAAGCTTCTTAGCCAAACACTAGACAATATCGCAAAGCCTGGCGTAGACAACACGGGTAGGGACTTAACCGCATGTTGCTACGTGAGGCGATAGACTTTCTGAGTACTTAGACGACAAGCCGACGTGCCTTAATAGAACCTAAGCTTCTCTTTTATCCAAAGCACCAGCTTGTTCGTCTTATTAATAGAAACTAAGTATACAAAGTGCTTATACTTGAAGCTACGCAACGATATATATCAATAACGGCACCACTGGCGTCAGCAGGCAACTTGTACCTGGTTTAGCTGTAGGTCTAGTACTGATTCAGAACGCAGTCCTGGTCCCACTAGGTCTTTTTGACGTGCGGCCGGAATCCCGCAGCGAAATTTTCGAGCTAGACGAGCTCGGCGAGCTCGTCCTCGAACTAATCGTCGCCGGCCCGAGGGCATCCATGATCGTCCGGCTCCGCGGCTCCGCCAACAGGCATGGCCCATGTGGTCCTGCGTTCGATTCCCAGATCGTCCAATCTAGTGCCTGGCTTCGAGGTGTTCCTGCGTTAAGTTTTTGTTTCGATGGTCTCTAGATGGCCATTAAAATCTGGTGGATTGGCTGCAGGCAGTGATTCCTGAATTCTTCCAATGTTTTTCGCCCCTTCTTTCCCTTAATGGATTTCTTTTTCGGTCCAAAGACAGTCTTGTGCAGTTTCGTGCTCTGTCTCTCAGTATCAGGTTCAAATATACGCTATAATATGAGGCCTAGTGTGCAAGTTTACGAAGTCCAATCTCACCAGCACTTTAACTTGCAAGATAGTGTTGTAAGCTGGACTGTAATTCTCAAGAATGAGGCCGAGAGACATGAGGGGTCTATAATTATAAAATCAATGGCATTGCATTAGTCGTATTGTTTTTTTTTGCCCTTGTGGCTCTATGTCTATTATCTTGGATTGCAGTGGCCATGTGTAATCATGTGACTACTGGATGTCCTGAGGGGTGACAATAACCCAGTTCTTATCCGCTGTGACAGGGAGGCCCTCCTTTTTCTGGGCAGCAGCATTCTCCTCAATCATCTCGTTCATTTGCTTCATATAGCTGTCCTTGCGGTTGACCCAGAGGTGAATTCCGCCCTTGGACACATCAACACCGTGGAAGATCATGGGACCATCGCTGTCGGGGGTGTCGCCACCAGCAAGAACAGGCTTCTTCCACTCGTCGATGTAGGTGAGGATGGCCGCCCACTTGCCCTGCATCCAGGTAGCGGGAGTCCACAGGTAGGGCGTCATGACAAGTCCGAGGTTGGACGCCTCATTGTAATCACCCTCCTTGACCTGTTTGCGCGTGGTGGTGAGCTCGCCCGAGGTCAGGTTCTTCATGACAAGAGTAACACCGATAACGTTCTCGGGCTTAACGTTGTAGCCGTATTTGGGGTCGGAGGCGACCATACGGACCAGCTCCTCAGATGCGGCGGTAATGACGTACACCTCGATGCCGTTCGCCATCAGCTTGTTGTAAAGCTCAACCTGGCCGGTGAACACCTTGGGAGGGCTGACCTCGTAAGCAGTCACAACATCGCCTTCATAGTAGGTAGTCTTGACGGTGTGGTTGAGTGCCATAAGCTCGTCCACGTAGCCCTTGAGCTCGCTAAGGGGGATCCCGCTAAAGATCTGAGCAGCCCACGGGTAGCAAAGCATGTCGTCGATGTCGCACAGGCGCAGGTAGTAGCTGTACAGTGACTCAGTGTGGTTTGCTGTGTCTTTGAACGGAATGAGCTTCAACGACGGGTCCATGGCGTCACGTGTGAGAACGTTCTTGCTCTCGAGGTACGGCAGCAGTGACTCTTCAAGATCGAAGCGGTAGCTGGTGTTGTCCATGTCGAAAACGGCGTAGTTGCTCTGGTTGGCGTTGGCCGCGATCATGGTGTTGAGCGCTTTCGCTGCCGCCGCTGGCCAGTGCTTCAACTCGGGACCGGCGGTGTGGTTGGTGGCGTACGCGGACGGGGCAGCGTTCGCGACGCTGCGGGCGATGGCTAGCCCGAGCGAAGCGACGATGGGGTTCATCGAGGTCTTCATATTGAGAATGCTGGTGGTCAAGCTAAAAGGTCGTGGGAGCCGCGCCTAGCCAGAAAAGACCAAAGTGAAGTGTGATTGACCGGGAGTGATGAAGAACGGGCCGAGGAGGGAACGGGTAGAAACCTCAATTTCTCGCTACGGCGGCCGGGCCGTTGCCGCGTTATAAACAAATTGACAGCGGTTCGGAGGTCTCGGTCTCCCACGCTCACTCCCACGTGCAAACTTTTGCTTATAACTCATTTCAGCTAGTCAGGATCCCTCCTTCCCGCTTACGACTTTGAGTCTAGTAAATACTGGGGTCAACAAGATAAGAGAGGTTTACGCGAATATTGTTGATGCTCTCGTCGAGGTTGCGCGACGTCGTGCAACATCCACTTTGTGGGGTCCTCAATCTCTTCAGCTTGCCGGGGTAACATTCGTAACAATGAGCGGCATTATTGAAAAGAGGGATTAACAAATCTTTCGTAAACCGTTCAGGGATGTCCTGAGAACTCTGACAATGACGGTGCGTGCGAGAGCATCACGAATTTAAACCCATTGCAAGGTCCTGTACTGAACGAACAGCTGCTCAGCCCTACACGATACATGGGGGTCTCCCACGAAGTGCCAAGACGAACCATAACTAATTACCGCCATGACAAAGAAACGAGTTGGTACCAGATGATCGACCAACGTCATCGGGTAACCTTGCCGAGATCGATTCACTTGCTCTTTGTGAGTGATCGGTGGCTCTGTCAGCAGTTTTCTCTTAACGAGCTTAAAGAAGTCTATTTGAGGCTCCGATGCATCCGATTTTCTCGCGAAGCTTTTCCCTCGCCCATCTTCAGAGTTCAAAATTTTGCCCCTATTTCTGTTTAACCGCTGTGGACACGTTTAGACATCAGCTAGCCTTGCAACCGTTCGTGGCACGATCCACGGCCGTTTTCTTGACGCTTCAGGTATAGAAACCGCCGGTGTATGCAACAAGCCTGTTAGTGTTGTATTGGATTCCCTGTCCTAGAGTTCACGAGTAACTTTCTAGCAACGACTACTATACATTCAATAAACGCGCTTAACATAGAGTCAAATTGCTTTGTAGCCGTTTGTCATCAAGCCCAGCTCTGCTAATTAGGTTGAGCATGATCCAGTGTCAATGAGATACCAAGTGCACAATGGTAGATGGATGCTGTGGGAGTGTGTGCGGGAATATATTGATACATGCATTCTTTTAGATGAGCGAACAGACCACAGCAACAGACATGGTGACAATGCATCCTCCAGTTGACTATTTAGTTAGTCGGTATCAAGTATGTTAAGCCATCCAAAAGAATACGGCTCAGAAAAGCAAGTGGGGACTGAACGAACTTTGTCAAATTTCTACATCGGGAGTCGGGTGATTGTCCGGACGAGATACACCCGCGGAACCGCCAATGCACAGCCCGACTATCGCTGTAATCAAGCATTTCGCCCCGACGCTTCAACCGGTGCACTAATACCGAGCTGGTTTCGCCGCATTCCCGCTGCGGAGGGACAACCGCTCATGCCGAACAACAGGCCGAGTGATCCGTGTCTCATCCACTCTTTGTGACAGCAGTACGCCCAATCTTTGTCCGCTGCAACACGAAGTACGATTTATAACAGCTAGCCCCAACTGCTAGCCCCAAGTATTTAGAGATCCTGGATCGTACCTACTATCGTGAGTGGTCATTTCTGCAAAGCACTCTCTAGAGAGCATCGGTACACTATACCTAGAAACCGGCATGGCGCATCTCACCAATTCTCATTCAACCCTTGAGGACGGACTTTCCACCGTCAAGAACACACTCTACGCAGAGTCAGACAGCACAACAGAGCTTGGTGCTGATAGCGACACTAGCATCTCAGAAACTGGTGGTATATCTGCTGCTGAGTTCAAACGCAAGATGTGGCAATCGAAACCCATCAAGGAGCTAGTAGGAGGATTATACGAAGAAAACATCACCGCTAAGATCTTCAGAACCGCTACAGATGGTCTGGTTGGTAATGTTAGTTAAAGCACGAACCGGTTAGAGAAATACTTCCCTAACCGTATGTAGGACCCTCCAACGGCATACCCAGAATATGTGCTGCAGACGGGGCCAGATTCTGGCAAGTACATATTACGAGAGGCGTCTTTCTGGACGTGCGGGTTCTTCCCAGGAAACATCTACTCTCTCATCGAGAGACTCATCAAGTTCCCTCAGACTATGCCTGGAGGAAAAGAGAAGGCAGCCTTGCTATCGAAGCTCTGGTCACTGGGCGCTGCGTGGTCAGAACCACTCCATACAACAGCCAAACGCACAGATACCCACGACATGTCTTTCATGATCCAGCCTTCGATGAGAGTCCGATGGGAAATTGCGCAAGACAAGCAGGCTTTGGAATCCATCATTACGGCAGCTAAAGCTCTGCACACGCGCTACAACTCTACAGTTGGCGCAATTCGATCATGGGATGCGCTTACTCAACATGGAGTCACTATTACCAGCCTTACGGACGACTTTCTCGTAATCATTGACTCGATGTGCAACCTTGACTTACTCTACTATGCGGCATCGCATACAGGAGAGACTTATCTTTGGGACGCAGCCACGAAACACGCGAGGACACTGATCAAGTCAAATCTGCGCTCAGAGAAGGACCCTAGAGGTCTTGTGCTAGGAAAGCTATATAGCACCATACACGTCATCAATTTCGACCCCAAGAACGGCGAGATCAAAGAGCGCCGTACAGGCCAAGGATACGCTGCCGAGTCGACGTGGGCAAGAGGCCAGGCGTGGGCTATCTTAGGCTACTCGCAAACCTTTTTGTGGACAGGCGATGATGAATTCCTGGACGTGGCTCGCGGACTGGCAGAATACTTCATCCTAAGACTAGAGACGTCGCCAAAGTCTGTCGAGTTCCCAGTGGAGGGCGAGAGCAGGACGAAGGGCCGCTACGTGCCGCTCTGGGACTTCGACGCGCCAATCGAGAACGAAGATTTCCCTCTCCGAGACTCGTCCGCAGGTGTCATCGCCGCCAACGGCATGCTAGTTTTGTCCCAGGCTTTGGCCGGACAGGGTCTCACTGAGGAGAGCGCAAGGTTCCGGAATATGGCTATTACGATCATTAAAGACACACTGGACTTCTCTTTGGCTACGGAGAAGACAGAGTTTGTTTTCGAGAACGGCGACATCTCAACTAAAGACATTCATCAGGGCAAAACATTTGACGCCATCTTGAAGAATGCAACAGCGAACCATAACACCAGGGATCACAAGCGATACTGGGACCACGGCTTGGTGTATGGTGATTACTATTTGATTGAATTTGGTAACAGGCTGCTTAAGATGGCATTGCTATGACTGGTATATACTAAGTAAAAGAGGGTATCATAAATAGACTACGAACCACCTTTTCTTTCTTTTTGCTGGTTTTTCGGCCCCTCATTCCAACCGTGCATCATCAACTTGACCCCATCCACTCACTGGCATAGATGCATTGCCATTGTTCGCTGTCTGCGCTGTGAACATCATATCATCAAAGCTGATAATCCTGTCCATCTCTATAAAGCGTTGATCCATTAACATATGTGAGATGGCGGAGAGCTCATCAGGTGCATCAGGGTCCCGAGGTGTGAAACCAGTGACAGGCATTGGCGAGCCGATAGGTCCAATCATCGAGCCCTGACGCACCTGCCCTGTCGATTGTTGGTTTAGAATGATAGGTGGGGGCCTAGATTGCGATACTATCGTTGTTTGGTTGGGCGCCATTGGACTTGACGCAGGAAGTGCCATTCTGTTGGAATGTTGGGCGAATAAAGCATTACCCTGCTGATGGCTGAAAGCCGGCGTCTGAGCAGCAGGACTACATCCTTGGCCGCTGATGCCGCTTGAGTATCCCAGCACGTCAACTTTAAACTCGGGATCCGCTTCACATCTACGGTGCAGCTCGCGAAGCTGGGCGGCGTATTTCCCGGCAAGGCATTGGGCTTGCTTCTCCCTGAGAATGGGACCGACCCATCGCTTAGCCATTTCCTCCATGCTTTCCACAAGGATCCAGAATTCGGAGGCGAGCTCGGCGTCGTAATATCGCCAATGGACTGGGGCTTGTCAGCGTAAATTTAAACGTTGGGTTTCTATGTTGACTTACCCAACAGTACCCTCGCACTAATAAAGACGCAGAACGCAAACTGACTGGTTGCAGGACTATTTTGGGGTGTATATTTCAGATACTTCTGCGTGATTGTCGTTGTTTCGATGGCAGCTTCCTGGCAAGTTTCTGCACTGCAGAAACTGGGCAGCTTAACTATGTTCGACCAACGAGACTCGGGGTATGCTATACGTTGGTGGAGAAGGATCATAGATGTGTTATGGGTCACATGCGCGAGCGTCAGGTTAGGGTCCATGTTGATAAGAGCTGGCTGGCGAGAGATATTAGAGTCCTTCCACTTTTGAGGCAAGAACATTTTCCAGCTTTTGCGGTGAGTCAGCATGGTCAAATTAGCCTTGAACCACGGTCGACTTACTGTACTAGGCGAAGATCTAGCTCTTTGAACCTAGTGAGCCAACTGGAGACTTCCCCTCTATCTTGGAAATTGATTTTCTGTTGGAGAAAGTAAGTAGTGACCCTACTGAGGCTTTCTGTCGCCTCTATGCAATATGCAAATGCTCCGACAGTGGTCATATCAACCATGTTTGGTCCTTTGTGAGAATTAGCGGTGACTGGTGTCTGTGGTTGTGCGTCGGCTGTTTGCTCTGGGCTCGGATAGTGTACAGGCAAAAAGGCGATGGATTTTCCCATCTTGGCTGCTGAGCGATCCCATATTCCGAAAAACGGGGTGATGACAGACTCTTCCTTGTGCCACAGACCACCATCCGCTGGGAGTCTACGATGAACGTCATCGGATGTCAAACTAGTATTCCACCTGTGAGGATCAGCTACAGTGCCCTGGTCTGATGAAAGTGACTCGGATCTCACCCTGTAGTGACGGAACAAAATCTAAATGGACGAAATTAGCCTACAGTGCAGGCAAGGCAATAATGTCGCGAAGCTTACCTGTCTAAATTGAAGATATTCCAAAAGACACGACGTCTCTCCTCTTCTTCGGTCCAGTTTTGCGGCGGATGAATTGATGGCAAAGGCTTCAACAGCGGCTCCTTATCTTGATGATCAGACTCGATGCTTAGTTGAAGGTACTCAACAGTTCTTGTTAGAGACCCGACAATTGACCAAGCCTTCGACGCATCACCGTTTCCAATCTTCAACATGTTAACGACACGCCGTTTTCAATACTTTATAGGGAAGGCTCACATCATTAAATGCCAATATGATCAGAGCTTGTAGATTCTCGACAGAAAGCTGATCCATTGCATTTAGAATGACAACGTTCCTTGACCGCACGGCCCGCCGCTCTACCTCCTGGATGGAAGGACGAGTCTCGGGATTATCGACATATCGAAGGCCTGCAGCTACCATGGCATGCAATACCACTACGAGCCGTGGAAGTTGCTCTGGATCATGAACTCTTCTCCGAAACTGTGTTTCGTGGAGTATCGGGATCCAGGGCTGAATGATGTTGAAGTAGATATTGATAATGTCCTCTAGGAGATCGGGCGGTGGCAAACTTGTCGTGATGTTTTCCAAGTCCTCCAAAGGAAAGGCGAGATCAATGTTTGGATTTCCACAGCTGTCTACCCTTCGACGCTTTCTTGGTTGGTTGTGAGGATGTGACACAATTTCAATGCCATCAACAGTGGGTCGCCTGGACGAGCTAGAAGCTGTCGGAGAGAGTACAGCGTGGTCAGCTACTCCTTCAGGCGTACCAGTTTGTGAGCCCACTCTGTTTTTGGAATTGAGTTTGTGCAATTCTCGAGCCAACAAGGAGAGGATTCCGATAACGTTCTGAGACTCTGCTGGTGTGTGGTTGGACTCGGTGTGGCTGTTGTGTTTCGGGAAGCCACTATTCCCGTGTGACTTCTGCAACAGAGCATTCTCCAGGACCTCTGCAAAACAATCAATGTTTGAGTGAGACAACACACGTCTACTTAACGCAACGTACCCACTCTGCGATTAAGACTCTCAACCGCTCCGGGCTTGATGCCCGGTTTGTTCTTTTTCAAGTCATAGACACATGGCGAATCTACAAGTAGCCAATCAGCATCATCGAGTTGATGTCGAGAACATTAAGCAATTCTTTCAATCTACATACCTAATCGCTTGCAATGCGAACATATCGGTTGATCGCGCGAGCACCGTAGCTTGCGGCGACGACAACCTTGGCATGACGGAATGTCATTTTCTGACGTCCCGTCATGGGATTGTGGCCCTGAGGCCGAAGAAGAAGTGGCCAGATCCATGTGACCTCCTCGAAGGATCGGCGCGCAGCGGGTCTGCGGCGGCGGCGACGGCCGTAGGGGGCCCGGTAAGCGGACGACTGGAGGAGGCCTGATATGTTGGAAACGAGAAGTGATCGAACAAAACGGGCGCGCAACGGCAGCGGCAGCGCATGCCCGTCGGTTACGTGAGAATCGTCGGCCTTGAAATCGTGCGGCGCGACGATGCAAGAGGGGGGGATCAAGAGAGGATTTCCGTGTTTATGAGGTGCGTAGTTGGGGGCGGGTTGTGGAGAAGAGGGGAGGGTCGTAGTCTGGGGTTCTCCTCTCGGCTGAAATTGGCCGAGAGAACTCGAAGAACAGCAACTCTGGATTCTTCTCACCTTGTTTTTGGCTTACTGAACCTTCCTTTCCCCAAAAGAGACAAAAGAGAGAGAGGGAAGGGGGGCAGGAGTTTTCCCCACCATGGGGATGTCGGAACCGGGGTGATAACCGGGAGTGGATGTGTTGTCTGTCAGTTCAGTGGAACGAGGTTGGTGCGGAGAGACGGTAGGATGAACAGGGGGGGTTGACGCAAGTACGCGCTCCGGTCTCCTTTAGGCCGACGCCCGGCGCCATGCAAAGTACGGGCTACTGCCGCTCATCTGGGGATTTGAACGGGGAGAAATAATGGCGTTTTCCGGGGTTGATGCTTGAAGGATGCAACGTCGTAGCCAAGGCAAAGCGGGATAAAAAGATGACAAAAGTCGGGAGAATCACATTTTGTGGGTTCTGGTTGTCAACTTAGCACCACGACTACGAGTCGATTCCACCCTCGTGAAGTTGTCGACGGTGTTTAGAACAACAGGGACGTACAGCACATTCGACAATGGCCACAACGGCACTCGGGACGGTGACGGAAGAAAATCCTCGACCCGAGGATGCGAACACCGGACAACCCGTCGTCAAGGATGTGGCCGTGCCAGCAGTCACAGCTTCAACAGTTATGCAGGAAGCTGGCGACACTGAAAACGAACCGCGGAAGCGATCTCTCTGGATTGCCTGGCTGTACATGTTCGACTGGTATCCTTCGCATTTGTCTAAAGAAGAGTCTCGCTTCCTGAGAAAATTGGACGCATTCCTCCTGACGTTCTGCAGCGTGGTCAGTAGTATCCTTCATCCAATGCAACTGCTCCTAATGAGGTCGGCTTTCTAACCAACTAACAGGCATTCTTCCTGAAATGGCTAGATTCTTCAAATATCAACAGCGCATATGTGTCTGGAATGAAGGAGGAGCTCAAGCTCTATGGGAACGAGTACGTTCTACTGCACTTTCAACTCAGCATCAAGTCTTGCAGTGCGATCAGGTCACAGCTAACAGTTTTCACAATCCAGATACTCATTGTTCCAAACATTCTACAATGTTGGCTACATCATCTGCCAAGTCCCAGCGATGCTTATCCTCTCACGACCAAAATACTCAAGGTACTTTTTACCTACCATGGAGGTACTTTGGAGCGTCTTGACATTTGCGCAATCTAAGCTACAAACCGCCCCCAAATCTACGGCACCCGGTTCCTTCTGGGAGTTCTAGAAACCCCGGTGGCCTCCGGTTCTTTGTTCATTCTCTCGTCGTGGTACAAGCCTGAAGAACTATTTAAGCGCGCGGGCTTGTGGTATGTGTAAGTATCAGACATAGCTCACCAGCTCTACATGGCCCATCTGAGCACTTCGGCTAACACTAACATCTAGATCCAATAACTTTGGCGTCATTCTTGGGGGATATCTACAGTCGGCCGCTTACACTAATCTAAATGGTGTGCATGGCATGGCGGGGTGGCGTTGGCTCTTCATCATCGACGGTTGCATCAGTCTGCCCCTTTCCATCATGGGCTACTTCATCTTCCCCGGTATGCCAACTAGTGGGAAGCCGTGGTGGCTCTCTCAGGACGAATATGAACTTGGCCAGCGGAGAATGCGAGACGAGGGTGTCGAAGAGCCGAAGAAGATTTCAGTACAAATGCTCAAGCGCCTCTTCTGCCACTGGCACTGGTACGTCGGCGTGCTCGCCTATGTCCTGTTTCTCTCCGGAGCGTACCCTCATGGCCAGATGAGTCTCTGGCTCAAGTGGCAAGCCGATAACTGGGGCACCTACACTGTACCGCAGGTCAACACTATCCCTACCGGTGCGCAAGGCGTTTCGGTCATTGCAGCTGTCTTGGCGACGTCTCTTTGCATGGTCTACCCTACATGGATCATATTCCAGGTGGTTATGGCTATCTTCATGTTTGCAAATATCTGTCAGATGATTTGGTTCATCCCACACGGCTTGCACTTCACCGCATATTATCTCTTCGGAGTAAGCGCTGCGGTGACTCCGATTCTAGTTCCAACTGTGAACTACTGGATGAAAGACTCGGCTGAGGCGCGTGCTTTCTGCACTGGCAGCATGCTGGTAAGTTAAAGGTCACTCGATCACTTGACGCCAAGAATTCGTGCTAAATGCAAACCAGACGTTGGGTTTCGCAGTCTCGTCATTTTACCCCATAGTCGTATTTCCAGTGGTCGAAGCGCCAAGATGGAAGAAGGGTTATATTGTGAATTTCTTTTTCATCTTAGGTTGCTGGTTCTTTCTTTCCCTTGGTTTCTTTTTGATTCGCAAGCAAGAAAAGCGCCAGAAGGAGAGAGCACTGGTCGACGAGGAAGACTTGAAGGGTAGTGACATCCAGCATCTTGATTAGAGACTATCTAGTTTAAAGTAAAACGATCTCAAATTCGACGGAAATTATTCGTTACATGGAATTCTCTTACTATTGGAGTTCGGCACTTCAAGCTGAGCACGGCGATCTCTCCGGCACCTTTCCCGACGTCCGATGCGGATGCCGTCAAGGTGGAAACAATAGTTTTCATCAAGAATGAATAAAATCTGGGGTGTTGCAACCCGGCTTCGTGCTCTTCCCCCAAACCAAGACATTTTCCAAATCAAGATCGATCGTACCCATCATGCCACCCCTGCCAGGCTTCTCCGATAACCCGCTCCGAACCCGATCGGATCTTATTCGGGCCACGCTCGCACTCCTTCGGCCCCTTCTACCCCACTTCTCGCCGGCCAAAGGCAGGATCCGTGTTCCTGTATCTTCGGCTACTCACTTTGACGAAACCGCTGCTCAGCTCGAAGGCTTTGCCCGACCTCTATGGGCCGTTGGTGCATTATTATTCGGGTACGACTCGACATCTGACCCAGAGTTGGGCAAATCCATCGACGAAGTAGTTCAGCCATGGATAGACGGCTTCGTTTCAGGAACCGACCCCGAACATCCGGAATACTGGGGAAGATCAATGACACTGACCAACGCATGGTAGAGGCCGAGATCGTAGCATTTGCGTTGCTTGCCGCTCCTGATCGGATCTACAAGCCTTTAAATCAAAAGTCCAAACAGAATGTTACAGACTGGCTGCGCACATTGAACGGAATGGGAATGCCAAAGAATAACTGGCGTTGGTTCAGAGTCTTTGGAAACCTAGCTCTGTCAAAAGTTTGCGGCATCTCTTTTGAAAACGTTCGTGATGAAATCAACTCTGACTTGGAGCTTTTGGACACCTTCTACCGCTTCGATGGTTGGTCGGCAGATGGACCCTGGCAAACCCCTGAAGAGGCACAAGTTGAAGTCGACCAGTACGAGAATACTGGTAGACGTGATGCTATTGGCATTGGGCGACAAGCAGACTACTATTCTGGAAGCTTTGCTATCCAGTTCAGTCAGCTACTCTACTCTCGATTCGCCGCTGACGTTGACCCCGAGAGAGCCGAGACTTACCGCCAACGGGCGAGGGACTTCGGTGTCAGTTTTTGGAGGTACTTTGATGCTGAAGGTTCGTTTTTGCTGCCATGCATGGTTTCTTTGGTTGAGATTACTGAATTCCTGGAGGCGCTGTTATCCCCTTTGGCAGGTCCTTGACCTACCGATTTGCTTGTGGCGGTTACTTTGCTGCTTTAGCCCTGGCACAGATTCCTGGAATGCCGAGTCCGCTTGACTCTCCTGGAGCAGTGAAAGGATTCTTGATGAGACACCTTAGATGGTGGGCCAAGAACTCTGAAGACATCTTCTATCCAGACGGGACTCTGAACATCGGATGGTTTTACCCGTAAGTTGTTCTCGAGTTTTGATGAAGTTCTACATTGCTGATCCCATGTGAACGAGCTGACTTTCAGATCAGAAATATGTATCTGAGCGAGGACTACAACTCGCCGCAATCCCCATACTGGTGCCTAAAAACTCTCGTTGCGGTCGGACTCGCAGATGACGACACCTTCTGGACAGCAGAGGAGACGGCCTACCCTCAGCTTCCCGTAACTGATACAGTATCCCTTGTGCCAGCACCTCAGCAGGTTGTCTGTAACCACTCGGAGGGCAATCATCACTTCTTGCTGTCTCCTGGGCAGTTCGTTGCGTGGCCAATGAAAGCCAACCAGGCCAAGTACTGCAAGTTTGCCTACTCGTCTGCATTCACATTCTCCGTGCCTACGGGTCCATTGATTCAGCAAATCGCCCCTGACAATGCGCTTGCTCTGAGTCGCGATGGCGGAGAGACCTGGGCTGTCAAATGGAAGTCGGAACAAGTGCAGTTTTTGACTGCCTATATTCAGGGACCATCGGGGGCGGAAGAGGTGCAAGCCACGAGCGCCAAGTGGTATCCATGGGGCGATCGAGCCGTGAGCGTCAACACTACTCTAGTCCCGCCTACGAATCGTTGGCCTGACTGGCACGTTCGGATCCATCGTGTCAAGGTCCACGAGAAAATCAGAACGTTGCACACCATTGAGGGTGGTTTTGCCATCTCCGGTCGCAAGAAGTCTGATGGAATGCCTCTGCCAATGCTCGAAAGCATTCCATTAGACTCGAAACTGGGTTCGACTGAGGGCTTTATCCAAGGAAAGTGGTTCGCCTTGGTTTTGTCCTCTCCAGGTGCAAGTGGCATGGTCACGAAGTTGCTGGATAGCCGTCAGTCAACGACGGAGTGTTTTCCACTGAAACCAGACTCCAACACAAATCTGGCGTGCCCAAGGACATTGATTCCTGTTGCTTCTCACGCCCTAATGGGTGGATTGGATCCCGGAGTCGAGATCACCTTGGTAGAGTCCATCTTTGCTCTTTCTACAGCGGCAAACGGTGGATGGTCTGAGACGGGCAAAAGTCTGGCAGAGCGTTGGTTGGACAGCCCCTTAGTCCAGCTTGGATTGGACCAAGACGCCGCTAAATCCATGGACTCGATAGTTGTCAGTGCTACTGGTTGATTGATTCATCCGTGGAACAACCATAAGAAACCTCCCCTATAATAACCCGCTTTTGTGTAGTTGGGTTGACTATAGACGATACTCAAGTAGACCAAATTTCATTGTGTTGTGAAATTGAGGGTACATTGACAGAGTTAACGGCATGGCTACATGGTTAACGCATAGAGGCTTGTGTGGTGCAAGTCTTGAACAAAGAGAGTGTATATTTACGCCTATAGCCTGATCATATTCTGATTGTGGCATGGCCATTGGCCAAACCAGATCTTTCAACCATCATGATATTCCACAGGCTTCACAAACTTAGTTCAAAGAATCCTTTGGCCATACCATGGCGCTCGTTCCCATAAACTTTTCCATTGGAATGGATCACCACTTTGCGGAGAAAGCTCACAGAACGCGGTCAATAACCCTGGCATATCGGAATTACCGCAACAAACTGCGATATCATTCAATTTACCGCTATCATTTACGTAGAAGCGTCGCAGTAAGATCTCGAGCATGTCAGTTCCAAAGCAAGGGATCGTTATTGAAACTGGGTATCTGCCGCAGACCCAGATGACAACTTCTCCTATAGACACAATAAACGACAACAAGCATATGCCTTTCAAAGACAGCCCTAGAGAACTCAGAGTCCCATTGGACCCGCTCCTAGATGCATCTAATGGAAGTGACATAGATGAATCTCGAATAGGGCTCGTCAACCAGCAACACCGCAGCCTCGACAGACTGCGACATGAGAGGGAAGGCGAATTCGAAATCATACAGAGTAAATTTGCCCACAAAAGGGACCAGGCCCGGCGACACTTCGAGAGTAGAAGGATACTGCTCAGAGAAAGATACGAGAAGAGCGCGTGTTGCTGGATCGTAGAGTTCTTCTTCCACGAATCCCTCCAGAGGAAGCTTGAGGATATCCACGAAAAGGAACAAAACGGCATGATAATTCTTCTCGAGGGAGAAAGGATTGAGCGGGGAGCTGTCAAGCGGAAGTACGAAGACAGGGAGAGGAACTACATCCGACAATACAGAAAGGAATGAGCCAAGAGTGTCCTGCAACTCTATTTTGGTACGATGAATCTAGGACTGCGTTCTGCTCGAGCGGATCCGCCAAACCTTACGCGTCTCAGCATTCTCCTCCCTCTTGGGAAAAGCGCCCATTTAGTCAATGACAAAAGGCATTAAGTGTGATCAGATGAAAGCGGGCTGAAAGTCGGCACGGTTTATGGTAGGCTTCCAAGTCCAGATGCAATAGATGCGATCTTTGGATCACAGCATAATTCAAATGAAGTAAATTTGTGCATTTTCTGTAATCTCATCCTTGTAACTGGAGTAGAGCCTAAGCATTAGCTAAGAGTTTCAAACAGTCCTGTAATCGGCCTCTGCGTCAAGCTTATTGGTTGAGTGCATCGACTTTGGTAGTTGTCCCCCATTTTTTCCGCTTTTTACTCTGACCCCTAAGAGCGGCGTTATGTGGGAAAGCGGGAGGGATTGCAGGGAATTCCGGGAAATCTAGTATCTGAAACTGTAGTACAAGTCCATGTTCTTTAATTGGTGGTTTGTACGTCAGTGGAGAAAATACGCCTGGTGATGGGGAGCGAATTTGATTAGTCCCGTCTGACGATGCCACTTCTTGCTTCACTTCCAACGTGGATATCAGAATGATATTGGGATCTATCAAGCCAGTTCCAGGTCTATCACAAAAGACAAATGTTACCAAAGGTGCAATACTTGGAATACTCTATGAGTGCAACACCTTATTATAATAGAGCTCCTTGTGCCGAGATAGAATGACCTAAGAGAACCTAGCGTTGAAGCTTCTTTCCCCTCCGATCGACAATGGGTATCACATCTTATTCGCTCTTGATTCAGACGACCTTGCGGTAAAGAACTCGCATAGTTTACTACGTCATCAGCCATGTCCGCTTAGTGGTCAAGGGGCTTCATCATAGCTGACAATGCCATTGGATGTCTGCAAAAATCCCGGTGGTTATGGAGATGTTGTGTACGACTGGAGAACGTGCTTGTCATACCGAGCATCCGTTAGAACCACATGCAACTTTGAGATTACCAGAATGGAACCTTAATCTCAGAAAGGAAGGCTATGTAGCACTTCTATACACTACATTTGCTTGCAGCGCTCGGTAACGGTATTGAACGCCATCGGTTTGTTGCATCTTTGAGGATCCGACATAGACCGAGCGAGCGAATCACAGCACCACAATTTATAACACAACTTCTCCAATTTTACCTAACCCCCTATCATTTACTATAAAGGATTTGGTCCTTCGGATATTATTGTCCCATAAGGATAGTGTCATGTAATTCTCGCCACATCAAGACTGTCGCCAGCAGAAGGTGATGTGTTGATCGCTCGCATTCTGGTTGCCTCCGAACGCCCAGATCCCAAGTGGTTGAAGTAGACATCAATTGACTCGGTGTCTAACCTTTTTCAGACACACTTTTGAAGGCTATGGACTGGGCCTAGCGTTCTGTAGCCTGTTGCGAATAGCAATGGCTTCACGCCGAAAAGTAGTATGCTCTCCGTAATGGTACAGTCTCATATCGTTAGATGGTTTCCTTTGTATCTAAATTGTCACTCACGATGAACTTGACTGTCTGGTATAAGTGTGCAATATGCTTTGATTAGTTGGGGTTGTCGGGGGAAAAGTATAAGGGCAGGTCATTTCTAAGTAACTCAACATCCTTCCGTCACACCAGCACATCTCTTCGCCACAAATCCAATCGTATATCTAGACTTCAAGACTCTAAAAGTGGATTATAAACTCTTCCCATAACCCATCTCTCTTCCTGACTCTATGAACTTGGCTAGTAAAACTTCGAACTTCAAAATGAAGGTCTCCGCCATTTTCGCTCTTCCGGTGGTTGTCGTCGTCGCAGCGCCGACCTCCAGCCCTGTCAATATGGATCTTCAGGCCCGAACTGAAGAGGCGAACGATGAACTCGTTGCGCGCCAGTGGACCTGCTACAGCTGCTTCAGTGGCAAAAAACAATGCTGTGGCCCTCTGGAAGTTGCTACACCACCAGCTGCTATTGATATTACACAAACGAAAAAATTCGGTTCGCCAAGGAAATGAAGCCGGAGAGATAAGCTTGAGTACATATACGGGTGAACTAGCTACCGAGGTCTTTCCCTAAAAGATTGATGCGTCATTGGTTTTTGAGGCTATCAAACAACACTCGTTAGGTTACTACTTGCAGATCACATAATGTGGCATACATTCATTCTCAGGGCGTTAAATGTGACGTCTCATTTTTCACGACTGTAGGTCTTCTCACACTTGATTTGCTTAGGTTATTATCGCAGTCCTGATTGAAGTTCTGTACCCCTTGAAGAACTTCATACAAGGATTGGAGGCTGTTGTGTCAAAGTCGGTGAAACCCACGCGCTCGCAAACATGAGCAGGCCCGCCAGGCTTGCTACGAAGAACCATTAAACAATAGGTTTCGGACCGTCTCTTGTTCGAAGATGGATTCGGCAATATGCAAACAACCCAACAGAAATATTGGTTTGTGCTAGTCACAGCTCCAGCCGGTCGATCGAAATAAAATGGGACCTTCTCCGTGTTTCTTATCATCACTCCTGCAGATTTCTCTCTCGATGTCATCAGCACCGATACATCAAGAAAGACGCCACTGACTGTTATATTACCTTCAATTACTGCGCCCGTATCATCTTGCGTTGCTGGAGTGATATTGACATCGCGGACAACAGTCTTATCGAGGAAGCGTGGGGTGACTGGCTCTTCAGAACCCCCGTAAGGGATCCACATGGTAATAGGCCCGTTGTGAGCTGCCCAAGACCATGATGGAGCGACGTACTCGTGTGAGAAAGTACGTTCGGTCTCTCTGTTTCTCACAGGCGCCCAGCATAAGCTGCAGAGAAAGTCCCGATCCAACCAGTGGCCGGCAGCGTATCTGGTGCGAAGACTTGACTGCACAATGCGGGCAACTCCAGATAGTGCAGTAAGCCTGTCGGTAGCCAACGTCAGCTTCCGTCGTGTGTAGTGTTCAACGGTACTCTGCCACATCCAATTTGTTGTTTCCATATCGTCTAGCTTCAAGCGAGGCTCGTATAGCTCTTTGATGGTAACCAGCCCCAAGGGCACAGCGAGAAAAGTACACTCGCATCGGTACTCGTCTTCGAGACATTGGAAGTTCATCTCGCCCCCAAAGAAAGTGAGGAGTCGAGACGCAAGGACCTCTTCCTGGAAACACCAGCTGCGGCTTAGTGTCCCGCGGGACTTGGGTTCCGCCAATGTAGACCAGCCAAGCCAACTGTGATCCAGCATTCGTCTGGCAAAAACTGTCAAAATAGTCTTTTCACTCCCATTGCCTGAATCCTGCAAGTTGAAGGGCCCGAATTTGATGACTTCTCTTAGCAACTGTGGTGCAGAGAGGAAACCGTCTTCGACACTATTGGAATCAGCAGCCGCGATTACTAGAACTGCGTTGCCGTAGGTTTCTGCCATCTGGGAAGACTGTTCTGTCCAATCTTTAGAGTCGATATCGCCTTGAATAATACAAAGCCCATCGATCCACAAAAAAGGTATTTCCAAAGCTGATGCAACGGTGACAGCATCCTTGTAGGTCTTTGAAAGAGTGTCAAATGCTAGATCGTGTAGGCGCGCTTGTAGGTTTTCCGGGGTCGTCACACCAGCATTCCGTCGACCCCAAGTATAGCTGAGACAAGCATAAACACCGTGGTCTCCTCTAGACTCAACAAGACGCAGCCTTTTCTCCGAAGAAAATCTTCGAAGATCAAGTACTCTTCGAGGCAGATGTGTAATAATATGGTGAACCTCATGGATCGGATGGTCGTCAAGTATTGCACCTGAACTTCGATGAGCCGACAACAGGGCTATAGTATCTTCTTCTGCGTTATTATCATTTTCACCGCCGATCTCATCTGCGTAATCCGCTCGAAGACCTTCCGCAGCTAATCCGCCGTTGCAATCATGATTGCTGAGGCAATTATAAATCCAATGTTTTGCTTGATGCAGCCTCTGCTGCCAACTCTTCTCTAGACTCCGTTCTTGAGACAAGAGGTCTGTTTCTTCAACCAAGAGTGGCCGTCCTGGAGAAATTTTGTTAGCCAAGTGAACCCCTTTGAGGCATCAAATAGTCATTGCCTTCTTTAATGAACAGCTCAAGATTCCTCTCGGGCCCGGCGGCGAGATCATCGAGTATGTGGTACGGGTAACAAAGTTCTATCGTTTCCCGTAGTGGAAGTACAGCAAATGCGGACTTGGCGCAGTCGCCTGTCCTGCAAAGTCTAAAACTTTCTGGCTGGCAATCGTCACATTTGGGACCGTCTGTGAAGTTCCTCCATTCGGGCGATAAGTGCGTCAATGCCTTTTCAATGATCGAGCATCCAGTACAACCGTCTATCGATCGACTGCGCACCAGGCGCAAATCAACTATGACGAGACTCGAGAGATTAGAGCCCTGGTGTTGACCCTGTCTGTTCAACCCAAGGCCGCGGCAAAAGAGGCAATGGACGAGCAGATGACGGTGAGATGTTTGTGGCATCATTAGAAGCGGGGTTAGTCGTAGCAGGAGTTTTGTGTTTTCCTGTGCTCCCAAAAGGAACATTCGGCTAGAGGTCAAGGCCAGTAAAGTGTGCAAAAGGCAAAGACGTTCGGCATTGCTTCTTCGCAATTTGTCACGGTGAAAACTAAGTAGTGTGATACAAGTACAATATGGGAGAGAAGGAATATTGATGTGCCAATTGATTGGCGAGGAATTCCTCGTTGATTTACAGGCACTGCTCCAGACGCTTCGAGCGGATGACTAAGGCAAAGGGCGTTGTCGAAGTTACATCGGCTTCCACTTATTTTGCCCATCTAAACATGCAGATACCACTAATACCTAGGCAATAGGCAGATCAATGGCCTACATGAATGAACATAGTCACACTGGAGAAAATACCGTCATCAAAATAACACCAGATTCATACAGATTATAAAGGACTATTCTGCCTACGGATCTCGGACTTGATGCTATTCAATCGGACTTGAGCCGAGCCCGCATCCATTCTAGCGGAATTGTGTAAGCCTCAGCCTCTCACCAAGCCATCCTGTAAATCCTTCCCCCGCTAATGCTGACGACTAAATTTAGACCCTGATCCTCATCGCACTCTCAACCCGTGCACAGTCTCGCACTTGGTCCCGCACTCACATCAGGCTTCATGTCCAACACGTGCAGGCCCAGGATCAGCTGAAGGTCGTCGGATCCTTCTTCGGTTCACTTGGAGCTTCTGTGGGACGGAGTCAAACAACATTGACGGAAGCCTATGTTTATGCTTATTTGGGTGAAAGCCCGGTCTTGAGTTCGTTGCTGCTGACACTTTGGCGGACTTGTGAGGATTGAGGCTGTTCAAGCCCTGTGCTGCCAAAAGCCGTTCGAGCTAGGCCTGGCGCCGGAGCTGAGGCCTATTATAACACTTGATAGGATGCCAAACTTAGCTCCAGCCCCACCAGGGGCTGCAATTTTGAGGCTATCGTGAACGACTCTGACATTCTCACATTACTGGGGAAATGATATAAAGCCACAGATTCCCAGATCAATTCTACACCAGTACTTATCACCATCTCATCGTTCAACATCCAGACCACCGCCTACAACTCCAGAGTGCCATCGCATTTCATCTTCCTTTAATTTGCCTAGTACATTTTCTCGGTTAACCCCCACCGCTACGAAATGTCTTCCAAGCTCTTCCTTGCCCTGGCCAGCATCATTTCTCTTGCTACGTCTCTACCCCACACACCTCGGGAATGCTCTCAAGCTATGATCCCGGCTGTGATCGCCCATCCCCAGCACTTCAACATCTACCAGTCGGCCTCTCAACCCAACCACCCCACAGACAACGTCCCGCATCTCGACCTCCACACCAACATCACCCGCCAGGTCGTCGTCTTCACCGGCATTCCGGCGACGGCCAAGACTTGCTCGCTCGGTTGGCGCCAGGGTCCGATCGGAACCCGTGTCTTCCGCGTCGATGATAGCGGCCTCGTCTCCTCGCGCCAGCTCAAGGCCGAGGGCTTCCCAACGTGGACGGAAGATAGCGATGTGCTGATCAACCCCACAACCATTGCGCCGTTCCAGCAGGGCAGCGAGTTCTCTGCGGGCATGGACTTCACATTCTGGGACCAGCCCGACTTCTCTGCGCCCGCTACGCACGGTGGCCCAAGTGTCAAGTGTGAGGAGAGGATCGTCGTGGAGCTGGCAGTCAACCTCAACAACGGACAGGACGGACGAGTGTTCATGCAGGACGATGCCGAGAATGGACTGTTCATTTCGTACTCTTAGAGAGTTCTGTATGAGATGAGTTGGACTTAATGACATCGCGATGGGTTGACTAAAACTAGGGACTTGAAGGTCTTTTATTTCTCCATAGTTATATAATATCTTATGCTAGAAAATACTATACATATTTACAACAAGTTCATCACGTCTCTCTATTAGAGGTCTATATCATAGATCATCATTTCACCTACTGATATAGAGGGTAGCCTTCTTCTTTCGGCACATGACCTGGTTGCGGCATGGCAAAGTGGCTCGAGACAAAGCATAATGTACATAACTTCAGTCATTCAACTATGCTATCATTCCACGTCTGTGTATTAATCAGTTATTGCCTCGCTTTTGCTCATCGTTCAATTTAAATCGAGTTTCGGGAGAAAACAGATAGATCCCTTCACCCAGTAATGCTCTTGCAGCTGGTAGCAGTCATCTTCTCTTCGCAGGGTCTTTGCAGTAAGAGCATCGGAAACGTCTCATAGAAGTTCTTCCGCCAAAATCTATTTTCGAGTTGATTTATGATCAGCAGCGGTAATGGACAAGGAGTGACGTTTGATATTTTCCCGCAGCCAACATTCTTAGTCCCGTGCCGCATCTCAAAGAGCTGGACACTAGGCCAACCCTCTCCTAGAGTTTCCACAAAGTCACTGCTCTCAACTCAAACGCTTTGACAATTCAAAATGGCTCCTCAACTTCAACAGCCCCTGAACACCAACCTGTCACGGCATCGCCAGCTTTCGCCGACGGCGGCCGTCCAAGTATCTCCCCTTGCCTTGGGTGTCATGAACTTCGGCGAAAAGTAAAAGGCTCCCATGAGCGAATGTACCAAGGAGACCGCCTTTGCCATTATGGATCACTACTACTCCCAAGGCGGCAACTTTATCGACACCCCAAACAACTACTAGGCCGGCCAGTCTGAGGAATGGGTTGGCGAATGGCTCTATTCGCGCGGTGTTCGCGATGAAATTGTGCTTGCTACCAAGTACAGCAGTGCCTATCAGCTGCACGATAAGTCGAAACTTCAATCAAACTACGGCGGCAACAGCACCGAGTCATTAAAGCACTCGGTCGCACGATCTTTGAAGGTCCTCCAGACGACCTACTTCGACACTCTGTACCTCTCCTGGTGGGACTATTCCACTTCCATCCCGGAGGTGATGCACTCGCTCAATGATTTGGTCGTTTCTGGCTAGGTTCACTATTTGGGCATTTCGGACATCCCGGCCTGGGTTGTAGCCAAAGCAAACCAGTACGCTCGCCTGTCAGGACTCCGACAATTTGTCGTGTATCAAGGCAAGTGGTCCGCTTCGTTGCGCGATTTTGAGCGAGAGATTGTCCCCATGTGCATCGACGAAGGCATGGGCCTCTGCCCCTGGGGTGTCCTCAACCCCGGCCGGTTCCAGACGGAGGAAGGCTTCAAGGAGCGCGAGAAGCACAACCCTGGGAGACAAAAAAGGTGCTGAGCACGATAAGAGGTGTTTTGCAAGTCCATTTTGGTACGATAAATATAGAATTGTATTCTGCTCGAGCGAACCCGCCAAACCTTACGCCTCTCAGCATTCCCCTCGCTCTTGGGAAACGCGCTCAGTTAGTCAAGGACAAAAGTCATTAAGCGTGTGGTTTATTTCTACACCACTTGCCTTTACAGTGCTATAACTGAGTCATAATCAATATAGACAATTCTCCTTAATTAACTTCGAAGTCATCACAAATGTCTTGTCGAAACCTATATATTCAATTCTCTAGCTGCTCCATGGCACATACGACCATACCCACTGGAGAACTCGGGATCCCGTCCGCTCTCCCATAGATAAGCCAGTGAGGGCCGGATTAGTAGTTGGGTCGGTGACGACCAGCGAATACCTGGTGTTGTATGTTTTTTGCTCTTTGGTGGGCCACATGTCACTTGCTTGATATAGCTGAATCAACAGCGCTGGTATGACATGACTCTTGACTATTGACTTTTGTCGTACCTGGCATATAGTGGATGTGGTGTTATCAAGGGTGAGTGACACAACCAAGTGATCGCTTTACAGGGCTCGCGCAGATGGATGTCTGGATCGGACAGCTGCGTCGCCGCCCATGGGTAGCGTGGCGGTTAGCATTACTGCGTATATTGTTCGCTCAAGATCATTTAACCGTCTTGGCACATCGTTTGTTTCTCGTAATACACCCATGTTCGCCAAGGAATGCTTTTGTAACTCTCATATATGCGCGCTGGCATCGGGCCAGACGTCGATTGTTTTCCTCTATCGAATGCAGACCCCGCCCTTAACTACTGTATCGGAAATGCTGTTTAGAGCTCGTTGTGCTCCTGGGCGTCAGAGTCGGAGTCGGCAACAATGGTCTTGACGACTTCGGCAGCCTCGGCGACCTTGCTGGCGACCTTCTCGGCGACGCCCTCGGTGGCGGACTCGACGGCCTCGCTGGCAGCCTTGGAGGCCTTGATAACGATCTTCTCGGGCTTGGGGACGCCGTCAATGCCGAGGAGTTCGGTCTCAAAGACTATCACAGACGATCTTTAGTAGTAGTCCGAGCTATTGGGGCAATGTGAGCCATACCAAGGGTTGAGCTGGCGGGAATAGGTCCCATACCGCGGGATCCGTATCCGAGCTCAGGGGGATGGTCAAAGTTCTGCGAGGCGTCAGCAACGATTGGCGTCGAATGGTCGACTGTGTCCTGGATTACCTCTTCTCGCCAATGCACATGTCCAACAGACCCTGCTCCCATCTATATTGTTGTTAGCCACCTCGTCGTATATGTGGTTGTATGTCGACCCGTTCGTAGATTAAACTAACCCTTTGATGACCTGGCCGCTGCCAATCTTGAAGCTGAAGGGGGTTCCCCGGTCATAGCCTAGGAAAACGAGATGTCAGCAATCTCGCGGCGGATATGCGAACAGGACAGAAGCTTACTAGCATCAAACTGCTGTCCGTTGGACTGCAGGGTGCCGCGGTAGTGCATGGTGAGCTTGTCGCCATTCTTAGACTTGCGATCGCACTCGACCTCTTGAGTGACATCGATCTTGAGGTCGGCAGCAGCAACAAAGCTGACGGCGCTGGAGGCCAGAAGGCCGAGGGAGAGGAGGAGGCCCTGCATTGTGTCTTTGTGGCGTAAGGCGAGGCGGGATATTGGTGGTTGAAGGCGTGGATAATGGAGTGAGGAAGAGAAGATGGGCGGTCAATTGGTCGAATTGGAGACGAACATCTGGTGGGCAACAGGGACCAGGAAGACAGCTGCAAAGAGGGACCGCCAACCTGCCCACGCTCCAGCCAAAGGTGGGTTGAAGACACGCCGCCTCAAGGAGGCTATCCTCCGATTGGTCAATGTGCTCCGACAGTGAGGGGGTTCCTTATCAGATATTCCGGGGAAATCCCACTCCTTATCGATAAACAGAGCTGAGTCTTATCACCACCAACCCTCGACCCGTCAAAGAGCTCCCAGCTGGTTCCTGCGTGGTGACGTCAAACCAAGACAGCCCTGGCGCTTTTTTCCTATGCTCTCTCATCACTTCCTTTTCCTAACGGTGAGGGTGGTGATGGTGGAGACGTCTCAGCAGCACGTGAGACGGCGTTGACAGCCTTGGATTTTCCATTTCCATTATCCCAGCTGGATCTACACCATAAGTCCACGACGAATTCCGAGTCACTTGACTCTGCCAGGATCCTTCGCTCACGCACCGCCTCATCTACCTCGGGCCAGGTATTTCAACACACACTCCACTTCGGTAGCGATTGTTTCCATTCCGGAAGCCTCAACTTCGTGCCAGTACCCAGTGGCAGTGCAAGTCGAAATCGACATCGCGGCCCAGGCAGAACGGTAGTGCCTTCACCGAATACGATCTGATGACAGAATTGTGGCCACGGCGACACACCGACCCCATCCGCTACAGCAGTCCGCAACCATTACAGGCTCTTGGATGAGGCACCTACTACCTACCGTACTCACCCCATAACGTGCCTGTCAACAGCTTGTCTGCCTGTCATTCGGCCGTTCGCTAGTGCAACGTACAGGCACACGTTGGGCGGCGGACATTTACGCAAGGGTACCTTGCCTAACCGCCCTCTGCATCAATATGACAGACGACTGATGATGCTCTACAAGCTGCGCGAGCTGTGACTACGCATGATGCGTTTTTGCACATGTCGGCAAGTGACTCTGCGTGTTGTTAGCGGCAGCTCCGTCTCCTTGCAGCGGTTTTACACAGCAACGGACGTCGCTCCTCGGTGGCCCGGCCTCCAGTGGCCGATCTAATCCTGCAGCTCGCCCTGTCTCCTGCACGCAAGAGGCATGAACCCCTCCACCCGACAACGGTCTACCTATCATGCTGCGCTGCTGCAGACGTTCACGATCTCGTTTTGGATTTTCGCTGCAGGCAATTTGGCTACCGTAGCCAGATCGCCGCAACATGCATATCGGCCTGCTGGAGACCCGATCGAATGGACAGGATAGTGGGCAGTTGGGTCGCAGGGTAGGGTGTCCCCCAGTAAACATCTCAAACATCAGGCTCGATCCGAACTCACTGGCCCCCATTGGGGCCGACTCGACCGGCTTCCAGAATCACACAGACGTTTTTTACGTCCGCGGACGCTCCCGTTGTGGAAACAGCGAGATGAGGGCCAAAAGAAAGGAAGATTACCGTGACTACCTGAGGACCATCAGGCCATAAGTTGGGCAGCGATGGTCTCGGTGAGCCGGGGGCTGGGCTGGTGTCAGTCTCTCGAGGGACCGCAAAGGAGAAAAACTTTTCATCTCTGCTGTGCTCTCAATGGTTCCAGATTGACCGCAGGTTTCGAGTAGGACACACGCGGGGGCCCTTTGAAATGCTGCTGCTGCTGCTGATGCTGCGCGGCGCTTATGGGGGCCAACCATGGGCACGCAACGCAGCCTTCTGAGGCCTGCGACCACACCCAAGGTTGCGTTTGTCTTCTTACACAGCAAACCCATGAACTTTTCGCCCCCAAAGCTGAGCGTACACCAAGGCTTAAAGACGGCTGGACGCGTACCTGCTTCGTAATCTGCGGCAGGCTGGCACGAAATGCAGTGTCAGTTGACGTTTTTCTAGACCTGCCTACGTTTTCGCAGCGTGATGACAAACTCGGGGATGGCGCTTAAGGCAGGTGCAAAAGGAAAAAGAGGACGCAAAGTCTCGAAGTGTACAAACAGGGCGAGACAAAGCGGCAGTCCGTCAATCATCGCCCTGACGAATCCGCCCTACCTACGTCGTCCGACCCCGTCTCGCCCAATCGACCAGAGACTGTCGCCACCGCGACACCAAGGGATGAGCGTGGGATGCGCTGCTTCCCCTGGCTCTGCGCACCAGGGCCTGCGCCCAAGGGACGTTTGGCAAGACTTTTTTAGACGCACACGCGCACGTCTGCCATGCACGCCCGAAAGACCCGCCAACCACACCCATTCGGGTTCCCACAGCATTTGCAACATTGCAACAACCGTCTTCCCTGCTTCCTTAGAACCTAGGATTCTTATCGACTCGAACTAACCATTCTTGCGTTTCCCGTGCCCGACGACGGTCCCTGCATTTCAGGAAACCCTGAAATGACAAAGCTGCCCAATGATCTCCCCGTCGCCTTGCGACACACGCACAAGCCCACCCTCTCAACCTTCTGGCAGTCAGCCCCAAGTATCCAGGGCTATACCCACACTGCCTCACACCTGCCCAAGCCCGTTTCCCAGCACCAAGCTCCAAGGCTGGTTTTGGTTGAGTCACTCGTTGCCTTGCTGGCTGTGCCGGCGAGACTTTCCGCAAGGCCTTCTCCTTTTCCTGGCTCGGGTCTAGGACCGGGTGCCTCACATGCCTAGACAATCAACCCAATACGGACCCTCTTCTCTCTGTCGTACCTTGGGACTAGCATGCCCTGCCTATGGCGAGTGCCCATGGCACACGCGTTCGAGTACCAGTGTACATGAAGGAGGCATCCCATATCAACAAGCGTGTTTGTATACATGTCCCCCCGACTATATATCCAGTCCATGCCCTCTGCCTTTTCTTCTGTTCTCGAGCCCGTCTCTCACCTCTCATCAAGCCATCGGCCTTCCAAAGCATCAACCCAAAACACAAACCACCTCTCATCAGTTCAACTCTCGTCTTGAGCCAACATCACCAACTCCAACCCACACAAACGCCCACATCAAATCAACATGTCTTCCAGATATAGCAACGCCAAGCCGGTTGTCCACCAGGCCCCGGCTTCCATCAGCAGCGGCTACTCGGCATCGTCTGCCTCGTACAGCTCTTCCAGGAGCTCATCCACACCGCGCTCCGTATCACCGAGCGACGAGGCCTACCTTCGTGTCTACGGCGCCTCCGGGCACCAGTCCTCGATGAGGCACACCTCCTCAGGCGTCACCGTTATCAACCGCCATCAGTCCGGCTACGAGGCCTACGCGCCGACACCAGACTACACCGGCAGCTACTCGCGACGATGAAGCGTTGCGGCCCCTCTCTCTCTCACGACACGACACCACCTTTCATCTCCTTTGTAAATGCATCACTCGGCGTTTTTGGAATTCGACATGGGGACTAGGACAAGCGCACACCTGTACAGAATACTGTATCACCATGACTGGACATGGGCTGGACGGGAATTCGGGACGATAATGGGTCAAGGAACTACGCGGCTGGGAATATGGGCACATCTCAAGGATGAGAGAGTACGGATTTAGACACCTGCAGATTGTACTCGACGGGTATCAGTCATGCCATGTATAGATTATCATAGATTGGGCGGGTTTGTTTCGGGGGGACACTGTATCTACGACCCAATGGATGGGCTAGGCGGCGTCCCGCAATTCTTGAAAAGACCCGACGTCTGTTGTCATCACAAATGGAATCGTCTTGTTTTCTTCTTTCAATCCCCAACCGTTTCCCATGAACATCAGCGAGGCATACATACCGATAGCATCACGCATTTGACTTTATGTACCTGAAACCGCAGTGGGTGTGCGTCCCTGTCCCTTAGGGAGACTCAGAGTCCAAAAAAAACAAAAAAAAGAGTACCAAAGCAGCCCGGACGCATGGAGAATTTTCCCGCGCTGAACCCTTGAAGAGGTCTCACTGCAGAAGAGAGCGTCCTTGTTTCCGCGACGGGAGGAGGGGAACACCAATTCAGCCGCAGTGATTCGCTGCGGCGCCGTCGGGTGTCGACCACCTCCCCTGCACACTACATAGGAACTGGACATTTCGCCAGGGTGGTGGTGAATGGTGGTGGTAGTGAGAAGGGGGGGGGACGGACGAGGGCGGTGCGTGGACGGCTGTTTTTCCCAGGGCCTGGGCTGCATGCAAAGGGCGGGAAGAGAGTGCGTGCATGACAGAGCACGGCAGTGTTGCGCGGCGGCCAGGGAAAAAGTTGGGGAAAAAAAAGAGAATCATCCTCGTCCTCGTCCGCGAGGCGGTGGTGTTGCCATCGTTGGCGACCCATTCCCGCCCCGAGGGATCTCAGGCGGACGAAGGGTGCCAAGCTGGCGATGGGCGGGTTTTCCAGCAACGAGGCGGACGTCGCCGTCCAGGCCAGACTAGGCGAGGCAGACAGGCAGCGCGTCTGAGACTTGTGACTGACTCTTCGTGTACTACTTACAGTAGTGTAGGCCTTACCTGTAAAGTGGTATAGGAGACTTTCGCAGGCCTACTGCGCAAGGCGCTGCAGCGATGAGATCATGTCCTCCTGGTCGCCCCGGGGGTGCATTCACGTGTCTGTCGCCGCCCGCCAGCTTGAGTGCTGGAATGGCCGGCCCAGTTTCCAAGAATAGAAAATGCGACCCTTCTTACTTGGGATGCTTTCCAAGATGCGATCTCGTGTTTATGGACCGGCCATCGCGATAAGGCTGAGAGAGACAAGGTCATGGAAAGTTTTTTTTGTTTCTTTCTTTTTTTCTTGGGGCTATTTTCAGAAAGCAGGTAGGTAGCAGCTAACATGGCAGGGAAACAAGGAAGCAGCTCTGCGTGTCCAGCCCTCCCTCGGCCATCGGGCCATCTTGTTTCTTGTTTTTCTGGTGTCGTTCGTAATTCATCAAGAGAATCCCTCCCCGCCCACAGTCCATCGTTCAGGACGCTGAAACACGGTACTGAAGGGCAATCATCCTACATGGTTTCCACACTCTTGGGCATGACCTGTCTGCCAATGCTGCGCCCGCATCCGCCGACAGCCTCAAATGGCAAGCAAACACGGACATGATTCCCTAAACCCCATGACATGGACGATCTACGCGCCGCCCTCGCGCTTGGCGTACTCGTCCTCGATGGCCTCGGCGTACTTGTCCTCGGCGCTGCGCGGGTCCTCCTTGAGCACGCCCTCCTTGATGAGCTCCTCGGGCGCGGGGCGGTGGGAGATCTTGTCGTTGAGCGAGTCGGCGCGCATGTGCTTCTCGAGCTCCTTCTGCTGGGCGATCAGGCTGGGCGCGGCGTTGGACGCGGGGAGGATGTTCTCTGCGAGGCGAGGAGTGTGAGTTAGCTCACGGCCCTGTTCCGGATTCATTCAATGAAAAACCGGGATATGGCGATTGCCGCGATGCGAGCGGGTTCGAGGGTGGAGCCACTTATGCCCGGGTGGTGATCGGCGGGTGAGGCGGACGATGTGTGGGGGGCACGCGGCGACGGGAGTGAGGTGCGAAGTTGGAGAAAGAAGTGGAGGGGATGGGCCGGGTTGCAGCATTGGAAGGGGGCGAAACAAGGAAGCGGGAGGGGACTCGAATAGGAGGCGGCAATGATTTGGACCGTGATGGCACGCATTCGTGGGGATGGTGGGCAGGTGGGATTGGATGGGGTACATACTCTCGATCAGCTCGGCGCGGTTGGGACGGTGCTGGAGGTGGTTCTCGAGCGAGTTCTTGCGCTCGCCGGGAGGGTGGGAGATGGGCGTCTCGTCGACGGGGGGCTGCGAGGTGTTGTTCTCGTCGGCCATGGTTGCTGCAGCTGGTAATTGATGTCGGGGGGTGGACGTCGTGGTTGGAGTGGAATCGCTCGTATCTGTGGCTGACCGGGGCGGTTTGGTGAGTCTGGATATTGATCTCGCCTTGTTTTCCTGTAGGATCAGACAAGATTTGCACAAGTATCGCCTTGGATTCTGGGTATCGGAAATGCGTATGGTAAGTTTGGCGATGGGGACGTGTTGGATGAGTGGACGGAGGGAGGGCGGGGTGGTGGATGGGCGGCGATGGGTGGTGTTATGTACTCTGAGGTTCGTCTCTCTCTGGGTTGGTTGCAGCACAGCACAGCACAGCACTGACTGACTGACTGGATGGCAGGCAAGGCACGTTCACGTTTCTGGAGCAAGGTGGTAAAGGTACCGCATGAGCTCTGGTTGGTATGGCAATGACAATGAGCACATGGGGATGGGATCAAGGTCGAGCAGAAGTGGCCTGGTGAGGTGAGCTTGGGAGCTGCAGGGTCGAAGCTGTTTGGCTGAGCGCAGGTTTTACCCCGCAACCTGCCTGTGCTGTGCTGTGTGTCTGCGGCGGCGGCCTCGTCTACCCGTGACCCCCTCCTGGCATCCCCATCTAGGCAGGTACCTTGTCCTGAACCGCTGCGCTTTCCCTCTGACGGAGAGCCATCCACCATTGCATCACCGGTGCCTTATATAAGACAGGTACGTACCGCCAGCCCCCACTGACTCCCTCTTGTGCCTGAGGATCTCAACAAGGAACCATGCAGATATGCCTGGAGCTTTCCCCGACCGATCCCATTTGCTTTCTCTTGTTTTGTTGTCACTGCATCTGATGTTGATGTCGCATCCGACCTAAGCTTTTCAGGCTCCATCACCTCGGAGACAACAGCACAGCTCTTCGTTGATTCGTTTCGTGTTGCAAACCAACAATGGCATTCATCGCGGATTGCACCTCCGTCTGTCTCATTGCTCGAGGACGACGACAATGACACAGCCGCCACAGCTCCCGGCCCGCATGCCCCTACTGGCTTTAGTGACGGATGACGTCTAGCGCACGGGGCCCCGATCCCCTGCCCGTCATCCGACAGCTTGGAGCTTGCTTTGGTCGAGACCCTGAAAGGGGACAGCCGCGATGATGAGATCACAAGGCCCAAGTGATCGCCTCCTCTCTAGTGTACTTTCTTCTCTGCGTATCTTCCAGGCGGTCCCTCGTGACCGGCGCAGGCCGAACCACCGTCTCGGCTTTGACACGCCCGCCTGTCGTCACGTCAGCGAGCCTGCTTCTAGCCCCTGTCCGGGATGCCCACCGAAGACCTCAGCCACTGCGTATTCTTGATGGCCACCACACCTAAGGACCGACAAGGCCTCCTCGCCAAGGCACGCCGAGCTTGTCTCCTTACCTGCTCTGGTGAGCAAGCGCAAAAAAACGTGTGCGATCGACAGGTTCCGTACCTGGGGTAGCGTGCGGCGGCACCGGCTGGGTCTTCGTGGTTGATGTCCCGACGTCCAATACTAATCCCTCTCTGCGCAGCAGTGAAACACCACGATGCTGATGCCTGTGTAGCTCGCTGTCACTGAAAGGCTGGGACCAACTGCCATCATTGATGCGTGCGCTGCATTGCGTTCCAGTCGTGGTGTGGTTAGTTTCATAGTCGCAGTAATCATCTAACCAATGAGAACCGGAGCACCGACCCCATGTTGGAGACGCAGCTGCCTGTTCCCCTCTCTGTATCTCTTCAGCCTGATCTCAGCCTGATCACTCTTCTTCTCTCTTCCCCCTTCCGCGACTGCTGCTACTTCACTTGGTTGTCAACATGCGGCTCCTAAATACTGAGACTCTCCAACTCCAAGAGTTTTATGACCTCAGCGTCCCTGCCTATGCAATCCTGTCTCACACTTGGGAGGAGGAAGAAATTTCCCTACAAGACTTGACAAACCCTGCCAGTGCAACCAAAAAAGGCTTCTCCAAAATTCGAGCATGCTGTAACCAGGCCATCAGAGACGGGTACGGATGGGTATGGGTCGACACGTGCTGTATCGACAAGACTTCAAGCGCCGAACTGTCCGAGGCCATCAACTCCATGTTCCGCTGGTACCAGAAATCGTCAGTATGCTATACCTATCTGGGTGATTTGCCATCCCAATGTCCGGGTGACCTTGACACACAGGCATTCATGTCCTCCAAGTGGTTCACTCGAGGATGGACTCTCCAAGAGCTCATCGCTCCTGACCTAGTGGAGTTTTACGACAAAACCTGGAATGAGATTGGAACCAAGCGATCCTTGTGCGACTTGATCCATCGTACGACCAGAATAAGGCGAGGTATATTGTCCGGCTATCTACCGTTGGACTCCGTCAGCGTTGCTGAGCGCATGTCTTGGGCCTCGACAAGAACCACTTCGAGACAGGAGGACATTGCGTACTGTCTTTTGGGCCTTTTCGATATCCACATGCCCCTTTTATACGGAGAAGGCACGCGGGCTTTCAACAGACTGCAGCAAGAGATTCTTCGGTCCAAGGAGGATTTGAGCATCCTTTTGTGGGCATTATCCGAACCAACCTCCTTGGCATTAGGTGTGCTTGCGCCCGCCCCTGCTGCGTTTCACAACATAACAATATTGGATACCAAGGGGACGGAAATCGGAGCTCTGGATCGTAACTGGGAGAGTGTCGAGCCACTGAACCAATCCAGGTTTCCTGCTAGGACCTTTCACACCTCGGGGTTGTATATTCCACTGCCAGATGTAAGCACTGAACCACTAGCCATCACAAGCCGTGGCCTCCGTGCCCATTTGGTAAGATTTCCATGCAATCCTGAGCCCACCTTGAGCGATCCTGGTTTCTACGCATGTGGTCGTTTAACCGGTTGCCTTCCAAAGCAGCAAAGCGGACTCCTGGACGGATATCTGTGCATACAGCTTCAAATGGAGAAATCATTGTCTGGTACCAAAGCAATGCTTCCTCGAACAAGGACTCAGAGCCATCGTCTATACTATGTGCCGCGCACCACTGAATCCATGCTTGGGGATCCTCTCCTTATATACATGTCTATCGCAGACCAGCAGCCAAGCATCTATTCATACTTATTTGGGAGATACCACCACTCATCTCACGACCACGGAAATAGGGTTTATTTCAGAATACTTCTGGATTGGGAGCGTCCATTCACCCTTAAGCTATGCAAAGCTTCAGACTCAATATCTCAGAAATGTGGGTCGATCAATGACAAGGAACAAATCGAATGTTCCATGGATAGGGGCGCAAAGGGCTTCATCCATCTTGAGCTCACCACCACTCCTGTCTTCACAGCCAACCCTCAAAAGTACGACGCCGTTGTTGGGATTCGCAAGAGTGAAGTGGGCAAAGGAATAGAATGCTGTGCAAGTGCTTGGGTGCCACTCAAGGACGTGCTGCCAAACGGACTGACGAGCAGTCCTTCCTTGGAGACATACAGCACAGCACGACTCGGGTGGCCCCAGCATTCTGACTGGAGCGACCGATACGCCGAGGTCCTTCCTGGCAGAAAGCATGTTCTTTTGGCGAAACTGAAGCCGACGAAGGAAAGCATAGTGCTGCAGCTTTCGGTCCAGCCATGGCGGGGGATGCATGACCCAACACGACGAATGCGGCTCGAGTCTAGACAAACCCTCTCATGAGCATTGAACCGGTAGCTCCTCAAGCCAGGTACTAGGATGTGTTCAAGGTCGTATTTTGGAGAATTTCGTAAAGAATGTGGTTCAGTATCATGAATTTTAACATGTCTGGTAGTCCTAGAGAACCTGCGTCACCGCTGCCCTGTATTGATTCACGCACCCCTTGACCCCTATTTCTAAACTCTATTCGGCCCGGAGTTCTGCGCATCACCAACGTCTGCGCCAACGCACTTAGCCGCCACGGCAACAGCCACAGAACGACGGCGCTTGGCAGACGGCGAGCCCTGCATGCTGCCATGGGGTTGGATTCCCGGGCCTCCTAGAACGTATCCACTCTCTGTCTCCTCTCCTCGGCCGCGCTTTCTGGACCGAGCCGTAGCTGGGCCATCGCCGGTTCTTTTGGCAGGGGAGGGGGATCCGAAAGCATCGTGAATGCCAAAGATGTCGATTGGAGCGACTGTGACGGCTGACCGACTGGCCAGAGAGAGCTGACGACCGCTGGCGGTCCGAAGGCCGTGTGGCGTGGCATCCTGGTTCGTGGGCTCAGGCGAACGGGGCGACGAGGTTGAAATGAACGATTCATGATACTTCTGAACGGTTGTTAGATAATCCTACATGGTACAGTAGGTGCGAGTGGTGAGTGTGCTTACCATGGGAGTGTTGAAGTGAAGATAGTAGTCCATCTGAGTCGTTAGGTATTTGAACTCCTCAAGCGACTCATTCTCGTGCAGGGTCTGTACTGTCTTTGGGTGTGGGGAAACGCCCTCCTTCTCCAAGAAGTCAGATGAAATCCACCGAGGTAGCGAGCTTTTGGGAAGGTGGTTTACCGTGCTGGGACTGGAGCTGGCGGAACACTTCTGGTGTCCTTGACCAGTAGCATGCTGTCGGCTCGACGTGTTTCGCTGAAGATTGCCTCTGTGGCCCAAAGATGTCTCCAGCTGTTGGTCTCGGCGGAGCATGTTAATGTAGGCAGCCTCGTGTGCTAGGACATCCATCTCCGTTTCCTTCTCAGCGCCCGACGAGCTGATAGACTTGGCAGTTACTCTGCCTTGAGAGCCCACGCCTGTCGCTTCTGCATGGGAACCTGGGCGAAATGGTTTCTCGCGGATGCGCATGGTGCGGCCCGGTCTGTATCTGGATCCGGGATCCTGGCAGGGGATGCTGGTTACCGGCTGATAGGCCCGTTCAGATGCCTTTGTTGTAGAGGGAATCAGAGAAGGCCGAGAGCCTGTGACGGAGCTGGGACAGGGGCCTGCGTTGTTGGAGCCGAGATTGATGGAGGACAGGGCCGCCTTTGCTGTCGGGCACGGAAGAAGCTTGCCTGAGTTGAAGGCTTTGTTGAAGCATGAATGCAGAACAAGCGGGTGGCTGCTATATGAGGCATTGTGATTCGGAGACACGGCGATGACGGCCAGGGAATGTTGCGAGAGGGGGTTCAGAGTACTGGGCATCGGCTGTCTTCTTAGGGCGTTGATTTCAGCAACCTCCTCGGCGTTCGGCGGAAGGTTAGCTATCTTCCGAGCATGGTCTCGGCCACGTTGTGACGTAGTATCATGCGCCGCGACGTCTTTCATAGCTTCGGCTTGGAGGAAGCTGGAAGAGGGCTGGATCCTGTCAGTGGGGATAGGAGGCGCTGGATAGGCTCCTGAGCAGTCTGAAACGGTAATTCCGGAAGATGTCTGCTATTCGGGTGCTCAGTAACCTAATGGCATCGTTCTAAGCCATCTACTCACTTCTTTCGACTTGGTCGAGGATGACTCGTGTCGATAATGGTCGGCTGAAGTGGGAGTGAAAGGTCTCGAATCGCCCAACTTTCAAGCCAAAGATGACACTAATCCTAAGATATCTCGTATCAATACACTCGGGGTGAAGCAACTCAAACGGGTGGCTGAAAGTAATGTGAAGAGGGGAAAGGGAAGAGAAAATATAGTGGTGAAGAGGCCAACTCATGGTGAAGTTAAGGGCCGGCTAAGGGGGCACTCAGTTCAGTCAAATTCAGCGCTGATTGTGGTGGTCGCGAGTGACGCAAATGAAACTGGGCAGGAGCGGTTGTGTTTTTTTTGGTAAAGCAAGCTTAACGAGGTTGTGAGAGACTTACCATACTCGTTAAAAGGGAGTTGCTGACCTAAGGACCTCCTTCCTTCAAAAAGACTTCCTCTCTTCTAAGAACATCACCAAAACATGATACATTAAATGCCTACTTTTGCAGCACCAAGTAGATGGTATCAAGTAGCTCACCAAAACATGCAATACCGGTGAGCTTGCGCGAGTTTGACCATAAAAAGATTAACTTGTACATGATTGCAACAATTAGTAAGGTAGAAGTTACCTCGGTGAATTGGAGAGGCTCCTGATGTTGCTTCTGTATTGGTATCTTTCACTACAAGGGGCTTCCCTCCATTGTTACCATGCCCCTGATTCCAACAGCATATGGCTTTGATGCCTATGTTGGAGCGTCTCTAGGATACCCAATAATGCCCTATGGCTGCCGCTGCGGCCAAAGCAGGTCGACCTGGTTGTTGGGAATAAATATCAGTATTGTCTTCCAGACACACCGCCGTTGAGGAAATCAAAACTGGTAATGGACGTCAGTGTTGATTCACTCCAAAGGCTCTTGTGTAGGTTTGATCCAAACTATCCCCCTTACGTATCACTGCTCTGATACTCTGAAAACTATGCGTGAGACTGAGTTCTGAGAAATATATTGGTATGACTTCTTCCATCGGAAATAGCTCTCGAAAATCGACAAGGCACCTGAGATTGGCTTGAAGGGAAGGTCAGCCTGTTAGAGACGCGGCAATGATCAGGCGAATAGACCAAGGAAGACGCCGATTTACCTCTTGCGAGAGGATATCAATATTTTTGAGGACAGGGGTGTCAGCCTCAGAGTGGTTCAGTTGCAGTGGAAAGCAACACACACAAAAACCTAATGATAACGACGTGAATAATGCTCCGTGACTCTAAGACGGAAATGTAATATGACGACAAGAGAGCCTCGAGATGATGACTAGTACCACCAAACACGAGTCGACCTTTGGCAACAGCATCTCACAGCCCCGAGCACTCGAATTTCAGAAGGTTCCCGTCAACAATCTTCCTTTCCATTGTCAATAATTTCGGCATATCCCACATACAGCTTATCCATCTCCCGCCGAGCCAGTCCCTCTTCGTGCTGGTGAGATATGCAACAGAATGCGCAGCAAGCTCTGGAGTATCCCGCATTCGAACTATCCATACTTCAGCAAAAGAGTCATACTGAAAATGGGGCTAGATCTCCGACAACTTACATTGTAGTCTTTCGGGGAGTTTGGAGGACATTTCGGTGGGAACCCCACCGGGATGGATCGAGAATGCGAGGACTCCCTGAGAACAGTGAACAATGACTTCTTAATGACCGTCTGAAGTGGAGAACACCGACCTGATCTGCGTACTCATCTTGGATGAACTCAGTGAAGCGTGTCAATGCGAACTTGGAGACGTGGTAGGCTCCCCCACCAACACCCATGAAATGTGCCGCAACTGATGACATGTTGACAATCGTCTTGTCTCCTCCCTTCAACATCAGGGGCAAGAACGCTTTGGTGACTCGGTAAGTACCCCAGTAGTTGACGTCCCACGTCTTCATGTACTCATCATCATCGGCCTCCAGCAGCAGCTTGAAAGGTGCCATGTAACCGGCGTTGTTGATGAGGATATCGAGACGTCCCCATTCGGCCTTCAATCTTTCTGCCGCCGCCTTCACACTAAGCGTGTCACTAACGTCCATCTCGAGTATCAAGACGGTGGGTTCAGCTCGTCCAGCATTCTTGGCAGCTTCCAGGACAGCGCTTGCGGTTGACGAGACGTCTGATCGAGCGGCAACAGCAATCATTGACGCGCCAGCCTCTGCATATCCGATGGCAACCGCCCTGCCTAGGCCTTTGCTAGCCCCTGTGATGAGAACAGCCTTGCCTGTGCAGTTCGAGACGGTGACGGGATTGATCTCAGGGTATGTGTCATGATGGATGAGGTCCCCCGTAAAGATATCAACTATGCATCGATCAAGTCAGTCTCTTGAGCACAATATCTTCACCAGAACCAGAGATGGCAAGTATACCCTTGCGAGGCGGGCCCGCGGACGGCTGCTGAAGTTCGGACGCCATGAGTGGAGCAATCTTCAGTTGAACCAAGTGTTCGTTTGATGTTTGGAACGATTCGAGCTCGTGGTAGGTAAATGTGAAGTTCAATCTGCTTGGCGGCCTGTTTCGATCGGGCCCTTTCAGCGGGCGCTAGCAGCGGTCGTCGGACTTCCCCACGGGTGAGGGACATGACGCTCGGTCTGTTCCTTTGTTTTCCGCTAGAACTTACCCGAAAGCTTAGTTCAAGGGTAAAAGGACCAATACCAATGCATCTTCCCTAACATATATCAATGGAGGGAATTGCTGTCGATGCCTGTGGTGGGAGTCGTCCTTGATGTCGTCTCTATCAACAGCACCGTGCCTTCATCTGGCTGGTGGTCAATTTGTTTGGTGATCGAGGCTTCACGGATGCATGACGAAGACTAACGGCATTGGTACCTCGTCAATTTGGGTGACCAACTTCAAGGTTCAGAAAAATGACATGCGTCTGATTCAGGGTTTTAGCAATCAGCGGCAGCCGATTGACAGCCGTTCGTAGTACCGGGCGCTTGGACGGCTTACGGTGAACAAAGGGTTCGAAAAGACGGCGCGCTGATGGAGTGACTTCCGAAGCGCAACACAAAAGCTCGGCAACACATCATGTGAGGTCCGCAACTCGCTACAAATATTATCTTTGCAATTGTATCAAGTAGATGGTAAACCTAAAGATATAAGTAAAAGCTACAGATCTTAAAGCATAAATTAAAAATAAAAGTACTGACTAATATTATTATAAGGTTTTATAAGGATATTGTAAGTTTATCTGTAACGGAGCGCTGACAGTGACGCTCTGCAACAAGGACCTTTAGACTCTGCGACCATGACCAATTGACCCAAATGACCCAAAAGACCCGTCAGTGCTTGCACGCGTGCAAGCCCTGCTGTCAACACTGCTTATATTCCCTTGTGACGTACAACCATCTGGCTATGGGAGTTGTGCTGTTACAACTATACCCTCTCCTAGACTGCCTTGTCCCCAAGGCACACACAGGCAATGCAGACCCCCAAGGTTAAGGTTAGCAACAGGCAGGTCCTACCCCGCACGTCGCCAGCACCTTGTCAGCCAGGTTCCAACTACAGGATTTGAACCCACGACCGCTGCAGTGACCAATTCCAGCTCGTCGTCGCAAGTCCTAGGCCAGCAGCTGTCAGTCTAACCGTACGCGTGCAAGCACTGACGGATCTTTTGGGTCATTTGGGGTCAATGTCTCAATATCCGGCGCCGATAAGCGCCAATTACCAATCTGGGCCACGGCCGCATTCACCCTTTGGCATGATTTGTCTTCTGTTCCTTACAAATCCAAGACGGCGCTCCGTTTCCAACGGCCGGCTCAACTCAATTCCGGTCGAATTGGGGAGCCTCCGTTGCTGATGCCACTTCAGTACAGCAAATACCACATATCCATCGAAAAGCATAAGTTCACGTCGTTTCCAATGTCCATCTCGGATATCTTATTGATGAATGCAACATCTTCTCATTCTAGATGCTCAGAGTAAACCATCTCACCATGTCGTCGAAGCTCATTGTAATCTGTGGTGTGACTGGCAACCAGGTAAGTTCTCGAATGAAATTAGACCAAGAGATCACTCTCTAACACACAATCGAATAGGGTCGGTCAGTGGCACAAGAGTTTCTCAAAGAGGCTGGCTGGAAAGTCCGAGGAATCACCCGCGATGCGACGAAGCCAGACAGCGTGGCCTTGGCATCGCAGGGCGTGGAAATCGTAGAGGGGAACTTGGACAACTTCGAGACTCTGAAAGCAGCCTTCCAAGGAGCCAACGCCATCTTCGGCAACACGATATTCCCCTTCGCGCTGGGCGCCTCGTCACCACAGCTCCGACCCAACCAATCCCTACCGGAGTGGTGTTACGAGCTCGAGGTCCAGCAAGGCAAGAATCTCGTCGATGCCGCCGCCGAGGTGGACTCGCTTGAGATCTTCGTCTGGTCCACGCTCTCGGCGGCCAAAAAATGGTCGGCCGGGAAGTACAAGAACATCTACCACTTCGACTCCAAGGCGGCTGTGGTGGAGCACATCGAATCCGCCCACCCCGACCTCTTCAAGAAGACGTCCTTTCTGGAACTGGGACTCTTCATGACGAACTGGAAGATGGGCGAGGTCAATATTCCATGGACAAAGGCAACTATCTTGTTTCGATGATGTCTAGGTCGTTTCCAGCTAACGACTAAACAGCGCGAAGACGGCACCATGGTGCTCCGCATGCCCGGTAGTGGTGGTACGCAGCCGATCCCGCACGTTCTGGTCGAGGAGACAGGGCTCTACGTCAAGGCTCTCGTGCAAGCGCCCCCGGGCACACATTTGCTGGCCTGCTCGGAGCTCATGACCTGGCCTGACTATGTCAAGCTGTGGAGCAGGATCCAGGGGATTCCTGCCGTCTTTGAAAGATTTACTCTCGACGACATGGACAAGCTCGCCCCGGGCGGCTTCGGCATCGAAATTGGAGAGATGCACGCCTACAACATGGAGTTTGGATACTGGGGAGGAGACCCGTCCATCGTCCTCCCAGCCGACGTGAGTTTTGAAGATGGCATTGCGGTGTATGTGGCGAATGCTTACAGTGCCTAGCTTGGACTCAAGGGTCAAACTACTTCCGTCGAGGACTACATCAAGCGAGAGGACTGGTCCGAGTTGTTGGCCAGGACTTGATAAACCTCAGTCTTCGGCAGCAGGGGAAATTGAAGTGTGGCATGTGGGAGGGGGAATTATTCGTAATTCAGGGACGCAAAGGTGTGGCTGTTACAGCAACCTAACTTTGGTGCACTGTCGTTATCATGATCGAGTATTGTTGATGGATGTTTGGAGAGAGAATGTGGATAAGCGAGGTTTTCATGGCGAGATAGACCAATGGAGTTATGAATACCAAACACGCCAACTCGCAAACTAAACCGTCTATTGTCGATCATGTTCCAGAACCGGGCATGTACGGTATGTTCACTAATCACAGACGCTCGGCGTCAGCGTACCTCGATGCATGCATGAGTCCATCGCACACATTTCTCTTGCCGAGCCTGTGCCATTGCAGTCTCCTATATGTGTCCTAGCCTCATTCTGTTTACTTCGTGCGGAAAGGCGATAGAGCCAACAAGTGGGAAGCGCGCATGGCATACCCGCGAGTTTTTTGCCTGTCTCCCTTGTACCAGACAAGATGTTCTGTGTAGCTCTGAGTTCAGGGCGCGGAGAGAATAAATGTTGCGGCTTGATTGAGTCAAGGCTGTTACTAAACACTGCAATGCTCAGTTTGTTTCCCAGAAACAATGTTTTTTCGTTCAACTGATGAGGAACAGAACGCTAGCCAGTCATTGATTAACACAGCGACACAACCAATAGCCATTGACCTGTTGCAACGATGCCTAAAATCTCGACGGGTGATCATTTACAGCTGGAGAACCTCTCTGACCGTCTCTTCAACGCTCTCACTCTCCAACCCCAAACGCTGGTTCCAAAGGTCACCCTCGACGTTGGTGTGATCCTCCAGCCCACCCTCGCCCAGAACCAGGGCCATGATTACAGCAGCTCCGCCTCCCATCAAGTCCCCTTGGCTGAACTTGGCCAAGCCATTCTCTCTGATAGCCTAAGAGCCGACTTCCTTCACCTTCCAAGCCTGGCCAGTCAGTTTCTCCAAGACAGCGAGGACTTCCGCCTGGGTCGTGGTAAAGGATTCGACGAAGACCAGCTGGTTTTTGGTTTCGACTGGGTGCTGCAGGACCGAGACGATGGCGCGTCCAATCTGTGCCACGTTGCTGGTCGTGAACCGTGTTTTGCCGCCGTCGACCATAGTGACATGACAGTCTTGTTCGCGAGGTCGAAGCTGGTCATCCCCAGTTTGAGCCCATAGGATATCACGGGTCTTTTCAGCCTGGTGAAATTTTTCATGTCGACCCTCGAAGAGGACGACTCAGCCGTTGGACTCTTACCCAGTCGAAGAAGGGACCGGTGCAAATGGCCGTCCAGCTGATCTGGTCTTCCTTCGTCGCAAGCCAATCCAGGTGGGCTTTCTTGGGCTGAAAGAATGGAACAGCTGCGAGTAGTCGGACTTCCAATCCGTGTTAGATGAAACCAAAGCATCAGCTGCAAGTGAAGCTGGGGCATACCGAAGAGTCTGAGCCGTATTCGCTGGGGATGAAGCGCTTGACGCCGGCCTTGATGGCTGCTTCCGCGATTTTGGTTTGTTCCTCAAGCGGCATGATGGGCAGCATGCTCACGACAGCATCTTGGCCCTTGAGCACCTTCTCAAGCGACTCTGCGCTGTAGTCGCTTCTGATCACTTTGACCCCGTCGAGAAAAGTTGCCTACGAACCTTGACTGAGAATCGTCAAATCGAGATCGGATTTGAGCAGCTCAGGCAGCACAGCAACACCAACGTTGCCGCTGGCCTATTACAGAAATTATGTTAAGCTCAATGGGATCAAATAAAGAGACATTTATTCGATCGAGACTTACACCAACGAGAGTTACTTTGAAGACATGTTTGGAAGTGATTTGATGATGATGAGAGATGGTGAATCAGTGAGTTTGTCTCAAGTCCAGGACATCTTTCACTATTTAAGTAAATCAACGACAGACTCGTAACTGCATCGTCAAATCCAATTGCTGATCAATCCTTAACTCCCGCGGCCTACAAAGAGTCGGTCTCCTTGGATGACTGAGACGCATGAAGGCCGTCGGAACTCTGATTCTCATTGAGTCCTGCCTACTCCTGATAGACATGTTGACGGCGCCCCTCACCCTGAGCGGGCGATAGGTATTATATCCATCCCGTCGGCATTCAATCAAGATTTAGGCCGAATAGGTTTCGTGGCTGGGTGGATTAGTGAACATCAGATGTCTCAAATTGCCCAGCCCACAACTCTGAGCGGCCTTGTGGCTCGTTCATTTTCGCATGTTTGCGGCTGTGATCAGTAACGTCCAAGCCCTCCTGATTATCTGATCATTAACGTAAATTCAATGTCACTACATTGCGGCACTAACGTTCCCCCGGAGCACAAAGAACGTGACAGATGCGACCGTTCCATTACAAATCTCCCTCTGGTCCCCATGACGGCATGCGCTTGCCATTGCAGACGCCTTGACAAGAGTATTGTACTGACTGTTGACCCCGTTCATGGGAGACGTCCGCTGCACTAAGAACATAAGTCTCGCTTTAGCACCTTTCCCCTTCTGAGCTCAGCCTTTCGACACTGCCAGTGATACCCCACAGACAACAATAGAAGCACCGTAGCATATCGACACTTCGTCATCCATCCCAGCGGCCAATACAGACACCATGAAAGCTTTGATTTCAAATCGGAGCATCGTTTCCCGGCTATTCAACCACAGCACCGGAAGATCAGGTTTCAAGGGCGCTCACGTCATCGACGTCCCCAAACCCAAGATCGCAGAGCAGGAGATTCTCGTCAAAGTCAAGGCCGTCGCCCTAAACCCCAGCGACTACAAGCACGTCGACGTGATTTCCCCCAAGGGTTGCATCCTCGGGTGCGACTACGCCGGTGAGGTCGTCGAGGTCGGGCCCTCGGCGAAAACGTCCTGGAAGGTCGGGGACCGCATCGCCGGCGTCGTTCACGGCGGACTCCACCACGACCGCGGCGCGTTTGCCGAGTACCTCAAGACGGACGCTGATCTGGCTTGGAAGATCCCTTCGGGTTTCAGGGACGAGGAGGCGGCAACCTACGGTGTTTCGGCTGTCACGGCCGTATTGGCAGTCAACGTTCATCTCGATATCCCTTGGCCCGACGAAGCGAACCAGAGCCAAGAAGCATCGGCCTCGACGTCTCAGAAGCGGACGATTCTCATCTACGGTGGTTCTACGAGCGCTGGGCTCTTTGCGATCCAGCTTGCCAAACGGGCCGGGTACACCGTCGTGACCACGGCATCGCCCCATTCGTACGACCTCGTCAAGCGGTATGGCGCCGACAAGGTCTTTAACTACCGATCGGACACCTGGGTGAAGGAGGTCTCTTCGGCCTACCCCGATATCACCCTCGCTCTGGACTGCATCTCCGAAAAGGGCTCGGGCCCCTCCACTGCGCAAGTGCTCAAGGCCAAGGGTGGGAAGGTCGTGACCTTGCTGGATCAAGGAGAGTCAAACGTCCCTGGCGTCAAGTACGACATGATCATGCTCTACACCGTGTTTGGGAAGGAGTTTGCCTGGCTGCCGCCAGTGGGACCCAAGTTTCCGGTCGATCTGGAACACCGAGCCGCCCTTGCGCGATTCTATGCCAGTCTGCCGCAGCTCACCGACGTCATCAAGCCACCGCCGATTCAAGCATTTGATGGTGGAATCGACATCCTTCTGGAGAAAGTAGACCTTTTACGTCAAGGGAAGGTCTCCGGGTCTAAATTGGTAGTCAGACTTTAAAAGCAAGTGGAGGCGAAGGGTTTCCGGCGACGTTTGGATATGCCCCATCTTGTTTAACGATCTCTTGGTGTAGATGATTCAGTAACATAGATGTTATTTTCTTCTAGGCTCTCACCCTCATATTTTCATACCTGTAAGGTTTATTCGGTCTGTTAGTTTTTTGCTTGCCTTCTAAGCACTTACTGCAGTGAATGATTTGCATTTCTACTAGTGAAGAGTTTAATCCGCAACAAACCGTATGCTACTCACTGCTATTGTCTTGATTAAATAGTGACTGTGTTTTAGAAACACAACTTATAAATAAGATTCCTTAACACTGAAAGCGAGAGTACATTTTTTTTGGAAGATAAGCAACTAGACTGTCAGCATCAACAACACAATAGCCTCGAAGCAAAACCGCGGCCGCACCAAACGCACACAGCTTTGAAGCAGCCTCCAACAAAATCTACTAGTGAACTCAGCCCCCAAAGTTTATGGTCTACGCGCAACCACAAGAGAAAAACAAAATACTCAGGAGACAGGCTGACCTCTACTAGCAGACGCCATGCTTGAAAGACTCGACCAGAAACGCGACGAAAAGCTTCGTGAGGAGAGGGAGAAACGAGAGGAGGAGAACCGCCAAAGACATGGAACTATGGACGATCCAGCCCGGGTGAGCACCGTTCTTCGTTATGTAACAAGCATCCTGAAAGAGAGACAAGTCCTCCAAGGGCACATGCACCAGGAATGGTTGAACTCTTTCGGATTTAGTTCGCTACTAAAACATACTTCGTTTACACAGGAAATTATCGTAAGTGCTGCCAGGGATATTATAATACAGCAGCTAGAAGAGCGCTTGAGAGAAACTGAGGAGCAAGAGAGGCAAGAGAGAGCGACAGGAAAGAGCACGTGAGGATGAGAGTCAGTCTTTTCTAAGCGTAGGCGCTTCAACTAGTATGATGTTTCTGCTGAAGAAAGGGGGTTCAGAGTGGATGAGGCTAGTAACCGGCGCGCTTCAAAACTACTCTCTCGATGCCATTGTTCTCCCAACCCAGTTTGTTTTCGTCACTGCTGCTATACTCGGAACCCCGGTTGTGACAGTTCCGTTTGGGCGGCACCCTGATAACACGACGATTGTCAAAAATGATGTCGGAAATCTTAACCTAGTGGCACCCAACCTGCCCTTTGGCATTGGTTTTGCAGGAGCTCCGTTCAGTGAAGAGACTTTAATCAGCATTGCTTATGCTTTTGAGCAAAAGACTCAGGCACGGATAAAAGTCAAGCCTTTTGTCCAGCCCAAGACTGAACTGGCTGATGTAGTAAGACAAAGAGTCGAGCGAGAGGCCTCTATGGATTTATGACCTCTCTGAGTCGTTTCATTTCTAGCCTCAATAGAAAATTAAAGTTTGCATCTCGAAATCAAACATCACCGTAACACAATATGATTTTTTGAAAATTGTGAAATTTAGGTCGATTGTGGTGAAAACCTGTTCGTATCACATCTCTGGCTAGTGAGTAGTAACATCTTTATCCTCCGTAGGTCCTCCATCGCGGCCATAAACATCGCTCCAGCCTTGCAAGTTTAGTCCGACTTCATACATCAACGACAAGAAAACAAATGTGTACAGGAAGTTCTAGTAGTGATAGCCAGAACCTTCACAGTAAGGAACAGGGTAATCTTTGCTTGCACACAGGCGCAAAACCCCTGTCACCCATTCCATGCCGCCATAATTCTGGCTCGTGTGGCTACTAGCCATAAAGGTTGTCTTCTGCCAGTTGTCCGTAGTGCAAGAAGTGTAGACGTTGCCGTACACGCGGTGAGTCCACGGCTGGCTAATTACAGTTCCATAGTAACCCTGCGGGACAGTGTAGGTGATTGTAGTGGTGTCGGTTGTAGTCCACGTCTTTGTGTAGTCTATGTTGAGTCCTAGACTAATAGCCTTGATAGGAAAGCCAATATCTCCTCCGAAGGAAACTTGGTTGGCAACTGAGTGGCCGTGCGCGACTGCTATAGTCACGGGAGCTTGCTGTGCTCCCCAAACCGCAGACATCTGAATGTCCCAGTCAAGGAAGTTAGCCGTGCTGGTGACAGTGAATTCGGAGTTCAGGCCGGGGCAGTCCCGGGTCTCGAGTGCTGCCAGAGGTTCAGAAATGTCGCGGGCGTCGACCTTGTCATTGCCGCCATATGTCAGAGCACCTGTCGAAGTAAGGTTATGGAATTCAGCGTCCTTGACAATCTTGTATTGGCCATTGACACCGAAGAGAATTACGTCGTCATGGCTAAGGTTGAGTGATGAGAGTGAAGCCAAGAGACTCTCAGCGCCTCCCTCGGTAGCTTGAGGAGTTGGGGCTGCTACCGCAGCAATGGCGAACAGGGCAAGAGAGAGTCCGTATCTCATGGTGAAGATCTGAAAAAGTGAATGTGTCTATGAAACACCGCAAATGGAGATTGTAGCGTTTGAAGGCAAAAACTAATGTTTTCAATGCAACAACGACTTTGTGGGACACTTCGCAGCTTTTATGTTTAAGACGCATACTGTTATCTGTGTTTACCAAAAGTCATGAGACTGTATAATTCAGCCGTTTCCATCACTCAATGCACGTAGATTGTAGTAACTGGCGGTTTGATCACGTCAACCTCTTGGTCTTCAGCTAAACAGGAGTTTGATTAGTGGAAGATAACAAAGGCTTAGGCTTAATCCCAGATTAATAATTCTGCCGTACTATATTGGGTGTGGGTTCGAGTGAGCGAATAGAAGCTACGCAGATACAACATGCGGTTCACAACAAGCCAGTTCCTGTACCAAAGCAGATCACGCTCGAGTTGCAAAAGTTTGGATCTGACTCGTACACCGTAGACCCTATGGTGTTTCGTCGAGATAAGGACGGAACTCGGATCAGCTCCTGAACGATAGGGAGATAGACTTGATAAGACTTGTGGCGGGAGAGGAGATCAACACGAATTTAATGGAAAGTTCTGTCTTTACTGTCTGCATTTTGAAACACTTACGAATACTGGATATAAAGGCCGTTCGGGAAGCATAAAGATGGCCTAAGCGCTTCTTTCTTGGCCTTAGTGCTCATATTAATAACCGCTAGGCATACAACAGGATAAGCAGAATCTTGTCTTGGCCAGTAACACTTAGTCCTTTGAGTAGATGTATGGTAAAAACGTGAGGCGTGGCTTTGTTTAAGCTCATATTGTAAGCATTTTAGACCCCGTTTCAGACAGCGTCAACAGCCTCGGGTGACATCCAGTGGTTTCGTAATAACCAATCATATCATCAGCAACCTGAATGTTCATGAATCGTGAAGCTTGGTCGGATATCGGCACAAGAGTTAAAGCTTACCGAATGTTCATCAAAATGTACGTTAATTGCGAGTAACCAGGTTCTAGGTTCTCTGTTGTGTCATGAACATACCGTCAGCTGACCCTAGCGTGCCGATCTCCGTAGACCGGCGGCTTCAGTAAGCACACAAATTAGGATGTTTGTCTTCCATGTCCTTTCCCTGTGCCAAATGGACCCCACGGAGGTGCTTGTTTATTAGAAATACGTACTACAATCAACAGCGATACCCCGCTCGTAAATGTGACGTAGAGATAACGATGCCCAGCTGGCAGGGTAAATGAAATGTAATTCGTCAAATGAACACTTGTTGAACCATGTTCCAACCATCACTTGACAGTTCATGGCAGATTGCAAGAATGTTTGAATCAAGTCAGCAGGGTCGTGGACTCATATATATCACATGCTTGTATATAAGCACAGCGTCCCGGATGAAGTTTGTCATTATAGGTCCTGATCCATAATATTTGCCTAAGAAAACCATCCGACTTGCTTCAGTCCCAGCTCATCTATCCTCTAGAGCAATAATGCAATTCCTAACATCTGCACTGACGAGTGCCGTCTTTTTATCTTTCTTGGTGTAAGCTTTAGCATTTCATAGTTGTGTTTGGGCTTGTTTGCTCATTTGGAGGTCTGCAACTTTTGTTTCTGGCGCTAATCTATCCAAAGTGACGCTCGTTACCATGATTCTTGTACTTGCCACAATGGAGGAAGCTACTCCTGGCGTATCACCACCAAAGCATGTGACGGAGAAAAGTCTCTCCTGGCCCAACAGGTATATTGCCACTTGCTGAACGAACTTGTTTCTCTTGGCTATCAATCTAACTGCAATGTTAACAGAACAGTTGGGGATCCGTCGAATACAACTCGGTCAGCGGAAGGGTATGATTTTGCTCTTCGCTAGTGTTACTGCGGTTACGTCTGCTTAAGTGTTGGTGTTCGTACACTGACAAACAAAATCTAGTGTCAATCGACTGGTGTACATGACCTAATATCAGGTGATGATTTCGAATGGCTTTGTAAAGCAAGTAAGTGGATTTGAAACCTAAGTGCCACCGTATGATACAAAAGACTGACGGCTTTCTCTCGTTTCCAACAGTCGCGCAGACTGGCTTCGCGTGCGCGTTTGACAATAGTCAAACATGCTTCGCCGACCCAGATTCTGTTTCCTCATGGTGTGACTAGTTTTATTCATTGGCGGAATTGTATTATGTCGAGTGTTGCTGCTAGTATATTTCACTTAGTTCAACTCTGAATGTTCCATGTGAAGGTGTGCGACTTCATGCAGAAACATGGTTTGAAGACATCAATAGTGGAACGTAGGCACAGATCTTTGATGATACTCTTAGGTTGAGACTTACTGATGGGTAACCAAATGCCAAAGCTCTAGAAATTGTACAAGACCTTGCAATAAATCTTTGCTTGCCCCTTTTCGCTGTGGTGAGCAAGCAGAGGTGAGATATTGTTCGTGTGAGAGATTTCAAAGTTCTGGTTTTGGAGCTTTTGGAATGGTTCGAGTAGTTTCCCTTCCTACTCTTTCTGTATGGTTAAAATTTGTCTGCCTGCTTGGAATCACCTCTGGTCTAGCGTAAGACCTGGAAGATATCCGTCATGCTTCCGTTTCCCTGCTAACAGCGAACTGGCACGTGAAGAAAATAGAAGAGATGTCACGTCAAGAGAGATGGGATGGCACATTACAATCCGCAGAAGCATCTGAACTTAGGTGTATGGCGAAGTCACACACCTAGCTCACAAGGAATACTCCATTAACGACATAGAAGAAAAGTGCTTGTGCGAGGATCCGAGACACGTAAGACATTGCACGTTGCTCCTTTTCAGTGAGATATTGAGATGAAGTATTGTCAAGTAGTGTTTGACCTTCTTGTTTAATTAGTCATTGAATAATTACGACGTGTAGAGAAAAAACAGCCTTAACCATATCAGTCAATTCTCGGGTTCAGTGTTCGGGTTCAGAGCCTATTCCGCGTATTTCACAACCCAACTCGGATTGCAACGCCCCACCTTGAGCTATCCGAGCTCGCATCCGACTCGAACACTCGTGTTCCATAACGGTTCGGGTTCATGTCCTTCTAATTGTTCAACTAGAGATCGTTCGTAGCATAGGGCCCATTGCATCTCGGCTCATGGAATGTGGTTTTTTTGGGGTTTTATTCTTTGTCTTCCCAGCGGGCGAATCCGTCTCTTACCATAAATGTATCTTCTGGGCTGCCTCCTCGATTGCCACTGATTGAGGTGTCAGATATCACTTTCTTCTACAGATACTCTCTTCAAATTTGCTATATATTTCCAAGAACAACCAGTTTTTCCCTCAAAAAACCGGCAACAAGACGTCCTTCTGCCAGAACATTTCGACCATGTCTACCGAGGGCCTCTTCGAGCCTGTTCCTGGCGTCAAACCTACCAAAGGTGGTTACTACCTCTGGCGCTACCTCCCAAACAAAGCAGCTGCTGTCCTTTTTCTCATACTGTTCCTGGGATCTTTACTCTACCTTAGCTGGAAGATATGGAAGACCAGCGCACGTTTTTGTATAGTTTTTGCTGTCGGGTGTCTATGTAAGTTATCTAAGAAAACCGTTGATTGCGTCTGCAAATGCTAATAGTGATTATCAGTCGAGGTGATTGGTTTTGGAGCCCGTGCTGGAGCTCACGACAAAACCGACAAGATAATGCCCTATGCCATCCAGAACATGTATATAGTCGTTGCCCCTGTCCTATTCGCCGCATCGATTTACATGGTTCTCGGCCGAATCATCACCAGCATCCGCGCCGACAAATATTCAATGATCCGGCCCTCAAAGCTTACACTCACATTTGTACTTGGCGATGTTCTCTCGTTCGTCGTCCAGGGAGGCGCATCGGGCTTGATGGTTGTCCAGAAGCCCGGTTTTGCAACATGGGGTGAGAGGATTATCATACTCGGTCTTGTCATCCAGATCGTCATGTTCGCTCTGTTTTGCGCCATCGCCGTCATCTTCCATCGAAAGATGAGACGCGCTCCGACAGCGGAGTCTCTGGACGGCTTGATCCCCTGGGAAGAAAGCTTGTACATGCTTTATGCCGTCAGTGTTCTCATCATGGTCCGGTCAATCTTCAGGGTAGTCGAGTTCGCACAAGGGTATACTGGTTATTCTCTCTCCCATGAGTGGACGCTTTACGTCTTTGACGCGCTTTTGATGTTTGTGGTTACTGTGTTGTTCTCTTGGAGGTTTCCGGAGCGCTTGAAGCCCAAGGAGGAGTTGGCTCTGTGAGTAGTGTAGTAGCTGCCAAAACAACCATGCGGTGCTGTGTTTCATTTTATTTTTAGCAAACGTCTCAGGGGTGGGAGTTTCTTTTCCTCTTTGTTCTCTCCTTCATTGTCATCAGCGGTTGATTGTTATTATAAGGTTGCGTGCTATTTAGATGAGCTGAATCATGTCAACTAGAATCACCGCGGCAAGATACCAGACTACTTAAGCAAGTATAAGCATGATTACTATCAAAAGCAAAGTCGCAGCCTCGACAGCTTCATTGGGTTCATCATGTTATCTGCATTCTCACGCCGCCCACTTACTTGCGTACGATTTGTCCACCCCAATCTTTGCACGGAAGACTCAGCTAGTCCAAAGAAGAAGGGTCAAAGTCCTCCTTCATATCAGGCACCCACCCCTTAGGCCGTTCCGTACCCCGAATCGCCAATCCATAGCCAAGTTTCTCCACCTTCCGCACCGACTGCCGCATAACCTCCATCTTGCCCCTGAAGTCCTTTGTTGGAATCTCTGGGAGAATCTCGAAGCAGCTGCTCAGTTCGTGGATGTCCATCAGAATATTGCGGCCCTCAACGCCAGCCAGCTGGCCCGTTTGAGCAGTGGTGACGGTGGCGAAACGCATCATCTCACCGAAGAGGTCGAAGAGGCCGTACATGTAGTCGTTCTCGGTGATGGAGACATTGGCCGGTACTGCGGCGGCAGTCTCGTCGAGGCTGATTAGGGTCTGAGTTCGGAGGTAGTGGGAGAATGAGAGGGCTTCGACTAGCTCCTCCAGGCAGCGAAGGGAGTGGGCGTAGCGGTATCGGTTGATGCCCTGGATATCTCCCTCGATTGCGGTGAGGTGGTTCTTGATCTCTTCCATGCGTGTGGCTATTTCCTTGTTTGCGAAGCTGGGGAGGTCTCCCAGCTTATTGACTCTACCAGGGCGTCAGGAAATGACACCATAGACTTCTCACGAAGTTCACTGAAGAGGTCAGGCTTACCTTTGACAAGTGAAGATGCTGGTTCCATGTTAGCCAAGCTCAATTGACGTGCAGGAAGCGCAACCTCACATCTTCTTGCTCAAAGCAGTGACGTCTCGTGACGCCTTGATGATGCGCTCTCTCCGATCGTGGTGCTGGTCGAGCTCATTGCGGAAGTTCATGAACATGGGGGTGAACTGCGACTCTGGCGCCACCGGCTTCTGCTTGGGCTCATAAGTCCGCGTGTTACCGTCACGATCTCTCTTAGACATCACGAATTTGGTGCAGCTGGCCGAGCTTGATTAGAGGTGGGCGTCGTCGGTTGAGTGAGACCCTTGGTGAAGCCAGTGAGTGATGTTGGTGTGAGGTGAGATGCGGTGCAGGGTCAGAATTGAATTTAGTGGGGGCCGGCACTGTGGATGGAGCACCCAGGGGTGTGGGTCCAGAACAGTCAAACCCCCCAGGAGCCCAGGGGCTTGCCGGCTGTGCCCACGTCACTCAAATTTCCCATCATGGCAACATGGGGATTTTAGGGCCTCAACCTCCAACTCTCATCGCGAAAAGGCATCCTGGGGTTTCAGAGGATTCAATGGCCTTTTGTATCAATTGATTCAACCACAGATATGACGATTGAATGACAAATTGAGCCCTAGCAAGATCTGATAATTTCTTCATTCCAACATGGTTGGTCTCAACGCCCTCTTCCGGCCCGTGCCGCTCTTCACGACCGCCGCGGTTCTCCGCGTGGTGATGCTCTACTACGGACTCTGGCAGGATGCCTACTCAGCAGTCAAGTACACAGATATCGACTATCTGGTTTTCACCGACGCGGCTCGCTTCACCGCACAGGGACGCTCACCCTATGACCGCGAGACCTACCGATACACGCCTCTCCTAGCATGGATGCTCGTCCCCACGGCCTCGCAGGCTTGGTTCGCATTTGGGAAGTTTGTCTTCGCTGCTGCCGACTTGCTGGCCGGATACTATATCGTGCGCATCTTGGAGAGACGAGGCGTAGACCAGGCAAAAGCTCTGAAGTTTGCCAGCATATGGCTATTGAACCCCATGGTTGCGACGATCAGCACGCGTGGAAGCTCGGAAGGTCTACTTGGTGTAACGGTCATGGCCCTTCTTTGGTCTGTGCTCCAGAGACGGACGACGCTGTCTGGACTGCTCCTTGGCTTCGGAGTTCACTTCAAGATCTATCCCTTCATCTACGCGCCCGCGATTGTATGGTGGATGGACGATGACGCCCTTGGGCGAAAGGGGGCCGATCCCGATGACAAGACATTGGGAGAGGCCATCGCCAAGTTCTTGAATCCTGAAAGAATCAAGCTGGCCGTTGTCAGTCTTGCGACCTTCATGGGGTTGAATGTCGCCATGTACTCAATGTGAGTGGCACATTACCTGCCATCTTGACCTGAGCTAACCAGCTTACAGCTATGGAACGCCGTTTCTTGTGCACACATATTTCCATCACGTTACGAGGATCGATCACAGGCACAACTTCAGCCCGTACAACATACTATTGTATCTGACCTCTGCCTTACCATCGACGTCAACTCTCCGCATAGAATCCGTCGCGTTTCTACCCCAGATCCTTCTGTCGACAATCTTGATTCCGCTTGTTTTGGCCAAGAAGGATCTCGCAACTTCCATGATGGCCCAGACATTTGCTTTCGTAACCTTCAACAAGGTCTGCACCAGCCAGGTAAGCATGTATTACCCGTGTATTTCCTGCAAACTATCGCTGACGCCAAAGAAGTACTTCCTCTGGTACATGGTATTCTTGCCCATCTATCTTCCCAACTCGTCGTTTCTCAACAACCCAAAATCGGGAGTTATCGCATTAGTTTTGTGGGTTGTATCTCAGGCAGCCTGGCTGCAGCAAGGGTTTCAACTTGAGTTCCTGGGTGTCAGCACTTTCTTCCCAGGCCTGTTCGTGTCGTCAGTGGGATTTTTCCTCGTCAACTGCTGGATCCTGGGCGTCATAGTAAGCGACGGCGGAGAGGTCACAGCAACGCCTACCACTAGGAAGACAAAGTAGTAAATAAATTAGAGGTAGTATAGCCTTACATGGAAGAGATGAGCTCGTTCTAGCTGCGGTTGATGTAAAGGCCTACAAAATGAAAAAGGACATGCTCAGATAATCTTAGACTAATGTCTACTTAAAGAATTCATCTGCCTTAATCCGCTTCTGATCACTTTCTTCACCTCATAAACATCTTCAAGAATCTGAAAGTCGAAAGGGGACAAGGAGCTGCTGCCTGGAAGTGGGCACGTGACCCGGCGTCACTTTCCCGCGATCCTTAGGACGCGCGCACGACGCCTTCCAACTTTTCCCTTGCAACCTCGATCTGGTCGCGACCAACGACTTTCTGCGCCATAGTCGGCAAATCCATTGCGCTGAGCTCCGCGAATCTTTATCGCCAGCCAGAAGCGCAGATTTGTAATGTGGCTCCTAGAGACCGACGGCATTGTGCTACAGGGTATTATCCAAAATCACCCCACCCATTGCAGAATGCGACACACAGCTAACGTGATGACCACAGGCCGACGGCTCTGGCTCCGACCTGGCAAACGATATCTCTTCGGCCGGACTGCGTCGGAACGTATGCGTGCCCTATCTACGACCAAAACCGAACCACATCGCTGACAGACGCAGCTGGACAGCTTGCGATCTCCCACAAGACCATCTCACGCAAACACCTGACGATTGAGGTCGGCGCCGTGCCCGATGGCAATAGCGTATGCTCTTGCGCCCGACTAATAGGCGCTTAGTTGCTGACCAGCTACACAGCAAGACCTATCGAGCCGATCGGCAGTCACAATCGAGGACTTGGGCACCAAGACCGGGACGACCGTGGACGGACACAAATACAAGGGCGAAAAGCGTGTCGTCACCGAACATGCGGTCGAGATAAAAATGGGCGGCTGCCCTGACATGTTCCGGTACGAAGAATGCCGTTTCAATCCATGGGGCCTCTACTGACTACATGCTAGTCTATCGTGGCACCCTGTAGTGCTAACCTTTAGCTTCTCAAGCCGAGAACTGCAAGCCGACCCCTTCTCACGATTGCGTGCCGAACTCGAACAGCTTGACGTCAAGCTGGCAGCGGACTACAACATCCAACATACTACGCACGTGGTCACAAAAAAGCGCAATACTTCGAAAGGCCTGCAGGCTCTAATCAACGGAAGGTACATCGTTGCCGACTCGTTCGTCGATGAGATTATCACAGCAGGAGTGCACCCTGTAAGTGGTGATGGTACAGCGGCATCTGCACTGGAAGATGACTTTGACGGGAGCTGGCCGGATCCGTTGGAACATCTGCCCCCTCGTGGCGGTGAACCTGTGGAGCGGCCACCATCCGCCTACGCACCAAATGAAAGCCGTCAGGATATCTTTGAGGGTTACACCTTCATCTTCTACGACAAGGGTCAGTTCAACACTTTGTTGGCGCCAATTACGAACGGCAAAGGCAAAGCACTATACACTCATGTGGACCCGAACTCAACAACAGTCGATGACTTTATTCTCTACGTCAAAACTGAAGCAGGTGAGAAGGGCCTTGGGTCCTTCGAAGATGGCAGCGAAGGGCGCGGGGTGGTTGTTGTCCGATTCGTCCCCAGTAAAGGTGATGCAGTGGACTGGTACGCCGATTTCTTTACTCAGGTCTCCCTCCGCTTGGACCACAGACCCATTGAGCAGAACGAGTTCCTCGAGGCTATCCTTATCAATGATGCCAGCATCCTGCGTCGGCCTTTGGAAGTCGACCCTACTCAAGGACCTTTGAGTACAACACACCAACAGCAGGTGAACACCGATTCCGGCTCAATGGAGGTTGATCAGCCGGCGACTTCACAACGCGCCCAAGAGTCATCCCTAGCTTCTAAAACGGCTGCTGCAAGGAGCCGAGTGCGGAGAGCAGCAACAAGGCGGTTTGCCGGTTTTGATGCTGATGATGACGAAGAGACAATGACCCCATCGGTGACCGAAAGCGTCCCAGTCAATGCCTCAGTCAATGACGACCCTGACGAAGGCTTGTTTGTATCCCAAGAAGTGCCTCAGCTAGATGAAAATCCGGAATCGTTGCAAGAGGCGACCAATAGAAGACCTCAGAGGAAGCGTCCTGCGGCTCAAGACGACAACATTGAGGATATCATTCCAACTGCCGCAGCAGTGAAACGACGACGGATTGCTGCCGGCGAGGAAGCGGTCCCCCGTCAGAAATCACCCGAAGCTCCGAAAGCCCCTGAGCCCAAGGCCGTACCCAAAGCTAAGAAGATCAAAAAAGAGATTGACGTCCTCGACGTCGCTCGCCAACAGCGTGAAGAGATGGAGGCTCGCGCCAAGGCAGAAAAGGAAGACCTCGCCAATCTACCCGACGACGTCGACCTAAGTGAAATCCGCCGACTGCAAATCGTTGAAGAGATGCCTATCCGTCAACCAACAGCAAACAGTAGTCACGATCAAGATGCCGAGAACGGTAGATGGGATCCGCGGTGGAATGGACGGAAGAACTTCAAGCGCTTCAGACCACGCGGCGAACTCACGGGACGTCCTCCGCAGAAGGTCATTGTACCCCTGACGCAGGTAAAGACGAAGGAGTTCGGCATTGGAGACGATTACTGGCTCGAAGACAGCCAGAGCAGGAAGAAGGGCAACGAGAGTCAGAAGAGCGGGACGAACCAAACCGAGTCCGCTGCGCCACCAGGTTCTCGGCCCGCGTCACGGCAGCAGCGCATTGTCCTCAGCGACGACAGTGAGGATGATCAAGCAATGCCCGACACTGAACCCGAGCCTGAACCCGAATCAGAACCAGAGCCAACACCGGCGTCCCAGACGAGGAGTAACCGCGCGGCGATGACACAATCGACCAACACCACCCAGAGCCAGTCACAGAGGCAGACGCGGGGCAAGAGGGCGGCGCCCGCCCCGGCCAAGGAGCCTCCTGCAAAGAAGTCTCGGCCATCCCGGAAGGCCATTGAAGTTGCGGATAGTGACGACAGCGACGATGAGCTCAAGTTCAAGTTTGGCCGCAGACGATGACGGGGAACGCTGGTGTCGATGACGATTATGATGTATGACTGCATTCGCTATGAGCGTTACTTCTATTGTGGGGGTATCTCTCTATCCGGATTTGCATGCAGGCGGCTCAGCCCGTTGAATACACCCTTTGCTCCCGCAACATGTACGTGCCTCTCAGAACCTGTGAAATATGTGACTCGAACCCATGCAAAAAAATCCTCAGTCCATCTCGTCCATCGCACTAGGCTTGGAACCCTCGTCCTCCTCGACCAAAAGTCCAACAAGACACGCCGAAAGCATGGTCTCGTAGTTGACCCACGGATGAATCTCTCCAAACAACTTGGTCCCGTCCCGTCCAGCGCCCTCAACAGCTCGGGCACGCCGGCCGGGTGGTACGGCAGGTACGGCGTGATGTTGTAGACCCTTCCGCCCAGCGCCATCCACGCGTCCTTGCCCTTGCGCCCCGTCATCGTCTTCAGCATCGAGGGCGTGACCTTAAGGTACGGCGTCTCGGCGGGGAGGTTCCGCAGGTCGGCGTTGGGGCCCGAGATGCGCGCCCAGTCGAGCGGGGAGTGGCCCGGCGTCAGGATCACTTTGCGGCTTGGTTTGGGGGCTTTCGCGGAGTGCGTCGGCGGCGGCGCCAAGGACGAGCCGAGGCTCGAATTTGCCGAGGGGCCGCGGTTGGGCACAGGGCCACGGGCACGTTGCGGGGAGTTGGCGGCCGGAAACGCGGCAAGGCGCGGGGGGACTGGGCCGCGGGGGGCCGAGGGCGGCGGCATCATGTTGATGTTTGATGACGGTGCCGGCGGAGGGGCATGCTTCCTCTTCCGGGGGCAGCTGCGGTGGCGGAAGGGAACAAGGCTGTCGAAGGGCCTTGGGAGGGTTCTTCGAGGTTGAAGGACGGGACTGGCGCTGCGGGGGCGGAGGGCCTCGCCTTTGGCGTTGTTTGCTCCTCGGCCTCGGGCACGGTGATTACCGGGGTAGGTGTAGGATTCGGGGAGGAGCGGCGGATGATTGGCGGCGGAGGAGGAGGCATCGCAGCGCGGTCTTGGACGAGCTTTGGCGGGGCGGGCGCCGGTGCCGCAACGGGGCCTTCGGGGAAGTTGAACGTCGGCGGCGGTGGCGGCGCATCGCGGGGTTGGTGCTCCTCTGTCGAGGGCTCGGGTGCTTTCCCGTTCTGCTCCGTCGCTTCATCTCCGGGCGCGAGGGACTTGGGCCTCTGCGAGGGCGGCAGGGCAGGCGGGGGCTTTGCGTGCCGCCACGTCAAGAGGAAGGGCGGCATGAAGGGATGTATCCATGGTGGGGGCGCGACGATGACCCAGACGACGGAGGCGAGGATGATGGAGACGCCGATGTAGCCCATGGCAGCCGGGTGATGGCCGTTATGGTCGTGGAATTGTCGGGGTGGAGTGCAAAGAGCGGAGGTTGTGTTGAGGCGGACGCTGGGAGTTGGGAGCTGGAAGATGCCGATGTCGAGGTTATGCCTTTGGGAGAGATGGGATTCTTTGTCAGCGTTTCTTTGGGCGTGCAACGGCGTCTCGACATTCCGAACCCGCTGAGTGGTTCAAGCTCGGCCTTAGCAGCGGCGGGCTGCTCAGCGACAGGGGTGCACGGGGTTCACTGGCGGGGTTCGAGGGCTGGCGGAATGACGCGCTAAGAGCCTTGAAGGAGTTTGAGAAAGCGTGGTGACAGTCGCTGCTGGCAGCGAGGGAAAATGGCGAAAGAGGGAACGGACGGGGTACGTATCGATGCACGCTAGTCGCCTGAGCCGGGCAACCAGCCAGACCCCCGGGACACGGGAAGGGGAAAAATAGTAAACGAGATGGATCCCGGTAACCAAAACAAAAATAAGGCAAGAAAAAAAAAGGAAAAAAGGCCTAAGATTATCGCAAGATGAAATGTCACCACCGGCCCGCTGGACGGTTTGTGAGCCACTCACACCCAACCATGCAATGCACCACTGCGCGCACCTAGCACTCCCGTAAGGCGCGCCAGGATTGGGTACCGAGGCAGGGTGGGTTCTTGTGCAGCTCTTGTTCAGATGCAGACTCGACGCATGAATAAACAATGCCAATCGAGATGAAGGATGGGGAAAAAAAGACGGCGGAACGGACAACACGACACGACGGCCAAACAGAACGACGAACGAGAGGGCGCGCACAAAATTTAGAATAGAACCGTGAACCGTGTTTTCCTTGGCCCCCGTATTATCCGTCCAGGCGACGAGCCAGCCAGCGGCCAAGTCCAGCAGCGGATGGGGGGAGACGGGAGAGGGGCTCTTGATGAAGACCAACGATGTCATTTCGCGTGTCCGCCCGGGCATCGTCGCCCGTCTATCTCTCTGTGATGGTTGAATGACATTCCTCGACTCCCGCGCCTTCTTTTGCACTTTCCCCTCCTTCATCTAGACCGCGTCTCTTTTGGATCGCAGCTCTCGACGCGCCTATCCTCTTTTTTTTGTTTCACGCAGACCACCTGGGAGGCAGGTGTCTCACACACCAACCAGCATCGCTCTTGTTGATCGCCTTTTTGCATGTTTCAATCGGGGGCCGATGTTTTATGTTGAAGGGTCGAACTCGTTTGAGAGACATCGGCACGAGACAAGACGCAACGACGACGCCGCCAGAGACGAGACCATCGCCGCCTGCGGGATTCGTACCGTAGTGTAGTGTAGATACACGCTCGTGGCCGACCACCTCGTCCGTCCCTCACCGAGCCAACTCTCACCGCTGCTGCGTACGGAGCAGCAGGATCTAGCGACATTCGACCCCTCGAACCGGAATTGCAGGCTCTCCAATAGCCCTCGGAAATCCCAGAAAGACCCTCTCGACCCCCACTGTAACCGGTCACACTTGGAAATTGGCCTTGCGCAAGGGGCGGAGACGCTGTCTCTTTTTCTTCTTCAGGGCAGGTTTATTGCCAGAGGTTCCAAGGGACGTCGCACAAGCACTGCTCAAAGGGGGGTTGGACGACAGCCCGCAGCAGCCAGGGACGCTTCAGGGACAGCCAGGGATACCCGGGTTCATCCAATGTGGGTTTTCCCGGCCATGCTCCAGCACCCACAAGTACCGGTCCTCGCGCCACCACCTCAGAATTGCGGTACTCCCAGGGAAGGTACTTTCCTCGTTCCCTTTTTCCCACTTAGCCTTTTTAGCACCTGCAGGTGGGCGGTTGCAGCAGCAGCAGCAGCAGCAGCACAGACGGTCGGCGCAGGTCCCAGGACTGAGACGCCCCCCAAAATGCGCTCGCTCACCTCCGTCGGTGGTGTTGGAGGCGCCGGCATCAACAACAGCAACAGGAATACGCCGTCCAGATGCGACAATCTGTCGACTGTATCTGGTGCCTCGACTTCTTCACCAAGACCTGATCTGGCATCTAAGTCACCGCCGCCGCCGCCACATCCCACCACCTCCACCATCATCACCCGCCCCCAGCAGAACAAGCTGCATCCCCAAAAACATCTCCTCCAGAAGCCGCCGCCCGACTCGTCCCGACCAAGGCGGAACATCAGGCCATCCATTTCACCCGCCATCCGCAACCCCGCCACATCTGCTCATCAGACGCAGTCAACATCGGCCACTGCAGCAGCAACATCCAACTCTGCGTCAACTTCGTCCTCGTCTTCGCCGGCTGCCGCAGCCGTCACCGCCGCTGCCAGTCGCAAACCCGTGGCGGCCCAGCCTCGAACCACAAATAATCCCACCTCGACTAATAGCACCAAGCCTGCCGCCGATCTGCCACCTACCGCCGCCGCTGCCACTGGCCCACCAACGACAACCGGGCCCAGACGCATCACAGCTGCATCCACTACCACCAAAACAACCACCACCACCTCCTCCTCCAACTCCAACCCAAACACAACAACATCGTCACCTTCACCTCCCACGACATCAACACCGACACCGGCACCGCCAGCACCACGACCCTCATCCGCCGCCTCGAGACGACAGCAGCCCGCCCTGTCCTCCAGCTTGCGCACACCCCTCCGCAACCGAGACCAAAATGTCCTGAACCCCTCTCGCCCTATCAACGCCGCGCGAGCGAAGCCGTCGCCCACCCCGTCACCCACATCCTCAGCGTTCGCTTCCGCATCCTCTACACCCACCATGCCCCCCTACGAGAAAGGGGCAGCACAACTACCCGCCAGCCCGCCATGCCTTCCCTCAGCGCAAAGGCAATGGGCCGAACTCCCCTGACCCCCAAAGTCGCTGCAAAACCCTCGCCCGCCGTGACCCCCTTGGGTCGTCGCCGCAACGATAATCCCAATAATAACAACCACCACCCGCTCCCCCACACAAACGGCGGAGGCGCCAGGGACGACCTGACGAGCCCGGCTCCCTTCCTGGCCGCAACCAACGTCACCCCTCGGTCGGGCAGTCGCCAGAGCCGTGTCAACAGTGCAAACACGACCCCGAACGGCACCCCGAACCCGGACAGAAATGAGTGGGATCACCAACCGACACTCGAGCCCCCGAGGCGCCAGGTCGTCACCTTCAGCCCGCCCTCCAGCGTCGGCAGTCGGAACGACGCACCCGAATCCAAATTCTTCTATGCCAGTGAGGCGAAGCCTTCCCAGCCGGCTCCCCAGCCGAAAGCCCAGCCAAAACCTATGGCTCCTGCCCAGCGAGGCTCGACCTTTATGTACGCCAATGGCAGCGCAGTCGAGACGAGCAGGCCAACATCCCCCGGCGTCGGGTTTACACCAGTGCTGGCACCGTCGCTCGCACCATCCCTCTCCCCATCTCTTGCCCCGACCGCGGAACCGCCGTCGAGCAAGTTCTTCTATGCGAATGGAGCCCCTAATCTACAGCCCGGGTTCCGTCCAGCCTCTGCAGCTTCAGGGACCGGGTCGGTCGCCTCGGGGTCCAGCAGGCTGCACAGGACATCAGCAGGCTCGGCGAGTGGCTTCCAAATGGCACAGCGGCCCCTTTCGCCGAACAAGCCAGCCCAAGCTCCGACGTCTGCGCCGTTACTGAAGAGCAACAGTATGCCTCCCCATACTGTCGGCCGATCACAGATGACAAGTCCGCCGCCACTCGTAGCATCACACAAGCGTCGGACGAGCACCGATACGGTTTCGCAAGTGGCTAGCTACGTTGGGGCAGAGGCCCCAGCAACGGACGCCATGATCATGTCCAGATTCATGGCCTCACAAACGTCGACTCCCTCCGAGATGCCTTCCCCGACAGCACCGAGCTTCTTCCCCCAGCAGCCGATCACTATTGCGTCGATAATACAGGCGGCGGACGATCTGGAGGACGAGGACGAGGACGAGGACTCGGCTGACGAGTCCAAGGACTTGGACGACCCCCACAGCCCGACCAAGTCGTCGCCCGGCGACCCCTTGAACGACATGGTCCTCAACGCGAGAAGAGAGCGCAAGGTGCAGGATTTGGAGATCACCAACGCTTCGTTGGAAGCCATCAACAGGTCCTTGGAGAGACAGCTACGGAAACAGACGGCAGAATTGAGGAGATACAAGAGGCTGTCACGCTCGGGGCGCCTGTCAGCTCCTACCTCTGCGGCATCCAGCCGCGTATCTTCAGAAACCCAGCCTGGGGGTCTCGGCATCGATGGGCTGGACTTGTCGGACCTCAGTGAAGATGAGGCGGAGGACGACTTGGAAGAGATGGACGATTCAATGTTTGAGTCGTCTGAACTGTCCGAGACGGACTCGACATCACACGCAAGTCCCAGGCAGGACACGGATCGGTACGTACGCCGCCGTACTCGGGACGAGAAGCGCCTGAGGCTGGATCTTTCCAAGCACAGGGAGCTGCTTGTCGACAGCCAAAAGATCAACCAGAGCATCAAGAGATGCTTGAACTGGACGGAGGAGCTCATCAAGGAGGGCAAGAAGGCTCTCGAGTACAACGTCCGCCCCAGCGACGTGGAGCTGCCTCCACGGGTCCTCCGCCCGGCGTATCTGGAGGAGGACGAGGGGCGGGGCCAGAGGAACGAGTTCTCGGTCTCATTACCAAGCAGCCCGGTAGAATCCACGAGGAGTCTTTCGCCGCATTGGAGCAAGGAGCCGCAGGACCGCGATAGCGGAATCGAGCTGCCTGCAGACAGCAGATGATGACCCGAAGAAATACACCATTACGACATAATCTTTCAGCAGACCGGATCTCCCGTCGCGGCCCGGACGTTGCGGCGGCATCGCACAACATCACCACTCACGGAACACACCCAATTTTTTTTTTTTTTATTACAAAACAAGTCTTCTTTTTCTTTTCTTTTCTGCATGGCACGGGGAACAAACTCGGATCAGGATGAGTCGGAACTACGGCGTTTCTCTTTTGTGTGACAATCGGGCCTTTGAGGAAGAAGGGAAGGCAAACCCACCATCGGCGAGGCATCGTCGCCCCCTTTTCAGAAAGGGAAAGGGAGGGGGGGCCTGCGACACTGCTTTATTCTTTTCCGATTCTCCTTTGTTGCACTATTTTTGTGTACCAACAGATACCCCAAAGCACTTACATATAAACAACGGAACATATTGGGCGGCCGAATGGGATCCATGGCGCCTCGGTCGCGCTTGGCTTGGTTCGGGATGTGTTGAACTCTGCAACGAGCAGAGCACGAAAATCAGACAGAGGAAGAGCGAGGGAGGGGTCAGTGGTTGATGGCGAGCCGATTTGTATTATACCAAATCAAGTCAACAAGGCCAGTGAAGAGCTGGCGATGATCTAAAACTCTGTGCATCTCTGCAACTTGTGACTAGATGGGCCGCTCAACCCCTCGCAACTACGCAACTACGCAACTACTCTGGTTGGCGCCGGCCGTGGACGTCGACGTTTGTCATCCAACCCGATTACAACTTGGAGGCTGTAGGTTTTTGTCCACAGGTGCAGCCTTTCGCGAGACCTGCCAAAGGGATGAACATCTTTTTTTGTCGCCCCCTATGTCAGCCTCCAGGGTACCACTCAACGGTCTTACAGCAAAGTGGGTAAGGCGAGCAAAGTCACCCCCACCAAGCGAGAACCCCTATTCCTGCCGGCATTGACCGCGTTCTAGACATGGGACGAACCGAGAAACCCCCCTGTGTGAGACTTGGGACCGCCACTATGGCGTAGCAGGCACCGCGCATGGCGTCGAGGATGGCGAGGGCAGAGGGTGGCGGCGAACGGACATGTCAAACGTGGTGGGGGGGTGGTATGTGGTTGGGTTGTGTCTGCGTCTCCTGGATGGCATTTTCCAATGATTGTCCCGTTGGCCAGGGGAGAACTGGAGGTCATGCACCTCCCCCGGCGCGTATGATTGTTTGCTTGCGGTCGAAAGATGGATGGCCGTTCTTTGCCACACTTGAACTGGTGTCATGCTATGCGGGCTTGTGAGCAGGACCTTCACCTCCCAAGAGCCCATGCAATCAATCCATTGCGAATACAACGACGCCGGAACGCCTGGGCGAGAACGAGCGGAGAGGCGCAGCTTTGCCGGCATTTACTGCCCTGGGCCTTTCGTTCTTTGCCCCGGCTCTGTTTGTCGTGGTGATGGCAAGATGAAGCGCGTATGCAAGATGAGAAAGTCTCTGGGACCCGGCCGGGGCCTTCGTTGCTTAGCATGACGTGGCGATCTTATCCACCCTCTCTCCAGTGGCCGCAGCCGACGCTGAAAGGGGGTCGTCTCCCTTCAGGGCACGGCTGTACAAGCGACTCTCCTGAGGCCGGAGACGGGTTCAACACGGCGGTGAATGGTGACCAGGTAAACCGACCATCGGACGCCTATATTCGACTCCCACAATATGATCTACCCATTGAGATCCAACGTTTCCTCGGAACGGCAAGCGCCTCCTTTCCGTCACGGGAGGCTTCTGCAGGGCCTCGGCGCCGTCTTCGCGCCCTTCTTCGCGCCCTTCTTCGTGACCGGCTCAAAAGCATGGCCGAGGCTGAGGACGCAAGTGGCTCTCCAGGCCCCTTCGTCGTGTCGATCTTCTCGTGTACTGCAGGGTTGTCGCAAGGATGGGCAACGCGGTTGCAGATCTGCACAGGGCCTGTCCATCGAGCCCCGGTCGGAACGCCTATGCGTAATTGCGACTTCCTCTCTCAGTTGAATGCCCCCGTCTCTTTACCTGGCGCTCTGGGGAGTACTCAGAGTTGTGGACGCGAAGAATGGAGGACGGCCAAGACAGCCGTCCCTCATGGCGCTGTCTGTCTGGCGTCGGGTTGACGTCTCATAACCGCGTACCAGATGTGAGAACAGCTCGCGCAGGAACGCCATGAAACTGCCAAGGTCCGCGGCTGAACGATGCCGCAAGCCACGGTTGCTGCAAAGTATGAAGCTGGCTGTTTCCACGAATCTGACGTACATCAACAAACTGCCTCGATCGGTGGCGGCCGACGGAAGCCCGGGAATCCTTCGCCTCCCCACGTTCAGCACGCAGCGGACCAAGTAGTAGGAACTCTTTGTGAGGCCTCCAGCCCGCGGGCGACTCGGTCGTCTTCCATGGAAACGGGGAGGGCTTCACGCCGCGAGGCACGTCGTTCGTTTCTGCGCCGTCTAACTAGACGCGGAATGTGCCACACGTGGGCGCCAATGGTGGTGGGGGGCCGTCAGCAGCTTGACCAAACCGGCGCCCGACACCCCGCCAAGCACATGTCAGGGGAGAGAAAAAGGTAAAGACTGTATGGCAAAACCAAGAAAAAAACTGCATCACCGCAAAACTGCAAAAAACGAAACCACAAATAATAGCTTCAGACGTTGATATGCCTCGTGGCGGAATCGAACCGCCGATCTTCTCATGTCACTAGGGTACTAGTGAGACGCTATACCACTTAGCCAACAAGGCGTTGTGTACAGGACCACGTCTCGGGACTCAAGGACCACCGTCTTGCGGGCCTCGTGGACGACGGTCCCCACCGGAGCCGTAGACGCAGTAGACCAGCGGTGGCCGTTGAAGCTGCTTCCAACAATGTCTTTCTGGGTTTCTTGTTGCAGTCTTGCTTGTGCAGCGGTGGTTATTTGGCCCGGATCTCTTAGAGGGAGAACGACGTTCGGGTCCTCGCGGAATCATATTCCGTGGACATCGTTTCTACCGCCCTGAAAGTTTCCGTAAAAGAACACGATGCGCTCCGAGCATCGGAGTCTACGGTTTCGACATTTTCATCGTCTGCATCTACTTTCCTAGATTACGAGGGGGCAAAGCTGGTCTCAGGGACCGCGGCTTGCTACCGACTCGGAATTCTGGATAGGCCTGAGCTACATCCTTTTGTAACCTATGTCAAGGGAGATTCGTGACAACAAAACTGTCTTTGAGACGAGTAGATGGAAGCTGGAGTTTGGTCTGGCACGGAAATAGTCACGAATAATGCGTCCTCTACTGAGCTTCCGCGTCAAGTCCTCGACCCCTCAGAGGCCCAGCCAGAAACGTGATATCGTTGAAAGCGGACAGCAAGAGCGCGGCAGGCCCCTCCGGACACAATGGACCCAAGGGTTCAACGTAAGGAATACCTTGTATTCGCCGATGATAATCAGCCACTAAAAATGCCGAGGTGAGAGTGGATGGGCCCAACTCCAACAAACAAACAACCGTCAAGCCAGCCTCACCAAAATAAAAATAAAAAATAAAAAGTCCGTCTATCGCTCTTCAAGTTTAGACTAAAAAGTATTTCGTAAACGGGCCAAATTTGCCCCCCCGCCAACCCAGAGGAGAATTCAAGTCCAAAACGGAGTGTGGTATCTCGTTCGTGCGCAACAGTCCCCTTGCCCTTTTATGCCCCGTCCGTCGCCGTCTTGGGTGCACCGCTCTACGACTTCTCGGGCTTGGGGACGTTAGGCGCGTCCTCGGCCACCTCGGCCGACGGGTGCTTCTTGCCCTTCTTCTTGGACTCCTTGTCCTTCTTGATGGCCGCCTCGGCGACGAGCTGCTCAAAGACAAGGTAGTCTCCCTCCTCCTCGGGGGACCGTTGGGCCTGGGGTGACGAGTTAGTCTTTGGTTGGTCAAACGTGAATCCAGCGGGGACGTACCTTGGAAAAGATGTCACCAATGATGACCAGGGCCTCGGCGCGCTCGAGTCTCTTGGCCAGGGGGACCTTCTTGTCGTTCAGGACCGAGTCGCACACCTCGCGCAGCACGCTCTGGATCTCAAACTTGGAACCGCGCCATGCGGCGGTGAGGATCTTGCCCGTGACACGGCGCTCGTACTCGGCCTTGCGCTCCTCGGACCACTCCTCGCCGCCCTTCTCCTCCATACGCGCCATCTCCTCAATGGTCTGCTGCGCGTCAATGGCGGAGCTGATGGTGTTCCACGTCTCCTTCACAATCGTGCCCTTGTCCTTGACGCGGCTGAAGAAGCCGCCGATGCCCAGGAACTTCTGGCTTCGCAGCAGGGCCGTGGCCTTGGCGAGGTAGGTCTGGCCGATGGCGTGCAGGATGTCCAGGCCGAAGGACTCCATCTTCATGTTCTCCACCTCGAGACGGGTCTTTTCCTGGAAGGACTTGGTGACGTCGGGGCCCTTGTCGGTCTCGGTCCACACGCTTATTCTGTCGAGGAGCTTGCGGGCAAGGGTATCGACGCGCTCCTGTCGCACGCGGGCACGCTCCTTGTCGTAGGCGGCGAGCTGTTCGCGCTGCTCCTTTGTGAGGTTGCCCTTCTTCTTCTCCTTCTTGCGGAGCGACTCCTCCGACTCGGCGTTCGCTCCGACTTCGTCCGAGGGCCTGTCCATGAGGGCAGGCCGAAGGGGGATCTGGTGGCGCTTCGAGGTGCCGGACGGGCTCGGCGATGGCGTCCTCGCTTCGGCCGCGGAGGCAGCGGGCGCGCTGGCCGCGGCGGAGGCGGCAGGGGTGGCACCATCCTGTGCCTTGGGGGCTTCCTTCTCGTCTTCGACGACAACGGTCGGCGGGGGAGCGCTGGCGGCACCAGTCGCAGCGGTTGCGTCGGTCTTCCCCGCATCGGCGGCAGCTTTCGCGCTCTCCTTCTTGGCCTCCTCGGTGCCCGGGAACTCGCCGTCGGCAGCTTCCTCACCCTCGGCGCCCTCCTCGCCCTCCTGCATCGTGATGTCCATGGTCGCCGTCAGGTCCTTCATCAAGCTGATCTCACCGATCCAGTCGACAAAGGCGTCGCCGCCAAAGATGGATGTGAAGAACTCGGCGGGGTCGGCAAAGCCCTCGGAGGGCTTCGCGCTGTCCTTTCCATACTTGTCGTAGGCGGCGCGCAGGTCCTTGTCCGACAGGACCTGGTAGGCTTCGCCAATCTCTTGAAACTTTTCGTGGGCCGAGGGGTCGTTGGGGTTCTTGTCTGGGTCATGATGTCAGAGGTCTGCACGCAGGCAGCGGAAGCGAGGACCTTTGCTTACCCGGGTGGTGGACAATAGCCAACTTGCGGTAGGCCTTTTTGATTTCGATGTCTGTGGCGGTGGGCTGGACGCCGAGGGTGTCATAGTATGCCGTATCGACAACCATGGTCGCAAGTTATGGTGGGGGGTATCAGGTGGATGAAATCTTGTTGAAGGCGCAAACAGGTCGGTGCTGTAGGTGCAAAGGAGGAAAGTCAAAGTCCTCTACGGAAAAGTCGCGGGGTGCTGAGGGTAGGGATAGGTAGGAAAGTGATTCAGAGCAACAATCACAAGGAATCGACCGGGACGTGGTGGTGGTGTTGACTGCTGGCTGGGTAGCGGCGGCAGCCCACCTCAGCATTAATTTTGGGTGGATTTACGTTTTCGCGGTGTGCCCCGCCAAATTACGTCGTTGGGCGAGACCCGTGGGCCGTGGGTTCCAGTGAGCAAGGCAGGCACCTTACACTACAGGCGCAGCACAGTGAGCTGTCGCCGAGCCTTACGGGCGGTAGTGTAGACGGGATGGAAAGGTGCCACTGCCACTCGGCTGGCTTACCTAGATGCACCAGCGTGGCGGCGATTCCACTGCGGCCTTGGAGATTACGCGGACAGGGACTTGCTGGCAGGGATGACGTTGCTCCCCTTCAACCATCTACCGGTGTGCCGGTTTCTACTGCTCTGTGCAGCTTGCAATGCGTGTCTCTTGCACCGGGGGTTGTTTTTATTTATTATTTATTTCCTAAATTGTCTTTCTTAGCATAGTGTTTGTGATTGTGTCTGTTATGTCTGTTTGGCAACCGAGATCAGGCAGCCATCCCTAGATTGTTTGTATACTCTATGAATTGGGGGAAAAAACACATCAGGCAGGTCTGAGTGGTGAACCACTCAGACTCATCGCATGTCGACCCAGAAGATCGACGACGCTCCTACAGCCGAGTGCCCGTGATGTGATCCGCCTCACAAGCTTTCGAGCCCAATAGACCGGACAACGCCGAGATGACTGAGCTCCACACCGACCGCACCGACTCACGCATGCAACACCGTTCGGCGCCTGACATCAGCCCGATGGCATTTGGATTCATGCTATGCTACGATCTTTGAACTTTCTGTTGTAGTTTGAGCAGCAATTCTTTAACTGCTTTTCCACCCCTCCAATTCCTGCTTCAGAAACCATTACCCATTTACGCCGGACCCGACATTGTTTTTTATCTACTGAACGCCGTTGGCCTTCATGCGCTCGAAGCAGCCGCGGTAGGCCTCATGGATCTCGGGCACCGTGTAGTTGTACTCCTTGAGCTTCTTCTCCAGCTTCGTTGTGTCGAGCTTGCAGTTGCTGCGGCCGGCCTTGATGACCTTGGACTGCTCCTCGAGCGAGAAGTTCTTCCACGTGAAGTCGGGGCGCACAATCTCCTTGAACAGAGACAGCACCTCGTTGTGCGAGATGGCGCCCGGGTTGGTGAAGTTGTAGATGCCCGTGTCCTTGTGCTCGGCCATGAGGATCGACGCAGGGAGGAGGTCGTGGAGGATCGTGTTACTGTTAGGGATGTCGACGACCCGGTCGTACTTGGCAATCTTGGTGACAAAGTTGCGCGAGTGCAAGTCGTCGCTGACGGGCATGCGCAGGCGAAGGATGAGGCAGTTGGTGTAGTGCTTCATGACCTACAGCAGCGATAGTTAGCAACGGGCTTCTACGCCGACTAGGCACGGGTTTGTGAAACATACCTCCTCAACGTGGCCCTTGGTCTCGGAGTAAAAGCTGCCCTTGAAGTTGGCAGGGTCGGTCTCGAGGTAGCCGGGCCCGCCAATGGGGTGGGCATCGTCATACTGGTAGATGCATCCAGTGGCGAAGACGGTGCAGTGGATGCCCTTGAGGAAGCAGGCGTCGGTGAGGTTCAGGGTGCCGATAACGTTGGAGCGCATCGTGGCCTCCTTGTTGTCCTCGCACCAGTCGACATTGGGGCGGCCAGTGCAGCCGGCACAGTTGAGGACGTGGGTGGGCTTAACCTTGTCGAGCTCGGCAATGACGCCCTCGCGGTCCTCCATGCGGACGGTGGTGGTGTAGACCTCCTTGCCCTGCCCCTCGAGGATATCCTTGAGGTGGTTCGCGACCCAGCCCTTGCCACCCCAGATCAGGAAGCGGTTCGCAGAGTGTCCGTTAGTGGCCATTGTGATGATTGCGTTGTTGTCCTTTTCCGTTGATGGGTTTCGTTATCGGAGGGTCGTCGAGTATGGGGTCGGGCGGGACTTTGTAGAGTTTGGACCGAGCTGGGGTGGTGTAAGTTTCGAGTCGTACGTCGGGTGGGATGTCGTCCGGTTCTGAGAGAGAGGTGTCTTATACGTCGGGGAGCTGGCAAGGGAGGAGGGGCAGCTGGAGGAGGGGGAAGACCAGGAAGAAGGAAAGGAGAAATAGAGTAATTTGTAAGACAGGCCGGTCTCCGGAAAGGGCAAGGGAAAAGTGTGAGACGGATTATTTATCTAGGGTCTGCGTGGCAGGTGCAACCAAAGGGAGACTCCAGAGAGGAGGGAGACTTTGCGTTTGGGTTCAGGCACGAGTCGTACTATCTGCGTTGCAGCTGCGGTCTCGACCTCCCCTCCCGGTCATCGATATTGGGACTGCTAGCTAGCACCGCCGGCAATGCGGTCCCAGCTATCCATAGCAGCGACTGACATTGGACACCAGGTGTTCACGTCGTTCCCACCCCCACCTTCGGGACGTTCAGGTACCACCACGGTCAACGTGCGACCCCGGAGCGCAACTTACGTACCTCGAGTACGAAGCTTGCCAGGAGCTACGTTCCATGTTGATTCGCTAGCTGCTGTTATCGGAGGGCAGCCAGCCTTTTTCCGTCGAGGCGACCCGCCCCAGCCATTGTCATGGCTACGGTGGGTAAGTGTGTGTGCTCTGTAAGCTGGGTCTGCCACGGAGGCCGAAGGGCAGCAGTCGATGGAGAGAAGAAAGAAATGTTAGCAAGGGACAAGAGGAAAAAGTAGCTACTTGCTACGTGGTGTCGCCGCGGGCCTCGAGACAAGTATCGCGAAATGCAGCTACGCGAGTTGAAAGCAGGCTAGAAGGGCTGAGAGGCTCCCTTGGGGATGCAAGTGTGAGACATTGCCGTCTGGGGGCTCACCGCAACATGCTCTCCCTTGGGGGTGGAAGGCGGTGGCAACGGGGGCGGTGCGGGTGAGACAGGACTCAAGAGTCGAGACTCGAATGCCGCCGTGTCGGCCGTGGTGGAGACACAAACACGGAGCCGCAGATGGACGACTATGGTCGGAAGCTCCAGTGCTAGCAGGGTCTTGGCCCATGGTGCGTGGGATTTGGAGATGCTGTTCGACGCAGCATCGAGCATCCCAAGGACGGGGCGGTTGCGCATGCATGCCCCTCATATCATGGTTCGGATGCTCGGGTTCTGAATGGGGGAATGCTGAGCTGGAAGAGATTTGGTCGGCCTCCGATTAGGGGAGGGATGACATGCGTGGAATAGCTGCCGCCGCTCTCCACACACACCTCATTTGGCGTCAGCAGTACCAAGTATGGGATGGTAGGTAGACCATGTACGAGATCAGAGCGGTCGCCTCTTGCGGTCGAGTGCAGCGGGCTCTGGAAACGCCATGGCGGGCGGGCACCGAAAGCAAAAGAGACCATGCGAGTCCCCCCTCGACCGAGTGTGAGACGACGAGAGGAGAGACATGGCAGGCTGGAATGAACGGGAGTTCAGAGCTTCCAAAAGGGCAGGAAGGCAGACCCTGAAATGATAATCCAATCTGACCCAGCTGGGAAGCATCTGTGCCCCGCAGCTGCAAAGGCAGAGGGGGAAATCGCCCCCAGGGGACCTGCGCCGCCGCAACCTGCCATCTGCCAATCACCGCCAGGCTCTCGTCTCATTGGTTCGCTTAGCGACAGCCGAACCACTTCAGCTGGTGCCCGTTGGTCGGGGCCTTCGAGTTCCCAATGGGATTCTGGGCCTCCGGGCTTCGGCCGGGCAAGTTCCTGCTGCGGTTTAGCGGATAGACGGGCAGCGTTCAGCGGAGTTGCGCAGGCGTGCGTGCCTCTGTAGCACCGTCCGTCCGCCTCCCGTCCACCACTCACAGGCGCCCGCTTGTCACTGTCCGAACAAGACATCAGCGCTGAGCGTGACTGGACTGGGGGAGGTGACACCATGCTAGCGACCCCAAGAGGTTGTCTTGGCAGAGACTGACGGGCTCCGTTGCATTTCGCCAATTTGGAGCTGGAGAAAAAAAAAAGGAGCTGGGGTTGGCTGCGCCCGAGTTTGTTCCCCCGTTTTGGTTGCTTCCTGCCCGGTTGGAATTGGTCAGGTTCTGGCACCGTTGGACCATTGGTTTGAAGACAGCGGAGAATTCTTTCCCTCCTATTCCTTCCTCTTATTTACAGCTGCCGTTGCTGCTGCTTCTTTTTCCGTCGTGTTGTTGTTGATCCACGTTTACTTCAGCCGTTACTCTCCCCAGATCAACCAACTCAATTCTTCATCTGGTCCGAAGTCCGTGTCCTCCCCCCAACAAACGCGCACGCACGATCCAGACCTTCTGGGACGTCGAAACGAGAAAAGGAAGGGAAAAAAAGCTGCGACCGCCTTGCTGACGACTTCGTGCGCAAAGACTCCGTACTGGTTCATTGGCTCGCGACTTTACTGCCAGCCAACCTCGACGAAGACGACGACAACTAGTCTAGCCTAACCGCCTGCGACGAGACTCGACTTTCACCCAGTCGCCTCCTCCGCCAACCCACTCCACCGTCATATCGCGTCAGTATCGCAGCCCACCGTCCGTCGCGAGGACCAACTGTCATCATGGGTATCATCTTCTACCTCCTGCACCCGAACCAGCTCCGCTCCATCATCCAATGGTAGGTTCTTGAACTCTGATGGCTCGGCGCACACGCGCTCGCTCACACGCGCAATGCGCCGCCGCCTTCCTCTCCCACCACACCTGCTAACCTTATGTTTAGGAAGGTCTGGCACGACCCCGTTCACCGTCGCGACCCCTCCAAGGAGGACCCTACTCTGACGGCATGCTTCGAACACCTCAACAAGACGAGCCGTAGCTTCTCCGCCGTCATCCAGGAGCTCAACCCCGAGCTGCTGGTCCCCGTCTGCCTATTTTACCTCGTCCTGCGTGGCCTCGACACCATCGAAGATGACATGACGCTCGACATCAAGGAGAAAGAGCCGCTCCTGCGCCACTTCGACCAGTACATGGAGACGGATGGCTGGACGTTCACCAAGAACGGCCCCAACGAGAAGGACCGCAACCTGTTGGTGCACTTTGACGATGTCGTTACCGAGCTGAAGAAGATCAAGAAGCCCTACTACGACGTCATCAAGGACATCACCATCAAGATGGGCAACGGCATGGCCGACTACGCCAACAACGCCGCCTTCAACGAACACGGCGTCGCTACCGTCAAGGAATACGAGCTGTACTGCCACTACGTTGCCGGCCTCGTCGGTGACGGCCTGACGCGTCTCTTTGTCGAGGGCAACATGGCCAACCCCAAGCTCCTCGAGCGCCCCGAGCTCACCGAGTCCATGGGCCAGTTCCTGCAAAAGACCAACATCATCCGCGACGTCCACGAGGACTACCTCGACAAGCGCCGCTTCTGGCCCAAGGACATCTGGAGCAAGCACGTCGACACCTGGGACGACCTCTTCAAGCCCGAGCACCAGCGCCAGGCCCTCGAGTGCAGCTCCGAGATGGTCCTCAACGCCCTCAAGCACGCCGAGGAGTGCCTGTTCTACATGGCTGGCATCAAGGACCAGAGCGTCTTCAACTTCGTTGCCATCCCCCAGAGCATGGCCATTGCCACGCTCGAGCTCGTCTTCCGCAACCCCGCCATCTTCAACAGCCACATCAAGATCACAAAGGGCGATGCATGCCAGCTCATGAGCGAGTCAACACAGAACCTCTTTGTTGTGTGTGAGGTTTTCAGGAGATATATCCGCCGGATTCACAAGAAGAACGACCCGCGTGACCCCAACTTTGTGCAAATTAGCGTGCAGTGTGGCAAGGTACGTTTGGAGAATGTGCGTCTGTCTGTACGCAAGCCAGTTGCTAACCCATATGCGCAGATTGAGCAGTTCATCGACTCTCTGTTCCCGAGACAGGACCCCAAGAAGCTCGGAGAAACGGCGAAACAGAAAGAGCGGGGCCAGCCGGGCATGGACCCAGGCGAAGCCTTCATATTGGGCGGCATGGTCCTGCTGACCCTCTTTTTCGTCTCTGCTCTTATGGTGAGCTCCGAAATTTTCTTTCCTCATTTCCCTTCCTTCACCTCCAACCTCACAACCCTCCAACTCCTCCCCCCTCTCGACTCAGGGTTGCCGCCCAGACTCGTCGACTGACAATACTCTCTCAGATTGGCACGGCCTGGTTCTTTGGTGCGCGCTTTGACTCGCTCTGGAAGACGGAGAGCGTCTACTGGCCCGGCACGGAGCCCGGCTCGGCGCGGCCCATCGACCACAAGGAGCTGTAACTCCAGACAAGATGAGAACAAATGCTGTTCTCTGGCTACGCTTCATCTGACGTGTTGACGGTACATAATTGACGAGGAGTTTTTTTTTCGGTTGACCGCCGCCGGTCTGGCCACGACGTATTGAGGAGCCCATACTAATTTTGCTAATACACACCATCCTCGTGATGGGTTTTTCGCGCTGGCATTCAGTCTCCCGCCCACCTCGTTTTATGGGATGCATTCCAAGTGACACCAATCGTCCCTACACCCCCAAACCAAGCACGGATGTCAAATTGCAATTCAGTCCCGCCGCAAGGTGGTTATGACTGTGGTTGTGCCGAAGAAGTGCTGATATCAAACCCCACCGGCAACGACCCCGTCCATCAGCGGCGGGTACGGGGCGGGCGCGTCTTCCACTGTCTCCAGGGGCGCGCTCTTCTGCTCCGGCTTGCAAACATACTCTCGTGACTGAACGTCTGTTATATAGATGACCTTGCGCTGTGACGGGTTCTCTGGCTGGTCGGGGAGATGTCCTCCTTCGTCTGATTCACGGCGTTCATCATCGGGTGACAAGCCTGTCACGGGGTGTCGCGGACACAAAGGCCAAGGACAAGCTTTTCGTACCTGTCGGCAGCCAGTTTCCACCTCCCCAGAATCGGGCAGCCTGAAGCGTTTCGCAACGAGTGGAACCTCAAATCACGGCGACGCTGGGTAATCGCTGCTTGTTGAAGACGACGACGGCGTTGAGGAGGATCGACGAGCCAAGGCATAGCAGTCCAGCTCGTAGCATCAACAAGGACCTTGGCCGGCTTGGCCGCTGCAGCGAGCAGCCGGGCTAGTGCGCATTTCAGACGACCGGTGGGCGTTATGTGCCTTTATATCGTCGCGCATATGCCTTGGTGCCGAAGAGCCCAAGAGTTTCCATGTGCGGGCGGCATGTGCGCGAGTCTTATTGTCTCGGGGCCGCCCGGCCTTTGGCCAAGGTTTTTTTCGTCCTTTCCCTGACGCCGGCGACCGAGTCCCGCCCGGTACCGCGTTGTCGCAATGCATTGTGAGTGTGTAAGAGCGTGTGAAGGCGTACGTGCGCGCGCGGCGACCTCCCCCCGTCTCGCAAAGATGCGGCTCTTGGAAAAGTTCTCGGCGTTCATGCGACGAGCGTCCGCGACCCAAGTGTGTGTCCTGTCGCAGCGTGGGGAAAGGAGTGATGTTTGTGCACCCGGCTTCCTCGTCCTCTCATTCGGCGAACGAGACGGCCAAACGTCGATGGACGCACGCCCCCCCCCAACCCCCAAGAAACAAGAAGAGCATCTTTCACCTTGTTCCTCTCTGGCGAGCCGGCATCCCCCTGGGATGGCCAGGCAGAGCCACGCGAGGACGGCGCCTAGGATCACGGCTCAAGGCGACGTCTCACCCCTCCCCCCTCTGCGCCGCGCACGAGAAATAGAAAAGGTCCCCTTGACGCCAAGAATACGATCTCCATATCTCCAACGCGAGGCCTATGGAGCCGTCCAAGGGGTTTCCGTCTCAGCGCGGCCTACAACGAACAAGAGATGAGAGAGAGAGGGCTTCTCTGGCCTCGGGAGGCTGCTTCAGCGGCGTTTTGGGACAGTCGTTCCTCGCGCCCGGCCTGCGTGGCTCGGTCTCCCCTCCCCGCTGTCCACGTCGTCGGACGTCGTCGACGTCGACGTGAATAGCATCTAGAGTGCGACAAGCCACCCAACGACTGCCTACTCCCGTGTGACGCGGCCGTCGAGGTTCGATGGAACCCCGTGGATGATGACGCGGGAGAAGACCAGGTCTGGAAGAGCAAGACGGGTTTTGTCTGCGTATCGATGCCCGGGTCCGGGCAGTACCCGTTCCCATTCCCGAAACGCATCCGCCGGGAGGGAGATGGGCTGACTTTCTGCTCCCTCCCTCCCCTCCCTTTAGCGAGCCTCTGGGTACCGGGACGGGGGGCGACATTCTCTAAGCAGTAGAGAGATTCCCATTGTTTAAAGTGTGCGTGTGAAGATATTGGACGAGAGGCGTTGACTCAGTGTCCTGCTGACCACCTGCTACTCCGGCTGTCTTGCACGTGTGTGCCTGCACCTGCGTCTGTAGCACTCCATTTACACTTCCCGCCTTCTCGCTCTCTCTCTCTCTACGCGTGCTGCTTAGCGGGCGAATGATGTGAGCCCGAGTCTGTAACGGACCGTCTGGTCTTTTGATTGTGAGTCCCGTTCGATGGGAAAACCAAGGTAAATGGCCGTGGAAAGCTAAACTCGACACCCGCGCAGGTGCCAGACTCAGTTTGCTGGGTGCGAGTGCGCTTCGCGAACCGTCTGTGTGTTTGTAAGAGCAGAACCTCGGATTCTTCACCTCGCCGTTCTCCTCCTCCCCTCGACCTCTCGCCGTCATATCGTGCATGTTGGCGCTGGCGTTGGTGTCGAGGACTGAACCAGAAGCCAACTCGAGAGCACGCCGCTTGCACCCTACCCAACGCCAGTCATGACACCTCGCATACATGTATTCTTCCCCAATGGTTTCCGGCCTCCGCGCCCAGCGCTCCTCTCGTGCGAATCGCCGAGTTCATCCCATCCGGACCGCCCTTGCCCTTTCCCCTTTCCCACTTCAAGTAACTCGACGCAGAAACCATAACTTTGTTTTCTTTCGTCCCCCGTCGACATTTACTGTTTTCTGTCTATTCTCAGACCCTCCACCCCCGTCCGTCCCTCGCGGCATGGTCGTTGCCGCATATCCCACGCCCTCTCCCTCGTGTCTGAGGTGGTGCAGAAGCGTCATGGCGTCATGGTGCCGTCCCCCCGAGCGGCTCGCTTGCTGCCATGCTTCCTGGCTCTGCTCTGCCCAGGAACCCAGTCTCTCCTCCACCGCGCCAAAGAAAAAGAAAGCCAGCATTGCCTTCCGCATTGGGAAGGGCTGCTGTAAATATGGACTTGGAGGCTCTTCAGGGGGGGGGGGGGGTTATCTTTACCGGATCTCGGCCGGCGCAAATTGGGTTTGCGATGGCAGTGTGATGCCGCTGCATGACGTCTCTATATCCCCAGGACTCTCACCCCCAGATGGGTTATTCGGGTCGAACGGCTGTGGGATGATGGCATGGCAGACAGGGTGCAAGGATGGTATTCCAATGCACGATGGGAAACGTCACAAGAAAAGGTTACAGTGATCACAACAGACATCACAGCAGTCGGGTCATAATGCGAACGCACAGTGAATATTCCATAGCTGTCTGCTCTCATTACCAAATTCTCTCTGAAGAATTTCTTAAATACATCTGGGTTTTGGCTTTGGAAGATAGAGAAATAAAAAAAATGGTTCAAGAAGTAGGAGACCAAGGAAGCAAGCAGGAAAATAAAACCCAAGACAGAATAGGGGAGTTGGAGTCGTGGGACGAGGGAACCAGCCCCATCGAGGGTTTTTGTTTTTTCTTGTCATCTTTGATATACTTCTTGAAATGCATTGTTGGCTCGCCTGCCCTTCTTTGTCTGGTTTACATACAATGGACCCCAAGGGTGTCGATGTCCTCCCCTTGCTGGTCAGGACTTGCTCTGCTTCGCTTGCTGTGCTGATTGTGTGAAAAGCCCGCTCGCCGATGCATCGCGAATGTGATGATGATGTGGTGCCGAATTCGACTGATTGGGTATCCTCTAAAATGCCGTGAATTGTTGTCGTCTCCCCTCGAGTATCCAAAAGGAACGCAATGAAAGCGACGTGTATTAAACCAAAGGAAACGGGGGGAAACGCCGAGAGGACGGGGCTGTCATGCTTGTGCGTTCCCCGATCCGGAGGAAAAATCCTAGTCCGCCAGCGAATGGCAGAACTTCTAGAGCTGGCCGTTGTTGGCGATCAGGTTGGTCGTGCCGGCGGTGTTGCGCTGGACTGAGGCGCCGGAGGCCTCGGCAAGGGCCAGCATGCGGTCGGTAAGGGACTTGACGGTGTTGAGGTTCTCCAGGCTCATCAGGTAGGCGGCGAGGCCGGCGACGTGGGGAGAGGCCATGGAGGTGCCGGAGAGGGTGTTGGTGGCGGTGTCGCTGGTGATGCCGACGGACAGGATGTTGACACCGGGGGCGAAGATGTCAACGGCGGCGCCGAAGTTGGAGAAGGAGGCCTTGCGGTCGTTGCGGGCGTCGATGGCTCCAACAGTGATGGCGTTGGGGGCGGACGCGGGCGAGGTGTTGGCGGCATCCTGGTTCTCGTTACCGGCGGCGACGACGGGGACGATGCCGGCGTTGTTCAGGGCCTGGACGGCGCGGTTGACGGCGGCGGAGGCTGAGCCACCGAGTGACATGTTCATAACTGCCTTGCCAGTGAGGTTCTTGGCCTTGACGTCGTCAATGACTAGGCGAGGTTAGTTGACGGGGTTCACCCAGGAATGTTGGCTTGTGTGGGGGCCTCTCAAAACGTACCGAACTGCATGCCATCGAGAACACCAGAGTTGGAACCGGCACCGTCGCCGTCGAGGACCTTGACAGCAACGAGGTTAACGTTCTTGGCAACACCAAAAGTCTGACCACCAATGGTTCCGGCAACGTGAGAGCCGTGACCGTTCTCGTCAGTGTCCTACAATCTCATGTTAGCCTCTCATCTCGCACTCATCGTCGACTCATGAAGAGTGAAGCGGTATGAAAGAAATTTCCAAAAACTTACCACGGTGTTGATGAAGTTGGCGCCAAAGGTCGCGCGGCCCTGGAACTCAGAGTGGGTAGTGAGGATGCCGGTGTCGACAATGTAGGCGGTGATGCCATCGCCGCCAGTCTGATCAAAGACGTAGCCAGTCTCGCCAGCAGCGGCGTGAGACATGCGGACCAGGCCGGGGGGCGCGTTGGTCTGGGAGACGGTGGCTGAGATCTTGACCTTGGCGTCCTGCTCGACGTAGGCGACCTCCTCGGCGCTCATAACGTTCATGATCATGGAGTCGTCGGCCTCCATGACGGTAGCGCGCCAGCTGTTCATCTTGAAGTTGCGGGTCGAGGTGCTCAGGGCGCGGCCGTCGAGGGAGCGCTTGCCGATGTTGCGCTTCTTGATGGCGGCGGCGAAGGAGGACATCTTGGAGGTGATGGCGTCGTCGTCAAAGGAGCTGTTGTAAACAACGATGTACTTGTTGGGGATCAGGTCCAGGGCGTTCAGGTTGGAGATGGGGATGCCCATGAAGGAGTCCGTCTGGTTGATGGCGGCGCTCTTCAGGCCGAAGGGGACGGCGAGAGCAGCGGGCAGCATGGCTGCGAGAAGGGCGGTGGCGCGAACCATGTTGGGCGAGTTGTTTTCGAGTGGTGTTGGTGTATGTAGATACGGTGGTGGTTGATATCAAGCAAGGACAGGACACGGGAGAGAACTAGCTCGTCGTTGTCGAAGTCGTCAAATAATGATTCGAAGAGAAAAATGAGAAGACCGCAGGTCTTTCTTTTAAAAAAACTGTCGTCGTTGGGTAGAGAAGTGGTCGACACGGCGAAAAGTGGCGTGTACGAGCGAGAGAGTGACTCGAGATGGTTGGGAAGGTGCCAAGGAGTGCGATGAGAATGCCGAGAGAGCGAATAATAAAAAAGGATCCGGATCCAGTCACGACACAAAGCCTTTGTTTATTCGTCGTCTCTCAAACCGTTCAAAAAAAAGCTGCCCGAACCAGGTGAAACAAGATGTAATAAATGAGTAGTTGATGAAGCGGAACGGAGAGGCGGGAAAGGGTTGGGTTGTTCTGTTAGCTAACCGACCACACAGTGGAATGTGCGAGGAGGATGTAAACCAAGAGAAACTGTGGGAGAGTGGAGGAGGAGGAATACAGAGGATATAGAGATCAAAAGAAGAGAGGGACGTAGCAAGAAGAAGTAAGAGACGAAAGGCCAAGCACAGCTGGGCTAAATGGAGGTTGTGGACAGTAGCTTAAGTATAACGACGGACGATGAGAAGAAAAAAGAAGGGGACAGGAAGGGGAGGAGACAAGGGGGGTGGACCGGGGTCAGAGGTACATCATGTATCTCTGCAGTCTGCTGGCAGGTCCTGCTGTGTGCAGGCGGCTGTCCGTCTGGCCAGTCTCCTGTACTCTGTATCTGGCACCGGTTGACTTGACCTGGGCCCTGGTTTGTGTGCTTGGTGGGTGGTGGTGCTTTGGTGCGTGCTTGACCTTGACCTTGACCATGACCTGGGGCTCAGAGGCGTGTTGTCTTGGGTCTCTACCTGGGTCTGGTCATGGAGGGGGGGGGGGGGGGGGGGGGGGTGTCGTTTACGTTTGCACGCAAGGTACGTAAACTAGGTGTATGGGGGGTGTGTGGGTGTGGGCACCGTGGATGCAGCAGATGGATATGCTGGATCCAACAGGAACAAGGTCGTGCAAGACGAACGAAAACAAGGGACGAGTGGGCGCCGAGCACAATACCGTCGAGTCTATCGCAATAGGTACCACGTACACTATTGTTCGGCACAATTTGGTTAAGCCCCAGGTCACGACGGAGCACATGGATACTCTGTACATTCGAGCCAGGAGGTGGGAAGCCGAAAAGGGGACGAGGGAAGATGGCGTAGGAAATGCCCACGAGGAAAAACGGAGAGACAGCGACGAGAGACGACGCAGACGCAAACGCAGACGCACGTAGGCGCAGAGGAGAAACAAGGAGGCGTACAGATTCCGCAGAGAGGGAGAAAGTGAGTGTGTGTGTGTGAGAGAGAGAGAGAGAGAGACACCACAACCGCAGCTAGAGACAGATGGGGGAACCATACCCAGAAAGGTACGTCCTTTCCTCGAAATGACTACGTACCCCGTGTCCGTGCCCATGGCTTGGCACAGCTCCCTTTTCGGTTGTTGCGTCGGCTAGAGCGATTCGTTGGTTGCGCATCAAGTACCTGCATGCTTTGTGTGCTTGAGCCAAGCCATGGCAGCACTTGGGCGTTGTGCGCGCTCTGCCGTCTTGTTGTCTTATCCCTCCATCTTGGGGAAGGAGGAGGGTTCTGGTCGAGGGACTCCTGCGCGTATCACCGCTGCAAGGGCAGCAGTCCTTAGGTAATGTAGAGGTGGCCAGGGGGGTCAGAGAAAAACGACAGCAGCTACACGCTCGTCTCCTTACCCACACATTTTACTCTCGGGAGAAGACTCCTGGGCCGCTGGCACTAGGCTAAATCAAGCTTGCTTCGCCTTTTCCTGGACGGCATGGGAATTTGGGAGCGACGGGGATGGCCCAGACCAGCTGCCTGGTGGGTGACGGGTGGGGAAGGGTGACTGACTAACTGGCATGTTGATTTTTCCCTCTGTTTTTGCCCACTCCCGGCTTAGTAGATGACTGCTTCTCCGTCACCGAAGGTAAGAGGTGACGTGCGGCGCATACAAATGGGATGCATGGATGATGGATGGTTGACAGTACCGTAGTCCAGCCCTCGGGATGAGGGGGAGGGGGAGACGACGGGCATGAGCTAAGGCAAGGTACAGACAGATTCAACCGCAGGAGCGGCAGTCCGCGAGATGGGTGCATGTCGTTTGCTCCCCTTTCGCTCCATCGATTCGACCAGGGATCTCCGCGAGGCCATTTCGCATGTCGCCCATCCTCCGCTGGTTACCAACCAAACCCAGCCCTCGGCGGGACTCTGCCAACGGCTTGTGCAACCAGGTCGAGATATGCAACACTGCGGTTCTGGATCGTCCTGATGTCTCGACCCTAGCAACCCGAGCAACCCGACCAGCCCGTTCGGCTGCTCGTGGAATGTCCAAGAGCGGCAGAGGCGCCGCCGCCGCCGCCGCCGCCTCCTCCTCCTCCGCCGCCGCTGCCCTCATCTCTGTGCTGTGGTCGTTGTAATCAACAAGTGCTTGCTTGCTGGCAGTTTCCTCTCCTTTCGCAGCAAATGACCTTCGCAGCAACGCGAATACGCCCAGCGGACACCGATGAGGCGGCCTGAGCTGCTGTCAGCGTTGACTGTAGGTAGATGTCTATGCCTGCCCCCGTTCTGTGACTCGGATCCAGCAAGCTCAGATGCGCATGTGCAATATATCCGTTCGAGACACAGAGACAAACATCAGACAGGCGGCCGGTCTGGTTGGCTTCCCATCTCTCTCGGATTGGGAGAGCAGGAAAAAAAAAAAGGTCTCAGTCGTACCCGATACAAACACAACCTGAAGCTCGATGCCAGTGCGCATCGTTGCTTCCTTTCCTTCCGGGCCTTTTCCAGACCACGTTGCCCATGCACATCACCTCTGGATCTTCTTGTTGCGCTGGTTTTTTTTTTTTTGGGGGGGGGGGGGGGGGGGTTTGTCTCTCTTTCCCAGTTTGGTCCTCTCTTCTCGCCTCCTTCCTCCCCGTCCTCCTCCACTAGCATAGGTCCTTCTGCTTCATCGTCTTTTTTTTTTTTCGGGACTTGTCGAAGCAGGAATGTAGTGGGGCAGCTTCCTTCTCCTTTTCCCACCTTTCCCCTGGAGCTGTTGGCAGGCATCCCCTGCGTGGGCGCGAAGATCGGGGCACGTAGCGCGGTACGTACCCTCGCGACCTGTCCGTTGTCCCACTGTCGATGACAGCCGAGCGGATGCTAGTCCCATGCTGGGAAAGCGTCAGTCCGTAGCGGTTCCCTCTTTGGGTGCTGCGGCAGCCAAGCGCGCCGCTGAATGGCCGTGCCAAGTCAAACAAGCCTAACGTCTGGCGACGCTACGTCGTCGATCTTGCCCCCGGTGCCTCCTTGTCCCCTCCCCCTTCCTCCCTTCATCTTTCGTCTCCCCCCCCGCTCACTAGCGCCAGTTTCGACCCTGTCATTTCGACTAAATCTGTAACGTCCAAGTCCAGCGCCTCATGGCAAAATGGACCCCATCAAGCCCTTTCAGTCAACACAGTCTTGCGAGTCTCCTCGACAGCCAGTCCGGGTCCACCGCGTCCACGCCCACATCCGCGTCCGCGTCTGCGCCTACACTAGTGTATTTCTGCCGGCTCCGGGCTCCCTCTTCGGAGTTTTCCCGTGCTGCGACCGTTGCCGTCGTGTAGTGTACTTTATCTGGGCTTTTATCAGTATCAAAACTTGTATAGGACGCACTCATCACACCTGAACGTTGCGTCTCGGCCCCAGTCCCGTGGAAAAGTCTGCTTTGCTGGGTCCTGATGCCGTCAACGATCACCATCTGGATCCCGGCGCCACGCCGGTATCGCCTTGTCTTGCGCAGATAGTCTCTACACCCTCCAACCCTGACCCGTTCTCTCAATGCCGCGCAATAACGCGTCTGCTCTGATGCAACATGCTCGTAGCTGTCTTCTATTTTGTGCGTCGCATACTGGTACACAGCCTGTCCTCCTGACCCTGTCCCCGTCAGGACACCCGCGAGGTCTTGTGCGTCTCCGAATGTCTTGACTCTGCGCCAGTACGCTGGGCATTCGTCTACACCCAACTTCTCCCGGGGGCCTGTGGAGAGCCTCCCCTTCACGGCAGAGGCTTGTGCAACCCTCGAGATAACCCTGGCTATGCCTGGAGACTAGATGCAGCCGTCAGGTAGACAAATAGGCTTCGTGTCTGCAGCCTTCTCTGCCCATCACTCTCCTCTCGTTCATCCCCGTCATCAACTCGCCTTTCCACCCCACACCCCCCCTCCCCAGGATGAAGCTTTTCAACTCATCAACATCTTAAGGATATCGCCGCTGCCATTATCGATTGCCGGTCGCCGTCCCCTCTTTCTCGGTATCCCTGACCTCCATGTGTCTTTTAACCAGTTCCCATCCTGGCACGCACGCACGCTTGCACGTCACTCAGACCACAACTCGCTGGAAAGTCAACTTTAATCGCCAGCCTTCATGAAAACCTACATCGAGTCCACAAGCTCCGAGGCACGAGACCGCTCTCGGCGCGGTCATCCGTTTCCCTCTTTGGCTCGGTCTGCGCGGTGTAGGCCAAGCGCAGCGACGGTTTCCCCCAAGCCGCTAGCAACGGCGCCCCGACTGGCTGGCTGTCTACATCTCGGGTGACACGACCCGTATATCTTGGCTTGCTGAGCCACCGTCAACTTTAACCTGTAGACATTGCCGTTCAATGCGAAAAGCAAAGCAGGCCACCGAGGATCCATGCCGCTTCCAAGATTGGCATCATGCAGAAACGAAACAATAGCATGACGACGACAACCACAATCACCACCGCTTGCTCACGAGGTTTGGTAGAGTACGATATTCGAGGAGCTTGCCTCGAAACCGTTGAAACCGTCTCTCCTTTGCCTCCTAGTCCGGGGTAAGAGCTGTGGTTGTCGCGGGAGATTGACCGGCGTCTGTGATCTCGTTTGGTGTGTTGTGCGCGTGCCCCTTTACGATTTGATGGGATCGAGTGCGATGCGGAGAACAGACCAGAACCAGAGACCGCCGCAGGGTCGCAAACACCATCAAAGGGCGCCTCCTCCCCCCCCCCTGCTCCCGTCCTCCTGTCAGATATCCTTTCCCCCCTCCTCAAACCGCTAGACCCTAGGACGTGCAGCGCAACGCTGGGTGGGAATCTTGGTGATCTCTTGTCGCAAACGCCCAAAAAAGAAGCCAGAGGGAACATGCCAAGCCCATCTCCCGTCGTGCAGCGTCGCCGTCTTTCCCCAGGCCAAGCTTCGAGGCCTAGGCGACGGCTGCAAGGAGACAACTCTGCTTTGCAAATGGGTTTGCAACCGGTCCCAAACTGCGAGCAAGATTGCCCACTCGTATTCAACGCCCTTCATCAATTGGACGCCGGCTGGCAGAATTCCCAGCTCCCTAGTGTTGCAAGGCTCCCAGCCCAGACGCGATCGGCATGGGTTGCTCCGCCCTCTACTCTATTTTCGACGTTAATGCGCCGAGCCAAAAGTCAGTCCAGACGGCAGCTCCTTGATCGTTCCCTAGGTCCCCGATGCTGTACCGTGCTGACTGGCCCAGCATTAATGACCTTGCCGTGCGTAAACCTCCGACGTCGACTTCATTTCGAGCCGCAAGGAGAAGGTAGGCCGGTGCAGAGCCGCTGGCTGTGGCCAGACATGCGGATTAAGGTCAACCCCCGAAATGTAGTACAACGTGCTGGCAGCACGATCCACGTGACGGCTCCGGCTCTAACCAAGCTGTCTCTGCGCGACGTTTTAATCTGGAGGCTCGGCAGCCGCGAACTCTGACACCATCGTGGCACTCGTAGCTCAGGTGGCCTAGCTCGATGCCTCATACGGGGACAGGCGACGATGAGAGGCGTTCCCCTTTGGAGCTTAGCGCAGACGCACGCCTAGCCCCTCGAGTATGTCCCGTACGTCTTCGTAATCTGGCGTGCGCTGCCAATCATGGGACTGTGTCGCACAAGGGCAGGAGGCGCACGTTCGTTCAATCTCGTTATCCTCCCCCATCTCGGAATGGAGCGATCTCCCATGACTCTTGGGCCCCCCGGGACCCAGGGTGGCTTGCGGGTGCGGTTACGCGGGCGCGTGCGCAGTTGTGTAGCGTTGCGTTGTGCAAGGCCAGGGTTGTGTAATAGCAGGTGTCCTAAGGAAACTGTAGTAGGCTGTTGCCATCGCACGCAACGGCGATGTGCCACGAGCTGCGACGCCCATCAACGGTTGTCTAACTGCCAAGACTTTTCAGCGTCGGTTGGAAACCAGTCACAGTCTCAAAACAGTCAGCCCCCTTGGAGGAGGCAGTCGGTACGGTCCACTGACCAGGCGCTGAAGAAGCCGCAATGCAGGCGTTTTCGGGAAGCGGGAGGACGCAGGCCCGGCTTAGCACTTGGTATACTACTGCCATTGTTACTACTCCTGTGCTGACGACGGCGCGCTTCATCATGGTTTCCGTTTGTCTGGATCATTGTGCAATGTTTGGTTTTACTACGCCATGCGACGTAGACAACAGCGCATGAGCGCCAGCAGCGCGCGTGGGGGAGAGCAGCAGCAGCAAGCGCAGGAAGCGGCTGTTCAACTCGGATCCGGTGTCCCGGGCGGTGCTTCGTCGGCAGTTCGCAACTATGCACACTCCAAAAACAAGCTGAGCTTGCCAGCTCCAGATGAGTGTATCTCGGCCTCGAGGTCATATCGCGAGCCGCAGGGCATTTCGGCTCATCAGTAGTGTATATAACCAGCCCTAGAATCTCTCCCAGCCGGTCCTTGGCTCTCATGCCTGCGACGATACCATGCTGAGGCTGAGATCTGGAAGACTACCGAAGAACCCGGCGGTGAAAGTCGCTTATGATTGAAATAGATTAATACAGACCAAGGGTTATGCTATGGCCCATTGCAGGAGACAGGGCGGCAATGGAGACGAATGGCCAATGGCTGAGTTTGCGCGGCTGAAAGGGGGGATTCGACTCAGGGCGACAGTCTCTCTCCACCAAGAACAGTACCTAGGAGCGTGGTTCATGTTTGCGTGGGCAATGGAAGCAAGCGACAAGGGGGGCGGGCAGTTGAGTAGACAAGGTGGCGGCAAAAGTCCGATATCCAATCGGGAACTTTGAAACGGCGTGGCGCGGCGGGTCTGGCCGTGTGCTATTGGATCAGAGATTCGACATGACAACGGATGAAACATCGACGGCCCTTGACAAGTCGTGCGTCTCGAGACAAGCAGGGATGGCGCATTGCCTGGGATTCGCTCAGGGCCTATGTAACAGGTAGTAGAAGACAGACGAGGTGACGAATGCTCCAACAACCGCCCGTGGGCTCTTGCCATGCCATCCATCCCATGGTACGGCTGACATCCAACTCTGCCCCAGATCGAACTGGACGACAGGCGTTGACAGGCATGCATCTGCTGGTCAGTCCGGTTCGGTTGGTCAGTTTGTCCTATAGAACCGTGGTTGTCTACGCAAGCCGGGCCTTGACGGGGTGGGCTGAAGATGGGCTGGATCCGATACACAAGTGGGACAGACCACAAGTGCCAAACCGGTAAGGCTCAGGGCTTCAATCGCGTAACCGACATTTGATGAACCCTTCGGCCATCCGCCACTGCATCCGGGTTGGAGATTTGAGGAGGGACCCATACCCCCGTCACGATGCGACTCTGCAGAGAGACATCTCTCGCTTCGACGATTCTTGCTTGTGTTTAGACTCCAGTCGTCCATCGTCAGTTGGTCACCATACCCACGATGACATCTCGGACCCGAAATAAGGAAATCTAACAATCCGGGATTCGTGATTGCTAGACCACACAGCCGCGGCCTTCCGATAAAAAGTCAACTCTGCTTGCCTTGCCGCCCGGCCAAGCGGCTGGGGAATCTGCATTGATCGGCGCCCCGATGATCTTGCAGTCTCTGCCGAGACCTCTCCATCTTCCTTGGCCAGCTCCGGTGCCAGGATCCAACGGTCCGATGGTCTCCAGAAAGGATCCGGCTTTTTGGCCGGCTCTGGCCATTCTCGGGGTTGCGTCTTTCTTCAAACTTGGAAGCACTTGAGCCGCCAACAAGTTGCAACAAACTCTGCAAGAAGTTGACGCTACTCAAGTCGGCCCGAATCTTGACAATTCATCCGATTCTGATTCCGTCGTCGCAGGTACGGTGAAGAGCGCTTCCACGAGGTTTGTGTCTCGGGACCAGCCCGCGGGGCCTGGATTTTCCGACAGCATGGGAGCCACGAGTGGGATTCTAGACGTCGGACGGTTTCAACACGACCCTACTCAAACCCGTGTCAGTCGTCATCCTCCTCCCTTGCCAGCGAACTGTTTTGTCCGATGCTGGCGCGTCCCTCTCCGCTCGTTCGTCTTGAAAAGCATGCTCCTCCTCCTTGCTCGAACAATGCCAAGAGCTCGACATGTTGCCTTTGGGGTTGACCAAACACTTATTGCATCTCACATGATGGCAGCTTCCCGGCAAACTGCACCACTGCGTACGCGTCGAGTGCACAAAGCGTCCCTGGACCCTAGTGACACAGGAGCTCGCGTTGCATGTCCGACAGTTGATGCCGCAGCTATGGTGCGTTCGACGCGGTGGGTTCGCCGCAATTGCAACCATGCAGGCCGCGATTGCAGACATTACTGATCGTGTTTGTGGCCTGATGTCGGTAGATGTTCACGGAGACCAGCCGGGGTAGCAGTCGACAAGTTCGCCGGTCAATACACCTTTGTCGTTGCAGAAATCGGCTTCCCGTCAGGTTACAGACCAACCCGTCGCCCTCTGCCCGGTAGCGCTGCAGCGAGCGTTCTTCTCCTGCTGGACTCGGTCCTCGCCGGCACTGTACTTCAGCATTCGCCTCATCGGCTCATCCGCCGTGCGCTGTCGGAAGTCCACCTGTCTGTCTTTCTATTTAAAAAGACATGTGCGACCCTCCACAACCCGGCTTATAGGGTCCGATGCTCCGCCTCGGAATGACCCGAGAGAAGGCGGCGAGTGGCATAAGAATCCAATGGCGACCTGAAATCTTGCAACACCTCAACACGTGTCGTTTCAATCACACTACTTGGCTTGGCCGGGCGTTTACACCGAGATGGCGATCAATCATGCAGAAGAAAGGGAACAAGAGGTTCCCGACCAGACAGCCCACAAATCGTGTGTGCTTGATCCATGATCTTGGCAGCGCCCATAGAGGATTTCAAATCCAACGACATGGACGTTGCAGCCAAGCCAAAGATAGCCAAGCCGCGCCTCGGCAGCAATGATAAAGAGGGCATCCCCTTTTGTCTCATGAATCCCCGGGTGGCTGGTTTCTGCGACATTGACACATTCCACAGCAACTTCATTAGGGTTGGTAGTCTTGGAGAATGCCGCCGTGTCCCGACCTCGGTTGACGAGAACGGTCAAGACTGAGAGGCATGCCATCCTGCGCCGACGGAATGTGTTGGCCAGGGAAACGGGTTGCTCAGCCAGGCCGCTCACTTGAATGTTCCCTCGCGGCGACCTGACAGCGTTGTCATGACATTGAATCAAGGTTAAACTCTGCCGGCCCTTCGAACTGACTAGATGTCCCGCGTGATCTTTCCTCCCGCGAGAGAAGATTGACTGCAACAGCCGGCATGCTTGTCGTAGAACAAGTTGAAACGGTGAAAGGAAGGCCGACGAAGGTTATCGGCGCAATTCATTTGCGCCTGTTTCGTCGTGGACGTCTGGTGTGGTTGAGTTGTCATGTCTTGGTCATTTCGTCGCGCTGAACTCTGATCAGATACTCCGCGGCAGAAGACGTGGTCGTCGACCAGCCGCCAAATATGGCCGTGGCTGGATATGAGTGCGTTCCGATGGCACACGGATCCGACATGGATTTCGCCGTGGAGCTTCCAGCCGCATTCCAGGTGCTCCTCCTGCTGCTGCCTTCGCGAGACCCTGAATTGCCATGGTGCTTTTGGGCATGGCGGAAAATGGGAGGAAGAGAAGGGGGGCGACGTGGTGAAGCAGAGATTGATTGAGTTCATGCACCAGGCGAGGGTGGGATGACTTGTGCCTTCCTTCTCGTGCAGAGAAAGTGGTGCATTACGAGTGTGTGGTTGTTGCCTCCTCGGACTTTCCGTCGTGTAAGTACGAATTTCGCCGATGAGGTAAGCACTTTTCTTCTGGGCAGGGGAGACCCAGAGAACGGGGACCGAGGGACTGACTAAGACACAGATAAGGTGAGAATGACGCGCTTGGCTCGCTTGAAAGACGCTCTCGATAAGGCGAGCCGATAAGACACCTTGAAAAACAGCGCATGGCGAGGAATGGGAAAGTGGGGTGTGGCGCTGGTCAAACATGGTCCGTGTACAAAGTACCTACACTAATTTCAAGCCTCACAACCAGTGGCTGGTGGTGGACGGGAAGGACTGGACAGGAAGTTCCAGGCTCTTCTCTCTGCAACGACCGACGACGGCATGGGATTATTGATTCGCGCTGCTGCCGGTCCATCACGAAGAAGGACTAGATCTTTCTGCCCTGTTGCGCGGTAGGACTACGTGGGGTTCCAATGCTAACGTTGACTTTTGGAAAGGTAGGACTGGGACTGACTCTCTCACTCCGAGTCTGACTCTCGGAGGTCGTTACGGAAGCCGGCTGTGCACGTCTCATGCACGAAGGGGGGAATCTAGACTTGACTCTGCGCCGTCCTACGCTGCAATGCACTACTACGTACTAGCCCCAGCCGTACGGAGGATTTGCATGTTTATCGCCCTGCCTTGCGGATACCCTTTGGGATCGATCCTATTGTTCGGCTACTGTTTTGATTCTTCTTCTCGAAGGTCGTTCTTGGCTGCTGCCAGTGTCTAGAGTGCTAGGTGTGGTTCTGAGAAATGGGCAACAACGGAGGCGACTCCCTCTCCTGATGTTATCTGATGTTTTGCCTCTCAGCCACGCCCAGCTCATCCCATCCCATCCCATCTTGTGCCCATTGAACAGCGCTGTGGTGTCTCTGGATAGGGGACTCTGGATTTAAGCTACCGATTGCCGTTCCGCGGGTCCTCCCCGTTCCGTCATCGTCCAAGTTTGTGTGGTGCATCCGGGTCATACTGTTCCCATCTCTTGGTTTTATGACCCGTCCCTTGCACCCCCCCACTTTGCACTCTGCCGTTTCTCTCCTGAATGAATAGACCAGTCGACAACAAATGACGGAATACGACAGAAGCAGACCACATCATCTCGGTTTCCCTCGTGCCAAGTTCCCCTTCTGTTCAACCCTCATTACGGACATTTGGCCGGAATTCCTCCCCCAATTTCGTAGCACCGCCGCAGCGGAAGGTCGGCCACAACAAGACCACGCCACCCCCGTTGAAGTGGACGCACCTGCACGCCCGCATTTGCCTCACCAGTGACCAGCGCATTGCATTGCCGTGCCGTGCTTCCCCCCCATTCCTAGGCGGTGCTCATAATTACCTGACCGTACCGCACCGCACCACACCGCACCACACCGCACCACACCGCACCACACACCAACCAGCACGCACCGCCCTGCGCTGCCTTCCTGCCTCGCCTACCTGGGGGCTAACCGCAGCCTTTTTTCCTTGCAAATCCCTTCCCGCTCGACCACTTTCCAGGTGTCCGGTGCCCGTTTCATTCCCAGACACAGCATTGAAGCGCCATTCTCTTTTTTTCCGCGTCCTTCTCTTTTTACCTTTTTGTCTGGTCTGGTTTGGTTTTGGCTGGGGGGCCTGCGACGAATTGACCATCTATTGGGGACACCTCTTCCCATCTTTCTGGTCGCCCATACTCCGCAGTCGACGCTTCCATTCTTCCAATCACTCTGTCTCTCTCATCCTTTTCCCCCTCCCTCCTTACGAAGCAGATCTCTCTTTATCTCTTTCTCTCCCGATTTCTCCTCTTCCGCTTCTGCGCCCTCATTCCCGCATCTTATCAACCACCACCCCTATTGGACCATTGCCTCCCGCCTGCGCACGCGACCGACCGCGTAAAGTGGCTTGGGCGGAGCGAAGCGACCCCAGCGCAGCGCTACTGTCCACTGGGACCAACCTGACGAATACGGCCAGCACCCAAACCCAAACACCTCGTCAGCATTGTTGTGACCCCCCCGGTCTGGGTATCAAGGGTCTCTGAATTATTGGGACTTCATTTCCCCCACCATCGTCAAAGCAGCCAGGACCAATCTCCCTTCGCCTGTTCCCCTTCTCTCTCTCCCGCCCTGATTAACAAATCCGCCCTTGCCTGCTCTCCGCTGCCGCCGACGCCGACGCCGTACTGCCCCCCCTCTTCGACCGTATTGCCATGATCAAGGAGCCGCCTCATTCCCTCCGAAAACCCTAGTTTTTCGAAACACAGACTCTCTTGACATCTCCGACGACCATGTCCGTTTGCGTCGAGCAGTCCTTCCCTCCTGCCGACGACGACGCCAACGTCACGAACAACGTCCCCCGAGACCGAGATCACCCCTCCGCTATCAATAGAAGACAGTCGCGAGACGACTACAATGCCAACGCCAACGCCACGGAAGAGTTGACCTCGATTATGACCGCCTCCGCCTCTATCCTGACAACCATCCTCAACACCGCCTCCAACCCAGTATCCCCCGGCCCCTCCAGTCCTCCTCTTGACCAGGCCAAGAGCAATGATTTCGTGCCCCCGACTCGCCCGAGCAGCACACCCTTCTTACATCCCGATCAACGGAACTCGGATTGCTGCACTCCGATGGCCGAAGACGCCGATGCCTACGGAGGCCCGGGCATCACCACCCCTTCCTACTCCCTCGACATCCCCGAGGCCTCGCCCACCCTAAACCTGAACGACCTTCCCGCCGAGATCCACGAATGCATTCTCGACCATCTGTTCGGATACCGGGTATCCACCTCCTCCAAGAGTTCTGTCGGCATGCAGAGCGTGACCAAGAGCTGGGGAACCGCGCTGCGGCATTCTCGCCGGAGGGAATTGTCTGAGCTCGCGCTCGTGAGTCCCGTGTGGAGGATCCTGATCCAGGAGCGGCTCTATCGTCACATCAAGATCAAGGCGACGATCGAATCGCTCGAGTTGGCCATGGCATACTTCAGCGAGCACGACCACCTCCGCCGCTACGTCAAGCATATCGAGATATGGTTCCCCGTCTTCCAGCCCAAGTACGGACCTTTGGCGCTGAGCACTACCCTCGCCCTTCCCACCGTCACCATGGATGGCCTGACGAATGCGACGTACACCCTGCCCGCCAACAACTGCAGCCTCGAGGAGGCCTTCACCTTTGTCTTTCTCGCTCTGCCCGACGTCTGCGTACTGACCATTGAAGGTGGCGAGAGAAAGAAGGCGCCCAAGGTGCAGCATAGCTGGAACAAGCGCCCGGCAGGCTGGCATCTGCCAACTCTGGAGTCGGTGCGCACCCTCGTGACCAAGGGACAGTGGAATCTGATGCGCGACGACTCGGATTTCGCAGCCGTCCTGGGAGCCCTGCCAAACCTGAACGAGTGGCATGGTTCCTACAGCAAGCCCAAGTCTAAGAGCTACCTGAGCATGGCTAGCATCCTCCCCAAACTACCCACGAACCTCACCTACCTCAACCTCTGCCTCGAGAGCGACTACCGTAGGGAACTCACCTGTCCGCCGTTTTACATGAAGGTATCCAATCAAGTTCACTTCTGCACGAGGCTCGCCGAGGCGACCCCGGCGCTGGAGCACTTGGCCTACACTGGCCGCGTATGCAAGAACTTCTTCAACATGGCCGCCATCAGATCGGATCCGAGAACGACCCGTCTCAGGACGATCGACCTCACGGTCAAGAACTGCTGCCGTCCGGTGCCACAATTCCACGACTCGGGAAGTGGTATCCAGGACATGAACTTTATCCATTCGTTCGAGATGCTCGTTTTGGCGGGCATTCATTCCATGTCGACTCTCAAGGCTCTGGACTACCTGCGGATTCGCTTTGTGGACTTGGGTGAGTTGTGTTTCCAACCTCTATATCTGACCTTGTGCTAATTGGTTTCAGACTCCCCCGTCCCTCCCCTAAATCCCTACTTTGTCCTGAGAGACGGCTGGTGCTCTGGCGTCTGGAGCGATAACATCCTAGCAGAGCTGAATCGAGTACGGCCAAATGCAAAGTTTGAGCAGCTGAGCGAGTCATTTGGAGAAGTCGGGTTCAACAAGGACGGGCGCATGATCATTAGCCCTGATTATCCTCGTTCCCGCGTACTGTCTCTAAAGCTCGCCAACTACGCACTTCTGGCGGGCAGCGTTGCTGCTCTTCCTTAGTCCCAGTAGGGACTTCGCCACACAAACCAAGCTGGTACATTTAGCACCGCTACATTTGCTATTCTCTGTCTTATTCTTTCTTTTCATTCTGGTTTGACGACAGCTACAACGAACATGCAAGCACAGCAATAAGGGGTCACATGAGGGGCGTTAATTCAAGGTTTCTGCGCCATAGATGGAGAGCATCATACCCCTAATTTCGTTTGGGAGAGTTCTGGGTCTGCGATTCTCTTGTTGTCTCGACGGAGTTCGGGCTTGGCACTTGGTACGATGGGTAATTCGGAGTCTGGAGGGAGGAAAGATTTGGTACTTTTTGAGGCATCTTGTCCCTTGGCTCTTTGCATTTCAGGAGCCGAGTTTTCATCTTGCTCTAGTCACACACATGGTCAACAAAAGAAGTTTGCTCTAAGAATATCCATGCAGGTTGCAGTCGATTGGTGCATATGTGAATGGGGTCCCAAAGCTTAGAGTGACGTCAATGCCAGGCCAGGCGCAGTTGTGCATTTCGAAATGGATGCGAAATCTCTTCCCAAATCACTGGTTTCCTCTTGCGCATGATGTGATACGGCGCCTGCGGTCGAATCCCAGTCAGTGTCCGTCCCCGGCGGTGCCTCCGATTGGGCCGCTCCACATAGCAGTAAACTTTCATCGGTTGCCCAAGTCGACCCTTTTTCTCCTTTTGGAACTGCAGTTGCTACGAAGCGGCCGGTCTCCTCGGCCATTCGGTTGGTGGGATACCTCGCGCCGAAGGAAGGGTTAGAAAGGTACAGGTATAGATAGTGCTTCCAACGTGGGTATTCAGGTTCCCTCTTGCCCAGGCATCAGCCTTGGCTTGCAGGCTCGATGCAGCCCCAGGCCGGAAGGCGAGCGGGTCGAAACAATCTGGAGGGTGCCGCGATTCCTGTACGTCTGCAAGCGTAGGAGCCAAAGTGCTGCGGTGCCAAGCCTGCGAGAGGGCGGCACAGCGGGCCAGCCCGCGCGACGCAGGGCCGAGGCAAAACCTGGGGTTCGCAAGCGACGGTCTGATGGGAACCGTTGAAGGTGTTCGACCGGGGAAGAAAAGGAAAAGGAATGGAAAAGAAAGGAAAGGAAAAGAACAGTGAGCTAAATAGCATAGCGGCAGTCTAGGTATGAGACAATGTGATGGCTTCACATCTTCGAGTCTAAGCTTTTGTGTGTTTAACTTACCCTGCATGGAGAACTCTCTAATTGATCCCACTTACAAGGAACCAGTTCCTTCCGCCAGCGCTTAGCCGTCAACGTTACAACGACCTCACGGAGGACGTGTCCCAGTTAGGGCCTCGCATCGATCCCGCGGAACGTAAGCGATCTAGACCGTTCATCAACGGCGTCGGTGGTATTGTGAAGGATCCGACTGCATGCATGCTTGCGTGCTTGCATGTAGGCAGATTTCTCGTGGTTCTGACTAGCAGACGGAAATTTGGATGGAACTGAGGTATTTACCGCTTTCCACGACAACCCAGTTGACGAGGCTTGCGAATATAAAAACAGCTCGGCTCCTCGATGCCACCTACAGTTTTGCTGGGTAGGTCGCCTCACCCACCCCCAACCCGTCCAAACACTTCTCCCTTCTTCCTCCCATCCCATCTCTCGCCCCGCCGGTCCAGTAGGACAAGATGCGTCTCTCAACCCTCGCCACGACGGCCGTCGTCGCCCTGGCCCCTTACGCGATCGAGGCCAAGTTTGAGCAGATCGGCGTGCCCAAGGTCATCAAGCCGGGCGAGCCGTTCACCGCCCAGGTCCGCGTGCTGGCGGCGCAGCCGTCGCACGACTACATGTACTGGGGCGTGCGGAAGTTCGACTACGAGTGGAACAGCTTCCCGAGCCCGGGCACCGTGGGGGGCAAGTTCCAGAAGACGGATTTGAATGGTACGTGCTCGTGGCCTTTATTCTTTTTTTTTTTTTGTCTTGCTACCCTCTTTCCTTGACTCCTCCTCCACTCTTCTTTCTCTCTATGGCTGTTCTCCTTTTTGGTGATCTACACGATATTCGGGAGGATACGGGGTGGCCGCCATGACTGACATTCCGTCCACACTAGCTGTCCTCAGCGGAGGGTACTACGACAGCATCCCCGGCCTCGTTGTCCCCGAGGGCACCGAACCGGGCGAGTATGCGCTCCAGGGCGCGATGCTGGGGTGGTACGGCGCGGGGGTTGTGCCGGCGCTCGAGACGTGGTGGTGGAACGTGACGATTGGGGACGCCACGAGCGCGGAGCTGGTGTGGGTTTCGGACCGGGCGGAGAACTCGAGGAGCTGCGTGCCGTACTGATTCTTGGAGAGTCGACTTACTTAACGAGGTGGGTGGGTTATGAAGTAAGATAGTTGGAGGTGGAAGGAGGCTTTAGAAGTATCAATGATTACCAATCATGAGAATCAAGACAAGGTCAAGTCAGGCTGTAACTTGGCGCCGACGCGCAACAATTACCTTCTCTCCTGAACCATCTCAAAGACCGAAGACCTTCGCTAGCTTCATTTTGTTTTTGGATATTGGAGTTTACTATCACTGGCCCCTCCATACTCTCCTTTCGCAGTATTCAGGATCGAACAAAGTCCAAAATTTACAAAGAAAAAAGGAAATATCTGTTTGGCATAAGACAATACCTCTAACGTCTGACTGGAAGGCTGTTCGGACTGTCCTTTCTATTGACGAATTGGAGTACCTCAAGTTCAGTATGCGTCCTGGTGCTCGATCTCGGGCTCGGGAATTGAGAGTAAATATGAGAGATGAACCGCCGTATGGAATCCGCGTAATACTACTCAATATGACCTCTCTTGGCGCCCATGTGCTACACATGTCAACTGAAACGAACCTCCCGTCAGTACCACGGTATGCAAATAATTTCTTTGGCTGAGAACGTTCAGATCTTATAATCCTCGATCGGACCCGGTTCTTAACTCGCCTAGAAACCCCAGTAACGCGTGTAGCTCAAACCGTGATCAGTGCTGCTGACTACGGTTTGCTGTTTCTGGCAGGCGTATTTTTGATAGCTCAAATACAGCCCGTCTATGATTGGTTGTTTCTAGGCCTTAGAAGCATTGGAGACTGATACCCATGTAAGAAGTCTATCTTGTTCCCATGCTAAGTCCATCTTATTCCGTGTTTGTTTTTCGATACGCCCTCACTGCTCTTAGGCGCTCTCTTGACTTGACAATGGCAAAACCGTTCAAGCTAGGCGTGATCGGGCCCAAAGGTCGGGTGGTTAGCTGTGTCGTCGACGAGCTCCTGAGTCCAGGTCATTTGTTGTCAGTATCTCCCAGCGGCTGCCATCGTCCGCGAGTTTGAAGCCAACAAGCTGCACCATAAGCATCGGAGCTTACTGGATTAACCGGGTTGCATCGATGGTAAAACGGACTAGTAATGTGTTGTGACATGAAATGACGGCCCTCTTGCACAGAACAAAACAGTCCCGTAGCTTGGAGTACCTGTGTTGTTTAGAGTCAAATTGACATGGTTTCTTGCTCTGGGTAGGGAACACAGATTATTTCATTCTAATTATTGACAACGGATTAATGTACTGAGTCCTTCAATACCTCTATATCTATGAAATTCAATGCTTTTGGTTCCGTATCAAAAACTTCGTCGCCAGCATTTTGAGAGTAAACACAACGTTCACAAGCCATATCACCACGAGCATGGCGGCAAGACAGGTGGACCACACTTTGAAAGCTTGAGAATCGAGGAGCTTCCCTAATTCAACCGCAGCATTTGCATACACGCCCTAGGAGTCTTGTTAGTAGTCATACGAAATGGTTGCATAACTGAAGCGCTTACCCAGGGAAACACCAGAGCCCAACCCCCCAAAGTGTAGGAGACCTTCTTCGGCTCTCTCCCGCCAAAAAATGCGTGAAGTATACCCATGATGGCAGAGAACCACCAAAAAGTACCGAGCCCCCACGCCATGAGGCCCGCAAAGATGCTCGTGTAGCCAATAGGCCCGGAAGCGTCCGCGGTGAGTACCACGCCACTGGCATACTGCGCAAAGCTGCCCTTGACGACCGCTTGGCCGAGCATCTGTAGGGCGAAGGAAGACTGTCCCCACGGCCCGCAGAGAATCATATCCTGGAAAGCCTTCTGCTTAGGGGGCTGGTAGTTGCCCAACAACCGCGCCCAGAACAACACGTCCAGTGCGAAAGCCAGCGGTAGGCCTATGCCGATGAGGAGGTATGAAACGATGATGACAGGGATTTGCTGGTCGCTGCTCAGCATAGCAGAGTTGCAGATCGTCCCCCCTCCTGCTGCTGCGGTCAGCGCCGCGATAAGAGCTAGTTGTGTAGCTGGTGATATGTGAGGTACACCAGATGGGTACACTTTGATGAAGACGAAAGGGAGAATGATGACAACAACAGTAGCCAGCCCAGTGGCCACCCACCAGAGGACAAAGAGGATTTTGCTCCATGGGCCGCCCCAGCCCGAGACTAGCGTTGTGTTATCGTGCTTGAGTGTATGGAGGACATGCTTTGGGTAGAGGACTAGCCGGACGGCGTATATGCAGACCATCGACAGTAGCAGAGCCATGGCGGCTACCCAGAAGAGATATGAAATCACAGTCAACCCATTGAAGCGGTAGTCTAATTGGTGGAGGATAGTCGCAAGGATTGCCGTCCCTTGTGGTATCAGAAACCACTGCGTTGAGAAGTTACGGATCGCGTTCCGGATGGGGGAGCGCTCATGGTCGGATGTCGTCGGCGACGGCAGATCCCCAGGTTTGTTGTCCGGGGGCATCCTGAAGCGAAGGCCACTAAGATAACTTTGATAGGGTCCTGCAGGCGTTTGCTTGATGATTGGTGTCTTGCCAAGCGATTGATTAGCTTCCTGATGGTTGGTTGGTGTGTTACTGGGTGGCAGCTATCACGAAGTGGTGGGTGAGACAAGGAACCCAGCGCGCTGCACGCCCGGGCGATTAAGAAGAAATTCTGCACAAAGCTCAAACAGGAAACGTCTTGTTCAGATGGCATCTCCGGTTGATCAGTCCAGCGAGGAATTACACGCTAGGTCTTTGCTGTCATGGCGTAATCATGACGTCTAGGAAGCCCGACTCGTACGCGAACGTGGGGTGATGATGAGATGGGGTACCAGTAGAGCGTGGGTTCATGTTCATACTCTAATCATCTGCCGTGCCTTCGTTCCATCACAGTCCTGGCAACCATCGAATCATTTTCGAACAAGAATAGTCAGCTGCATTTACATTTGCGGAGGTAGGGCTTGCAAGAAGAAGCTTTCTTAATTATGGGACTACCGGCCATGAGGCCACTCCTCCTAGCAGGGGGGAAGTCTACTCGAATGGGTACGCCCAAGCATCTCCTTCGCATGCCCGACGGAACACCATTGTACCAACGGCAATTACAACTGCTGCGAACCATATTCCCGGAGCCCCAGACGATCTACATATCTCTGGCCCAAGAATCCGAGACGGACGACTACCTCGACGAGTTGCTGGCCGCCCAACCCGACAACCCTTCTTCTTCTTCCGCGGAGAACGAGGATCTCAAGGGAGAACCCAAGGTGCAGATCCTTCGCGACGAATACCCCAACAACTCTAAATACTCTGCCGGCCCATCTGCGGGTCTTCTTGCGGCGTACCGGTATGACCCTTGGGCGAACTGGGTTGTCGTGGCATGCGACTACCCCCTGTTGCCGCCGGACGCGCTGTACCTCCTGTTCCTGAAGCGCGACGCAGTGCCGGTGACGTGCTACCGCTCAAGCGAGGGCTTCTGCGAGCCGTTACTGGCCATCTGGGCGCCAGCTGCGCTCTCCCGGCTGTCGGAGCGCGTGGCACGTGGGCATGCGAGTCCGGCGGCGGCGGCCAAGGAGCTGGACGGGTTGATGTTGGACACGCCGCCGGGCTGCGAGTGGTGGCTGACGAATGTGAACACGATGGAGGAGTGGGTGAAGGCCGTGGAGGAAATGAAGCTGGGGCCGCAGGAACCGGTCTCCGTCGAGGCGCCGAAGGAAGCGGCGTAATGTACGATATTGTGTCTATCGCCACTTATGAAGCGTTCCAGCGTTATAGAAACAAAGTCACCATACCATCTTTCTCAGAATGCTGCGTGACCCGTCATGGGATAAGAACGGATGTGGCCTTCGGGCCACGGGCCTTGCGAGTGACCTCCTAGCTGAACCCAACAGTTGGCACCGATGAACGGCCCCAGTTTCGCGGGACTCTGCTGCTTGCTGAGTTCAACTACCATGTTTCCGTCTTGGCTTTGGCGAATGGTTCCGTGTCGGAAAAACGTCGTTGGGGGGATACCCGGCGATGCCACTTTCCGTCCAAGGCCGGCTGTTGATGTCTCTGTAAGGCTCTTTACAATGATGGGTATCTCGGGGGTCTGATGTTGCCAAGACCTGAGGAACGGAGCCACGAGGAACCGAAAACACGCTGCCGTAGCACCGGGATTCCCAGGGAGCCCAAAAACTGGCAGATTGCGGGACCTTCCCGGGACCTGAGCGAAGAGGACTGGATGTCCCGGTCTCATAGCCACGCCGTGGAAATGAGTCGTAGCACCGAGATCGCTTAAAGACGAAGCCACGAAGTCGAACTTCCCAACAGAAACGCCGCCTGTTGTGAGAATCATGTCGAATAGTTCCCCATCGATGGTTTCTTGCAGCGCTTCTCTGACGGAATCTTCACTGTCGTGCAGAGTCCCGAGGAACGCTGGCTCGGCGCTTGCTTCCCGGAGCGCAGCCATCAGGAATGGCCCGTTGACGTCCGGAATGCTACTGGCATTTCCCGCCACCAATTCTTTTCCCGTTGACCATACTGCGACGCGCGGCTTCTTGAAGACCTGGACCTTGGATATCCCAACTGATGCCAATGGCATGATGTGCGAAGAGCTGATGGTGTCACCCTTTTTGATGATGCGCTCCTCGAGTTGGATATCGCAGCCGGCGGGCCTACGATTTGCGTTTGTCGGCACCGGCTTCGTGATCATGACCGCCCGTTCTGTTTTGTTGGCGGCAGACACCACGGCAGTGTCTTCGATGCGCACGCATGCGTCGAACCGTTTCTTCGTGCCAGTGACTTTAGGGAAGATGCCGCCGGTCATGATTTCCAGGCATGGCTCTGCCGAACCTCGAAATATGCCCTCGTCCAATTCCGTAGGCTCGTCACCCGCGGCGATTGTTCCGAATACTTTCAGCAGCACAGGTTTCTCCGGGGATGCAAGCATGGTGGCCTCAGAGCAGACTGCGTACCCATCCATGGCTGATGTGTCGAACGTGGGCGTCGCAGTTGGGCTGACGACTTCGGCGGCAGCTACGCGGCCTACGGCATCCACCAGATATACCTCTTCCCATATCTTGTTTCCATTCCGTTCGTTCAACACTTGTAGCTCCGTAGCCGTCTTCTGCAAGATATCCACAGCAGCTTCATAGGATGTCATCGTGATAGTAATGAAGCAAGAGATCCGTGTCGGCCAAGCAAGTGTTTACCGACAGTCGTTTTTTGTTACGACTCAAGAACTATAGAACAAAGGGGTCGAAATAATGGTTTGTATAGTTGTTGTGCATTGAAGAAAGAGTAGTCACATATAAGAGCCTCCATGGGCTAGAGGCTTGCCAAATGTGTGTAGTGTTTAAACAGCGGGCCGAGACCGAGGCTTAACGCCAGGAACTTTGGTGTTTTTGTTACTACGATTACTCTCTCGTAATTGTGACGTCAAGCGTCGATTTGAGCTCAAGTCTGGGATCTCTGAGTTCCCTGACGGGTTTCTTTGTTTCCCCGCGGGATGGAATGCTGCTTTCTCGTCTTGAGGTATGACTGGAACACGTTCTTGTTTTACTATATCCAATCTGATGATGTTTGACTTCTCTTTTTTGTCAATCGGTTCTGTAATTGTATCTAACTACTGGATTAAAGTTTCTGCAGTATTGATAAAGACCACTTTCAGGGGCGAATGTAATCGTTCGACTCATGTCTACTGACATTTGCTCAAGACCACCAAATATGTTATGGATTGCGCGCAATTTCCATTCAGTCCCTAACTAACGCCGGCACCAGAAGAGATTGAGGTGCCCTGACCATGATCTGCTGATTAACCCAAGCCTGCATACGATGCATACTGGTCTGTCCAAACTGGACTGCCTCGAAGAAATCAAGATCCCAGCACGCCTGACTGACAGGAATCAACGCGTTCAGCCCACCCTCGATGTGCGAGAGATAGATGTGAAGACCTTGGAGCGTCTCCATGACCTCGTATGGGCTTCGCTGCGTGTCAATAGGAGGGAAAATGGCTTCTCTCAGAGTCGTGGCTTTACGGCTGCCCCCGCAGACGTCTTCCCCGAACTTGTCGACTTGCTCGCTAAGCCTTTTTCTGACATCTTCGGTTATCCGCCGCAAAACTCTGACACCACCTTCGATTTCAAGATCGTGAATGAGATCAGGTAGCAGATTGGTGTAGATGTCGGAGAGTTGCTTGACGCTTTCATACGTCTCGCCGAGCCAAGACTCAAGGTGTCGTTTGCGCTTTAGGGAATCATCCACGGCCGTCACGTCGACTCCTTTACTTGAACATGACTCTTCTGCGGCAGATTGTAACTCAGGGATTTGGGGCTTTTCGGATGCATCAATCTTCTCTATGCGGACGGCGCCAGCCTTGAACATGGGTTGCTTGGAGATGGGATCCCACCGTTCTATGGCGACAGGTTAGCTTGGTATTACTAAATGTTGGATAAGGGCAGGAATTTCCAGCCTTACCAACTGTCAGCTCGTTGGCCGCTCTAGACTTTCCGCCCTTGGCATCCCAATAGCCAAAGTGGAAGGGCACAAACACCTGGCCAACGGAAATGCCCCCCACCTTTGCCTTCAGCTCGATTGCACCACGCCTTGACCTGACGATAACATCATCTCCGGTTTTGAGATCCATATTTGCGGCGTCCTCCCTGGATATGTGGACTTCTGGCTCCGGACACGCATCCTGGAGCTTCTTGGATCTGCCAGTCTTTGTTCTTGTGTGGAATTGGTACTTATTCCGACCCGTCGACAGACGAAACGGATACTCCTCGTTCGGCTCTTCCATGGAAGGACTATAGTGGCACGCCTTGAGAATCGCGCGACCCGCGGGGTTTAAAGCCGCATACTCGGCCTTGGAGTATGGCGCTCCAGTTTCGAGGTCATGCCCGAAACTCTCGCAAACGTCGATATCGGTGAAGAACTTGGCATCACTGAACAGACGCTCTACTCCTTGCGGATTCGCCTCGTTGCACGGCCATTGAATACCAGAACCTCCGGTCAACTTTTCGTACGACAAGCCGGTGTAATCGCATGGCCGGCCATGTGAAAGCTTCTTCCACGCGCAGAACACTTCCTCAGAACTTTTGTAGGGAAGAAGGAGATTGCCGTCCTTGTCTTTGAAGTTCATGCGACGCCCGTAGTCGAGGAAGATGTCGAGATCTGACTTCGCTTCCCCGGGGGGCTCTACGGCTTTGTGTGAAAGATGGACGGTACGATCGACGTTGGTGAAACATCCCGTCTTCTCACCCCACTGCGCCGCGGGAAGCACCACGTCGGCGATGGCAGCGGTCTCCGTCATGAAGATATCCTGACAGACGACGAATAAGCCTGGGTCCGTGAGGAGCTTCCTTATCCGCGGCAAGTTCGGCAAGCTGACAAGAGGATTCGTTCCCGAGATCCACATCATCCTGATGGAGCCGTCCTCGATGTAGCTGAGTAGGTTCTGAACGTGAGTCGGCTCATTCCAGTGCGGGACCTTGATGGAGTCGATGTTCCACAGGTCCGCCAGCTCTTGCATGTGTACCGGATTCATGTGGTTTCTGAAGCCAGGGAATTCGCCGTCGCATCCTGCTTCGCGGTTGTTCTGCGCTGTAGGCTGACCGTTCATCTGCAAGACGCCGCTGCCTGGCCTGCCGATCAGACCCCTGAGCAGATTGATGTTGTTGATCTGACATGCACTTGCGGTGGCTTGGTTCGACTGGTAGACGCCCTGTAATGCTGTCGACAGGAGACTGTTGGAGTTACCAATGAGTTTGGCGGCTTCTTTAAGGTCTTTTGCGGGTATGCCAGAGATCTCTTCAACCTTCTCAGGAGTGTAGTCCAAGACAGTTTGCTCGAGCTGCTCGAGCCCGATGACGTGCTTCGAGACAAAATCTTGGTTGATCCAGCCATTCTTAAACAAGAGATGCTGGATGCCGTTCAAGACCGCCAGATTGGTACCAATCCGTGGGGCAAGATGAACCGTTGCTCTTCTTGCGGTATCGGACATGCGCGGATCAACAACGACGAGCTTTGGCGGGTTTGGTCCGTCGAGGCGGTCAAGAATTCTTGACCACAGGACCGTCTGTGTGGCCGCGACGTTGTGGCCGACCAAAAACAGGCAATCAGTGTAGTCTATATCCGTATATGATCCTGGTTGGCCGTCTGAGCCAAAGGACTCTCTCATAGACGCTGCTGCTGTTGCGGTACATAAACGAGTGTTTCCGTCCCTAAACTCGTCAGGAACATTCTTATTAAGTCAGGTAAGATGCTTTAGACTTACATGTGCAAAGTGGAAAGGCCAGCTTTACCAACGACTGCCAGAGCATAGTATTCCTCTAGGAACAGCTGACCTGAAGTGTAGAAGGCTATGCTATGGCTTGTGAGACGTTCGATGAGATCTTTCGAACGCTGTACGATCAATCCCATTGCTTCATCCCAGGTAGCCCGCTCAAGTTTCCCGTTGCGACGAACGAGAGGGTGTGTAAGGCGATCTGGATGGTGTATAGATTTCCACCTAGATGGAGAATCAGCTTTGATCAGTGACCAAGCCAGGAACAGCTATAAGTGCTGCCGTTGCTGCATCAAGACGGCTTACCCGTGCAAACCCTTGGGCCCGAGCCTCCCTTTGTTTACGCGATCTGTTGCGCGTCCACGAACTCCCACCACCTTGCCATCTTTAACACCGATGTCTAGACCGCAGCCATTGCTCCAGGTTCGCGCATTTAAGGTCAGCTCCCATATGCCACTGACCGCAGCCCAAAGCCAAAGGGGGCTTCGCAGTATGACGAGTACTTACCTGCACAGCACGCATGCGCTCTGAACCCATTTGTCGGGCTCGTCTTCACATGCAATGTCGACCCGGGTTGGCCATTCGTGTTTGTAGGGGGTTCTTGGGCCCCATACATCCTCAATCGAGTCGCGGGAATGCTGATGGGTTGGTGCGTTTGATCCCATGTTGTTATCCTGATCGAGTCTTCAATGGCACACTCGAAATCTTGTGCGAAAGACCAGGAATCGACCTTGGAAATAAACAACAAGTAGATTAACTCGTCTCGTGGTGTGATAGTAAGTGTGGTTCTCAACGTCGTATAATCCCAGAATAGATACTAAGACTGTTCGTTCCGTAATTGCGAGCAGGAACGAGAATGTGGGGGAGGATAAGAGGTGGTGGGTAACGGATGAACATGCAGCACATGTTGGACACCTAAACTGGCGGATTGCTCCATTTCTCAGGACCTGTCAGGCCCAGAATGCAACGCAGTTACCATGTAGCTGGGGATCTTCACATCCGGATGAGGGTTTCGTTATGCAACACTGACGTCAAGCAAGGAAAGACTAGTCATGGTCGCTTTTCCTCCAACAAACACAGTTGGCAGCCAACCCAATCGGCCAAGTGTTGTTACTAACAAGCGGCGGCCCTTGTGCTAGTCATTGGGGCCGGATCCGCCGGGACGGAGCGATTTTCAGCATCTCCGCGCTGGCCTCGGTGAATGCATCCGGGTTGCTGTCCAGGAACAGGATTTGCAACAGTGACGTGTGGCCGAGCTCTGGGAAAGCACCTTGGAATTTTGTCGCCGAGATGCGCGATCCATGACGCGAAGCTTTGGTGCACAGATCTGGTTCCGATTGCGGGTGCGGATCTTCGCCGTCCCGCAGCTGCCGGAGCCGAGTCCGCGATGCGGTATTATCCTCCGGCCATGCACCGAGAGGCGGCGCCGAACGTGGGACAAGTTCCTCTCGTAAGCAGGCTGGCAGGCTGGGTTTCGCGGCATCCAATGTTTACAATCGGAAGCGGGGTAAACCCGAACGGCCGACGACCCGAGACGTTTCCACAGAAACTCAACAGGCAGCAGCGACAATTGCAGGCAGTCATCTGCTTTTGAGAAAACGTTTCCCCCGCCGTTTCGATTGGGTTTGCTCTTCAACTCATTTGGGGATAGCTAATTACAAAACCTCGAGTAATTGGATAAGTCTACGACGCGAAAGCAAAATGTGGAGTCTTGCTCAGCCACCACATCCCCTTTCCTGCTTGTGCTCCATCTAACATCATGCAGGACCTCAGTGGAATCCAATACCCATCTCAAACAAGATGGCTCGAGTCTATTCGGTCTTCCGTGGGAAATCAAAGAGCGCATCTATGAGTACTATCTCGCCTTCAACCGTGAAGATTTCGGCTCCACCTCGCGTCCGCTGCTCACCTACTTCGAGCAAGGGGTTTACACGAAACCTCTGCCACCGTATATGTTAACCTGCAAACGCGCCTACCGAGAACTGCAGCAGCAGGTACATGCTGATGCTGTCATGCACGTACACTCGCAGGCCCTGGGCGACCGGGGCATTGGCTTCGCCGTCCATGGACCTCTCCGCTTCGAGCGCCTGCGCAGGCTCTACGTTCTCATTACCACGGAGTATCCGAACTGGAACCGGTGGATGGGGATTTTTGGCGAGGTAGCGCAGCGATCGAAGGACTTGAATGAGCTCGTAATCGACTGGAAGCCGAGACCGACTGTTCCCAATCTAAAAGGATGGGAGGTGAAATTCAATGAGAAGAAGTATGATGAGTTTTTTGGCATTCTGTCGGGGCTTCACCATCTCGAAGTAGTTAGGTTCCATGGAGAGTTACCAGTGGGGTGGAGGGAGAGATTTGAAAAGGAAACAACTGCAAGGCTGGTATGCTACAAGCTCAAGTGGTGGAGAGAACATGGCTTAGAGTAGTTGAGAAGGATTTTTGCAGCGATGGGACATAGTAGGTCCCCAATCAAGCAATACCTACGTCAGATACCGACACCTACGACACAAAATGTCGATATTTGCATCCTCTTCGCTACAGACGTTATTGAATTATAGTACGCTGATTTAAATGTAAGGTGTAGCTGTGACGATGTCTATTGATCCAGGTACGTCCGTCTGAGGGTGTAAGTCATGAGTGCACTCTGAGTCCCCTTCCATTGACCTTATGTTTCTGTCAGTGATCTAGGGCGAGGAAAACTAGTCAGTGCGGCCTTCCTCCAATTGACATGTGTCCCTTTTCCTCAGGTTCATTCTCAGATCATCTGAGCCCAGACTTGCCGCCAACTGTCCAGCAGGTATCAGCTGGAAAAAGCTTGAAATAAAACTCAAAACAGTACTGACTTGCCAGCTCCAACCATAGACAACAACTGCCACAATGGTTGTCGCAAAGCTAATGATCAGTGAAGACCAAAACCAGAAGTTAGCCACGGACGCTTTGACCCCATGGTTTTGGACAACAGGGTATACTGTGCAGTAAATGGAAAGTGCCTGTAAGAAGATCTGACACAAAAGAACCCAGAAGCCATCATCTGTACGGAGTTTTTGAGGTTGTGGGCTACACACAGGCTCCCGAACTTGGGATAACGCCATCGAAATCATCGCCCCACTGAGCATGAAGAAGACCGCAAATATTGTCACTAGTGTAGTCTGATGGAAGACACAGAATCGTAGATGGAAGAGAACACCGCTTTGACGTTTGGGCTCCGCGAAAGCAACTGCGACTGAGACTGGATTCACATTTGCATTAGGCAGTCCGCCATTTAAAGGCATATTCCACTGATTACCTTCGGCTAAATCGGGAACTTTAAAGATGCCTTCGCGAACAGAACTGTTCTCAGAATGGGCATCTGAGTAAGGATAGACATCCTCGTGAGAAGGAAGCTCTGAAGGGTGCAGCGATATGGAATGAAGCTCATATGCCTCTGTTGGATGATTTCTCCGTCGGAGCTCATTTGTGGAGTCTCTGTGTAGCGAATGTTAGCAAAGTCGTTCTTTTGGATGCAATAAAACAAATTTGAGGCCTTCATTTAGCATAGACCTTGCTGTAACACACCTTGAGATATCGGCCGAGACGACCCCAGAAGTCTCTGGTAGTCTTGTATCACTACCATCGGGCTCGATTCTTTGCTGAGGCACGCAACCAAGAAGTTCTTTTGCGTAAGCTGTTGCGGTCATTGCTGCGTAGCCTGCCCATTCCGGTCTAGGATGCGAATCCGAGTAGTTGCATATACCTCGGATGACCAAGCATGAATAGCCCATGACACTTGCAGATCCAATGTCAAAACACAAGACGCCTCTTTCAGACGCAAGTAAGTCTCTGGTTGATGCATCCTTCAGCTTCCAGTTTGCAGATGCTATTACACCGTGATGTATAACAGGGCTGTCCCTTAACTCGTCTCGGCTGCCCCTGAGGACCAAATTGGAGTCGCTGGTGTCGCATGCGTGGGAGCATCTAGAATATTCCAAGGAGGAATTGTGAGTGTAATGTGGCATAAAAAGAAGGTCACCTTCCGATGGCTTCTCGTATGTGTTTCTGAGCTTTGGGGACCTGTTCAACACCTCTTCGATGGACTCTCGTAGCCGATGTCTACTTCGGTTGTATCGGTGCATGAGTCTATCCACGGCTAATTGCAGAATCTCTGGCGGCTCCTTTGTCTGTGTGGTTGAAAAGAAATGCTCGTCTTGTACACTCGTGCCCCTGTCGTATTGAAAAACACCGCCCTGCTTTTCACTGTGTGCCCTCGAGCCGACAACAACGTCACCCAGACGAATGTCATGAAGAAGACTTGGCGCTCCTCCAGCGATGCCGACTACCAGTATAAACTTGATGTTGCGAAATATATTCTTTAGGTTTGTCGCGAGAATCGCCGAGCCAGACATGCCAAGCCCTCCATTTGGTACACAAGCGATGACGACGTTCTTATCTCCCAACTCGCCACAAGTACACTCCAGGTTGCTTGCCAGCTCGAGGCTGCCTACACGGTCGTGCTCCTTATCTAGGAAGGCTTGGGCAGCCACATACTCCAACCCAGTATCAGAGATCCAGCCGATTGTGTATTTATCAGTGTCTAACATGCTCGCTGTTCGAGACTACCCTCGAAAGATGCTGACCTAGAGTCGGTGCGGTTTCGATCGTTATGAGGCTTGTGTCGCAGATGATTGGATCGTTCTCGAGGGGAAATTGTGGAAGCACTGCCAAAGCGAAAAAGGCTTCAATTGGGCCCGTTGGTCCCGGGTCTGTGAGAAAGCAGTTTCGGTTGGGGTGATCGAGATCAATATAAAGCGTCAGAAGACGAGTTTAACGAAAGAGTATTGGGGTTAATGCAATTGAGAAATAGCTGGGCCTAATTGTCGATAGCAGCTTATGTATTGCCAGTGTGATGTGGCTGAGTCACCATCTGAGCGGTTAAAGCCATTTCATCATTGGTTAGTTTATTCCAGCCTATCAGTTGTCTTACTTCATGTCTGCTGTCAAGGTGAAGGGTATATATACACCAGCCTACTAGCCGAAGTGAAACCAAAGCCTAGAGTGTCAGCCGCATGAAGTCAGCCTAGCCAGCCCTGCTCAAGGCGACTCAAGCTGACTCGTTCTCAATTTAGGCTACAGCAGCAACTGCTTATTTCCAAGATGGAATAGAGAGAAGTCATGGACATCGGTTGTTGTTCGGTCTTTATGCTCATGTAACAAAACGCCGCTTTTGCTAAGGACAATCTCAGGGATGTTCAAGCTTGGCTCACCAGGTGCTTGGATTTGCTCACCTTTCGATACAACTAACCACATGGCCAAGTCTTCGTGGTACAGCCCCTTTGGAGCTACCACAGCAGGAGCCTCCGTACGAAACAGAAGCATGACGAGGCCAGAAATATGAAATCGACGAGGGGAATAAGTATGATTTGGGCCGGGAGAGCTAGGGAAGGTTACGCGACTTTATACATAGATTCTCGATACGACATCCAGCCACATGGAAGAGACTGCGATGAAACCCGGACAGCCTAAAGCACGTTTACCAAAATGTCTGTCCTCACTCGCCCAACATTATGTGCAAACTGATTTAGGACAAGTTCCGTGACTACAAGCAAAGCTGCAAGGTGCTGCTAGTCGTTATCCTTTACGCCCTCAAGCGCACAGTCGTCGTCGCCGGTGGTTTCGGGTGCCGTCTTTAGCATGCCTGAGTATTCGAGGCACTGAAACGCCGTAGCCGGACAGAAAACATACGCGCAGCTGAACTTTTATAGGTCCTCTGAGGTAAGAGAACTTTGCTCTAAGAAGAGAAACGAAGTATTTGCTGAGGGTCATAACGCCTGCTTTATCATGAGCAACATTATACCGGATATGCCTTCTGATAAGGTCAAACCGTATTGTATATGATATCCGGACGTTGCAACTGAGGAAACCTATCGCGAGCTTGTTCGACAGTACCCTGATATGTGTCATCAGGTTGGTCGCACTTGTGCTGTTGATGGTTACAATAAACTCTACAATAAGCTCAACCTACTGCCGGATGTCTCTATCGCAGAGGGAGCTTGAGACAACAACCAGACTGCTGCCTTCGAATCAATTACAAGCCATAACGTGAGATAGTTTGTTATGGACGACTATACACGAACAGTACATCTCAATAACCCAAGAGCTGGAGCCTTTCTCAACTGGAATACTTACGTACGTTCGTCCCTGCAGGCTTGCAGGGACCTTGACTACGAACTGGCGGGCGGGAACCACGATCACTACTTCGATATCCAAGAAGATAGCCACATTAGTACAGGATGGCTTCCAAGACTTGGCTCTAGCAATTTGGCCAGCAATGTTGCTGAATTGATGTACAAGTCGCTCCCTAGTGACTTATCCGCTATTTACAAGGATATGTCAATCGTAATTACTGCCTGGGACGGTAAAATTGACCAGTATTTACGGTTGCGACACACAAAATGTATCCCTGACGAGGTCCCAGCTGTCATGCGTGGCGCTCAACACCACACGCCCTTTGCAAGATGGCTGGTCACATGTGTGGAAGAGGTTCTCATTGAGGAAGAGGCCGATCTCATCCGACAAGCTATCAACGCCCGCTTCATCGTGAACAATGACTTATCGCGCATCACCGCTGATACCAACGGAGACACACTACCTGAGATATTTTGGTGGCCGCAATGGCCGAATCGAGACATCCTTAGAGAGCTGGCGTGGCGCCTCCCCGACCTTAAGCACGAGGTCGCTCTGGCTTGTATCGTTGCCAACTACCAAGATGTGTTTGATGAGCTACGCGTCTGGCACTCTCATTGGCAGGCGGAGGTCGCCTGACAGAGCTCTAACACATACTGCCGGAAGAAAATTGAGCTGCGTGCGGCCGACACGCGCGTTAACCTTCGTCTGGACTTCACAGCGTTCCGTGACGGCCTCCCTATTGATGTCATGTGGAGCAAGAGTTTTCTACGGCCTGAAAAAGAATCGTCGGGGCTTGAATGTATGCTTGAGGGGCTTGAGTCTGCGCCTGAGACGAAAGGCAACCATATTTAAAGCTGGGAGGAGGATTTTGACGTTGATAACATCTGCAACGCAGGAGCAGATGGCGTCGTGGGCCACCTACGTCAGCGCGACGGACGAGGTGAGGGAGGGGCTACCGCCAGGACCTCTATACTCAACTGTAGAGGATGTGCAGCGGCGTAAGTACCCGGCACCCCAGCCGAAGCCCCTGAAGGACTTTCTGACCGTGACCGCGATTCGTATGTACCTGCTAGTGTGGCGATGAAGGAGGGACAAGCGCGCGCGCGAGAAGGGGTTTTCAAAGGGTTGGGTTTGTAAAAGTGAGGTTTGCAACGCTGCTGTTGAGGTTCCTATCTAAGCAGTTGTGTTCCAAGAATCATCTATCACCAAAGTTGATGCAACTACATGGGCCATAGATGGCATCCTTGGTTTTAATAGCCAATGGATAAATGCATGGTGGGACAAAGCGTATGGTGGAGGTCAAGTCGCCTAATTCGTAGACTTGACATTGGCACACGCGCCCATCTTTCGAATGAATTAAAATTAAGAATCGACAAATTGTTATGCCAAGCAGTATTCACGAACTGAAAACATTGTGGTCTTTGAGACATGGAAAGAGCCTCGAGGCCGAAATTTAGTGGGAGGCCATTGTGACTGGAACAGCAGCCATTGCAAATGGGCACTCAGGGTTTTCTACAAACAAAAAATTCTAGTGTTTATTGAAATTCTTTTAACAAAGATAAATCCCAACATGATAGGACGTTTCATCTCATAAAGCATCTAACATTTAGCCGGTGAGGGCTGCTGCAACACTTCAATCGGCTTGCCAAAATGAGTATGGAGGGTGCGTGATGACTATGCACTGTCCTGTACTTCATACCGATGGTCAAGTCCAAAAAATGGTCGTACAACAGCCTGGCGTTTGCATTATATCTATGCTATACAGCAATTGAGCTGCAACTGTCTAGCGCCAGGAAAAGGGTACTAATGACGGGGGTTGAAGCATTGAATCTGTTTGTTAGTGCAAAGCAAAAGCACATGACCAAGACTTTTCCCAGCCTCTTGCTGTCTATCTTCGTTCTAAATTATGTTATTTCTCTCATCTTTGGTTTTTTTTTTCTATTGATCTCAACCCTATTGTTGGCCGTATCTCGCATGGCGTCATTCTGCAGCTAATCGGATATCTGAGTCTTAGGCAATCAAGTTAGTAACTCCCTTGAAAGATATTTGAAGCTTAACGCATTGCCGGCGTCCACTCTATATGCACGAGAGCTGGTGATTCGTCGAAGCGTACGTAGACCAGTAATATCCGCCCTTCTTGCTTTACGCGCCCATAACCCCTGCCCAGTATACAACAAGCCTAAACTCAATGTGGCTGGACAGTCAGCTGCAACGTTGGAGGAGTTTTCAAGCCCAAATTCTGCCCTGACTTTCCGTAAACCGAGTATAAGAACGTGTTAAGGGTCATTGGTGGATGAAAGTTTTATCTAGTCCACAACCTTGCACACCTTTTCGCCGCTCAGATTCTATCTATGTTGAGCCCTTGGGCACTAGGACGAATACCGATACACAGCAGACGTGCGAACTCACACCATGAGCGATATGCCAGAAATTTCTTATCCAGGTCAGCATCTAGAAGGCGAAGACTCATTCCGACTTTTGGAGCTGCAGCCTGGGCAGAGAGGTGATGAGATCGTAATCCGCCTTCTCAATTTCAGCCTCGAAGGTTCTCTTCCATATGAAGCTCTCTCGTATGCTTGGGGCGACAGTACCGGAGCCGAGAAGGTCCAAGTCATTCTAGCTCCCGTTTCGGGGGTCGCGAGAACATATGTTGTCGTGAAGAAGAGCTGTACCGCAGCACTTCAGCGCTTGCGTCATCATACAACGCCTCGAAAGTTGTGGATCGATGCCATCTGTATCAACCAGTCGGATGTGCACGAGCGAAACCAGCAGCTGGCCCTTATGCCGCGTATCTATAACGAGGCTAGGCACGTGGTTGTATATTTGGGAGAGAGCAGTGAGTCCGACTGTAGCGAAGCCGTTATGGAGTGGCTACAAGACATCTATTCGCCATCTGATTCTCGCGACCAATCGCCCATGCCACACTCGGATGTGATCATGAGTTTCCTGAAACGGCGGTGGTTCACACGCGTGTGGGTGATGCAGGAGATTCGTTTGGCGAGAGAAGTAACCGTTATGTGCGGAGATAAGGAGGTCAGTTGGGAGGCCTTCAAGCAACTGCGAAATATATTCAACAACAGAGGGAGACGAGCAGCGTCACTGCCTTACATGGTACAGTCTTTGGTGTCTCGAGGTTTTGACTCCTTTTCTTGGCGACCATCATATCCTGCCCGACTTTGGCGAATGTTGCGTAAAACGAGAAGCTTTGGTGCTACGGACCCTAGGGATAAGCTTTACGCTATCTTGCCGTTGTTAGACTGGGAATCTCAGCAATACCTCCAAAACAACCCGTCATTAGAGGCAGACCAAACTGAACCGTCAGCGTTTGTAACACCAAGAGGCGACTACAACTACTCCGCTGCACAAGTATTTACCAAGCTTGCCCAGGACTTGATTGAAGTCATGGGCCTGAAAATCCTCTACAGCGTCGTTCATCCTACCAAGGTGCCGGATTTACCGTCTTGGACCCCCGATTGGAGTATCAAAGATGGGCGAAATTTCATCGGTCGACGCCATGACTTGAATAAGAACGAGAGACGTTTCCTCTTCAAGGACACAAAAGACCATGAAATGCCCTTTACGTGGCGTTTCTCGAACTATACTAACCTAGATGGAAAAGACAGTATTCAGCTCCACCTCCGGGCGGCAGTGGCTGGGACCATCGTTAGACTGGGAGAATCGTGCAACGTCTACGACGACAAGTTTCCGCTGGAGCAGTGGGAGGGGCTTTGCGATCCGATGCATCTTCAAGCAAATATCTTTCCCAGAGAAGACGGCAATTCGAACTTCGGAAGAACCAGCCATGATTTCCTATCACCGTTCCACAGAGTTCTGTTCGGATCACGAGTAGTGTATCTGGACATTGCACGCTATGCCGTGGAAACAATTCGGGATTTCAACAATATGGACTCAGACCTCCCTGGTAGGACTGAAATGCTTCCCCTGCAGCAACCTCTGACCTGTGAGGGCGAGGGAAGTGTCACTGCCAGTAAAAGGCGACTGAGCCACATATTTTACTCGCTATCACCAAGTTACGAGACCCAGTCCGAAGACATATTCTACAACTGTCATGGCCGAAGATTATTCATCACAGACCAAGGGTTTCTTGGGCTTGCGCCCGAGTCATCAAGAATTGGGGACCAAGTGGTAGGGATAGAAGGCTTAGAAGACCCTTTCATAGTCAGACCTAGAGGAAGCGGATCAGGTGCACTAGAGTTGGTAGGTTCATGCCAACCTAGAAAGCTCCCAAACTCACTTCCCGCTTATATGGAAGTTGTGGTACAGTAAATCGTCTCTACAGCAAAAGATGGTGAATATTTATATTTACTCCACAAAGATGTAGACTAGACTCCGGTTCCTTCAACGGAGCCACACTGTATGCAGTTTCAGGCCACAGCGCAAGCTTGTCTAGACATACACTCAATAGCTAGAATGTCAATTATCTGGGCTTTCCCTTTTGTTCTGGCTTCTATTTTCACATCCTGACAACCTCTTCTTCTAACAAACTCAGCATCTGCTGAGGCTGAAGCAAACATCTTGGCGAGTGTTACGTTAAAATTGACTAGATTCTAACCAAGGACGTCTCACTGTGGCTATTTTATCCACTCTCTAAGTTAATGCGTAGGGTGAATTGTATGAAACTGGCTGCCCTACGCGTCTCGTCGCATAGATGGTAGCGGGAGGTTTGCCTGGCAGAGCCTAATCTGTAACTACCGAAAGGACATTGAGCTGCGCGTGGCCGAAGCACACGTCACCTTCCGTCTTGAAGCAGCCATTGGAAACAAACACTTTCTGGTTTTGATTGCCACATAATTTTCAGTCGTTGATTTTTGAACAAGATGAAACTAGCATTTTACAACAGCTCATCTCCCAAAAGATTCGTTCCCTTATTGAAACTAGATCGCCGGACGATAGATCCAATTCTTTATTCTGTTCCTTATGTGGTGATGATGCTCATCAACAGAGCCTTGACTGCTCGAGCTTCCCCGGCGCGGAGGCGGGCGACTAACCATGTTGGTCAGCTCGGAGCCACCGGAAGGCGTTCGCGTTATCATAACTCTGTTCTTGAAGTCTGAACCACTACTGTCAGCCTTTGCTTCTCTGCCGAATGAATGTTGTAGGAATGAACAAACTTGTCGAGTCGTATCTTCGAGGATCCTCGAGTACGGCAAAGAACTTGGCCTGGGCCCTCTCACTAGCTGTCGGTGCCATTATTGTCTTGTGTTTGGTTCAATGGAAGATTCTCAAAGCGCTTGCTGTAAACTGATGCTGGCAGCTGATGTAGGTAAGTGGATATTTGGGTGAGAAGAGACAGTTTTCCGAAAGTGAAGAAAGAGGGGTAGCTTGACCTTTATGTTGCTCGAAGGCAACGGCGGCACAATCCTAATGAATGGCAGCAACACAATCTGGGGAAACAGAGTTCATCTCCAGCCCTTCCGATTCGTTCGTCCCGTCAAGTGTGTTTCAATCATCTGCAATGGGACTACATTTCTACTGCGCCAGCACCATCGAAATGAGGGGTAACCCACCACCTTCACGTTGAGTCACGACTCACGTTGCAACGGGAAAACATTCAGAAGAACTTTACTGAGCTGTTTCGGATGTCCGGTCGGAGGCCTGGTGAGCAGGAGGTAGTTGAATCACCATATCGTAAATTGATTGTCCGGCGCGCCATGCGTTCCGTCGGAGATACTCTGCTACCTAGGCTCTCCTCAATGTTGAGGAACAACCATGACTGCTCATTGTTAATGCTGTAATATTTCTCTCGTCTTTCTGACGAAAGATCCAAGGATCTTTGATCCACGGAATATCTCAGCCCCAAAGAAAATGGGGTTATCTTGCATTCACGCAGAAATGAACAAAAGGAGAAAGGCGTCTAGTGGTACTGATGAGGTACCGAAGTAAGTCTTGGTCTTTTGTGGTGTACATATTTAGACGCGACTGTAGCTCATTTTCAGACTTCTCAACTGCAGGACTTGGAATGAAGGATTGGCGAATCTGAAAAGGCTAGAATTGTGTCGTCTGGCCTAGGATATCAGAAGGCGAACGAGAATCTGAGGGATGGCGTGATCCATATAGAGATCATGGAAACATGACTCATGAGCATTGAGAACGATAGAATACTAATGCATTTAGTTAAGTGACAATCCATGAGCTTCGGAAGGAATGGGCAGGAGTGAACGTGGTTCGTCTAACCCTGATAAAATACAGTGCCTGTTAGGGTCAAATTTCTACGGAAGGCTTAACCCGAATCTACAATCTACTTTTCAGGTTAATGTGGAGGCGAGGACCCGGAACCAAGCACACGCCCCAAACACGATGGTAAGTCAGAATGATTCTGTAGTCATTTGTTATTGCTACATGAGCTCCCGTCATTCCAATCCAAGAATGAAGAGCTACGCGGTTAGGATGCGAGATAAGTATGGGATTATTGCTCAGGTATACCAAACAACATCAACCATGAGTATGTCGTCCTGACAGTAGGAATGCTGGTGAGGCAACAGAGGCAATCTGCGATACGAAGCAAGATTCGGTTCGCCAAGGCTACAAGTACCGAGGCAAAATAAAGCTTTGGAGGCCAGATGATAACATGGTGCTTTTTAAGGAATATGATTGGTGTAAGGTCTCTCAGATATTTCATATTTCTACTTCATTCACTAGTTATTCTGAATACCGATAATATTAAAGTTACGAGAGCAAATCAACACCTGATGCTCTCCGAAGCTGAGGTCACGAACATTTCCAAGCCATCACAGACGAATGGTCAGTTGATTCAATCATGTACTTGTATGATAAAGCTAATCTACAGTTTCAAAACATGTCCCTTCCTTCTGAAGACAGCGTACCACTCAGAGGTTGACACGCTCTTTGCAAGGATACGAACTCGATCATTTAAAGTTATCAAAGACTCTTAATGGTTCGACATACTTAGACTGCTTTCCCGCCTGGAACCCTGAATGCTCTCTACCCGGACAATAAGTTTGGCTTCAAAATTCTCCTGGACAGCAAGATCCGTTCTCACGCTGATTGTGACCCGCTAGTCTACAGCCTTCGAAAGTATGACTACTCAAGCATATCAAGAACGTTGAAGACCCCGCCCCCACTTAAAAAAAAGAATGATGTCACACAGCCTGAGGTTGTCAGCCGCGCGCAAGGATATTGCCACGCGACACCGCTTTTCTGAACGCGCGCCCGCACGTCGCTCCTGGATCCACAAGCGAAGCAGTATTTAGAAGCGCCTCGCGGCAGATTACCACATAGAAGAATCAAGCCACTTTCAACCTAATGAATTGTCCCCTAAGCGTGGTACAGATTCGTGGTAAATGAGCAATAAATCTCGTCCGTAGATTCTCAACCAACGCGTCATGGAACGCCGTGGAACGCAGCCCAGAAAGCTTCCATGGATATCTATGCTCAACTACTCTCCAGCTGTCAGCGCTTCACATCTTTTCTACCCAACATTTTGGTCTCTCCAAGATTCCAACCCTTATGTGGGAGATCTCAAAAGATATTTGGCTCTGTGGACCAGCTCTCATGTACTATTTGACACCTGTCTCACTGCAAAGCATGCAAAAGAACCTACCCCTCTTCGACAAGTATAGGCTTCCTTCAACATGACTGAGTGAGATTTAAGGTACATATGACAACACTTCTATCGTTGATGTGAAATTATATCAGATTTTGGGCTGATATTACGGTGAGCCTATGATTTCAGTGGGAAACAATGTCGTTATGATTTATAAGTACGATACACAGCCAGACAAAATACTCGATAGGACGCTAAGCATAACCTAAGCGTGCCAAATCAACTCCGATACGTCTTCTAGAGAGACTAGAAAAGAACATCAGCAAAGATATTAGAATGGAGTGTCGTGATCAGAGCCATAGTGGGTTGACTGACTTTTGATTTTCCTTTGCCGTTTCTGCATTTAGATAAGCGCCCTGACCTGGGCTATAGACTAGACAGAGCGTGGGAGGGCGAGCCGGACTTGAACAATCAATAGCCACGCATCGTTCACCAAACTACACAGTGCCTTTCGTGACGATTTACAGCTTGAATGATAACACAGGGTTTTAGGGAGCAGTCACCTCACTTAGCAGCCTACTAAGGCTCTAATCAGATAAGCCTGATCAGACTCTGAGGGGGGGATCCTGTGTTGCTCTGTAGGTTGTGTATGTGTACGCACCGCACCGCACCGCCAAAGTCCTGGTCACTCTATAATCTTTCAATATTAATAAATGTGATGGGGAGGAGAGAGCTTTATGCAGCTAAAGCAAGATGTATCTGAGAAATTATCAACAAACGATTAGTCCGTGAGTCTTTTGCCCGTTGCGGGTGCCGTTGATCTACGCTCCCCGGAAAGATTGGATGAGCGCTACATCGTTTGAGTGGTCTGTAGTCTAGGCAAAGTGCACAGCTTAGTGGCTGAGGCCTGCCGTACTTTGAGATGGTGATTCAAGTCCCATACAGTCTTCCAGAACATACTTAATTTGAAAATAGAAAATAAAGGTAATACTGATGGGAGCATAGTCTACATTGCCTATGCTGTTAGAGGCGTTCTGGATGCCGATTCATAGGAAAGAAGGAATACCAGTGTTGAGCGTCGTAGATAGAGTAGGACAGTAATATCTATCGGGACCCGATGACGGCTTTAAAAAGCGGAGATACAGGTCATCTACTGGCACGTCTGCTGCTGCATTAAGGAAAGCATTGTGGTGTGCGTTCCAAAAGATGCCGATGGGATGAAGCTTTATTTTATTACCCAGCTTTTACATAATTGGCTCGTCGGTCCAAAGTTCCAGTTCGTCTCTTGTTCCCCTTCAGACCGAAAGTGCCAAGACCAGTCTTTCCAAACTTTATCCGTAACGCTTACACACCTGCACATTGGTTCTCGAATTTCCATGCGGACTAGCGCAATTTCGACTTCCATGGTAAGGCATTTAGCCATCACTCTTTTTGATTAATAGGCGGGAATTCCAAAGTGCTATCCAGGATAATCCTAGCCCCACACGGAAAACGACTCGGTGACTAGCTTAGCGGGTGACTAGGGTTGCATTTCCGATAATGTCCTCGGCACAGTTATTAAAGACGCGCAAGTACCATCATGTCAGGTCTCGCCTTCTGGGTGCCCTGGATTTATTTTGAGAAATCGCTACCCGCTATGTTAAGTTTCGATAAGTTCTTTACGGCCTGGCTTGTGGCCGTGACGTCCATCAAGCCGGTGGCATCGACAATCCTCTACGCTGCCTCCTATGCTGGAACTGTCACATCTCTCGATCTTCAAGTCTCGGAAGCCGGAACCACTTTGAAAGCGATTGCCTCAACCACAGCGTGCGCGGCAAATCCTTCATGGCTCACTCTCGACCAGTCAAAGTCCCTCCTATACTGCGCAGACAGAGGCCTCACCAACCCCAATGGTACTCTTGTATCTTTTAAAAAAACAGGGAATGGAACCCTCCTGCCTCTAGGAAGTCTGTCGACCATCAAAGGAGGTGTCAGCTCAGTTGTGTATGGCAAAGATGGCGGACGTATTGCTCTGGCTTCTTAGTGAGTCCCACCCTGGACCCTTAGGACATTTCTCATGGCGTTCACCAGAGCAGTCGGGGCAATTAAAAGTCAGCAGTTCAACTGACTAATTGATTCCAGCCCGGCGTCTTCACTTGAGGTTTTTTCTGTCGAGGATCCCACTGAAATCAAGAGGCTGCAATCTTTCACGTACACTCTGAGCCAGCCCGGGCCGAAGCCGGCGCAGGATGCCCCGCATCCCCACGAAGCTATCCTTGACCCCACGGGGCAGTACGTGCTAGTGCCGGATTTGGGAGCCGATCTTGTGCGGATCTTTGCCGTTGACCAGGAGTCCTACCAACTGAAGCCCGTCACTCCTCTAAACGTGGCAGTAGGCAGTGGGCCCAGACATGCCAGTTTCCTTGTCACCAAAGAGAAAACCTTCTTCTTTGTTTTAGCTGAGCTCGGTAACACCGTTACCACTTATGAGGTCAAGTACGACTGCAACAAGACTTTGAGCTTTGAGGAAGTCTTTTCTGTTGGGACCCATGGGCCGGACAACATTGTTCCCGTCGGCGCCGCTGCGGCTGAGGTTCACGTTTCAGTAAGTACTCCGAGCGGGCTAAGCCAAGACCAGACTCTGATCAAGTTCGATTCCTCTTGTAATGGTTACTGACTTGGAACAGCCTGACTCTGAGTATCTCATTGTTTCTTCACGTAATGTCAGCCTTTTCAACATCCCCAACTTTGATCCCAACAACAGCACTGATATCCGGTCTGACGCCATCATCACCTTCAAAATCGACCAGCAGACCGGTCATCTCAACTTCACTCAGATCTTCCCCTCAGGTGGGATGATTCCGCGCCAATTCTCCATCAACAAGGCCGGCACTCAGCTTGCTGTTGGTCTCCAGCAGGATGGCCGTGCCGTCATTATTGATCGTGACGTGAGTACTGGTCTCTTGAAGAACTTCGCTGCCAGCATCTCAATCTCTGGCGAGGTTGTTTGCGTAATATTTGATGAATGATTCAAAGACACCTGGTTTGCTGAGGTTACTCTATTAAATGTAGAAAGTGTCCAAGCACCACACGTATGACAAAATCAGACCGCAGAGTAAAGTCAACAGTCGAAGATCAGCAGCCCCCCTGGGTAACTGAGTAGACTGAATTACAGATCGTAAAGACATTGCTATGTAAAAGAATGTCCCAATGTTTCTATTGCGGATGCAGTTATCAGCCTTCAGCTCTGCCAGCTCCGTGCCACCATCTTATTTCGGACAATGGGCGTTAAAGGGCCCATTTTCCCTCGGCTTTCATCTTTTCCTTGGCTTGCTTCCAATGACCAGCATCAAACTTCCACACCCAGACATCTTGATTGGCATCATAGCTTGCCTTGTGCCTCCCCTCAAAATCGGCCAGTCCCATCGCTCGCATGAGTGCTCGCCACGGGTCGTTATCGTTTCCCGTCTCGGTTCTAAAGAGTTCACAACCGAACTCAATCCAAGCATATTCCACCAACGCACTAACCAGCTCCATGCCGTAGCCCTTTCGCCAGTATCTGTAATCAATGATGGCTCCAATGTCCGTCATATACTTTTTGCCTGGTGACAAAGTTGTGTCTGTGAGAAATTCGGCGGGATCTTGGGACTCGAACGTGTTGTAGCTTCCATGTCCTATGACCTGGTTCGTATCGCGGAGAACGACAACCATGAAGGCATTCTTTCCTTTAGCTGTAAACTCGGCGAACCTGCCGATGCGGGTACGAAGTTTTTCGATTGTAAGATCTTTTTCAGGTTCTTCGAAAGGGAAGTTTTTGGGGTTCGTCATAAGGTCGTAGAAATCCGTTGCATCAGAATCCGTTGCGGTTCGCACAATGAGTCTTGGTGATTTGATCTCGTATGCGGAGCGGGCAAACCGAGACGATGCCATTGTAGCCAGACTGCTGGGGGTGAGATTGACCAAGCCTCAGCTGTCGTAACGCGGATAGGGCTAGGGAAGACAGTCTTATTGCAAGAAGGTATGAACACGAGACCGCCCTCTTCCAAAGGCTTTCTTTAAAATCTGATTCATTGCAATTTTTGCATGGTTGCTACTGCCTCATAACCCCGCATTCATTTATGCATACCTATGTTGGTTCTGAATTTCTAGAGCGGCCATGCGCTATCAACCTAATCACCTTCCTGTTCTGGTGATGACTCAGGCATCACCCGCGAGCAATCATCCTATTTTTTGGGCTGACGATGACTCACAGAAGATAGAATAACCAGGTGCTTCCATCTGTCAAGGGGTCCGTCTCTGAAAAGCCGTGGCCTCTCTACTTGAGTCGGGAGCTTGCCGAGTGGTTCAGCTGTGGTCGGATAAATTCGGCCTCCAGGTGCCAGCCAAAGACTCAATATGAAGGAGATAGTAGCTAACGAGCATTGGTCTGAGCACCAGTTGTTTGCGTCATCATGCTGCTGGTTCAACGGAGCTGGACTCCGCACGATGTTTGTGACCATTGCCGAAGCCTGGGGAAACGTCAGTCTTGTACGTTGGGGACGGTCAATTCGACACCTCAAGCTTTGCAAAACACTACCGGTACCTTGACGTTTTGACCTGGCTTGCACAGAACAGTGGCCGCCGATCAATCCCGCCACATCTGCGCGGCTTTACGCAGGTCCGGTGCAACCCTGCAGACCAAGCGCAAGATCGACAGGCACAGTCAACAACCGGAAACGCAGGTATTCCATTTGAGACACAACTTGGTGGCTATGCGATGGACACCATCGCCTTCGCTCACATTATTGTCCGTGATTCAAAGCGATAAGGTGAAAGCTGACAACTCAGATCAACATTTATGCGAGTCAGCTGGCCTTTTTGGATAGTATAATGTTAATTCAACAGTGGGGTTCACGGGATCCCCAGACTGCAAACCCATGCTCGAATTGAAAGAAGTGCTATTTGACATCCTGACTCCCTACCCGTTGCGAGTCATATTGGCAAGATACACTCATGAGGGCTGACCCCGTTAGAGATTGGATGATCACTGTTTGCTTCTTCTACGCGTGCCCTCAGCTCGAAAGACTTTCCAATAAACACAAAAGCCTATTTTTCAACACATGCTATTGATTGCTGTCAGTTCCATTTACTGCGCAGCTGTACCTTGCGAGTCCCAATTTGCGCCGCCGCTTAAGACTTCGATTATTTTGACTTCTTCATCAAACATTGCATACCCCAACAATGTCGACATGTAATAAAATACACCAATATGCCCAAATAGAAAACGAGGCTGAAGGCATCGAGGAGACGCCGGCAAGAAAAACGTGGCTACGGCATTGGTGGCAGCGGGGAAGAATTCATCTGTTCTATGCGATCCTCCTCATCTTGGTAGCCACCATCAGCAGACATGCCTCCCCGAGCAAAGTGCAACGCGAATGCTATGGAGACGAACCGGTGAAGACGGAACTTCGGTGTGAGTCGAAAACAACTCGACTTGTTGCCAAGCGAAATTGAATGACATCGCTAATGCCTCATAAGTATCCACCGTACGGAAAACATTCGAATTGGACTTGAAGTATGCCATGCCTCCATCTCCGGAAGTCAATGAAGCATGGACATCTCTCATTCCCAAAGAGGGTGGATTTTTCAAACATCCTCAGTTGGCGCCCCAGAAAAGCTGTTTAGCCGTCTTCCACCAACTTCACTGCCTCAACATGATCCGCCAGGCTCTTTACGAGACGCGGCCCGATATGATAGAGCAAGCTTACAACGGCTCTAGCCCAGCGAATCCTCACCCGGATCATGGAAATACGCATGACCACAACCATTCTCACGATATGTACCATATCGGCCACTGCTTTGATCTCGTTCGTCAGTCGATGACATGCAAACCTGATCTGACGATCGAGGTGGGAGATCCTGCGCTTGGCGGCGTGACAGGATTTGGTACAGAACATCAGTGTATCAACTGGCAACAGTTGATGGATTGGATGAGGGACAACGAATGATATTCATCCTGTTAATTCACGGTTATGATACACATCTACATGGCGTACATTGAACTGCATGCCTCAAAGTGACCAGTGGGTAGTCTGGGCCGCCGGGGGACGTAACCGTCGATGGTGAAGACAAGCCTGCCTCGGCAGGATCTGGGAGGTTCGCTGGCAGTGGACTCCGGTCAAGCCGGCTCTACTGCCTGTTCTAAGTCGAGAAGTATGGCTTGTATGCGTCAATTTGAACTGGAATCCAATTCTTTAATAGGTTCTATTAGGCCTGAAGCTTAGTGATAGCCGGTCGATTTGATTGATGGTAATCAAGCTGTTATAACACCTGGAGAAAAGTTTGAAATAAACTTACGGCTAGTCATAGATGGTTGAAATATGCTCACGGAAACCACGGCAACTCAGACAATCTAATTTTCTTTCAGCTTGCGCATCACCAAAAAACAAAGACAAGGTTCCGTCCCTGTGATCTCTTCCCCGGATAATCGCGGAATTGCGGCCACAGTACTTTCTGCTCTGAGCAGGGCAAGAAAATGCCCATCGAAGCCAAGACGTTGCGATCCATTGCGTCGGGAACGGACAACATAATTAAGCTGCATCCGATCTGCCTTGGCAAGCCGGCTTCTCTGTTCGTCCCATGTTCTCGAAGGCTTATTGTTATGTCTACAGTTGGTCTGTTTCATCGAAAGCATGGGAGACAGAGCCATTGCCATATCCCGCTTGGTCAATTACGTTGAGCCCCTATGAGGTCCTTTGGCACAAGGTTTGATTAACTTTCGTATGGGATTTAAAGTTTCATTAATCATGCATGTCTCTGAACTTCGCGTCTTTCGGTTGGCTCGGATGTTTAACAGAGCTACTGGGATTGTAGTCTGCTATCCGCTTGAATTCCCTAGACTGTCAACCAATCGCAACAACTCGCAGCGAATGTGGCCTACTAAGCTGTTTCGGTCAGGAAGGTTTGGCATCAATGGGACACTACATCAATCGTCCTGAATTTCGGTGAGGATGAGTAGCGTACCAAAAACTTTTTCTAAACAATTTGCCTCTCAGCAATAACCAGTCTAGACATTTCGGTGCTACCGATAAATAAGTTACAGGAATGCCCCATGCAGCACTCAGCAAGCTGATTCCCCCTTCTTTTCCGTACTACTTAAGCTTCTCGCTTTGAGTAGGAGAAACTGAAATAGATGACTGTGGAACTTTTGTTTTGATCAGCGTTGCATTGGGGTAATCCGGCAGCAAGTCGATGAGCGATGGGAGGAACCAGGCCGTGTTGCTTCAAATTCGGCCCAGGCATTTTATCAATAGCAATGTTCCTTTAGCTTTGCCAGTTGGATTTATCAGCAGCAACTTTGTTCTTCCCGAATCGCTAGACATAGAGAACAATGAGGCCCAATATGTCGTTCCGTCATTTGCTGCTGGCTCTGCTGCCATGCACCGTCCTGGCCAGTTGGCGAGTTGACGGCCATAACTCAATCAAGAAGATTTTGGAGGAGAAACACAGCCAGTCCCGGCGCAGTGTCTATCGCCGCCAGAGCACCGGCAACTATCAACACTTGAACGACAAGACCGAAAGTACTACTAACCTTTGTTTTTTGCTTTTCAACCGCTTACCATGTTACAGAGTACCTCGTCAACGGGACATCGATTCCGTTGGTTGACTGGGACCTTGGAGAGTCTTATGCTGGTTTGATGCCCATCTCGAAAGAGTCAAACGAGACACGCAAGTTGTTCTTCTGGTACTTCCCTACCACTAACGAGAAAGCCTCCGACGAAGTGGCTATCTGGTCAGACCTCATTGCGACGTTCCCATTCGAGTCCATAGCTAAGTATGTCTCAGGTTAAACGGAGGCCCGGGATGCAGTTCTTTCATTGGCCTTATTCAGGAGAATGGCCCCTTTACTTGGTTTCCTTCTGCCTACCGCCCCGTCTACAACATCTTCAGTTGGTCTCAGCTATCCAACGTTCTTTGGGTTGATCAGCCTGCTGGCACCGGCTTTTCCGTCGGCTCCCCAAACGCCGACACTGAAGAAGCGATTGCTCAGCAGTTCCTAGGCTTTTACGACAACTGGATGGACACTTTCGGGACCAAGGGACGCAAGACATTTCTCACCGGCGAGAGTTACGCCGGCCACTATATCCCCTACATTGGCGACGCCATGATCAAGTCCACACAGTCCGCCGACTACAACCTCTCTGGCGCTTTGATGTTTAGCCCTTACATCAGGACTGCGCCAGACAACTTCCAGCAGAACGCAGTCAGCTTACCGTTCGTGGACGAATACAACAACGTCATGGGGTTGTACCCCGGCGTTGGAGACTACTACGACCGCATCAAAACCGCCGACGAGGAATGCGGCTTTGCTGAGCTGCGCGAGAAGCACTTCAAGTTCCCCCCTTCAGGCCCCTTCCCCGCCGGAAACGAAAGCGATGCGTGCTTTGTCTCTGACATTGTCTACGAGGGTCTCTCATATGTTAGCCCCTGCTCCAATGTTTACCACATCTCTCAGGGCTGCCCCAACCCTTCGGACCCCCTCATATGGGCCCAGGACGGCGACAACGCCAGTGTTCCCGTCAGTTTCGATAAGAAGACCTGGCACGGGTATCTGAACCTCCCCGAGATGCGCAAGGCCCTCCACATCCCCACGGATCAGAAAGACTGGCAAGAGTGCACTAACGACAATCCTTTCGGGCCCAACGGCGACCAGAGCGCGGATCCTTTCGCCTCAGGCGCCCTTTCGCGCGTGATTGAGCACACGAACAACTTCATCATTGGCAGCGGCAGCCTTGACTACCGCGTCCCGACGAACGGTACTCTACTTGTGCTGCAGAACATGACCTGGAACGGACACCAGGGTTTCGACGAGTTCCCCTCCAAAACGTTCTTCCTTCCTACGGCGTGGAGTGATTTGTCTTCCCAGAGCGCTGCAGGAAAGATTGGTGACTGGGTCGAACAAAGAGGGTTAACTTTTGCTCGCGTCTTCCTTGCCGGACATGGTAAGTCATTTGTGTTTACATGGAGTATACTTTGCTGCAGGAACAAGCTGACCGCGGTGGTATAGAACTTCCCAGGTACGCTCAGGGAGGAGGTTATCGTCTCTTGGAGCGCCTTCTCAACCGCATCCCTGACTTGACCAGCGATGTCTTCTTTTCCGCCCTCCCGGGTGACTTCACGAACCCCAACGAGACTCATCACTCTACGTCCCACTGACAGACATGAAAATCGGAGGGGTGGTTGTATTTTCTCTTCTTCGTACCAACTATGTCTGCATATTCTAGCTATATCTGTATTATCCATGTGGTCGTAATAATTATTTGCCCAAAAACTACTTTAGATGAGTTGACAAAATCTCTCGCTCATGGAAGGCGTGCACATCGGACTCTAGCTTATGCGAATAGTTGTGGCTGTTTTCACAACATGTTCACATATTCATTTTATTGTCCAGGTGCGGTAATCCTTAGATGAAGGATGTGTTTGATAAACATACTGGCCAAAGTTATTATGCAAAGAAACGATCCTTAATGTTGCGATTCAGTTTCTGGTACGTTGTGAAAGGAAGACCCAATGATGCAGAGTAGGCTATGCCTCCTTTCTTGATCGACGCAATCATTCTCCCAGAAATTCGGACGGGGCTCACATGGACACTGCATTGCCATCCCGGAACTCCGTTCTGCACGATGCGCGGGACATCCAGTTGTCTGATCAGACGAGGACTGACCTAACGGTCGCAGACTCTTCACTGCTACGCTTAGGATCCCCCTTTGATCCGTTCGGCGTCCGAAGCCGAAGTCAAGACTTGTCTCGCAAACAGAAACATCTGGTGGGCAATACAACCTGAAGACCATCAAGTTTTGAGGTCGGCGAAGCAGAATAACACATATGTCCACCTCTTTGTGCTAAAGAACGAGATGACAATTTTGGCGCTCCGGCGCGGCGAAGATTATAGCACTCGATGCATAACTGATGTTCTGCTCAGATGTGGTCATCAACTTGTAGCGACAGACAGACAGCTCATTAGAAGAAAAACCACAAAACTCATAGCGCCTTCCGCCCAAGGCCGAAGTCTTCAGACTATATACAATTCATCGCAAGTACCTTTGATTTTTCTGTGATCCTCGTCAGCTCCTCCGTTGTCAAACTCGTGGTCGCCGCACGCCGTCTCCACGAACCCTACCCGCCACCCCACCACCTTCTCTCCTCCTCAGCTTCCTCGGGTCCCGACATCTCAACCTTCGTAATCGACCTCTCAAGTTTCGAGACCCTCACCACGGGCTTGGAAACTCTATTGGATAGAGCCACCAACAACGGTGTTTCCGAGATAGACCACATAGTCTACACAGCAGACGCATCCTCCGCAATGCCACCCCTCTCCCAAATCACCCCCACCCCCATCACCCTCACCCCCATCACCTCCGCCCTCGCCCTCCGCGCCTATTCTCCCCTCTTTCTCGCATTCCTACTAATATCCACCTCCTACAAGCACCTCCCCTCCTCTCCAGACTCTTCGATAACATTCACAATCGGCTCGAGCTCCCACCGCGGGCGCAATGGAGGGCCTCGTGAGGGGCCTAGCATGCGACCTCGCGCCGTTGCGTGTGAACCTAGTCTCCATGGGTCCCGTGACTAAGGAGCTGGGCAGGCCCGAGGTTGTGGCGGAGGCGTATTTGTGTCTCTTCAAGGATGGGTTCATTACTGGGTTAACCATACTCATCGAGTGTGGACAGATTCTGTCTTCTGGATGAGGTTGTATGTAGCAATGGACTAGTTAAGCACCAAAACATCATCGGCACTTTGGCAGTGCGAACTGGAAAAACGCCATTGATGAATCTTTGTTTCTGATGCTCTGCTCACGAATGCCTAGTTATATACATTTTTTGCCGTCCCAAAACTCCAAGCTGTAAGTGCCCGCCTAAGCTCATAACTGAGCACGATGCTATGTCGGTCCACGCGCATTTTTCATCTCTCAACTTCTGCACTTATGCATTCTGCACTTATGCAGAACGGGCTAACTGATACAATGCTCAGAGTATCGATATCACCGGTCTCGTTGAAACCGCCAAGGTGAAACAGCCATGGCATATCAGTTAAGAACCGAACTGGCTTCCCTCACTAGCTAGTGTGAGTTCCTCGACCAATCCCCATGGTTCTCTGTCAGAACCCGGTTGGCGGTATCCAACTAGCTCAAGGGAAAGCGGAGACTCCCTCCCCCACGAGCCAAGCTCCTCGTAAAAAGGATCGTCGTGGCGCCGCCTTTGCTTTGACCGCATGTCGCTTGCCTCGAACTACGGGATGCAGAAGTCGACCCAGCTGCCCAGATAATCAAGGCGGTTCCCGGCGCTCTCCTGGCTCTTGTAAATTTCCTCAAACTCTTCAAAGCTGAGCTTGCCCCAGCCGCCGCGGTCGGCGGCCTCCTTCTCTGCCAGGTCAAGCCGCTTCCATTCCAGGAGTGTAAAGTGCGGGATGGTCTTGGGCGAGTCATTTGAAGACTGAACAGACTTCTTCTTCGTCGCCGACCTGGGGCCATTCTTCGATGAAGACGAATAAGAGGAGGGCGGCGTGCTGTCTGACGAGATAGGCAGGGCCGTGGCCTCGCTGTTGGGGCGGAATTGAGGCATGGTAGGGTCACGGTATTCGACCTCAACCACGTCCGTATCTTCCGTGTCTTCTGTGTCTTCCTCGTTCGCCTCATCCTCCTTTTCGTCATCACCCGCCTTGTCCTGCTCATCGTCATCGTCAAGGACCTCTTCGATCCTCTGTCTGTTTCCAGCATTGGTTTCATCGATTCTTTGCCCAGACTCATCAATTCTCTGCCCAGACTCATCAATCCTATGTCCGGACTCGTCAACTCGGTAGCCACTCGTCAACAAGAGTTCTTCCAGAGATCGTTCGGCAATTGGCTTATCCTCGTCGATGGCCTTTCTAGGCTGCCGAGGCTCGACAATCTTGGGTTTAGGCTGATCAACAGTGAGGTGCTCAAACAGAGCCCGGTGCTTGTCCCGCTTGGTCTTTGTCGCAGCCGCCTTCACGGCCAGATCCTCCTTATCTTTGAAGATGGCGTCGAGAAGTTCGTTGAAGGCCTGCTGCGTGACCTGGTAGAGAATCTCTTTGCCAGCGTCACGCTCCTCGTCAGGGATCTCCAAGCCACCCCAGCGCTCGGGCACGCTTCTAGAGGACGTCGAGGGGTTGGATCTGATTTCGTATTCGTCCATGTCCTCTGCAAAGCGGACCTTTGACGATGATCTGGACCGCGGGGACAAGGCCTGTTGCTGTGCTGCTTTGGAACTCTCTGCAACGCCATTGAGGTTGAGCAGGACATCATCGTCGGAGTGCCAACCATCAGGGGCAAGGCCACCTTCCTCCTCGTCGAGGTAGAATTGTCGCCTCTTCCATCTGTCATGCAGTTGTTTTCTGGCAGCTTGCCGCCGTCTCCGCTCGATATCGGGGGCCATTTGCCTCTTGTGGTTGATGACTTGGGCCCTGAGTTGGCTCTCGGTGGGGATTGTGGTTGTAAAATGATCGGAATCGACTCTCTGGTTCTGGCTTTCGGCCCCGTTGGCCTGTGCTGAACCGCCGCCAGTCTGGCTTCTGTTTTCGGCGTCCGAGTTGTTGTTCGCTGCCTCTTCCCCATCGGAACTGCCGAGCTCAAGATCAAAATCAAAGTCGATCTCGTTGCGCTCGCGACGTTGTCCCGTGAGCAAGTCGGGCAGGTCATCGATGCTCGTGGGCGGGTTAAGCAGAGCATCCCAGTACGGGGTATCCGGCTCGCTGTCCGGAGACCGCATCTGAACAGACCACGGGCTGCCGATGTAGGGCGCAAACAGCCTCGTCAGCACGTCTTCCCTCCCTGACGTATCACCCCTGTCTTCACTCACGACACCGTTGCTGCCCGGCTCGAGTTCCACGTCGCCGTTGGGGTGGAAGATCTTGCCTTCGCTGCGGTGATTAGCATGAGCGCGGGGCACCCTACCCTCTCGCCCAAAGAGGCTGCTCAGCGGTTGTCTACTAGCTACCAGCTGCTGCGCTTCCGTGCTTCCCATCAGCTGGTCGTCGAGCCCGTCGAGAATATCGCGGTGCATTTGCTTATAGAGGACGTAGTATGCACGGAACATGCGCAAGAAGTCGCGGCGGTTAACGAAACCGTCCCCGTCAATGTCGTAGCCTTCAAAGATCTTACGCAGCTTGTCCTTGCGCTTGCGGTACGCCAGCCCGTGCAGGAACTCGGTGAAACCGATCAGGTCGTCGTTGTTGGTGTCGTAAAAGGAGAACATGCGGTCGTGGATGAGGTTCGGCGTCGCGTGTCGCGAACCGCCAGAGGGAACCAGGCACCGCTCAAATGTCTTTTTGTCCATGGCCAGCTGCAGCTCGTCGGGGTCCTCGCGCCACTCCGTGTTGGCCATGAAGGTGAACTGCTCCCAGAAGGCCTCAATCTCAGGTCTCTCGAAGCCGGTCTCCTTGCTGAGCCTTGCCATCAAGCTACGATTCAAGTTTCTATAGCAAGTATCCGGATCGCCAGTGTACCAGACGGGCTGCATCTGCCGGGGACCGAAGGGCGGAGCGGGAACTTTGATTTTGTAAAAGATGTGCGTCTTGATGTGTACGCCTTGAGATTCGCACGTCTCGCAGAGGTCGAAGTCGGCACAGTTGGCGCAGCGGTATCGAACACCACGTATCGGGACCATGCCACAGGCATTACAGGCGCAGCCTCTGTGTACGCACGCATTCCGACGAGCGTTGTCCTCCGAGACCCTAAACAAAAGGCTGACGATGTTGTGTCCGGCTCGCGCCTGCGGCTGCATGCTGTTGGGATCGTTCCACCACTCGTCAACAGTGCCGCCATCCACTATAGTGTCGCCGTCATTCAGCGGCCGCATGGCGTCAAGGTCGAGGTTCTCGTCTCCGTGGGAGCCTTCGGAGGAGATCGAGTTGCGGCGCGATCGTCTGTGGGTGCGGCGGACGGCGTTGCTGCGGTGCAGCCCGGGGCCGGGGACATCTTCGTGTTGGTCTCTACTGGTTTGATAGGTGTAGTAGCCGAAGGATGCCGCTGCGACAGCAGAGAAGACGACGACAGCGAGGCGAGGCCGTGTCAGGCTGTCGGTTGATGGCAGCGGGAGCCACATGATGGAGCCTAGATGTAGCTATACGTGAAGCATGTTGAGAGTAATAGCCCGGTTCGCATCCGCGGATTCGATGCTTCTCGGTTTTGGAGCTACTGAGGTATTTGGAGGATTGGATATTGCGGGTGTCAAGGACTGGGTCGAGAAGTTGGCGATGATTATCCAACAAACGGAACAGCCACGAACAGCGTAACAGTTGCGCCAGCTCCGGGTTCTGCCAGCTTGACAGCTTTGAGAAGAAGGCGGTCTAGTGTGTTGAATTGGGCCCCGATCAGTCAGCAGGCGTCCGAGCTCCCGATGATGTGCATACCTAGAGGCCGAGGAGGTACGTACCGTGCGTGCATGGCGTTCCGCTCAAAGTCGAAAATTAGGAGCTCACGTTGCAACCACCCGAGGTCTAGTCAACTGGATAGGCTTTGAAAAAGAACAACACAAACCCGAGAGCCACAAACGACTTTACATGAAAAAATCAAAAAGCAATGCAGTCCCGCACCATCTGATGTGCTCGCGCCCATGTAGGCTGCCGTCACCCGAAAGAGGTTGACATGCAGCTTCCTTGCGCAGGCCCGAGAAGCTCTCCTAGGTAGACACGGACTCGTACGGCGACTCAGAACTCTCCCCTGATGCCGAGGCACGAGACGTCGAGGTGGGACCAAACGGTCACAAGAGTGCTATGCGTATACTTCCATCGACACCGACCCGTCTCATTCGTGTCCGTATCTCGATAACCAACGTCGTCGCCAGTCGACGTCACTGTCATGTTTCCTCAGCTTGCGTCCCACAATCCCCATGATCGCACCTAGGGTCCCTTTTGGACCGTGTCTCTTCAATTGAACAAACTGATCCGATTGCACGGTCTGAAGACGCTAGACCTGCACTCGTTATCGAAAACGCTTGTTGCTTTTTCCCCGTGTCGCATCCCGCCTGGGGCCCGGGCGACCCAGCTTCCTTTCTCTGCCCCAGACTCGTAGCCTCAAAACCCATCTGTAACATCTCTTTCATCGCCACCGACGGCTCAAGTTCTTCCAAGCCAACCCCAAGATCTCCAATGTGAACCGTGTCACCGGCTGGGCAGTAACACTATCTCAACCCGCCATCATCCCAAGATCTGCCAACTTATCCTATCAAATAACCCCGGCGGCTTGTGGTGATAGACGCACGCAGTCATGGCCACCAAGTAAATCTCACTCATCCGCTCATTGCTACTTGGCCCGACCCCACTAACAACGTGCTCAGAACCCCAGTCTTCCCGACGGCGGAAGAGACTATGAATCACCCTTCCTATCCCTCGACGATATGGAACCTCGAACCCGACCGCAAGGGGAAACACACCGTCGCCGAAGGGCGCGGCGGGCCCTTCAAGATTGCCTGGGAAATCCACGGGCACGGCCCCTCAAAGATTATTGTAACCTTCCGCCTCATATCACCTGTAGCATGAGAGCATTTGTATGACTAACACCCGAAAAAGTTCATCATGGGCCTCGCCGGCCTCAAGACCTCGTGGCAGCGCCAGACAAAGTACTTTGGCCACGACAACGCCTCCCGCTACTCCGTCCTCATCCTCGACAACCGCGGCATGGGCGAGTCTGACGTGCCCTACTGCCGGTACACGACGTCCTCCATGGCCCACGACGCCCTCGAGGTCCTCACCCACGTCGGCTGGACCGCCTCGCGCAGCGTCCACCTCGTCGGCATCTCCATGGGCGGCATGATCTCCCAGGAGCTCGCCTTCGCCTCGCCGTCCCTGTTCGCGTCCGTCAGCTTCCTCTGCACGGCGCCCTGGATCGAGAACACCAAGCCCTTTGTCGAGAACCTCAAGGACAGGGCGTCGATGCTGATCCCCAAGAGCGCCGACCGCAGCATCGCCGACACGGCGCTGAAGCTCTTCCCCGCCGACTGGCTCGTTATGCCCGACGAGGCGGCCGAGCTGCCCAACGACGCGACGCCGCGGTGCGGTCCCGCCGACGGCGGGCAGGGGTACGGCCGGTTCGACAGTAACTACCAGAGGTTCCAGGCGCAGGAGCTCGTGAAGCGCCACACGCCGGGCCTGTTCACCATCCGCGGCTTCTTGCAGCAGCTCGTTGCGGCAGGGTGGCACCACAAGTCGCCCGCGCAGCTGCGGCAGCTCGGGGACGCGGTGGGAAGAGAGCGCATCGCCGTCATCCACGGCACGGCTGACATCATGATTGACGTGCACCACGGGAGGTTGCTGGCGAAGCACCTGGAGCCTGGGGTTGTGGAGATCGTGGAGGGGATGGGGCATGCACCCGTCATGGATAGGGTTCCGTGGTTCAACAAGTGGTTAGAGGAACGCATCGCCACGGTGGAAAAGTTGAATCAGTAGATTAGTGAATCGGGTCTGCTGGGCAGGAAGCCAGAGGCAAGGAGGCACCGTGCACTGGGACACACCCGATAGTTATAGGTCGTGATGGTTTGATTCATTTACAGTGATACCTCTCACATTCATCCCCCCCCAACGCCGGTATGCATGCAGCGTCATGGTACCCTCCATTTCGGGCGTACCCTCTCAGAGCTTTTGCTGGTGTCCTCATGCGCCTCGCCCGGCTTACAACATTACCAAACCGATACCGCTCAGGTTCTCCTCGTCGAGCTTGTTTCTCCTGTCCACGCCGCCCGCGATGGGGGCTGCGCGGTAGTTGAACAGGTAGTAGTGCAGCTGGCCGTCGCCCGGGCCGAACTTCTGCTGCTCCAGGAACAGGCCGTTGTCAAGCAGGGACAGGCCGTTGAAGACGTCAAACTTGTACTTCTTGCCCATGATGAGGGCGTCGTTGATCAACGAGTTCAACCGTGTCTTGAGCGCCTCCTTGCTGAAAGGCGTGGCGAAGGCGACGTCCGAGGCGTAGTACCAGAGGTAGGCGGCGCGGACGACCTGGTGCTTTGAGCTGTTGATGACGGTGGACTCGAGGCAGTAGAAGGAGAACATGTCGGTGATCTTGCCGTTGGTCTGTCATCTATCAGTAACTGTCGCGAAAAGCAGGCGGATAAAAAAACAAACCTCGATGACATAGGTCCAGATGACCTGCTCGCCAGGTGCGTTCTTGTCATGGAGGAACCAGTGCCTGAATTCGTCCTTGGAGAACTCGGGCGCCATGTCGAAGCGCTTCAGGTACTTTGTCAGCAGCTCGCATGCGGCGTCGATGTCCTTCTCCTGGAGCTCGCGCAGGCCCTTGGTCGACGTGGCGTCCGGGAGCTGATACTTGCGGATCTGGTACTGCGGCTTGCTGTTGGGCGGCAGCGGGCTGAAGCCGACCTCGTACAGCTTCTGCCAGTTGAGGGCGCGGTGAAAGTAGCGGCACGTGCTGACGGGCTTGGGCAAGACGACACCGCCCGTGTAAAGACCTTGCCAGATCTCGCGCAGGTTGCTGCGGCGCGTGATCTCCTTGATGAGAACGGGCGCAAGGCGCTTGCCGCGCAACTTCTTGTGGACGACCATAAAGTTGACCTCGGAGCAGGTGACGACGTTCTTGCGCACGCGTAGGTTGACGGGGATGGCCGAGATGAAGGCAACGAGCTTCCTAGACTGCGATGCGCGCACACCGACGTGCCACTCCTTGCGCCAGCCGGGAGCCATGAGTGCCCTGGTAAATGGTTAGCTCGGGTTCGGGACCTCTTGATAGTTGTGAATTCCTCACCATCGGAGCATGGCTGGAGAGTAGTTGAAGCGGAACATGGCCTCGTCGTCCTCGACGTAGTGTCCGTTCAGCAGCTCGTAGACCTCCTTCATCTCGCCGTCGTCCTCGAGGTTCATGGTAACCCACTCGAAGCCAGTCACCATGGGTGATGGCTCAGTAGGCACCTCCTCCACCTTTTGAATACGGATCGGGCCGTCCTCGATCTTCTGCTCTGACTCGCCGAACTTGGGCACGGGTTGTGTCGCCCAGAACTTGTAGCTCGCCATGTCCTTGGCGTTCTTGCCGGCCGACGCGAGGCCGGTCATGATGTCCTGCAGGTTCAGCTTCTGCATCGCTGCGGCGGTCTCCTCGGCCGACTTGTTGCTGGAGCTGCCGACGCCGAGCTCGTTTGCGAGGGCCGGGTTCAGGGCGAGGAGCTCGGTGAGCTGCTGAGGCGTCAGGCCACCGATGGCGTCCTTGACGATTTGCTCGGGGTCGCTCGGCTTGCCAGTGAGGGCCTCCTTGATCTTCTTTCTCTTGGACTTCTTCTTCTTCTTCTTTGCGCTGGCAGCAGACGCGCCGGGCGCCGTCTCCTCGGGCGCATCCTCTCCGTCTTCGTCTTCCGATTCGACCTCGGGTTCCTTGCCCTTGCCCTTGTCGGTCGCCTCGGCGAGGGCGTCGTTGGCCTCCTTGACGGCCGGGTCGAGGGGTTTGGACTCTTCGGCGGGCATCTTTTCGCAGATTCGACGAGTGCGTTACCGCAATCGGTGTTGGAGAAGCAGGTTCTTTGTTGTGGTGGGAGCTTTCGGAGCTCTGGTCAAGCTTGGAGGTGGGAATGGCGGGGAAGAAGTTTTGGCGCACGAGAGGACAGTTTCATGTGCCCGGGCAGGTTCCAGCTGTGTGACTGCATCATGGCGGGGTCGCTGGCTAGGGACCTTGGTGTCTGCGGGGCACTATATGCTAATTAGTGGCCGTTCCATTCCCTTAAGCACCCCTGCCCCGCGTAGGAGCGCGCCCGCCAGCAATTTACCTGTCGATCACGAGAAACAAACTGCTCCAACCAACGATGAAGAGAAATTGTGAGCTTTTCCAAGCTTGTTGTCAGTTGTCGCATCCCAAATTGTGCCGTCTGGGGGAAGCATCTTTTGTGCAACCGAGAAAATGAGCGCTGACCGAATGTCATAGATAGCAGAATTGACGACCAACGTATACGGATGTGAATTCGGCGGTGTAGCAATTTGAAGGGAACGAATCTCTGTATCGTAAAACACTCTCAATCGGAGCAAGTGATACCCATATGTTTACATCAACGGGACCATCATATGACTTCTGCACAAAGCGACCTCGTCCAAGGCCTCGATGGTGAGCCGACAGCCCGATGAGCTGAATAAAGACGCCATTGGTCGAATTCGAAGAGCAATCCGGATTTCATCTGCAGACTGATTACAAGATAACATTGGTGAAAGCCAATCCAGAATACAATCGCCACGAGACGCTCCAACTTCAGAACCAATCAACTTTGATAGCCAATACTAGGTAAGCAGTGACAAGAGAATAATAACTCTATATAAGCACGCTAGGTCGTTCCAGCATTTATCCCGCATTCATCACATTACACACTCCAAACTGGGCATCTCCGAGGTTCTACACCGACTCCGCTCTAATGCTAGTGCTCTTGATTCTATACGAATGCCAACGCCGGGACCAAGACAAGACAAAACGTCTACAACGTTCTGCTGGTGTCAGAACTAGCTGTATCATAAGCAGTTCCCCCAAGGTCAAAAGAGCGCATGACGGCTAGAATCACAGGGGCATATCCCATGATATCGTTGTGTCCTATCTCAGTTAGGTGAGTCTGAGCTAAATGCCAATACGGGGGACTCACCACCGTAAGGGAACATCTCCTGGCGGATGATCACATTGGGCTCCGCGTTCCATGTCGTCACAAAGGCATTCTTGCCCTTGTGTATCGTCCGTACCTCCTTCCACGCCTCGAACGAGTGGTCGTCGAGCCCGCCAGGAACTGTCGCGTTGGCAGCGGAACGAAAGAGCTTGCTGCTCTCAGTGCAGGGGATGTCGGCGTCGTCCTTGGCCGAGATCAACGTCAGGCGAAGCCGCCTCTTGGTTAGCTTGACCAAGCTCTCCAGGCGGTCCGCCGAGGGCCACTTGTCGTATATGAAGGTCTCCATGTACTCCAGGAAGCCGGGCCAAACCTTCAGAGGCCCCAGGACGGGAAATAGGCCACCGATGCGGTAGCCGCTCAGCATCTTGGGCAGATTGCTAAAGCCAGCCACGAGGATGATGCCGCCAAACTCGATACCCTGAGATGCGTACAGCTCGGCGACACCGCTTGCCACGGCTGTGCCAAGACTCTGACCTAGGAGAACGATGCGGTCGGAGGGCACGCCGGCTGTGTTAATGACCCAATCGATGAGGGTGGCGGCATCTTGGATGAGGCCATCCTCGGACGGGGTACCAGTCGAGTGACCAAAGCCACGGTAGTCGATAGTCAGGACGTGATATGATGAAGTGTCAGTGATAACGTGGTAGCTGCCTGGTCGGTGGTTCTGGGCGACGTCTCCTGCGTTCTAGGACCAGTCAGTTTTTGTGAGCATTACGTTAAGCTCAAGCATGTCTTACTCCGTGGACTATCAACGGTTAGTGATTGTTAGAACTCGGACCTCGGGGTATGACTGACAGTACAACACGACCCGAGCCTCGGGGTCCTCTTTCAAGGCCCTGAAGGACTCGGTCTGAGTGAAGTCATGGCAGAAGCCAGATTTCTGCACCGAGAACCTCTCTTCCTGCTTCAGGTACTCGGGCAAGGGCATGATATGCCATGCGTACAGGTTGACACCGTCAGGGGTGTCGAGGGAGAAAGGCGTGACCTGGCCCTCTGCAGCGAATCAGGTTAGTGATGGCGCGGCTTACACGGGGTACGCGCGGACTTACTTGCGAAGCCCCATCTCTCAGGCTCGTTGACGTCGCGCCACCAGAGGGTGTTGATCTTGTGGGCGTACAGAAAGCTGGATGAGATGGTCAGTCTTGAGGTCCATGAGGGCGATAATGTAGCAGGCGGGGTCTCACTGTCGTTGGAAGAAAGGTGTTGCGCCAAGGGCGAGAAAGGTAAAGTAGAGGCCCAGAGGAGCCACAACGACCCAGACGGCCGTCCGGAGCATCGGCGACAGTGGGACTGTCATGATGGGCGCTTGTGTGTTCGTGAAAGAGCCCAGCAGAATGAAAGAAACCGTCGGATCAAATTGCGAAGCTTCCGAGTTATCTACACATGGCTGGTGGCGGTGTCGTAGCCACCGTTGATGACGCCTGATTGTAACCGGTTCCTGGCTTGTGGTCGGAATTGCCTGCGAGCTGGCAGGGATGGCGCTATCAAGGAAGATATCTCCGGGTACCTTCTGTCCTAGCGATATTTGGCGTATCACAGAGTACCTCCCGCTAACAGACCCAGGTCCCCAGAATGCGGCGACCCTCCCACATTTCTGGTGTCAGCCGCAAGCCGACGACGGATCATCCCATTGATATCAAATATGCTTTTTCCGTCCACGAACATGTCTAGCTATGGGTTTTATAACTGGATACGATACTCGAATCAGTATTCGCTTTTTCATGTGTGTTCGTCGGCACTAGTCGAGACAAGATAAGACTCTTCATTTGGCAGCGCACGTGTGATTGGGTTTAATCTACTGAGGCGGAGGGATAGGACGGCGAGGAAGCCGAAGCTACGAGAGAAATCTGGTCATTCCCTCCCCCCCAAAGCTCACAGCCACCCACCTTTACCCACCCGCACTGTCCTCTCTCTGTCCCGTCATCTGGCCATGTCAATGAATGGCCGGCTACACTGCACTGGAGTTCCGTGACTGGTGACGGGCGTAATAACGACGGGCGAGGGGCGACGGACGATGGACGATGGACGGTGGAAAAAGGGGACTGAAATGGGGAGTAGCGAGAGGAGGGAGGGCAGACGACGACGACGCGGATAGAAGTACTATGTACCTTGGCTAGATGACTGGCGAACAAAGTACATATGTACCGCGGTACGGCAGTGCGTGACAAAGCAACCGCGGCGCGATTTAAGTGGCCGGCGGGACCCAGTCATGCATATCGTCCACTCATGGCGCGGTAAATTCCCAGTTTTTCCGCCCTCATGCAGCTCCGAGCCAATCATATGCCCAGGTCCCTTGTTAAACCTTCATCCCGCCTGTCCTCTTGCCCAGCTGCGACTGCGCGGCACGGCACCTGTTGACGAGTGAGACTTGCACCCCAAGAGGCTCTGTTAAGTGGGTGAAAGGGAGGAATGCAGGAGCCCGGAAGCACTTGCTTCGCTCCAACAGCAGCAGCACGCACAGCACAAGCTGGACGGGAAGCAAGCAGAAGGGCGGCTACACACCAGACGACGCGGGTGGGAGCCTCAGGTACCTCCCACTTTGTACCTTTTCCCGCAAAGTACCTTACTTGCCTTGCCTCACTCTGTGCCGTACAGAGAGGACCGTCGGATACCTTGCAGTCGCGGGACCTCCCATACAAAGCTCTCATGTTATCCCGTCCACCCCAATTCAATTCACACGAACCCGTCCCCGAGTCTCCAAATCACTTCCTCCACACTCCCCGACAACACTCGTCTGCTGCCCACTGCTGCGTACCAAAACGCACCTACGTACGTACGCCCACGCACTCTAGCCTGCCCGCGACACGACGATAAAGGCATCGCCCTGAGGGATTCCCGAAAAGCTCCAATCCGATCAGCACGATCCCAGCCATCCACGACCCCGGCTCGCACTGCACTTGTACCGCTCACCACACGCCCACGACGAGACGCCGCCGCCGCGCGCAGTCGAGGCCTGTGGCTTCCTCCGCTTATGATGACCAAACCGACACGCTCGGAAACGCACTCGTGATACCGTGAACTTTGCGACGGGGAGACGGCATACCGGCATGGAGAGAAAGAGGAAATTGCCCGCGAGGGCCTCGGCGCGTGTCGAACACGTCGCAAAGAAGCGCACCGTCACCCCTCCCGAGCCTCGATCCGTTACGCCAGTTCCGGCTCCCGTCGAGGAGCCCCCGCCGCCCCCTTCGCTGCCCAAGTCGATCCAGGCTGGCAAACCGCTGCCGACCGTCGAGGAGCCTCAGCCCGATGACCTCCCTGCGAGGGAATACCAGTCGTACCAAGAGAGGTAATGCCCCTGCCCGAGAATGCCCTGTCATATTCGCCATTACCCAATGACTAACTCGTACCACAGCGGTGTTCTCGCCGAGTCGCTGAGTCGGTCGCGACACAAATGGATGGCCGAGGGTCTCTTCGAGAAGTACTGGACGAAGCCTGCACGGAAGAAGAACGCAACCGAGGACCCCAAGAACCCAGCCAAAGATACCATGAGCAAGATTGGGCAGGTCACAATCACGATTGAGCCGCATGTTTTCGAGGCTACCATGTGGGCGATCAAGGACCCCAAACCTCCTGCTCCCACCACGCAGGCTACCTTTCGGCCCATCCTGCAGTACGGCCCTCCCAACGGAGCCATGCCTCCTCCACCAACGCCCCCTCTCTCGCCATGAACGAGTCAAAGCCGACGCCGCCAGCACCAAGTTCTGCTCCGCCATCTCCTGCGCCTCAACAGATGCTGTCGAGGCCACCCTCGGCGGCAGCGAACGAGCCGCCAAAGGTGCTACCCTCTCCACGGAGCCTGGATCCCGTGCAGCCTGCCAGCGCAACACCCCCACCGAGGACAGTCGCCCCTTCACTGCCGACAGGTGTACCTGCGCCCGCTTCTGTCACTGCCCCGGGAACGCCCTCGAATCCTGCAGTCCCGTCTGCCATGGCGCCTTCAGCCCCCAACTCACGGCCATCGAGCTCAACACCCCAGCCAGGGGCAGGAGCTGCGAAGCCTGCGCCAGCTGCAAAGCCGCAGGGCACTGATCCAATTATCATGACCTTGGCAGAGAAGGCGTCCGAGGACCCTCATTTGCGAGACTTGATGAAACGTGTGGCGGCTGGTGAAGCGAAGCCTGATGAGTTAAGCAATTTCCAGAAGATCATTGATCAGATCACGGCAGAGTACAAGAGAAAAGGCGGACAGCAAGGCCCTTCAGCGGACAGGCTGTTGGTCGATGGGCGGACAGTCAAGTATTTTGCTGACGAGGTGCGAACTATTTTGGACATTGTGCTCGCCACCAATCCACGGCAAAAGTCGAGTGAGCTGCTTCCTCCTCGCGGGAGCGACCCTCTGGTTGTTGCACTGGTGAGGACGGCGCTTGATGACGCCAAGGTGCGGGCCATGATTCGAAGGATTGCCGAAGGCCAGCCGGGGTTTACAGACGCGACCGACCTCAAGGCAGCCCTTGATAGGCTGCACAAAGACCTTAGGGGCGGGCAAACCACCCCTCAGCCTCAGACTCCGACGCCGCAAACTCCTGTAAACGGCGTTCCGAATGGCCACGGCACCAAACCACCGGCACCAGCGCCTGCTGCTTCCCCAGCTCCAGCTACTGCACCGGCAACCACGCCGCAACTTCAGCACCCCCCTCAGCAGGCTTTACGGTCAAAGGGTCCTCCGCCACCTGCGAGACCTGACATTTCAGGCGTCTGCCTCGACTTTACGGGCGGGAATGGCGATCGATACCTGTTCCCAAAGTATAGCATCCTGGAGTATCTTCCTGGCGGACAGCAAGTCATTGCGTCCTTCCTCATTGTTCGCAAGGGCAGTCAGCTGGAATATGGCGGTGACGCGAAGCTCGACTATTATCAGCCAGTCACCATCCGGATATACGCCCATTCTGGTCGCCACCTCGAGTACCTCCAGAGGGTTGTGGCACCCCCTGATGAGGTCAGGAGGTATATGGACGACGTAATGGACAACATGACTAGGGCTGAGTACGTGCTCCTCGCCATGCGTCTCCCCCGAGGCGAGCGAGAACCCGACGGCGAGCAAAATGGCAAAGAAGCCACTGGCGCAGGCACGCAAATCGGTAAACCCGAACCCTCGGTGCCTGAACATCCTGCTCCCAAGCAGCAGTCCGTGTTGTGGGGTCCGATGACATCCAAGTTTGTCCAAAAATTCAACAAGCAGTGGTTTGAAGAGTGGAAGAAAAGCGAAAAAGCCAGCGACAAGAGGGCCCATGACATCTTCCGGGAGGCCTGTGAGGCCGTTGGTCGTGACCCCATGGACAAGGATATAGAATACGAGAAGATGATTGAGCTTTTGGCAGCTAAAGACGCCGAGTCATCATCTTAGCACGGATTTTCCCTCCATAGCTAGATGGACACCATTGTTCATCTGGCGCCGCACATGTATTACCTAGACGTAAATTCGCCGAGAAGGGGTTGGATGATCAAAGCGGGCGTGTATGTGTGTATCTGTTGTCAGCATTGAGTCTGAGCCGTTGCATTCGGGGCCACACGTTGTTGTGTTGTGTGTTTTTTTATTCTACTTTCAGGCCATCACGGGTCTTAGGGGATTTCGGGAAAAGGGGAACCGGAGTGGTGTGTGTATCAAGGAGACTGATTCTCCTTTTCCACTTTTTATTTTATCTCATCATTTAACCTTGGTGTTCAGAGAACCTCGGGCGTGAGGCCTTGGTGTGGATGCGGCTCGACTCATTTATATTACCCCCTCGAAAGCAAGATAGTCAAGATATTTATGTGTGCATGGGCATGCCTCGTGGCTGCTGAGTGGCCATAGCTCAGAAGGAGCTTGACCAACAAGGACCCATGAAACCTGTGATGTATTTGTCTGGCTTTTTGTTGCCTCTAATAGTTATGCGCGACGCCACCATTATCCCTATCTGGCTTTGACGTGGCTACGAAGATTGCCAAATCGGTACGCTGCTCAAGTCTGCCATCGCCTCTCTTCGCCACTACGCCATATTGTTCGATAAGTAGGTTCGGGAGATTCTGGAGCATTCGGGCGACAGGCTTGAAGAGATTGATGAATGGTCTGGAGTAAGAGTAGGGCTAGAAGACTAACTCGATTGCCTCGCCCAATTCAGTCCCAGACAAGGGAACGCTGCAGTGACTCGCATGGTTTCCCCACTGGAGTCTTCGATCGCCTCGGCAAGGGGAATGGAAGACGAGCTTATCGGTCGTCATGACCACAGGCGAGGGACGCCAGTTGTGGTCGAACGGTGAATTTCTCTCGCCAATGTAAGAGGCCTCAGTCGGCGAGGACGAAGATATTGTCGGCATCTGGCTAGGCGGTGTTTTCGGTTTAACGTGATTGTGGCGCTTTCACTAGTGATTGTTATGGTTACGATGTGATGGCGAAGGAAGTGAACGCGAGAACAAAGGAGCCAGACAAGATTGGGAACGAAACACAGCCTCCCACCGCGTAATTGACGACTGGTTGATCGACAATGAGAGTAGCTCAGTTAACATCTACCACTGTCACCGTACTTGCAACTGTGGGTGTTGTGATTATCTATCTTGTCGTTTTGGATGCACCTCCAGCCGTTGGATAACTTCCGGAAGCGGAGCTGTTGGCAAGGTATGGGTCGCCCAGATAACGGGGTCGGAGGGAGCTTTTTACCATGGGACGGAAGAGAAGTGCCGGCTGATGCAGTGTACGATGGAGTGGCTACCAAAGAGGATTCCTCGGAAGTGGCAGACGTTTCGTTTAATGGGAATCGAGAAGAAATGTCTCCCGAGGGACTAACGCTCAAGGTAGTCGAAGCGATTGCTGAACTCCCTGTCGCACCCATGGTGCCTGAAAAATAACTGGTGGGCTGGGTCGGTATCGATGTAGGCCTTGCAGGCGGTTCAGGTTTGCGGGTTTCCTTTCCCGGTGCTGCTTCGGTTAGAAAAGGTTTTCTGGGAGACTTGGAACCGACTTACTCAAATACGGCAGGCTATATGGTAAGAGGGCGAAGACTGGATTCAGAGTCAATGCAAGAGCAAAGAAGGCCACGGATAGCGAACGCATAATGAGGAGATTGATCAAGGCGAATACTGAATGGGCTAACAAAAGGCACGAGATGGAATGGCTGAATTGTGATTTCAAGAGCTTTTTTGACGGGAGGGCACACGGCATATATACCTAGTCTACCACACGATGCAAGTTTGTATTTACACTGATTTGTTTTTCATAATGGATCGGGATCAAGCAGTGCCCAACTCGATATCCAGGTATGGAGAAGGTGGCGATGACGGGAATAATCCCCCAACATCAAGGACCCCAAATGCGATGAAGCGGCGTCAATCCAAGTTGGAAGTGCAACAACACGCTAGGAACTACAATTGAGGTCCACTTTCTCTGCAAAAAGAAGTCAAGATGATAAACCGAGCCCCATGTTGGGGTTCAGATTGAAAGGACAAGCCTGTCCATTTTGGGGGCAAGGTCGAGAATTGAGGCCGCGATGACAGATGTAGGTTGAGCTGTACGGCGACGATACAAGGGTAGGACATCGGTAAAAATGATGATACGACCAACGACTAGGCACCTTTGGAAGAAGTCGTCGCTGTGTGTGACCACATGAAAAGAACGAATGGGAGGCAGAGGACGCAGCAGAATGAGAATGAGTACGCCATTATGGTTGGTTGGTCAACGTTCGAAGAGAAAGAACCAATAGTCGCCAATGCTGCACGAAGTCATCCAACGACGCTTCGCTTCTGCCTGAATCACACCTGACATCCTGTTTAGGTACCGATTGTCTCCAAGCTTGGGCGCCCCCAAAGCAGGGCCCCCAATGGCATGCCCTTCGTCATCCATCGAACCAACAGCATATGGTTTGGGGGTGCAGATGCGAAATTTGGAATCCATGTCAGGGTCATCGAATTGCAGCGTTGCTTTACTAACCTCGAGACTAAGGTAGAATGCAATGTCTGCAGCCTGGGCCTGATGAAGCCATCTTGAAGTCCTGGACCCCAAGAGCGAAGCACTGCCCCAACAAGCATTGCGCAAGTTCCTGGCCACGACAACGTTGTCGACCACACGCTGTGTGACTTGTCATCAGTAACTGAGCAGATGGCCCCACAAGCTTGGAAAAGAGGCTCTGCCAAGGAAAGCTGCTCAAGATCTGCAACTGGTTGGTCTCGAAACCCGCATGACTTGGGTCGATTTCCCCGCCCAGCAGAATCAAGTACACAGGCACACATGTGGCATGGCCTCAGAGCGGCAACAAAACGCTGCTGGTGGCCGTTGACAGGCTTGAAGGACCAACTATCCTTAAGATCAGAGGTGGTTGGCTTGTTTATTACTGAACAAAACCACGCCTGTTCCAGGAATAGGTGCCAACCACTTTGTGAGCTGACGCCGAAATCGTCCAGACAAGCATCACATCTAGGCAGTACAGTGGCACAGTTACAAGCATTGCTGAAGCCCATCTGCGGCTGAAACCAATGGGTACAACCCTCCAGTCCTCCATGTGTATGCTGTATAGAAGCTCTGGCATTGTATCGTCAGCGAGTACCCGGAGCAAGGCTGCTAATTCTGCCCGAGTCAGAGTCATTCATCAAGCATAGACCCATCCTGGCGATTTCCACAAGCATCTTGACAATGGCTTCTCTACTAAAAGGTCGTACAGCATGTGTTTGGATTGTTTCCGTGCCAATAGATACATGCTGTGCAGGGGTATACGAGAACTAGACAAAAACAGTTGGATTGAAAAGGAGCATGGAAGAAAGCATGTGAGGAGACAAACGCGTGTAGGCAGACTGAACGGTTGATGAATGTCTCTCCAATGAAGTCGACGTTATGTTAGACGACTCCATTTCCCACTCCGTAATCAAGAATTTACTTTTTGGGGACGGATACCTTGGTACATGTCCGAGAACTCTGAAATAGTGAGGAAATAAGACAGGCGAATTCCCCTACGCTTTTGTGTTATGGCAAATTGCCGTCATGTGATTGATATCTGACACCAGGAGTCTGGTTACCAGTATTTACCAACATGGCCTTGTTGACGTTCAGCTTACAGTCCTAGGCACATGGAGTTTGACTTTTTGCATCTCACCACGAAGCCTAGAATGACAGTGTCATATAGGGATGACGCAGATGATGGAGGCTCTGGAGGGGGTAGGAGAGATGGCTAACTGTACCATGGCACAACTGGTGAAAGATTCCTAAAAGTCTCTTCTGCTCGATACCTTGATGGATCAACGTATGACATGCAAAACAGTCATCACTGGGGCGTATCCCGTTGAGCGGAGTGTTGAGTTGGCATTCGCAGATTACATTGAATCTTCGACGATTACATCCTCCAGGGGCTTAGGAGAGGCGTGCTGAAGTCAAGGACAATGTCTCGTAACATTTCTGTTACGGGAACTTGGGCAGCAGAGTTCCACAAAATGCATGTCATCAAGGTTGAATATCAGCCCGTCGGCTGGAACGACATCATCTACACTGGTACCCATCATTGCGAGTAATATTCTTCAGAACCTTCCCTCCAGGTGAACATCGTGTGTGTCGGATTCTCAGCCACACACCCATTCTACTGAGTTAACAACTCACATGTTGATGAGTTTAAGATACCAAAACCCTGTAAGTCTATATAATTACAACCTAACTCGTCTCGAACCTCAAATCTCCTCTTCATTCTCATCACTCTCTCATCCACTCCGATTCGTTCAAACCCCATCTTTCCACCATGAAATCCGCAACCCTCATGCCAGCCCTGCTGGCCATCGTCCAGGCGGCACTGATCCCCAATGACCCTAAAATTATCATAGTCCCAGACTCGGTCCTTGACGCTACCATCGACGAGCCCCTCAAGAACTTTGTCCCGGGCCCCGTAGCTGGTACAGACCCTTCCTCCCTCCCCCTCCCATCCTTAAACGAGGGATTCGAATCCCTTTCCTCCCCCGAGGAAACCTCTCTCTCCGGTGCCCAAGCCTGGGCAGCCATCGAGCTCGAAGCCACCGCAGCCCTCGAATCCTCCCCAGAAGACGCCGAGAGGTTCGTCGAGGCCCGTGCCAGGGACCTCTCCGAGGTCGCCAAGGGGCCCGGCGGCAAGAAAGGCAAGAAAGGCAGCGGCAAAAAAGGTGACGGCAAGAAAGGCAACACCACCTCCAAGCCAGCCCCGCCCGACTTCCACCGCGGCGTGACGAGAGAGCAGCTGTGCACATACTTCCGCGGCATTGCGTGGAAGACGGGCGACTTGCAGCGCCCAGTGTACCAGTGGCAGTACGAATATGTGCCTTGGCTGATTCAAAACAAGGGCCCTTACATCGTATGCCTCCCATGGCGACCCTCTCCTCCAGAAACTCCCTTCTGCCACCTACTACGGAGCTAACCCTGTGATACAGTACGTGCTCGATGGCCTCCGTCACATCGAATGGATCCTGTGGAAGATTGAGCGCTCCCTGCAGTACACCACCAACTTCACCCCCGAGGAGGAGCGCGCCATCATCCGCTGCTATTACCAGGTACGTTCTGTTCCCCCTTGTACCTCTAGGACCTCTCTCATAGAGTTCAACCTCCACTAACGCAACACAGTACTCTGGCTATGAGAGACAGGTGACCCGCCTGCCTACCGGCGCCCCGGCCCCAGTCAGCCCCACTACCGCCGCTGCGATCCCGGCCTCCACGGGCAACGCCGAGTTGGCCGAGGCGGCCATGAAGCCCCCCGGCAAGGGCAAGGGTCCCGGCACCGGCAAGAGCCCCGTCACGACCCTCCCGGGCTCCGACCGCTGGGCCCGCCCCTTCCCCTCGCTGAAGAAGCTCCTCCGCCTCATCACCGCCAAAGCGCCCGTGTCCAAGTACCAGTCGTACGCCAACCACCGCATCCACAACGTCCTGCAAAACCTGGACCGTTCCGCCATCGTAAGTCCTGCTCTCGATCCCCCGTTCTCTTCCACCCGAGAAACATCGCCCGCCGGAGTGATTTCGGGAGAACTGACCATGTTTCGTCAGGGCGCCGCCCAGGGTTTGATCAACAAGTTCCAGAGCACCGCTGCCAAGGACTACCTCGTCTACGATATCGAGGAGGGCCAGGGCCTCAAGAAGGCTCTCAGCGAGGCTATTAATGCCTACGAGGTCAAATAGACGCCTCCGCTTCGACTTGTATTCTCCAAGTCGTAGACCCCTATTGCTAATAGCGGTAGCCGGTGCTGATGGCGGAGAAAGGTGATGGAGTGAAAGTAATTTGTAATAGGACGAGCTCGAACTTGCTTCTGTTTCACAGAGATCGTCTCTCATGTTTCTCTCGAACTGTTTTGTGGAAGTTGCCAATGGGGTTGGGTTTGTCTGTCAAAAGTTATGAACGACTTAGCATCGTAATAGAACACGCATTGAAAACCCGGTCAAGTGATGAGATTTTGATGGGCTTCGGCTACTGTACGTCGAGGAAACTGGGTCAAACAGAATGTATCGAGATTGTATCAGTTGCTTTTTGAGAAGAGAGAGTAGCCATAAAGATCTATTTGCATATCATAATGCTGTACAAGTCCGATTGACGCCTAGTCCCAAAACGCCACGAAGACAGAGTCACATCTTGGTATCAAACACTCACACAACATCACCTGCTAGGGGCAATTACTACGTTCGAGGGCCTCATCAATGGCTCATGCCATTGATCCACCGCTCCGGTGGTTGCCCACGAGACCAGCCATTTCCAACAATGCGCGGTCGGCCTCCAAATCACCGGTTCCCAGGTTGACCTTCCGCCGGGCTTCCGCTTCACGATGCTCCCAGGCCCAACGCTCGGCCTGGGATTTCGCCTCTTCATCACCGCCACAGCCCCAGACCTCGAGACTTTCAATCTCAAATCGATCCTGGAAGTCAAACTTTCGTGACACGCTCGTTGCGAACGCTCCACCGCCCGCGGTCCAATCGTGGTTGAAAACTCCAAACTCGAATGAGTCGTCTAGTAGCAAGGAAACGGCGCCGAGGGACAACGTCGTATTCCGCCGGTGAGCTTGGCTTTGTCGAGGGTGTGGGCATCCAACGCCGAGCATGGGCCGATTAGTAGGCGCCTTAGTAAAGGAGATGAATTCTGAGTTGTATCGAGAGGCAGGGAACACATCATGGACCGGCTCCAGCTGGAAGAGAACCGTGTCTCTCTCGCCGAAAGTTTCCTTGGTAGTATGCTTCCACGGGTGGCTAACGTACACACCAAAGGTCAGACGGTCACCCTTACTGCCGTTCGGGAATCGGCGCGGGGGAATCGACGCGGCGAAAGTTGTTTCCTGGCTGCCGTGGGGGTCGCCGTTGATCCGCGTGCCACGCACCAGAAGTATTGTAGGCGCTCTCCAATTGAACACTTTGCTCTCGAAGCTTCCCGTAGAGAACCCGTCTTTGTTACCGGAATAAAGGGGTCTGAGTCGTCTGAACAGGTCTGATCCTGGTAGGAAGAAGGACAGCTGGGAAAGGACGTTCAAGTTAAGAATTTCGCCCGGTTCTGGCAGCAACGGCTGCACGACTTCTTCAGGTTGCTTTTCAGCTGCCGGCTCTTCGCCTCTGTGTTTTGTAAAGTCCAAGTTCTTGGAGAAGAGGAAGTGCTCGAAGAGGGGGCTGAACCCATTGAAGAGATTAGGGAAGCAGACGGGCAGCACTCGGTTGAAGTGACTGAACTTGATGCCGGGGGCCTTTTCGACGTTCAAGAAAGCCGCCAGGATGTGCTCAGCAGTAGCGCGAAGGCTGTCCAGTTCGTCACCCGTTACGCGGGTGGAATACATGGACAGTCTCTCCTGGGCATTTAGGGGAGCTATCAAGATGAGCAACATGAGCAACTTGCGGAAGTTGTCGGCTGGAATCATGGCTCCCTGCATCTTCGGTGCGTCGCCTTGCCAGACGGCGTCGTTGATATCGAGTAGCTCAAAGGCGGCAATCTCGAGATCGTCGTCGTCGTCCTCTGGTTCCTCGGCCGGCTCGTCGACTGCGAAGCCTGCGACATGGCTCCTCGGCTGTGAGTCGGTCGTCTTTTCCTCCTTCGAAGATTCCTCGGCGGAGATGGCAGCTTCGGAAGCCCTACGGTCGTAGACTGCAAGACTCTTGAAGATGAGCTTGGCGCGGTCGGTTGCTCCTTTGGCCAGAACCCGCTTGTGTCTCTGTGTCATGATCACGACCACCATAACCATCTGGTCGATGCCGAGGACGGCGGGCGCGTCTTGGAGAAAGGGGAAGGCGCCGATGTAGGACACCATCTGGAATATGACAGGAGAGACATGGAGGATGTCGGGTATCTCGAGGAAGCGGGCGAGGGTGTCCTCCTTTAGGTAGCGGATATCGCCCTGCTTGTCTGCCAGGCTTTTGAAGACATCTTTGAAGGAGTAGAGTTCGAGCGAAGTGAAGCACTTGTCGGCGAAGCGGCTGGCCTATTGTGGTGTTCGTTAGCAAAACGGGTAGAACATGGATTGTGCAGCCATGTTTGATGGCTGGAAGGTCATTCTGCGATGGGCGGCTTACGAGTTCATGGGTGAGCTCTTCGTGCGACATGTGCCGCGAGCTTTCGTCAGACAGTGCTTGTCCCATGTTAAGGTTTCTGCAGTAGGTCAAGAGGCATCGGTGTATGGTGTTGAAGGTGTGCAATGGGCTTTAGGGTGATTATCACCTGGCAAGGCCATGTTTGAAGGGGGGGAAAGGGAATGGGAGGTTAATGACGGAAGCCCCTGGGGTGCATTCACCGGCGGAACGAAGCGATTGCATAATGATTAGAGCCCAGAGACACAGAGTTCGCCCAAAGCCCAGCGCCCAGACTCAGCAGGTGTCAGATCAGTCCTCTTTGCTGTTTCTCCGCCAAAGCTGGGCGCGTCATGTTCTTGGGGAACGGAGCATGCCCCGCAACGTCACTTTCACTGGCCCGAGCTCCCCTGCATGCCCCTCTAAGGATTCACAGCAGACAATGCAGACAGGAGACATGGGCCGCGTACGCTGTACTTGCTAGGATCCCTGGAAGATCTTTTTGGTGAGAAATAATGAGCGTCTCAGTGCACCAAGGATCACGACAAGGCTGTTAACCCTGTTCTTGTCAGTCGCTCCTACGCATGTCCCTACAAAGTAGGTTTCACTCGAGATCAAATAGAGCTTGTCAACTGGGCCCCCAAGGCTCGTCAATGGCCTCGCCCTGTCCTTCCAGAAATCAAATGATTCTTCAATTCAACCAGATGCGCCACCTTTTGCCCATGTTTTTATATACGACGGAGCGGAGTCTTCAATGAGACAGTGTGCCCGTCCTCGATGCCGATGCCAATGCCCATACTATACAATGCGGCCGTGCCGTAACTCGGTACAAGTCCGCAGTCAGTCCACACGGGGCCCCTATTTCTTAGGCTCTTCCGACGAAGGCTTCCGGCCGTAGATCTCCCCGATGGTGCTAAGGGAGCTCTTGGGGTTCTCCTTCTTTTGCGGCTTCTCAACCGACGGCGCCTCGGACGCGGCGTTCCCCTCCTCGGGCTTGCTCCACGCCGAAAGTCCCAACGCACCGAGCACGCCCCCCGACTTGACCTTCTCGCCCTCGGCCGGCGTCTCGCCTCCGGCAGCACCGGAGTTCTTGGCCTCGAACTTGGCCCTCCGATCCTGCAACATGGCCTTGAGAGCCTTCTCCTCATCGTCGCGAGCCTCGAGCTCGCGGATCCACCTCTGCCGCTTCTCCTCGGCGTCCTTGGCCTCCTTGATCTTGCGCAGCTCGGCGGTGCGTTCGCGGTCCTTGTTGTAGTACATGCTGCCGGCCACCATGGCGAAGACGGTGAAACCCTGGGCGGCGACACGCGCGCGGAACATCTTGTTGGCTTGAGCCGAGTCGCCTCGGCGAATGGCGCGCCAGGCGCTGACGAAGGCGAATACCGTAAGACCGCAGCCTGGCGCAAGGTTAGAGCGTTGGCTATCCGAGGTTGTAGAGCTTACGCACCAAGAGGAATCAGGGGCTCCTCTCTGAGCTTGCGGAAGACCTTGTGCAGGATGCGCTCATCGTAAAATTCGCTACAGGTCGCGTGATGTAATTAGCAACCTTTTTCCCCCCAGCGATACAGCTCCCGCACATCTCGAATCAACTTACTTGTTCTCGTCGAACGACGAGGGCATGGGCTGGTCGAGCAGCGAAGGCTTTCCGTCGGGGCCGGGCATCTTGGCGATTTGCAATTGGCGTTGTGGTGGTGATGGGAAACGTGCCGGTGGTGAAGGAGGCAATCGTGCGATTCCACTGGTCGGCGACTTCGATGATGAAATGGACTTTCTGGACCCTTTGCCTTTCGGGGACTGGATGCGCCCAGAGCTCGACCCTTGAGCAGATTTGCGGCAAATCCCGACTGTTTCCGGCTGCTGAGACCTTACCTTAGGTAACCACCCACCCAAGCGTGCCAATGTCTTATCTTTATCTGCTATCGAACTGTCGATGCACGGGCCAGACCCTTTCGATTACAGACCCCGGCTCGGGGTGCTAGGTAAGGTAGCGATGTCGCCCTGAACGCCCAGAACGGTGGCAGGGAAAGGCGCGCGCCAGGCGGAAACATGGGTGCTGGAACCAATCCCCAGCGCCCAAGACGCTGCTTACAGGCCATTGCTGCAAAGCACACCGCAAAAAAACCGTCTGATTTTACCCCGCGAGCCGACTTGAGCTCCGATGTCAGCCCCCACTATGAACAAATTTCCAGTTTATTTCAGGCTGGTGTTGGCTCCGGTCCCGTCCCCGTCCCGTTCGTGACTCTTTCGATGTGGACTTGCTACTTCTGTCCCGGACCGTGACTCGAACTCTTCCACTCCTCAACTCACTCTTTTCTTCAAAGTCACAACAATCATGTCGGAGAACGCAGAACCTCCCGTCGTCGCCGTCATGACCAACGGTAACCTCAATGGCGTCAATGGCGACCACCCGCCGCGCCCAAGGACGCCGCAGCCGCAGGGCATGTCTTTGACGGAGTACAGCGCCAACCCGTCCACGCCCCCGGAGGAGAGGCGGAACCGCATCAAAGGCATTGTGCCTGACGACTTTCTCCTGCCCGATGGCCACCCCGACGTGAGAAGCCCTTGCTCCGATTCAATGGCTGTCTGTTACACACAAGCAATGCTGACAGTGCATATGACTAGTACCTCCGACTCATCGCCGCCGCAACCTCCCGCGTATACGAGGCCTGCAAGATCACGCCACTCCAGCCCGCCGTGAACCTCAGCAACCGACTCGAGTGCAATGTGCTTCTCAAGCGCGAGGACCAGCAGCCCGTTTTCAGCTTCAAGCTGCGCGGTGCCTACAACAAGATGGCCCACCTCGACCCCGCCAAGAGCTGGAAGGGCGTCGTCTGCTGCTCTGCCGGCAACCACGCCCAGGGCGTCGCCTATTCGGCCCGGAAGCTCAAGATCCCCGCGACCATCATCATGCCCGAGGGGACCCCTAGCATCAAGCATCTCAATGTCGCGCGATTGGGTGGTCACGTCGTCCTGCACGGCGCTGACTTCGATGCAGCCAAGGAGGAGTGTGGGCGGAGGGCGCTGCAGGATGGACTGATCAATATCCCCCCCTTTGACGACCCGTACGTCATTGCGGGCCAGGGAACTATCGGTATGGAGTTGTTCGGCCAGATCAATATGTCCAAGCTGGACGCCATCTTCTGTTGCGTCGGTGGTGGTGGTCTCATCTCCGGCATTGGTGTTTACGTCAAGCGCATGGCGCCTCACGTCAGGATCATTGGTGTCGAGACCTACGATGCCAATGCTCTGGTGCAGTCTTTGGCCAAGGGAGAGAGGGTGGTTTTGGACAATGTCGGCCTGTTTGCTGACGGTGCCGCCGTCAAGACAGTAGGCGAGGAGACGTTCCGCCTGTGCAAGGACGTCGTGGACGAGGTTATCCAGGTCACCACGGACGAGGTCTGCGCAGCCATCAAAGACATGTACGACGACACCCGCGCCGGTCTCGAGCCCGCCGGTGCTCTGTCCATTGCCGGTCTCAAGAAGTACGTCGCCCAGAACCCGAGCGACCGCCGGAGATCCATGGTCGCCGTCACCTCTGGCGCCAACATGAACTTCGACCGCCTGCGTTTTGTCGCCGAGCGCGCGACCCTCGGTGAAGGCAAGGAGGCCCTGCTGTCAGTCAGCATCCCCGAGAAGCCTGGCGCGTTCGCCAACCTAATCACCAGCATCATGCCCCACTCCGTCACCGAATTCTCCTACCGTTATGCTACAGATGAGGTCGCCAACGTCCTCATTGGTATCTCCTTGACAGCCCCGGCATCCCAGAGGACGCAGGAGTTGCAGATGCTGCTGGAGCGCATCCAGTCACACGACATGTCGGTGACGGATCTGTCTGGCGACGAACTCGCCAAGAGCCATATCCGATACCTCGTCGGTGGTCGCTCCAACGTGTCCAATGAGCGTTTGTACATGTTCAATTTCCCCGAGCGTCCCGGTGCGCTGGAGAAGTTCCTCATGACCCTTCGCCCCAAGTTCAACATCAGCCTGTTCAACTACCGTAACTACGGCGGTGACACGGGTAAGATCCTGGCGGGTATCTTGTGCCCCGACAACGAGGTCGAGGAGCTGGAGAAGTTCCTTACCGAGATTGGCTACCCTTGGGAGGACTGCAGCCAGTCTGTGGTCTTCAAGACTTTCCTTCGCAGTTAATTGAGACATTCAAGGATTCGCGCGGGGTGATTGCAGTTTGGCGTCAGGAGTTTTGCGAAGTAAATATTTTGGGCGATTTACGAAGGAACAAGCGTCCGCAGGACCATTGCGCCGGATTCGGGTATGACGATACAGGGACAAGAGAGTTTCTCGGGCTTCAACAAATCTCTCTCATACATAGACTACTGCATTCAACTGGACATATGTCAAGAAAGGATTTACACGCAAGCGTGATTGCATCTCACAGTGCCCTTCCCTCTAACCGTTGTTCTAATTACTAGTGACTTTTGGCCGATACCGCAGCATCGCGATAAGCAGCATCGTCCCGATAAGCGCACGGACGTTGGCACACGTGACAGCGCCAAGACGTCGAAAATGCTCCCATCGAAGCCATCCAGGCCCCTTCACCATCAGCGCCATCGGCATCGCGAAGCTGCACGCCCTACGACACATCTCCCAGCCCGCCAGCTCGGATAGCTCCCGTCGAAAAATAAGCGTACAGTCAAAGAATCCGTCGACGAATTGAGCTTCCGAGCGTCCCATTTTCCCCCGAAACCCGACCGCCGATTCTCAATCTCGACCCGGAAAACGAGCAGGACAGAAAGAAAAAATGGCCTCCCTCGCCGCCTCTCTCCGGTCCTTGACCCTCACCACCGCGCGCGCGACGATCCCTCGCGTCGGCACGACAGCTACGGCCACGCGCGCCCTGTCGACAGCGATCCTGACCAAGAAGCCGGCGCAAAAGACTGAGTCGGTGCTCGTGGCGTTCGGCCAGAAGACCGCGGCCGTCGGCAACGCGGTGGTGCAGCAGACGAGGGGGATGAAGGTGCACAGCTCCGTCAAGAAGAGGTGTGAGCACTGCAAGGTGAGCCTTTCCCTATATCGAATTAGTGGTTTGGTGGGAGATGTGCAAGCTTGGGGTGGATGATGAGGGTCGGAAGAGGAGTTGGGCATACGATGCTAGAAGGGGACAGAATCAGGAACAGAGGGAGATGATATTTGCGATTGAAAGGTTGAACTTTTGCTAACGTGAAAATCGGCAGATCGTCCGTCGCAAGGCGGGTAAGAGGCACAACGGATACCTGTACGTCATTTGCAAGGCAAACCCCAGACACAAGCAGCGCCAGTCTTAGAAGGTTGGCCCAGAGCTTGAGAGATGAGGAGACAGAACCGTCGTGGCTGTGTATGAGAGATTTCTGTACAATTAGCACGAAGATGCGCGAGTGAGGATACGGGGAGTGCGAGGAGGTTGGCAACATAGACAGCGTTCCGTCATGCGCTAGACACATCTCCAGGGGGGTTGACGGATCTCGTGGGCCGTCGAGCGAGGAAGCCCATAGGAAGAGAAGAATCCCCCGGCCATCGGGCACTTTTGCAGCATGGAACAGGCAGCAAAGGGTTGGGCCTCTGTATTATACAAAAGATATCTACACAATAACTCTACATTCCGCCAACTACATTCCGTCGACGTAGCGCTCCATGCCCTGCCACTCCGTCTTGCCTGTGGAGATGAGGTAGCGGATGTGTCCCTTTCATACTTTTGTCAGTCTGGCTTCGCAAAGATGAGAGGATGAGCAGGACGCTTACGAGATCTGTCACGTCTCGGTGACGCTCAAACTCATCGCGCGCAAACCGGCGCGATTCGGCGCGAGTGTTGGGGTCCGCGATGCGCCGCGTGCCGCGGATGATTTCGCGGTAGAGCGAGATGGCGCGGGATCTCTGGAGGAACTGTATAGACGGTCAGTCTACCGTTTTTTCTTTCCCATTTTAAAATGACACGGGTGTCTGCGTCTCGAGTATCCCAGGGGTGAGATGCAGGTGGGAAGGCGATCTTCTTACATGGTCCAGACTCAGCGTCTTCTTTCCGAGCCGCGACTTGGCCGGGCCATTGGAGTAGCTGCGGACGAGGGACCACAGGAGTGTTTTGAGGGGCATCAGGCCGGAATCTTGGGGGAGTCGACTACATCTGACGGTTGTGAAGCTGAACAGGCGGGACTCGATGAGAGCTTCAAACGCACGCCGGAGCCTCTCAAATGTGGAAACTTTTTGGAGTGGATGAGGTCAGGACGGGGAAACTTCGGGTCGAGGGGGAGCTCCCCTGGGTCTGGGCGGAACGGGCCCGCCTCAGCCGGGGCGCTGTGCTTCAGCTGCTGGAGATGCGAGTTTAGTGGACGCGTCCCGGCGCGTTTAGTGGGAGGATGTTGGTGGGATGTGCGCCGTGTGACACAATTGTGTTGACAGGTCCCGCCATGCTTCTCTGCAACTCCATGTTTCTCTACAACATTAATTAGATCACTGCGGTTCCTCGAACTCTAGTTTCTCTGATAGTTTCAGTCGGCAATGGCCCCGCCCCCTCGAAAACGCCGTAAAGCGCCTACAAACCCCATCGAGGCGGCGAACCGCAAAACCGACGACCAGTTCATCAAAGACTACCTGCAACCAAGGTTCGTCTCCTATTCACCTGGCACAGCGCCGCGCGATTGATGCGGCATCATCGGACCCAGCATGCTCACCTTGTAATCACTGATGGCTAGTTCAGACTGGACATCGTGGACGCACCCCAAAAGCAGCAAACCCTATGCCCTCTCGCTCAAGTCCTCGTCGGCGCTCGCCCAGCCCGAGCTGCAGGCCTGCTTCGACCTCATTGAGCACACCAGCGGTGCAGACTACCGTGCTTCTAAGGATGGGTGGAAACCATTGAGTAAGTTGAAGGAGATGAGAAGTCCCGAACTAAGGTACATCCTTGTCAAAGAAGCAGTGGCAGCGGCAGGTGGTGACGGTGACGATGGCGAAAAGGCGGACGAGGAGAGCGGCAAGGGGAAAATATGCGGTTTCACGAGCCTGATGCCGACGTTCGAGGAGGGCGACCCCGTGGTTTACTGCTATGAGATTCATCTCATGGAGGAGTTGAGAGGGTGAGTCTTAACATGTCCGCTTCCAAGGTTGGCCACTGGCTCACTGATGGCGTCGCAGCACCGGCATGGGCCGCAAACTCATGGACCACCTCGTCCAGGTGGCGGAGAGCATCCCCATCATCGAAAAGGTGATGCTGACGTGCTTCCTCGCCAACGCCAACGCGCGCGCGTTCTACGAGAAGCTGGGGTTCGAACGAGATGCGATCTCGCCGGTGGAGAGGAAGTTGCGGTTCGGCAAGGTGTTTGTGCCGGATTATCTCATCATGAGCAGGAGGGTGCGCGGCGGGAGTAAGAGACTGAAGGCACAGACCGGTGACGGTGAGAACGCAGAGGATGAGAATGGTGATGCAGCGTGATATGAGTTATGAGATACCCACGTAATTGACGAGTATTAAGAACATGGTAGAATGAATAGTCTCGTGAGTTGCTCAATTAATCATTGTAAGTAAGAGATAATCGACCACGGCGGCTCATGCACGCGGTCGTGTTGGTAGGGAGCCGCAGTCGAGTCTGATAGTTTCTCAGAAACGCCAATAACCAGGATCATCCAAAAAGATGGCCTGAAGGACTCGCCTAAAGGTGAGGCTGAAGTGCATGCCGAACTAAATTAGGCTCACTGGGACAGCTTTCGTCCGGCGTTTTCCCTCCCTCCACACGGGACTTTGGGCAGGGTGCTGTGAGATGAGATGAGATGGCAGGGGATGTGGGTGGTGAGTGACCTGACAGGAAAACCACAGGTCTACTAAAAGGGATGCTGCAGGGTCTTCAACCTAGTTTTGGGGGACGCTTCCATCTTTCACCACAGCAATTGTGGTGTTGAAGGAGCCCCGTGCCAGACTGCCTACTCAAACACCACGCCTCATCTCGATTCCGTGCCGTGTAAAGGTCGCTTCAGCGCGTCTGCCCAGGCGCGACGATCACAGGATAAGCCGGGCGTCTGATCGTCGAGCAACCGCCTGGTTACGAAAGCAGCGACTAGCGGCAGTGGGCAGAGACTCGGCAGCTTCTTGGTCTCCAACACACAATGTCTCTGGAGCTTCCATGGAAAAACCGTTCCACTGCACCGGCACCGATGCCAGCGATGCTCCGACTTCCCACTCATCTCCAACACATGCCAGCGGTTCACCCACAGCGCCGCCCGGGTAACCGATTCGCAGGAGAAACCAGCACCCCTTGCATAGGTACAGACGCCAAACGAGACCGCCAATCGGCCTCGTGAATCACCCCAGTCCCGCCAAGCTCAGCCCTAGGACGCCATCGTCACGTCTAGCATCCCCGTTCACGGGCGTAGGACCCGGGGTCCCAATCACCTTGTTGGCAGTAAGCCACGGAATGGATTTCGTTTCTGGTCCGACAAGCTTTCTTCCTGGGCTGATGCCTATCATATCAAGAGGCTGCTTTGGCTGGACGGTCCGAGTTACACACTGTGGGATGAAAAGGAATCAGGCGTCGTCGGGAGAGAGAGAGAGAGAGAGAGTGAAGGGTTTCGATACGACACAGCCCATTCCATCGTGTCGCGACCCTGAGAAAACGCCAACTGGCGCCGTCTAACAGCCTAGCGTGGGGACTGGAGTGAAGGTCAGCTCTACTACTGAAGCTTGTTCCTCAGCTATGCGAAATGAACTCGCTTGTGTGCGACTCCCCCCATGCATTATACCTCATCCGGCACCCCTTTTAGAGTGCGATCAACCCATCTGCATTCGTCTGCCTCCAGCTGGTTCAGCCGCTGGTCCACGCCCCCGGAGTCCCAAACGTGCGTTTGTTGTCTTATAATTCCCATGCTCCTATATCAGAACACCGTATCCCTCTGAGTTTCATTGCCCAACGTTGACCATCAAAAACCCTGCTGCTGTTGCTTCTGGGGCCTCTGGAATATCTGCATCTCGAACAACTGTCCGTACATACGACTCACTGTTGACGCATCGCCCGCAAGCCACCACGATGGACTACCAACAGCAAGCCCCCATGCAGCCGCACCAGCAACAGCAGCAGCAGCAGCAGCAGCAGCAGCAGGAATACCACCAAGGAGCCAATGTCCAAAACCAAGAATGGCAGTCCGGCCTCATGAACTGCGGGCCCTGCGATACCTGCATGCTGGGAACATGTCTCCCCTGCTTGCGTACGTCCACCCTTGCCTTTCCCCTTCCGAATCCCAGTCAATCGACCTTGGTCACGGCAGCACTAACACGCAACCCCCTCCAGTCCTCGGCAAGACCTCTGAGCGCCTGCGCGACCCCACGATGCAGACCTACGAGGCCATCAACACCGACTGCATGCTCATGTTCGGCATCAACTGTTTCACCGGCTGCGGCTGGGTCTACGCCATGATGAAGCGCGGCGAGATCCGCGAGCGCTTCGGCATCAAGGGCTCCGGCCTGTCGGACTGCTGCGTCAGCTACTGGTGCGGCTGCTGCGCTCTCATCCAGCAGGACAAGGAGGTCCAGGCCCGCATGTCGACGGGGCCCATCGTCCAGGGCTACCAGCCGCAGAAGGAGGGCATGGCCATGCCGCAGCACAACTGAACGTGGCGGGTTTGCTGCGCGAGAGGCGTTCCCGGGAGACGGAAAAGTGATGGTCAAGGCTAGTGAGGCCATCGTGGTTTGGGTTTTTCTTACGTTTGCATTTACAAATATGGGAATGGATATGGTATACCCGTGGGAATGGAGGCTCAGGGGCCGCCAACCCGACAAGGCGAAGGCGGCCGACAGACATAAGCCGCGTACAGGCAATTAACTCTTGTTTTCTTGCTCGAATCGTCGGGATTAATTGAACAACTTGGCTTGATCTATTTCTTGCTCATCTAATCTGTATTCGTCTCTCACAGCATGACTGAGAGCATCTCTCGTTGATCACTTTGGTTTGTTAATGATTCACAATGTCAACTCCAGCAGCACTAACTTCTGGCTAAAAGAATGGAATCTTTCCCGAAGCAGCCTCGTATGATTCTCCTTCATTATCAGAACCTTCTGGCTCGTCGCCCTCTTTTTATAATACATTTGCGCAATGATGACGACCTTTCTTCCCGAAAGATCCAATCCCCCTTTCCCCAGGCGCCTAAGGAGGCTGATACCTGTGGCTTCATGCTATCTTCCTGTAACAACGCTAAAGTAAATCCCCCCCTCTTCTAATAAAAAGAACTGCCCCTAGCTAACTATTTCCAAGGTTTTCCGTAGATGAGGTTCTCTCATTGAGGTGCATGGACCCCGCTATAATATGCCACTCTTCCAGATCCTAGAAAGGTTGTCACTCCCCGATCCCCACAACATGCATCCAAACATCCGCGTTGGCAAGGGCATACGGACCCGTTGAATTTTGTTGGTAAGTTTGTAACTCCGGGCCTCTCCAACTCTCGCATCTGACGGCTGTAAACAGTGGACCAAGGCCTTGTAACGCATGCTGGACATGGTTGTCGGCTGAAGATACCAGCGCATTCACTCTCTTCTATTTCAATACAGTTTCCGGGGTTGCCATTTGATGGCGGACTCAACCGCGGGGAAACCCAGGTCTGGGGCAACCTTTTCGAACACGACGGCCCTGCTCAGAACGAACACGGACACTACCTCAACTGCTTCCTTAACTGGAATCCATACAACGACTAGGATCCTTGAAACGACTGGGATTCATACAACCACATCTGGCGTCTCCATCATCACCAAAACCAATCTCATCGTACCGGGGCCTACCTCAGAGGCACCTGAAGGTAGCAGGGAAGCCTCGACTGGTGCTGTTGTGGGGAGTATCATCGGAGCACTTGCTTTGGTGGGCATACTTCTAGCTGCCGCTGTATACCTCTGGGTTCGGTACAGGAATAAAAGGAAACGAGAAGTCTTACAGACGGATGCTATCAGCCTACTGACTGGACCGGATGGCATGGTTGTGGCTCCATATCGCTGGGTTGCGAGCTCACACGCCCCATCTTCTCACAACGTACGATTACCAAGAGAAAAGGAGGATATTGCCTCGGTAGCTAGGAGTATGCCTCCTCGGAGACCTACGAGAAGCCCAGAGAGGGAAGCAAACCTGACTAAGGGCGGCTGGATTTAGGGGCTGACGGCAATGGGCTTACACCAGACATACGCCCGCGGCACTCGCCCAGAGTGAGTAATGCGGAGGCGGTACGATAGAGGCTAGATTTTATCATTCCATTATCAATCGTATCCAACTCCTCCGATTGTGTTGGTTCAATAGATCAGCATAGATCAGCTCCACAGTCAAGCTAACTCACCAGACCCTTGGTTGTAAGTTCAAGATTGCGGGTGGTTCACTTTGTCAGATATCACTGGAGGCGGTTATATGACTTCGAGCTCGCACCGGACGATGTCACCGAGTGCAAGCAAGCCCATGAGGGTGAAGGAACCATACTCGGTGCCTACAATAGAATCCTGACTGTGAGGTTCGACACCAAAATTGCCTATATTCCAATAGCTACATATAGCGTATATTCCATAGCTCCTGGTATACCAGACGATTGGCAACTGTTTAGAATAACACCTCCAAGTTTTGTAGTTGTATGGTTGTATTATAGAGTTCGGACTAAATGTCGGAAACATCCAAGACACTGGCTATTTCCAAGAGCTGAAGGTGTATGAGGACAAGACTGAACCTAAAGACATTATTTTTGTATATTAGAACAATGGAAAGACTTTAATAAACGAATAGACTAAGTTATAGCCTTAGGACTGAAATTTCAAATGTACACGGTTGTATCGGAAGTGGTGTCATACCTGGAACTGGATGCGTGACACTAGGGCGGCACTGTTGGCATTGGAATACGTTAAGAGACTGCTTAACGGCTATGATAGAAGAAGACGATGGAGAAGCGACCTTGAGTCCAGAAAAAGTCCGTGACGGCACTTTAAGGCGTGGATCAGTCGTCCGTGGCGGCGGCGGCTGGCTTGCTGCAAAGAAGATGCACTCTTTGTAGCTTTCGAGGGTCTCATGACTACTTCTAGGAGTTCTTCTGATAAAGACCCTCCGTATAACAAGGGCCCAGAAAGCAAACAAGAGAAACGGTTCGGATGTTCGCCTAGACGAAATCTGAGCTCGTTTCGCTCATGAGATTATGATGATGAAATACTCTTAACTCATCGCGTTCAATCTCACCAGACCACTCTTTTTGGCTAAAATGTACATCCGGCGTGTGTAAACGCCCCGCCGGACTTTTAGTTCAAAAGGCGTCCCAGATTTGTCCCGAGTCTATCGTCTCACTTGCGAACCCGTTCACAGTGACCTCTTGTCCAACTTCACCGACTGGCCGGCTTGATCGAAACTGAGCGGATCGCGCCCGAGAAGGATGTCAATCATGACCCCGGTCTGAACTAGTGCCAAACAGCACGTCAGAAGACCACATAGCTGCGTGTTAAAAGGAGAGTAGTCCGCGTGGACGGCATAAACGGTGGGCATCGCGGGCAGAGACCATCCCGCGATGTAGCAAAACGGCAATATCGGCAGGACGAACACGCTCCGCCAGCCGTTGAACCACTCCCGATACCGGTACGTCAGGGCAATGCCCAGGAAGACGGCCGACACATTGCAGAAGGCCCACCAGCACGGGAACATGGCGAACAGAACCAGAGGCTGGTGGCCGTAGTAGAGGTAAAGCCCGCCGTAATTGAGCAGGCAATCTTCTAGGACGAGGTCGAATAGACATGCGAGACCCAAAAGGGCCCAGAGGGTCTTGGTGCTCACCCCGCGCATCAGGGCGCCGAAGATGGTGCATCCCAAGACCGCACCAAAGGACCACCATATAATGCCGACGTAGACGTCGAACTCGCGACACAGGAAGATGAACATAAGCTGCGATGGGTCGTGGGACTAGGCCCAGTAGCAGTTGGCGAGGTAGTTATCCACTGCCTCAGGGAGGACGCAGGTCGCCGCGCCGAGGGTCAGCGCTATCGGGACTGCCGAGGACCAGCGTTTGCTTTCCCGGAGAGAGATCAGAACGAAGGTCAGGCAGAGGCCAAGGAGAACTGTCGAGACGATGTTTACATGGTTGGCATCGTGTGCGAAGGCATCGTTTGGAGGAGCGACGGTGCGGAAGGTTTCTTGAAGTGTTACTTTAACTTGGGCATTCTGGGCCAGGGCTATTGTCAAGGCCGATAGGAATATGGCGAACAGTGGACGCCAGAGAGTCTTCTCCATGATTAAAGTGCTGATATTGTGAGGGAATAGATGTAGGAGACTAGGAATTGAGTTGCTCGAGACTAGTACATAGCTTCGAGCATTTGACACTTACACGGGACGAGCAAAGACACGGCTTATATTTCTTTATCGATGCTGCTGAGACAATGTCTGCGTGTTCCGAATTTGGCAAGTCGGGACCGACTACCTTAGGGTAGAGCCGGGGTTTGTGTGTCAGAGCGATCCATGCCTTCCCCAGGCAATGGAACCATTTCCATAAACTTCGCCACAGTCCACCAAATCAATCCACTACACACACAGAAACAGCACTCCGACGATCTAGAGGGTTACTGATACTTCCGAGTCAGAGTGCGGAAGAGCCCGGAGAAGGTTCTGGGTAAGGGTCTACGGAACCCAGTTGGGCACTTCGGGGCTGAGGTTTGGCTAGTGGTAATACAAACTCTTTCTTCTATTACCGTATTTACCTGATGAATACCAAGCCATGACGTTCTTTTAATGGTGCTGGTGGTTTAAAAGAGAGGCCCAGACTTTATCTTAGTACCGGTGTTATTTATGTCTCGTCACATTGTGGGATTTCATAATGGAGCCTAGTTCATATGGAAAAAAGTGAGACATAGCGCAGCGTGGGCAGCATCAGTCGGGCATGCCAAGGGCTGAAGCACAGTTCAACACACTTTCAACCCCAAGGCAACACCCGCTTCTGATTGATTGCATGTCTTGGACCACACCCGCCAGTCAAGCGATCAACGCCTGGCGATGCATGACGGGAACAGTTGCACAGTTGGCGGGGCAGGGTCACGAGTGCAACGCTGGATCCGCGGCGAGCCGATGCCGGTGGATGATCGCGATACCTAGGTACCTAAGCCAGTAAAGTGGATCCAGGGTGCTTAATCAGATGATCTGATAAGATCAAATTCTCTCACCTGGTCCAAGCCGCTCACTCATTTACTTTGACTTTCCGAAATCCCACCATACTTTTTTCGCCCAAAATCCCCCCCCCCTCGCCTCCCGTGTGTTTGAGATCGGCAACTTTCGATCTCTGCACGTCTCCCTGCGACACCACACCGGGAGCCTACGCCTTCATCACGGTCGGTCATCTTTCGCCCTCCATCGATGCGAACCCCTCCATCTCGACCGTGAGAATGCGCGCTCCCTTGTCGTCGTCATCGTCGGCCCCGCGCCCCGCGGCGCACCGGGCCCTGCTGTCGATGCTCATCGCCGCACTGTGCCTCTTCGTCAACCCAGCCTTGGCGCTCGTGGGATCCGGCGGCGTCTGCTTCGACTCCTGTTCGTACACTCTCCGCGCGCCGCGCTTCAACGATACCCAGTCGTACAATGGGACTATGCCGGCAAAGTCAAAGCTCATCGCCTCATGCGAGAGCCGCCTGCACATCACGTCGCTGTACCTCTGCGCCGACCTGCACTGCGACCTGACGCACCGTGTCGCCGGGCTGAGCGACCTCAACCACACCTGCCAGACGTACATGAACTCTTCGCTACCGCCGTTTGAAATCCTCGCCAACTATTCGAGCGAGGAGATTGCCGGCCTGAGAAGGCTCACCCAGGAAGAGAGCGTCGAGACGACTGTCTTGAATGAAGTCGTCTTGCCTGCGGATTCTTTCTATCAGATTTGGGCCGACACGCTCGTACGACCCCTCTCTCTTGCGATCTGCATCGCTCATGACTGACGCATCTCCAGGACTCTGTCGAGTACACCTACGGATATCATTACAGATATGGGTTCGTACTGGCTTCTACTCGTTTTGGCCGCCGTCTCTAACCATCGTGCCAGCCTCTACGTGATTGTCTTCTGGTTCATTGTGATCGCCGTCGGGCTAGGGTCTCGTCTCATCTCTGCCATCGGAAACCTCCAAAAGCGGGAATACAATCCGCGCAACACACCGAGCATCTACCACGCGTCCGCCCTGTGGCTCAAGCGGTACATCACCGTTCCTGCCACCTTCGGATACCGTTGTTCGCAGAATCTAGGCTGGTGCACGATACCGCCTCGTGTCCAGAGTCTCACCATCTTGGCCTTCATCATCGTAAACATATTCTTTTGCGTCCATGGCTACATCATCTTCCCGGACACATGTAGTAAGTGAGATCATGTAGCATTATGGTGTATACCAGCTTACGCCCCCTAGCTGGCCCAAGGTTTACCACCTAGTGTGGCGTTATGTCGCCGATAGAACCGGCATCATCTCTTTTGCCAACTTTCCCATCATCTGGCTGTTCGGCATGCGAAACAACCTGCTCATGTGGGTGACCGGCTGGGACTTTGGAACGTACAACAACTTCCACCGCTGGGTTGCCCGTGTAGCGACGGTCCAGGCCGTGATCCATTCCGTCGGTTACGTCGTCCTTGTCTTCGATGGTAAGCTCCGCGTACCCTTTCCGCGGCACCACAAATATCTGACAGGTCTCTCTAGACGGCGACTGGGCGTACTTCATGTCCTGGTGGAAGGTTATGTTCTGGTGGGCGGGCTGGTTTGTAGGTTCTGGGATACCATACTCCACGTGATGCTCGCTGACAGAATAAAGGCAACGTTTGGCATGGTCGCTCTTCTCGTAGCGTCGGTGTATTGGATGCGACGGAAGCAGTACGAGCTGTTCCTCATTCTTCACATTCTTCTATCTATCCTTACCCTCATCACCATGCTTGGGTACGTTGCTCACATCATTACCTGTTGCCCCGCTTGATGCTGACAATGCACAGCCATGTCTCCATTTTCAAGGGAGAGTATGATATCCTATTCTGGGTACCTTTCTACAGCTGGATAGGCGATCGTGTGCTGCGCATGGCGAGGACGCTTTCCTTCAACCTAAGGTTCTGGAATACCTTCGCTCTCGCGAGCTACGATGCAAACTCCAACATCATCCGCCTGAGCATCCCCTACTCCACCAGCTTCTACGAGCCGAAGCCGGGCACCTACTACTACCTCCACGTCCTTAGCGACAAGTGCTTTTGGGAAAGCCATCCTTTCACCATGGCCTGCACGACAACAAACATGCACGTGCAAAGGAAGTCATCCTGCGAGCAGACACCTCTGCTTGTCGCGGGCGAACAGGACCAAGAACCCATGTCCGAAGTCGCGCTTGAGCCGAAGAGAGGCGAACCCTCAATGACTTTCCTGATCCGCCCATACGACAGCTTCACCGCTCGCCTCCGCGAGGACGCCGCCGCCGCATGGCCCCGCCCTGCACGTCTCCGTGTCCTTGTCGAAGGGCCTTACGGTCACACGCAACCCTTCAACCAATTCGATGACCTGCTCTTCATAGTTGGAGGCAGTGGCGTCGTGGTGCCAGTGGCACATCTCGCCGAGCTCACAAAAGCCGGTTCGAGAGCGAGGTCGATCAAAATCATCTGGGCCGTTCGCGAGCTAAGCTTTGCCGTGGATGTGCTGAGACAAGACTTTGAGGACGCGTTCGATAGTGGGAAGCTTTCTGTCGATATCTATGTCACGCAGCACAGCCTCGCGTCCAACGCCGTGCGACCGAACGACTGGCCGGAGCAGGTTCGCTTGCTCCACGGCCGGCCGGATGTACGTGAGGAGGTGCAGGACGCCGCAACGGGAGCGGGCAAGGCTAGTCTTGCCGTCGTCGCGTGTGGGCCGGCTGTCATGGCCGACAGTGCGAGGAAATCCGTTGTCGAGATGCTTGACCGCGGATGGTCAAGGATTGAGTATTTTCAAGAAAGTTTCAACTGGTGAGCGATATTGGATAATGATCTAAACTTGAATTCACTTTAGATATAGAGCGATAGACTATGCATGAGATGACGCCGGGCGTTTGGGATATATCGGGGGTTTTTTTTTACACCATATACTACATGAACATTATGGATTCGACTATTCGCCGTTGGCATGATCCGTCTTTTGCTTCTTGTGCTTAACATCTACCACTTCCTCCTCCATCTTTTCACTCTTCTCATCCAGGCCGCTCCATTTGGGCTTTCCATCAGGCAGGTCGACGACTCTTTGGCCGTAAAAGATGTGCATCCTGAGAATTGGTCAGCGTCGTCACTCGCGTAACTCTTATCACGGGGCTTGAGACGACCAACGGGTAAGACTTACTGGACTTCAAAGTTCTTGCGCTTCTGCTCGCCATCAAAGTGCAACAACCCGGGGAACAGCAACACCATGTTCCGGCCCTCGTCCATGATGCGGCTGCCGCAGAATCCGCAGCTGACTTTGCAGGGTAGATCGTGGCCCTGGAGGTTCTTGCCGGAGGAGTAAAAGACCAGACCGTCCACACCCTTCTCAAAGGCAAGATCTTCCTTGTGGAAGATGGCGGCCCATTGGAATGGTGCGCCTGGTATTGTCAGCATTAGGGCCATATCATGATATTGGCAAAAAGAGAAAAGGAGACTAACCATGCATCTTTTGGCAGTCCTTGCAATGGCAGTACTTGGACGCCAACGGCTTCTCTTTCTGGAGCCAGTACGACACCTGACCGCACTGGCACGCGCCGCGGATCTTCTTCTGAAAGTTGTCGCCGTCGGGGTGGGCTTTGCCGGGGGGCACGTACGGGGCCTGGGTCTTCCAGTCCTCGTCCTTGCTGTTCGCCGTCGTCTGGACCGAGTTGGTTTCCGCCTGCTTCGTCATGTTGGCGGCGGAGGAGTGGATGTGGTGGTGATGGTAGTGCTGGCACGGAGACGGAGACGTCGAGCAGTGAGAGTGTGCAGAGTTGGAGGCCGGGATGTATCTCGACGGTGAAGGTGATGTGGATGTGGTCTTTTGCCTGGAGAATGCAATTGACAGCGGAACGTGATGCGAGGCTCGGAGGTTTTGTTGCTGTCGTAGTATAGACGATCTGACTGAGGGCAGCCGCAGGGCCCAATGACGCGCTGGTGATGACATCACGAGAGGGTAATTGATGATGCCTTTATTGCGGTGGAATAAGAAAAGCCCGCACGGTCGCGTTTTTTACAAAATGCCAAAGAGGAAAGGGGTGGAAAAGCCACAAAAGCGACTGACGATCGATGGGGGAAACGTGGATTTGATGTGTAACGGTCGTGCCAAGCGGTCCGGGTATTATTTTTGTTCCTGGTGTCAAGAGTATTAGTCGGGGGGGCGGGACGAGCTGGAACTATCTACCCGCACGAAATCTAAGCCGTTTGTGCTAAGTACCGTAGTCTATGACACTAGACTTCGTGTATGCTTCTTTTGACATCATGATCGAGTGCTTCCGCATGTTGAATGATCCCATCACCTATCCAGGGGCAGCTGAGCGGGAGACGGGGAAGGGATGAACGGGGGGCGCTTGGACTGGCGCTGGTCGAGATGTCATTGGGGCATCATCGATCGGATCGGTTTACCCCACAGACTCCAGGCGAATCGGAAAAAGAGGATCCCCTGACGATCGACTTCATTCTTGACTTTGGACGCACGTGTAGCTGTCAATTAGGGTAAGGCAGCACGTGCCAGTTTTTGTTTATTTGAGTCCATCGGGGACCTGCAACGTCTACACTTTCTCCCAGGAGACATTGAAGGGCAATCTGGACGCTTTCACTGATGTAGACGTAGGGGAGTTGTGTTGAGACAAGGACAATTAGGTTACCGGCCATTCTGCACTATCGCTGTTTGCGGCATGGCATACATGATGACTCTGGCATATTTCCCGCCAAATGCAGCAGACGTGCAAGATATCTCCGACAGGCTTGTAGATCAGATTCGTTACATTCAACCATGACATGGCATCTGGGAATCTCAATGATAATCATGGTAATCATGGTAGGAATATTAAGAGGCAATGAGTAGATCACTTGCGTGTTTCTCATAAACTGGTCGAAACAACGACTAGTAGATGGTTACCTAGGCTGGCATAGAGTTGTCCCCGAAAAGACTAATAAGTGGTGGCCGCTTGTAATCCATATAGCTCAACGGGTATTGGTGGGAGTCCTCATACGTACCAACCAACATATTGATCTTCTCATACTTCCATCCCACGTATCTATCCGTACATCCCTTGACGTCGGGATACATACCATCGTCCGAGCCAGGCGATTCATTGTCGAAAGCGCCGTCGATTACCACAACCACGACGTTGTAAAGCAAGCGCATACGTCGGTCCTGCATCTCAAAGTAATCTACCGATACGCTAGCCAACGTATCGAGGCACTTGCGGTCCACGTAAAGGCAATGCTTGAACCTTGGTAGCCATTTCACCCCAGAATTGGTAGCGCCATGGCCGTCACGCTCTTCGCTACGGCTAGTGCACCAAAGACTAGAGTGCCGTCGCACGTCGGCCTTGGATGCACCGTCGAGTACAGCCCGATCAGAAATCACCGGCCCTTGCTGTCTTAGTACTTCATCACAGACGGGTGGAAGGTCCGGCTTACAGTCCATATACTACTCAAGAAGTACGTCACCGCCTGTGTGCACAAGGGAATCGTTTGCAGCAAGCCGGAATGCCTTAAGATAGCGTTCCCACGCCGCCTCGTCGTCGTATGTTGTGCGGTACACAACAAACCCCCAGCGGTGGAAGCCCGATCTCTTCATACTAAACGCTATCGAGGCAAGCGGAGTTTCAAACCCAGGGGAAACTTTGATGTCTTTGAGCGTAACGCTGTAGGATACAGCATCTGTACTAGCTGCTGGTTCGGTTGGGCGGTCGTCTTCCTGAAATAGCGCGAGTGACTAAGGACTGAAGATACTAACCGCCAGTGGTTGGAAATATTTTCAGAGGCAGTTATACTATGATGGCTGTGCCGCAAACCACATGTTCAAGAAGCTGGCGTTGGTTACCAACAGCGCAACTGCCTACGTCTGATGGAGTGCTAGGTGGTTTGCCAAGATTATTGAGTGGACCACAATGCTTGTTTCCGGGCACGTTGGACATGACCCCGGCGACAGGTGCAGGGTTTCCAAGCTTCCTTTTTGATCATGGACATAGTTCCATGAGGAGGGGAGAAATCAATTTGGCATTGCGCCGTTGAATTTTTTAACTGAAAGGGTTTTAAATTCGTTTAGGAAAATCTGCCAAATAATTCGTTGACTTCTGGCTCAGTTGATAAAAGCCCTTTCATCTAACCTCAGATCCATGGTGGGGCATCAACCACTCACTGATCGAAACGGGATCAACAGCGAATTTCTGATCGCTGTAGGCAATGGTGGCATGATTCACGTATCGAATGTGAACTACAACCCTTGTAGATTCCTTTCCAGCAGAAGTAGCAAACTACGAACTTACGACCTGCAATAATACCTGATTACCCTCTCACCCCGCTCACCCAGCTCGTGCAACCTTCGGACGGTCGGTGATCCGGACGCACCTGAGAAACGTGGTGGCAGTATGGTCATCCCTCTCAGTATGCGAATCACTAAAACAGCACCTCCTGACAATCGATCCTATTATCAACTTGGACGCACGGGTACTGTGTAATGGAGTAAGTCATCTTGTATCGGAACTGGACTCTTGAAATCTAGGGCTCCCTCAGTTCTGTTCTAGCTTCTCCCAAGTCTGAGCGATTGACCAATACTGATATTGAAATTCTTATGTTCTTGAAATCCAGCAAATGTGGCTCACTCATATAATCTACTAAAGCTCATAAATCAACTTTTTGGCTTGTCCCTAAGGTATCTTCCTGTTGCACCGTACCTTAAGTCCCTTGTTTTGTAGTCTGGTGTATTGCTTGGTCAAGAACCATCTGGAATTTGGTGTATTCTTCCTTTTGTACAGCCCATATGGCTCTCATCCAGCTAATGGCATTGAATAGACGCTTGGTAACATACAGTTGCCTAGACTGTAGTATCACTGAACGTCGCACTCCGATACTCCAGCTTGGTGTGTGGTCGCCAATCCTTCCTCCCAGAGTCATTTGTATGTCCTTATTCCCGGGATAACACCACCAAGCCAACAGACGTAATTTTGAATGCCAGCCTTCATTTTCCCGATGCCAACTTGCCTGAAACATCTCCCCAGGCTAGATCCGATAATTCGATTAGAAAGGGTGACCGTCTTTTACTTCCCGCATCTCTTCGTCTTCTTGACCTTCTTGGTCTTGGTGGCTGAATTATACAAATGAGCCGTCCTTGGAGCGCAATGAAGTATCTCAGTGATGGTAGGAGTACTGCTGAGGTATCTTTCGAGCATGATTGGAGGACTCTTGACCCTCAGATCACTACACTTGTCAGCTGGCTATTCTTATGATGCAGCCTCAATTTCAGCCTTACAGATTTTCTTCTGTGACGGCTGCCGAGGCACTGGTCTTCGGAGACATTGCAGATTAGTGTCTCTTTTTAGCTCCGCTGAGCAAAAGTTACCAAATTTCCTCGTCAGATCATTACTGAGCCGCAGCAATAACGAATGGGTGTTGTGTAAAAGGCTCATTGCGTAGTTTAATTGCGAGACCCGACTTTCTTGACAATTTAAACAATTTTCACGGTGGTGCAAGCGTGCTTTCGTATCCTAAATGAAGAGCGGCCATGATACTCTCACAAAGCACAACGCTATCACACCAGCAACCGACTAGCTTTGGATCATGAGCACGCTCTCATACCAGCAGAAGCACCAGTACTCTTTGAAGAGCTAAATACCACACCTGTGCTTTCGATCGTGATTGGCAAGCCTTTTCAGGCATAACGTCGTTCGGAGGTATCCCGGACGAATAGGGTGTAAAAGCACACCTGTGCTTATCAGCGCAGCCTGACTTGGCACTTGGATGTTCCTCCTCTATTCCGGATCGCAACCCTTTTTCGATCTTCCCTTCGGACTGTTCCCTTCGTAAGAGTATTATCGATTTTTTTGCCAAAAGACTTGTCAGAGTTTATGCAGTGAGAAATCCATTCAACTGATTGGACTCTGCTCTCAGGAATCTTTTCTTCCGCCGCCTTTCTCACTTACATAGGCTCACGATGCCGTCCGCCTGGACCCAAACAACTATATCTAACTCCGAAAACGAAGAGCACTGGGTATTGAACGAAGAATCAGTCTATCAACCTAACAATCAACGAAGGAGAGCTAGGATAAGGGATGAAGCAGGAATATTGAACACTACCGGAGGCAATTGGGAAACCGACTTTGATGGCCAGAACGAGATTCTTGTTCCTAGACTGAAGGACTCAGACCCAGCCGACTGGTCGACAGACGCGACCCGTCTATTGCACCATCAAGCCACGGCTGAAGTAACTGAACCGGCTCTTCAAATTTTCAAGGATACAGCCGATGAGAACGACAACCGCTCAACTGGCGACTCCGATCTGCAAAGTGTTCACACCATTCTTCCCAACCTAGGTAAGAAAGACGTTTAATTGAAAGACGAAGTAAAGCAATGTCGCTGACCTTTGTGCAAAATCACAGAAAACTCTTCAAAGATCAACGATCCCATTCTTCAATCCAACGTGGGATCTGCCAACCCAACGCAGCCTGACGCTTACTATGGCTCGTTCGATTTCCTACAGTGGGATGTTGGACATTCGTGGGATTTGGGGCTTTCGTGGGACGAATTCCATCCGGGAATACTATCCGCCTCTTGGGTTTCGCCTTCGGATTCCAATATGCAAGCTCCATCTCTGACGGAGACTTCGACAATAGCTACGATAGTTCCTTCGTCACACAATTCCAACTCCCCACGATTCGAATTACCAAGAATAACTCACGATGG